TGTGATGAATGCGGTGGCATACAAATCGATATAATATTGTTTTGAGCACAGATTTCGTCGAATTGTGGTGTCAAATGACTACCGTGACCGTCAAGGATAAGAAGTCGATATCTGCCTTTTATGCGATTATTTGTCGCTGGAATAAAGCATTTTTGTAGCCATCGAAGCCCAATTTCATCTGTCATCCACCCATTTGCGCTTACTTCAAAGCGCCAGTCTCCTGGAAGATTGTCGAACCAAGCATAATGGTATAGCTTAGCTTTAAAGATGATTGTTGGTGGAAGCGTCCACCCGCTTGCGTTGATTGATTCGATTACGGTAACCCACTCGCGATTTCCGGGCTGTAAAAGCGAGCGCCGACCGTAGTATTCCGCCCGCGTAATGACTTTTGCGGTCGCAGTAAGGCCCATCGCGAAGCCAGTCTCGTCAAAATTATAGATATCTTCGTCAACGATACCATATTGCTGAATTGTAGCTTGTACGGTGTCGAACCACTGCTGGATAACTCTTGGATCCTCTTGCGTTGCGCGTTGATAGTCGTATCGTCGTAAGCGCGATTTTAGCTGCTCAGGATGCCGTTTAATAAATTTTGTAACCCAATTTGGGCCAACGACTTCGATATTAGTTGAACCGCGCTTCGCGAGTAGTAAATCAGCCATTTCTCGCACCGTCGACGGTCTAGGTGCTCCACCGCGAGTATCCATTGAGATAATCCACTTAAGAAGCGAACCCTCTTCGATTTCTGTCAATTTATGGCCATTGGCGCGAGATTCGGCGCGATTTAGGGTGCCGCGAAGTCGTGTTCGAAGCGTAGAGTATGGGACTGAATAAGTCCGTGCCAGTACACGAATTGGTGATTTATCTCCATTTTTAATAGCCTGAATAGCTAGGAGGATACGACCCTCTTGTTCAATGGAATTTCGGCTTGATCGAGAGCGATTTGGTGGCATGGTGGATGGTTAAACATAGAACGACGCGTCTGGACGCGAAAAAGTGGGTAAGCGGTCGGCTCGGTGGTGAATTACGTTATTAAAGAGATGAGGTATTGCAATATCTTTTTATATTACTCAAAATTAAGGAGATAAAAATGAAATGTAATTAAAAGCCCCCTTTAAAAATTAGATATTTGTTCAATAATATCTGAAGAGCTACTAATATTAGTATTTATAGTATCTACTACTAGGCTTATCGAGAGTATCTATTACTTTGGGAAATCAAGGCTATTTGCTATTATATTAGAGATAGATGATTAATTCTTAGCGGGGGACCACTTAAACTTCTCTAGTAAATATTCTCTCAACCCTTTCAGTCTCTAGAGAGAGATCCTTAAAATCTCTCATTTTCAGTGATATATTATTAGTCTTGAATATAAAGGGTATTATTATTATATAGTTCTAATTGTTAAGAGTAATAGAATAACATAGTAAATTACATTTAATTTATAACGTGGATCCCGGCGGGTCCGTCATCCCTGCCGGTCCGTCACCCCATCAAAACTTCAAATTTTTACCCTTTTTTAAACATCATTTACCCAACCAAAACACCATTAAATTGACAAATTAAATCTTTTGCGGGCATTTAGAAAACCTATGCCCTTTTCCGCCACATTTAGAACACGTAATTTGCGGACGTACAGGGGGCAAAACAGGAAGTGTAGGTTCAACCTGGGGTTCTAGAGCAGGTGTAGTATCAAATATATCTTATACCACCATCTCCCTCACCACTAACATTAGTAGTGAGGTCTAAAACCTGTTAAGCTACCTTTATTAGATATTCGCTTCTTTGATTTCTTCCTCTTTTTCGTCTGCTTTCTGTTTCCCTCCCGTAAACGCTTTATTTCATCCCGCATTAAGATGTGCTCGTGAACTAGCTTAACCGACATATTGTAAAACTGTTGAAGATCACGTTTTGTAGGCGAAGAGATCTTATTAGCCGCTGAATTTAGACCACAATCGAGCCTAGATTTGCGTTTTTCTAGTTGCTTAGTCGTTTGAGGGATGCCAGTGGAGATATTGCTGCCTGATGTTGAACCTTGTGAAACTGGTCGATCTGGTAGAGGCGGAGATTGAAGACGAATATTGAGCTTTGATAACACCCGATCTGGGTCTAGTGGTACTAAACCAGTAGCTGCGAAGGCACTCTGAATGATAGACTCGTTGAATGAATCATCACGGGCTGCTGGAAAAATATCAAGGAAATCATTCTCGATAGAATCGATGCCTAATCGGGTATATTCTGCAACCGGCGGTTCCATAAGAGCGCTTTAATACAGCAAAACAACCAACATCAAGAGGCTGTAAAAGATGAGAGGCATGCGGAGGCATGCAGACTGGTATGATGTCGTTTTCCTGGCAAATCTTGTCGAATGTTGCTGTATGACTGTCGTGGCCATCGAGGACCAAAAGACGATGTTTCCCTCTCGTCTGACTTGTCGTGTGCGGAATAAAGTGGTTTTGGAGCCAATCCACACCAATTTCATTACTTGTCCAGCCGGTTGGACTAACGTTAAGAGCCCAATGTTTTGGAAGGTCGTCAAACCATCGTACCATGAAGTGTTTCCCCTTAAAGATAACGTATGGTGGGAGCGCTCGTCCAGAGGCGCAAATTGATTCGATAACAGTCACCCATTCACGATTGCCAGCTTGTAAAACGCCCCTCCGACCGGTGTAAAATGACTGCGTAATAACCTTCGTCGTCGCACTAATTCCCATCGCAAACCCCGATTCGTCAAAGTTGTAGATATCATCTGAAGTGATACCATATTGAGCCATCGTTTTTTCGATAAGCTTAAACCACTCCATAGTAGTATTTGGGTCTTCCATTAGGGCGCGTTTGTAGTCATATTTGCGAGAGAATCGAGTAGTAAGCTCAGGATGTCGTTTGAATTATTGTGTTGGCCAATTTTTGCCAACGGTCTGGAGGGCATTATCTCCGCGGTGTTTAAGCAGTAAATTGGCCATATCTCTCAACATCGCGATTGTAAGCGCAGCGCCTCTCTGATCCATAGAGATTAACCAATCCTGAATTGATTCCTCTTCCAGTTGCGTGAATTTATGGCCTGTACCTCTTGCTTCATATAGATTAGGAATGCCCTTTATCCGATCAGCAAGAGTTGTGCGGGGGACATCAAAAGAGCGAGCAGCAGCAGCTATCGTGGTATTTCTGCCATTTTGAATAACCTTAATAGCAAGCAAGATCCTGCCTTCCTGCTCAATTGATTTTTGAGCTTTTTGACTGCGTTTTGGGGGCATGGTAGGCGTTCAAGAATAGGTGGCTGGGTAGGGGCAGAAAATTTGAGGAGAGATGACGGACCGGCAGGGATGACGGACCCGCCGGGATCCACGTTACATTTATAGTTCACCTTACTACCTAATATAAAAATACTGGTATAGTTGGTATATTGTATTCCTGAGCTATTTTGATTACTATTCTACTCTAATACGTAATATTTTATTAGTTGATTTCTATAATTTAGATAAATTTACAATATTCTATATTTCTTATTTTTAAGGTATAATCTGTTGGAAGTCAAACCAGTTCAACACCTGGCTTTCCAAGGCTGCGATCAATATAACCTGATCAACTGGCCATATCCCTCATTTCGACACAAATGAATGCAGTCAGACGAATGCGTGTTCATCCAAGGAGCATCCCGCAGGTAAATGAGATATATCAGAATTACCCCGCTTTACACCGCTTGTTTACTTACTGCTTACGTTACTTCTGTTTCTTGTTTTACATCTTTATTTCTGTATTTAAGACTGCTCCTGGTCATAGCTAGATAATCAGGCGAATTCTAGGTGAATCTCAACCCGCATCTGCACTCGACCCCTCAAGTCAAAGCCCGTCCTCGAGCGAATAGTCTGTGATTTGTCTCAACCTTAAAAGTATCCTTGGTCTAGCACATGACTCAGCACTGTCATAGACCCTGGATGCCGAGACAGTCTATTGGTATAGAAGATTTCAATTTACTATAACTAACAATAACTTCTCAAAAATACTAGATTCTCTTGATAATACAAATAATTATTATAGACTGACTATATTATCTTAGTCGTTGAATTGGAAGAACCTAATTTATTAGAATATTTTGATAATAATAGCATATATATCAATCTTCTATAGTATATCAACTAATCCTGTTAGCATTCACTGGTATGCGATGACAAAGCAAGGTGACTGATGCTAAATCATATAACCAGGAATGTGTGGAAGAAGAGTGAGATCAGTCAAAGATCGAACTGTCTCATTAACTAATGATGTAAACTAACTAGATATATATAGACCGAAAAATAGAACGAATAGTGCAAACAAAATATGCAGTGAAAAGGGGCACGAACAAGTTCGATACATTAAACGCCATGCATCTAATGTGGCTTCAATATATTGGACGCCACTCATAGGGAAGGTTCAGTATTCAGAACTTCGGATGAATTATCGGCCGTCACTCCCAAGGGTAATCACGTCTCATTTCCCGACAAAAAATATATAATAATACGAAACACAATGAAATAAAATTAATTATATAATAAGTAAATAATGAAATAATTATAAAAAGTTATTAGATAAAATATTAAACCTCTTTGTTGGTATTACTAAATTAAACAAGAATTCAATCTTTTAGATATTCAGATAAAAATTATTTTATTAGTATTGAATAAATTTATATAATTAGATATATTGATATCTATCTTCATTATATATCAATCTATATCAATGTCATTTTATTTGAACAGATTTGTAATAAACAGTAAGATTTGCGAGACAGAAAAGTTTCATTTAGATATTTTAAAATATTCTAAACTTTTCAAATAAATTTAAATACAATGGTATCTTTGGAAATATACTAAGGGAATATATAACCGGCCCCACGTAAGTTTTACCAAAATTACTGGACCCTCGCTTGCGAGGGTCCCACACCCAAACAAAAAACGACTCCCACAATATAAATCTCTTCAAAAAGCTACACTTCCACTTCAGCATCTTCCCACGCCACTAATATGCCTCGTACAAACAAAGAAATTGAGGAACTGATTGAAAAAGCGCTGGATAAACTACATACCCAATCTCGGCTAAATATCTCAAAAGTTGCGCGTGAACTTGATGTGCCTTATCAACGGCTCCGTAGCCCCTATCGGGGCAAAAAATCACTATTTGAACGTGAACCTAATGGTCGGAAGCTTGATCCTGCCCAAGAGAAAGCTTTATGTGGCTGGATAGACTATAATGATAGTCTAGGATTACCAGTTAAGCGCACACAAATTGTGGCAGCTGCAACTTCAATTTTGAAACTGGCAAACCCATCCTCACCACCACTGAGTGAAAAATGGCTCAAACGCTTCCTACAACGACATCCTAAATACAATATCCGACGTCGAAAAAGCCTTGATATTGAACGTCTTCATGCACATGACAAATCATTGATTCAGGAGTGGTTTCAAAGGTTTCAAAATGCATTTGATCTATATGGTGTTCAACCTGAAGATTTATATGATTTTGATGAAACAGGCTTCCAAATTGGTATTGGAAAAGACCAATGGATCATTACACGTGAACCTAGGCGAAAAATTGTTTCTGGAAATCCTAATATTGTGTGTGATAATCTGGTGGATTATAATCATCCTGAAGTGCCAGAATCCCCCTCAACCAATTCATCCAATTCAACAAATATCAGCACACTCAAAACAATTCAACGATTTCAGAGACTTGAGAGCAGGCTTTTGACGTTGAACAAGGATATTTCTCATTATGAAAATATTGTCAAAAAGCTCTCAAAGGGGGCACAATCATGTGCATATCAGCTAGAGGAGGCACACCGAGAGATTGAGACATCAAAAGCTGCAACTGCTGCACGCCATGCACGTTATGGTGTATCAAGAACAGGTTTTATCAAGAGGCATTATTTCTTCAGCGAATGTGGCGAAAATGAATCAGGATAAACAAAAGCTGACTGATTTGGAGGCAATTGATAAACTGCGGCCCCAGTGGAAGAAGGTTATGATTGAACTAAAACGGCACTGTAGGCAGTCAGGACGCCGTTTGAAGCGCTGAAATTTTTTTTACTTATTGTTCGTCCTATGAATACACATATTGAGACCTCAATTACTAGTAATTCTAATGTAAATGTGGGTAATTTGGGTGTCAAAGATGGATGCTGTGATAATTTATATTGTGGGGGGTCGTTGTTTGGGTGTCGGACCCTCGCAAGCGAGGGTCCAGTAATTTTGGTAAAAATTACGTGGGGCCGGTTAGTAGTAGTAGAACATACTTAAGAGAGAATTTTCATATTATTATCAATGATTTAAAATATTAAGACAATAAGTCAAGTCTAAAATAATAGATAATATTAATTTTGAAAATTACTATAAGAATATAGAGAGAAGTAAAATAAGTTTTATAGAGCATGTTGGAAGTTAAACACGGTTCAACATCTAACTTCTAAAGCTGCGATCAAATTTACTTGATCAATTAGCGAGGACTCGAGAAGAAAGGCGAACTTCTCTATTCATATCTGTGATCTATCATGTTTACCCCGCTCTACACCGCTTTTTCTTCGTCACCGTGTTTGTTTAGTATGTTCTACTTCGGTCTATTTATACGAGAATTATCCTAGAGACAGGCAGACAGTTCTCTCAATATATCCGTTCTCACCCATCTTGTCTTTTATCCCATTTGGGGTGTCCAGCAAATGACTAAGCAAAGTCATAGACCCCGAATGCCGACATATACTATGTAACGTAATTCCCGCCCGTGTGGCCCATCACGCTCACTATAATAATTTCAAAGCAGATTTTGACCACCCAAACGCTGGTATAAATTTAGATATAGCTATTTTTACACTGATTTATCTTATGGCCTATCTCTTTACACCCACTACACCTCGGCGGGGCCATCTGCGCGGCCTGCAGAGTCTTCATAGCCTCTGTAGGCTCAGTGTGCTGTATAGCCTCCGCCGGTGTTTCTCGCTCCTCGGCTAACGCCTGAACCTCTTGAATGGTTAATCCGCCTTCGTCTGGTATCTGGCGTCTGGACTTAGCAGATTTTTTGCTTTCTTTCTCAAGCGCAGCGCGAAGGGTAACGTTTTCCTCCCTTAGAAGTATTTCCCTATGAAGAGAGGCTGCATAGCCTTTGAACACCTGTTCAAGCTCGGATTTTAGCGGGCTTTGAGGGCTGCTTGATCGTTGTTTGAGGCGGGCCTCGATCGAAGATGCCTGTTTCTGAAGCTGTTTGGTGGTTTTTGGTGTTTTCGGGCTGAAAATGCTAGATCTGCTGCTAGGTCGGATGCTAGGTGGTGAAGGCGTATAAAGCGATATATTTAGCTTTTCAAGCACTCGCTCTGCGTTGGTAGGCACTAGACCTGCTGCGGCGAGGCTATTTTGTATAATCGCTGGCTTATAGGCCTCCGCGCGCGCATAAGACCGCTTGTTTGCTTACCTGCATACGTTACTTCTGTTTGTTGTGTTTACATCTTTATTTGTGTATCTAAGACTGCTCCTGATCATAGCTAGATGATCAGGCGAATCCTAGGTGAATCTGAACCTGCAACTCCACCCTTCGAGGCAAAGCCCGTCCTCGAGCGAATAGTGTGTGATTTGTCCCAACCTTAAAAATATCCTCGGCCCAGCACATAAATCAGCACTATCATAGACCCTGGATGTTGACATATAATTTAATCTTATACTTTCGCACTATATTTTTTAGAGAATATTTTATACGAGAACAAAAATACAGAAGTTTTAAACACTAATATATTAGTGTACAAAACATTTAGTAGAAAACAAATATTATGAATTCAAAAATATAAATTGTTCTTAATAATTCAATAAGGAAATGATATATCATTAACTTATATACTGTTATTGTTAGATACAAAATATTATCACTAATATGAATAAGTAACAACCATTATAACGTAATTCCCGCCCGAGTGGCCCACTACGCGCTAAGACGCACCCGTATGACCATCTTCCTTCACTCACCATGCCTCCAAAACGTGCTCAATCCTCGCAGAAATCTATTGAGCAGGAGGGCAGGATCTTCCTAGCTATCAAAGACGTTCAAAATGGCTCTACTGACTCTATACACGATATCGCAGAGCGATTTCGTATACCTCGTACGACCCTTCGCCGCCGACTCGTTGGGCCAGCAATTTCGCGAGGATACACGCTCCAGCGGCCATAAATTGACCCGAACAGAAGAGGTTTCGCTTGTGCAGTGGGTATTAGATCTAGATGCGCGCGGTGCAGTGCCCAGGCCTTCTACTGTTCGAGATATGGCCAATCTTCTTCTCGCGAAGCGTGTGGAACTATTCCTATATCTACGGTCGGCAAAAATTGGGCATCAAGCTTCGTTAGTCGCCAGCCAGCCCTTCGTACGCGATACTCACGGCGATATAACTATCGATGTGCCAAAAACGAAGATCCGAAGGCCTTACGCGCATGGTTCGCCATCGTCAACGCGTGATTACCGAACACGGTATACTACCAGAGAATATATATAATTTTCACAAAACTGGCTTCGCTATGGGACTAATAGCCACTGGTAAAGTAGTCACACGCGCTATTACAACCGGGAAATCGTGAATGGGTAACAGTTATCGAGTCAATTAGCGCGTGTGGCTAGTCTACCGCCATGCGTAAAGCCAGAAAGTTTCATACAAGGGTGGTTTGATGACCTTCCATGCGATTGGCGCTTCGAAGTTAGTCAAAACGACTGGACTACAGATGAGATAGGCCTTCGATGGCTTCAAAAACTATTCATACTAGCTACTACCACGCGTACACGTGGCAAATATCGCTTATTGATTCTTGACGGCCATGGCAGCCATCTTACGCCTCAATTCGATCAAGTCTGCAGTGAAAACAACATTACTCCACTTTGCATGCCTCCTCATTCATCCCATCTCCTACAACCGCTTTGATATTGGGTGTTTTGCAGTGCTCAAGCGCGCATACGGTCGCATCATAAAGAATCAAGCGCGTATAGGATATAATCACATCGACAAGCTAGATTTTCTAGCGCGGGGTAATTCTGATATCGCATTCATCTGCGGGATGCTCTTCGGATGAACACGCACTCATCTGACTGCATTAACTTGTGTCGAGATGAGGGATATAGCCAGTTGCTCACATGATATTTATTGCCGCCCTGGAAGTCACGTACACAATAGATTTTACATAATATATAGTTTAGCTGTCAAAATATCTTTTATCATTGATTATTTATTTATTTATATATTTTCTCATGATGCATCTCAATTTATTAGCTATGATATTCTGTCGGCATTCGGGGTCTATGACTTCGCCTAGCCATGTGCTGGACCCCAAATGGGATAAAAGAATAGATTGTGAGAACAGATAGACTGAGAGAACCTGCCTCCAGAAGAATCTGTCTGTCTAACTAATTATGGGATCATTCTTGTGTAAATAGACCGAAATGGAAACAAACAGGGTAAATAGAAAGCGGGGTAAATATAATAAATCACTCATAAGACGTTTGCTTTTCTTCTCATCTGTGGGACGACCCTCTGATAAACCTAGAGTCCTAGCCAATTAATCAGGTGAATTTGATCGCAGCCTTAGAAGTTAGGTGTTGAACCGCTTTAACTTCCAACATATACTATACTATTTCAATGCTCCTAATGAATAGATTGATAGAATAATAATAGTTTAGATACCTAATAAACCAATTGTCAGCATTCGCTGGTAGGCGATGACAAAGCAGGCTGACTGATGCTAAATCATATAACCAGGAATGTGTGGAAGAAGAGTGAGATCGGCCAAAGAGGTAGAACTGTCTGATTAACTAATAATGTAACTAAGTAGATATATATAGACCGAACATACAACAAATAGTGCAAACAAAATATGCAAGTGAAAAGGGGCATGAACAGGGGTAGTTCGATACATTAAACGCCATGCATCTAAAGTGGCTTCAATATATTGGTCGCCACTCATAGGGAAGGTTCAGTATTCAGAACTTCGGATGAACTATCGGCCGTCACTCCCAAGGGTAACCACGTGTGATTTCCCGACACTATTTAACACACTAATTCGACCGAATCTGCGCTGAAAATAATATTATACCTCTCTATATACCCGCATGTTCTTTGTATCTACCATAACTACTTAATATTAGGTGTTTTGCTGTGCTTAAGCGAATATACGGTCACTATATAAGCTAGAGTGTAGAAATCGTGGACCCATGGGAAGGAAGTCCTGCCCATTTTCCATCCCAGAGATCCCATGGGAAAATCCTAGTAAGACTCATTCCATCCCATGGGTCAAAAAACGTGGACCCAGTTCCCAATTCCCATGGGATCTGCTACACTCTAATATAAGCAAACTTACGTATACGGGATATATCATATAACTATATCGACAAGTTTAATTTCTTAGCTAATTACTAACGCGCGCGGCTAGAAGACGTTAACTAAATACTATTCGAAATAGCTTCGTGGCTACCAGTTAAGTGCCAATCTATGCGAAAGGGTGCTTTTAAAGCTTGATATTTCTCATCGAACGCCTACACCACTAAGCAGTTGACTAAGTAGCAGATCTAGCTAATTCACACTAAAGATGCTGTTGGAAGTCAAACCGGTTCAACACCTGGCTTCCAAGGCTGCGATAATATCACCTGATCAACTAGCCATATCCCTCATTTCGGCCGAAATAATGCTGTCAGATGAGTGTGTGTTCATCCTAGGGGCACCCCGCAGATGAATGAGATATATCAGAAATTAACCCGCTTACACCGCTTGTTTGTTTACCGTTTGCGTTCGCCGTTACTTCTGTTTGTTGTGTTTACATCTTTGTTTGTGTATTAAAGACTGCTCCTGATCATAGCTAGATGATCAGGCGAATTCTAGGTGAATCTCAACCCGCAGACTCGACCCTTCGAGGCAAAGCCCGTCATCGAGCGAATAGTCTGTGATTCGTCTCAAATCCCACAATATCCTTGGTCTAGCACATGACTAATCTAGTCATAGACCCTGGATGCTAACTAATAGATAATATATTACAACCCTATAACAGAAGAGACTATAGCCTACTAACAAGCCATCACGAACTAACTATTCCTAAGAGCTAGGCACAAACCCTAATCACGTACACACTCAGGTGGCAAGGCAGACCAGAGTTATCAGCACTACTAACACATAACCGCCATTAGGCTTCGGCATAACCCATTCTGGGTCGGACGTCCCGACACAAAACCCAATGCTAAGAACCAAAAAACAAACATAAACATAAAAATGCCAAGGATTTCCTAAGTTAGGCCTACTTCTGCACTTTTTTATGAATTTTGGTTTTTTTACTTGTCGTAGATTGGGTCGAAAATTGGGTTTGCCGAAGTCTAACCGCCAGTAATAGAAGGATATAAAAATCAAAGGGTAGATCATACCAAGCCTCATCCACCACTATACATCTACCATGTATGCTGTCAGAAAGGACTAAATATATAAGGACACACTTTTTTACGCACATATATTTAGTTCTTCGCGATTAATTACACATTATTACTTAGATATACCTTTCATTCTATCTTCACCGTTCGACCAAGCCAAACATCTTACAAGTAGGGGAGCTCTTCAGACTAACCTACTTAGCGCTCTACCTAGCACATCCTTCGAAGTTACTCAATAGGACCCGAGCCCGTGTAAGGCCTAGTACGGCAACGGTACATTTGCGAGTCGATACTTGAGGACTACTGAGTGGTGCTCAGAATGCCATTTGTGGCTACGCCAGCAAATATCGTTATTATACCGATTAATAACTAGTAAGTTATTGACCAACGTTTGACCACTCACCGTTAACAGATAGCAACGCGTAGCACGTTAATAAATAGGGTTACATATAATTATTTTCATATACTCTATTACTTAAATTTATACCACATTGGGATATGTCAAAAAAGAAAAAAGAAAAAAAAGCCTATATCAAGATTTCACCAAATGCCATCCTGTTGCGTACCAGCCATGACCGTCCTAGAGATATAAGGAAAGAAGGCAACCAACCGGGAGGGATGAAAGGTCCTGGGGGTTTAAGACCGTAGCTAAGATGAGAATGTAGAGACACTAGAGTCTGCTCAAGTCTCGGGTACTCAGCTTGTGCCGCCTGAAGGCTAGGATCAAAAAACCCTATCATAGACATATTGCTTGAGCCAGTATCGCTGCTCAATGATGTACACAAAGCAAAGTCCAGACTATTCAATATTTCCATCCCGCGCCTTGCCAAACTATAAAACTGAGCCTGATGACATAGAAGGCCGAATCCATCATAGAATGTCGTATGGCTGCAGCGCAAGTTTGAATCAATCATTATTTGAACACCGTGTGAAAAAAGGCTCTTTTCACCAAACTGAATAGAGAGAAGAGAGACTCCAGGAGATGCTAGGGCATCGACAAGGTATATTGGAAGCAAAAAGAGGCGCTCTGCAGGTGGGCCACCTCCTTCCTCCCCAATAAGTGTGTAGATTTGGGTGATAGACGAGATCATTTTCGACGTCTCATCCATCAGTGCGCGACGATGATAAAGAAATAGGATGTTTGTTGAGTGGTTTGACTCAGCTGATCCACTGGACTGGAGACTGTTACACGGGTCCACAAAGGCTCGGTAAAGCGAGGACTTCGTACTGCAGATAAAGAGTCGAAGACGTGTTCTTTTGATGACAAGGACAGGGACCTTGGCATCCCAACCTGTGTCCGGATTTTCGAGCCAAAGAGGTGGAGGTAGTTGGTCGATAATCACTTCATCAAAACGCTGGCCAAACTCGGATACTGCCACTGGATTGTACTGGTCACCGGTCCATGACGGTGGGCTCATGAAGGCTTTGATATACCTCGCCATTTTGATGTGGAATACATGGTCCGTGAAGGGTGTGAGAGTATATGGGTGAGTTGTTAGGGGCTGTAGGTTGTCATGTGGCGGTTCGATACCGAAGTAGCTATCAAGGATTAGAGGCCAGTGACCAAAAAAGGTGCACATAAACCTGGGAATTAGCGTTAGTTCATCTTGATCACTCAAGATTTACTGGCAAGCCTAAAGCAGAACACACCGATCCTAGACATAGAGACTCCAAAAAGTTCGCCTGCGCAATTCCATCTCAGTCTGGTCAAGGACAATGCCGAGATCCTTGAGATGCAAGCCCATCTCATGGGCATCTTTGACAGCTGCACTCAGACTTGACCAGCTCTCTCGAATCTTCCCATAGTTCTTGATATATCCTGTATGGAAAATCTGTGCTGAACCGTTTCCAGTGAGGGCTTTCTGTCTGGAGATTGCGATTTGTCCGTATCATTAGCCAATGTTTAAAGCCACTGCTCCACGGCCTCTGGGTGTGTTCTAAGTACACCTTTGGTGGGATATTTCGGAGACGGGAGCGTTTGAAGACTTAGAAAACATGACCCGATCACGAGAATTCCGAAGTCAATATCCTCGTCCGCAATGGGCTCCCCTGAAGGATCCTTGGCACATCGCCCTCCGCCTTCGAGGCGCAGCCTAACGCTGGTACACCACAGAGCTGTCAGACGTCGTAGTAATTTGGACAAGGACTCGCTGGAGACGGGCTGGTTCCGATAATTGGAACGGCATACTAAACTACGCTTAACTGAAGCTTCTGACGGCAAAGTGTACTTGAGATGATGTCCGAGCTAGCCGTTCCGTGATTGAATGTGCACATAGTTACGCTACGTGATACATAAGCTGCTGAACTGGTCAGTTAAGTCCTGATTTCTACGATCGCACAGTTCCGAATGATCTGGTTACGACTGGAACTGTCTTTACAGAAGGACGTGCCTAAACCAACTCGCTCTACGACTACTGCTACTTTCATGGATCTGCTTGATTCCGGATACCAGCACTTTTCGAAATTGCCGCATGCCTATGAAACCCCAGAGATCCCCACAGAACCGGAGATTTCTCGCATACGAGCGAATAACTCATTTGCTCCGAAAACGAACACGGGTCATACAATCTCTGGCACAAGAGATTGGGTCAGGTGAATCAGAATGTGCTATCTCATCTCGAAGCCCATGCGATGAACATCTCAATTGATCCAGATTCAACATTTTCCGACTGTGAATCATGCAAGCTAGCACGTGCAAATCGTCAGATCTCCCGGAAACCAATGGAATATACTCGACCTTTTCAGGCGATTCACTGGGATCTAGCATTGTTTGAGAAATCCCTTGGCAAAAACACGCTATCTCTCTCATTCAGTTGATCCTGTGACTAAGTATCAGCTTGCTGAGGATATCGCCAAAAAGTCTGACTCAGCCGATTCTCTGATTGCCCAGATTAATCTGATTGAGAATCAGTTCGGTGTGAGAGTTCAGACTATACACTGCGACGGTGAAAGATCAATCATCCCAGCAATCACTGATGAGATCAAACAACGTGGTATCAGACTCGAAACCTCGCCGCCCTATCAGCCTGAGCAGAACGGCTACGCCGAGAGATATGGTGGGATGATATCATCAATGGCTAGGCAGATGCTTATTCAGGCCAATCTTCCCTCGAATCTCTGGCACGAAGCCTGCCGAGTAGCAATATACATCCAAAATCGAATCCCACATCGCTTACTCAGTTGGAAATCGCCCTTCGAGAAACTACACGATGAACTCGACCCTGAGAAACGACCCTCTTGGCTTACCAATAAGCCTGATCTCTCCAACCTTCGAATCTTCGGATGTAGAGCTTATGTTCGCATCAACAACATCCCCCGCCTTGCAAAAATGAACCCCCGCGCTGAGATTGGTTACCTGGTTGGATATGATGCATCAAACATCTGGAGAATTTGGATGCCTGGAAAAAAAGGGTGATAAGAGCCCGTGATGTTGTGTTTGATGAGACCTTGTTCTTTGAACCTGATAAGATGCAGTCATCCAAAGAACTGAGAATCATTGATGACCAATCACATCAGATTACCCAATTGGATGATGAGGAAACGACCCTAGTACTCAACGAGATCGATATCCCAGACCCTACAGCACCACCCCAGAATCACCTGAATCAACTGATCAAGATGATCAAGGTGATCTCGAGAACTCGCCAAGAAACGACCCTATTGAAAACGACCTGATCCTTGGCGATATCCCCGAAACACCGCCACACTCTGAGAAATTAGATGATTCATCTGATAGTGAATCAGACCAGCATGAGGATCAGACCTCTGCGATGCGACCATTCGTCCTGATTGATAACACTGATATCGACCTATCAGCGTATCATCTTAAACCATCGCATAAGCGAGATCGATCTGATTCGCCACCACCTGACGAACCTGACGAGAAACACCAGCGTGTGAACTTGGCAGCGTTCATCCAGGCATTCTCGGCCCATCAGAACCAGCCAAAGAAGGTGGCTATTTCATCAGTCCCACCAGCACCATCTGATTACTCGAAACTCGAGAATCACCCGTTCCGCCAAGAGTTCCGAGACGCGATGCAGGTCGAATTCGCCAAGCTAATTGAGATGGAAGCATTCATCCCATTCTCGACGAGTGAAATGTATCGATCACATGATCAAAACTGCACTGGAAGCTCAAAGCACTGTCCTCGACATCAGGTGATTCCTATGAGATGGGTATTCGCATACAAATCAGATGATAAGGGCTTTATCTCAAAGTTCAAAGCTCGACTATGTGTGCGAGGTGATATGCAGTTACCTGCCGATCAAGATACAAGGACAAGCACCCTAGCCTCGAGGACTTTCCAAACCCTGATCGCTATCATGACTGCATTTGATCTCGAAACCTACCAGATGGATGTGGTTAATGCTTTCCTAAACAGTAAACTCGATCAGGAAGTATACTGCCACTACCCACCAGGCATGGGATCAAAAGGTCGCTGTTTGAAACTGAAACGTGCTGTGTATGGTCTGAGAGTTGCTGGGAAACGATGGGAAAACGACATCAGATCAACACTGCTATCTATTAACTTCCAGCACTGCCCTGATGACCCGTGCTTATATCATGATGGGAAGATGATCATCATGGTGTTTGTTGATGATTTCTTGGCGCTCTACCATCGATCTGATAAGCAGCATGCGATTGATATCAAACGGAAACTTCGACAGCAGTTCGAAATGAAGGACTGTGGGGAACTCACTCAATTCATCGGAATACGCATAGCACGTGATCGTCTGAATCGAAAAACGTGGCTCGATCGATCAGCCTATATTGAGAAGATCACGGCGAAATTCCATCTTCTGAACCATCGAACACCTCGAGTACCCCTTCCATCTCAATACTCGACGACCTTCACATCAGACGATAAGCTAGATGATAAGCTTATTAACCTTTACCAGCAGAAGTGTGGATCAACCCTGTTTCCGGCGATATGGACTCGACCAGACGTTGCGTTTGCTAATCAGATCCTGGCGCAACATCTCACAAAGCCAACTGTGAAACATATGGCTGCTGTTGACCACCTGATTTCATATCTTTATGGAACACGAGATCTTGCTATTTGTTATGATGGAAACTGGAGATCAGCTGATGCTTTCATGGCAGCATCAGATGCTAGCTTCGGAGATAACCATGATCGGAAAAGCTCTGAAGGTTTCGTCTTTTGCTTATTTGGTGGCCCTATTGAATGGTCATCCAGGAAGCAACCAACGATCACAACGTCAAAGACTGAAGCTGAGCTACTAGCTATCTCACAAGCTAGTAAGCACCTGTATTGGACGATTCGAGTATTCCGATTCATCGATTTCGACCCATCACATGATCTTGTCATCCAATGTGATAACAAACAGTCGATCTGATAACACGTGAACGATCAATTTTTCAGACGAAACTGCGTCATGTTGATATCCATCATCTCTGGATACGCCAAGAAGTTCAGCAGAAACGACTCAACATCAGATGGATCAAGTCATCTGATATGCCTGCTGATGGCCTGACTAAGCTGCTTTCTCAAGAAAAACATGCCAAATTCCTCGAACAGCTTGGGATGGAACGATCTCAAGATCAGTGATCTCGAAAAATAAAAAAGGGGGTATGTCGGGAAATCACACGTGATTACCCTTGGGAGTGACGGCCGATAGTTCATCCGAATGGCGTACAATATATTGAAGCCACATTAGATACATGGCGTTTGATGTATCGAACTACCCCTATTCGTGCCTCTTTTCACTTGCATATTTTGTTTGCACTATTTGTTCTATTTTCGGTCTATATATATCTACTTAGTTACATTATTAGTTAATGAGACAGTTCTATCTCTTTGACTGATCTCACTCTTCTTCTTCCACACATTCCTGGTTATGTGATTTAGCATCAGTCAGCTTGCTTTGTCGTCGCATACCAGCGAATGCTGACAAATGATTATATTATCCTAATTACCATCTCGAATATTTAAATTTAGAAAGATTATATTACTAGATCTATAGTTACTTTATTTTTTCTTTCTAATTACTTTAATTTTTGTATTAGTATTTTATTTTTAATTCATATTAGCTATATGTAAATTCTTTCTATACCTTGAATAATTTACATTAAATCGTGAACAAACAAAATTAGGTATATGTTGTGCCGGTTAGCGGGGAGCCGGAAACCCCGCTCATTTGAACCGCCGCTCTGCCGCCCGCCACCGCCTGTCATATGCGGGAATCCCACTACCGCTTACGGCTTAGCGTGTCTGTTTTGGGCATCGTGCCCCCGTCTCGCCGCTTTTGCGCCCGCCGCCTGCCGCCTGATGTGTTTGTACAATTTGCACAATTTGTATTTCCAGCGGGCGGGTGGGGCTGCTGAGCTAAGAGACGGCTACACAAGACCTTATTCCGCACTTTTTATAGCTCTGGGCAAGTTTGCACCTGCAGATCATCTTGATTTCTCATCTCCGTCTTGGCTGTGGGTCGCATGTACCGCAAAGCTCCGAATCAACTTCAAAACTCTCCGCGGGGATGACCAGGGTTCTACTATATAAGTCCACGACCTCTTACTCCTTCCGTTACGTAACCCATCTAATTCATCGCAAAGCTTCATTACGCTAGTTCCTGAAAATTAAACCTATTTCCCGCAACCGTTGCTGCCATGGCTTTCCCCAACCGCATCTTCACCCGTTCAACATGGCGCCTAATTGGCCTAGGCCTGACAACGACCGTCTTCTCCTTGGGAGCGTTGTCCCTTGTCGCGCCATCCACCGCCGCAGATACTCTTGGTGTCGTACCTATCACAGCCGAAGGCCGCAACATAACCGAGAAGGCAATGATATTCCTTGGTATACGTGACATAGCCGTGGCCGCAGCGATGTTTTGGTTATCTCGTAAAGGAAAGGACAATGAGTTGGGGGTTTTGCTGACTGCGTGGACCGCGGTCTGTGTGGTGGACACTTGGGTTACGATTCAAGGACCGAGAGGATGGGATAAAGGGGTTTGGGGATTGTGCGGGGGCGCGGCGGTGGTGATGCTTGGAGGACTAGGGCTGTTGCAGGTGTGACGTCTTCAAGCCGATGAAGTGACAAATGTTTGAGCGTGGTAGATCAAGAGAAAAACAACGGCATTTATGCTGTCGTTTTCACCTGTCTTGTGAGAGAAGAGAGGCTAATCACCGCCTTATCGCCAAGTTTGTCTGCTGATGACGGCTGAACCCAGCCAGACAATCAATATATGGGCTAGCATCTACCAAGGGACAATCCGTGTAGCAATTACGTTTCCTTGACTCGAATTCTTTCTCTATTCATTGTACCGTTTATACACCTGGAGGGAAAGTATAAATGCAAATAATTCTTGACCTGCAGAGATATGCTGCCTGCATGGTGTATCCGGATGGCCGAGATCTCGCTTATCCCGGCCCAACCCTGGAGGCGGCGTTTACGTTCAAGACGCAGCCTAACAACAGCTTAGTGGTATCGGTTCAACACGGCTTTTAAGCACTCCTCGGGTACAGAACAAGGCAGACCGCGTACAAGCTGTCGTAAAGTACTATAGGATAGTTTGCCCGCTGCCTCAAAGCCAGCCGCTTATTTACTTGCCGAGCATCCGGATAGGGTTAAGGCTAGGTGAATATGAACAGTATCTGTTGGAAGTCAAAGTAGTTCAACACCTGACTTCTAAGGCTGTGATGTAATCCTGATCAGCTCACTGGGGAATAAGAGAGTTAGCTCGTGTGTAAAGGGGAAAGTACGAAATTTACCCCGCTTTCGCTTATATTGTTTGTCTGCTTGTTTGCTTCTATTTTGGTCTATTTATATGAGATTGATTCCAACGTTAGCTAGTTGGGCAGTTGAATGTTCTCATCTCTGAATATTAGCTGTTCTCACCCATCTTATCTTTCCATGTCAATCGAGGTCCAGCACATGACTAAGACGAGTCATAGAACCCGGTTGCTGACAGTATCGTACTCTCGAATCCGGCAAGTGTGAAATTTGATAATTGGCACAGACCGTTCGCAGTAGGAACTTATCTTCACTAATAATCTCGCATTTCTTTTTTTTCCGGAAACAAGAGTACAACCCCCTACGAAACCTCACGTTATGCCGGCCTGCAGGTTAGATCAAATTTTGCCTGCTTTCAACACATCCATAGGCTTGTGATAATTGGCAAACAAAAGGAAAATTAATCGGGTAAGAAGTGTATTGAGAGGAAAGGGGAATAAACCTTGCCTCAACATAGTTAATCATCGGGTTTTCGGTCTTAATAAGAGATGTAGGTGTACGGGTTTCAGTCCGGTCTTGGTATCGGTGGCAGGATGTCAAACAAAAACCGCTATGCTAAGCAGAAGAGAACTCTCACTGGGCTGCATCTGGGTTATCGACAGGCCAAGGAAGGAAAATGAAGTACTGTATACATATAGAGTAACTTCCCACTGTATCCCCTTCTTTTGCACAAAGAGACCGGGCCTTAATGCCGGAGCTAAAAAATTCTAAAACTAATGCTGTGGATGTACATGGAGCCAGCACACATATAAAGTACATCCTAGAGTTATTCGGAAGAGAGCTAAATATAACAAAGATAAGGCGGCAATCACATCCAGTGGAATAGATTAACCCCTTAGCTCCAACTGCTGATCCGTGACCTCTGCCACCTGCTCTTCCATCTGTCGAAACTCCATTCCCAGCTTACGCTCTGCCCTAGTGGTATCAACCATATAGTTGGTTGAATCCACGGGGTCCAGCTTGACCGGTACATTGGGGTAGCGCGTTTTCACAAAACCATATACTTCCCGCCACGAATGTCTTTTGCACGAAACAAGGTACGGCTGTACACCCTTGACAGTACTACCGCTCCTGGTCAGAGCTCTGACGTGCGCTATAGCAACATCATCCACATGAACGCCGATGAACTGCCCATCCAGTGGCATTCCAGACGTGAGCGAAAGGAAGAGCAGTCTGTTCGTGCCGTTAAGTTGCTCCGCAGTCTCTTGGGCGAGACTGCGACCAAAGACATAGATGGGATGAATCGTGGCTATGTCAAAAGGTGGATTGTTGGCGGCCACGAAGTCGATCACGGCCTTTTGGGCGGCTATCTTGCTGGCATGATATTTTTCAATTTCGGGGCGGCCGGGAAGAGATTCGACATCAAACGTAAAATCGAAATCGTTATCCTCTTGGGTAAATGTCAGCGGGGAACTGGCGCTCTCGGCACCTTACACGGCAAGGAAAGACATACCTCGAACGACCGCGCCATCTGGGATTGGTCCAATGGGTATCAGAGAGAAGATGGAGGCCGTGATCACCACTTTCCGGATGCTTGGGACTTTCAGAGCCGACTGTAGCACAGACACTGTTCCTTTCACAGCGGGAGTCAGGTGATCTGCAGTGCCTGAGCCGGGTATGGGTGAGGCTACGTGCATCACATACTCAACCCCCTGCAAGCACTCATCAAAGCCTCCGGGTGCGGTGATGTCGGGCACGACAACAAAGGTTATTTTATCTTGGTGTTCGGCGAAGATCCGGCGTAGCTTGTCAGCCTGATCTTCGCGCCGAACCACAAGACAAACATTGAAACCAGCCTCCAAGGTGCGGAGGGCGACCTGGGAGCCGATGAAGCCTGTAGCTCCGGTGATCAAGACGAGAGAAATTTGCGAAAGAGATGCGACGTAGTATCGGAGTCAAATTTGCTACAATTATTTTGAGCCCATTATGCGCATTAAATACAGGCCACTGAGGCATAGAATGCTCATAAATTGAATTATGGTTTTACTTTAAAACTCCATTGCTTATTCATTATTTGTCATTACTCTTCATTCTTCAAGCCAAAGCTTATCTGAAGTACGTGCCGCTCTTCCGATCAACTCTGCAATTAACTACTCAGAGTAGTTAGCTAGTTACAGTAGAGAGTGTCGGGAACGGGGTGGGGCTGTTTATTGAAGTCTCGGATTGATAGTATTCAGCCCAAAGTCAAATAGTCAGATGATCCTCACAAGAATGCTCGGAGCCAGTATATTTTGGCTTTTTTGCCCGTAGCCGTTCGAAGGCTTGGCATGTATGTTCGACGACCCCGGTGGTTCTGGTGGGCGGATCCTCGGGGACTTTTGTGGAGTTTCTAAGCAGTGACAAAACAATACCTTCATTATTCAGCAGCTCAATCAACGATTCTTCTTGGGCAGTTGGCTATAAAAACCAGAGGCAATCACACGCATAGTCCGCTAACTTGGCCTATTTAGGATTGTGAGCTACTCCAGTCTGTCCAAACTTGTCTTTGTCATGTCTTCCAAGAAACTCATTGTTATTCTCGGCGCCACCGGTAACCAGGGCGGCTCCGTTGCGGAAACGTTCCTGCAGGAACCCGGCTGGCAGGTGCGCGCGGTTACCAGAAATCCTTCGAGCTCCAAGGCCCAAGCATTGGCTACTCGCGGTGCAGAAGTGGTTAAAGCTGATCTAGATGATCCTTCCTCATTTATCCCGGCCTTTAAGGGCGCCCATGTTATCTTCGCCGTTAGCGATTTCTGGGGTTTGTTTGGCGATCCCGCCAGTCAAGGCAAGGCGGCAGCAGCAGATCAGCCTCTCAATGTCTGGGCTGCTAACCATGAAACCGAGCAATTGAAGGGTGTCATTGACGCTGCAGCAAAAGTCCACACCTTGGAACGTTTTGTGCTATCCTCGCTCTCCAATGCAGCCAAGTGGTCCAGCGGGAAATACCCGCATGTCTATCACTTTGATTCCAAGGCCAAGGCTGAGGCCTACGGCGGCGAGAACCATCCTGAGTTGTGGGCCAAAACGAGCATCTTCCAGGCTGGGTACTTCTTGAGCAACTTTGTTTCCAATCCTATTACTCTTCCCAGAAGGGTACGTTGTCGGCCTCCCTCCTCTTTATAATATTGACTTATTCTGCCCGGAATGCGGACGGGGTGGCCCAGTTTATTGGAGGCCTTGACCCGGACGTGGAGCTACCTTTTATCGCCGCGGAGGAAGACACTGGACCCATTGTCAAAGCCATAGTGCTTGATTCGGGTCCAAAGAAGGTTATCGGTTATAGAGCCAGGATTTCACTGCGCGGCCTTATTGAAACCTTCTCCCGAGTAACAGGTATCAAAGCTGAACCCGTCGTGTTACCCAAGGGAGAGTCCGTTGTTCCATTTCCCCCGGAGCTACAGCGGGAACTTGATGACAACTGGGGGTATTGGACGGAGTTTGGATATTACGGCGGGGATCCAACCGTCGTACATCCCCAGGATGTGAGTGCCATGCCATACCGTGAGAGGTGCTTTACGCTAACATATATAGTTGGAACATGCACCCAAGCTCAATAGCGTGGCGGACTACTTCAAAAAGCAGGACTGGTCCAAAGTCTTTGGCTCATAAGGGCTGCTATCAATGATAGCAGTCTGCTTTGCTGTTCCAATTGATTCACTGGAAGTGGTGGTTTTAGTGTCTGAAGGTGAATGGAAGCGAAGTTGCTGGCAGACTAGGATGCGTTGAGGTGGCAAAAAGGTAGTGCGAGCAAGTTTAGTGATTAAATCACTGACGAAAGTAAGATGTTCGGGAAGCTTGTCCATTTAATTGTGGTTAGCAATACGACTTAAAAAATGCTTCACTATCTCTCTGTCAATTAATAATCCACATTACTGGCTCGGTCAACGATGTATAATTCGCAAATTCGTACCTATTATCTTGCACTGCCACGAGAATTTTAATGATGGAAACCGTCATAATTCATGTATAAAGGAATGTTTATGGGTTGGCGCAGCATTACTTTCAATTCATATAGGGTTGGTCTCCACAGAAGCCCGACGATCAATGATATGAGCTCTGTCTGCTACGATTGGGGGCTACAGAGGAGATCAGTGGTCAAGCAGACCGCGAGACATGTGGATGTATCACTGGTTGAGACTGGACCCGCACGAGGTTGCCTACATATATAAGGCCTGAATTGATGATGGTATAACTCTCATATTCGATAGTGGTCATCGTACATGCAGTATTGAACGCAGTACAGGTACATGTGATGATCAATTCTTCCCTCAAGTGCCAGTTATATAGCAGAGGTTGCCGAGAAGAAAATAATCAACCAGAGAACCAGTAGGATCCCCTCCAAAGCAGGAGTTGCACTGTGAAGAAAGGGAAAAGCTTTGACCGGGTTCTAAGGAACCTGAGACGCCAATGTCGACTGATCTTCTGGAGGTCGACTAATTTTCTGGAGCAAATGGAGACCTTGAAAAGATTGCAGCCGGGAATGCTGAATGTAGAGAGAACAGTACTTTCGATGAGAATCTTGTCCCCGTCGAGCTGTATCGAATCTACGCATATGCTTCCATGGTATAAGGCTGCTTTGCTTTGTTTCATCGATCGGAATATATCTCTGCTAGGATCTCTATCATTTGAATTCGAATTTGTATTGCTATCATCTTTGATACACAAGAAGCCTCTTCTAAGGATAAAACAAAGAGAACTGATAACATTTTGATGTTCTCGTATTATATTCCTAGTGCCTGAAGTTGTGCAATTAGCTGTGGTGAGGCTACCTCGTCTGGTGATGGCGGCAAAGGACGAAGCTGCAAAGGATGGGGCATTCGTCGAGCTATATCTACTGTATTTTAGTATTTCCTCTACTTATTCACTCTCTAAGCCAGATCAGATGATACCGAGAAAAAGGTAGCCTTACCTGCTTCAATTTCATAGACAGTTTGGCGTCTTGCGCTACCAACCAAACGGCATATTTTGCCTAGAATGACGGTTCATTAATCACCTCATATATGCGATTGATCTCCCTAAAAATATCCTCAATAGGAAGTCTGCCATCAACTTATCTGGCCACAACTTCCATTGTCTGGATGGCAATGAGTAATCCCGCAATGAAGACCCGAGAGGCAGATCATGTAGATCTGGGGATGCATAACTGCTATAGCCGAGGAATTTGAGAGCATCCTTCTCGGCCTCATCATTCGACTCATGGGGCGAAATGGGACTGGAAGAGCTCCGATCAGCATTTCCAATAGGCGGACTTGCAAGTCGATCAGGTTGGTGATGAATTTCATGCTTCTGCGGATTCCCGGTCGTGTACACACAAAGGTGGTCGACTTTTCGACCGGTACAGTGATTGCATGTTCTTTGACGGTTACACTGAAATCACGTCAGCTTTAGCCGCAGTCGGGGCTTTTGCTGCTCGGGTACCCTTTGCTTTCTGCGGTGGCACTCAAGGCATGATTAATTTGTTTGCGTCGAGTTCTCTTCTAAATGGTGATATTCAATTTGGATACCCATGGGGGCGGATTGCGTTCTTCACTTGGACTTTAGGTTTCGCGAAGTTGCTCGATTTTAAGGTCAAACAATGTCGGCAACCAAGGTTAAATTCAAAGGCCGATGCCAAAATGCACCCTATCTGCTGGAAAGTCCACTGTGTACCTTCAACCCCCCACATGGCGAATCAACTCGCTAACCCAATGCATAGGATGTTTTAGTGGACTCCAGCTGTTGCTATTCTTTCCCGCTCTCTCTTTTCCTGCGAGAAACCAGAGGAATAATACCCGTGACGGTAATGCGACCTTTCGATATGGCTTATAATCACTTCATTTCCGACATTTTCGCGCATCAACGCAAAATTACCTCCAGTAATATTCGATGGGTTTTCTGTCACCACCATTTTCTCGATTTGGGTTACGTACACTGGCTCACATGATTATTGCCCAGTGGATGTTTTGTTTCTTCGGTGGACCGTTGGGGCCCACACGCTAATCATTTGGTTGGGGGGGTGTCAGGAAAAACCGGGCAATACCCAGAGCTCCAGACCCTGCATAGGTCCCCGAGACAGGAAGATGAAGCCCGCTTATCTCGCCAGGGATGCATGTTTTTGTTTGAAATTCTAATAATAAATCAGGCTCTATCTACTGGCGAGGTGCTGAATAGGATCTAGCCCCCAAAGTTATAAATGCAATTGGCAGTGCTTATAGAGACTGCAGAAGTTTCGCCAAGCTCCAAGGTGAGACCTGGGGGTCTCTTCACCACAAATAACTGGCCCCCACACCCCGCCCATTCAAGAAGGGTCTCGGAATTATTGCATGCCTGACATGCCTGATGCTTGATTTGTTATCAATAACCACTCTCCTTGAGATATTTGTTAGCTGTGTTAACAATAGCGCATATAACAAAATATGTGGGGTGTCATGCCAACAACTGTCGAATGCATCAGTGGTTATATAGATAGTGTTTTCCAAATAGAACTGAAATTTGGTTTATTTTTCAATCTCGAACTGGCGAGACATGTAATCGTACTTAGTACTAGGGTTAAGTGAAGGGCTCTAGGAACTCAATGCAACTATTCAGAATGTCCCGTGCCTAGCGGAATTGAGATCTGTAGATATATAGTAATTGGTTAGTTTGTAGAATATATAGGGGCTACAGACTATTTTCTCTTGGATATTTCTATTAAGATAAGTGACAGCATCCCATGGCTTTGTCTGTCAATTCCCACGTGAATATTTTCTGTAGCCACACGCCTCCCTGACGTCTCAAATGTGCATGATCAGAGTCCAGGTCAAACCCGGTGTCAATTTCGACATCAATTGTTATCCCTGCCATTGCCTTGCTTTTTGAGCACTGTATTCTGTATTGTACCTGTGGCTTGCTTCCTTGCCCACCATCTATGTGGATCATCTACCCAGTCGTCTACCCAGCCATAGGCCGCCTGATTATTTTTCCTGTCGTCCGTGCCTCAGAATTCAAGGCAGAGAGAAAGGGGTTGTTCTGGTATCTGCACAACTATTAGAATTGGCAACAAGAGTTGCCGCCCATTGTAGTTGCTCGTTTGGGATAGTTCTATGTACGAGTAATACCATTTTTGTTCCTCCCGAAAGCATCTCGGGCCCCAGGCGCAGGTCCGTCTCTTGGAAGTTAAAGATACAAACTCTTGCCCTGGGAACAGTCCTCTGTCTCGGGCCCTTCCCGTGTAAGGTGGTGATTATTCTGTATGGAATGTACAATCGCATAGGTGGTTGGTGGGTTATTGGGTATTGACATATCGGGTTTATCGGAGACGATCTTCCCTTTTTTTTCACCTCCTGATCACATCAAAAGCAGAAAAAAGAGAAAAGCTTGAACCCGACCCAACAGAAGACTCATTTAATCCAAAAGATCGCGTGTGAAGGAGGCAGACCCACGCATGCATGGAGTTGTGGGGCAATAGACACAGGGGACCAGTGGGAGAGTCGGTGAAGTCAGCTCGGCGCTGGGGTGATCCGTGCGCGCCGGCTGGGCAAGGCTTGTCTCCGGCCTCGGCCAACTTCCGGGCGATGGCCTACTATGAATTTGCCGTTCACCCCGAACCGGGGTCCCCACGATCTCGGGGTTCCAGCAGGGATGGCAATACTCCGGAAAGCGGAGGTTTATGGTTGGGGGAAGCCAAATACTCCACCTTTTGGTTTTCGTTTTCTCTCATCCAGCCATCATCTCAACTTCGTCCACTCTCAAGGTCGTCATCAGACATGGGACTCACCACGCTTAGAGGCAAATCGCTGGGCCGGGTCATCGGTCTCATCGGCGCAGTTGGGTTTGTGCTACAGGGTTATGACCAGGCTGTTGCCAATGGACTGCTTACCCTCGGCTCTTTCATTGCTGTTTTCCCCCAAATTGATACCGTGAACACCCTTGGTAGCCAGAAGTCGTATAATTCGACTATCCAAGGTGAGCACTGGGATGAGCGACAGAAGAAGGCTTTTCGGAGACTCACTATTCGTGAATAGGAACGACTGTCGCGATTTATGAGGTTGGGTGTGCATTGGGTGCACTAGGGTGCGTCTTCCTGGGCGACAAACTAGGCCGCCGTAAAACCATTTTCCTCGCGGGTTGTATTGCGCTTGTGGGCGTGATAATACAAGCAAGCCCATTTGCACTCGGTCAATTGATTGCTGGCCGAGTTATCACGGGTGAGTATATTCTGCTTGCATGCCATACATAGTCATGATGGCGAACCCAATCGGCATCATCGCATGCTAACTGGAACTACTAGGCCTTGGTGTCGGTGGATTCACCGCAACAATCCCCATGTATGTCTCAGAGTCGTCGGGAGCAGACGCTCGAGGACGAATGGTTCTATTAGAAGGATGGTTTGCTATCGGTGGCATTGTCCTTGCGACTTGGCTTGAGTTTGGGTAAGGACATTGCATACATTTATCTGTCTGCCTGGCTATAAATGTGAGACCAGATTGCTAATATCTCTTGCCTCTGGTGCACAGTTTATACTACGTGAGTGAGAACTCGGTGAGCTGGCGCTTTCCGATCGCCTTCCAAGGAACCTTCGCTCTTGTGGTTGTCTCATGTATCCTCTTTTTGCCCGAATCCCCGCGTTGGCTAGCTCGATGTGGTCGGATGGAAGAAGCGGCCGATGTCCTAGCCCGAATGGAAGATATGCCAGCAGCATCAGAGTGTGTCTCGCAGGAGCTAGAAATCATTCGGCAATCACTGTTCAAGGATGAGGTCGATGAAGAGACAGTATCGACCTCGCCCTTTGCACTGACGAAGAACCGACATTTGCATCGAACCTTCATTGCAGTCGCGGTCAATATTCTCGCGCAGATGACGGGTGTCAATATCATTACCTTCTACTCTGATACAATCTTTGAGGTAAGAAGACCCCAACGACCAAGAAAGAGCCTGCTACATCATACTAATTCTTCTCCTTCACCCTCATAGTCTGACCTAGGATACTCCGGTACGATTGCGCGTATCATTACTGGCTGCCTCCAGATTTGGCAATTCCTGGCTGCGGGTCTAGCGGTTCTACTAATTGACCGTGTTGGGCGCCGGCCATTGCTCCTCACAGCTGCTGCTGGTATGACCATTGCACAGACCTGCCTGGCAGGTCTTTCGAGTGATCTCTCCAATACGTCTGCCGCCGGCGCCTCTATTCTGTTCTACTTCATGGCTCTCTTCTGCTTTCCCATTGGGCTGTTTCTCGTCCCATTCATGTACGCAGCGGAGATCGCACCCCTCCGCACTCGTGCCAAGGTCACAGCAATGTCGGCAGCTGCAAACTGGCTCTTCAACTTCCTTCTGGCGGAGGTGACACCGGTTGGATTCGCCACCATCCACTGGCGATACTATATTGTCTATGCTTGCATCAGTGCGTTCGCCTGTGTCAGCTTTTACTTCTTCTGCCCAGAAACCAAAGGTCGTACATTGGAGGAAATCGACGAAATTTTTGTTGAGTCGAATTCAATTTTTGATCCTGTTCGGATTGCCCAAGAGATGCCATACCAGACTGATATTCTGGCTCATATTGATGACACTGAGAAGACTGGAGCCAAAGATGAGCTGGTTGAAAATGCTTAATCCGGTGCATTTTACGCCTCGCGGATGTGCCATATAGGCTTTCGATTCGAGCAGGCTGTTTGATATACACATACTGGATTGTGTCAGAATGGCTAATGGATTGTGTTGTGCTACATGTCGAGACCCGGCAATACTATGTGTGCATAGAGTATCATAGATTGAATCTAGAATTATACAAGAATGTCTCTTACACCAAGTATACATGGCATCATCATGCCCCTGACCCAGCTGGAATTTGAATGCGGCAAGTAAAGGTTTCCGAAACTGGACTGTTTACGCAATGATCGTGGGTGAGAATAAGCCATACGCAATAATTGCATTGCGCGTAAGTTCAGATTCAGTATGTCTCGAAGTCTGAGAATTGTTCGCCCCCTGGTCTCGAATTAAAGTCTAGTTTGTTTTAAAATCCGATAGTAGTAAAAAATAGGTCAAGAAGAGAAAAGAACAAGAGTAACAAGCCCAGGTCTTGGCTTGTGTGTTCAAATCCGAAATGAAAAGGAAAACCCCAATGGTGCACCAGGCGAAAGCGACCAATCCCGGACCCCGCCACGAGATTGAAACACATGCATGCGCTCCTAAACAAGTAAAAAAAAAAAAAAAGATGTACAAGAGATGCTTATGCAAAGATCGTGTCCAAGGCCGTATCGATAGACAACAAATACAGGGAAAAATCGCGAGAAATTTCTAGTCGTCCCGCCGACCGAGCTCATAAGAAGTCTCAGTGGCCCCGCCAGTTTCCTCGTCTTCTTTAAAACTCACCCGTCGGATGAAGGTAGGCATTAAGCGCCGAGCTCGACGAGTGGGCGAAGATGACAGGCGGGATGGGGTGATGATTGTGGGAACCTTGGTGTATCGGTAACGATATTTGGCCCCGAGAAGCATAACTCGCCCGTAGGTCCAGAATAGGCAGAAGCCAACGACGGCTGCGAGCAGGAACCCAAGGAAGGTGAGAAACATCCAGTGTTGACCCATCTAAGGATTTCGATTAGCCTTTAATCCCGATATGTTACCAGTGCTTGATACACTTACCCAGAAAATGAGGTGCGCATCTTTGCCGTGCCAGCTGTTACCAGTATGGTGGGTAAAGAAGCTCCACGAGAATCGATTGTACTCGTCTTGCATGAGGATCCGAACCCGGCCGGACTCAACGGGCTTATCCAGCATATACTCCTTCCAGATAACCGACAAAAACAACGGACCGGTGGAATACATGACGGTGATGTAGGGGAGCAGCCAGCTGCGGTCGTATTGTTGCAGTAGCTCGATCACCCGAAGGAAAAATGGATGCTGGGGGACCGAGCCCATCGCGTCGTTGGAGATACCGGTGGGAACGGTGCGCCGCACCCAAGCGGGGTATGCAAGTAGGGGATCCAGCCGGCGGTTGCACCCCTAGAAAACACTGTCAGCGACCACGTTACAGGTTGTTTTGTCAATGGATATACACACATCGTCCAAATCAATATAAGTACCGCCATAATGCGCCAGAACGAAATAACGAATCGAGTCCGCACGCTGAATCGGGTACTTGTAGCCATCGAAAGTATCCAAGAACCAGGGGTATTCGGCGGCGATAAATTCACGGGATTTCTCATTCGTCCAAAGCTGCAGACAGTCGTTAGCCATGAAGGCCTCTTAATTTGAATCAGGGGGCACAGGAAAGGATGGATTCCACAGAAAGGATCGTTGACGTACAATATACTCGTAATCCGGGTGCAGGTCAATGCAGCTCTGCTGGGCATCGCGCCACACCTCTGGGATTGTTTCGTTTTTGTATGTCTGGTGAATAATCTTGGGGATAATCTGCGGGCGTTGTTCGATCAAGCTGGAGTTCGGTGACGGCAGTTCCGCGCGGTGAATCGCGTCGGCCGCGGCATCCTCCACAAGCAGTGAGAGGAGGGTCGAGACACTGCGGATCAGGAGCGACAGGACGAGAAGATTCACCAGGACGAAAATCAGAAGACCGCGTCGCATGGTGAAGACGTGACGAGGGAACTGGAGCCGAGAGGTGTAAGCCGCGGGAGAAAAGGCTGTCCAGCCACAAATTCCACAGTCGTTGTCGGACGTGTCGAGTGAGCGTCTCACGGGACGGGGGCCCCAAGGCCGCGGGATAATAGGGGCGGAGACCGTCGACTTGGCGAGATGAGGAGCGAAGCGTCGAAAAATTCGGTATTGTGGGTGATCAATGGACAATTGCGGTAGATTGCGTTAGGGGGGAATTGGGAGGCCCCGGGGGGGAGGGTAGGTAGTCGGGGTGGATGGTAAAGGAGGAGTGGATTGGAGGGTGTGCACTAGGAAAGGAAGATCGCACGAGTCGAAAAGCGACGACAAACAAATAGGGGAGAGATCACGATAATAAGGAGCGACGAGTGGGGGGAAACGAAGACTAAGCCCAAGAAGAAAGGAGATATGCGAAGGGCTCGAGAAGCGTTGCGCGCGCAAGCCTCCGTTAGGTTTAACGTGGGCCCGCCACGCCCAACAGGGACTAGCGGAGCACTAAGGGGCGAAACTCAATACTTAGGTAAGCGAGGCTGTGGTGGCTGAGCCCCGGTTGTGTACGCCGCGCCCATGTGTCTGTTAAGCTCGTCGTGTCATTATTGGTGGACCTAGAGACAAAGTGGCCCCCACGGTGGGCCCCGAGGCTGGGGCGATTACGCAGATTACGCCCAATTTCACGCTGGTACACGCACGGGGCAGGCATTGGCAACTGCGAGGCCACCCTCGTACTCGCGTCCCCAAAGTTGCCCACTGCTCGCCAATTCGTCTCCACTGCCCCCAAAATAATTGCCAGCTGCAAGGCTCTGGTACGTCCAACGGCGAACCAATGGCCTCTCGCTGCTCCAATGTTTTGCGCCTGCTGCCTGGAAATTACAGTGTAATCCACGCACTGCCCACGGGTTGTTTCCCAAACCCAGCTCCATTCTGGGGCGGAGTGCGAAGCGCTTCGTCTTGGTCCCCGCCGTTCACTGCCCAGTCTCCAGCTGTATGCTTTTGGCACCGATCAGCGTCTTCGCCGAATATGACGTTAGTGGCCTGCACCTAGGCTGCTTCCCGTCACGATGATCTCAATTGCCGAGCCACCAACTATTCTGGGCTGCGTTTCGTGAGATGTCATGGTGCTCCTATGATGGCCATGTCCATACCCGGATCGAATCGTTAGTGGCCCTTAGCCTCTACGCATCTGATGTAGCTTGGGTCTTGGCCAACGCCATGTCGTGGGGATCGGCATAAATGAAGCAGACGGGGCGTTGAAAAAATTGGGGGGCGAGGGATACATACATCATGGTCAAGCATGTACATTGTACTGTGTATATCCTATTTTGGGTTGTGTGTACATGTGGGTTGTTAACCGAGTAGTACGCATCCATGGATTCGGCTTTGTACAGAAGGTCAACTGAATTCCCACTAGGAGAAGATAAAACCAACTAAGAAAAGGAACAACCGGAAAACAAGGGTATCTATCGCTATCAATGTAAACAACCATTTAAAATGCATCCTGAACCCCCACCCCCGCCATGCCAAGTGGCATACGGCTTTCCCTCATCCATCTTCTTTTCTGTGCCATCCATTCATCGAAATTAGAAACTGGGGGCTCTCTGGGAGGCTGTGACATGAGCTGTGACGTTTGCTCAGTTCTTGTTGGTTCCACACGATGCCCGGGCAACCCAACCCCAGAGAATGGCCCCGCTCCCGCTACGTGTATATAACCGGGCCGAGGCTTCAATGTTAATTTCTTGAATCCATGCCACATCAGCTGTCAAAAAAAGTAGACGCTCGCCCACTGTGGCCGGCATTGGATTTCAACGCCACTCATATTGCTCGGAAGTATTCCCCATCGCGCAAAGTGGAAATGGCTCTCATCATGTGTTCATCGGACTTCAGGTGCGGCGGCGGCGGCAAACTCTTGGTTGAGGTTGGTAGTATCCGTCGGGTGTGTTCCATCAACGGCCTCGAATAGTCGTTGCCACCACATGGGCGGGTCGAGAGGACGATGGCCGCCGTGGAGACTCGGGTAGACATCGTTGAAGAAGTACCACACATGGCCGACCACAATTCCGCAGAGTTCATCCTTGGGCACGATCTTATGGACGATGAGGCTGAAAGCCATCAAAACCCAAGGTAGATAGGGTGCCGTGAAGACGAGCAGACCCAGAAAGCTGAGGCGGGTCTCCGGATTGCGACGCGCCCAGATATAGACGAGACTAGACGAGAGAGCGGTTCCGAGGAAGGGCAAAGAGAGGAATGGCGATATTATGAGGAGCGATGTCATCGCGTAAAAGATGAGCCAGGCGAACTGGGCTGGCGAGCGGCCCGAGGTTTCCTCCAAAAGACGTGAGTAGCGTTGTAAGAAAAAGACGTGGAACAGGAGATCAAGGTTAAGAGGTCCGAAGTAAAGAAAGGTGGTCAAGAGGCGCCAATATTGTGACTTGGCATAGACGGCGCGGAAGCTGTAGAAGAGCTGGAATGGAGTCACAATGTGACACTGCACCAGCACTGAGGTGGCCACCGTGGCCACGGTCCACCACCGCGTCACTGGAGGCATCTCATAAAACCATTGCTCGAGCGGGAACTGGCCCATCGGCCCGTTGTTTTCCCACAGGGCTGCCATGATGTCGAATGTGAAGGCAGAGTAGAGTGGTCATCCTCGGAGTATGCGCATAGATAAGCCACGCTGTGTCGAGTGTCGCCAAGCACGTGACCATGCGCGCCCAGCCTGCGCGACGCGCAGTCGGACGAGTTGGATTGCGGCCCCAGCCACTTCCATTCTTCGCATCCCAAATCTCTGGACCCCACCCTCCTCCCACCCTGAAGGGATTGACCTTTGCTTGACCGCTTCGCTTGCCACTCCCATCAGCTTCTGCAAGGGCGATCTGGACGCATATTGACAGCCTGCATACATCGAATTGCGGCGCCATATCGAAGTGATTTTCGTTTCCCTCTAAATATCGCCCTGAATATCGCGACTCCACACTGTTACTCCTGCAACCATCGTCCCATCGAGAGACACGATGCCAACAAAAACAGCTACCAGAGTGGCACCCCATGCTTCTGGTACGCCAACGAAACGTCGCCCTCCAGCCAAAACAATAGCCGCTTCTGGCTCTCCATCAAAAGCGCGCAGGTCGCAGGCAGAGGCGAAGGAGAAAAGGAAATCTGATGGAAGGAGGGTTTCAAATATTCAGCGTATGTTTGACGCGATTTCAGCCCAATTCGCCTATGTTTGATCCCATGCTGCGGTCGGCATTGGCGAGGTTAACCAACTCCCAAACAAGCTAACCATCCTCCTCCAACAAAGCCGGAGATCCAACCCCTCAGGGCCGTCGCCGCCGCTACAAGCCCGGAACTGTCGCTCTCAAAGAAATTCGAAAATACCAGCGCTCCTATGACCTGCTGATCGCCAAGCTCCCATTCGCGCGGCTAGTGCGTGAAGTTGCGCTGGATATGCTACCCGCAGAAACAGGCTCCCAGCTACGCTGGCAATCCCACGCTATCCAAGCGCTTCAAGAAGCTGCTGAAGCATTTCTGGTCCATCTATTCGAGGATACCAATCTGTGTGCGATACACGCCAAACGTGTCACTATAATGCAGAAAGATATCCAACTGGCGCGTCGTATTCGGGGGGCCTGGGCCGGACTTGGGTGATGAAAACTTCCAAACAGGCACTCTTTCTTTGTTGGTCAATTGTAGCGTTTGATATTGATTGCGGCATTTCTGCAGTGGTCCCCAGTCCAGGGATAAGGGAAGTAACTTTTTCAACACTGCCGGCGTATTATGGGCATGGAGTCACAGTCGAGGCGGTCCTCTAATTATTCTTATTCCTATCCTTGTTTTTTTTTTTTTTTTTTTTTCGCAGTATGCCGTCGCGCTATACGCCCGTGCTTACTGGAGTCTTTAGCTATACTGGATGCCGTACAACTGTACTAATACTGGTGGTTACTCTTATTTCAGATATACCAAGGCAATCGAATGGATTTTGTTGCATATGCTCTATGGGGTCTTGAGTTTCGAGTCGGACAAGGCATCTGGGGGTCTGATCATTTCGCATTGCACATTTCGACTGAGTGACACCCAATGTTGCATCGCATTGTCAGGGTATCTAAAGACTGAAATAACAGGGACGCCTTTTTAAAGTACTAGTAGCCATGAAATGGTATCATAAATAGAAACGCCTTCCGAAGGAACCAAAGCGTCTCTAGAATAGCGTGTGGCTCAATGAAGCCGTGATCAAAGCAGATACCTGACATTGTCGACCATGCTTGTGCCTGTTCGTAGCCAAGACCGATGGTTAGGCTGGGCGTTTCAAGCCTGGTGGAAGGCCCATAACCAGTCGCTGGCCCTCTTCTCGTACTCCGCGAGCCTCTTCGCCTTTGCCTTGTCGCTCGAGTGTGTCAGCGAGCATCTCGTCAGTGACGCTGGCCCATAGACGATCATTTGCCCGTTTGGCCATAGCACGGCCGGCTCTGGCGCTCTTCTCAGCTTGCTCGCCGACGACGCCGCGGAAGTATTTCCAGCTCATGAATGTGAGCGTCATACATGTTATCTGACTGTTGCTAATAGCCGTAGCAGACTGCAAGGCTTGTTGTAGATACTGCTTGGTCTGTATCGTGGAATCAGTATGCACGGTCGAGCAAACCAAAAAGTAGGCCGCCTGAATGTACTTGTTCGGGCTGGTTTGGCAGAAGGGCTCGAGTGTTGCCAAAACGGCTGGAAGATGGGAATGCGCAGGATGTGAGGGATCCCGAATAATGAGAACGGTGTTCAGCGCCGAAAGAACGCGAGTGTCCCGGCAGGGATCATTGCGGGAGGACTTGCTGGTTGAAGTAGGTAAGGATAGCAAGGGAGATTGGAAGATAGCCAACGCAGATGACAGGTCTCCAGTTGCCTGGGCGATAGTACCGGCAGCATATGCAATTAGGCATTCAATAGATTCCGGCAGACTGGAATCAATCTCTTTAGTGGATTGCCGTAGCTCTTGCAGCGACTGATTGGCTAGATCCCAGTCGGTCCTAGAGCAGATCAGGAAAACTCGCTGTAAAAGAAAATTGCAATAGAGAGATCGACGCCATTCCACACGTCGCGATGCATTGACCATCGCTTCTGGAATTTCTTGCGGCGATTTGAAATCTCCTGTGAATAGGCATTAGATACTGCGAATGAAAAGCCACATATATAGCAGTGGTGTTTAATTACCTTGGATCATCCGAAGTCCTTCATCAAGGTACTTCTCTGCCTTTCGGCCATCGTATGAATTCTTGGCGCTCAGAGTGATCGAACTCAAGAAGTACGAAAGCGCATAGAGGTCATGCTGAGGCAGCCAGCTGAAACTCAAAAGCAGTGTTCCGTTTTGAACCTGCAGAATATCACCTGTGTCGATTGATGATGGTCCCGCCGACTTCCCGTTGAGCGGAACGGAGAATGAACCATCAAGTCGCCAATATGGGTCGTTCAATGTTTCGTCCACCAAAGATTGCATTATCTTCAACTTTTGCGCAGCTTGATTCACGTCGTATTCAAGCAAGCTGCAGCAAATATCAACCATTTGAATCAGCGTCACAAGCTGGGGGATGTGACGAAGTTCATCGTTCAGCTGATGGCTTCGCGCGATCGCCACAGCACGCTGTGCCTGCTCTATAGCGTCGGAGCCTGTCCCTTGCTGGAGATGTGCCAGGGCCTCAATTACTGCTGCCATGGCTGATACGGCCTTATCACCATTGCGGTTCGCCATAGCTGCGATCTTGGAGAGATGCTGGAGGGCTTGGACAAAATCCTGGTGGGATGGAGTTGATAAGGACAGCGACACGCGTAGAAAGCGGAACGCATATTCCCAAGCCGCATGTCGATACCTATAACTCGATTAGCTCCGTGGTTCATGGGGGCATTTGACGAAAAACCGCCACATACGCTTCTACATCTTGAATCATTCCATCGACCGCTTTGAGAGAGGCCTTGGGATTTGTCTTGTGGAGCATGCGCGCCAAAAGATGCTGCATGCTGTACTTCAAATCTAACATGCGATTCTAGAACGAGTTAGTTTTCCTATAAATGACGGTAAACAAGTTCAGTGCGACGTACGCGCTCGCAGAGATCGATCTAAAAAGGAAGTTAGCCGACCCTTCAGAGGGATGGGATTTAGTAGAGACCTACGCCTTTACTTAAGGCCGTTTCCGCCTCGAGGTCATTTTCCGTCTCCTCAAAGAGTGTTCGTGCATAGCGAAGTCTCACCAAAGCTTCCTTGCGAGGCTGTAGCCTCCAGTTCTGTTGAGAATGATAAGTGAGCGAGTTGACTTGGAAGATTCAGGAAATGAACATTTACCTTCAAAACAGCCTCGAGACAGCCAAGACCAGTAGCAATCAGCTTGTAGTATTCTTCAACATCAGCCTGTCGAGTTGCCAAGGCCATCTTAGTCCCGTGACGATGAGCGGCATTCAAGTACTCATCTGCTAGTGACAGGAGCAAAACCTGGTAGTCTACCGGGGACTTGGTAGACTTCACTGGCTTCTCTATCGTCTGCTGGCGGGGGTTTCGCTTCTGAGGTTGCTTCTTGGTGTGTTGCTTTTGCATATTGATCTTGACATCCGGGGATGGCGCCGGAATCATCACCTGTGGTATCGCATTCTTCATTGGCGTCGGCGTAGACTGGGCTTGTAGAGGGTTTGGCTTGGGAGTAGACATAGGGGCGGACGCTCCACTTCGTCATGAGCGGTTTCGGAGTTGGTGAACGGCTGCGGTGGCTGAGCTTCGAAAACTTGTTGTCCCTTGTCTTCTGCATTTGAAATATTCTGTTGTGAGCTTGCATCAGGCACATTTTGGACCGATTTCGTTGCGGGTACTGGTGCAGAAGCCGGCGTTGAGGATGCACTTGATGGAGTTGGAGGTAGTTCGCTGGCAGCCGGTGCAGAGATTAGGTTTGACTCGGCGACTTGCGGAGAGGGCATGTATCGAGACCTTGGAGCAGTTGGCAATGGTGGCTGAACAAATAATTCAGCCGGGTTGATAAATTGATGCTGCAGTCCCTCCTGTTGTTGGGAAGGGGGAGTAGGAGCTGGGGCTGGAGCTGGAGCTGGAGCTGGAGCTGGAGCTGGAGCTGATTTTGCGGGATGCATATGTTGTACCGAATCGGCAGGTGACTTTTGAGGAATAGGAGGTTGACCATGTGAATTGGAAACAGAGGGATACTGCCGTTGGATTTGCGGAGACTGCTGTTGTATGCGAGGGTATGAAGACTGTTGCAATATTCCGGGATGTGGGGATTGCTGCTGCGCCTGAGGGCGTGGCGAGTGTTGTTGTAGATTTAGGCGTGGTGATTGCTGAGCGAGCTGAGGATATGAACCGTGCTGCTGCATCTGAAGGCGTGGGGATTGTTGTTGTAGTTGCCGCGGAGATTGATGCGGCTGGGGGAATGATTGTTGTTGCTGCATGTGAGGAAATGAAGGCTGCTGCTGAAGCTGAGGATGCGGAGGCTGTTGGGGCGGTATTTGCTGCTGAGGCCGTTGCTGTTGCGGATGAATGAGGGGAGATTGCTGCAGCTGCGGAAGAGAATGGGGTGGTGGTTGTGGAGCAGACTGCTGCGACTGTTGATGGTATTGTGGATATGCAGGATAGGGCATCATCCCCTGGGTGTATACGGGCGGTTTGGCGTAGCCATTATATGGCGACGGCGAGGAAACGACATTGACATTGTTGTACAGCACCTGCTGCGGTGGAGGCTGGCCGTTCGGATACTGCGAATGGACATACTGCGGGTATTGACCGGGATGGGGCGGTGGGAAGCTCATCGCCCTAAGATACGCTTAAGCTGAAGCTGATCCCCAAAGCGCGCGAGTTGCAAGCGTCGTGATCTCCGAGAGTCGCGTCGGGGCGGAGAAACTCCAAGCGCGGGCGATCAGCTGATAAGCACCGCGATAGGCTCGGCTGCGTCTCTGTGGGAAGTGGGTCCCTGAGGGCAATCTAGTGTATACACGATGGGACTGGGGGATGATCAAGCATGCCTTTCTACACATTTGCACGGGATAAATGCGCGGGCTCGAAATCCATAGAGTACTGTTTGTGTACATAAAAGCTCATATATATATATATCTGGTCTCGCATGTATATGGACATGAATAACGCCATTAAACCGATTCAGAGGTATTAGAACTTTGGAAATCCAATGTAACATTAATCGAACACCCCTTTACATCATGCGAATAGAAGAATACAGGGAATCCAGAGGTTGTTCGCTGATTGCTGGCTGGATAACCTCCTCACCGATGCTCGGGGTAAAGGCAAGCGGGGGATGTTCTCGTACCGTCCAAGGACAGAGCTCATTGCAGTTCTCCACACTGATGGAGGGCTCTGCGGGGTGGATTCTTTGAGCTCCCCAAGCAGCGTCTGGGATGGGGTCTATACCACCGAGGCATCTTTCAGTCCAGAAAGTGTACGTCGCTTTGCCACACTCTTCGGTATGGAATGGTTGCTTGCGAGGGCACCTGAGCGTCGTTTCACACGCGCTGCAGACAGTAATCCTTCGGCAGGATGTACAGAATGAATCAAACAGGCGACAAATGGTGGATTGATAGACGCTTGACAGCCACAGATCGACAGATCGATGAGCACACCCAAATCGCGGCGTCATATATTCCTCCTTGCCAACCTGGCCAGATTGAGTGGTAAGTTGATACTCGGAACGAATGACCAGTTGGTCATATTCATTAAGCTCAGGGAACAATGACACCTTCAAGTCCGTTGGCCCGTATTTCTCGGTACACGAGTGCCAGAGATAACGACCGGAGACTGTGCCTCTGAATTGTGTTTTCAAAGCCTTGAGTGTAGTCTGACGCACTCGTAGATAGTCAACAAGATCCATCTTGTCACGGAAGGTCATTTTCTTGCATGGGCATAAATCGACAATGCCGGCCAATTCACCCACGTTGCAGGTCCGATTTTCGGGCTTTCGCCTGATTTCTCGAGATGAAAATGCTGCACGAGGATGTAACTTCAGGCACTTCGAGCATGCACGCCAACGGCCATTCTCCAACAGATTGATGAACTGCCATCTTGGAGTGACAAAGTTATGGCTATTGCGATAATGGTGGAAGAGCGGTGCAAAATCTCGTGTAAAGCGTAGGGACCTCGAGCTGAGTATTTCGCCCGAAATTGCAAACATTCGCTTGCAGGTCAAGGCGAGAGCTGCCTCTGGAATTAGCGTAAGATGGGAGTTGATCTCCAGCAGCAGCTCGGTCGGCAATTCCAGGAGGTAGCACCGGTCGGCTTGCTCCTTCTGTTGTTTTCGCTGACGGGTTGAGGTCCACGGCTTCATTTTGATAGCTGTCTTGAGCTTCTCGGTCGCTCGGAGAAGTCTCTCTGGCATGCCAGGAGGAGACTGGATCAAAGCCATAGGGATTTGGGCGTGTGCTGCCTTTGGTCTAAGACGGGGTGTCTTCAAATTCTTCTTATGATGGGATCGCATGAGGAAGGCCGACTATTGGGATTGATGAGGTCTCGGGGGATTCATGGGTCGAGCTGAAATATCATATTGGAGTTGATGCGGTATTCATCGCGTGACGAGCAGGTGGCAGCAACTTCCAAGGGAAGAAGAACGAGGGGGGGATCTGTTGACCTTGAAGTAGGGCCTGGGACAATGATAAAGATGCACGAAAACGGACCATGGGACTGGGCCACCGACGGCCGCTGGCGATGTTATCAGCATTACATACCCTTCGGTATAGGGCTGGGTGACCCGATCATCGCAGGCACGCGCCGTTCTCTGTCCGATGATCCCGATGCAGCGCCCCGACCCATCTTCATGCGTCCAAGCCTTTCTCCACGAGAATTTTACCCTGGGAACAATATCTATTGTCGGAAGTTGCAACGAGGAGTTGGCGGATCCGGAGCCGGAAGCTATCAAGGTTTCCTTCCGTTTGCGGTAGTGCCAGGACATTTCATCACCACTTATTCATAAATTTTTGCGGAAGAATGAGCGCTACCCCGAATGCCCCAGAGAATACCTGGGAGCATTTTGAACATGGCCCGTTCTATCTTTAACATGAGGAGTGTTTTTGGTGACCTTGTCAACTGACAGGCACCCAGCAGTCTCATGACATCAACACATCCTATCATGGAACTCGCGCCTAATGACTAATCGGGAATCGTGGGTCATATAACGTAATCAATGGGAAGTGGCCGTTTCTGCCGAAAAACACGCTCCGGCGCGTACCTACCATCTTCAACCATCCACCATGCCACCAAAACACGCTCACTCAAGCCGAGACTCATCGAACAGGAAGGCAAAATCCTACTAGCTATCAAATATGCTATCAGAGATGTTCAAAATTCCTATGCCGACTCTATTTGCTCGATCGCAGCACGTTACCAGATATTCCGTTCAACACTCACGCGTCGCTTCCAGTACACACTATCTCGCATTGATACACACGCGAATAGTCATAAATTGACTAAATTCGAAGAATATTCACTTATATAGTAGATTTATCTATATATTCACGTGGTACAGCACCTAGGCCCTCTACTGTGAGAGATATAGCTAATATTCTACTTGCCGACTATAGAAATCCCCCCTCCCAACCATCAGGATTAATTATCAACCTTTATTAAACGCTAAAGGACTTTAAACATTAGCGTGCTCAGAATAAGGACATAAAGTCTTTACGTGAATAGTTTAATACTGTTTAACGTGTGTGGAGAAAATAGCCAGGTTGGTTGGCGCCAGGTAACTAGGTGGTAGGCAAGAGGGACTTAGGGTAGGATTCGTGTATTCTCGTAAACACAAGATTAACGCTTGAAGAACTCAAGCGTACCGGCCTCCAGGAGAGGGGTCTCATACCTATGTGCCGACTGCTCGTTCTGACCCAGTTATGCACTCGATTCTGCCAGGCATCTAGGCAGTAATGATCTCAGTGACTTTTCCCTTGACAGGCTACAATTTCTCGATACATAACGCCGCGCTACTAGCACAGGAAAATACTAATACGTGCTGCAAATAAGAAGAAACAGCAAAAACGAGCACGAACAAACCGCCTATTTCGACGTGAACAGGGTATTACAGTTGGAGAGGGCCTACTAACTATCACTAGTACAGCCAGTGCAGTTAGTTGAACATGTTGAAAAGTCCCCGCCCGCATCAGTTAAATAGCCTATTTTCCCCACCCCACCAGCCAAACGGGCACCCGAGGTGTAGCGGCAGCCAGAATATGGGCCATTCAATTATCTAGTGCCTTAATAGTTATTTTTTTGAATTAATGATGTTTTGGTGGCTTTATTTTATCTTGAATATTCGGTAGTGGGTAGTGTTGACCGTTTGGTAGTGGACACTGCTCAGTGGTGAATTACATTATCTAAGCTGATCACCTCCCATATCCCAAACCAAAGGTAGCTTCTGCGGTCGATGCGCGATTGTTGATCCTATTTGCAGACTAGCAAGCATCTCCTTTGCTATTGTGCCGGTAAGTACTGTGTAGAGTGAGTTGGGCGTGTTGGAATTGATTCTTCTTCCATTCATTGAGCTTTTGTTGAACGTCCAATGGGATCTGTTCCCATCTTTTTTTTGGTGACAAAATGTGAATCTGAGCACGACACACGGTATTTGTACATAGCGTAAGTATATTAGGGGATAAGCGTGGTGCCATAGCAAGGAACTGCAGCTGAAAAAGAGGAGAATTGCTCGTAGATATGACTACATTGTATCTTTCTTGCAGCTTTTCAGGCCAAAATCTGGGGAACCCCCGTCGACGCTCCAGCCCTAAGCCCTAGCCCGATCAGTCTCGCCGGCGTCATGGGCTCGACTCTCGACCTCGTACGGCCGGGCGGACATGATCTGATTACCACGTCTGCATGCTGTCAATCGAGCCCACGCTTTTTTACACCGCCCTCTTGATCCATCTACTCCGTCCTTCCCGTCGACGTCCGATCTGAACCCGAACTCATCCCCTACCCCGCCTTCGATGGGCAACAACCCTTCTAAAGGTCCGGCTGGCGACGCGCCATCGGGCCATGTTCCCAATGCCTCTGGTGATCGCAAAGTAGTTCGCCGAACCTCCCTCCATGCAATTCCCACACACAAGGCGACTGTAGCGGACCCTTCCGCGTCCAGAGAGACAGCTGCTGGCCACTCGGCAGCTTATCAAGGCTCTGTCCAACAGCGGCTCCAGTCACGAAATACTGCGGATTCATCTGCCAGGGCTCCAGGGAGGCCGGAAAGACGCGTCGGACCGATAACTGAATATGATCACGATGCGCCCACCCCAGACTTGTCCAACCCGATGCAGGTCCCGGTTTCGCGTCACGCTGCTGGTCGTGATTCAATGGCACCTTCGGGCCCGCCTCCCAATTCTTACTACAACGCCTCAACGCATTTGCACCACCCTCCACGGCTACCACTGCCTATCGGAGATGCCACGGCTACACCCGGCTCACCGATCATGGGCCCAGAAGATTCCCATATCCAATCTATGCCGGCGGACCGACTCCTGGATGAACACATGAACCCGGAAGCCTCCAATATCAGCACAGAGACGATGGATAGCGAGGAGCTAGATGAGCTTCAACCATTCACTACCAGTGGCGTTGGAAAGGCTGTACCAGCGGTCATTGAATGGACTGCGCCGGGACAAAAGGTATATGTTACTGGAACTTTTGTGAATTGGGAGAAGAAATTCCGGCTGCAACGAGGGTAGGCGAATCGTTCTTCCTACAAGGCTTCTTTCCGTGGCTATACTAAAGATTCAGTAGTGACCATGATGGCGCGGTCATGTCGACAACACTGAACCTCCGACCCGGAACGCACCACCTGAAATTTATTGTTGACGGCGAAATGCGGGCATCTGATACTCTTCCGACTGCGGTTGATTTTACTAATCACCTGGTGAACTATATGGAAATAAGCGCCGATGATGCTCGCAAGGGCCAAGACAAATCATCGACTTCTGCGGGAGCCCACCCCCCACAGGCTTTCCCGGATAGTTCTAAAGATGGAAAATCAGAAGAGACCGCCGATGACCCCCGGAGAAGGAAGAGGTTGAAGAAGAGGTTCCTCCGGGCGATTTTGGAAGTGTAATTCCGCAATTCCTTGCTGATCTGGATAAAGAGGAAGACAGTCCGGCATATTTGCAAGCTGCAAATGTCATCGGTGATACACCGACTCCGCCTAGTTTACCCTTGTTTCTGGGTAAATCCATTCTCAACAGCACCACCCCAACCAAAGATGATAGCAGTGTTCTCAACTATCCCAACCACACCGTTCTAAACCATCTTGCTACAAGCAGTATCAAGAATGGCGTTCTTGCGACGAGCGTAACGACCAGATACAAACGAAAGGTAAGGACCCGACTCCACTCATCAATACATGGTAAATTTTTGCTGACTTTTTGCCACTCGATTCTTAGTATGTCACCACGATTTTGTATAAACCAACTGGCGATATTACTGAATGAGCAATGCGACAATGCGTGGACTGGCTCCTCAAACTCGTTGATGTGAATATAAATGACATATCAAAACCCCACAATTGAACTAACATATTTACTGTGCATGGTACATTTTGAGCGTTCTTCTGTAGTTCAGCTGCCAAGTTGGTCAATTTATGAATATCTCGAATGTACTCAGTAGGGTGGATACATAGTGAATACGGGGGATGCGCTCGATGGCTCGTTCACGAGAGAGCACTCGGATGGCAGAGAAGACACACACACACACACACACACACACACACACACACACACAATCACTTCCATCCTACACTACACTCGTGTAGGCTTGCCAGACTGCGCTTCTGGCGAGGATGGAAACGGATGATCGAGATTGTGAAGATGAATGTGAGTGAACAGATGGTTGTTGGTTGATCTATTCTATCTAGTGGAGAACATATATATACTTGACACAGGCACAGAATACGGTGGTGTGGTCATTCTGCCGGGCTCACAGTAGTAGTGCATGTTAGACCCCCACTAAAATAGCTAAGTTGCTGAGAACTCGAGCCGTGCATGTGCTTCTATGCCTCCTTTTTCGAGTGTATATTTCAGGGGCACCCATTGATTTCCAAATTGAGTGCCACGTCTACCTTGAGGCAAGAATGGCAGTAAACGTTGGAATTATGATTGACTATTAGGGCAGTAGTCGGTGAAGTGATAGACGTGGCACCGGCCAGTCGTATCTTCGTGAGTTGCTAATATTTCTTTTCTTTTCTTTCCAACCGGTAGGTATCCTGACTTCATAACATGTGATCGTATATATTTCAAATCGGTTTTGGGTGGTCCTTTATTCCCATGTCGCTACCGCACTGTGCACAACAACTAATCATCTCTCCATTCCACAAATACTTCATCCGTCCGGAATCGCTGTGTGCAAGTTGATTCCTTTAGTGGAGTCCGGAAGCCAGTCTGATATGCCAGCATACCAGCTTGCGCGATCATTATCCCATTATCGATACAAAAGCGTTCATCAGTGGCATACACACTACCACCCCGGTCTCGTGCCATGATACTCATCATCTCTTGTAGTCTTTCATTAGAACCCACGCCACCGACGATGAGTACTTGTTTAGATCCGACATGTGCCATTGCACGCTCTGTAATCTCAACAAGCATCGAATACACCGTCTCCTGCAAAGAGAAACAAAGATCGGCTCGACTCGGCTTCCGGCCAGAGCCTTCGCCTTGCGCTTCCTCGCTTGTAGTCTCTGCGACATCCTCTCTTGCTCGTTCTTCTCCATCCAATCCCCATTTAGCCGCCAGTGCATCAATCGCAGCCAGTATTCCAGAGAATGAACAGTCCATGCCCTTTACAACGTATGGGAGATCCACCAGCTGTTTGCCTTGTTTTGCGAGCTGTTCGATATTATAGCCTGGGGCCGGGTCGTTGGAGATGTGTAATGTACGGGCGAATCGGTCCAAGCAGTTACCAACGGCGATATCGAGGGTTTCACCAAAGATCCGGTAGCGCTGAGAGCTATATGCGATAACCTGCGTGTTACCGCCAGACACGTAAAGAACGACAGGGTTGGTGGCGCCGGTAATCAGACGGCCCATTTCGATATCTAGAAAGTCAAGAGGTCAGAGTATGGACCAAATCATTCGGGGACCACGGATGAAGAAGGGACAAGAAACTTACGGCCCACACAGTGATTAACCCCGACCAGAGCCTTGGCCCAAAGGAGACTCATCATCCGCGCCGCAACTGCGACGCTTTGGAGCGGGGCACCCATTCCAGGGCCTTTGGTAAAGCAAATGCAATCCACATCCTCAACTGACACCCGCGCTTCCTTGAGAGCGCTTCTTACTAGCTTCACCACCCACGCTCGGTGGTGGCGAGCAGTATCTTTGGGCAAGAAACCCTCACCTGGTGGGGAAACATAGGTGTGTCGAATGTTGGCCAGGACTTTGGGGGGGCTGCCATCCTTGGGATGCAGCATGATGCCTACCCCAATCTTGTTGGCGGAGCCCTCCATTCCAATTGCGATCATCTTGGGCAGCTTGTCACGAGAGACTGAGGGACTCGGCAGGGAGCAAATCGGATGGTTGTCCAAGTTTCCGGTGTCTTTCCCTCAAAGTGGCATAGTTTTCTTTATCGTTATCAGCCACCCAAAACGGTTAGCGGCACTCCCGTTTCTCCGAACCCAGAAAGCATCCGCGGACTCCATCTACATACTCTTTTCCTTTTCCTTCCCCTTTCCCCCCACTCCCTGACTTCAGCGTGCTGTACCTCCCTTCAGGGGGCGTGACCTGGTTCTAATCAAGGACTGAAACCGAAGGAAACTGTCTAGCATATCATTTGCTTTCTAATTTTCTTCCTCTTCCGTACGGCTCTTACACCATGTCCTCCGTCGCCCACTTTCCCGACTCTTCAAGCTTTCAACAACAGTCGGATGATTTTGTCGCCTGGCTGGAAGCAAACCCGGGTGTCAGGATCAATCCTAAGATTCGCCTTGCTGATCTTCGAGCGAGTGGTGCAGGACGAGGTGTCCGTAAGTTTACTCCCAATTCCCGCCACACAAACTCCACACTGGCCCCGAAAGGTCCCACGAGAAAGTACGGTCCCTAATAATTACAATCTCTTGTAATTACAGTGGCCCGAGCAAATATCGAAGAAGGCGAAGAACTATTCTCGATCCCACGTTCTTTGATCCTCGCTGTGCAGAACTCGGACCTAAAATCCCTGCTACCACAAGATGTGGAGAGCCTAGGCCCCTGGTTGTCTCTAATCCTGGTCATGCTCTACGAATATTTGAAAGGTGCAAACTCAAAATGGGCTCCCTATCTTCAAATCTTGCCCGCTAGCTTTGACACATTGATGTTTTGGTCACCGTCGGAGTTGCACGAGTTGCAGGCCAGTGCGATTGTCGACAAGATTGGCAAACAAGGAGCCGATCAGTCTATCTTGGAGTCAATTGCTCCTATAGTTCGGAAAAATCCGTCTTTTTTCCCGCCTATTGATGGTCTCGCCTCGTATGAGGGCGATGCCGGCGCTTCATCCCTGCTCAAGCTCGCTCACAAGATGGGATCTCTAATCATGGCTTATGCATTCGACATTGAGAAGTCTGAAGACGACGAAGAGGAAGCCGAAGACGCAGACGAGAGTTATTTGACCGATGATGAAGAAGAGCAGCTCTCCAAAGGCATGGTCCCTCTGGCTGATTTGCTCAACGCTGACGCTGACCGAAACAATGTGAGTCTTGCAAATCGGTCTTCTCATCATATATACGTCAAGATCTCTAATGATGCTGATTGATATTTTTATTAGGCCCGCCTCTACCAAGAAGAGGGATCACTGATCATGAAATCCCTCAAACCAATCTACGAGAGCGAAGAAATATTTAATGACTACGGAGAGATTCCCCGTGCGGACCTTCTACGTCGATACGGCTATGTGACCGACAATTACGCTCCATTCGACGTCATTGAAATATCCTTGGGCGATATCTGCCAAGCAGCCGGTCTTTCGAACTGCGATGTAGAGTCCCAACCCAGAGTATGTATTCAAAAGTTTTTTCAAGAGCCCTCAAAAAGTCCCACTGTATTAGCGAAATTATATGAGAAAATTGACTGATTTCGAGCCAGCTTCAATTTCTTGAAGAGCACGACGTTCTGGACGATGGCTACGTGATTCCGAGGCCTCTCAACGACGCCTCGCTTGAAGACATTCTCCCCGCAGAACTTGTAATTCTGCTCACTACGCTATGCCAGACACCGGAAGGCTTTGAACAACGTCGATCTAGGAACAAGCCACCAAAGCCGTCAATGGATGAGGACCAGCCCGCTCTTCTCTACAAGGCTCTACAGACCAAACTGGCCCAATATGCCACCTCACTTTCTCACGACGTTCAACTGTTGGCGGGCCTTCCTCCTCCACAGTCACCCGTGTTCCTTGAAGGGTCAAATCGGCGACAAAAGATGGCCCTTCAGGTCCGCATCGGTGAAAAGGAGATCATCCAGGCCGTGATGGCTATGCTCAACCCTTCTGGGACCACAGGATCGCTCAAAAGGATTGCCAACGGTGATAGCTATGATACGAGGGATCCGAAGGCCCGCAGACTCTGATTGAGAACGAGAGCCTGAAAGTCGTCTGCCTTGGGTCCGACAAACCTCCTAAGGGACTACTCGCTACAATCCCGACAAGAAAAAGCAAAAGCGACCAGAGAATATTCGCGAAGTATCATATTTCTGTTAGATTTTGGAAGTGTCTTTTTGTCCTATCTTTTTTTCCCATCATTGCAGGCAACATAACTTCGGTTATCCATCATACAAATCAGCGGTCTCTTCGACCGAGCGCCCCTCCGCAGGAAGAATAAAAGAGAAAGAGAATAAGAAGGGGGTAATAAGGGTAATAATAATATGTACACTAACGGATGCAGAGACCAGCAGGCTTGCTGTGCAAAAGAATGAGCCCAACCGCTCGACGGCCTCCTGCAACAGAATTGAAACGGCGGCATGGAGTATGACGGCAGGTAAGCGTCAAAGGGGCAAGGGAAAGAAGAGGGCTCGGGCAGGTCTTCAAGACGATGAAACGAAAAACCCTTCGTCACCCACGGTATTCGTCAAAGCGTGAGGTGAAACTAAAAATACAAGTATTGGAGAATCTGGTGAAGAGGTGAAAAGATGGAGAAAACAAACACACGGAACGCCCGCCAAATGCTGCGAACAAAAAAGAAATGGCAAATCGGGGAAAAGAAGACATCATTATCAACCCTCAGACGAGGTAGCAGCCGTGGGGTTACCGGCATTTCCTGCAGGAGGGATGGGGTTCCCGAACGAATCCTGGATTACTCGTGGGAATCGGGACGGGGCTGCCTGCGCCTGCGCCTGCGCTTGCGCATGAGCAGCCACCGCGGCCTGCTCCCGAGCCTTGGCCATGGTAATGGCACGGTGCTGCATGAGTTGGATGCTGAACCCGTCGGTATCATAGGACATATCTTCGTCAGAATCCTCTTGATCGAACTTGAATCGATCGGCCTTGAGCGGGTCCATCTCGACTCGGGATGCCGCGACGTTTCGCCGATCAATCATCAAACGACCGCCCCGACCTACTCGTCGTCGGAATGACGGCATACGAGATGGTTCTTCATGGAGATCAACGGCTCGCCGAGCAAGCTTGTCTCGGGCGGCCAGAGGACTGGTGACATCTGGCGATGTATCCATTGCGTCGGATGCATTCGAAGAGGGTGGCGTTGGAAGTTGCGCGGTTATAGCATGGCGGAAGGTAGCCTCATCGAACGTCTTCTCCACAGCAGGAGAGAGGGGTGCACGAGTGTGATCCACATATCCTTCGTTCCACTTGATGTGCTTGGCGATGTTCATTTTGATATCGCGCATGATCTCACTTTCCTTTTCTGCCTGAACATCTTCCAGAAGCTGCAAATCCTCTGCCCCCTGCAAGCCAGCCTTGAGAGGCATGCGGATTTGAGGAGCAGTGGGTTGCCGAGATGGTACATCGGGCTGCGACTTCTTCTTGGGCTATAAAGGCAAGTGTTAGCAATCTTACCATTAGCGAAGGGCGGATACAAACAAACCTTTTGGTTGATGAGGTCCTCATCGTCATCCTTGATGTTCAGCTTCCGCTTCATGTCCTTGACCTCAGAGCGCTGTCGGAAGAGACGTTGGTCCATGCTAACCATCTCGTTGCGCGCAACCTCGCGCTGGCGCACGAAAGCAACCAACTGCCGCGAATCTTCAAGTTCCTTGCGAAGTCGCCGCAGCTTCTCGGTACTCTGCGCGTCTCGGCCACGAGTCTTGCGAATTTGGCGAACTTCGCGACGGCGGAAGCAGACATACGGGTCGCTATCGTCGGTGTCCTGTCCGGTTTCGAACTGGAGTGAAAAGTCAGTATCTCTCTCACAAAAACCCTCGGCTAATGCATTGGCTGAACGTACCTTCAGATTAGGTTCCAATGAACGATTTCCGGTCACAGCGCGGCGCGACTTCCAATGCTCATAGATGTGCTTCGCGAAGTGCTTGACGTTATCCTCGACTGTTGCATCCATGGCCTCCTCCATGTCGGCAAATGCCAGCACAGGTGGGCTATCAACAGCTGCGTAGGGCTGTTTCGCATGCGCTGTCTCCTCGAAAAAGTTCATAGTTGCCTCGAAATCGTCTTCTGTGCAGCGACCTGAGCCACCGCACTTCTGATTGAAGATCTTGAGAAAGACATCGTCTTCCTCTGTCATGTTGTACGGGCAACCACAGCAGTCTTCCACGGTGGAAGAAAAGCGGATGTATGTCGCAGGTTGCGAGAAGAGAGGTGGGTACAACTCGTCATATTGGAGATTGCTGAGGATGGTTTCGGGAGTTGGGATGTGCGCAGCGTTGACTTTTCCTTGGGCTGTGGCATTGATCGCGACCTGCAAGTGGAATTCCTGTGTTGCGCATCGAGAGTCAGCATCATGAAATTTTCGTGTCGCTTTGGCGATATCATCACGTGATATACAGGGATGAGGCTAAAATTAGGATGAGGGCGACTTACGGACTCCTCGGCCTTTTCAACACCTGTTTCAATCTGCTGGAGAGTAGATTGAAGCTCATCATCGATGACATCAATTTGATGTTCATGGACGATCGGGATAGACGCCTTCGCAGTGAGCTTCTTGGGGCGCGTCCGGCCCAGCCCCCGTACCGAGTCATAGCGTCGGGACGCGCGAAAGGCCAGCGACCATGGGCGGGGAGGAGATAAATCGGGTCTCAATCAAAACGTCGGATCATGCGCTATCTAGTAGTCGTAGTTTCGTGGTAAAAACTGATGAATAAGGGGGGGAAATCGACGGCGGAAGTTGAGTGGGTTCGCGACAGACGGTTGGGTTGACGTTGCAATGTCACCCGGTGATGGCCTATTATGGCGGCGTGCACGGCCTCAGGGGCTCGCTTCACTGACCCGTTCCGGTTAGGGCGGGGCTGGGCATTATCAGATTCACTGAACGGCCCTTCCGTTCTGGGCAACCTCCATTCAACCCCAGCTTCAGTGCTTTGTTCCTTCCTTGCATTCACGCTCGCTGGCTGCATTGTTTGCTTCACTACAATCTTTCTTTCACTCGTCACCTGTGTTGACGCTTGTTCGATCGGGAACCCTCCCTCCATTCTCCGCCCACCCGCCCGTCCTTTCCCCCTCTCACATTCCTCTCCCTACGCGATGGACCAGCCAACCCAGCCCAACACAGCCGCCATGCAGAGCGCGCAGCGCCGACGGGGCTCTGTGGGCACCACACAGCTCTTTGACAACATTGTGTCGACCTCCAACTGTATGTTTCGAATCCGGTCGCGGTGGAGATGAGGTCATGAGGCGCATGCTGACAGCACCACCCAAGTCGATCGCGAAGAGGTAGATCGCCTGCGGAAGCGATTCATGAAGCTTGACAAGGTTCGATACGCATGATAGTAGACTCAAATTCTGCGACTGAATCCTAACACTCATCTTTAGGACGGCTCCGGTACAATCGACCGCGATGAGTTTCTGTCCTTGCCCCAGGTCTCCTCCAACCCTCTTGCCACGAGGTTCGTCCACATCATCCACCCCCCACCTTTCCCCGACGACCATACATAAATAACTCGATGTTTCTCTTCACCCTTCCTAGAATGATCGCAATTTTCGATGAGGACGGTGGCGGCGATGTCGATTTTCAAGAATTCGTGACTGGTCTTTCGGCATTCAGCTCCAAGGGCAACAAAGAAGAAAAACTCCGATTTGCCTTCAAGGTTTACGACATTGATCGGGACGGCTATATTTCCAATGGCGAACTGTTCATCGTCTTAAAGATGATGGTTGGTAACAACCTCAAGGACATGCAGCTACAGCAGATTGTGGACAAGACCATTATGGAAGCCGACAAGGACCAGGACGGACGAATCAGCTTTGAGGAGTTCACTGAGATGGTGGAGAGTACCGATGTGAACCTGAGCATGACGTTGAGTAAGTTTCACGTTTCACGTTTCACCTTTACCCGCTCTTCTCGTGATGACTGTTCTGCCCTTGTGCCTTGTGTGGACGGGGTTATTTGGAATCAATATTTACTAACTTGGATTAGACCAAATATAACCCGAATGCTGGACCTCGCAGCGTCGACCAGTATCCCGTACCCTTCTTTGCCTTTGGTTTACGATCTGCTGTTCATCCGGTTTCTCACTTCTCTTACTCTGTCGAAGCTCTGTGCAGGCGATCATTCGTCTTACGACTCTATGACCAGCGATGTGATGTTTTTTTTATGTAGTTTACTGGCAATGATATTCCCATCCCTCTCGAGCCTCGGGTCAACCTCCGTCCGAACTGCAAGTCTCGTGGTGCTGTGCCATCTCAACCGGGAGGGGGTCCAGTCGCAATTTCAATCCGTTCCAATGTTTTCCCACTCCCATGGCTTCTCGCGGGCACCGTCTCCCTTCCCGGGGAGCTCTCGGTGGCAATCTCCGAGCAGCCAGCTCAGCTATAAATGGCATCGTCAGCTGACAGGGACCAGAAACGTCAGCACGGTGAAACTGCCGGGCTCCAGCCAGACTAGCGGAGGGTGCACAGGAGGCGTGCAAGATGAGACCGAGTCTCTGGGTTGTGCAGATTGCATCATCCTCACCCTCGAGGGCTGTTCGGAACGAGATGAAACCGACTTTTCTTTTTTTCCCTTTTCTCTTTTTCTGTTCTGCGCCTGCGTCTACCTTTCGCCCCTTGCCCTCGGGACGTCCCCATCCCAACCAGAGTATCGGATCCGGTTGGGGGCGGAACGAACCCTGGGGGATTCGACATCTTGCGCCAGATGATCTACTGATCCGCCGATCCACGTACTCCAGCCTTTGCAGATCCGGGCTCGGGCATTGTCTGCCCGATCTCTGAATTTGAAATTCTGGTACCTTTTGGGTGTGGATCGGACTCGAGTGTTTGTCGCAGATATCCGAGAACGAAGGGGGTGGGCAGCAGCTGTCCGAGCAATAATCTGCGTCTCGGAATGTCACTGCTCTCTCCTCTCTCACTCACTCACTCACTCTCTCTCTCTTTCTTCCACACCCATACACACACGCCACCCCCCTTTTTTGGGACCTAGCTACGTTTGTTGGAGGCCGTTGGTTTGCTTGCCTGGATTTCTGTTGTAGTTTCGGATTGCTGCTTACACCGAACCCCAGATCGAATCGACTGACCTGACCCAGATGGTTGGGTGCGATCTGCGGCGAGCTTGGTTTCCATTAGGGCTCCGCTGGGATTGTCAGCCCCATCGCGAGTTACACCCAAGAAAATAAATCAAAGAAAAAGAAAAACAGACACCTGACCCTCCCTTTCTGTCATCCCTAGCTTTCGGGATACCCACCAGGAACCAGCGCGCCGGGTTCCCGGGCGATCGCAGACGCGCAGAGTTCGGGCGTAGATCGGTGTGCGATCGTTGGCCTAGCGCCATCCTAAGTAGATAGTCTCCAAATACTATCCCTTCCAGGTACCCAGTCCGTCCACGAGACATCGTGCTTGGTTCTTTGCGCCGGTACTGGAGACGTGTTACTGGTATGTTCAGCTCTTCTCCCACCCCCTCTCTCTCTTGTCCATTTCCCACCCCATCTAGCGTCATCCTTTTCCCTTTCCCCGGCTCACTCCGATCAGATTGGTCATATTCCTGCGAAGCCCTTCTTTTTTTGGGGCGTCTGGGGCTGAAATCAATCAATTTCTTCCCCTTTGGAGAGACCCATCGCGACCGTTTGAGGTATTATAAATTTCAGCTGGGAATTTTCGTCTCCATGTAATTCCCTTCGATCTTCCCTCGCTTTTTTGGTCTCATCAGCACTTGGACTCTCACACTCTCGCTTTTTGACGCTCACTATATTATTCTTCAACTTGTGGCGCTATCTCCCTGCGTTACTTCACTCAGCTGGTCATCCATCTAAGTGGGACTCGTTGAAAAGTCTATCGTGGACCTTCATCAGGTTCCGCAGATTCAAGAATCTACATTCAAGAGAACTACATCCGTCCGTGGCCTGACTGTTCATTGCGGAGACAGAGAACCAAAAAAAGAAGCAAAAAGAAAAGAAAGAGAAAAACAGCACGACACGACAACAACACAAAGGCTAGTGAGCAAAATACAGCAAATTCAACGTTCGCCGCAAGAAACTATATCTACTGGGGATTTGCAACTCGCCGTGACTACTGCAAGCTGGCATCCTACGCAAGTCCGCCGCTGTCCCCCAGATCTTGGGCCGATCTCGATCTCCTCGGGCCCCGGTGGAACGGTCTAATGGATGGCGACGACCACCGCAAGCAGCATGAGCGGTTGATGGCACGATCTGGCAATGCGGCGGCCAGAGGCCGTACAACCGATCCCTTCGAGTCGGCCATGCACCCACGTGGGGACCCAACGGGGCTGTCGCAGCCACCGGAGCGGGCTCAGATGTCCTACGACTACGGGTACACAGGCAGCTCCTTCGCCGGCGGATCGCTGCAGGGCAACGAGGTGCAGTCCTATCCGCCTGAGTTCGCGCGGCCGCGCCAGACGCCGTCGACGAGCCAGCAGCGCCGCCGGGCGCCAGAGATGCCGCCGTTCGTGCCGTACGAGCCGGCCATGCTGTACGGATTTGGTCAGCAGGGTCCAGCCCAAGGACCCTTTGAAGTTGTTCCACAGTACCCGACACGGCAGTCTGCAGCGATTGAGGCCCTGTCGAACCAATTTCCCGTTCCACAGTATTTCACCCCCGAGGAACCCTCGGGGACGGGGGTCCCAGGGCTCTCGCCATATCTGAATGCACAGCTGCCATATAATCAACCCGGTCCCATGGCACGTCCGAGCACCACACAACCCTTCCCCGCCACTATGACCGATTTCACGCCAATTGGCCCTGCGGCGGCTGGCAGATTGGATCCGCCGCAGCAGCAGACAGACTCGCCTCAGCAGCCCGTGGCCGATCCCTCCAACCTAGACGAAGCATACACCCAGTACCGGCGAGCCCTGCACAGCACCTTCGACCATGCGCGCGCCGGGCGATTGGTGGAAGCCAGCCGATCGCTGCTGGAAATTTCCGAGTGGCTTGTGACTAACGCACGGGATCTTGGTAGGTTCGGCTCCTTTCCATGCCATTTCATTTTTTACCTTGCGGGAGGTACAATGCCAGTGCACAGTTCCCGCCGCGTCCCAGGGCGCCCCCAAGCGTCGCACCAAATCGCACTCTTGCCTGGACTCTATTTTCTTTTCCGGGGGAACGGCGAGAGGGGTGTTTTGATTTGGTTTTTCTCAGTATTTTCAGTGTTTCCCCACCCATATCTCTTTGAGAGTCTGCAGACACGTGTCATGCCAGCATCATTTCTGACAGGCCCTCAAGAAGAGAGAGGGTGATGAAAGGGCCAAAAAAAAAAAAAAAAAAAAAGAAAGAGACTAATTCCTTTTCTCTTGTCATACATAGGCATTCTGCGCGACGACCACCTCCTCTATCAAGATCGACTGCAGTTGTGGAATGATTTCAATTTATGTTGGCTGGCTGTCTGTCAGAAACAGAAAGATATCTCCCAAGATCTGATTGCGACGGGTCATCCGCCAGCGCATATGAGCCTCATCAGTCGAGATCGATTAGAAGCCATGGGCAAGGATTTGATTCAGCTTTGTGACCAACTCGAGCAGTATGGACTCGTCGATTATCAGTTGGGTATATGGGAAGAAGAGATTCTATGTGGTGGGTCCTTTCCCCCCTACGTTCCTCTTTTGTCAACATTATTGTCGAATCCTACTCTTTTTTGAGGCGGGGTCGATCTATCGCAATTGATGACTATCGTCCAAAGCTAACCGAGTGTCTTTAGTTCTGGGTCAATGCCTGGATGTTATAGAGAGCCGACCGGAGCTCCGCCGCATTCCCGCCATGCCTGAACCCGCCACAGCGGTTCCGCGGCCCTGAACCAAGCTCTAACTTGCCAGCCAACCACATCGTCTTCACCCCCTCCTTCCCGCCGTTTGTCACAAAACACACGGCTCCATAGGGCGACACACGGGCCAACTTTTCTCGATCAAAATGCAAATCAGCCCCGACAGGTCGGTTGCGGGACAAACATGAGGTAGCAGCCGCCATGGCGAAGCTATTGCCTACTAGCGCCACGCCAATCACCCAGCGGAATGTGGAAGATGGGAGATCGCCCCAAACCCTTGGGACTGATCACCTTCCCTCGTCACATTTCTCCATTCGTGACGATCCATCGGATCGGGATTTGGGTCCGTCCCTTTCTATTCTGTTTATCATTCCGCATTGGGGTTGTCCGTCTCAGCTTGATGTCCATCTGGACTCCAACCGTGTCCCTCTCCGTCTATGAGTAGTGACCACACGCCATCGGTGGCCAACCATCGTCTCTCTATGAAACTTGCGAGTCGTACATAACATCACTTCATGTTCCTTCTTCCTCCCTTTCTGATTTCCTTTTTTCTTCTTGCTTGTGCGGGCTTGGGTTGTTTTCTTTTGTGGATAGTTGCATTTTGGCGTGCGGATACCAAAAAAAAGAATGGGAAATAGGCCTTCGGCGCAATCGGTACAAGTTCCCAACTTTATGTTTATTTGATCTGGGTTTTGGTCGCTCCGGGGTACTCTTGAAGTTGCATTCCTTTCTTTTTTTTTTTCAACCTGTACGGATCTCCGATTGGGGTACTTTTGGATCGGGGCCATATTCCTGGACAGGCGTCCTCTGCAGGAACCCTACGCTATGTCATTCTTGCGATCTTTCGATCCCTGGCTGTGCAAATCCGTTCAGTCAGCAAAATGAAGCAGAAAAATAAAGGCGTTTAGAACGCGAGGGCCTGAAAAAAATATTGGGACTTTTGTCTGCCCACTCGATTATTACTGAGCCCATACCGCGGCACGACTTCTGAGAAGCTGTACAATGACCGAATATAGCGAACTTCATCCTTGCGCGGGGTACCCATGAGCGCAAGGGAGACAATGTCAACTAAAAGGAGAACCCGCCACCTCGAGTAGATTGGCTCTTCCAGCCACTTCCGCTATTCATTGTCCTCTGATCACTGGCTGATCGACTTCTCATTCATTTACGTCCTGGAGCCGGTCACATACATGATTTCTGATCACCATGCTGGTCTTCTACTGCAAGATCAGTTCGGCCAAGGCCTCGGGCCCCAAGACAAAGAAGCTTGAATGATTTGAACCAGGCGGCCTATTTTGTGAGCGGAAGCTCCGACCTCTACACTGATCAAATCAAAATTGCCAAATCAGCCAGCATTTGTACTGACGTAAAGGTATCATTCGGTGGAAGGCCCCATATGCATTCAGTACAGGATATAGAACAGAACTGGCTTGAGATGCCATGCAAGTAGAATAATACATAATAGATAGATAGTACAGAACAGTAGTCGCTTGAGGAAAACTTTGCCTTTTTTCTTTTTTGGGCTCACCGCTTGACCCAAGCAGGCATCTTGCGGGCCTTGACATGTCCAGGCTTCTTTCTCTCCACCCGGCGAGCATCGACGGTAATAACACCAGCTGGAAAAAGAGAATGTCAGCAAAACTGGAACAATGTAAATTAGCTCCGGAAGAGATCTTACCTCTGCGCAGAACAGGCTTCAAGCCAGGCTCGTGCACCATCAAAGCTCGCGCGATCGCCAATGTAACAGCTTCCGTCTGGCCAGTCACACCGCCACCTCGAACCGTAACCCAAGCATTGTATTTATCCATTCGCTGGGTGCTGCGCAGAGCCCACAGCGCGCTCTCTCGATCATGCACCCGCGGGAACGCCTCGACGAGGGATTTCCCATTGACAATGATCTCACCCTCGCCCTCGACCAGCTGAACGACAGCTGTCGACTCCTTACGCTTGCCCTTCGCGCGCGCCTTTCCATTCTCATCGACTTCAGGCGGCGCATGCTTGATAGCGTAGGGGTTTCCTGGGCGCAAAAACGAATCCAACACACTCCGCACCTCCCCGGGAATCATATCCGGCTGAATGCGATTCAGCCGTTGCAGAATCTTGATCAAACTCTTGTATTTCTTGACAGGCACTTGCTCTCCGACGTATTCACGGAATTGCTTCAGCTTGAACCACGCCATTCGGGGGGCATCACCGGCCGGGAGAATTGGGAGAGAAGCATAGCGGGCTTGCAGAGACTCGAGGTTGAGGACGTGGTCGACGAATCGCGGATTGCCGGAGAAATAAGAGGGAGACGCGGGAATAATTCGGGCCGGGCTTCGGATGAAGTTTGTGCTGAAGTCAATTTCTGGAGCAGCTTGGACGGGCATGTCGGGTGTTGAGTCTGGCTGGGCTTGCGTCTCAGTCTCGGTCGCATAGGTGCGACTATGGTGCCGTAATGAAGAAAGGCAAGAGCGCTGTGGGAGAGGCGAGTGCAGTCGCAGGGACTGCATCGCCTGGACCAGGCCATTGGAGGTGGGCCGAGCCATGGTGAGGACGTGGAAGGGGATGCACTTTCAACCGCAGCGTTTCAAGATGTTCCGTTCGCTGTTTTCTCGCGGTCACGTGACTGCTGCAAGAACAGTTCCTCCGAGCGCCGACTCGGGCGGGTGCCCGCACAAAATTTCAGTTCTGCCCCTCTCCTTCTTCTCTTTCTTTTTCTTCCTCCCCATTCCCTCTTTCACCCTCACATTCAATATGGCTTTCGGCAAGCTCTACGGTCTTCCTGTGTGTTCTATCGCTTCTTCCACCTGCTTTGAGTTCTTCATCTGACCTTTTGTTTCAAGGACAACCCTCGCACCATCTCCATCCTGGTCGCTGCCAAGCACAACGACCTGGACCTGGAACTGGTCAAGATCGATGCCAACTCCAACGCCGAGTTCAACTCTGGCGCTGAGTACCGCAAGATTCACCCCCTCGGCAAGGTCCCCGCTTTCGAGGGTGCCAATGGCTTCACCCTGTCCGAGGCAATGGCCATCGCCATCTACGGTACGTTCTGAATCGGCTTTATTTTATTTTATTTTGCCGCAGTGTCTCAATTCTCAGAGGCTATTGGGCTTTGCCTTCCCCCTTTTCATGATGAGATGTTTCAAATTTTTAGTTATCCCTGTCAGAACTATAGCTGTTGATAACTCACCAACTCTGAAAATCACACAAGAGAAGAACTGAATACCCCTCCATTTGGGGGGAATTCTTTTCCCCTTGGGTGTGGATTCATATCCACCCCTATTTGACACTTGCTTTTCTTTTTAATGTTTCCGATTGCTCGATTGTGGATCCACCTGTCAAAATCAGACCATAACTAACCTGTTTTGGTGTTACAGTGACCTCCCAGAACGAGAAGACCACCCTTCTTGGCAAGACCAAGCAGGACTATGCTTCCATCGTCCGCTGGATGTCCTTCGCCAACGGCGAGCTCCTGCCCCGCTTCGGCGGCTGGTACCGCCCCCTTCTCGGTCTCGAGCCCTACAACAAGAAGACCACCGACGAGGTCGCCAAGGTCGCACTGAAGACCATTGGTGCTCTTGAGGCTCACCTCACCACCAACACCTACCTGGTTGGCGAGCGCATCACCCTGGCTGATATCTTCACTGCCGCTCTCCTGACCCGCGCCTTCGCTACCGTTCTGGACAAGGCCTGGCGCAGCGCCAACCCCGCCGTTACCCGGTGGTACAACACTATCATTAACCAGGATGCCTTCAAGGCCGTTGTTGCGAACCCCGTCTTCGCTGAGGAGATCATCAAGTACACTGCCCCCAAGAAGGAGGAGAAGCCCAAGCCTGCCCCCGCCCCTGCTGCCGAGAAGCCCGCCGAGGAGAAGCCCAAGCCCAAGCACCCCCTTGAGGCTCTCGGCAAGCCCGGCCTTCCCATTGACGAGGTCAAGCGTCAGTACTCTAACGAGGACACCCGCACTGTCTTCCGTGAGTGGTTCTGGAAGAACTACAACCCCGAGGAGTACTCTCTCTGGAAGGTCGACTACAAGTACGACAACGAGCTCACCCTCACCTTCATGGCCAACAACCTGATTGGTGGCTTCCACGCCCGTCTTGAAGCTTCTCGCAAGTACCTCTTCGGTTGCCAGGGTGTCTTCGGCGCCAACAGCGCTTGTGTCATCCGCGGTGTCTTCCTTGTTCGCGGCCAGGAGGCCATGCCCGCTTTCGATGTCGCCCCTGACTGGGAGTCCTACAACTTCGAGAAGCTTGACCCCTCCAAGGAGGAGGACCGCAAGTACGTCGAGGACATCTGGGCCTGGGACACTCCCGTCACCGTCGACGGCAAGCAGCTCGAGTCCGTTGATGGCCACGTCTTCAAATAAGCGTGTGCAGATTCCGCACTCTCTTTCTCCTTTCTCCCATCCTTGCCATCAACCAAATACCCCACTTCTTCTTACTCCCTGCGCCTGGTTTCAGGTTGCGGGTGACAAAATGCTCCCCCACCCCCTTTTTTCCTGTTACGCGCCGATGTGGTTCACGTTCACGGTTATGATATGTTGTGATGCGAGATGATATGACTAGCATTAGGTTACTACCTAAATTGCTGGCCGTTGCTAGTTCAATAGCAATCAATTCTACTCGAGACCTGAGTCTCCGAAGCAATAATTTTTTCTACTGTAGTTCATATACGTATCAATCAAAAATGTAGTTGAATCAGACGTACTTTGCTTGATACGATTGACACTGGTCAGACGATATTGTCACTGTGGTGACGAACATACTGCATGGGCTGAACTTCAACCGTCATTTCGCTCTGGGGATGCAGGATGTTGTTATTGACTCACGCCTAGGCTGATCTGCTTTGTTGACTAATAGCCCAGTGGGATGTGTCCTGACGCCTGAGCGTTTTTCCATCTATAGAGCTTAAAGTCTAAGGTACACAAGAGGTAGCATAGCGGTCGTAACCTTTGGTATCAATGCATAGAATAATATATTGAGACGTGGACATAATAAATTGTAACATTTCTTGATACACGAACGGCTGACTTGACATTATTCACTAGTAGTATACATGAATCTCCACAGATGAACAAATGGAACAATGGGCGGGTCATTATCGAGAGTGAACCTTCTTTCTCAGAAATAAACATTCACTCAGGCGCATGCAGTAGCATCCATGGTGCTTTCTTTGCATGTATATTCACAATTCAAGTAAGTTATTGTCTCGAAAACCCAAGCCCTTCCTCTAGACGATCAAGAAGTGAATTTTCCGAAGCCACAGAAGTAGCCGGAGAAGGAGATCGAGCCTTTGCACTCTTCTGTTGGCCGGCAAGAAGAAGAGCAGCACTCATAGCTGGGCTCGTATGACCACCAGAAGTCCCTGAGGTGGGAATTTGGTTGTTGACACATGTGAACTGGTTTTCTTGAACATGTTCTTGAGGATCAGCCATTGAAAACCCGGCATCTCGATGTCGAAAGCTGTAGCGCGGGGCTGAGGGATCGATTGTGCTGGCATCCTGGGCGAGGGGGCTCTCGCTCTTCTGTCCATTTAGCCTTTTTCTTCTGTTTCTTGTTTTTCTTACTCGGTGGTCCATCTGGATTGACGGGTGCGCCAGAGGTATGCTCTGTGTCTTTGAGATTTGGGTTCGATTGCTCAGAAAGTGCTTTCGCGGCTTGTTGGGCAGCTTTCTTTTCCCTTTTCCGGGCCTTGCGTGTCTCTTTAAGCTCCTCGCTCGCGAGTTTAATTGCTTCGGGGTCTGTTGGTATTTCACTATTTTGAGAGATGAGTAGATGTCCTAGATGATCATCGAGGAATGATGCGGCTAGGACAATCTTACCTTCGTGCCTTTTTATTTTTCTTCTTTTTCGCCGGCGTGGTCGAAGCTGAGGGAGGAGCATTGGTAGGCTGGGGAAGGCTGATGCCACCCTCCGGATCGTCATCCAAGTCTTCTTCCGGCGAATCTTCCAGATTAAAGACACTGCTTCCTTTCTGTTCGGCAGTTTCATTCCATTCGTGAAGGACCTTACTGACATCGTCGTATCGGGAGAGCGTATCAAGCTTGGCAAGAACTGTCGTGAAAAGATTCGACTCATCGACGTTCGGGTCATTGGTGAACTCCGGTATCTCGAGAATGTTGTATGGCTCACTGAGAGCTTTCAGTTTGCTGTCATCGATCAAGATGGTGTTTGTCTGATCCCATCGCTGATCAAGAGGTAGTTCCCGCCTAAGCTTTTTCTTCTTTTTGCCCGTACTGGTAGGCTTTTGCTTTGAACCCGGGTACGCAGCCTGAATTTCAGGAGAATCCCACACCTTGTGCAATTGCTTGTAGACCTGGAGCTTAGAATTGTATTGCGCTCTCGTGAGACCGAACTTGTCACGGCCCCATCGAGCCACAAGGCCCTGATGTTGATCTTTTGTGAATAGCATCGGACAAACAGCATTCACCGTCGCAGGTTGTGAGCTGGACCATATCATGACAGAATATTTCTTGGTCAAAATATCAAGGAAATGCTCGAGACCAGCTCGGGAGGCAAACCTAGGAGGCAACTTTCGTACCTTACGGTAGATGAGGGTGCCATTCAGATCAAGAATAACCAACAACGGGCGCTGCGAGGCACATCTTTGTGGCTTTTTGGCTGCCTGCTGCATGTACTCGGCAGTCGGGGAAGGAACTTCAACAGGTGGTGTTGCTGATCTTTCTCTGGCGAGGGAATGCTTTGCATTGGAAAATTGTTCAGGAGCGCCGGACATTGTACTCATAGGTCGAGAGCTCCCAAAGCTAGAGAGGTTGTTGAATGGTGTCATGGCCAACGGGCTGGACATGGTTCCCATCTTGGAATTGGCAAAGCGTTGGTCAACGACAGGCATGAAAGAGGGGGTGGCTGAAGAGCTGCGGCTCATAATTTGCGGGTTCCAGAATTGGCCATTGAATGTGCCAAATGCCATTGGCGAGAATTGATTGCTGCTACTCGGCTGGTATTGGCTCGAATAGGGAGTATGGGTCTGTGGCATCGCAAATAGGTTATACCCCGGGCCATTCGGTAGGTGTTGCGGATAGTATATTGGTGCGGGATGATCGACAATACCCTGATACTCCTGTCTAAACCCATCCGCCTGGGGGAATTCGGCACTAGGTGATTGTCGGGGATGCCCCCCACTTTCGCGATCGTACGTGGGATTCAAGTCCATGGCTTCAGTTCCATTGTGCGGAAACAGATGCCCAGGACCTGTAGGTGCAGTATACCACGATGGGGTGCCGGAAAAGCGTTTCTGCCTTTTATTTGGAGAATACAGCTTGACAACTTTGACCAGAATTTGAGTGAAAGGAGGGTGTTTGGAGTGGGAAATAGGTACAGGTGACCCGGGCTGCGATGAAGAAACAATTAGCTATGGTGGTGAAATCAGCGGGGAGTGACAAGTGATACTATACCAGGAGAATGAATGCAGAACGACGATTTCTGAGAAACGAGCGAGTTAAAGTAGGCCGTTGGCAGGCGGCGTGAAATGGACGAGGCATAAAAGAAAAGCGCGAGTTTGGGTGCCGATCAAATTGATTAGGGAAATGCCTAATCAGCCCGTTATCGCCCTCACCGCCTGCGCGCGATATTTTATTTTCTGCACGACCTTCGCTCCTCCGCGCTGAAACAAAAAGACAATCCGGAATGGCGATTTCAGATATGCTGAGCCGCCGCGTGCGGGCGCGACCAGATGACGAAGAAGAAAGTGTCTACTCGGGGGAGTCGGAGGTGGACAACGAGGTCACTCAAGACGACGCGGACGAGGTTGAGTCCAATGCGGAAGATCAACAATCTCCAGCGGTACGATATCGATCTATTCAACGCAAACCCAACCAAAGCTAACAGTGTGTTGCATCCAGTCGCAGGATTCGGATACAAATGAGGATGACGGGGTCCAGGAGGAGGGTGATAGTAACCCTGATGATGAGGACCTCTCCGACGTCGATGATGATAACGACAACATCCAAGCCTCTCTCAGCAGTATTTCATTCGGCGCCCTCGCAAAAGTGCAAGCTTCAATGGGGTCGAAAAAGCGAAAGGGAAACCCAAGCTCTAAGGCCCCCGAAGAATCCGCCTCTCCGCTAGACGACATTCGAGCCCGAATCCGCGAAGCACGCGAACAGAAGCGCGAAACGGCTGCCAAGGCACAAGGAACGAAAGATGCCACGGAAAAGAAAGCAGCCCGCGCCAACAAACATGCACCAATGGTGCAGTCCTCCAAACATGCCGTATCACGGAAACGTACGGTTGTCGAGCCACCTGCTGCCGCCAAAGCTCGAGACCCCCGATTTGACGCTGCAGTCATGGGTCACAGTGGTTCGGGAAGATACTCTGCAGTCACAGACAAAAAATATGCTTTCTTGGACGAATACCGCGAGTCTGAACTGAAGGAGCTCAAGGCGCAATTGGCGAAGACGAAGAACTACGAACAGAAAGAGGCTCTGAAGCGACAGATTCGATCTGCGACGGATCAGATGAAGACACGGAACAATCAAAAGCGAGAAAGGGAACTCATTGCCGAACACAAAAAGCGTGAGAAGCAACTGATTCGCGAGGGCAAGAAGAGCAACCCTTACTATCTCAAGAAATCCGACTTGAAGAAGCAGGTCCTGGAGAAGAAGTACGAGGAGATGGGATCGCGGGATCGTGCTAAGGCATTGGAGCGCCGGCGTAAGAAGATCGCCTCCAAGGAGCGAAAGGACATGCCCATGGAACGGCGTGGAATGGGAATGAATGACGGAGGACCCCCAGCAGATCGAGGCAAGCGTCGCCGACTGGCATAGACACCTTTTTTCCCTTTTTCCCCTTTCCTTTCCTTTTTTTTCAAAAAGAAAAAAAATTTTTTGGATATACCCCCAACATCATGTGAATAGATACTGTCAATAGACAAGATATTGATGTCCAAAACCCCTGGATACTACAATTCGCCATTAATTCCAGTATTAGGCCCGCAAGCCAGTATTTAACTCGTGAAGAAAGAAGCTGATCGAAACCCATTCACAATGCTAATTTCCCCACAAAAGCAAATAAAAAGAGGGGGGGGAGAGAAAGGCAAGAAACCCCCAAGAACGCCTGGTGCAAGAGAAGATGCAAGATCCCGCGTTTGCAGAAGGAAATTTTCCCGGCGAGCGTGGAGCTCAACACTGTCGTACCGTAGATATAGAAGGTGAGAGATACAAACATCAATGTCATATAAGAATGGAACAGGATGACCAATCCAATCAACCAGAAATGGACCGGCATTTCAGGCAAGAATGACTGAACATCACGAGTCGCTCAACTGAAACAATTAAGCTGAGACGGCTGGAGCATGAAATAAACAGGTAAATCTCAATATCCCATAATCATGATTTCCGACAGGCAATGGAAGGACAGCCTGTCAGAAAATATGTATAGAGCCAAACCCAGAGATTATTCTCCCGTGTCAAGCCCCGAGATAGGCAATTGCTTTCAAGAATGGAAGAGATCCCACGCCCGCGCACACAAGCCAAGGAATTCCTCCTTCTTTTTCCTCTGAGTTTCCGGAGAGTCTCTTCCGGCGCCGAAGGGGCCATATGATGCAGGGTTTGGAATAGGATTGGCAGCAGGATTAGGCCGGTAGTGAGGGTCGGGGCCGTGTCCAAGAGGTGGACTTCCGTTATCATTTTCGTATTCACTGCGGGGGCGACGGCGCGCAGTGGTATCGACAGAATGCAACGTCGGTGCCGGAGGCGCATTTTGGGCCATGCTCTCACTGATCAAAGGTGCTGTCTTCGGGGCAGCGTGGAAGGCTTGTGGAGATGGAGGAGTGGGCGGTTGGTGGCCGCCATAGTGTACAATGCGAGGTAGTAGTTCTTCCCGTCCACCGGACAATTCTTGCACGGCTTCCTCTGCCGAGCGATACTCGCGTGATCGGCGAGGAGTTTGGGATGGGTTACCAGGGAACCCGGGGGAAGGCATCGGCGCCAGATTAGACTGAGAGGAGTTGGTGCTCGAGGCATTCGGGTAAAGGCCCTGGCGGTTGGAGTCTCGATCCCGACCCAGGGCGTCGGTTCCAAATACGTCGGAGAGCGGAGGAAGGCGGTTATTGGTTTGAGTGGCAGGCACCTGGTGCATGTGGGAAGTCGAGCCCAGTGTCGGGCTTTGGTTGACAACATGGCGAGTCAGCGGCTGAGGCTGATACCGGCCCGTAAAGGTCTGATTCAGCGGAGCGGATTGGATCACTCGTTCATTCGCGAATTGTGAGGCCGATGGAGGAACAATCGATAGACCAGGCGGCGGCCGTCGCTTGGAGCCCTTGGGGCCTGGCATGAAACCGAGTTCGGATGGCTTCACGCCTTCGGGACCATCATCCTTGGCTGACTTCTGCAGACGTGCCTCGATTATTGACCGCTGTTGATCTCGCACGGATAGACTACGTTGGAGCTGCTCTCGCATAATGGGATCGTGGGTTTGAAAACCCGGAGAAAGACATGCCAGTCCAACATCTTGCATACTGATGCCGTCGCGGGCAGTCATGGGCCCGTTGGGGGCCCGGACCGACAGGTTGCTGGAGGATGGGAGACTGGTCGAGAGATCCAGCTTGCGTGGTCGTGGGCGGCTTTGCATGCGCGGTGACGAGGGCGGCTCTTTTTTCACGGTGATCGTCGGACCTGCACTTCCCGACCTGTTCCAATTCAACAATCAGTTATCGTTTGACGGTGGCATGGCTGTCGCATTGCCTATTCATGTCTTTAACTTACGGAGATGTCGGGTCTTTGTTCTCTGGAGTGCGTCTGCGCGCCGGCCCATCCTGTGAGGTTGTGGACATGCGTGACGGAGAGGAATTCGCCGCGTTCGCCGGCGGATGTGGAGGTAAGGTCGGACAGCTTTTCGGACTGGGATCGCGGGTGACATGTGGCGACGACAAGGGCGCCGCCGCGGGCGCAACTGCGGTCGACATCGTTGTCTGGCGATGGACGCTGGGCGTTGTGATCTCGTCGTTTCGTGAGGAAATCCTCCCCGAGGCAGACGGGAATATAGGCGCGTGATGATCCTCCAAAGCGCTTATTTTTATTCTTTGGGGGACTTTCTTTTCGACTTCGTGCGATCGGCGAAAGCTGCCTTCGGGGCTCAAGTGTGGAGCATCAAGAGAGCGATAGCGACGTGCTCAGACCCGGCGAGGGATCGTCCAGGCACGAGATGCAAAAAAAAAAAAAAACAAAGACGCAACAACGAGGCGGACACAGCAGACCGAAGAGAAGGAGGATATGCCGGAGGCAGGACAGGATAGTGAAGGGGGGAATAAGACGAAGGCGGAAGAGGGGAAGAGGTTCACCAGGGGGAGTGGGTTTGCGGTACTGGCGACTTGGCCGGCTCACCCACCAGCACTCCGACACTCGCTCACGGCCGCGGCGCCGCACAAGACCCAGAGGTACCCAGGACTTGCCGCTGTTCGTGGAGTCCAGAGTTTGGGTGGAGCTGCGCTCAAACACTTGCTGCACCAACTGGCACTGCCGGGCGTATCAGCTTGGCTAGGCTGAGACACGCCGTGTTTCTGCTGGCCCCCCTGTTTGAGGCTGTTGCTGGTCACCTTCCGGCCACGGCGGTTATCAAATCTGACACAGTTCACCGACGGAGTACATATACTGAGTTGACGAGCTGGACTGCGGGGGACGCCAGGCGCGCAGAGGCGATGCCATCCACAGCCCCCAGAATTACCACCACGATAACAAATTACAATCTCCGGGTTCTCCTGTTTGGCCCCCAACCGCCTCCGCGAGTCGAGCCCCAGAAAGACCCTAAACACCGGTCTCATCTGCACACGGGGCTTCTGGGGTCTTGATCGGCAAGGACATGTGCTTCCGATCTGCATTAACTCGGCACCTTCTCCTGCCTTCACACTTGGGCAGCAACTCAGATCACGTTCTATGTCAAACATGGCGCTGCCGGCGCTTATTATCGACTGGGGGAGGCCAGTCGTATTCTCCCCATGCCAGCACACTCCCATGAAGGTGCAGCCCAGAGCAGGACCCAGGCAGATCGTGAACGCGGCATCCACAATCCTTCTGTACACTTCATCCACTCATCCACAGCTCGTCTTCACTCCCCCGCCCGGGTCCCAGGTACATTTACCAGTCTTCCTCGAGAGGGTGGATCGCAGAAGAGGTCGTGCCCTAGGCTAATGCACGGAACCCTCTACCGACCGCAAACTAGGCCCTGTCTGATTCCTCATCCCGGTTCTCTTCTCCCCTGAGCGACACCCATTGGCTCTGGGCCCGCACGTCAATAAATTTAGGGAGAGTTTGGAAAGACGAGTCAAACGCACAGATCAGCTCTGGAGAAGGTCTCCTGTTCTTTGTGGTCTGCTCCGATCCTAACGAAACTAGTGTCGCGACGAGATTGCGACTGCGACCGAGCTTCCCGGACTATTTCAATGGTCTGTCTCGGATGTGGCGCGTGCCTTGATTGTGTCAGGTGCTTGACCAAAGATGAGGTGATCCATGGTGGCCTCATCCCACTGATACCCACAACCAGAGTCCTGGGATTTGTTCTATTTATTGACCGTTCACAGCCAGGGCAATCTGTCATGCTTCTGGATATACTGGCCCCGCTCTGCACGCGGTTTGATGTCTTCCACACGAACCATGATGACATTTTCAATTTTCGATTCAATACATTACAGTTGACTAATATCAATCTTATTTGCGCCGCTCTTTCGTAGAATTTTCTTGGGGTCTCTGAAATACAAACGGTTCTGGAAACGCCACTGGCTGTCGAGCTCAGCCAACAGCATGCATATTTGTCGCATTCCTTGTGCGGAGGGACACAGACTCGATAGGATCCGAGAAAATGACATGCATGCGACAGCTCCTCCCCCTCCCTTCTGCAATTGTTGTGAAGTCGTTCACAAGAGCGTTTCGGGATGATATTCCTCCAACAACCGCATCGAATTTGGCTATCATATCAATTCTTTCATTTTTTGCTAAATTTCTCATACCGTATATAAACTAAAATCCATCACAATGAACGCAAACCTGCCTCGATAAAACGTATGGTCTACAAAGTATCCCAGTGAAGCTCTATCCAGCCGCGTTGGGAAGGCGGTGTGTCCTCTATCGATAACCCACTTTTTTTCTTCGTGGTCGACGATCCAGAAATTCAATCGTGGGCCATCGCAGTGATTTATTGTTGGTTTTAGCAGTCCGCGCAGAGTCCTCGCTGTCACTGCCACGTTGGATTTTGGAAAATCAGCCGCAGAATTTCGATCCCCGACTTCTACCTGCCGAAACCGCCACACGAGCTAAGAAATCGTTCTCGAGCTTCAGTCTCTACTACCCAATCGATTCCCTTCTAAACCACTCCTCCGCGTGCGATATCTCTCGAACATAACCCAAAATGCCATCTTCGGTTCATTCGCAAGAACACGATCAGTCCATGGTGGACGCTGAGCCCGAGATCGACCCTGTCATGCTGGATGAGAAGCGAGTCGTGGTGGTTCGTTTTTTCCCACTGCTCTTGATAATGCATTGCATGGCCCGGGGGGAACTAATATGAATTTTTTTAGTTGCCGGGTTCCTCCGAGACCGCCGCATCGTTCCAGTTTGAAGGAGAGGGCCACACTATGGGAAATGCCTTGCGATACGCCATCATGAAGAAGTGAGTCATGATATTCAAGTGGGTTCATTCCCGTGTAAAGTTCGCTTGCTAACTGATTTGCGACAGCCCCGCCGTTGAATTCTGTGGATACACCATCCCTCACCCCTCTGACGCGAAGATGCACCTCCGCATCCAGACCACCGGTAAGTAGACATCACTCCATGATATTCAAACTCCAAAGGACAATATCTAAAATATCACTCTCAGACTCTACAACTGCCGTCGAGGCTTTGGAGAAAGGCTTCAGCGATCTGATGGACTTGTGCGATGTCGTCTCGGAGAAGTTCACCGCTGCCCGGGACCAATTCAATGAAGAAAGCAGCAATCGCATGCAATCCTGAGCTCTTTCAAGAAAAAACCACTTGCATTCGTATTTCTTACATGGATTTGATGGGCGTTTCGGTTTGAGCTTTAAAAAGGTGTTCTTCTGTTGCCTGTGGCATGATTGGAAGCTGAAGTATATCTTGAACAAATTACATATTCACTGGACCCTTAACCTTTCCTGTATAATTTGATTTGTGCGATCGTCTCAAATTATTGGGAGCTTATGTAGTCAAACATCAATGATTTGGATCCGCTAGTTGTCAATTTGGCTGGCATGGATGACCAAGATCGCTTTGCAGCAATACACCATATCCCGGCATACACGAATGTGGTTGCCACCTCTACGAAGATCGTAGAACTCACAAATTCGGTCGGTCTAGTTTCAGTCCACTGGGAAAATAGATTCGCTCCTCTAGTAAGGGGTGAATGCGTCACTAGTCGAGGGAGCACAGCAAAGCCACGATATCCAGATACTTTCAAAAGATACAGAAAATGCGACGCCTTGGAAAATAAGAATTTGGCGACCTACTCAGACAATATTTACACATCATGTCTTTGTCGGTGGGGCTCCACCGACTATCATGCCATAGCCTGGCTATAAAGCAAAAAGGAAAGGAGGATGGCGGGGTATGGAAAGCAGTCTTTTCAATTGCGACCTTCCAAGAATCCGGAAACAAAGTTGCGGGGTAGCCGGGCGCCGGGGTCCTCCTCTGGTCGGAAGTACTTCATGACGTGCGAAAGCTGCTTCCAGTAGTTAAGGGTTTCCTGCATGGATATCAGTATTGAACCGAGAATAGGACCAGATGGTTGGAGACAATCTATTCATAACATCGCGGGGAATCACAGAGCATTGAAGAGGTATCAAATGAGGCTCTTGACTGCTCAATCTGTTCCACCATCGGTGTTCCCCGCCCATCACAAAGAGATCATGTTACCGGGTGTCTTGACTAACCTGGAACTCGGCGTGGCTCTGGAAGAGAAGCACATCAACAACGGGAAGCTGGCTGACATAGCGGTGCTTCTCAAACTCCTGGCGAATCTTTGTGCGGATGGCGGACACGGGCATGTTCAAAGAGTACATGGTCTGGATCTCGGGGGACTGTATTCAGTTCACTTGTCAGCGTGGCGTTCCAATATACATCTGAATGGCTGATTCAATGCATTAAATTGTATTTTCTGCGTATTTGGGACATCGAATTCCTCAAAGACCGAAGGAAAAACCAGGTATCGGAACAAGGGCAGGGCGGGTAGATGGGGATATCAGGGTGAACTGACCGCGCGCAGCCACTCCCGGTAGGTCTTGAGGACTCGGAACTTGGCATCACCCCAGTTGACGGCTAAAATAAGTAGAGAAACATATTAGCCATACTGCACACCTTGAACCGCTTCAATTGGAGGACACGCCTGGTGGGCGTTCGGAACACCTCGGGGCGATGACGGGGATCCAGGACGTACAGGAACGCGTCCGCTGCGCGAGGAAGGTAGGGTTGATGGTCATTGTGAAGGCTCTGCGTCCACTCGGTCCAAAGATCAAGGCAGGGGAGGAAATTGGAGGTCGCGGGCGAGCTCTGGTGGTGGAGGTTTCGCAGATGAGGTTTGGGTGGGTGGAACCGTGATCCTTTCACCGCCTGCCCAATCCAAAATTTCTTCGCCGTTGGAATCAGCGCTACTTGCCTCTTCTTTTCTCGCATAAATACAATTTCGATAATCTGTGAACGTTGTGAGCAAGGCCTGTACTGGTCTTTTCCCTCGAATCTTTCCGGCTGAACAATCTCGCCGACCCCCGTTTGACATCCGTCTCGTGTCGCAAAATTTGTCTCGGCGTATTTTTCCACCTTACACTATCCGAATTTAATCCTTCGCGCAATTCGATATGGCGCCCACGAAAGGGTCGTCCAAAGGAGCCTCCGCCGGGGGCAGCAATGCTTCCAAGCCTGCCACACTATCGTCCGGCTCACGCGTGAGCAAGTCCAGCAAGGGTGCCAAACGCCCGCCTCCGAAGGAAGTCAAGAACAAGGCGCGCACCGCCCCGGAGAACCTGCAAAAGAAAAAGAAGAGAGTCTACACAGAGGCCGAGCTTGACTTGCCCAAATTGAACGCTATTACTCCTGTCGGTGTGGTCAAGCCTAAGGGCAAGAAGAAGGGCAAGGTTTTTGTGGATGATCAGGTACGTTTACTCGGATTTCACCTGAGCGTGCCCGCTCAACGGCAAATTCTTCTGATACTGATTGGTATTTGTTTTTGCAGGAGGGTATGATGACTATTCTTGCCATGGTGAATGCCGAGAAGGAGGGACAAATCGAGTCCAAGATGATGAAGGCCCGTCAGCTGGAGGAAATTCGGGAGGCCAAGAGAAACGAAGCTGAGGCCCGACAGGCCGAGAGAAAGGGCAAACTCGAAGCTGCCAAGAAGTCTATTCGTCAGGATAAGAAGGGCAAGGGAGGCAAGGGCAAGATTGACGAGAGCAAGACGTCGTCTTCATCGGCGACAAACGGCTCGTCGAAATTATCTGCTAAGGGAAAGCGCAAGAGTGTTTCCTTTGCTTAAACGAGAACAAAAAAGCGGCTATTGTCTATACCATCTTATGTATTTAGACGGGGATCTGGCGTTTTCATTGGGTTATCTTTACATCTCATGTTATCAAACTATTGTGAATAGCACTGTTGGCGAATATCGACACAGCCCTCCCTCGTTTTGCTATGGATATGGACTCTATTAGTAAATGTACGAAAAATATTTTGTGGCTTCGACATTTCGTGTGAAAGGTGCTTCCCAAAACGGGATTATCAAATTTGTTTCCCATCTATAGATGATATAGTCCTAAGCGAAAAGATAAAGCAGGCAGTAACAACGCTACTAGTAGACAAACTTCCTCTTGATCACATCAAAAATAGGCTGATGATAGCGGCCACCCCAGCGAGGCATCCTAGGACCCCCAATTCTGGCTTCAAAGTAGGACCCGAATTATCCCAGAAATCATCCCACTTGTCCTTCACATCATCACCAAAATCATCAACTTTATCAAAGATACTATCGCCATCATCATCGTCGAAGCGACAGCGATCTTCGTCATCATCATCACAGCAACCATATCGCCCATTTCTCTTCCGACATTCTTTGTCCGAAGGGCAGCCACCGGAGAAATCGTTAGGGCAGCAGCTATATGAGTCTGGGAAACAGGCATCTCCGCATTTAATTTGGTCGCTGGCGCAGTCATAATCATCATCGTCCGAGTCCGGTCGTGGCGAACGGGCTAGGACATGTGCAGGGCTCACGCCTCTTTCCACGGGAGTCATGATTGTAATAGTATCCCGACGGAGAATATTGGTGTTGGTATCGAAGGCGATGTTTGGACTGGCAAAGACGGAGAGCGGCGCCAGAAGCAGCGCACCAAAGTAGATAGAGATATGCATCTTGCTGCGTTGCTTTTTTTGAGGTAATTGAGAAAATATGAGATTGCAGTAGATCGTAGTGGAATGGCCAATTCGAGTAGACTGCAAGCAGAGAACTGTATAGATCAATAGAGTTAACTATGAAGATCTGTCTGAGAGCAGTGGCAACACAAAGAACAAACAAACGCTATATATACAGCTTATCATCTATGCCTGATCTCGATGCAGGGTCATCTATGTGTCGGTGGCTTGAGGCTAACACGATGTGGAGAGGCCCGAACAGGCATCACGTTGCGCGGCAGGGCGGAGGACCCTTCGCCAAGCAACCAAGCCACTCGCCAAGAACCAGCGCCAGCGGGCATAGCGAAAGCTGACAGACTGTAGACATGGTTGCTGACCGACACAAGGCAAAGTTCATGTCAGATATCTCACTGCGTCGGGGGCCAAAATAGAAGGCCAGCTCACAGTGGAGTCGATGCTCCGCCCCTTCTTGTTGCTGTTGCCAGTCGAAGTTAATCGATACGCTTTAACTAGATTAAGGTCCATCTGCCGCTCCATATTTATGGCGGTTGGGGCCCGAAATATTCTATTTTATATAATTATTTTGTTTCAGTCATACTCATTGTGAAAATAAAAGGTGCTCAAGGCTGTCTATTGAAAGGCTATAAACTATAAACAGTATTTCTATTACTGATGTATGTGATTGTGTCCCAAATATACGTCCCAAAATAATGTATATGACCCAGAATACCGAATTTATATCCAGATGTAATGGTCAATACGATCCGGTGCGGTCTTGTGGTGATTTCTGAAGCTTTATTACGGAAGATTCATATTCAACTTACGGTTCACGGGATGGAACTCGGGCTTGGGTGCCGTATCAAGGTCTTTGCCAGGGCCCGGATGACTGGCAATACGCCCGGGCAGCTTTTCAGGGTGCTCAACAACCCCAGGGATCTGAGTGTCAATCTCCCGGGCCATTGTGTTCAGAAAGTTGGTTACCTGAAACAGAGTAGCGGTCAGTACTTTAGTAGCAAACGGCCAGATCCGATCACCGAGATAGCAGGGAACTTACCGGCTTGACAAACCATCTTGCGCCCCCAAACTCAAACCATCCAAGGTGGCCGCCCCATGATGTAGTCAACATGACTCCATATGGGGTTTGAGTCATCTCCTGGAATGGCAGCGCATCGCGCGAAGCAATCTATCTTTTGGTTAGCAGAATGCATGAGAATGAAGATGTGTGGACTTACAGGATCATCTTCGGCTTGAACACTGAGGAAGGGAATGCGGATACCGAGCATCGCGTCTGTCGAAGCAGCATCACGGTAGTAGGCGCCTTCGGTGGGATAGCCCCAGGTAGGACATTGCAAAGCGCTATACAGGTTCAAAATGAGTGCGTTGATCTGCAAAAGCCAGGAGAAGTGTTATACTAACCGGTCAAACTCATGCAAGTAATTGATGCGCATGACGGCGTCAACGTCAATGCGAGGGTTTTGTGAAATTGCTTCGACATGTCTGATAATTTGTCAATTCACTCGTTTCTACACAATCAATAACAAATGTGGGCAACTCACGTGTTGAAAAGTCTCTTCATACTAGAGCCCATAGTCTTGCTGTATACTTCCCGGCCTATCCATGTTCGTTGCAGATTGGCTGAGCTGACATCCAGGTTCCAAGGGCTTGCGCAGAGAACGGCCGCCTTCAGTTGACAGGCATCACCCTCCTCTCCAAGATACTGCATGCCACATTAGTCCATTAAATGAGTCCAATGATGTAGTCCAGCTGAGCGGGGGCTTACATTAGCAAGAATATTGGCACCAAGAGAAAATCCAATGCCAAAAAGAGGACGATTGGGGAATGTCTTTCTCAACCATTTCACCGACTGGCGAACATCCCAAGTGGCCCGCGCATTGTACAGCACTCCAGTGCTAATCTTGGTCTGGGCACAGCCTCGGGAGTTGACGACGCATGCTTCCCAGGATCCATCCGCCACAAGAGGAGCAACAATATGGCGCAAGTAAACTTCATGGGAACCACCACTCAAGCCATGAAGAAGAACAAGCATTGGCTTAGTATCATCAGATGGAAGAGCAGCGTCTTCTTCCGGCGAGTAGAATGAGGTACGGGGTGGCAGACCAGATGGCTGTGTGTACTTTCTCGCCTGATCAGTGAGCTCGCCTTCAGGAGGCATCTCATAGGACTGTACGACAAAGTCGATCGCATACCGGCCAGTGAACATGGGGCTGTCGGACTCGAACATCTTGCGCTTATAGTATATCGGGACATTGTCATGTTTCATAGTCGTCCAGGCTGTTTGCAAATGACCGTTAAAAAGAAACGGGTTCAGATTGCAAGTTTCTGGCGTTGCGGCCCGACAGACGTCCACCAGGGAGGTCTGTTCTTTGGGACCGGCCTTGGAGGCTTTCGTCAAAAGAAGGCGATTATCCTTAGCATGATAGAAAGAGATTCGTCCAGTCGGACGAAACCATGAGAGAAGGCCCATGGCAACCAGCCCCGATACGAGGAGCGATATGGGATACGAACTGAGCAGCGCTGACGCAAGTTCCGACATCAGGTGTGTTTCATGCAAGAGATGAAGATGTAAAAGAATATGCTGGGCCAAATGTATGCGATAAATACCATGGGGAAGAGGCAAAAGAAGCAAATTAGAAAATCGCGACCACAGTTGCACCAAAAAATCACTCAATCTTGACCCCCAGCACAAATCGAGAAGAGCCGAGGCTCATCGACAGCTGACTCAGCGGATGCTCTAGGAGTTGGTGCCTCGACACCTGATATTGTTGCCTGGGAGCTTCCCGTCGCGGTCCCACCGAGCCATATTGCCCTTAACCACCACCGCGCCACATCTCATCACCAGACCCATGGATGTGGGAAAGGTTCTCGATGGCCTTCTTCTCCTGCTGGGCGCTTTATTTGGAGTCTTGACAAACCTTGCATCTTATACACTCTCTTTGCTGGGTTTGCTGGTCTCCCCCTTATTATACCTGGCGCATAGCCTGCTCACAGTGGCATTGTTTCCTTTGCGAATTCTAGCAAAATTCGAGGTACTTATATGATATTGGAGCATTCGGTCGTTACACATACTAAACGTTTCTCCAGGCATTTCTGCTTTTCATCACTGCAGCGGTGTTAATAGGAGTGACTGTCGGCCTGTGTCTTCATTTCACAAGCGACGCCTTGTCACAACTACTGCATCTATATTCTCCACCGGAATCCGCCGAGCTTGCTGAAGTTTTGTCCTCGAAGGGCAACCATTACGACTGGGAATCGAAGATGAAAGACGCCCGCTTCATGTCCTCGACAATCCTAGAAGAGGACGAGAGCACCCAGGTCTCAGAATGATGTACATGAACAGGACCTTGCACGGTTCTTAATGAATTCCTACCGTTCGGAAACACTTCAGTCTTTTTTCACTAGCCGTTTGGCTTTTCGATGTCTCGTAATTAAGCGTCAAAGAATTCACCAACTCGATGCTGCTCCAATTCACTTCAGCCTCGTTGAAGCACCAGTTCACGCATACAAGGCTCGACCAACAATCCAAGCGAAAACCGAGGGCTCTTTTCACCATTACATGCCTCTGAAGCGTGTCCAGTGCTTGGAATGTGGGAAGAGAAGCCCTTCCCTGTGCAGCCATCACTTCATAACGCCTGAGATCTGGTTCCATTGCCACTGGAGGAACAGCTCTGCACAGATCTTCCCACCGAAGCCCTCGTTGTACACTGAAACATCCAGTGCGCCATTATTTGCGAAAGGCGGAATAATAATTCCAAGGGGTTGATGGCGAGGCCCAGGCCCTCATTAGCTACAGCACAGCGGATTCATGTCAACAGTCATTACTGACATAGAGGCCAAAGACGGATCTATTCTATTCCTTGGGCCTTTAAAGAGATTAATTAATCACGAAAATTCTGTTCATATACCAGTTGCTTGGCCGACTGGCTCAGCTGTGAATTATAGGATGAAGCTAAAATCCGGATGTTTGTCCACAGAGTCGACAACATCATCCGGAATCTTGCTACTATCTGTGGGCCATGAAGCTTGTTGCGCCTTCTATTTTCCCACCACATCAAAAGCCTCAGGGCCTCAGCCAAAACAGCAGCGAAGAACAGGAGAGCTGCACTTATCGCCATTTTCTTAACATTATACAGACACTCTTCCTTTGGGAGAATCGAGATCCAGCAATCGACCCTGTCTGGTCAATCACACCGAATCACGAGCCCAGCACCTCTTTTAGATGCCAACCCTGATTGTCAGTCACCCAAGTAAAAGCCAAAGCCACAGATGAGAAATGTTGCAAATATCTCACACCGCTGGTCATGACAAGGGCTTGAATCAGATACCAAGCGGCCCCAACAATACTCAAAACACTAAGTAAATGATACCTGTTGTAGAATTTATCCGAGAAGGATGATGCCCCAAGGCAAGGGATGTACGAGAATAGATACGGATGAGGCGAGAGGCCTGCGCTTGGAGGGATGAAAACCGATATCCTCGATAATCGTGGGCAGAAAGCTGGCAATGCTGCAAAGGCAGCCTGAAAAGTATTGTATGACAAAACTCAGACCCACATTTAAACAGAATACAATAACCGCATTGAAATAGTTTTATAGTCATAGAAAGCAGCAAAGACATGCTTCATGCCAAGCTTGCCCTTCTCCGGTCCTCGAGCGAACAGAGTTCGCAAGCGAATAATTTCATTAATTTGCTTGCTCAAGAATCTGCACTCTCTGGGTCCTTTTGGTAGGAGTGCCCAGGCTAGAGGAGCAATCACAACAGTCGGAATACTCTCTAAAAGTCCAACGAGTTAGAAAGGAGTGTTCCTGATCGAGGGGGTCGAAAGGAAATATGATATTGCCTCACCTATAACAAAAAGCAACTTCCAGTTAGCAAGGGATGTATTGCCATGAACAATCCCGTAGGCCAGTGCAGAAGCAAAGCAATTCTCAATTGGCGAAAACGAGATAAACAGCCCGTATCTCAGACCCATCTCAGATTGATGGTAGAAAGAGGAGAGATACAGAGCTATTCCTAGTGCGAATCCAGCTTCGAAGGCTCCCATCAAGCAACGAAGCATTATTAGCCCTGAAGTTGCTAGCGCGGCTTGTAGCTTGCTTGTGGCGCCCCAGCCAGGTACCATTAGGGTTACTCACGTATGGAATAGCCTTTTAATACCACGGGCGGCAAATCCTATAGATGTATTCAACTTACTAGAAGTGACACCACATTCCACAGGAGAATAAACCACTAAAACATGATATAGGAAATGTAATAGGCAGTCAGAAGTCAAGAATACAGATCCGACGTGATGCCCCATTTCTTTCCCATACCTGCTATGTAGGTATTCCCGACATTTCCTCAATCGGTGTATGATAAGTTGTATAGAACACCGAGTTTACCATACGTTAGCAACAGGTTCGTGATGGGCAAGGAGTAAAGGCGTCTGACCAAAGGTACAAAACGTATCAAACCCAGTCCAGTTTGCGGACTGCCTCGACAATCTCTGTATCCGGTAGTAACACGAATCGCCGTCATGATGCCGAAGTGGCCCACGTTGCGGACATGGTTTCCCAGGTACTTTGGCCTTTTTCTGGCTGGATAATCTAAGATGACATCGACTATAAGTACCAGTACATTTTGATCTACAGGATACACCCGAAGGAGCCCCAAATCAAACACAAGCTGTGGGGTATATACATGGTTTGGCTCTTTACCTGAGGGGTTTGATACAGTTACCCACCTTCCTCCCTGACTGTATAATTAGACAATACATTGTATATTTTCTACTTCGCAATAAACGTCTTTCTAATTACCGTGAACCGTGACCCATCTTTTCTCCAGAGTACCTAGTAGTAGATAGAACGTAGCTTCCAAATTATCAAGACCATGGTGGAATGGCATTTCAAAGTGTTACCCCCAAATCCGGCACCATGTTTAGTTAAACTTCCAATTGTATACCAAGAATACTCCCTTGCATGCGAGAATTGTGTATGCTCAATTTATGTAACTCTGTGAAGGTGGTTATTACGCCCGCTTCCAATATACATCATATTCACGTGACCACGCGATATCGAAACACGTGCCGTGATGAATTCCAACAAATGACTCGGCCAACACACTGCACTGGAAAATTTACGAGACCTTGCTGTTCATCCTTCACAGATGTTCGGCCACGCTAAAAAGGCCTGATATATGGTGCCAGTTGAAGCAAGCTGTGTACATCTCCTGTTCCGCCATTCTGATACCCTACTGTCATCTCCTTCCTCGACAGCATCCTCACCAAACTCCAAAGATCTTCTCAAACAGTTCCTACCACCAGGATGCCCCCAGACGATTTGTATGATCCCATGGTCGCAGCCGCGATTAAGGCCTCTCTGGAAGATACCCAGGCACCAACTGGCAGCGCGTCTCAGTCATCACCGCAAGCTCAGAACCTCCAGAGCAGATCATCCGCAAAGCCAGTCGTGGACTTGACCAACGACTCTGACAATGACTCTGACTTACAGGTCGTCTTCCCGAAATCGAACTCCATGGTGGGCTCAGAAACCGATGCCGATGCCTCGGAGGACGATGATGACCTCAAACAAGCCATCGCATTGTCGCTGGATACGAGCACTTCGCCTGTCAACGAGTCCAGAAAATCCCTGCAGGGAACTCCTCAGAATCAGGGTACAAAGTCTGAAAGCTCTCCCCATAACACGGCGTCCGGTCAAGGATTTTTGGGACTTGATCGGAAGCAAATGGAGCAGGAGCGTCTTCTTCGCTTGAATAAGCGCAAAGCCGATAGCCAAGAGACTTCACCCAGTCAGCCTCCTGCAAAGTCTGTCAAGGCTCATGAAATGCCGGGCAGTTCAGCCACGACAGTTTCATCCGCATCCGTTCCAGGTCCGTCATCACGACCTGCAAACCAGCCCACAGTGGACGGTACGGATATCCGCGCCTCGTCACTAGACATTGAGTTTGTGAGTTCCAAAAAAGCCACATCGGATACTCCAATGGCAGATTATTCGAGGCAGCATACATCCATGCCGCAGTCTGTCCCCCGTTCGGGAACGGGCATTCAGTGGGCCCTGGGTACAGTGAAGAAGACTCGACTGTCCAATTCGCCGCGCAAGCCTAACGACATTTCGATCGAAGAGGTATTGCAGCGAGAGGACTTGGAAATTGCAGTGCTCAGTTCGTTTCTCTGGCAATACGAATGGGTCCTTAGCAAGCTGGACACTAATCGGACCTTGATTCGATTTGTTGTACACGCAGAAACTGAACAAGTAAGGAGCCCAGTACTAACTGATTCATCTTGTCGATCTGGCTAATGGGAAACAGCAAATGGAACTCGAAGCAGAATCTGCGGGCATTTCCAACCTCCGCTTCACCTTTCCTTCCCTTGAAGGCCAGATCAGCATCATGCATTCCAAGCTGATGTTACTTTTCCACCCTGGTTATCTTCGCATCGCAGTTCCTACGGCCAACCTCATTGCGGTTGATTGGGGTGTTGGTGATGTGATGGAGAATGTGAGTTTTCATATGCGTCAAGAAATATTTACATACTAACGAAAACAGTCGGTCTTCATCATTGACCTTCCTCAGAAGAGCCAAAAGAATGGCCCCGCAGAAGATATTCACCCACAGTTCTACCATGACCTCGTCTATTTCCTGAAAGCGAGCTCATATCCCCAGACAATCATTGACAAACTGGCCGGCTTTGATTTCAGCGAAACCGCTAGGTACGCATTCGTACATACGATGTAAGTTTTAATTTCGACCGCATCGCTGTCCTCGACAACCAGAGATGTCTTCTAACTGGCTTTTAGTGGCGGAGCTCACCAAGATGAGAAATGGAGGTGGACAGGATATACCGGTCTCGGACGTGCCGTGGCGAACTTGGGTCTCCGAACACAAGCGCCTATCAGTGTTGATTTCATTGTACGCAAACAGTCACAACTTCGCAGAAGCCCAATGCTGACTCAAGATGTCTAGACTTCTTCACTCGGATCACTATCGGAAGACCTTCTAAGGGGCTTTTACTTGGCTTGCAAAGGTAAGTGAATTCTAGCTGTCTATACAAAACATAACTAATTATATCACAGGCGATGATGGAACAACCGATTACCAATTCCGCAATACCAAGCCATCCCTTAGAGCAAAAAGCCCCCTGCAAAACATCAGTCGGGAATGGACAGACCGTTTCCGTGTCTACTTCCCCTCCGCCAGGACAGTCGATGGTGTTGCACGGTCTGTGCATCGACCCGCACGGGATATTGGAGGAACCGTTTGCTTTTCTTCAAAGTATTGGAACGCCCCCAAGATGCCAAGACATGTTTTGAAAGACTGCCAGAGCGAGCGGAATGTCCTCATGCACAACAAGGTTTGAGCCCCTTTGTGGTCTAACTATTGCTGGAAGTGTGATCACTTACTGTCTTTCAGATTGCATTTGTCAAAGTTTCAGAGCCAATTCCTTTCTCGGAGGATACGGAATGCCGAGGATGGGCTTATGTCGGAAGTGCCAACCTCAGTGAATCCGCCTGGTAAGTAAATCAGGCTTTGATATCATGAAATAAACAGCTAATGTTTTCTCAGGGGCCGTCTCGTCAAAGACCGCGTAACAGGAGCACCCAAGCTCAACTGCCGCAACTGGGAATGTGGTGTGCTCATTCCAGTTATCAGCGAAATATCCGCAAGCAAGGCACCCGCTGATAGCCGTTCGGAGACTGACTCTAATAATCTATCGGTCGCGCTTTTCAACGACACTATCCCTGTGCCGATGAAGACCCCAGCTGAGAATCTAGCAGCGGGCCGGGAGCCATGGTTCTTCAGGGACTGAATTCGAGTCCTGCGGCATGTTCTTCGGAACTACTGATTGTGTACGAGAGATGGAGTGTCTTACCGGTTTCTCAAGTGTTTGACATGCTATTGGGAATCACGTTGAGGTCAGTCCGATAGTCAACGGACTGAGGACTGCCGCAAATCCGGAAGTGATATAGAAATTATCCAAATTTTGTTAAGTCTAAATAAGTATGTACTTTTGAGATATATCTTAAATGATTCCAGGCACCATTCGATCCAACCAGTGTGTAAGGAAGAATAAAAGGTAACTATCAGGCATGTAACATACCATGCTCTTTCTCATAACGCACGCTCCATGTAAATGCACATTAGATAGATCATAAATCACCAAAAAGAAATTGTATAACGAAAGAGAGTGGGAAGCAAAGAGGAAATTTCGAAAAGAAGGATGAAGGTGAGACAAGGAGGGTGGAGGAATGGATGATTACTGTTGAGACTCCTTGTTCTTGCCCTTGAAGAGACCCTTGACACCATCAATAGCCATGCCAAAGACACCAAACACATATCCGAGACCAAAGCTCCAGCCGCGAACACGAACGGTGTAGATGAAGAAGTAGACAAGCATCCAGTTGATGATGACAAAGGCCAAGAAGATACCGAAGCATCGCCATTTATCACCGGCATGAACGTTTAGATTGGCCATGTACTCGGAACCATTCTTGTAGGGACAGTACTGGCAGTCCTGTGTGGCCTCGGGGTTGACCAGTCTGCCAACCTGGGCAATATTGTTCACGAAGTTGCCGGCATAAACAGCACAGGTCGATCCAGGGGGCGGGTTGAAGTGAGTCGCCTCTTGAGAAGCGCACTCAATATCCACGGGAGGCAGGACGGAAGAAAGAACACCGCGCAACCACCAGGTAACTGGATTGACGTAGTACATCCAGTACTTCCAGAATACGGGGTAGTCCGCGTAAGGACGGACGATACCGTTGAACAAATTGACCATGACGAAGAAGAAGGGAAGAACGTTCGAGATGACAGTGAAAGAGGGAGCGAAGGCGCAAATCCACTGACCCCAGGAAGCCTGGAAGAGGAAGAAAAGCATCGACATGAGGAAGACGTAGCCGGCAGTCGAGGAGTCGGTGGGCAATCCAACGGGGTAGTACCAGAGCAGCCAGTATACGAGGCTGGTGACGATAGCAGCAGGGATCTCGCAGACAACGTTGGCAGTACAAAAGGCGACCCAACCATAGATACGGGATGGGTATTCACGGGCTTCCCAGAGGGCACGGTTGATGTAGAACTTGGGGACAACCGAGTTCATGATGATGGGTGGGATCAGGATAATGACGAAGACCGAGAACATACGGTCTTGCATACTGGCCACGGTGTTGGGAAGCATGTAGAAGGTGAAGCCGTTGAAAATGCCGATGATGACGCTGACGAAGAGTTTTCCGTAGTAGTAAGAAGGATCACGCCAGTAGTTTAGGAAGAGGCGCTTGGTGAGCATCTCGATCTGAGTGAACGTAGGGGCTGCGAATTCGTGCTGGGAACCACCACTTTCTTCCACAGGCAACTTGCTGCGCTCGGTCTTGATGCGTTCAATCTCAGCCAGCATCTCGCGGTTCTCATCGGAGTTGCGCCATTCTTCATTCCAATCGACTGACTTGCCATTGCTTTGAGTTGCTTTGGCAGCGGTTTCCAGAATGAACTCGGCGACGTTCTTTGAAGGGGGGCAGACGAAACCGCGATCGGCGAAGTATTTAATCACGGCAGAGCCATTCTTACCGACAGGACCAAAGTAGAAGGTGTTACCGCCGGGGTTGAGGGCCAGAATCATGTCGAATTGTTGGATAAGCATAGACGAGGGCTGGTGAATAGTGCAGACGATGGCCTGGCCAGCCTGAGACAGCTTCTTGAGGAAGCGGACGATGGAGAAAGCAGCCTGGCTGTCAAGACCACTGGTGGGCTCGTCAAGGAAGAGCAGAAGGCTGGGCTTGGCTGCCAGTTCAACACCGATAGTGACTCGCTTCTTCTGCTCGACGTTGAGGGAACCGATGATGGCATCCTGGATTTCCTCGAGTTCCAGAAGGTCGATAATCCGGTCGACGTAGGCGATCTTTTCTTGGCGAGGCGTTTCACGGTCCTGACGAAGAATGGCAGAGAATTCAAAGGCTTCACGGATAGTCGAGGTATTGTCGTGCAGATCCATTTGCTCACAAAAACCGGTTCCACGCTGGAAATCAGCGCCCAGAGGGTGGCCATCAACGAGCATGTCGCCCTTGACAACACCCATTTTTTGACGCTGAGCGAGAGTGTTCAGCAAGGTCGTCTTACCAGCACCAGAAGCACCCATCAGGGCAATCATGACACCGGGCTTGGCGTAACCATTGACGTTGTTGAGAAGCTTGCGAGTTCCATTGCCATAGGGGACAGTGTATTCGACATTACACCAGGTGAAGCAGCGCTCACTCGAAGACAGTCGGTTGAAAGCGCCGCTCTCAGAAGAAGACGAGCCTTCGCCGCGGGCAAGGGCAGCATTATCGCTAGAACTGGCGACCTTCTCCTCATCATTCGACTTTCCAGCTTGAGTAGCAATCTGCTTAGTGCGCTTGGACTTCTTGAAGACGAGGGCACCGCCGCCGCCACCAACGAAGGAGAGGAACTCAGCGGCCCAGATAGTGACCAGCAAGTAGAGAACAGTGAAGGCAATGACAACACCAAAGTTGCGCCAGAGGTGACTGCGAGTGAACTCGAAGTTTGCCGTCAGATACTGCGCTCCGTCGACAGTTTTCTCTCCCAACGATGAACCTGTAAGGGCGCAGCCCTGATAGTTGGGATCAACACCAGGGCCCTGAGGAACCAGCTGAGAAGGTGCACACTGCATGACACGACCAGTGAACTCGTTTGACAGCACCGCCTCGTAACTGTACGAGATGGGATTCACATAGAAGAGCCATCCAAACCAGATCGAATCGTGAACCAGAGTCTGCTTGGGAATCACATAACCAACGAAGAGAATCAGCAAGTTCAGAGCAATTCCAGCAAACCGAACAGCGTCATCAATAGTAGGCGAGAGAGCAGCAAACATTCGATAGAGTGACGTGATACAGAAAGTCGTCGTGTACACGAAGAGGAAGTAGATGAAGAACTTGGAAGCCGTGACATCCAATCCAGTCATGAAGTAAACGATAATTGTGAACGGAACAACCATGCAGAAAATAGCCGGGAAATCCACCACCACACGAGCAATGGAGACAGCAGATGGGCGGTAGAAAGCGTAATCCTTGTGTCGAGCCACAATGCCTCGGCCGGTGACGGCGGGCATCAGCTCAGTCAGTTGCAGCCAGCCAAGGAAGAGAATCGAGAAGAAGAGAGCACCGCCTCGGGAGAAGGCGCCGCTGGTATCCATCGATTCACCATAGAACAGAGACGAGACGATCAGACCGTTGGAGATGATAATGAAGTATTTGGTGTAAAGAGAAGTCTTGTCACCCCAGAGCAGCCAGAATTCACGCTTCACGCAAGCCATGACCTGGCGAACCAGCGAAACCGTGTATGGAGACTTCTTGGAGACAGTCTTACTCTTGGACTGCGCGACGGTCTTCTGGAAGCGGCGGGTATCCTCCTGCTCGGTTTCCTCGAGACGCTTCTCGTAGCTGGAGATATCATCCGAGATGTACTTGTAAGACGCGCTGTTTCGGAAGACCTGCTCCAATTCCTCGGCCGTCTTCGGGGTGGAGGCCTCGCGACCAGGCTGGAACTGGCGGGCGTTGGGGTCGCACAACGAAGTGAGGAAGTCAGCAGTGGTGGATTGCTCGGGGCAATCGAAGCCGAGGTCGATGAAGTACTTCCGCGCTTCGTTTGCGGGGCCCTGGTACAACATCCGCCCAGCATCGATGACCATCACCTTGTCCATGAGCTCATAGATACTCTCACCGGCCTGGTAGAGAGTCACCAGAGTGGTGCGCTTGCTGACATCGGTCATAATACGCAACGACTTGGCATAGTCCAGGGCAGTGCTGGCATCCAGACCTCGGGTTGAGTTATCCCAGCAAACGACAGACGACTTGGTGGCCAGAGTCTCGGCGATACTGACACGCTTGCGCTCACCACCAGACACACCACGGACATACTCGTTACCGACGAGAGTGTTCTTGGTGTGGCTGATACCGAACATCTTCAGCAGGGCATCGATGATAATGGGGATGCTGTCGCGGTCATGCTTGCGGGTCTTGTTGGTCAGTGAGAACTTCAGGGTTTGCCAGACGGTGAGCGACGGGAAATGCTGGTCATCCTCCGGGTTATAGTTGACTTCACCACGGAAGTGACGGTTCTGGTCCTTGGCCGATAGGCCACCATAGCTGACCTCACCTTCGACACCAGCAAATGCATCGCGGTCATTGGCAATGGCCTTGAGGAAGGTGGTACATCCCGCACCAGGACGACCCAGAACCAGCATCATCTCACCCTCGCGAACAGCACCATTGAAATCGTGGATCAGGTCGCGGATGGGTGGCTTCTTGCCCACGCGCAGCTGCGGCACAAATCGACAGACGAGGTTATAGAGGTCCGGACCGAATGTACCAACCACGGCATGCGGAAGCGTACGTACAAATGAGGCGCCAGTCTCGATGCCCTTGACGGTCAGATTCTTGAAGACGACGCCAACCTTCTTCGCCGGCTCACCCGCGGTCGTGCGGCGCTCCAAGTGCCCGCCGATCAAGAACTCGCCGAGATCAAAAGCACTATCGATCTCGGTATCGGAAGAGGCCTCATTTATGGCCTTTTCTTCATCACGACGCTGGCTGGCGCGGGACTTGAGGCGGCCGACGCTTTTTGCGGTTGTCGAACGGGTGCGATGCAAGCTCAATCGAGTCAATTCACGGCGCATTTCCTCCAGATCCTCCATGGCGCCATGGCGGGAGACGGGCTCGCCGGCCTGCTTTTCTCCCCAGCGACCTTCAATGCTGCCATGGGAAGAATTGGTCGAAGTTGCGGTCGACGTGGGGTCCACGGGCGCTTCAGTGGCGTTGTCGACATCCTCAGTGGTGCCAGTTTGGAGATCATTGGTATCGTTGGAATAGTTGTTGGTATAGTTGGTCGATTCCTCTCTGTTGGAGGATGATTCGGTATAGTGATACGTCTCAGACACGCTTGACGAATGTTCTGCGTGCGACTGTGACTGCGACTCAACGGCGCGATGGGCGTCCATCTTGCCGGGGTGGGGGACGACTCGCCAGTCTCAAAGAGATATCAGGAGTATATATTGCGCAGGGACTGCGGCAGAGATATGTACAGGGTTTGAACGAAAAGGAAAGTAAAGAGATAAAGAAAAAGGAGCGGAGAGCGAAACAAGTGGTTCGTGAAATCACAGGCGCTCCCAGAATATTAATACTAGGACGACATCATTTTATGCAAACGCCATTAAATCCGGACCCACAAGAGCCAGACTGGATCTGGGCAATGGAGCCCCAATTACGGGCTCGGCGATTGCTCATTATTCGATGAGAACCAGACGAGAGCCACTACCGGAGCTCTGGTGGGGTCCATGACTCAGGGTGAGTCGCAGCAGACGGACGAGATGAGCGGGTCAGACCGCATCAGAAAATTTTCGCCTCGGAGATACGCTACCAGGCGGCGTTTAGCCAATTACCCGTCCGTCAGCATGGCTGACAATTGCATCTGGAGCGGAATCTCAAATTCCTCGCCCTATCGGACACCCGATTGGGTTTAGCGTGCCCCCCTCCCCCCCGAACAAGTAGTAGGGGTCGCTGCTGGAATATATATTCCGTCTGCAGAATCACCACGAGTAATGAACTCCAGGCCCCACTTGGAACGTCTGAACCCGCATGAATCAGCCAAACTCCCGGCGACTTCTGCATGAGATCTCTCCGATTCGACCCTTCGTGGCGGTACACCGCTCCGCATGCGGGCGATTGCTAAGCACCTTCCTGGCTTAGTAAATTACCAAGCATCGCTTAGAGAATCTTGCTAATCGTCGATCGCCAACCCAAAACGAAGTCCCGTCGAGGTAGCCGAATTGGTTGGAGGTTGAAGTAGATCGGGGCAACGCAGAGCCGAGCCGGTCGAACAGCAGCCGAACGCCTGGGCCCGCCCGCCCGGTCGGGACAGGACGATTTAGTCGTAGAGTTGCCGCACTACTGCGGTTGCACCAATGGGCATGATCTAGTTGAGGAAAATGGACAAAAAAGGGTCAGAAGAAATACAAGAAACAATTGCTAGTATCACTTAACAGACGTATCGCTTAGGGCATTCGACAAATACAAGAGAGCTCTGAATCCTTGGTACAGTGTATTCGGTAATTTAACTCATTGCGATTTATATATATCTTGATCGTATCGAGATCTCACACTATAACCCAGTAAACTCGGGAATATGCAATTGCCGAGTCTAACGCAATTTAATATCACCCATCAGGTCCTTCCAAACCGACACGACAAATCAACGTAGACTGAAGTCAATCTGTAAAGATAGCAGTCCTAGCACCCAGGAGAACCGAGAATTTTATCGATCGCTGAGGCGGAGACGATGTTCCATCCCATATCCTAAAACAGTTAGTTGACTATGTAAGATTTGGCGGGGGCAAGTTCAAAAATAGAAGTTTCCGTTTATGCCTAGAATGATAAAACAAGACGAAACCCCTTCTAGAATGTCAGGTCACATAATTGGATAATGCTGGTACAGAATGGATGTGGCGCCTAATGCAAGATGTCTACTATACAAAGCCCTGAGCAGTCAATCCTCAGTACTCAAGGCTTGCGTTTGTTGGCCGCCTGAGCAATCCGCTTCTGAATCTCTTCCTTACTCAGGATCTTTACCGCATTGTTTGAGAAGACGTAGCTGAGGCCCGACCAGAGGGTGGTGCCGGCGACAAGGTACCTAAGCCATTAGCATCATACAAAAAAAGAGAAAGACGAACACGCGCGCGAAGATAACAAAGAGAGAAAAAAAATTATAGTAGAAAGGAGAGGAAAGAAAAAAAACAAAAAACATACAACAGCAGGGATTCGCATGTGGTCACCCACCATACTACTAACCTGCCGGCGTGTGGCTTAAGTACGGCTGAGCGGACGGGAAGCCCTGTTCTCCACACCCTATGGTCGTATGTACTAGACAACGCCCAGAACAGGTTTAAACCATCGTCGTACTTGCCACACATCCAACCACAAAAACAAAAAAAGGGCACAGGGGAGGGGATAATAGCATGGGAAATACTCACTGGAATCCAGTCATCACCTCACTCAAATGCCAGGCGGTAATAATCGACTCCGGCACCACAGGGAGGGCAATCGCACTACCCACCAGTACCAGCTGCAGGGCCGTATTGATCTTCGAGATCTCAGTAGGCTTGACCTCTGCCGATGGCAGGGAGAAATCCCAGTAGCGCGCCATGGTCTTTGGCGGCGGAAGAGAGATCCACCGATAGTAGATTGCCGAGATGGCCAGGCCAACGTCGCGACCGAGAATAACTACAGCTAACCATACTGAATGGAAGGGTTACTAAACAATGTCGACGCATGGATAGCCCCGTCAAGAGTCTTTGACAGGCCGTTGGGGTTATCCTGGCTTACCTGGGAGAGATCCGTTCACCGCCAAGCAGGCCACACCAATCGTCATCAGCAGCTTATCGGCCATGGGGTCGATAATGGTCCCCACCACGGTCTGCAGCTGGTACTTTCGAGCAATCCAACCATCGACGAGATCGGTAATACCCGCATATGCAAACAACGACAGTGCAGCTGCATGGTAGTCGTGGACAAGTAGATAGCCAACCACGGGTGCGGCGACTAGCCGCGAAAAGGTGAGAATATTCGGGATGGTGTAGATGTTCTCGTGTGTGTTTCCCAGGGGGATCTTGGACAAGATGCGCTTCGTGGTAGAAACAGGCCTGCTTTCGTGGTTAGTCGGTACTTCCTTGCGCAGATACTGGTGCTTCTTTGCGAGCAATGCATGAACCGACTTTTGAGACTCTGAGTCCTTCTGGCCCCCAGGGGGTTGAGAGGCGGCCCACCGCCTGTGTGGTGCAAGAAGAGATGTCCTTGTGGGTAGTACCCGTAGGCCCTTGTGTTGGAGAGTGTTTCTGTCGCAAGTCAGATTTAAGGGGCACTTGAAAGTTGAAAGATGAATGGTGACTTACCTGCTTGGTAGCCGGGATAAAGCCGGGGATCGGGTCAGCGTGGACATGCATCTAGGATGCAGTGCATCCATGCGCAGAGACGCCTGACTCTGGGCGCGGAGTAGAGGATTGCCGACACAGAGTGCCCGAGACCCCTGGCCCGCCCGAAGAGGCAGCTTGCGGATAGCGCCTGCAGATAGCATGGTGGTACAAGACAGAAAGAGAAAATGAGCGAGCGTGAGTCGACTGGAGTATTTTACCGTGATGAATCAGGCCAAGGGGTGTTGCCTGGGTAAAACTGGACAGCAGGTCAACGCATGTCCCGGCACGGGATCTGGAGCTGAGCCTAGCTGCGGATGGCTACCAATCGCACCGGGTCGGGTCGCGGCTGTCTTTAAAAGAGCTGCCTGAATAGATAGAGACGGTTCAAACAAATCGATGTGTGGGTTTCTTTCCCGCACAAGTAAACATATGATGTTCTATAGTACAGCCGTGGCACTGGAATGAATGTTAGCGGGGACCCGGTCTCTCTTCCGGGAGGAGCGCGGGCGGATGGCAGCCTACAGCTCGTAGCACAGTCCGCGAACCGTCTCCAAAGCGGAATCTCGTTGCTCGAACACTCGCCACGGAGAGCCGATGTAGTCTCGCGACAAGATGAAGCCGACGCGGATTTCAGCGCGGAGAATTGTTGACCCTCTCCGGCCCTGGTCGGGGAAGGCGCCGATCGGCCGTCCACTTTGTACCTCCGCGCCTGCTTTTCTCCCTGTGTAGATGCAACCCCCTGATCCAGTTGACCTGCCCTCGCTCCTTCGTCATTTTGCTCTTTTAGCTTGGCTGTCGTCAAGGACGAAGCTACGCGTAACCATGGAGCTGGAAAGATTAGGCATGAGTCACTATGGCCGTCCACGACCATTTACTCATCTGACGGCTCTCAACACATGACAACCCGCCTGATGGCCGACATCATCCCGATGATGCCGCATAGAAATGAGAAAGAAATTGACGGCTTGAATTAGACTTCTGAAACTGGCTTGTTTAAAAGTGCTTCACCTTTAGAAATGCAGCTGTAGAGTGCAGGCTGCATTTGTCGACAAAGACGACCCAGATGGAGTGTCAACGAGATTCTGTATTAAGGGACAGTGACTGCCTCAAGACTGCCCAAGATGGCTGCCTCAGCTCCGACCACCAGAGGCGCAAAGTCGTCCTCGCCTCCCGCAAAACCCCCAAACAACCACCACCATCACGACCACCACAACCATCATCAAAAAGAGAAGAAGGACAAACCGCACGACATAAATATGTCAAACCCCCGACTCCTCATAAACAGAGAGAGTATCTACGAGCGCCAGCTGCCTGGGGACGCGTACATCACCGCGTATGTCCAGCGCCTCCAGCATGGCTACTATTCTAGCCCGGCCGTCTCCGATAATGGGGCAAATAATGTCGACTTTCTGGCCCTCAGCTTTGTGTTTCATTCGCCTCATACTCTCACACATCGGTTTAAATCAGCCACGATCCGAGCCTCGATCGAAGGAGCCGACCAGCCGTCAACCTCGACCGATGAGAACTCCCGTCCCAAACATCGCCCCAAGAACCCGCGTTTTCTGATGCATGCGCCGCATCTCATCTACGGCACCGTCTCTCCCGAGACGATGGAATGGACCTTCAGTTTGGCCGGCTCTATTGGTATTTCGGAGACTCCCATCAGCGCCAACCTGATTCCCTCCGGCAGCATGAATAGTCGATATCGCCGATACGAAATGATGCGCATCCAGGGCTCTGCGCGCACCTTGAAGAGTCCTCGTGGCCGCGAATTCGATGCCGAAGCGGCCGAAATTGTCTGGTCACTGGAGGAGAACAACCTGCAGCGATCAGGTCTCCCACGGGAGTTCACATTCGTCATGTTGATACAAAAGTATCAACCGAACGACCGGATGAAACTGACCCTCGAAATCGACCCTGTCATTCAGTCTTGGTATGGCAGCTACCCTAGCTGGTTACTCGGGTTTTCTTCCTACCAACCTGTCAAGCGAGACATTGATTTCAACCGAGAGATCGGGCAGCGCTTTGAGCCAGCAGACGGAGTGCGTGGGTTCAATTTTGCGTCGCTTGTGAACCAATTTGACGATTACATCGCGATGCCGGGAAGAAAGTATAGTCGACGGGTAAGTATTAGCTCCAAAAGCTATGAATTTTCTTGCGGTAGTTCCCCAAAGCATGCCAATACCAATTTTATTATATTCTAGATGGAGATACCTTCTGAACCCAACCTCCCCGACCAAGGCTCCTTCCACCCAGGATACCCTGGACAATATGGCTCCATCAACCCCAACCAAGGCGTCCAACAAGGCATGCAAACCCTACAGCAAATGCAGAGCACTGGCCAAACACAAGGTTCTGGCGCCCAAACATCCCTGGCAACCTTCTCTGCCGCCCCGACCTTCACAACCAACCTGCCCAGCCAAGCGAATTTGCCCACCCAAGCACAGCCCAGCTTCGCCGGCATCCAAGCTCCTCTTACCAATACCACCACCAACAACAACCTCAACCTCTCTCTCGGACCGAGCCACGGAATTGCGATAATGAACCCCTCGGCCTTGCGGTCTGCAATGACATCGCCTCCGTGCACGCGACACCCGCAAACTACAAACGCAAGCACGAAAAGCAACACGTCGGCCGTTTCCGACCACTCGAACCCGAATAAAAATAATGAAGATAAGTACGAGGAGGCTGGTGCCGGTGAGTGGCCGCCCCTATCAGGAAACGGACCAGGCGTTGATATTGAGACCATTCGCAGCAGCATGCTCCGAAGTGTCCACTGGACCAGCCCTCCGGAGGACGGGTGTGCCTCGGACGACGACACGAGCGAGGCGCCGAAACGAATCATGAACATGGAAAATCGACCACTTACGCCGTCGTTGCTGTTGACCGAGAAAGAGGCTGAAAGCTTAGATGTCTTGTTTTCGGTGACATGATAGATGTTGCATGGCGTTTCGGTTGCATGGCGTTTCGGTTGCATGGCGTTTCGGTTGCATGGCGTTTCGGTTGCATGGCGGCTGCTTTGCACAGAGGTTAACTTTGCATAGCGAGGTTTAAGCAGGGGCACTTGCTCTTTTCACTATTCTATTTTTATATATATTTATTATCTATTGTATGAGTCATGTAGTCGCTTGAATATTGTTAGCTACCGAAATACCAAAGCGAAGGAGTTTTTTAAGATATCTTTAACATCGATCTCACTTCGTTCAATGTTAGAAGTGAACATACATGCCAGGGCAGTGACCATAGCAAATAAGGTCCCCCCTATCTTGCCCAGGCCAACCCAAGAGATGCCAAACTAACTTCTATCAAAGTCTAATCTTATCTCCTGCGGCCGCATACCCGCCCGGATCGAGGCGAAGCAGTACATGAAGGTCGCCAATGTACCACGAGGTAGGCCATAGAAAGATTATACGACATCCAAGAGTGAATAACCGTAGTAGTATCGTTTCTCTTCATTTTCATGGTATGGTTTTGATTTCCTGCCCCAGATAAGTTGAACGAAAGTTGAGTTAACCAAATAATATTATAATTTGAGTCTAAAAGAGACTCCGGACTTAACCTTATGTATACCATGGGTACCGAGTCAAACAAGACGAGCCAACCACAATACAGAGTTTCGAAGTATATAAGAGTTTACCCAACGTACAATAGAGTTTCATAGAGGATAAGTGCCCCTCTCATTTGGCCATCCACGTACTCCAGAAAATACACGGAATCATTCTCCTTGCTCATGCCCAGTACACCACACACCAGCCCAACCCCGTCCTGAAGTTTGCGACAAGCACGATAGCCACCCAAAGGAGACATCCGGCCCAGAAACAATTAGTCCGCCCTCAGAGCAAATTGACTTAGGAAAGGTGGTAGGAAAGGTGGGGTGGGTGAGGTGTGGCGAGATGAGGTGAAGTGGATGGAACGAGAGCACGACAAGCAATGCAATGGATCTCAACTCGATTTCCAATTCAAGACCACCTCTAGTCTCGATATCAGTTGTTGCATGCACCCAGCCCAGACTAACGTATATCAATAAGAAAAAACCTCGAATAAGAGATAAAAAATAAAACCTTTTGGGTAATTGGGGATAGTTGCATCACATCGTAAGAACAAAACGGAAGGAAGAGAAAACGCCACCCAGGGAATTCCGAAGACAGAGAGCCTCACGCACATAAGGAAAGGGATAAAAAACAGGGGTTTCAAGGCGACATTGCGGGGAAAAGACGAAACCAGGCCATATAGACAAACATGAGTACACCGTTGAACAGTGACCAAAAAAAGCACACACACCAAACGGGAACCGGTATTTTCCCGATGAATTCCGACCAATCCCAGCCCAGGAAAAACGATATGGATCAAGGTTATGGGTAGGACCTCCCGAAACCAAGGGGGTCTATCAGCAAATAGTCATAAAACAAACACTCAAGGGGAAAGAATAAAGGGGAATGAATATAGCAATAAAAGGCCGCCGACTCCCGCTCGAACCAAACCAACCAAATCAGACCCACCCTCAAAACAAGAGCTCAGGAGTAATAGATAGAGAGCAAAGAGCCGTAACGACCAAAGGACCTGGAAAACAAAGCTCCCTGTGAAATAAGATATCCAAAAAAATAGAGAAAAAAAAAAGCGTAAACCAACACCGAGCCAATAAAAAAAAAAGACACCTCAATCCGTACCCATTTAGATTTGCGGCTGGGCTGGTGCCGTCGTCGTCCAGGTCGACAAAGGCTGAGTCGCATAATGAGGATGATTCACCGGGGGAGCCGCCGCACCCATGTAATACTGTGTGCGATCCGGCGTATAGAAGGACTGCTGGGGCGGCTGATGGTGCATGGGGTTCGATTCACGGCGGGGGACTGTAGGATCCAAGGGACCGAGTCCACGAGAATCAAGACTCGTCGCCTGACCGGAGTCCAATTGACTGGAGAGACTGAAGCTACCGCGAGAGTAGGTGGCGGGAGTTGACGCGTCCATAGGTGAAGTAGCGTCGGTTGCGACGCTGCGGGAAGAGATAGATGAATTGCGATAGGCGGATGGACTGTGGTCTGAGGTGGACCTGTTTCGATCGTTCAAGGAGCTGGGAATTGCCGTATTTAAAGCACCCGGAATCGACGAGGAGAGTGCGCTGTGGCTGAGCGAGTCCATACTTCCTCCATAAGGCCCGGCGCGGAAGGCGTGGTAGTCTTCGATTTTGGGCGTCATAGCGGTTGGCGTGGGGCCAGCGGGAGAAGGAAGGTATGGGTTGGACGCTTGCTGAGTAGGCAACGATCCGCCCATCGAATAACCCGCGATCGGGCCTGTTTGTGGTGGATGTGTGGCAGCATATGGACTGGGGTGCATGTAGAAGTCGGTCGAGGGCGCTGGCATGGCGTAACCTGGCGGTGCCATCATTTGTGGCGGGCGATATCCATACAGCGCCGCGTGGGACGGGTCGTGCGCGTTCTCCATAACACTCGTTTCTACATCGTCGATCGGAGCGCGGAAGCTTTGTTTTTGCGTAAGATCGACCCGGGGCCGGATGTAGCGCAGCGATTCCACCATCGAGGGCGGGTGTAGGACGCCGCGCATCACGTCGTCGACGCTGTAATAGGACACGAGATGGTGGGTAACGCCCATGACGGTCACACTCATGGTCTTCTTGACGAGGCCGGAATCCTTGAAGCCGTACGAATCGACCAGCGATCCCACGAGGGCACGCTCCACCTCGGACTGGTGCGGGCGGTCTCCAAAGGGGCCGGAGGGCGAGGTGGGTGAGTAGCCGGTAGAGGAGCCGTTGCTGTCGTGGCGCGGATACGGCTCGCCAGGCCTGGTGGCGGGCGTCGGGCGACGATTGGCCTTTTTCATGGCGCGTTTCTTCTCACCGGGCGGGAAGGGCTTCTCCAGTTCGCGATAGACGAGGAAGTTGCCTAGAATGCGACTCGGGCTCCAGGTGACGCCGTCGGTCCATCGCTTGATGCCGGAGGAGTTCTCCTCGTAGATGAAGACGCTGCCACTGCGGACGAGATGCGAGCGCTCGCGATCGTGCGGGCGCCGGGGCACATGGTGTAGGACGCCGGTCAAGCAGGCCTCGAAGAGGATGAGGGCATCGTTGGTGGTAGCCACATACCCCGTGAACGTGGGCTCCAGCACGGCGGCGGTCCCGTTCACCATGATGTGGGAAGATGTGTCGCAGGTACCCCGGATATGAGGAGGGGGAGAGGAAATAAGCTAAGAGATCGACCAGGGTATGGAGAAAGAAGAGCGGATGCGGTGGTTTTGAGTTAACCCCTCCTCGGGTTGGCGAAACCCAGGGATCGCCGCGCAGCACGGACCCAAGAGTCAGCGAGTCAACCGGTTGCACCGATCGAAGATCTGGTCCACCGGTGCGGTGGGAGGTTTTGGTCAGTCTTTCAGCGCGAAAAGGGGTAGGCTAATTAATGTTAAGTTAAACACTCGGAGGGTTCTGCGGGGCGAACCAGGGACAGGGGTAGCGATGAGGATATAAGAGATTACGCCCAGTATTGTAGTTCGAGGATGTATTACTACTGCTATACTACAGTATGCTCCTCGCCGGATACCCTGTCCCATTGCTCTCTCTGGTCAAGCGCAGCACAAGTACGAACTAATGTAGGCCCAAAAAAATATCTGTACCAGAGGACTGTCGTAGAGACCCCTCGAAGAAACAGGATGAACCGCGCGACGGTGTCACTCACGGAGAAATACGGGATGAAACCCCATCATATACCATACCCATGGCCGTGCTGTCGTCGTTCGAGTAAATACCCTAGTCGAGTCGAGTGTAATCATCATCGATCCAGTGGGCCGATCGGAGGCCATTCTCTCCGCTTGTGTCTGACTCAGCCCCTTCAGGCAAATTCGCCTACCCTTTTCGGACGTCTACCTGACAGATTGGGGAGCTTCCCGTGGGTGTCGCCGCGCCGCCCACGGTTTGCCTCGCCGCCATCGCTGGTTCTTCCCTCCTTCACTGCCCGCAACTCACGACCATGACCACACCTCATCTCTGGGCACATCTGCCGCAGCCAGCAGTGGAACATCGGGGGATTTCGACTCAACGGTTTCCAAGGGGCAAACAAGTGGGTGCGAGTGGGCGCGAGTGGGCACGAGTGGGCACCGCCGCGGAACTATTGGAAAAGGGGCCTCCACCCAAGAAAATGGGGCGGAAACGAAGTGATCACCGGCACGTCAGAGATCTGGAGGCCTGACCCCGTGGATCCGCCCATTTTCTGGCCTGCAGCTAGCGCGGCCAGGGATGGAATGGGACTGAGCGCCCGCGCTGGCGGAGCCTACGACAGTACCGCCATTATTGTACCTGAGGGCCCGTGGGAGTAAAAAACGCGGGAAAACAACCACTCGGTTGGCGCTGGCGCCCTGCCTCCAATCAGCACCGCGGGATGTGCAGAACCGGTCGCACGCGTCGCAAGGTTTCGAGTCTTTATTCTACATAGACTTTAATGACTTTGTTTTCTGCGTGCTGGGCAAGAGGGTCCCGTTCCTGGGGCGCATTGGATCCTGGCAAAAGTTTCGCGGGAGATCCTCAGCAGATCCAGCAGCACCAAGCACACCAGCAACCACTGACCAAGGAGTCGTCACATCACTGCCACACTGCCACGCTGACCGGATCCTTGGTCCCTGCAGTCCCCAGCCAGTCCCTGCCTAGCACACTAAACTCCTACAGATAGACTACAAGCGTCCACTGACATACTGCCCCTCATTTGGTCACGATCGGCAGCTCGTGGCGGAAAACTCTCTTCTGCTCTGCTTCTTCACACAACGGACGACTGTCCTCCGCTGTTTCAGGTTCAGATGGTCCCGGCGAACTGGGTGAACAGGAGACGATCCCAGTTGGCGCACGCTTGTTAAAACTCAATTGGCGCCGTGACAGATGTCAATGTCAATGTTAATGTTACTGTCAGTGTCAGACCATGATTTTCCGTCGATACGCGACACTAGGGAACTCCAGGATTATCCACGATGGGGTCGTGCTGGGTCGGCCACGACTTGCCTCGGGGCACGTAGAGGGAACAGACCAACACCAACCGCCCGACCCAAGCAGCTGGGAGATGATCCTCGGGATCCCTCCTTCAGTAGGGCCGTGCTGGGAGTGGACGTGATGGGGGTGGTGGATTGGGGGAGGGAAGGGAAATGGGGAGCAGATGATGATTTCATCTGGCGCCAGCAGCAAATGAGAAGAGCGCGGTATCCAGATCCAGTCATGGCACGGATCCTCTTTCGGTCGATCGCCGGGGTTCTGGACTCGCACCAGCCAGCAAGCCGCCATCATCTTCGCCAGAAGCAGTCCCAGGTAAGCGCGCAGGGCGGGGAATCGCACGGAGGAGAGACACGACCATGCTCCGCTCCATTACGAGGGCGCAGCATGGCGTCGCCCAGCTAGGCTAGTGTCGACCCACCAGGTAAACAAATCATCTCCAGCTTTCGTGCAGATCTTCCACTCCCATTCGCCCGCACTAAGAACCCACATCCACGGACGGCGCACCACCGTACCAGACACTCGGGGCGCCCAGATTGTTCAGATGCATTCTGCAGTCGAAGAACACTCGCTGCACGCTCCCTCGCTGTCCTTGGAGCGGTTTGATGTGATTCAACGGCATACAGAGGATGACTCGGCATGTCCTCTTCTCGGTACGGAAGATGAAGCAGTTGATCATCTTGGAGGGTCGAGGGGACCCTGAGTCTCGTATTAAGACAGCGGGGCAAGCGAGCACCTTCCAAATCAAACACAAACAGATTACGGAGTCCAAAATAATTTGCATCCCCAAATGAAAATCGCGGCACTAAACACCACCGGCCGCATGGCCTCACTAGTCCACCACTGGACTGGACCTGGAACCAGCAGTGTGGCGTGGACAGCCGTCCTCTTTTTTTGGTTCGACTGCGCTAAGAAATCCCGCAGGGTCTGATGATCTTCACCGGTCTAACTCTGTGCACTCTACCCCTCTCGAGGCCCGGCGAAGACATCACCTATCACGCTTCGGGGAAGCGACGATCCGGTTTCGACCGTCAGGACCAGCGGCGGCGCCGGCAGCATCCCCCAACCAACACTACTCACCAGCGCCCGGCACTAAACCCAGCGGACCCCCGGGCTAGTGCTAGTGCGCGCTGGGAGCTGGTAAATACTGGCACTGGAGCTGTGGTGCTGCTGGGCGCTGGACGGTGCTAGCGGCAGTCCTTCTTGGCCACCCCTCGACGATCGCGCTAGTTGTTGGCGTCTCCAGGAGGGGGGAGGACGATGTGGGTGTCTGTAACGGGCAACATGTGACGGGGAAACAGGTGCAGCACCTGGTGATTGGCAGCTCATCTTTGATTTCTTGCCCAGTCCAGGCTTGCTGGTATCCCTTCCTGCCTATCTGGTCCTCGGGGTATGGTCTGGTCTGCTTGCGATTGCCTGGGCTCTGACTCTGGCTCCTTTCCTCCGAGTACTCTCCGTGCCTCCTTTGTCCCCGTTCTCCCTGCGATAGTGCCAACTACCAATGACATATTCCCGCAGGACCCCCTCGTATATCCTCTATCCTCCATTTGTCTTTGTTGCCCTACATCTGTCCTCTCTTCCCCACCCCCTCCCCTCTTTATCCCATACTTTGTAGATGACTGATCCACTAACACTAGCCCCCGTTGATGGCACCGGGTTCAAGGTTCATCCTAAACGCGGCGCTGGCCTCTCAGACTTGCAGGAAACATTTCGAACAGCGCGGCGCTGAAACGAGATCGGAGGGACTGGGGGTCTGAGATCAGTGATCATCACGATCGTCTAATAATGCCATTCTCGGTGCTCGCACAGGGCAGATGACGACGTGCGAACGCTCTCTACCCTAAGGTACCTAGCGCTTGCCTACGAAGACGAAGGACCTCCCTCTAGCGTGGTTAGCTCTTTGATGGAGACTGACAAGTGGAGAGATCGGAGACCCGCAGACTAAGAAATTCAATCGCGCTCATCATCATTATCACCAAGAAGGATTAGTGGTTCGTGGTATAGCGTAGCGCAATAAACATCGGGCCCTACGCCTTGACCTCTTCTCTGGGGATCCATAGTGGAATCCATTTTCTTGGTTCGAAGATGCCAATCTCCTGACGAACCCGACACATCCACCTCGACCCCAACAGAATGCCAGACCCTAAGTACGCTAATCTTTGCCTGAGAGATGCTCTGCTAAGCATTGCTGTGTGCTGACCAAGTCTGTGCCCGAGATGGCAGCTCGTAATTACGGAGCCCCTTCATCATCATCATCGTCATCATCATCTCTCGGCATTTAAAGTGGACTAGAAGATCAAGTCGGCTCGGGATGATATGAAGAGGAAGTGGAGGTAGACTCCACAAAAGCCAAACCAAGCACGAATTGACTCCATCGTCCTGCATGCCTAGCCATGAGAAGAAGCAACGAGCTGAAGAATGATGAAAAAAGAAAGCAGTTGGTACCGTCGCCCCACAGAAAAGAAAGGCAAAAGCAAAAAGAATCAAGGTAAAAAAAAAAAAAAAGGTAAAAAAAGCAAAAACCACTCGTGTTGACGGCCAACGCACCTTGTACGACGTCGATGGTACCGGCGCCCGGTTTCGTGTCGTACAAGGTAGATCGTGTCATCACCTGTCACTTGGCCCAGCCGTCGTGACCGGTTAGAGGAGTTCCTCCGAGACACGCCTAACGTTTACCGACCCAACGGCGTGGTGTAACTTGTCCTCTGACCTTGTCCCTTGTCCATAGAAGTGCTGGGGCTAGTCAAGGCTGGAAGCCACCACCTGCCTATCGCATGCCCTCTACAGGTACCTAGGATATGGTTAGGGATATGCTAGTTTAGATGGCCCAAGTATGCGGTCGACGGTACGTACTAGGAACATGGAAGAAGCATAAGCATAAGCGGCGAACCCAGGGGGCCCCAGACCACGCCAACTACATCGTACATACATAGTATATGACGAGGAGTAGTATACATAGTATCTATTTGTATGAAAGTCCACATAGACGCGAAACGCACCTATCACCACCTCAGCCAGCTGTATTCTGCAGCGCGGTGCACTGCAATGCACCGACTCGCCCATTTCGCAATATAATCCACGAATAACCCCACCTATGTGACCTCGCCACGCCCAAGCCCCGACTGGATTCCGCGCCCATCACGCGAGCTAGGCCCAGGCGTCAGCGTTGAACCTAGGGCAATGACGCCGATGGACTGGAGAAAGGGGCTCCTCCTCACTAGCGTCGTCTTACCGCAAGGACGAGCCCCTGTTGTTGCACTTCATGTGGAAGAGCATACCGATCGATCGGATGGTGGAATGGATGAATCTGGGACAGGATTGGGTGTCGAAGGGAACTCGTTGCCACTGGCTTACGGTAAGTAGAAGAATACTTTACGGTAGGCGAATAGAGGGAGGTGGAAACTACTACTATCTACAAACTATCCACTGGATATACTACATTAGGTATGCTGAACGAGGATATGAGAAATGACCTGATTCGCGATTATCCACTTATCACCTTATCACGAAGGAGTATACACAAGCCCTCTGCAAGAAATACTGCATGCCGACGTAATTCCAACAAAGTTCAGATCATCTCCAACGCCCCGGACACACTACACACCACGCAGTACTAGTGTAATGCCCAACTGGAATTCCCAGAACCAGCAGACCGGGACAACAAAAGTCAACACGCCATGACCGCAACGCACAAACCAATCCACAGCCACGAAATTCGGACAGGATGGAATACTATACCCGACTGTGAGTCCACTAGCGTTAGAGAATCTACTGCCCATCATGCCCAACTAGTGCCGACGTGCAGGACGCATCCCTGTTATGACGCCGTGTGCTGCTGCCTTGATCGGCACCCCTTGCGTGGATTCCAGTATGGTGGGACGGCGTGCGTGCCAGACCGGGTTGTCCTCGCGTGTTTGAGTTGTCTGGGGATTGGAATGTACGGGGTTTTTGCTTTTTTGAGGAGGTTGGGCGAGTATCGAGTTTTGGGGTGGTACTTTGTCGATGGAGGTTCTATTGTGTCCCCGGGGTTAGAGAGTAGATAGAACCTGTTAGGGTACTGTTAAAGAGCTGCCATTTCACAGTTGAATTGGTTTGGTCCTGATTTTGTCATGTTGTAGAAGTACTTTGAGTTTGCCTGTGTCTTGAGTTGAAGATGTATATATATATATATGTGCGTAGTTCTGATCCTAATTGTAGCCAAGGATTCTAACGACTTTAAAATGCACACTATCGTTGTTAAAAATCACATATTGTGGGTTTCAAACTAATTCTATAGTTCAACGTGATAGATAATACACACCATATTGCTCCATTCGTCATTATGTAGGCAGAGGGAAAATAGATAAATACAATCCAAAGAAATCCAGCCCATATTGTACAATCAACGCCCAGTTGTTTCGCTGAAATCAAAATGCAGATCCATGGATGCACTCGACAAATTAAGGAGACGAACGCAACATATCAGCCACAGCAGGATCGTCCTCGCTAGGAATCTCCTTCGTGAACCCACTACCTCTCCGCACATGCATCAACAGACGAAGGGCACCAGCAGGCGTAACACCTTCAATACGACGAGCCATACCAACACTCGAAGGTCGCACACGCTCCAACGCCTGCTTCTCCTCATTACTGATCCCATGGATCAGGCTATAGTCCAGGTCAGCGGGTAGCAACAGATTCTCATCCTGCTGGAACCGCTTGGCCATCTTCTCCTGACGCTTCAAGTACGGCGCATAGCGGCCTTCGATGGCAACGCGAGTTCGAATGGCTGGGTCGAAGGAGGCAGCCGTATACGCTGTACCAGGAGTGGAGTCGATATGCGGAATGAGAGTATCGATGTCTGCTCCATCCAGACAGAGGATGTCGAGTGCAGAGCGCACCGAAGTATCTGCGCGGACCTTGAAGCCCTTGCGCGACCAGGCCGTTGAAGAAAGCTTCGTCTTTGATAGTAGAGACTGCAATTCTTCGATCTGTGCTTCCGTCTCTGTGAAGGCGTTCCAACGACGGTCAGAGATGACTCCGGCCTCGCGGGCCATGCGCGTCAAGCGGAGGTCGGCGTTGTCAGATCGGGTTGAAATGCGGTATTCACTGCGTGTCGTGAACATACGGTAGGGCTCTGAGACGCCCTTGGTGATGAGATCGTCGATCATGATGCCAATGAATCCATCGGACCGGGTTAGAGTCATGGGAGCTCGGTTTTGTGACTCCAGACCAGCATTCGTACCAGCAATTACACCTTGTCCGGCGGCTTCTTCGTAGCCTGTTGTACCATTGATTTGACCCGCCAGGTAAAGTCCGCTAATCAACTTGGTCTCCAGAGTTGGACGCAAGTTCCGCGGGTCAATGTAGTCGTATTCAACTCCGTATCCTGGCTGGAGCATGTTCACGTTCTCGAGACCACGGACAGTTCGCAGCATGGCGTACTGCGCATCTGCAGGGACAGTCATGGAGATACCATTGGGATAAATCACTTCGTTCGGCGCAAAGCCTTCCGGCTCAAGCCAGATCTGGTGTCGTTCCTTATCTTTGAACCGGATGATCTTCGATTCCAAAGACGGGCAGTATCGGGGTCCTCGAACGGTTTCTCTGATATGAACAGATTTATCCAGGTTTGCGCGAATGATCTCGTGGGCGGCCTCGTTGGTATGTGTCATCCAGCAGTTCAGTTGGCCTTCGTCGCCAACTTGAACAGTCGCATTGAGATAAGAGAATGGCATAGGAGGCGAGTCTCCTTTTTGAACTTCCAAAGCCGAAAAGTCGATCGACTTCATGTCCAGGCGAGGCGGCGTTCCGGTCTTCAAACGGCCGAGTTGAAAGCCTGCATCACGCAGAGACTTGCTCAGACCATATGTCGGAGCTTCACCCATACGTCCGGAAGGAAATGTCTCCAGACCAATATGAATTTCACCACCCAGGAAAGTACCAGTTGTAATGACAACACGCCCTGTGGGAATAATCTCTCCAGACTCGAGTCGGACGCCAACAATTTTGCCCTGAGCACCAGGCGTATTCTCCATGCCTTCTTTCGAGACAACAATATCGGCAACCTTGCCCTCCACAATACTGAGGCCCTCGGTATTGACCAGTTCCTCCGTCATGTACTTCTTATACAGATCGCGATCGATCTGCGCGCGCGGTCCCCACACCGCGGGTCCCTTGGAGCGGTTCAACACTCGAAACATGATACCAGCCTTGTCGATGATCCGTCCAGCAACACCATCCATCGCATCGACCTCGCGAATCATCGTTCCTTTTCCGATTCCACCAAAACTCGGATTACACGAGCAAACACCAATGTTCGAAAGCGAGGGCGTCACAAGCGCAGTACGCGCTCCGGATCGAGCAGCAGCAGCGCATGCCTCGGATCCAGCATGGCCACCCCCAATAACGACGACATCGTAGGGCCTATTGAAACACAAAAGTGAACGGTTAGCAATGCGCTCAAGTCTTCATACACGTTCAAGGGGAAGTCACATACTGCGTGCTTTCAGCAACAGTCGCAAGTCGACGAGACCTGCCTATTGACACAGGAACACCAATGCGCCGTCGCAGCAAAGCCACCGACCGCACCCGAAAAGCCATGGCGAGATGAGGTGCCTTCAACGTGCGAATCGAGACTTCGAGATCGTCAAATTCCAGGAACCCTCAGAGTCGCCCGAACGATAAGACAAAAATATACTCAGTCACGTGTGGATAAGAAATGACATAAGCATCTTACGCCATCGGCCAATTGCGGGGCAGCAATATTCAGTGGGATCTCACCTCTCACTTGTGAACCTGCATTGCACCACAGTGGCCTCAAAACCCCCTTTTCAAGCCATCCAGACACAACAGCAGTGAAAATGCGAGCCTACTGGTACGACAACAAGCCGGTAAGTCAGGAAACTACCCCAGACAACCTGTTTCAACCCCAAGTGATCGGCCGCCATTGGCAATGACGCAGTACATTGATGTACATTTTGTGTTCAGGGCGACCAGCGCGAGCCGCACGACTCCGGTCGCGAAGTCTCGGAAGAGACCCTCACCAAGCTCGGTGTTCTATACCACCACTGCCCGACGCTTGAGGCCGTCGATACCCTGGCTCAGAACCGCGGATACAAGAACCGGGATCAGGTGTGCGTTTCGCCTCAGACTATGGGAGATGTGTACGAGGAGAAGGTGAAGATGTTCTTTGCGGAGCATCTGCATGAGGATGAGGAGATCCGGTATATCCTCGATGGAGAGGGATACTTTGATGTTCGTGGGGTTGAGGATGAATGGATTCGGATCTGCCTGCGCAAGGACGATATGATTATTCTTCCTGCTGGTATTTACCACCGCTTCACGACCAATGAGCAGAACGTATGTGAAATTTCCCTCTTGAAATACCAACCCTCTAGGAATTCGGTGATTTGGGATTGATTGACTAACCACATCCTGTAGTATGTCAAGGCGATGCGTCTCTTCCAGGACGAGCCCAAGTGGACACCGCTGAACCGTGGAGCTGAGGTCGATGTGAACCCGCACCGCAAGAACTACCTAGACAGCTATCTGCAGCCGACCGCTGCAGCGAACTAGACTTCATAAATGCTTGGAATTTTCTTTTCGGTATTGATTTCGGGTTGAAATGCTTAATGACTGACGGATGGAACAGAGGTTGAAAGTCTCTTGTTCTTGTTTATGCTCTTCGATATCCTTTTGAACAAAAATGCACATACTAGATATTGAAATGGAGACTTGTTCCGGCTATTGACTTCATATTTTAAAGCCACTGCTCTTATTCTAGCTATGTATACATTGCAATTCAAGATGTATCCAATGCTACGGTAGGCATTGGATTAGATTAGAAATTTCGTCAAGCGTCGTCATCCAAGACACAAAATCAGTCTCGAGGAACAGGCGTCCCTGCAGGCAAGCCACCGGGCATTTCAAAATGGTCACTTGCAACCCCGGCACTATCCTCCCGAGTCATACTGGCACTCCGAAGACCCACCAAATCCATATTGAAACTACTGCTGCGGGAGCCACCGCCCAGTCCTAACCGGGGATCCACCGGCCCACGGAACCTCAGTCCTTCAGTCTCTCGCTCACGTTCATCAGAGAAGCGCATTGGACCCTCGGCGGAGCCCGAGCTGCGCGGAGGAGCTGTGGATCCCGCATCCGAGTCCTCGCCAGTACGAACACCTGTCCGACCCATGCGCGGCCACAGATCCGGCAATCCGACCACCTGCACCCGAGGCTCAACAACGCGTTCCTCAAACCAGGCATGGACACGGGCTTCGACGAGCTGCGCGACCTTGGGCACATCCTGAAGGCGACTGCGGGAGCCGATGAGTGAACGCACGGAAAGATCTAGCCGGTAATCCGGCAAGAATGAAAAGGCAACGTTGCTCTTGGGACTACCATTTTGTGGTTTCTGGCCTTCGGAAGACTCATCGCCTTCTGGAGAGCCTGGAGCCGCATTGGCGTCTTGATTTGGCATTGGGGATGCCGCTGGGGTATGGAGTGGATCGGTTGATGCGGGGATGAGCGAGATACATAATGTTCCCGAAAATCGCACGACAGATACCGAAAGCGCGACCGGGAGGATAGCAGAGCGAGGCTTTGGGTAATTGAGCACAAATTGAGTTTCCACGGCGATAGACAGGTTATCATCGCTGAGGTCGACGTCTAGCAGGGCCTGTAACCTTCCTCCGTCGGCATTGGTGGGATCATCGACGGCAATAATACGACAATTGCTGAAGATGGGGAATTCCTCGCCCAACGAGATATCCGTCACGGTGATCTTATCGATGAAAGAGGGTTTCTTCTCAGGGTTATTCATGGCCGCGGTCAGGGAGCTCAGGATGGAGGAGGTAGGCGAATCCTTTAGCGAGTAAGCAGTTTGCCTATACTGAGCAATTGTCTGCGCGATCAAGACATTGAACCAGTCCAGGGACTCGGGCTGGTGAGATGAGTGGTGCATCCGATGGCGGCCATGCTTGGAGGGGTTGGTAGGGATGGCGCTGTAGTATGTCTTGCGGAGAATCGAACGGGTATTTGTGGAAGAAGCGGGTACAGGACGGAGGACATTGGAGGTTGACGGCTTTTCTCGGAGGGACTTTTGGTCTTGCGGGGTGTTGTAGACGGAGCTGTAGCGGCGGTGGGTTGTGCGGTTTGACAGGCCGCGCGAGGGAGGTGGGGGTGCTTCGCCAAAGATGAAGAATTTGATGAATGCGCCGATGAGCAGCACCACGGACAATTGGCCTAGGAGAAATCCCTGCGTGAACGAGAGGCTGGCCAGGTTAGTGATCTAGTTCATAGTGAAGCGCTTCCAAGGTGGGCATACGAAGACTGCGGCGCAACCGGCACGGGCTCAGCTGGAGACCTAATGTTAGCATCGTACGCGCGACAGCAAATTTTAACAGGAAACGTACGTTGTGGGAGCGCCATTGTCAGGTTGTGCGTCGTGGAGCGCCCATCCCCGAGTTGAGGAGGTTGGGTCAACTTTGGCCGCGGTGGATCCTTCTTGGCTGAACTGCTTATCGCTTATCGGCGTTGCCACTTGACCTGCCGAGCGAGGGCCCGAGTGTCCATGGAACTTGCATCTACAGGACACCGTGGTTCGTGACAAGCTCCTTTGAGTCCCACCCCCAGGCTGCAGGACTCTCCGAGATCTGAAGGAAGAGGCCACGTCAACCTCCAAGTTATTCTTCAGCTGAAGCTGAGCTCAGCTTTCATCAGAACCTCACCATGCGCTACTCATATGCAGCACTGACTGCAGCTTTTGCCTCACTACTACTTGCCTCGCCAGCAACATGCAAATCAACGGCGAAACCACCCGGCAAAAATGCCATCCAACTGTCTACTGTTCAAGCGTTGACACTGCGCGCAGATCGTATGACGAGCTCTCGCCGCGTCTCTCCCATTCCTCAACTTACTTGCGTTGGACCTCCGAAGGTCTGCGATCTATATAAGATCGAATCAATGCGCTGCAACAATGAAGGCCATGACTATGATGAGGAAGATGTCCAATGGACTTGCAAAGCACAACTGCCTCCGGAATTCAAGCTTGGTTCTACCGATGTGGTGTGCGAAGGATATCGGAGCTCCGAGGACCCGTGGGTCCTTAAAGGCAGCTGTGGAGTTGAATATCGCATGCTTTTGACGGAAGAAGGCGAGAGAAGATTTGGAAAGTACTATGGCCAGTCCACGGAGCCTTTATGGAAGCCCACAAAAGCCAAGACAGGACGACTCTTTCAAAAACTTTTGGCCTGGGCGGGAGAACTCATCTTTTTGGGGTTCTTCATCGCTGTTTTCGCGATCATATTCTCTCCGTTAATTGCAGCCCTCTTCGGTTATAGAACACAACCAAGAGATGGAGGTCCACGACGCGGATGGGGAGGGTTTTGGGGAGGCAGCGGAGGAGGAGGCGATGATGGGTTTTATCCTGGACCACCACCCCCTTATAGCAACAATCATTGCTCCCCTGGGTATGAGAGAACAGGATGGAGACCAGGGTTCTGGTCTGGAATTCTGGGAGGCGCGGCAGCTGGATATCAAATGGGACGGAACAGTAACCGTGGTCGTTCATACCAGTTCGGAAGGTTCAATGACCCCGGAGAAGGCAGTTCACGCCGTTCACCACCGCGATTCTCGACTACGACAACGGGGACAGGGCTTGGTTCAACTCGGCGCAGATAGACGGGTTACATGTCTCACATAGGCGGAAAGATACCATGAAACCAGAAAAGGATATACTTCAAATTCTAAAGCAATTCAAGGACTGATCTTGAAACTCCGTGGCTATAGTCCCTGTGTATCATTTCCCAGCCCAAAACGCCAAATGCCCACCTACCCTTATATCATAAATCATTCAGAATGCTGGAATCTCGTCGATGGATCCCAGGACTTCCTCAGTCCCACCAGCGGCATTCAGAGCAGCTTGCTTCTTGCTGTTGCGTGATTTGCCTTTGGCCTTGCCCTTTTCATTCTTGGGTTCTTCTTCAGCGCCTGCACCGTTCGGGTTGCGCATCATTTCTTCTTGCAACTGCTTCTCCTTGGCATGTTGCTCCTCCATGGCGCTCTTCTCCTCATCCAGTTCCTTCTGGACAATCTTCGGATCGTCAAGGGTTTGGTTTGTCAGTGCGGAGTAGGAATCGGCATCGATGACTTCGCGAGGACCCAGAAGCGTATCTCTAATGCGCTCCGGATACTTGCGCTCCTCACTGTTGAACTTCAGCTTGATCTGGCGACGGGAGCGGCCAGGGAATAGGTTGCTGATAATCCCGAAGTCTGTGCCAAACATGCGCAAGCCGCGGTAGAACAGATCCGTCATCTCATCGTCCCAGCTCTCAGTCTTAGAGCGTTTGCCATATGTAGACTGGTTGACCTTGCGGGTGAGTTGATTTTCCACCACGTCTTCCAGTTCGCCTGCGTTCCGTGCTGCATCAGCATGGCGATCCACCTCAAGTGACGTAGCATCAAGAACAATCTCTCCATTGACGATGCGCATGACAGGGCCCGCTGCTGGGCCCTTGGGTTCGAGAAGTTGTTCCCTCTCCTTCCGAGCCGCCTCGGCCTCAGCTTCTTTGCTCTTCTTGGGAGTTGCATTGTTTGAGCCTTCTTCCTGAGCCTTCAATTTATGCTCCAATTCCTCAACTTCTAGTCGCCGTAATTCGACCTCACGCTTCGACTTCCGTCCAGTCTTCAAGTCTTTGCAGAGATCTGACATTTTGACAACATTCGGCACGATTTCTACCGTTTCAGCGTCTTCCGGTGTAGGCTCGCGCTTTCGGCGACGAGGTCGCTTTGGTTTGCCCGCTCCATCGGCCTCCGACCGCTGTCGCCTTTTGCCCTTGGCACCTGCTTGACTCGGGTCTGGTGTTGACGGCGTCACAGAAACGCCCGGGGCTTCGGTTCCATCAACTGTAGTAGCAGCAATGCTGATATGAGAGCGACGTCTTTGGCGTGGCTTGGAAATGTCCGGGACTGGTGGTCGATTCGGCTGATATTCAATTGTCCTGAAGGAGGGCGCAGGCGGAGCAGCAACGGGTTGGGTAGCACTCGAGCGGGGAGAAGGCTGTTCATTCAAGGTAGCATCAGAGGTGTGTGTAGGTGCTGGGGGTGCACCACGGCGCGTGGATGGCTCGGCATCCTCTTCGATGGAAGGAACTATTCCAGATTCGATTTGAGGCTCGGTGGCCGAAGTTCGGGGGGATCGGGAGATATCTGGAGCGGGTATAGGAGTAATGGTCGATTTGTGTGTCGCAGAAGCTCTAGGTTTTGGGCGAGGGATTGGAATGGCTGTGGCCGACTTCGAGGTGGCCGGAGGTTGGGTCTTTTCCTGCGAGGACGCGACGAGCGGGGTTGATTCGGTGATCGCCGATTGCTCCGGCTCCGCAGATGAGATCGCAGGGGACGCAACAGGTCCTATCGCCTCTCGCTCATGCTGAACAGCTTGTGCAGTTTGCGCCTGGACCTGCTGAGTTGCGCTGGGCCGCCTAGCAGGCGCACCCGGCGCGCCGCGGCGGGGAGGCGCCTTGGGGGCGAACTTTTTGCCCGATTTGTCTATTGAAAAAGCATCGTCAGTATATGATTGACATGAGCGATCACTTTACCGGCAGTGATGACGTACTAATAACAGAACTCGAGAAGGCCTTCATTGTTGCCCATAGCTGTCGACGACAAGGTTGTGATTAAGATCGAAGCGCGAAAAGTTGCGCCGGGGAAGTGGATGAAGATCACGTGAGGAACACTAGTGCCGCGCTAAACCTCGTTGAAAATCCTCCTGGCTTCACTCCTTCAATCTCAACCATCCCACCCCTGCACTCGCCCCTGGACCTCCACCACCCAGCCTTTGCTATCGATTTCACCCGTTCATACGCGTCTTGGACTTGTATTCACCAAATTCGGACACGGTTGCGGTCCCTCTATTTGGCTGACGGACGGTTCGGTGGTGACGATAACTCCCCTCATCGGATGTCAGTCTAGCCACTGATGCCGGCCGCCGAACCCCCCGTGCCTACTGAGTCCGGTCTCATCAAGATGGAAGACCGGAAGAGGCCCGCCGCGGACCATAATGATTCGGCCCCTCCGTTAAAGAAGCAGGCCACCACCTCGAATGGGAGCAGCAAACCGCACCCCGATGCGGACATGCCGTGGAAGGATGACCTCGAGGTATGTGGCCCCCGGATCCTCTATGACGTTGAAGACCCAAGGGTGTCTTTAACACTGATATCCGAAACAGCGCTGACGGTGCCACCTCTTGACAGCGATTTCAAAAAGATGCGATCTTGCGACAGATGCAGGAATTCAAGCGGGAGAAGCAGTCACTGGAGTCGCGTTTGAGTGAAATGTTGAAAGCTGCCACGAATCATGACGGTCACCTGCGCGTTATTGATGCTTGGTTCAATCAGGTGCGTCGCGTGCCGCTTTGAATTGCGCTTTCTGAGATATGTGTCCGGACTAACGGAGTTTTAGTTGATTGATGAAATGAAAGTGTTACTGGGATCCGAGGCGGTTGCCAAAGGTTGGTCTTTACCCCACTTGAAGTTTCCGTATCTACCGGGGGCCTGAGAACTAACACATGTATAGAATCATCGTTCAAGAGCTCCTTGCAATTTGAAGATGTAGAAGGATTCGAGGCGCATTTGAAAACAAGATCCGACGATATCCGCGAAATTATTACTCATCTTCAGTCAAAGGCGGCCGATGTGTCTCCTGAAGTGACGGAGCTACAAACCCAATTGGCAAAGAAACTCGCCGAAGAAAAAGTCACCATCGCCAATTTGGAAAAGACCCTAGCAGAAAAGCAACAGCTTGAAGAAAGCCTGGAGGCAGCCTCCCTACGGTACATGGTCGCTGAAAAGAAACTCGATCGCGCAAAGAGCGTTACTGTTGCCAAACTCGAGAAACAATACATCCTTGGAGGTGCTCGGCCAAGTTCTGAAGGTGCCCAGGGCAAGCGCGAGGAATCGTCTCCTGCAAACAGCGGGACACCCGTGGGAGACCGCAGTGCTGAATTGGAAGAAACCAATGCCAGGCTTTCCGTTATTTCGGAAAAGCAGAAAGAGCAACTTCAGAAACTTGAGGCGGAGAACGCTAATTTGCTCGCTCAAGTTAACGAGCAGAGGATTAAGGTATGACCCATACTGTATGAACACCGGATAGCTATGTGAATGTTTGCTAATGTCCAAATTCTAGTACTCGAAACTTACGAACGACGATTACGCCCATACCGATCTCTTCAAACAAATCCGATCGCAATACGATGATGTGGTGAAGCGCATCAATCATCTGGAAGCGACAAATGGCCAACTGCGCGAGGAGACCGAGAAGTACCGTTCCGAAAGGACTGCATACAAGCTCGAAGTTGAGGAAGAATCGAAGAGCGCCATCGCCGAGAAGGAAGCTCAGCTGATGAGAGCCGAGACCGATTTGGCTCGGATACGGAATGCCCGCGATGAACTTTTGGCCGATCAGCAGATGCGCAAAGCGGCACAAGACCAAGAGAAAGCGACTAGCGTTAAGCTCCAAGAGCTAGCGGATGCTCGTGAGGCTCGTATCACGGCTTTGGAATCGGAGATCGAAAGGCTGCGCCTACAGATTGACGGGGCCAAAGCCGCAGAGAATGTGGCCGATATGCCGGTGGAGGAGCTCCGCTCCAAGTACACCAATTTGGAGCGCCAATATTCTATGCTTAATACCGAGTTGACGTCCATGCAAACGGCCTATAAGAAGTTTTCTACTCTGGCATCTCAAAAGGTTACCGACTTTGGGGTCCTAGAGGAGAAGGTGAACCGCCTGAAAGCCGAGAAGTCTAAAGCCGACCAAAAATATTTCGCTGCGATGAAGAGCAAGGAGGCTCGTGAGGTCGAGGTTCGTACACTTCGAATGCAGAATTCGAAAACCTCGGACATTGTTTCGCAGCTGAAGGAGTCGGAGTCCGTGGCACGGTCTCTAGTGTCCAATATGGAGAAACAAGTCAGCGAGACCAAAGAAGCCCTCAATTCAGCACTCGACCGGCACCGGGCTACCCAGCAACAGCTCACCGAGAGGGATATCATGGCAGAAGGGTTGAGGAATCAAATCACTGAATTGAAGTCTCTCTCGACCTCGAAAGACTCGACGTTGGGGAGTACTTCCTCCGCCCTGCGAGAAGCCGAGACCGAAGTCGCGGGTCTCAAGCAATCGCTCTCGGACACCAAGAAAAGCCTGGACAACTGGAAGAATAGGAGTCTGGGGAACAATTCTTCGGAGTACGAAATGCTGCGAGTAAGTTTGACCGGGCGGCCGCACTGGCCGCACTCTAAAATTAAGTTTGGATGGGTCCGCTAACCTCGATGTAGAAAATTGCTCTCTGTGGGGTTTGCAGCACGAACTGGAAGGATACAGTGCTCAAGACCTGCGGCCATGTCTTGTGCAAGTCCTGTGTGGAAGAACGGCTGACCTCGCGCTCACGCAAATGTCCCCACTGCGCCAAATCATTCGGAAGTAACGACCACATGCGCGTTACCCTCTGATCCGACCCATCGCTTTTAAAATTCTTCTTCCATGTATTTATGACACCTTTTGTTTTCTTTTCTTCTACTCCCCCTTCTACCCTATTCTTTTAGTGGTCACTTCCGGACAGGTCCATGGTGTGGTGTTGATTTGTTTTATCTTTTCCCACGGAGTTGTTGGGTCGGCGTTTGACGAGTTAATGTCGTGTTTCCATGCGGTCGCATCTGGGTCGACGCATTGGTGGTTTTCTATTTTTTCTTGGTTCCCAAAGGCGCTGGGGCGCTGAGTGAGCGGCTTTGAGTACTCTTTGGATACCCTCAAATTTCCTCAGAGGCGCGTTGTGGACTTCTTCGGCCGTGGCTCTAGATCTCTGTCATGTAGGATTACATTTGTTTTACTTTGTGGAGAAAAGAGAAACGGATACGATGAATGCAAAAATGCGAAATGCACATGCAGTATTATGACAGTTTATAATGGGGTCTTTATACATATATACATCATAGCCGTTATGAGTTAAAGATGCGGCTGTACAGCAGTTCATGCCGACCGATCCACAGGTCCAGTGCGGGCACAACCTGCCCGGCTTCTTCCGGCTCGGTGTTCCACTCCCGCTCAATGCGCGCCATAATCGTATCTTGCAGACTCTGGCTCGCAAGAATATTCTGTGCCTGGTATGGACCCATTACTGAGGCGCGCACTGCCGCGCTCAGCACGGCCTTGGCGTGGTTCAAAACAAAAGTATACGCCGTCTGCTGGAGATCCAGCCCCATAGCACGACAAACGACACCCCACAGCGGCGCGAAATGGCCGCGAGGCCCAAGATCATATTCATCGACGTCCTCAAAGGAAGACTTGAGAGCATCGGAGAATTCATCAATGGCCGAAGTCGCCGTCTTAGCCTCCGCGTCCTCATAGTTATCCGACATACATTTGCCGGGCGACGCGAAGCTGGCCCGGAAGGCGCGCTCCCAGACGCCAATAAGGGCGCGTCCTTGCGCGACACTTGCGCGTTGCGCGACGACGCACGGGGTCGAAGCGTCGAGGTCATTATCGAGGGTATCAAGAGTTTGAGGGTGTCGGTATGCGGCCAGCACGTAGGGGAGGGATGTGCTTGCGATAGAGGCGATAGAGAGTTTCAGAAAGTGGTGGAAAGAGGAGACAGGGTTTGCATTTGTGCGGCGAGACTTATTATGGGCGAGATATGATTCTAGGCCGCTGGAGAAGGCGAAAGAGCCGAGAGGGAGTGCGGAGTCAGAGAGCAAGAGGAGGGCGTGGAGGGAAGTGGAGCGGGTGGTGTTGGAGTTGAATTGGGGGTTCTTATTATTATAGATTGCTGTGCGGCGTTAGTGATTGCAATTTTTACTATTGTCAAGAGAAATTGGATCACTTACTGGAGGATGGCAAAGTCCAGGACTTGTCGGGGTGTGAGGAAGGTGGTGTGGGATATGTGGATTGGTCGAGCTGGGCGCGCATATCGTGGAGACGAGCTTCTAGCTGGGCAATCTCGGACTCGACGCCCTGTGGTCGTTCTTCGAAGAGCATAGTGTATCGGATCTGACGTACAGAGAGGAACTGGATCCGGGGTATAGTGATTAAGGTGTGAGTAGAAACGGGGAAGAAGAAAGAAGTGCGGGCGGCTGGAGATATCTTTAATGCCGAGTGGGTCCGTCGGAGGCGGCCGTCTGGCTGCCGGCGGATTCTCTATCGGCCATTACACACTCTCTTATTCATCTCCCGTGCCCATCATTATCAATCGCATTACTCGATCGCTGGTCCTATTCTGCCCGGATGGACTCCACTTTCGATACTCGATCCTAACTATCAACTGTACACACACCATGTCCGGCAGGCGCCTGCTGGACGCCGTCCAGTTCCTCAACGTCTCCAAGACCATCGCTCTCAAGCATTTCGGCATTCGCCAGCACCAGCTCGACGTCTACACCCGTACCTCCTCGCTCACCAAGGGCATCAAAGCTCAGACCGATGGGCTTATCCTGACCGCACAAGCCGCGGCCGCTTTGGCGCGCCGCTTCGACGACTTCTCGCCACCAACTCCAGCCCCGACCACATCGCCGACGCCCGACAGGCATGCTGGCCCCCGGCCAACCCCTACAACAGCGACAACCACAAGCCCCGATGTGACAGAGAATGCCGAGGCCGCCCGCAAATCGCAGCGACAGGCAGAGTTCCAGATTCCGGCTTCTGCCGCTCAGTATAGCGGCAATGAAAAACCCGATGCCCTGAACGTCAGCCAGCAACAGGAGGTCTTCTACGAACCCTCCCGGCAGATCGAGCCCGATCTATCCGCTTTACCGCGTATCAAGTTGCCCAAGGCGACAGGTTCAGTCCAAAATAATGTCGGCGAAGGTCTGAATGCCGATGTTTTTCATTCCGCCGACGCCGACGGCGCGGTCGCCGGGCGCCCGGAAAAATCGGCATCGGCGGAGCTCCCAAAGGAGATGATGGAAGGATTGTTTCACAGTCCCCGAGTCTCGCGTATGCTTGCGGGAAAGCCGAAGCCGAAACGAGACTGGATTCCGACTGAGAACAAGCCCGAAAAGTCGCATGATGGGGCTGACAAAATTGCGGAGCCTGAGCTGCAGGCTAATGAGATCCCCGAATTGATGCGGGAGATGGACGCAGCGGGTTACCGGACAACATCCACACCTACCGATGCAGTGCCTGATGTCGTGCCGACCGAAGTTCCCACCGCCGAAGGGTTGGGCGAGAAGTTGGCCGACAAGACCGTGCCATATCAGATGATGGAGTCACGCGTGCCATCCTCCCGGTTTGCCCGAATGTGGCAATATGGCGGCCTCGCGACCTCCATGGCTTTTGGCGCCGTGGGCGAGACCCTCCGCCGAGCAACCGGAAGCCAAGATAATGGTTCGATTATGTTTAGTGCAGGAAACATGGAACGACTGGTAGCCAAGCTATCCAAGATGCGGGGCGCGGCGTTGAAGCTCGGCCAAATGCTCAGTATCCAAGATTCCAACATGCTCCCCGAACCCATACAGCAGGTTCTCCAACGCGTCCAAGATCGCGCGGATTACATGCCCGCTTCCCAGCGTGACAAGGTGTTGGCCGACAATCTGGGTCCCAACTGGCGGGACTTGTTCTCCTCCTTCGACGAAATCCCCATCGCCGCTGCCTCGATTGGACAAGTTCATTCGGCGGTCCTGAAATCGACTGGAAAACCTGTCGCCGTGAAAATCCAATACCCCGGCGTCGCAGACTCTATTGACTCCGACCTGAACAACCTCTCCATCCTTTTAACCGCTTCCCGCCTTTTGCCTAGGGGTCTCTACCTGGACAAGACGATCGCCAACGCTCGGACGGAACTGGCTTGGGAATGTGACTACATTCGGGAAGCCGAGGCAGCAACACGTTTCCGCGACCTCCTCAAGGATGACCCCGTCTTTGTGGTTCCAGAAATCATGACCGAAGCTTCCGGAAAGCAAGTTCTGACAATGGAAATGCTAGACGGAGTCGCCGTAACCAAGATCTCAGATTTCACCCAATCCCAAAGAGACTGGATTGGCACACAAATCATGCGCCTGTGTCTGCGCGAAATTGCAGAATTTAAGTACATGCAAACAGACCCCAACTGGACCAACTTCTTATATAACGCCTCCACAAACCGACTGGAACTCCTCGACTTCGGCGCATCTCGCGAATATCCAGACGAGTTCATCTCTACATACGTATCGACTCTGATCGCCGCCTCGCGAAACGATCGACCGGCGTGCCAGAAGCTCTCTCAAAAATTAGGGTACCTCACAGGCCACGAGTCAACGGCGATGGCGGACGCACATGTGTCTTCGCTGGTCACGATCGCGGAGCCATTCATGTCCGATTCGCCGGACGTGTACGACTTCCAGAATCAAACGATTACGGATCGTGTGCGGGCCTTGATTCCGCTAATGATTCGGGAACGTCTTGCGCCGCCGCCGGAGGAGACGTATTCATTGCACCGCAAGCTTAGCGGGGCTTTCTTGCTTTGTGCTAGATTGGGAAGCCGAGTTCCTTGTAAGGAGTTGTTCAGGGATATTGTTGGCAAGTTGGAGAGAGATCCAACTTCCAATTTGGAGAAGTAGACCGCCACATCTGGGATGGGTAGTGTGCCTTTGTAATGTGGTCTGGTCTCCCTGCTGATGTATAAGCGATCTTGCACTTTGTGGGTGTATATGTATTATATAGATCTGTATAGTAGATATAGTAGAGTGGAGCTGTAATCTAAAAACTAAAATTCACCTCTCTAGATATTTTTTCAATGCATTAGCTCATTTATTTTTGGGTCTAGGACTTGTGGTAAAAGTACTAGTATCCGGCATTGGATTTGTAGCGTGGGGACCATAAGGCACCGCCCACGCTAAATACCCCGCTAACCGCACTCGACCGATGTTTGAGAATCAACATCCACCCGCTGACGATGCATTTGAATTTGCCTTGGAAAAAATCTCGGTCGAAACTAGGAAATTCCGCAAAAGAGACAAAAAAAGAGGACAAAAAACAGAATGTCGGACCCTCTGCGGCACCTACAGCACCAGCAACACCAGCAGGATCTCCGCCAAAGGTCGTGGATGTCACAGAGAATTCTAAATCCATTGATCTCTGGGCCCGAGCCGAGCAGGATCTCAAGAAAGACAAGAATTTGAACGACATTCTCGAAGAAGCGGTCAAGATTCTCGAACGCTCTGGCCTCCAAGTAGACGGGAGCAAAGCCGATGGCCATAAGCAGTTTGGTACGTTCCTCAGTGGCATGGAAGATCAGCTCGAAGAGAAGAAATGGATCTTGAGTGAACGCGATCAGTCTATCCAGAAAAAAGCCACCAGAGTCTTTCGAAATGTTCTCCAGTTCAAAGAGCTTGTCAACTCTGCGACATCAGGATCCCCTCCCGTTGCAATTGCTTGTGCCGCGGTATCACTAGGCCTTCTGGTAAGTATGGTACAGCTTTGATTTTCCTCAGAGTCTGTTCTGATCGAAACAGCTTTACATCCAAGGCGTCGAACAGCAAGAGAGTCTTCTCAAAGGACTTGACAAAACATCTGCTTTGATTCCTCGTATGACTTTGATGGAACGACTCTACATGCGTCCAGACATCAAGCCTTCTGATGACTTTGCCGCAAAATTCGAGACCACCCTAACGTCTTTATTCAAAAAGGCTCTGGAATTCCTCGCGCGAGCCCTTTGCCATCTTCAAAAACACTCTTTTGTTCAAATGTCCAGAGAGGTTTTCAAACAAGACCCTTGGGATTTGCTTATCCAAGACATGGACAAGCTCGAAACAGAAGCTGAGAAGTCCACCCATCTGCTCGACGCGTACAAACAGGCCTTGGAAAGTGAAGAGCAAAAGCAGCAGAAAAATGCCCGCCAAGTCTGGAAAATGACATCGGAGCGAGATGCAAGGATGAACAAAAACTTCCAGCTCCTTTACACCAGCTTATATCGAGAACAAAAAGATCGAAACAAGCGTCGCGTACCCGGGACATGTGAATGGTTCATCAATCACAGCCAATTCCGCAATTGGAACGAGAACCAGGGATCCGGGTTTTTATTGGTTTCTGCCGATCCAGGATGTGGTAAATCCGTTTTATCTCGATGCCTTATTGATGAAGTTCTTCAAAAGCCTGCTGCCAAGAGAACAGTGTGTTACTTTTTCTTCAAAGACGACTCTTTGGAACAGAAGAGCTCCGCGAATGCGATCTCGTGTATTCTACGGCAATTATTGATGGCACAATCTCAGCTCTTCACAGATTCAATTCTGACAAAGTTCGAGAGAGACGGCGATGGTCTGGTTAAGTCATTCAGTGACCTCTGGGGGATTTTTATGGAAGTCACCAAGCAAGCCGGCGAAGTTGTTTGCGTTTTCGATGCATTGGACGAGTGCAAAGATGAAGACCAAACCAACCTTATAGAGGCCGTAACTGATCTATACGCACGTGAAGATGACACGCGCAATCTTAAAATTCTCATGACCAGTCGTCCCTACTCCCATATCCGCAGCAAGTTCCGAGAGCTCGAAGACCAACTCCCAACAATTCATCTGAGCGGCGAGCGTGAGGAAGAAGTGGAAAAGATATCCAAGGAAATCGACCTTGTGATCAAAAGTCGGATTGAAAAGATAGCGAAGAACAAGCGCCTCACGTCTGAAGAGCGCGGCTTCCTCGAGGCAAAAATGACAACAGTTCAGAATCGAACATATCTCTGGGTTGCTTTGATACTCGAATTTCTCGAGAGAGAACCTGGTTTCACGAGAGGAAAAGTTATCCGGACTGTGGGTGAGGAAATGCCCCAATCTGTGGATGGAGCATACGACAAGATCCTGCATCAAAGCTCAAATCCTGCAAAAGGGAAACGCCTACTCCATGTCGTTGTTGCCGCAATGCGACCCCTATCATTGGAGGAGTTGTCACTCGCCATGGCAATACGGAAACCGAGGCAGTCCGTTGACGAGGTCACGGACGACCTGGAACCGGCCGATCGATTTAAAGAGACGATGCGAGATTTGTGTGGTCTCATTTTGACAGTTGTCGATGAAAAGGTCTACTTACTCCACCAAACCGTGAAGGAATTTTTAGTCCTTGGCAAGTCGTCGATTTGCGGGACTATAGCACCGAAATCTTGGAAATATTGTCTTCTGCCGGAAGATTCGCACAGGCTGCTCGCTGAAATATGCATGTGGTATATCCACGGAGCTTTCTCCTCGAAGAGCCATGCCCTCCAGGGGTTAATGGTCTACGCTGGTAATTACTGGCAAGACCATCTACGCCAATGCTGTCCGCATGAGGACGATGACCTCGTCTCACTCGCCATCCAACTTTGCGAGCCTGGCTCGGAGAAAATCACTCCATGGCGAGCTGAACGCATGCAGGAGCCATCCATAGACGATATGGAACCGTTACTCCACCTGGCCTGTACATTTGGTCTTGACGCAGTTGTAACAAGGCTGCTTGACCGTCCAGGGATCGATGTCAATTCCAGAAACCTAGATGGTCAGACACCGCTTATCTGTGCAACGAGGTACAACCATTCCGCTGTGGTGAAACAGCTCATTGACACCGGGGAAGTGGATGTGAACATAGAAGACGACGTGGGCAACATTGCGCTTTTACTTGCTGCAAGGGAAGGCTATCATGAGATCGTCAAGACTTTTCTTGATGCTCAGCAGACTAACCTGAGCTTACTGGATTCTGGCGGCAATTCGGCACTTTCACTTGCTGCACTCTATGGCCATGAAGAGACTGTCAGAATTCTTCTACAGAGTGGACAAATGGATGTGAATTTGCGGAACAACATTGACCAATCGCCGATTATGTACGCCGCAAAGCGTGGTGAGGCAGGTGTTGTCAAGATTCTCCTCAACTCTGGAAAAGTCGACTTGAGCTTGTTGGACAAAGGCGGCAATTCGGCATTTTCCATTGCTGCAGAGTATGGCAATGCGGATACAGTGAGGTTGCTCCTGGGAACAGGAAAAATGGATGTGAACTTGCAGAACAGTGACGGTGAATCGCCAATCATGTCAGCTGGAGTTATGGGAAATGCAGACAGTGTCTAAGCTACTTCTCGACACTGGGCAAGTGGACCTGAGCTTTGTAAACATTTACGGCTATTCGGCACTTGCAATTGCTACAACAAGCTTCAATGCGGATACTGTTAAATTCCTCCTTGAATCTGGGCAAATAGATGTGAACTCGCACGGTGATGATAATAGAACCCCACTGTTCATGGCGGCCATGAGTGGCACTGGAGAGTGTTTGAAACTGCTCCTAGATACTCAGCAGGCGGATCTGAGTGTATTGGATGATGGGGGTGATTCGGTCCTTTCACAAGCTGCGAGCCGTGGCAAGGAAGAGGCAGTGAAGATGCTTCTCGAAACAGGGCAGGTAGACATGAGTTTGCAGAATAAAGAGGGTCACAGCGCGCACTTTTTCTGGCTGCAGAAAACTCCACGAAGGTGTTTTGAAGATCCTTCTTGATACCAAGAAAGTGAATTTGGACTTGAAGGATAATACCGGTCAAACCGTATTGGATATGGTCACGAAGAACCGCGAGATGGAGGAAGCTGTTAGGCAGGATGTGAGCAATTGCAGACAATGATTACTTGAGGGGGAGACGTATGGTTTATCAGAGGATGGAGAAGCGTCTCACGGCTGCAAAACTTGATCCAGAAGGGTCTAAGTGCTGAGAATAACTCGCTAGTCTCAAAAGATATCCCACTGCAGTCACCTTCCACACGAATGTAACGACTAAATGACCGAGTTTCGAACTGGATCCAATAAATCGTAGAAATAGAAGCCATGCAAATTATTTCTCAGCTAATTGCTTGATGTTATGCGTAGCCATGTGCCAAATGAAGCTGAAACAACAATATCATCGAAGCCACGTCTCCCCCAGACCGGCTGGGAAGTAGATATCAACCCGATAGATGATCGATGACAGGCACAAATTAGCTGAAAAGAGCCATAGACCTAGAGAGCAGATTTTCGGTTGCAATGCGTTTCCTTCATAATCAGAAGCCAGTCTCTCAGCTGAACGAGGACGTCATGAAAATTGCCATATCCTCCTACAACTCAAGAAGGAAGCTCATGCCACTCAAAGACATTCCGCCAATACTCCTTCACGCCCTTGCAAATCCCGACCTCTCCATCCCAACTAACAAACTTGGACTCCAGATCACACGCAGTCCACATAATCTCCTTCCAAAACGCCTTCTCGACATCAAACTTGGCACTGAATTTCTCGACAACATGATTCGGAAGCGTCCAGGCACGCGTATAGGAGCCATCATCCAAAAATGTAGGATTGACTTCATGAACGTCGAAGATGGTGGCGGGATTAAACTTGGGGAAATTGGCATGGATGAAGAAGACGTCTGGGGCAGATGCTTTGTCGCCGCGGATACGCCATTTACCCTGACTGGTCAAAGCGAAGTCTTGGATGGGGTTGAATTGGGCCATGGCGGAACCTGCGAAACCGTCTTTCTTCTCATGACCGAGTGCAACTATCGACTCGCTGACTTGATAGAATGGCTCATTCACAGCTGTGGCCGCAGCGATGAAAGTCTCCTTGTCGCCTTCGCCGGCGGCGCCTTGAGATAGGAGGGGCCAATAATGTGTAGGACCCCAGTAGTTGTAGTACGTAGCAAGAAGCAATGTGCGCGCATGTGTCTTTTTAGAGATGAGAAACTCGCCGGATTCCGTAGATTGGCGCAAGTTCATCGGGGGTACGGGTGTATCGACAATTTCGTAGAAGATCGGTGAGGCCGATGAGGCCCAGAAATCGGGCCAGGTGATCATGTTTGTTGAGCGGAATGGCTCCGACTTGAAAAAATCCTCGGGTTTCTCGAGGGGAAACGCATCTGCATCAAGGAAGAGAATTTCCTCGAAGGAGGAGAAAAGCATTGCGAATGGCTTGAACTGGTATTTTTCAATTCGAGCTGGAGCAGCCTCAAGAATATGAGAAAGCACGATACAGCGCGCATTCAACGAAGGTAGCACTACATCGCAGATGTACTCCTCGTACTCCTCTTCATCGGCCAGGAAGACTTCCATAGGCAACTTTGATCCGGTGCGACGAAGCATACGCAAAGAGATCACCAGAACAGGAAGGTAAGAACCGCCAGCGGTTGAAACCACACCTCTTGTACCGGGAAGGTATTGCATCAGAGGCGGCGAGTTATCGACGGCCTTGAGAAAACTTGCATGCGCCTCCCTCATTGTATCGACATCTTCCCTTGCGACCAGCACGTATTCCGGGCGCGCCGGAGCATCCGTCACCTTGAATCCCTCCGTCGGAGCCTTCTCGTCCTCCACCAATGGATTCGTATCGGGGCTATAACGCTCTAAAAGACCATGGAATTTACGCCAGAATGACTGATGCGCGGGCGTCAAATCGAACGTACTCTTCCCATGTTCACGGAGCGAGAAATCGAGTTTATCGATATCAGAGGTCCACCGGGTAAAGGACCAGACCAGAAACGAGACAACCAAGAAAGCGGCGAGGAGGAAGCGGACGCGCAAAAGCGATCGAGGAAGAACCATGGCGATGGAGCCCACCTAAGGCGAGCAATTGCACGATGCACGCGCGATGCACGTTGCACGTTGCGACGCTGGCACGAGGCTGGTTCCTGGTCCTGGATTTCCCCACCGGCAGTAGTGGACCCTTTCCCCGCGCTAGTGAGGCTTGACAGGTGCGATCGATCGGCGATGCGGGGGTGACAGGGTCAGGGTGGGAAGTTGTGCATGGAGACGATGAAGGAAAAAAAATGAACGAGATGATGAATCGGACAACACGGGCGCACTCCAGGAGGATGACAAAAGGATTAGCTTCATGGCGCGAAGGCGACCAGGGCCCCTTGGCTGCACGGGCCTTGGACCCACTGGAATGCGGCCGAGGCAAGGCGGAGCGAGGAGCATTGGAGAGGGAGAGAACAGATCTCAAACAGTATGATTTCCTATACAAACACCTAAATTATACAAACTATGCAGACCACTCAAACCACTCTTTCGAGTCAGACCCCAGCGGTCGAGGCATAATATCCCAACCAACCTGCACACCCTCAATGGCAGCAGAGTGCTTCACAGCCGTCATATCGCCAAAGCCAGTCGCTCTCGTCTCAAGGAACTCCTGCGGTACATCCTGCGTAGAGGTATAATCACTCGTCTGGAACCCAGACTTCCCATCCCACTGTCCCAACGACCGAAGATACTTCATCACGCCAGCCAACGAAACATCAACCTCCCAAGAACCACCCTCAGTGACCTGCTTATGCAGCGCAGCAATGATCCCCGCAGCAAGGAAATACCCTCCAGCATGATCAAGAGCCTGACAAGGCGTCGGCTTCGCAGCTTCCCCAGCACCGAAATGCTCCGCTTCGGAAACATTCATACCCGAACAAGTCTGAACAAGCGAGTCAAAGCCACGCTTCCCACTCCAGGGCCCCTTGGGTCCGTACGCAGACATATTCGCACAAATAATCCCCCGATGCTGGAATCGCTTAGCCAATTCCGCAGAGGATAGACCGCGCGAAGCAAGACTCCCCGGTCTAAACCCCTGGATAAAAACATGCGCATCATCCAGCAACTTCGAAAGATCCTCTTTCCCTTCTTCACTCGAAAGATCCACATGGATCGACCTCTTTCCCCGCCCAAAATCCCGGTCCACCGTCGGCAAGTCCGGCAACTTCGGACTCGTCACCCAAAGCACATCAGCGCCGTGCGCAGCAAGCGTCTTCCCAGCAAGCGGCGCGGCAATGACACGCGAGCATTCCAGGACCCTCAGACCACGGAGACACTTATCGACACCTGCAGATCGCATGGCAGCTGGGAATCCGGAGGGCGCATCCCCAATTTTGCGGATTCGGATGGGGAAATCCGAGATTGCGCGGGCTTGAGGGAGGATATCCCACTCCGAGTAGCTTCGCAATGCAGAAATGACTAGCTTCGAGTCGAATGCGGTGGACTCCAGATCGACGGAGCGCCAGGCGGATATTTTGGAGGCTACTTCGGCTCGATCTGCGTCTGGGGGACAGCCTAGTAATTCTTTTGCACCGTTTCGGTGGTTCGGGAAGGAGTCGTGTAGGCGGACGTAGCCATCGGCTGCTTTGTGGAGACCGCCGATAGCATCCAAGGGCGACGGTGTGGGTTTATTGTCCAGGATATCCAGGGTATACAGTCGCTCGGATTTGAACTCGATTGACGCATGCTGGAGTGGTACTGTGACTTCAGGGACAGAGGTGTACTTTCGAAGAGCATAAATTTGCGCGGCGAGGAGAGCGGAGAGTCCAATTGATGCTTGGGCGAGGTGGCCGATCTTAAAGGATGAGGGAAGGCCCAGTCCTTCGCCGGGGAGATTCAGGCTTTGCAGAGCTGTTGATGGAAGACCCAGCTCTCTCCAGATGTATTCGACGCTCTTCTTTGCAGTGAAGCTTGACCGGTCTTGGAAAGGCAGTTTTGCATTCGGGTCTGGCACCACGATGGTCAATAACGGGCCATGTTGTTGGGTGCCGAGCGTATCTCTTTCTCCGACGGTCCCTTGTTCCCATGGACGGCGGATGGTGCACTTCCACGCCAGGGCAGGCTCGAAGAACATATTCGTGATGATATCTTCTGGCTTCAGATGGTACAGACTCAACATGCGTTCGTTGGTAAGAATATTCGCATCCTTGACTCGCTGATAGGCCTCTTTAATATCGAACATGATATCAAAGGTCAACTCGAACGGACCCGAGTTCTTCGATCGAATAATCTTTGCAATTTCCAACATCTTACACTCACCCGACGGAACCGGTTTAAAAGTCACTGGCTCCAGAGACTCCGATGCCAATTCTTCTCGCTGTGCATCCGTGAGACCCTGGAATTCACCTTGCAAAGCCTCATTGCTGATCTTCCAATCATGGACCGAGAACAACGAAACCTCTTCACCGGGAACCAAATTCATTAGATGGTAGACGTTGAACCGGAAAACAGGTCCAGCAGCAGTCTCATGAGGCGATAAAGGCGAAGCAAAGTTACCCGTCGTAGCAACCTGATTCTTATACGGCATATGCAAGATTGACGCGCGAGCATTATTGGCAATCGTATACGAAAGTTCCTGAGAAGGTGCAACGACTTCACCGAGAATCCCAAGCTCATGGCAGCTCGTCTCCCCCTTCTTCGGCTCGATAGGCCCCATCGTCCCATTCCTCCCGTAAAAGTGGAAGATAAGTCGGCACTGCGGCGACTGATCCAACTGAGGAAATAGATTCTGCGTATAAGCCCGCACATCATCGAGGAAGGCATCAATCTGAGAAATCAGGATCGGATCCCGAATCCCACCGATGAAGATGGTTCTGAATCCCAATTTCTCCACGCCTTCCATCTTAACCTGGTACGTCTCTGACGGGACGAACTCGGCCCCACGAACGCGGACGGTCTTCTCCGTAATCTGCTCATAGGAGGCACCGTCAAGATTCAGAACTCCTCCCGGACCAGGAAGTCGATCTGGTCTTGTCTTTTCGTAGAGTGTGTGGGCAGCAACAGATAACGGCGTACACCTTTCCCTCGGCGAGAGAGGCGTTAGATCAAATGAATCTTCACGAACAGTCGCAATCATCGAACGACCCTTCGGCACGGCACAGATGCCTCCGCACTCCATGATCTTCCCCATATGCCACGCAACACCAGGCTGAACGCCGTGGTACATAGAGAAAGCCGCGAATGGCGCAGGATCATAAGACCGGCCCCCAATAATGATATCGGGATCTCGATCCAGCGCTTTGATATATCTACGGTTCTCCGATTAGCCACCACCTTCAAATATGACGGCAAAGAAAAATAAACTCACGGCTCAGCCCCCATCTGCGCAACAACATCAACAGCCCTCTCCAATCCCCCAACATCAAGCTCATCAACAGGCCCACAAGGCCCAACCATCCCCCCTCAATCCTCCTCTTAACCAGTCCCTTTTCCATCCTCGCCTGGATCGTAACAACAGCAAACGAATACCCAAACTTTTCCGAAATCTCCTCCACAATCCCCCTCATCTCCTCAACATGCGAATTACTCCCATCGCCACCAGCAGAAGAAATCAACACCTTGATCTTCCTATGAAAGCACGCGGCAAGTATTGGCGTCAGATCCCGAACATATGACTCGAGGCCGCAGGTCATTTTGTTCAGGCCGAGCTTGTAAGGACCTCCATCTGTGGACCCGCTGTCGATGATTATTGCTGCCGGCTTGTATGTTTCGATGCCGTGCCAGAAGTGGGTTGCTTTAAAGCCGTAGCCTAACATGGCGTTTGGCGTTAGTATTGTGAATTCTTTCGTTTTGGCCATGATCTTTCTTGGCGCTTGAAGTCGGTGTTGAAGAGATGGTTGAAGGACGGAGGGTTGTGGTTGTCCGAGGTGTACTACAGTTGACCCCGCGACTTTTATGATTCACTCGGCAAGATGCCGAGGGATGGGACGCGCGCCGGTTGTCGGGGCATTCGGCATTTCTTTCTGACAGGATTTTTTGAGCGAAACCGGTAATTGTTTTAGAAAAGATATGTTGGAAATCTAAATCGTGAACATACTGAAAAATAATTGTAGTGGTGGGCGTGCTACCGTAACCGGCGGTGCAGGTTTAAAAGTATACGAGCACGACTAAATGTACACAAATACAAGGGAGCGACCAATATTGAAATTCCTTTATGTGGATTGGATTATATTTGTTTATATATGACAGTTTCACAAACGACACGCAAGAAAAGATACAAGACTTAATAAGACAGAGGTAGAAGACTCGAATGAAGTAATCTTCTCCGGGAATCATGCAAAAGGGTAGTCGCCCATTTTCCGTCCAACGATGGAAATATGATACATGCCTTTTTTCAGGTTACACTGCAATTCGGATACAGTTCTCACCACCCAAAGATCTCCCCGACACTAAGCGTGCTCCACCGCACACCACCAACGGCAAAGAGCATAAGAACAACATCCACAACAGCCAACACAACCGCACCCATCATGAATCTTGGGCTGAAGATGCGATAAAGCATCAGGTGGCGACGGAGATGACCGGCCCACATCGTCGTGGCCAGGTTGATAGTCGCAAGGTAGAGGGTATGCGTACAAACAGCCTGCACGACGTCCGAGAGGAGTTTCGTCGCAGGGTTCGCGAGTTTCGCAGCCGGAGAAGTCGAGACGCGGTCGTGTGTTTGGAGCGGTCGCTTCCACAGAACCGTCAATGGCACAGCGAGGGCAGCGAGGATTTGCGCGCCGAAGGTGTTGAGAATGACTACCAGCGGGGTCCAGGGGTATTTAATGGTAGAGAGGGGGATGAAGGCAGTTTCCCATTGGATGCTGCTGGGTGTGGCTTGATGGCCTGTTTTGAAGAAGTAGAAGGAGCCGAGGAGGCCCAGGACAATGGGGCCGATGGAGGAGCTTGTGAGGGTGAGGTTGTTTGTGTCGAGGATTTCAAGGAGAGAAAGGATTTGCCAAACAAGTAGAGCGATGGCGCCTTGGCCCATAGGCTTTTGCAGGAGGATGATAGCCAATGCGAAATTGACGACCAGGAAGAAGAAGCGTGTACCGTAGACGTTTCCAAAACCGAGGATCGTAACTGTTGTGCGTGGCTTCTGCTCTTGGCCCGCGATGAAAGGCGCGGGTGGTGCGTTCGGATCGTCTTGTGGCTTGTTCACGCTGATGCTGATGCAGGGTTTCGAGTACAGGTATGCGCCTGTGCCTGCGGCGAAAGCAAGTGCGAGGACTAGTTGGGCGAGGAAGACGCGGACGGACTTGAGGGTTTCCTTGCTGAGTGGAAGCCATTCACCGTCGTCGGCACCTTCGAGCATCCAGAAGAGGGAGGTAATGAGGAGACCCAGGCGGAATGCAAAGCCAATCCACAAGGTGGCGGCGCCTTCGTAGGATTTGGAGCCGGCGTAGAAGCCCCGAATGACGCCGGGCAAGATCAGGGTAACCAAGAATGGAATACCCAGTTGCCAGGGTGCGGAAATGGATGAGGTCGATGAAGCGTAGTAGGTTGAGCGGCAGAAAGGCATCTGTTCTTCACGGCAGAGACGGGAGAAAGATGCCAGACGGCCGATAATCACGAAGAGGAGTGAGTGATACACACCAAGAACACGATCGGTAGGTGTCTTTTGTCGCATCGAGGAAATACCAGCGCACACTCCGAACGTAGTGAGGAAGAAGAGCATGATTTCGTCTTCCCAGATGGTATAGGAGTTCGAGGCATACCCGACGGACTGAGAGACGGTGAAGAGCACGGCGAGCCATCCCCACATACCATTTGGCAGAGGCAAGGTGAGGCTTGCAGGCTTCTTGACCATGGCAATCAACGCACCGGCCATGCTACCAGCCGCAGCCAGCAAGATGGATAGGTCGAGAGTCGACATTTCCGTAAACCCAAACAAGGCCAAAATGCTACCAGAAGCAGCACCAAGCCCAGAACCAACGCCGGCAAAGGACAAGAGTTGGGAGGTGAGCTCGGTCCGGTCGTTCTTCATTCCCCGGGCGTACAGTACAAGGAGCGCAATGCCACCGACAAGAAGCACAACACCTTGAATCATACTGGGAACGTCAAATCGGGTCCACAGTCCACGACACACGTCCAGAGTGTGTCGCTGATACTTGCGGTAAAGCTCATAGCTGGACCGGACAGCTGTTGATTTCGACGCAAAGGCCTTTGACCCAGTCTTCCACTCGGCCTCAGCCGCAGACCAAAGGTTAGCCGACTCCTCATCATCACCCGCGCCGCGGGAAATCGCATACGCATCCTGATACCGCTTGATCTGAGCCGCGGTAAGGCGGCCAACGGTGGCCAGGTTGCCCCAGTCATTGCCGCTGGGACCGGCAAAGGCTTCTTCGATGGGAGAGCCAAGGTTGTTGAACGGGATAGGAATTCCAAGCATCAACGCGAGCGTCGGGACCAGGTCAATCTGAGGAATCGGGCGTTCCTTCGCGTGCTTCGGTGGCTGCAGAGTCTCTCTACTGGTACGACCGAAAGCTGCTCGCTTGGAATACATCCAGAGAGCAGCCTCAACTTCGTCGTCAGATTCACCACCGTGGTCACCCTTGATATCCATTCCGTGGTCACCCATCACAACAAGCAGAGTATCATCGTCCAGGGCGGCGATGATATCACGGATGACACGGTCCATTTCCTGCAGCTTGCCAGCCATAGCCGCGTGGTTTGGTCCATATCGGTGACCAGCATGATCAACGCCGAGGTAATGACCGAAGATAACATCCCACTTCGACTTGTTCTCCGGGCGAAGGAGAGGGAACAAGTGCTCATTGACGCCATTGTCGACAGTGTGCAGGTCCCACACATTGAAGGAATCGTACGGGTGGGTCAGGTTGGCATCGAAGTATCCCGGAAACAGAGCTTGCCAGGTATCGTCGCCAAGATGAACCAGGGTCTTTCCAGCACTATGCAGCTGGGCAACCAAGTTGTCCTCGTCAATCGCAGTACCAGCAAAGTTAGAGCCAGCATCGACGAAAGTAGGCAGAGTTCCGGTCGTCAATCCCTTCAGACGTTGCAGGGTGGCAGTTGGCGCGTCGGCGATGAAGGGCAGCAGGAAGGCATTGGCGGGATTTTTGATAGCAACCTCGTAGAGAACGGGAATATTATCGTGGAAGAGGTGGGCGGATTCACTCTCATCCTTGGGGGCAAAAGGAACCGTGAAGTCGTATCGCAGAGCATCGATGACAATGACAACAGCCTTGTCGAAAGACTTCTGATGCCAGCAGCCGCCTTCTTGCTTGTTTGCCGGTGCGATTTCTTGAGCGGAGGCGTCGTCGAAAGGAAGGAATTGACATGAGGATTTGTTTTCGAGGACCATCCGCGTGAGGAGGAAACCCTTTGTGAAAAAGTAGATGCCGGCAAGGTGTATCAACCTAGACGAATTTAATCCCTGGTTAGTATTTTCAATGTTTTTTTCGAGACTGGCTCTGGCGTCGCAGGTCGAGCCCACATGCTCGAATACCTCAATCACACGAGATGTCACTTACAAGATCCAAAAGAGCACACCCATCACACCAAGATGCTTGGTCTTGAACTCGGCCTCAAGTTCCTCTGCCTTTTCATCCTGAACACCGGGCGGTTTGGACGGATCGCCACGAGAGGTTTGTTTCGAGGCATTGGGAAGCGCAGCCTTCCCAGCGAGGCCCTTCTTCGGTGTGGAAGCCATTTGAAAAAGAGTAACACGTCAACTCCCTTCTAAGGAGAAGTTGTCCAAGTGGTTCGGTGTGTCGGTGAAAGGGTCCGCAGACACCGTTTGATCGCAACACGGCGAAAGGGGTGAAAATATCAGACGGAAATAGTCGCACAATGGCAGGGAAGCCGGATTCAAGCACGGATCGAGGCAATTGCGTCGCCTTGGGCTCCTGGCTCCGGTCGAGAAGATCGCGAGCCCGGGTGGGAACAGGATCGGGATAGAAAAGATGGCCCCTGTCTGTGCTCTGTTGGGTGAGCGGCTTCCCCTCAGGCGGGAGATCAGTAGCTGCGCATCGCTTCGGCGAACGGGAGGAGACAAAAGAGAGAACCAGAAGGAGTGTGTTGCGGCTGCAGGTGGAAAATGTAAATTTGTCTTGACGTCGCGGAAAGCGACGGGTTGGGGAGAGCTCGGGGTCGGCATTTCTGATTGGCCGCGCGGGTCGCACACAAGATTTGTTTAGCACGTCTCAGATTGAGACCACGAAGTAGATAGCGGATAAATACAAATGCTAAAATACTACGAGGGACGATATTGCATGTCAAGTGCAATAAATGCATTGCGGATTCGTTTAGGAAAATAGGAGGACTAAGTACATACATTATCCAGCTGCCGGGGGCGCCAAAAGACGCATAAGAAGGTAAGGAGGTGAAGACGGGCCCAAAAAAGTGAGCAAAAACAAAAATAAAATAAAGGCCGCCAAAATGGGTGTGAGAGAAGAAAAAGGAAAATAATAAACAGAAATGAGAAACAACGCTGTCGCATATCTTTCAGACCCTAGGGACGTGGCAGGGTCGAGATTAATATGAGAGCCCACGAAGAAAAACGCCATAGACAAAGCTCCAAATAGATAAATCGGCAGGCCCTCGCTATACACAATCCAGATGTAGCATATCTCCAAAGGCACGAGATAGTCGGGCTCCGTAGATCTGACCATCGCAAAAAGGTCGAAATTGCTCGTCTGGATATTGCCAAACAAAATAAGATGCAGGTGTATGTGCAAGCCACGGTGGGGCAGTGGGAGAGAAACAGAGAACAGGTATATGGGGAAGGAGATAAGAGAGAAAGTCGCCAAGGTGCTCGTCATGCTTTTAGGAAGTCGTCGAAGAGAGTGCGGGGTGGAGAGCGCGGTTTGATCGCGGTTTGATCGCGGCTAAAGCTGAGGGCGAGGAGCTGGAAGCCGGTATTGTGGTTCATACCCTAGGGTAGCCACTTAGTGGTAGCTCCTCATCTCCTCCTTCTCCTTCAGGCCACCCATGCGTTCGATATCCAGGGATTGGAACCGGCCGGTGTCGGTAGTTTGGTAGGGCGGCAGCTCTTCGTGGCAGGGCTCGAGGCCTACACTGCCGGCCTCACTAATACGCACAACGACCATCTTTGATGACCGCTTGCCGGAGGCGTCTTCCTCTTCGGGGAAGGTGATGCGGATCTCGGGGACCGGGCTGGGCGGGGGGCTATGGGAATTCTCCATAAGACTACGTTTCTCGTCGTAGACCAGGATGGAGTCGGTCTTATTGGCGGTGATGGTCAAGCTGCGGTGATGATTGGGGACCTGGCCATTGTGGACGGGGAGGACGGAATTCTGCTTCTTCGATTGACGCTTACGGCGGAGAACCAGCAGACCACCGACGAGAGCAAGACCGAGGAGAACAAGAACGAGAAGCGAGATCAGGAGGTCGACCATGGAGCCAGAGAGGCCAACATTGTTGTTGTTGTTGTTGTCATCACGAGCCACGATCCGGGGAACCAGGTTGATCATTTTGTCGGTCGCGTGTGTGTGTTGTCGAATGCGTCGATGTCGATATCGATATCGATGTCGTTGATTGTTGATCGGATCGATATCGCGTCAGACGCGGTGGGGGAGACCGATAGGGATCGTCGTAGTTAAATTCCAAAGAGTGTCACGGATCTAATCCGGGTTGAAGCAAGTCGCAGGAATGGGATGTCTCGAAACCAGAGTCGCGGACTGTTCGAGGCCAGAGAAGGAATGAAGGTGAAGGAGGAAACGATAGGCGCAAAGGAAAGAATGGATCGCAGGGCGTGCAGCTGAAAGAGTGAAGCCGACACCTGCTGGGGAAAGAATGGAGGACGGTGGAAGGGGAGGTGGGAGGATGGATGGAGAATGAAGGGAAAACAGGGGCAGAGAAGGAAAAGAGGGCGGTGCCTAATGCAACGCCGGGCTCCGCTTTGACAACAGTCCAGACTCCAGTTGACCGCCCCAGTTCGCCCTATCTTTATTTTTGTTCACCCTAGACTCGCCTGGGCCTAGCGACAGGTGAAGTGTTGCCCAACTGCCAATTGCGCTAGCCCGTTTGCTCGTTTAGCCTGCGCCGGTCAGCCTGCAGGCGTGGGCTGTTGTTGACCAGCCAATCACTTGCCCGTGCCTGGCAGCCGACCGTGGGTGGGCGCTAGATTGCGCTTGTTTATTGGCGAAAATCAGAGCTTTAGGCCCACCGAACTATGCCGTTTGTCGTGGTTCCCCTGAAAAGGCGGCATGTGCTGGGCAGTATGTACTCGGTACATATTACTGTAGCCGTCTGACTATGGGGAGGGTACATACTGTACAGATGTCTGGTCATGCGCATAATACCGATGTCTCACCGTCGAACTTAGAGTTGTTTACTTCATTTCCCTGACAGGTTGTTATTTATTGACACGGATGCAGCGGGTCGTCCTCGACCTATGATGCAATAGAATCAGGGTTAGCAAGAGATTAGATTCATGCATGTATCACCATCTCATTCGCGGGGTTGAGACACCCATGAAGTCTGCATACATCTCACGTGAATCCCATCAAACTAAGTGCGGTAGCCGGAGATGAGGTTCGACTCGCTTGAACTGCTGGTGGGTACGCGTGAACAAAGACCCATCTCGTCAATTGGCAACGGAGAAAAGGTCTACAACGTAGACTGACGCTGATATGTATTCGCTTGTGAGCATTGAAGGAGACTTTCTAGAATGGAAGATGAATTGGCCAGATCTCCTCGACCTGGCCGTCCGGGGAAGCGGTCACATGAACAGCGCCTGAAGTGAAGGACCTGAGAGTGTAGACAATTACGCCGATTATCATCTATGAATTAAAATATCTACTTATTTACATGTGTAGTCCACGGTTGGTTTTTATCTTTTCATCTGTCTTTTCTTTGGTTTGAATTGTCATGATTAATTACAAGGGTATGCGTGGTGGCTACCTTGGCCGATTCGATATATATAAGCACATGCCAAGCACTCAGCCAAGGTCCATCCTTCCCTCGAATATCCACCGATACAAATATCCACTGTGCAACCATCCCTCATTCCGCAAGAACATCCCATCCTGTCCGACTCCTACACACGTTGGTCGAGCCTCGACTGGTCGAGGGGCGCCATCGGACATTGAGTTCTCGTGTCCGGGTACATGCAGAAGCATGTGCTGTACTTGAGGTGTGTACTCTGACCAATACACCTTAGCCACTGTTTCCGCCTACAACGCTCATATTTGTTATTCTCAAATATGGTTACCCAACTGTTTGCTTAAAAAAATATCAGAAGTTCCAATAGAGTGCAGGATATGAGACAGCTTCGTTCTATGTATCCACGGGACAATCACTAGTGCAATCTATACCTAGGTACTCGGGCCGCTGTACAGTGCACCTGCCATGCTCCAATCTAGCATCTGACCATGCCCGTAACACATGAGCACTTGGGCACTTTTGAAACGCGGGGTTCTCGGTCTCGATCCAGACGGAGATGGAGATCCCGGGCAGTTCGTAGATCCTCGCCGCATTCAAGATCCACCGTGTTTCAAGTACATTGATACCCCGGCTACGTCAAGAGAATCTCAACATCACAACGATGACATAGCAATGGGAGGAGAATACTTCAGCAGCAGGTCCCGTATACCAAATACTGGTGCAGTGATGAAGGGTCGAACTGCTGTCTGTCTACCGCCAAGACTGCACGGCCCAGATCGCCAACTCAACCAAGTTCTTGACACTTCTAAACCCCACCACGCAGCGTGGCCCGACTATCGACTGGGGCAAGGCCGATGAGTCGACGACCAGTGCCGCACTGGTCAACTAATCATGATGCGGTGAATTACCAAATGCGATACGTCACGCCGGTGGAACCGTCGGCCCCATCTAGCTGGGTACTCTGCAGCGCGCCAAAAGGAAAATCAGCTGTCATGTTTCCTGGAAACTCGGAAATACCTGCTGCACCTCGCATTATCTATCTATCTATTTATCGACAAGGCACCCTCTGGCCCTGTACTATTACCCTAAGGTACCTGCCGCCCCGGTAACCGCGGTCATCGTCCTCACGTCCGCCTGGGTCTCAGACCTGCGGCGGCTATCGGATGCAAGGCGGGCTCAAAGATCCGGGGAAAGATCGAAGAATTTCTGTGAGTGATTGACTGACAGTGTGCGACGCTGTGCAAGGATGCGGACGTGCGAATCCTTGCCGACCATCACCTGTATGACTCTCCGTGATCTCCATGTCTCGGTCTCTTTTCAATCTCGCCGGGACTGCGAGGGCGTCCAACCGGGGTGTCCTTGACCGACTAAAACGGTTCTGCTCTCCCCTCCACCACACCACTTGTCCGGACAGCTTGCTCCCGATGAGCTTCTCTTGTCATCAAAGTAAATCAGGAAATTCAGCTGGTAGTGGTTCCCGAGGGGTGGAGGGAGGCATCGCAGATGGATCCAAGGATCAGAGTGACGATACAGAAGCAAGGGGCTGGAAGAGTCGATGGAACATTTACTAGCTCGTCTTGCTCACGGTCCAAAGCGCGGGCGAGGACGACCGAGCACACTATTTGTGAGACTCGCAGGAAGGTTGTCCTGGTTTCCTGGAGCCCAGCATAGAGGAGAGAGGGTCGGACTATCTATATTCTACATACTGCTGAAGCGAAAAACTATCGCTTTCCTCCCCAGGGATGAAGGGAGGGATTCCAAATGCGTTTTTGTTGACGAACATGATCATGGCACGAACCAGGCGTCGATCCATGAGTCAATCAACCAGCCCTGCTCCTACCCATTGAGGTCTTGACCAGAGAAAGCGCCTCCGCCAACGAGCGCGGCCGGGGCCTGGAATGACAGGTAATCCACAGTTAGAAAGGTGGCGGACCCTTGGCTCTTTTATTTATTTTTAATTTTTATTCTCAAGAATGTTCCGTTCCGACCTCAACCGGGTCGGACAGAATCAAATAAACAAACTCATGTTGCCCCGTGTCTGCGAGGGTTAATTGTACTGTAGTGCACTGCTGGATAATAAACTCAGGGTTAGCCGTCAAGCGACAAGCTTGATTAATGTACCTTGCTCGGACTCAGGCTAGGGCCGTCCAAGTGGAGCCGTGTCCGATCGGACACCAGTCTGAGCCAGACCGGTGAATTTCGACCAGGTTGATCTCTCGACTTCTGGCCGCCCCTCGCAGATGTGTACTTCCTGGTCTAGTGTGTTCGCCCATGGCCCATTCATATGCTCGACCATCTCGGCAGAATGCAAAGGCCGAGTTTGCCGGTATGCTCCGACTTGATGGCATCGACCGTGGTTATTGAGACATGTCAGGAGTTCTGTCGATGAAGTGGACCGCTAGGAAGTGTTGGCCGAAGCTGGGCCATGGTGACTTCAAGTTTTCCCGTGCACCCGCCCGGCGCCCTCGATTGTCATCCGCGTCCCTGGGAAACCTAGGGACTGGGGGTGGTGTTCTTTTCATGCAGACCGTGGATGATGATCTGGCGGTCAGGCCCGGGGGCTCCCCAAAATTACCGAAAGAAGAAAGGGGACAGGTGGTCGAAGGGGCGCGATGGTGGCATTTGACGTCCGCAATGCCGCCGGCTGGGGCCGCCGGCCGTCGTTTCGACGAAGCTGAGTTGAAGGTCGATGGGGCACTAAAAAAGAAGCGCCGGGAGAGCCAGAGATCCGGCGATCTGTCTGTCACAATACGAGTACGGTACCATACCACCGAACAGGCTGGGCTGCGACGATTCCAGCACCGAATGACTTTATCTCCCATAGTTAGTAGCGTAGTAGCTGAAGTACCCCCGGGATCGACCCTGCTCAAGGCGTCATCGCCTCCCGCGAATACCAGTACCATACACTAAGCGGCTGATCTCCTCCGGCCCAGCATCAGTTTCTGCGCCCACACCTTATCTATCATTTCTCCCATCACCTTTCTTTTTTCCCTTTCGTGTTACTCTTCTTCGCCTTTTTCTCGCTCTTCGTTTCTTCCTTTTCTTCCATTCTCCTTCCCGCCCGTGCAGTATTCCTCTGCACTTTTCCTCCAAAAAGGAATACCGACAGAGCAGAGCACGCAGGAAAAAAAAAAACCAAATCGAGCTTGGCTGTCATGCTGGCGCCTGTGTGACAGCTGGACTACATTAATGCCGTGCTTTGTCTCTCGCCCACATTCCCATCCGTCGACCCACTAAAGCAAAAAAACCCTCGTCGGCTTTCCTTCTTTGCGCAACAGGAGCGCATTCCGCTATTTTTCCCTTGTCGACCGCCTACGAAACCTCGCCCCCCCTCCATCCCTCCATCCTCGCCCCCCCTTGCGCAAACTCCCCATCCCAGGGTCCCAACGCTCTTCCATTCTCGGGAACCGCGCTCCTCCACAAGGCGCATGAGGACGATCTGCAAACTGGGAGATTCCTGGAGCATGCACGGAGCAGAGTAACGTCGCGGCGCCTCCCCAATTCTGATCTCCGGCTACCAAACCTGCCCTGCAGCGACAAACGAAGGGGAAGAAGATTTGCATCGTTCCAATCTTTGTCGCCTTGCATCTCCTACCCCGATCCTGCTTCTTCCTGCCCGCATTTTCCAGTGACCGATACTCCCTTTCCAACTTCTCCTCCTTTCCTCCTCTCGATCCCCATCGGTTATCTGTACATGTCCTGGGTCTGCGGCTCCTGAAGAACCACCAAAATCCAAAAAAAAGGCCACGGTCGTTCCCTGCTGGGTCATCAACGCTTTCTGGTGATCCCTTTCTGTTCCCTCCTTGGTGAGTGTGTGCCCTCTCGTCGCCCTCCCCTCGTCGTCCCTGACCCTGTATACCTGCTTTTGGGCTGTCTGCTAACAAGGGTCTTCCTCCACCAACAGTCTTATATTCTTCGTACACGCCGTTCCTGGTGCCTGGTGCCCGCTGCAAATACTGGCCGAAACAGATCGGTTGTTCGGCCTTGTGATTTAGTGACGACACCTCGACCTCTCCTGCAAATACGTTCGCCCGTTCGTTCGAGTACATATCTGATTACCCTTCCATCGATCGCTTACCTGGGATGGCTTCTACCATGGCTGCTAATGCAAGCAGCGTGCACAACGTGAGTGGAGGACAATCCGGCAACGGATCGGATCAGGCACTGACGCGAAATACGCAGGTACGGTCGAGCCGCTCTAACATGAGTTCATCCGGGATGAACAACGACCGCACACGTGGATCCCAAGGCAACAGTGTGGGGAAGGGATTCGGAGCTGGCAAGTCTAGCTGGAACAACAACATCTGGGGCGACTCCAACCTAGGAGGGGGATTCAGTGATGGTATGTGGACCTTCCGATCGACCTTATGGCCGTCACTCACCACCAGAAAAACAGAGCAACACATCAGCGAAAACGCGTTTGAAGGAAAGTCAGGTTCGGGCTCCTTGCTGTCATCTTCAGAGTCTGATGGCTGGACTGGACGTCCCAACCTTCCGTGGAGTACTGTCAACACCTCGTCGCTCTCAATGGGCCAGAACCGCAGCATGGCGACCTCGCCAATCGAAACTCGTTCGAATGACCGCAGTGCCCCGGCCTTGAACAATGCAGGCGACTCTTCATATTTCACACTCCCACGTACGACTGGAATCGGGACTTCGGCCGGTACAGTGAGCCACCGTCCGTACCTGAACAGCAGCTCGGAGGGTGTTTCTCCATCTGGAGATGGTATCACATTCGGTGGTTTCGCTGGGCTTCGCAATGGCGACAGTCGACGACAGATGAGCACAACTGGTCTGAGTGGAAGCCCAGTGGGAGCGACTTTCCCCGTCAAATCAGGTTTCGCTGGACCGATGGAGGGCTCGCGTGATGACATGGCGACTCAAATGAACATGTCTTCTATCTCTGGTATTCCCGACAACATGTCTCCCTCGCAGACCCGCAGTGGCCTTTCACACATGTCACACAATTCCGCCTCATACGCTCAACGGCCTGTCCACTCCGCCAACCCCTCTTTCTACTCCGACAACCACAGCATCGATGGCCGTTACAACAGTGGCTCAATGGATCTTAACTCGGGATTTAGCAAGCTCCAGCTCAACAATGGTGGCTTCGGCGGACAATCTTCTGTTCAGCGCCCGCCCTACATGCCCCACGCTTCTTTCGATGGGTCTATGCCCCGAGGCAAGTTCCAGAACAACGACGATGTCAGCTACCAAGCTTTGGCTGGCTATGGAAATGATGCGGCGCAGGATATGCTCTACCAAACGCGATCTCGTGGCGCAGACAATGGGTCCATCTCCCCCTCGGACTACGCCCGCATGGACAGTCCGATCTATGCTGGTGTTGATGGAGCTCAGTACCGCAACGCCGGTGCCCGCATGTCTGAGAATCAGGCTGCGGCTTTCGAGCGACGCCTCCGACTCCAAGAGCAAGAGTTCGTGCAGAGCCAAGGCAACGGCTTGCAGCGCATGCAAATGCCCCCCTCATACGATTACGCCGGTTTCCAGGCCGCGCGTTTCAATGCCCTCCAAGGCTACTACCCGATGCCCTCTTTGGGGCTTGGCAATCCCGCCGTCATCAACCGAGCACGAGAACATGACCCTACTCAAGTTGTTCGCAGCCCACTTCTCGAGGAATTCCGCGCCAACAGCAAGGGAAACAAGCGCTACGAGCTCAAGGACATCTACAACCACGTTGTCGAGTTCAGCGGTGACCAGCATGGCTCTCGCTTCATTCAGCAGAAGCTGGAGACTGCCAACAGTGATGAGAAAGAGCAGGTCTTCCGGGAGATCCAACCCAACTGTCTGCAGCTCATGACCGATGTCTTCGGCAACTACGTCGTCCAGAAGTTGTTTGAACACGGCAACCAGACTCAGAAGAAGATTCTGGCCAACCAAATGCGTGGTCATGTTCTTGCCTTGTCGACTCAGATGTACGGCTGCCGAGTCGTCCAGAAAGCTCTCGAGCACATCCTCACTGACCAACAGGCGGCCATGGTCAAGGAGCTGGAGAACCACGTTCTGAAGTGTGTGCGGGATCAGAATGGCAACCACGTTATTCAAAAGGCCATTGAGCGTGTTCCTTCGCAGTACGTGCAGTTCATTATTAACGCCTTCCGGGGCCAGGTGAACCGTCTCGCGGCCCACCCTTACGGATGCCGCGTTATCCAGCGCATGCTGGAGCACTGTGAGGAGGTGGATCGGGAGTCCATTCTGGGCGAGCTCCACGCTTGCACGTCGAACCTCATCCCGGATCAGTTTGGCAACTATGTCATCCAACATGTTATCGAGAACGGCGATGAGAAGGATCGGAACCGCATGATTGTGATCGTGATGTCGCAATTGCTGGCTTACTCCAAGCACAAGTTTGCCAGCAACGTCGTCGAGAAGAGTATCGAATTTGGCGAGCCGAGCCAGCGCCACCACATCATTTCGACACTGACTTCTCCCAATGACCGGGGTGAGAGCCCACTGCTCGGCTTGATGCGCGACCAGTATGGAAACTATGTCATCCGTAAGTTACTCCGTTTCTACTGCAGAAAGATTGAAGCTTACTCTCGCCCTACAGAAAAGGTTCTTGGTCAACTCAAGGGCGCCGAGCGCGAGGCCCTCATCGACCAAATCAAGCCCCTGCTCAGCCAGCTGAAAAAGTTCAGCTACGGAAAGCAGATCGTGGCGATCGAGAAGCTCATTTTCGACCCCAACTCCCCGGCAGCCGGTCCTCTGCCGCACACTACATCGACTACTCCCCCGAACTCCCACAAATCCTCCCCACAGCCCTCCAAGCGCACCATCCCTGCCATGGAGCAGCCGCGAGCTCCCTTCGTCGGCACTGCGCCGCCCACCCCACCTCCGACGGACAACCAGAACACTGTCGATGGCTCTCTTGAGTCCAAGGGGCTTGCTAAGAGCACTGTGACGTCGGTTTCGAGTCCCGAGACAGGCAACGCTGGTGTTGCCGTCCCGGTCGATGTCACCAGCGCTCACTAATTCGATTGCACAACATAACCTTATTTTTGCTGGCCCACATAATCTTTTTCCTCTTTTTTTTCGCTTCTACGCCGATTTGAACCGAAAAAAACCCCAACTTCCTCCGGAGTTCATATTTTTTGCTTCCTTTATCTAATATGGGCGTATACATACAGGGGCTTGAAATTCGGCGGGATATATGATGTTACTGTCAACGTCAAATGTGTTTTATTTTTCCCCTCCCAAATCCCTATTCTCATGTTATCCATGGCTTGACGGCGCAAAGAGGGACCCTCTATTTTACCTACTTCCCTATTTTTCCCTTCTCATGTGTGTTGATCTCGGAAATCTGTTTTCCCTCTGTCCATTATTTCTTGTCCTATTTTTTACTCCCCCATCATTGTCATTATGCGATCTCCCTCGACTGAACTCTCATATCAACAGGCGTGTGGTGTGACACAGTCAGGACTCAACCAATGTGGAATCGGCGTCGATGTGTCCTTTTATCATTTTTTTTCATTATCTGGGTCACGGTCAAGCGAAGACAGGGAAATCAAATGGGAAATTATCTTCGCTTTCAACGATCTTCGGCATATGACATGAGAGACACCACCCCTTGAGCTTCGGAAATGGAAATATGGGAGAGAATTATCTTTTTTGCATGGCACGGTATCCTTTTATTTATCTGTTTATTGTTGGTCCTCTTCTGGTCCTCTCTGCTTCTCTGTCTTCCTTCCCCCTCTTACTCTGCTCAATATCTTTCTTCTACAATATTAAGAAAGATGCCACGCATATCAGGTGCGGGTTTGCTTCGGTATACAGTTCACTTCCAATGAAAAGTGTTCCTTATGCCCCAACAATTTGTTGATAGTTTGCTTAGTGGCTAATGTATTATTCCTTAATTCTCAAATCTTTCCAAACCAGTAAATATATTTCTTTCAATTTCGAGACTCAGTACGCCTGAGGTCATGTGAGGCAAAGGTAGAACGTATCACGTGACCGATAAGATGCGCCGCGGACCCGCCAAGCCCAGATTGGCCTTGGAAGTTGCCGCAACTCCAGCCTTCAACCCACCTCTCCTCGCCTCACTCCAACCTTCCACAAGCTCAACCAACACAGCCTGGAGCAGATGCAGCGTTGACGACCACCCCGAAACCCACTCCCAAAGGCTGCAACACATAACCTACCAAATTCCAAACCAGACCACATCAAAAACAACCTTACGCACACTCCACGAACCAAAAATGTCCTCCAACGTCGGTCTAAGCACACCCCGCGGCAGCGGCACATCCGGCTATGTCCAGCGCAACAGCGCCTTCATGAAACCGCGCAACGCAGGCTACGGCGCGCCCTACCCACCAGTGACAGGTGCAAACGGCAGCAGCGAGCGCAGCTTCAGGCAACGCAAGCCTGACCAGCAGATCTTGGAACACGACCGGATGCGCGCGATCGAGGTGAAAGTGATGGAGGAGCGGGAGCGTCTTGAGGAGGAGAACGAGCGGATCGAAGAGGAGCAGAGCAAGGCCAAGAAGGACGACAAAAAGGAAGAGAAAGAGGAGGGGGAACAAGATGATGAAGAGAAGATCTTGAGCGAGGAGGAAATTGATGCGCGGTGTGAGGCTTTGCGGGAGAAGTTGTTGAAGGAAGGCGAGAAGGAGAAGGGGAAGATGGCCCCTCCAAAGGATCGGAGGAATCTCAAGGCTTATCAGGTTCATGAGCTTGCTGAGGCGAAGATTGAGGAGAGTGAGAGGTTACGGAAGGCGCTGGGCATTCGAGAGGATAGGGAGACTGGAGAGATTAGTTCTGGGAGGGTTGAGAGGAGACGGGATTAAATTGTGTTATTTGATTTTGGGGTGGTGTTGGGCGTTTGATGGGTGCATATTATTCCGACAGACCCTCTATTGAATTCTGAGAATTATTCTACCTCTTTTTTTTTTTTGTCTATGTGTTAGAGAATCGAGGGACTGCATCGACAAATGCGACTATACTCGATTGGATATCATAACCTCATCTAAACAAAACCAATAACCTGTTATCACCAAGGCAAGACAAACAGCCCAGGTAGATTTTAAGCCACAAATTTCTCAATAACCCAGCCTTCTCTCGGATCCTTCTTCTGAACAACCTTCTTCGCAGGCAAAGGCCAGCCAGCACCACCAGCATCACCAACCAACGAAGGCACAACCCACGCCGAGCGGCGCACCGGAATACCCTCCAAGATCTCCGTCTTTCCAATCGGCTTCCCATACTCCAACAATGGGGTATCATGCGCAATCGCCGCAAGCTGCAACCCACTCGGAACGACAAGCGGGAACATTCTAATCTTCGGCGCTTGTTCCGAAACCAGCGAAGTAGTCGACTGCTGCAGATGCGAGTAGATGATATACTGCGGCATTTCCTTCGGCGTAAGTTTCGCCAGGGCAGAGGTGGGGTGGACGAAGACGGCTCGTTCGGAGATATCTTGTGCAGGACCCTCGCGCGAGCGGAAGAGCGTGAGGTAGGGCACGTCGATGGCGCGACGGGGAGCACGAGGGTTCTCTGGTGGAACGGGGGCCATATCAGCGCGGATAGCGACGTTATCGATGAAGCCGGCTGTAACGATTTGTTTCAGGGCCTTGATTTGCTTCGCGGAGGGTTCTGGGAGACGCGGTTCGTAGGTGCCTACGACGCCAGAGGTATTGGACCGGACGATGTCGGTCAATTGGCGACGGAGCTGGGAAGCTTCCTTGAAGGCCTTTGCGCGGAAGAACATCTGCTCGCTGAAGGCTTCGCCGTCTGAGGCGTATGCGTAGGCGCAGATGGCGGAGAGGTATTTTAAGGCGTCGGATGTATCGTCGTGTTTACTCAACAACCGATGAACGCGAGCGTAGTCTTTGGATTTCTTTTCGCGCTCCGTGTCTTCTAGACGGTCCGCGTTTGTGTAGACTTTTCTATCATCCCCGTCCTCGTCGCTAGAGCTGTCGTCGCTTTTATGTTTATTTGACGGCGCGTTGTCGACGGGGTTCACTTGGTTCTCCGCGACGAAGAGATCGCCGACGGCGAGGGCTGCGACGAGTGCAATGACATAGGGCATGCAGCCGTGCTGGTGTCCGATGTAGAGCATTTTGCCGAATCGGGGGGAGAGGGGGTATGTGGAGAGACGGCGGCCAATTTGCGTTACTTGGCCACTGGCAGAGAGGGCACCGAGGTTCTTGAGCAGCTTTTCTGCTTTGGCGAGACCCTGGCGGCTGGGAGGTGTAGGGAAGGGGAAATTGATCACGTTGTGCAGACCCATGCTTTTCATTTGGAGGACGATTCCTTCGATGGGGGTGCGGAGGATCTCTGGATCGGTATATTCGTCGAAGTCATTTTCGTAGACGGCCGACGAATACATGCGGTAGCAGTGACCTGGTCCTGTTCGACCGGCTCGACCAGCTCTCTGGTTTGCGCTGGCTTTGCTGATCCAGCCGATCTGGAAACTCTGCACACCGGTGAAGAGGTCGTATTGCTTCTCCTTGGATCGACCGCAGTCGAAGACGTACTTGATTCCCGGGATGGTCAGGGAGGTTTCGGCGACGTTGGTGGCTAGGATGATCAACCGCGAGTTCTCTGGTGGCGGCTCAAAGACCTTCATCTGCTCTTTGGTGGGCAATTGCGAGTATAAAGGCAAGACGTGGACGCGAGTAGACTCATCCATGGCATCCTCGCCCAGGTCGAAACCTTCGTCTTCATCATCTGGTTCGTCGAGTCCGGTGATTTCGACATCACTTTCGTCGTCTACGCCGGCATTGTCCATCTCCGTACCACCGAGCTCCAAGTCTTCTGCTTCCAAAGGTGCGTCGTTTGCGGAAATCTGCACCTTTGCTTGAGTTGCATCTGCCCGCTGTGTTGGTTTAAATGTCTGCTTCAGCCGCTTTGACAGCTGTCGAATCTCTTGCTGTCCAGTTAAGAACACAAGCATTCCACCAGGTGGCAGCTTACGGTGACCACGCGAGACTTTACGGAAAGCCTCTTCAACGTAATCACGGTGTGTGCGACGGGCAAAGTGGACGGTGACGGGGTACTGGCGGCCCTCAGCCTGGACCAGTGGAGGTGGCCCTTGGCGAAAAAGGCTAGAATTTTGGGTGAAGTCGGAGATACGCAGAGTGGCAGACATGATGACAATCTTCAGGGGTGTGACTGTCGGGTCTTCGGCCATCATTGATTTGCGCAGATCCACAATACGGCTGACCATACCAATCAGAATATCAGTGTTGACACTCCGCTCGTGAGCCTCATCAATGATGATGACGGAATACTTGCGAAGAGAAAAGTCCTCTGCGATTTCTCGGAGAAGAATACCATCAGTCATGAACTTGATGGCAGTCTTCTTGGAGACAGTTGTCTCGAATCGGATCTGATAGGAGACGTGATCGGAGTATTGGCCAAGTTCCTGAGAGACACGGTTCGCCATACTCACGGCCGCCACTCGACGGGGTTGAGTGACACCGATCAAACCCGGATTGGGGCTGTTCGGGTTGCCGTAGCCGGATTCGAAGAGGAATTGGGGCAACTGAGTAGTCTTTCCGCTACCAGTGGCACCCCAGATGACTATGGTAGAGTTGTTGTGAATGGCCTCCATGATCTTCTGCTCCTCACCAACAACCGGAAGGCCCATACGGGCATTTTGGATTTCTTCTGAGCGTTCCACGGGGACACTGAAAGCCTTGCGGTAGGGATCGCCCTGGGTGACTTGAAGCTCTAGTGGCAGAGGCTCTTCTTCGTAGACCGTGTTCTTTGCCTCCTTTCGGGGAGGTGCAAATGCTTGCTGCTGGGCATAATCGGTGATCGTCGGTGCCTCTGGCTTAAAGCCCACGGCTTCATTGATTTGTTGGACGGCCCAGGATTTAAAAGCGGATTCTCTTGGCTTGATTTTGTGAGGGGCTTCCTCACCTTCATCGTCGGAATCTTCTTCATCAGAGCCTTCGCCAGAATCCTCCTCGTCAGAAGTACCTTCGGACGACTCGGAATCTTCGCCTTCCGGATCCTCCTCCGCATCGCTATCCGAGTTGTCCACATCCTTGTCCGAGCACTCTTCATCCGAGTTTCCCTCGTCTGATCCGAATCCATCCCAATCAGGTTCCTGTACAGGCGCCGGTGCCGGTGCCGGCTTCGCAGCGCGCTTCCGCTTTTTGAGGATCGGGAAACCGTCGGGGCCGAGCTCGAGAGGGCGTTTCAATCCACTTCCAACAACTGTTTGGGGTTTCGGGGTAGGATCGGGATCAGTGGCAGGATCGGAGACCTTCAGACCACGATCGGAGTCGTCTGTTTCGTCTCCGGACAGATCTTGAGCGGAGGAAGTTCGGTCCGATACTTTAACGGCGGGCTCAGGAGCGACTTCATCGCCTTCGCGCTTGCGCTTGCCCAAATCTCGGAAGCTATGAAGACCGGAATGATCGGTTTTCGCTTGAGCGAGCTTCTTCAAGAGTTCGGCGTTCTCTTCCTTCTTCAATTTGGTTTCCTGCATGCCAAGTTAGAAAAGCTGACCATGGCTGGTCTTGAGCAGCTTCACCTACAATATACTTATCCAAGCGCTTTTGCTTCTTCGACGAGACATTGGTGTGCTGATCTCGAAGCTCCTCGCGAAGCTTCTGTCTCCGAGCTTCCTTTTCATCTTTGGAGACTGGCGCCAGCTCCGCAACATTGGTATCGACCGGCGCAGCAGGCTCTTGGCGCCGGTGCTTTTGTTTTCGCTGGCGAGGAACGAACTTGGGCATCTTGAAAAATACACCCTTCTAAACAAGACAGAAAAACCAAGAGGCTTGAATTGCGCAGTCGTCGAGTTCAGCGGGAAAAAAAATCGAGGATATGCGCGAGGCGGTGAGAATTATGCCGGATACTGCAGTGTGGGGAGGGCCTGACCGCCTTTCACCAAAGCATCAACAGGCCGCTGAGCATCCGGACATGCAACACCAACATCAACAATGGCGACTCTAGACAGTGCTTTGCAGGAGACTTTGAGCCTGAATCTGCCTTTCCCAGCTGCCACCAGGCAAGTGGCTGGCCTGGTAGATGGTGTCAAGACCGATGTCATGGTCATGAACTTCAGCGATAAGATCATGGTCACCATCTCGCAACAAGGCCGACTTGCGCACTGGGTTTGTACTCATGAAAGCTCCTATCTAGAGGAATGCTAACTCGGGAACAGCTGCATGTGCCCATTGTGAACTTAAATCCGGGTACTGATGGCATGCACACCTTCTCTGAGGGTACGGACGACAGCCTGTTGCCCCTCAGCGGTCTGACAGCAACATCTCTCTTGGGTGGCCATGCGCCCGGCCAGGACACAGTGGGCCAGCTCCTCGCGCGTCAGATCGCCACGGCTATTGCGACCAAATCGCCCTCGGAGAAGCGGCTTTTGGTCGTGGGTCTTGGGCTCGGCAAAACAGGCGCAGACCGTGATTCGTTCTTTGCAATCATCGACCTTGTTTTGCAATGCATTTAGATACCATTTTGTTTTTAATAGCAAATTACGAGTGATGAATTTTTGAAAACTTCCTCGATGGATTTATATTTTCATGTTGTGACAATGGACCAATTCGTGATTGGGACTTCATCCTGAACCGTTGAATGAACTGACGAGTTGCCCCAATCCGTTTCCTGGCTATGAACATAACGCTTCTTACACTCGAATGATATTCAATCACGTCCAGGAACACACGGAATATTCAAGAAAAAAACTTATGAGCCAAGGCGAGAAATGGTCGGCATTCGGGCAATCGCTACGCCTACAACCTCTTGCAGCAGAAAACATCAAACCCTATGCTGAATTCTATTGAGTGTCATTGTATGAACAATGATAAAGAAACATCACCCAAAATAGTGAGAGCTTTGCGGTCAATAATCTGGATTCTGTGGCCGAAAAGCAAAGTTCTTATAAATTCCTAGAACTTCATCAATAATGCTACCAAATGGATCTAAGCTAGGCCAACAGAAGTAAATTTAGTTACACCCGAGACCAAGACTATTGATTTGAAGTAGCATTATCTCCTTGAAGACTTTGGAAGAGCTGGAAGCAGTGGAACGTCGATGGGGGCTCCAGCTGTAAGCCCACCCCCAGCATCTCGAGTAGAGCCTTGCATGTGTATCGTATTGACCCCGTTCAAAGTGTTTCTTATTCTGACTCCACGCGATGTGTTCTGGTCACTCAAGGCCGATTCGACCTCAAGAAGAAGATTTATTGCCAATTTAACACACTATATAACTTCTCGAGTGAATTTGGACTTTTCATATCGAAGAAAGCGAAACGACGAAGCCCCTGAGAGAACTTGGCGCACTGGATATCCTGATGGCAATAAAAATGCAGAATCGATATCGCGTCGTGTGATTAAGTTTGCGTATCTGTCAGCAACTCCATATGTACAAGTTTTCATGTCCTCCATAATGTTTTCCTTGATGCATGATGCCATAGGGGACTCCAGCCCAGCGATGCCATATTTGTCCGCGAGTTTGGCAAGCTCCATTGTAGCCGAAATCTGATCTTTGCCGTTCTTCGTCTCGAACTTTACGCTGCCAACATATAGTCACTGAATCAGTGCCTTGAAGCTTCGATCCGAAACGATGTCTTCCATATCGTCTAAATTGATTTTTCTGGGTTTGGCTTCTTGGATCTACCACTAACAATGCTTTGAAATACGGTGACGCGACGCAAAGGAGGTCTCTTGAGACCGTGTGGTACTCATTTTTGGATGACCCGGTTCGGATTTTGACTGTTGAACTGTGATATAATGGAAGATTATGTTGGTCCGTTAGGAATAAAAAGTAGGTCAGATTGGGTTGCTCGGTCAAGCCGACTCACCTCTTTGCGAAGGTCGAGGCGTCTGCTTGAGATGGTTCATTCATGGCTGCAGATATTCAAGTCAGGCCCTGCATGAAGACAAATGTGTGCCAGATGAATGTGTATTATTGCAAGGAATGAATGCACCGTCCTGAGAAATCTTTTGCTACTACTACTTACTACTAGTACTCGCAGCGGCGTACTAGCCAATATTAGGAGTTGGAGATGTTGTAATATGACGCGTTGAGCTTCGATCTTAAATAGACTCACAGTAAAATAAACTTGACCGCATTTAGACAAATATTTCCTAAATAGGATGGCTGGCGATTTTCAAGGTTTATTGAGCTGACCAATCAGCGCTTAGGCATCATCTAAAGAATCAGACTAAGATCCCGCTTTTTGGGCGGCTCTCCATTATCACACTGGTGACGCGCGCTTCGCAAGCTTCGCACGCCGATGCCCTGAAACGACAAGGAAAACGAAACGAAACGAAGGTTAGTAAAGGAGAAAAGTGATGTTATTGGATACAGCCATAAGGGGCAAAAGAATGGAAGGTTTATATGGTCCGGAATAGGTAAGGCCCAAGTTTGTTGAAACTTTATCAGTTGAACATATATATAGGCCAAGATCTCTGTGGAACTCAGTTTAGTAGGCCTCCTAAAATAAAATTTCCAAGGAAGGAATTCGATCGTAATGGCTACACGTCCAGTTCGCTTTGAATTCACCTGCGAAAATACGAGCAACAAACTTATGTTCTACCATAATATTCCTAGTCACCTGATCACAGTCGAATCTCAATCCCTACAGCACCGTCCTGCATATGTGAATAGCTTTCTCAATGCTATAACGCCTATTATGAAAGCACATGAGAAGGATTGTCGTCGGGCGTCAGATTCTCACTGTGGAAATTGTGGCTCACCTACTGTCGGAGTCCTGCAAACTCCGATGTCTTTTCTACATGTGGACGAACCTTTCGTTTCAGTATTTGTCCATCCTATATGCGAGAAAGAGAAATGTGAAACGCAGACCAGGCAGGAAATCGAGATTATAATGGCCGAAGTCGCACAAGAAAGCCATTCCAACAGCACCTGGGGACCTGAGGAGATACTGTGTTGTAAGATTTGTGGCAGAAGAGAAGGTGCGAAGAAGTGCGGGCGCTGCAAGGTGGTGGCGTACTGTGGAAGAGATCATCAGAAGGCGGACTGGAAATTACATAGGAAGGTCTGTGTTTCCACAGAGCAATGAAGTAGGTCAAACTGGCAAGTGCTTGTAATGTTCGAGTGTGTCTGTGTATACTTCTAATACTTCCAGCAACATATCTCAACAAGGCTGGAAGTTGGTCTTATTCCAGGTACCGATAGTTTCTTCTTGAAGCCTCTCGAGTCGTTTCATCTCAGATATTAGCCGAACGTCAGGTGCAAATTCAATATCTTCCACAGAAATCTTCTGGAGAAGATGAAGTCCGTTGGATGACCTAAGTCTAGACAGTTGGACATAAGTGGAGCAATATTTTCTGTGAGCATCCCAGCCCCGTCTGGTGGGATCGCTCTTGAGGTCAAGAATGGCTTCAGTGAAGGTTGAGCCTTGGACTTTGTAGTCGGTTAGGCAGAACGCTGGGCACATGGGTACTTGTTTTCTTCGTACAGAGAAGCCTTTGAAGGAGATAGATCGTTCTAATGGGAAAACAGGCATTACCGAAAACTCAAGGTTGTCGAATTCGGCGGATTGCGGTCGGTTCAATCTCAACAAAAGACATGCGGGCGGTTTGGTGCAAAACATGTATAGGTTGTTGAGTTCAAATAATTGTGCTGATTGGAAAATTTGGGTCAGCGCAAACTATTTTCGGGAGAAAGACGACTTGCCTGTCGGGTCTAGTACTACACCCACCACCGTTCCCAACGCGCCATTCACTTGGCCAATACGGGAACAAATATTGGTCAGTATCACGGCTGGCATGTTTCGGGTATAGAGAAAGAGACCAGGGAATGGGATCTTTGTCCCTTGGTCAGGTTGCTGGAGCAGGTCTTCGGCCCGTAGCCGCGTTTTGGTGGCGTTTTTGGTTTTGATACGGCTGTGCTCGGCAGGAAAGACACAAATGGTCTGAGATCTGGTGATTGCAAAATGCTCTATCTGGGTGCGATTTATCAGATGTCGAATGGAGTTTAGCTTGGTTATGGCAGTGGCACATTCCAACCGAGGCTCTAGAAGTGAACTGATGGCTTTGGAATTGAGTCGATCTACATCTCGTTGTGTGAGAGCTGCTCGCCGCGCTCGCGTGAGAAGGCTATGGAAGGAAGGGTCTTCTGATTGTCTCATTTGTTCGTCCAAGATGATGACTTGTTTGAATTGATGCCAAATCATTTGGCCGTTCACATCTTCATCGTTGCCGTCTCTTGGTTCCTTCCACAGAGCGGGACCTCGCACTGGAGGGAATTGGAAGAAGTCTCCCATGAGAATGACCACGGGTAGTCCCCCAAAAAGTTCAGTGGAGGACCTGTCCAGTGAACGAGCAATCCTGCAATGGTTGTTAACCACACTGAGCATGGTCAAGTCCATCATGCTCATTTCGTCGATGAACATAATGGTCTTGTGTGCCCAGAGACTTCTGACGTGGGAGCCCATTGAGCTCTTCTGCAGGCGATTGATAGAGATGCCCAGAGATGTATGATACGTATTCCCACCGATGGTGTCTGCAGCAGCTCCTGTCGGGGCCATCAGCATAATCTCATCCTTGCGACCAAGGAGGTCCATGGCGGCGACAATGGCCTTGGGAATCTGCGATTTCCCTGTGCCGCCTTCTCCTGTGATGCAGAGTAGGAGTTGCTTCCGTCGAGAAGAGTCATATGGATGGTCTGCGCATGCCAAAGCTTCGGCTAATATTTTTTCCACGATCAATCGTTGCTTGCTGTTGAGAGGAATATCTTGACCAACTGAAGATACCAGAGAGGCGGCTGTTGGATTCTCACCAAGCTGAAATCGACGATCCTGTAGAGAGTGGAACACGTCCGAGTCTACTAGCATAGGTTGTAGGAAGCCATCTCCAATGTCTTGGTCGAAATCATCTAGCTGGAAGGACGAGTTCTGCTGTTCAGCGATGGAAGCATTGTCTTTCGTGCTCGCAAGGCATTCGAGACGACGTTCCCAGCATTGTAGTACGGAAGGTGGAAGAAATCTGACACCCAAGATATCATTGGCAGAGGAATTGGGAATGGTAATTGGTCGCGGGTTGAAGTGTTGGATATTCCGCCCTGGTGTTGTTCCGCGGGCCAATGCAGGGATTCGGTGCGCTGTGATAGTTGACTCTCGGCTCCAGACTTGTCCGATTGTGTGGTAGGCGGCGATCAGAGTCTCTGCGGTAAAGTTCTCACTCTGAGCCTGGAAGTCGTCATCGTGCTCATCACTATCAGAATCGAAACTTCCTTGGTCGAGATCAACAATCTGTCGGTCAAAAAAATCGTCGTCCAGATGAGTCGATGCACGTAACTTCGCATCTGCCTGGCAGTCTTCTTTAGACTTGCGAAGAAGCTCAATATTCGCAGCGAATTCTCGATTATGCGGTGCGAGGGTTGGTTGCGCAATGGTCCACACTATGGAGTATATGTTTTCTTGAGATGTAAACTGGCTCAAGATCGCAGATAAATCATGCCATGGAACAAACAGGCCCAATAGGATCTGGGCGACATCATTCAGAATGGCTTCTGTTGCGGGATGTCCTCCAGAAATGGCATCTTCGGCTTCTTGGAACTGAGTTAGCTGTCCCTTGAATGTAACAGTAGCCACGTGAGCAGGTTTTTGAGCGAGATGCTGTACGTGTGTGGTGTATCTCGGATGTGCCGCGTCGAAATCGAGGTCGGTGGTGGCCGCGCCTTGTTTATCTCTCATTCGTACTAGCATGCAATATTCAAAAAACGTGAGAGTGGCCAGATTTTTCCCTCGCCATTTATAATTGTCGAATAAGCTCACAGGAGCAGTGTCGCCAACTTTATACGTGCAGGCTTCCTCTCCTACAGTACCTTGCAGTTCTTGTGGATGAGTCATAGCGCGAATATACTGCCTTAGCCACCAAAGATTGACGCTGACGAAGTTGTAATTGACGGTGTAGAATCATTCGATTCATCCTCAACTATGACGTAACGGAAAGGGTTAGTTATTAGGAAATAAAGTGTAATTTTTACTTTCGAGACTGAGAAATAAGCTTGTGCCGAACAACACGTACTCGGCATGTGTATTATGACCGTGGCCACGAAGGAAAAAGACGTGAAAAGTAAGAAGCGAACTTAGAACCTTTGATACCGGATACCAGCCATTCTGAGTATCATGATCTTTAATTGGTCTTCGAGAATTTACGACTCCCCTGGGGCCGATGGCCACTGAGAATTGTGTCTGCTGATGAATTGTTTTCCGGGGGAGTCAGGTGCTGAACAGTTGCATCCCTGCAGAATTGCCCAGTGGGGGGCTCAGATTGTATGGGAACATGTGCGTCACTGGAAGGAGTGGTGGCTGAAGTAAGTGAAGGTTGAGCAGTCTGGTGACCTTCGTCTAGGCCATGGGAATCAGAGACGGATATTAGCCTCTGAGACCTCTTCATCGGTGTCAGTGGGCTGGCGCGACTGTTCCATCTGTCTGCTTTGTTCTGCTTTTCTGCTGATGAGGCAGGAGTCACGGGAGCAGTCGTAATGGAGCCGAGATTCGGAATGAAATAAACATCATCCACGCCAATTGCGAGCCGAGGCGTGTTCGTAGTAATACCGAAAATGCGTCCAGCGATAAATACGCGAGACTGCGCAGCAAGGACAGGAAAATTCGTCCAACGGTTTCCGTTCCTGAAGTAAATAGAAACCGTAAATGTCACAGACGCTTTGTTGGAGACGTCATAGACATTAGCCTCGAGGTCGTAATGCAATAGATTAGACCCATTGTTCAACTGCCCCCCTCCGCCTCGGACTATTCCCAGTAAGCTAACTGTAGGGAGAGCGGCCTCTGGGCAGTGCATATTGTATGCATGAGGATCAGAATGGTCACCAGGATGGCTAAGGAAACCTTCTGCGGTGGGGAGGCAAGGGTGGCGTTGTGATACGGGATCTCACCAGTCAACCTCATGGGCGTGTAAAATCAAACGTAGAGACCCTTCCGGGTCGACACAGGTTAAGAACGAGCCCCAAGCATAGATGAATTTGTTGGGTTCGTAAGATTGAGGGTTACGCGGCGAGGCAAAGAAATGTATGGTAGTCGGAAGCTCATTCAATTCAACATCGTCTGAGTAGAGATCCGGTTGGAAAGGAAGATGTAAGGACGCCCCAATTTGTAGAGCAAGTCCCTGGCTGGGCCGAGATGGGTCGGGTCCCACGCTGTCTATGAAGTCCCTCAAGTGAAGAATAGCGGGCGAGTTAACCTGAGACGGCATAAGGGCAACGATCTGGGAGGGAATAAAGACCGAGATAGTGCAAGTCGGAAGGGTGATGGACAACAAGAAGTGGCATTCAAGACTTTCACAGAGATATGAAATATATGTGTAAAGAACATCTAGTGTCTGGATATCAAATTGATACAAGGTTGCAATGCAATGAAACGTACAGTATTATTTCCAAGCCACACGGAGAGATTTGATCGTATATAGCGAGCGAGAAGGCTTGGGAAAGTAAAAGTGCAGAGCGCATGATCACAACACCAATAATAAGGCCAGAATATCTTTACTAAAAGAGAATGATGATGTCGACAATGTTGGGCCAAGAACGTAGACAACGGTCCGGATACGAGGTCCACGACGAAAGGGGGCTGCATGGGTGCTAGCATGTGTTAAAGTTCCGGAAACGCGAAGCCGAACCCAATAAGAATCCTTTCAGTGATGTTAGCGCGAACGCCATCCCCGAAACGAAAATAGCAGCAAAAACCCAATGGTGCGGATGGAGTCAGAGTGAGCAACAACACTGAAAAGCTACAAAAACGCCAGCAGGGAAGCGGATTGGACAAAGAACGGAAAACTAGAGTCGTTTCCGGTATAATTATTGTCCAATATCACTGGAAGCATGCGTCCAATATCATTGGAAGCCTTTGTCCAATAGCACTCAAGCCTTCGTCCAATGATACCGAAGCACGGCGAGCCAATCATCGCGATTTCGGTCCATTTTCGTCACGATTTTGTATGGACTTTTGGCAGTCTGTTGAGTCGCGAAAATATGAAAAAATATATAGTTCGTGTCACGTGCATTCGTTTCCCCTTACTCTCACTTCGTTCGTTTCAGGGCACTCTCTGAGTTGTTCCTTTAAAATAAGAAAGATACACAACAAATTCAAAGCGAGACATCCCGACTCTCCTATCCAAAAGAGCAAGGCGCTTCCCCGCGCCCCTAGCTCTATACGCTACCCACTATTGAGGCGGCTTATTTCCGACTGGTGCAGGAGTCTCAGCCTCAGATCGAAGAATGCCCCCAAGAGCTCAAAAAATAGTTAATCATGCATATTTACTGGCCAACCGGATAAAACACTTGGTGCTGCTTTTGTGTGCCGGTCAAAAGTGGCTACAACCCTTCTTTGAGATGGTTGTTTACTTCCAGGCCTGGGTCTACTGCTACCAAAGCTTACTATCAATCTATGCAAACTTTGAGGTGAGACTGTCGCAAATACCGTCTTCTTCTGCCAAAGACGGGCTGTGCAGATCATGGAAAAGTTTTCGGGTTTATGTCGAGCGATCGGAGGAGCTGTTAACCAAAATCCTAGGGGACGCGGCGCAAGTAGCGCGCGGTCTGGGCATCCAGGACATTGCGGGTGTTGATTCTGGTTGATCCTTTGTTCAACTTTCTTTTATATCTAGTACATTCCCCTCATCGCTGGCTAGGCTAGATTCATTCAGCAACTTTATGATTCGCCGAGTCCCGCTCCGTAGCACAATGAAGTTGTAAGACTCACTACGCCCATTGAGTAAGATTTATCGCCCTTAAATCACGAAGGTCTGCCTGTGATATACTCTGAGCGATCTCGCGTATATCTCTGGAAACAAGTACTTCCACCTCGTCGTCCATCCGATGCCACAGATAGTACTTTTCGCCAGACTGGAAGATCGTCGTCAAAGCCTCCAGTGTCTTCATCACGGGCCGTCCTGGCTCCATCCATAGCATCGCGCGATAGTCTGGCCGTGGGAGTCAGGACCCTCCCATTCTTCAGCGTATGTGGTCCCCGGGGGATCCTTTGTCCAACCGGGAGGAACGTCGAACTAGCAGGTCGATCTTAGCCGTCTGACTCGGTTGGGCCGGTTCGTGGTCTTACCGATGGTATGCAGTTGCAATCCTCGGGTGTTTGGGCATACGAGGCGGAGCTAGGAGGCGCATCTTTCTAAGGCGAAGTAAGAGAGGGGTCTTTGACGAAAGTGGCGTGTGGGTATACTCACTGGTGGTAATGAGGAGCAGCAGGCCATGCCTTCTGCGTCAGCTGTTGTATCAGGCATGACATCGGTGCAGACAAGGGGATGTACAGATTTCAAGAAGAGACAGTCTCTTTGAAGCTGTCAAGTGTTAAGTCGAGGTCCACGGCCTTCACGGCCGTTGCAAGACAATCAGTGGAACGCGACGAAGATCATCGATACGTAACTATTCTGCCATGACTATCAGGCACCAAGGTTCATCCCGACTCAACTTCAACGTTTGCGGCAACTTCATTGCAGAGCATGTTGCTTCACTACTACGCTGATGCTCGCTTTTCATACCTTCGAAAACGCAGCGGCCGCATATTGCATGAGATCCTGAATGTCCAGAAGAGCCCGTTACCTCGGAGACTATCTACCCTTGTACAGAATCCCTGATTCTATTCAACCCTGAGCCGATTGCATGAAAAAATAAGCTAATCTAATTCTGGCTAGCTCTCAAACAAGATGTTTGACGCTATGTGTGCACCGCGCACCCGTTGCATGTCAAGTGTTTCAACATGAAACACCGTCCTTCTCCACAGCAATATTGAATGCCGATCGCTTCGCACTTCGGCATTAATCACGACCCTAACGGTTTGTCGGTTAAATTGGTCAAAATTTTACCCCTGAGGAGTATCTTCGAAAGGAGTCGTAAATTAGTAGCGAGCATGCCCTCCAATCGATTCGAACAACCCCATTCAAGCTGGACTTGACCACACACGCTCTATTTTCGCCAAAGCTTCGAGGTCTTTCCTTTCGCATTTTACAACCATGCATGTCATCCCTTCATTTCTCGCATTGGCAACCGTTGCGACAGCTTTCGTTCATCCGGGAGCCCTCCACACTGCGCAGGACTTCGAACGCATCAACACCCACGTGGTAAACGGAGACGAACCTTGGAATACCACCTGGACACTCCTGACCCAAAGCGAGTACGCTCAGTCAACATACCAGCCTGGACCCAAAGAGACAGTATACCGCGGCTCTGATGGCGTCCACTCCGAGAACTACCCCAGCCTCTACCGCGACGCCGCAGCCGCATACCAGCTCGCCATCCGCTGGAGAATTTCAAACGACACAAGCTACGCCGACGCAGCAATCAACATCCTCAGCTCGTGGGCAGCAACCCTGACCGAAATCGGCGGAAGCAGCGACAAGTTCCTCGCGTCGGGACTATATGGATACCAGATGGCGAATGCGGCCGAGCTCATGACGGACTATTCCGGCTGGGACAGTGACAACAAGACAGCGACAGCTACCATGCTGACGAATGTCTTTGCGTCCATGAATGAGCTGTTTCTGCAAGATCATAATGGTCAGGACTACTACCATTACTATGCGAACTGGGACCAGTGCAATCTTGCCTCGCTCATCGCGATTGGGATCTTTACCGACAACCAGACCATGTATGACAATGCCGTGAGCTATGTGCGTACTGGTCCTTCGAATGGCGCGTTGCCCGTTTTCGCCATTGCCAACTACACCGAGTCTGAACCCGACAAAGTCTTGACACAGGGCCAGGAGGCGGGGCGTGATCAGGGCCATTCCACCTTGGATGCTGTCCTTCTGGGTGTTATTGCGCAGCAGGCGTATAACCAGGGAGATGATCTATTTGCCGAGTATGGTAATGAGATCTTGAATTCGTGAGTTATCCCCTATCTTCGTTCCTGGATCTTTACTGATTGTTGGTTATTCCTAGTGCGGAGTATGTTGGAAAGTATAACGTCGGCCAGGATGTTCCCTACACAGCATACAACAGCTACCAAGGGAACCAGACCGTGATTTCCAACAGCTCGCGTGGAACAGTGCGTCCCGGATTCGAATTGTTGTCTGCTCATTATGGCCAGCTGAAGGGCCTGGACTCTTCATGGAGTGATGCCTATCGTGACTGGGTCAACACCAACTCTACAAGTGGTGTTGAGGGTGGTGGTGGCAACTATGGTTCTACTTCGGGCGGTTTTGACGGCCTCGGATTTGGAACTTTGTTGTATCGGATTTCCTAAGTCACATATAATCAAGCCATTCGGTTGCTCAAATAATCAACACTCAATATTATACACTCCCTTGGGCGGGTGTACTTGATTGGAATTAACCCAGTCACAACCCCCGTAACAAAAACATTTTTGCGCCTTTTATAGTCTGACGGCAGGAGATTCGTTTCTGGGGTTGGAGATGGCCTGTCCCAAACATACTGGGCTCAAGGCTTCCAGAAAGTCTACGTTCAGGACAGCAGGAGTGAGCTTTGTCCCTTCCATCAATCTCCATCTCTGTATTTGGGTATTGAGGGCTGCAATGCAAAGGATTGCCAAGGACCTAGATGGTACCAACTTTACCATCGACTGCCATCTACACCACATCCTGCATCCTGCCTGGCTTCTTACCCAGTCATCCATTTGATCAACCGCCAGGGTATCTACCCAGTAACCTAGGTTACCAGCGACCTGGCCACGTATTCAGTATACTGAAGTCTCACGGCACAAGGCAAATTACTTGGCGTCGGGCTCCAGTAATTATTCATAAATAAAGCGGAAAATCTGTTTCTAGCTATGCTAACAGAGACTTTAGCCAGGGGCACTATGCGAGACCTGAAAAATACAAAAAGAGGTGTAGTAAGAGGCAAAGGGGGTGTGGCTATGGAGATCTTCTTTATCCATCACGTGATCACATACATATATTGAGTGTCGACCACCTACGACAACGTACCCTCCGCCTCCACCTTCCACGCCGAGCCTAACCCAAAAGAAAAGAAACTTCGACTTTCTGTGAAAATTTCGACGTATAGCGACCGGGATGAACACCGCTGTGGTCGATGGCTCCCAATATACAGCTGCGAAACCTTTACCAGTCATGCTATGGTGCGAGTATGGGCGATGACTACGGATATCGACAACACGCACATTACCTTTGCTTGTGTCGCCTAAAGTTACGCATTTGATGCAGCCCCTTGGCTATGAATTGCCATTTGACTTGTCATTTGAGCAGTCATCTGAGCAGGCTTCAATCTCACCTTCAGTCTCTCAACCGACAATCTCCTCGCCAATGTCGCTGTCAGACACACAACCACGACGCATAATCCTTTAACCGAACGGGCTCAAGAACCACATCGCGAAAGATATTTTCTGCACGTAGGTCTCTACTTCTACGCGATGTTCAACGGCGAGTTCCGCAAGGCCGAAGAAGTGAAGTGATCCTGAAAGAAATCACCAGTGTCCTCTCCGTTTGCTGCTTCGAAGCGCTCGCTCAATGGCTCTACATGGTGAGAGCCAGCCTCGAAAACGAAATAGCCGAGCAACAACTCTCAAAAGCAATTGCATTTGATCGACTCGCCGGTACGGAATGAACGGACTGGAACACCCCATAAGGAAGGAGGTTCAATTGCTGCTTAGCAGTCAGAGGTACTCAGATGGACCGGATAATAAACGGAGGTACATTCTGCTGGAGAAGTATGCTGTGAACGCACTCTCTTTTCGGCCTGGACATCGAATTAAAGAAATTGCAAAAGCCTGTGTTCTCCCATATCTTGGGGTTTTTGATCCATTCTTTGAATTCGGCAAGGGCGAGGGAGAGGAGGGCCTGAGTGGACAGGAACATTCGTTCAACTTTGAGAAGACTTTGGCTCAGTTCCCCCGAGTTTAGGACGGACATTCTTCGCGAGGTAAAGAAGTGTCTGCAGCGGCAGTGGATTGTACTCAATGAGGCCGATGACACTACCTAGGCCGAAAGGGTTCGGGTGAAGTGAGTGCGAGACATGCCCGGGTGGAAAGGCTATGGTGGTAGGTTACCACCACAGAGAACCAAATCAAATTTCCCATCTTCTTGCTAGCAAAAGTGTAAGATGCCGTTGCTGTATTTATGATTTTTCAAGGGTATGTGATGGCTGAGAGTATTGGTCTGAACAGAGAGATCCATAATAGTGGTACTTTACTGTCATAGGCTGTCGGGCTTGGTGTTGAGTGGATTTGAAAGAGTATTCGCTGCATCAGGAATGTATTTTCCGATCTCATTGAACCAAAAATTTGGGTTTATTTCACCCTGAACACAAGATTCAAAGGTCACATTGCCCGTCGACTGTCCATTTCCAAAGTGCGGGAGCAGCCATCGGGCCTAACAAGACGAGCCTGTAGCTAATGAGAAAGATCCCGAGAGTGACGTGAGTGGCAGCAGTCATTTGCCGGGACATTTGCGGGGAAGGCTCTCGGCCCGACTCTGCACTCCACCTCCTATACTACTGTGGGTAGTAGCACAGTGGATAGTCTTTAGAACACAGCCTCATCGTGAGACCCTCGTCTGGGCTAGATAAGCGGATACCCGCCTGAATGACCCCATCCAGACCCGGCATGCTACCAGCACCAATCAAGACAACCCCAACCATCAGTTTTGACAAGATAGCCACCGCCAAGCGCGCGGCGAGTGGTCTTCAATAGCCGTCGCGATCTGACTGAGGGTTATTCAGGTGGCGCAGGATTGGCAGGACATTGGCAGGATATTTGCAGAGCGAGACGGGAGAAGGGGAACATTACCCTAAAAAGAAAGCAGGGCGCGGGGAATGTCGACAAAAGCAGAGTAGGCAAGATTCCCCGAGACTCGTTAGGTCTTGGACTTAGTCGCGACCCAATCAGCGGGCCCGGAGTGATCGGTCGTTTTGGTCGGGCGAGAAATCGGCATTTTTCCCCGAGATCTGCATTTCCCCACGGGGAGACCCACTCAACCTCAATGGCGTCGATTCAAGTGTCTTAAGGAAAGCTGGGGGTGATAAAAGGAGGCAGAGTCCCCCGAGAAATACTCTGGAGAGTACCAATGAGCATTGTGTCTTCACATTTATTTCAATTTCATACTCCCTCGGGATCAATCCGGACATTATGAGTTCTGGGAAAGACGATGCAGAGCCCTCGAAGGAGTCTGTCGAGGAGATCGAGCATATCAAGCTGGAACAGCTAGACTGCGAGAAGGATCAGTCTGAGCTGAGTGGAATTGAGGCGACGGCCGCGTCCAAGGCGGCTTGGTTGATCTCTGTTGTTGTTTCGATTGGTGGTCTTTTGTTCGGTGAGTCATCTCTTCTGCCTGACAATAACTCGCTCATCCACTGATCTGGTGTATAGGATATGACACGGGCTACATCTCCGCAGTGCTAGTCACCATCGGCGAGTCGCTCGGCCACACGCTCAGCTCGAGCGAGCAGGAGATGGTGACCTCGCTGACGAGCGGCGGCGCCCTGGTTGGAGCCGTGGCGGCTGGTCTCACGGCTGATCGCTTCGGTCGTCGCTGGCCGATCTGGGGATCGTGCTTTTTCTTCGTCATTGGGACTGTCCTGCAGACAGCTGCGTACTCTGTGGCCCAGTTCGCGACAGGACGATTCGTGGTTGGGTTGGGAGTAGGCGGTGCGGCGATGATTGTGCCGCTGTACAGTAAGCACCTCCTCACCGGCCTCTATACAAAATTTCAGACACTAACCACATGCGAATTTAGTCGGCGAGCTGGCCCCCGCCCAATACCGCGGCCGCATGGTCGCCTTCAACAACATGAGCGTCACCTTCGGCCAGCTCCTCGCCAGCGCGCTGGGCGCGGGCTTCGCAGAGGTAAAAGGCGAGGCCTGGCGCGCAACCGTCGGCATCGGCGCCGCACCAGCCCTGATCCTCGCCGGTCTGCTAATACTTTGCCCCGAGTCTCCACGCCAGCTCGTCTCACACGGAAAACGCGAAGAAGCCGAAGCCGTCCTCCTGCGCATCTACCCATCCTCCACAGCCCTCCAACGCGAAGCCAAGATCCGCTCCATCGAGCTATCCTTGCATGAAAGCACAGATTCCATGACAGAAGAATCTCTCTGGACAACCTTCAAGCGGATCTTTACGACGCCCTCGACAGGGCGAGCGGTGCTTACAGCCTGCGTGATTATGGCTATTAGCCAGCTGGGCGGATTCAATACATTGATGTACTATGCCGCCACTCTATTTTCGATTGTTGGGTTTGAAAACTCTGCTGCTGTGGGCATTACAGTCTCTGCGACTAATTTCGTCTTTTCGATTGTGAATCTGGTGTTGGTTGATAAATTCGGCCGCCGACTCATTCTCATGACGACCGTGCTGGGCATGGCGTTGTGCATGATGGTCGTGGTAATTGCGTTCCGGTATATCCCCGTGAACCTCGACACGCTGGAAGTGGAGAGCAACAACGTCGGCTGGCCGGGGACTGTTGTTCTTGTCATGATTATTCTTTATGTAGCGTGCTACTCGTCCGGTGTTGCGACGATTGCTTGGATTGGGACTGAGCTTATTCCGTTGGAGGTTCGCGCTGTGGGGACTATGATGGTATGCCACCTCTCTCATATATATAAGAGGATATCGACACTAACTCTAAACTTTTAGAATACCGTCACCTGCTGGGGCACCAACATCATCATCTCCTCTACCTTCCTCTCTATGATGAAGGCCTGGACCCCCAGCGGTGCATTCGGTTTCTACATGGCCATTTGTTTCTTCGGCTGGCTCTTCATCATCTTCTTCTACCCCGAGTGTAAGGGGATGCCGCTTGAGGCTGTCCGCGAGGTTTTCAACAATGGATTTGGCGTGGGATATTCGAAGCAGTGGCAGAAGGAGCATAAGCATGATCGGAAGGTTACCACGATAGCTATTGGGCATTAGCTGGCTCATATATACACAATTTATCTCTACTCCGACTTTCTGCAGATGCGTTGCCATGCTGACACATACGAATGGAATGAATCTTTCTTACATCTGGTCGGGTATTAGGAAAATTAGTATGCAGGTATTACCCGACAACATTGCCATTCGACAACCTCATGAAACTGCAGAAATGTCACAGTTGCATCGAGGCATTGGGTTTCGTGCGGGGTTGGAAAACATTTACAACTTCACACCTCCATGAGCCAACCACATCACTCGAACTGATGAAGCTGGAGGATCTGCAGCGCATCGCCGCAGTTCAGACTAGCGAAGGGCCTAAGCGCCAACAAGCACTACATAAATGCCTTGTATGAGTACTAGTATACCAAAAAGAACACCCCGTCCCCAATTCATCAAATGTTCAGGAGAAATTCCTTCAAGCCACCTCAAGATGCTTCTCCAAGAAGCCCTCCTAGTCATCACCCTATGCCTCTCCACAGCCCTAGCAACTGGGCCCTTTTCCTACACCAACACCACCTTCCTCCACAACAACAACCCCATCCAACTACTAGGAGGCCAAATGGACCCCCAACGCATCCCGTACCAACTCTGGTCCGACCGGCTCTCCAAAGCCCGCGCAATGGGCCTCAACACAATCTTCTCCTACATCTACTGGGACCAACTCTCACCAACACCCGGAACATGGTCCAACACAGGCAACAACGATATCGCCCGCTTCTTTAAAATAGCACAGGACCACGGTCTAAACCTCGTCCTCCGCCCAGGACCCTATATCTGCGGTGAACACGAATGGGGCGGGTTCCCGGCCTGGCTGGCCGAAATCCCAGATCTCATCGTACGGACAAATAACGGCCCTTTTCTCAACGCAACGAGATCATATTTCCAAAACCTCGCAACCGACCTCCGTCCCCTCCTCGTTACAAACGGCGGTCCAATTCTCATGATCCAAGTCGAAAACGAATACGGCTCCTACGGCTCGAACCACGCGTACACCTCTTCACTACGAGATATGCTCAGCTCCACCTTCGGAGAGGATATAACCCTCTACACGAACGACGGCGGAACCTCGTCAATGCTAAAGGGCGGCCAGGTCTTTGGCGTCTTAGCCGAAAGCGACGGCGATCCGAAGACCGCCTTCGCTGCGCGAAACAAATACATAACCGACAAGAGCAGTCTAGGTCCCCAGCTCGACGGCGAGTACTACGTAACCTGGCTAGACCAGTGGGCCAGCAACAAGTCACACCAGAGCGACGACGGAGACAGAAAAAGCATCGACAAAGTCAAGAGCGATCTATCCTGGATCCTGGACCAGAATGCCTCGTTTAATATCTACATGGTGCACGGTGGTACAAACTGGGGCTTTCAGAATGGGGCTGATTGGGGGGATTCGCTGGAGCCGATTACGACAAGTTATGATTATGGGGCGCCGATTGATGAGGGTGGGAGGGTTAATGGGGTTTATCATGCCATTCGGGAGGTTATTGCAGCTCATATTGGAGAGAGCGGTATCCCAGATCTTGTGCGAGGAGCCGGTGGTGGAAATTCCGGAGATTGGGATGCGGTTTGTTGGGGGTCTTTTCGATGCTCTCCCTGAGCCGGTAGTGAAAGAGAGACCGGTTAATATGGAGGCACTCGGACAGAGTGTTGGATTCACGCTATACCGACACGTTGCGAAAAAGGACAGTCAAGGCATGGTAAAGCCAGGCGATGTACCGCGTGACAGAGTCCTGGTTTACGTGAACGGGAGGCGAGTCGGTGTTATTGATAGCCTCTACGTGACACCGAACAAGGTCAACATCGACCTGAAAAAAGGCGATACCCTCGACATGCTAATCGAGAATATGGGCCGCGTGAATTACGGTCCTAGGATTGTTGATCAGCGGAAGGGCGTTGTTGGGGATATCAGTGTTAGTGGTGAGGTTCTTTTTGATTGGGAGATATACTCCCTTCCTCTTTCGTCGCCTCTCTCCTCCTCTTCAGCAAAAACTTCTGCTATCCGGAAATTGTCAAATATATCCAGCCCAGCCTTCTTCAGCGGCACCTTCAACATGACCACAATCGGCGATACATTCCTCGAATTACCTGGCTGGACGAAGGGCGTTGTCTGGGTGAATGGGGTGAATCTGGGTCGGTATTGGGTGATTGGGCCGCAGCAGACGCTTTATCTACCTGGGTGTTATCTTCGGCAGGGGGGGGAATGAGATTACAGTTCTGGAGCTGGAGCCGAGTGGGGTGGAAAGAGGTGTTAGGGGGTGGAGGGGAGAAATTGGGGGAATTATCCTGATCCTGATGCGCCTTGAGTTGTCTTCATGGAATAGTTACTAGGATAATCATTAGAGATAATGATCAAGGACAATGCCTTTCATAGAATGTGCCATACAAAAACTCCCTAGTGTAAAATACCATATCAACCATAATCATCACGAACGAACTCCATATCTGACCCAGCGTCAGTCTCAAAAACCCTCCCCCAAGCACTACACAAGTGTAGCGACCAAAGCCTGAATCCCCCTCTCGATCCCATGCAAATCCGCCCCGACAATCTCAGTAACCTTCTCCCCCTTTTCAAAAAACATAACAGTGGGCATAGCGCGGACATTCAGTTCCTGCACAACATCCGCAACAGCCGGATCGTCGACGTTCAGCTTGTAGAATTTAACCTGAGAAAAGGCGGCGCTGAATTCTTCCAACTTTGGCTCGATGGCTTTGCACGGGCCGCACCATGTTGCCCAGCAGTCGAGAACGACGAGGTCGGTTGTGCTTAGGATTTTGGAGGTGAAGTCTGCTTTGCTGTGCAGTAAAGAAGTTAGGGGGAATGCTGGATGAGTATGGATGAGTGGACGTGGGTTGGGGGTGATGTGTTGGTTTGGGGACGTACCTTTCGATTGCAATGATTGTCATTTTGATGGACTGTGAGTTTGTGGTGAGTGTGAGGGTGACAGTAGATGTGCCGTTATATGAGGTGAAGAGAAGGCAAGTGAAGGTTAGAAGTGGGGTGATGGGTGGAGTGATGCGGACTTTAATGTGGTGCCACGGGTATACAGGCAAGAGCGTCGCCAAGTGGTCGTACAGTGCCGTCATGCTGACTGCATTAAGACAGTCGAATAACATATTCTATTTACGGATACTCTCATGACCTATAGCATCATAACTTGGAATTCTAGAAGGGATCTAGAATATGGAATGTTGAGACCGATGTTGGTGTTGTCGAATCACAGCCACGTCCACGGGTGTGGCTGGAGTGGCGTGTTCTAGTGCCGAAAATCGATCATTGGATCTCCCGATATTAGGTCAAAAGTACCTTGCCAAATGTAAACATCATAAGTTGAGCATGATTTGGAACCGAGCTATTTCCGAGATCTCCGAATTATCTACAATTTTAAAGTTGGAAGGGACTGGTCGGGATATGCCAGCCGGAGGTGTGAATGTCAGGCTATCTCTTCTGCTTGAGGCAGTCTCAGACTCTATAGATCGGACCCGCTGCTATTGTACCGCTTGCTTATCAATTCGATTTCTACCTCGCCGGATCCGTTGACAACGCTACCGATTTAACATGCTGCTACCTATGATGCTAGCTCCGATAATTCTTAAAAGTCTCGGAATTCAATCATTTGGTGTTCCAAGCTCGTCGCGAGTGAGGAGTGTCTCTTGGTTCTCGTCAATGGATTAGATCCTCGCAATAGCCATTCAAATATACATCTACACCCACCTATATGAACCTGTTTCGCAAACCCCTGCAAATTCGTATTCCGTCTGCGTCTTTCCTTTCACTTCAGAGCGGGCAGCGTACACCTCCTATACGAAAAGCCATTTCACATCGAGACTAAAGGGGGAGACATCCTCAAAGCTCCTAACATCTCGAATAATGTCCGGATCTGCGACAGAAAAGGCTAAATTGGTGTCCTTTTCATGCATTTGGTTGGGTCTTCGGCGTCCGACGAATTGCCCGATTCTATACCGGCATGTTAGGGTGTAGTCTTCTTGCCATTGGAGATATGTTAATCTAATTTCAGCATCTGCCATATCATAATATCATAACACCTGTCCAGAATGAGAGAAAAAAGTGAAATGAAAAGAGGGCGCTTCATGTTGGTTGAGAAGTTCTGCAAGTTGGACTTCTTATGTTCCATTTAATGTCGAGCGAAGAGCCTCATGTGGTCCGTGTGTTGTGTTGGACGCGCTAAAGCGGAGTCTCCGCGAGGACCCGCTATTGACTTAATACTTAGGGACTAGAATGCTGTATAGTCTGAAGTAATTGTAGGTATGAGTGAGTTATTGAGTATGGGGGCCGTGCTAAGCCTCTTGAAAGTGGAGAATCGCGATGTGGAATGCATGCGATTGGCTAGCACCAGACCTACATTCAAGATAGGGATTGGGGGTTACGATAGGTAAATATTGAATACTGATCCTATTCATGACGGTGACCCATCGTACACGGTAATTTCATTGCCAGCTATTGATAAAGAGGGTAGGTTCAACTGCTTTTCCACGAAAGAAAACGCAGACAAGACACGAAACAAAAAACTTTTGGGGGCGATCGGGGGTATTCACAAATGCTGCAAAGTTGCAGGACAAAAAGCAAGGTGATGTACATGAAATCGTGTCGGAAGTTTTTAGGTCGTTCAGTAGGGAAGGAAAGATGTCGTTCGTTGTGTTTGGTTGTCTGAGAGGTTGCAAGGAGATGAGGCGGGTATGAGTGGTGAAGATGGAGAGTAGTCGCGTTCTTGTTTTCTGGACCTCAGCGTGATCTAACGACTCCAGCGGGAAAAGTCCAGATTCTGAAGGACGTTTGCCTCCGAGGCTGCCGTCCATTCAGACGTAAAATCTGTCTTGGCTGGAGCGGTTCGAACAGGAAGGTCTTCAGAGAAGATGTTGGGCTTAGTGTTGCGTCGTTGTCCGGGGTAGGCGCCCTCTGTGGCGGCCTCGGCACTCTGAATCTGAGCGGCCAGAGCTCGCTCGCGGACCTTTTTGATTTCGCGGAGACGGGTGCGCCAGGAAGACATGTGCTCACCCCCCTTGTGGTTCCAAACCAGAGAGAACACGGATGCATTGAGAGCAAGGATACGAACGAAGGATGCCAGGTTTTTACCAGACACCATCTTGGGCGTGGCAGCTGGTGAAACCTCTGGGAAGCCAGGCTTGCTGATAACCCTGACATGGTAGAATTGCTTTGCTGGGTCAGTCTGTCCCTTGGCAACTCCCGAAACATCATAGGCGATTTGGCTGCTGGGGGTGACGACGATATTGATAGAGTTGAACTCGGACGGGATTGTGTCAAAGTTGAACGGGAGGTTGGATCGGTTGAACACGATAGTGACAAAGTTGTTGCCGATGTTGCGCTTCTTGTTGATACACGCCGGATCGTGGTTGAGATCCGTGGGCATCATGGTTGCAACATGGTAAACAATCTCTGTCACACGGTCACGCCATGCGTAGGTAGCCTCGCCATCGGTATCGGCATACAATCCTTGGGTATTGAACTGGGCGTTGCGAAGGGAAACCTTGGTCCCCAATTCCGACAAGAAGTGCTCATAGTCAGCAGAACCGCCAGAGTTGGCTAGGATTTCTGCCTCCTTGGTTTGACCATTGTCGAGGTAGACCACACCGATCCGGTGTCCATCCACAATGTCAGTGCGATCGAAGCTGCCAATTGCGCGGCGGGTAATATCATCTTCCGGAACTGGAATAGGTTGCATGACCGCAGGAGTTGGGAATGCCGTGGCGGTCATCTGGAGCATAATGTGGCTGGGGAGGACAGCCGTGCGCATCGCATCAGAGGGGTGAAGATGAGCATCTGGTGTTGATGGGACCTGGTGCGGGAGAACCGGCGCCGTCCGTTGCTGATAAACCGAGTAGGTTGTGCCAGACGCCTGTCTCTTGGTGATCTGGGTCAAGCCAGACACGCCAGCCGTCTCAATAGTGATAATACTCATGCCCACGACCCAGGACTTTTTCATGACAGGACCATCTTCGGGATTCGGTGGGAAGGTTTCAAATGGAATGGTCTCTCCTAGATCCGAGAACGCGACTCGCTGCATCAAATCGATGAAAACTTGACTCTGTTCCTCGACAACGTCCTCTCCATGTTCGCCGGGGAAAATAAGTCTGCTGGTAATCCAGTTCACATGTTTTGGGCGGTCCTGGAGTTTCAGGGACAAAAACCAAAAGATCATCACATGATAGGTCAAACTCTTGACATACTTCGACATGGCATCTTGTGACGTGGACTCCATGGCCTCAGCAGCATTCAAGGCGATTTCACGGGAGCTAGCACTGGACCGCGACTGAGACGGGACAGTGGGTCGAACAAGGGGGAGATTCAGACGCCTTAGAGCGCAGTTCCTGCTCTCTGGACGTCTGCAGGAATCGAATGCAGATACCAAAAACGGTGCGGATTTCCTCCTCGCGCAAGTTGATATAGACATCCGGCAAGCGGGCCAGCAAAGCCAGAAATTCCAAAATGTGAACAGCAATGTTCGACATCGTGATCACCTTTGCCATTTTGTCCAGGATGCTGTTCAGGGACTTGGTCACGGATAGTGGAATTTCATGACAGCACAGCGATAGTGCCTGGATACAGCCACGAGAGGTAGCACCCCACGATCCAATGATACCCGACATGAAGGCTCGGACAAGGTCGTCTTCTTCACTTTTGGCAAAGTGGTCGTGGTAGCTGACCAGCATGCAGAGGGCATCGAAGATGCAAGCAGCCACGTCACTCTTTTTCAATCCCGTTAAGCTAGGAGGCTCATGGTAAGTCTCGTTTTTTATTTGGTCGCAAAGAATGCTACGCAGTAGCTTGATCTGCGGGATCGAGTTGTTGAAAAAGTCCTTGTTGCTGAGTTGAGGACCAAGATGGGTGAGGACATAGCTGTAAACATCCCAGTCTGTCTCCCGTTGAAGAAGAGAGATGACGATCTCGAGCCACATGTTCACCTTCAACACACCCACCGACGCAGATGAAGTTTCATCAGCAGCAGCAGGGCTTTGAAAACCATTCTGGGTCCAGGCAAACACCACGCCACTCGACTCTCCAGGGGGTTGTTCGGGCAGAGCTTGAGGGTGGGCATATGTCCAGACTGGAGGCGTGAGCTTAGATCCACGACCAGTAGAAATGGATCCGCGCCCGGGTAGGGACTTTGATAGAGCAGGCGCAGGGGATTCCTTGCCCGAAAGTTTACGAGTAATTGGAGGCGGCAAGTTTTCATGCTGTGGGAGATCCCGAGTGGGGGAGGTTTCACTGGGTTTCTTGGAGCCGACGTCAACGTTTCGACCGAGCACATTTATGAGAAAGTCGTTTTCTGATGTCGTAACCACAGTCACGGACCCAGATGAATCACACCGGAGTCGAAAAAGTAACTTCAAGACTAGAAGTCGTGCGTCCGTTGGTCGATCCTGGGATTGAGCGATCCGCAGTAACGCCTCGAAGATAATGACGGATTTCGGTGCAGAGGAGTTCAAGGCACGGAGCATCATCTTCACCAGACCAACTGCGCAGGCATTCGCCAAGGAATGCTCAAGTACACTCCCAGATGTTGCAGAAGTTCGGCGCGGGGTGGAGTAGACTGGCGAGGTCAATTGTTGCTCATCCTTGAATGCATCTCTAGCCATTGGTCTAGAAATTGTGTCGACAAATTGTTGGAACAGATCATCGTTGCTGGCATGAATCGCCGGTTCCGTGATAAAAGAGACCAGGGATTCCAAAAAGAGAAGATCGTGCTCCGCAGAAAAGTCTTGCAACAGAAGTCTCAGTAGACCGTGCTCCTCAGAGAAAAGCAGTGTCTCATTCCCAGAGAGAGCCTCTTTCAATGCATCCAAGGCTTGAATGCGGATATCTGAAGTCTGTGTCCGAGGCTGAATGAACCGCCCAATGAGTTCCTGGCAATGCTTTACCCAAGTGGGGTCATCCGAAGGACGACAAAGACAGTCTTTCCTCATCATGTTGATGATGAGTTCCGCCTGAGAAGGCTCAATGTGCTGGTATCCTTTCGCCAAGAAGCGAACAGCTTGTTGCCTTTGAGCCCCGTTGAGCTGGTCCCAAAGGACCTCGAGAGCAGATGCGATCCGGATAATATTGGCCAGGATGTTTGACTTGACATCATCGTGGGCAGCCTTAACTAAGCTTTGCTGTGAGGCTGGGGAAGTAGCTGTCTCTTCGGGCTCTTCAAAGACCTTGCGAGAGCACAATACCAGCAAGTCAACGAAACCTGTCCAGTCTCGTTGCAAGGCCGTCTGGACATAAGCCCCTTCCAAAATACTCAAACACAAGTCCAAAATATCCGAGTCCACCCGACCATCATTCCTTTGAGAGATGACAGTGAGAGAATCGATCAATTGGTCGAAAGAAAGTTCTGGCATGCCGAGCTGTCCGCAGGCACACACAAGGTCGGAGAAGACATAGATAGTGCCTCGAAAAGTGTTCAGATTTCGAGGTGACTCTGCCGCGCAAGACTCTCTCATAAAAGCATGGAGTCGTTCAACCATCTCACCTTGTCTTCGGGACTTCGCCAAGCTGCGTACTGCGCGAGAGGTGGGTCCAGAAAGAGACCGAACAGAGGCATGTATACTGCACAGTACTTCTAGAAGAGGGTCGAAACTAGCGTCGGGCACATCCAGGTACATGATGATAGCATCAAATAGGGCCAACGCGTTCTTGATGTCGGTGGCCATGCTGGTTTTCTTGCAGATCGTAAACGATTCTGTCAGAAGCAACTCGATCTCCTCTTGTGAGGGCTGCTTGCGCTGTAACGTAATCAAATCGACCGCGAATTGGAAAAGATCTTCTAGGACCACTTCATCTTGGTTAAGCGCATTCGATTTGGCTGGCTTTGCTTTCTTTGCCTTCGACCGGGCCGCCGAAACGACACCGTAGAGGGGCTGAATCCAGGAAGCAATAATGTGGAGAATCGAAGTGGTGGTGAAATCCAGCTTCCTTCCATGGTCCGACAAGGAAATCAAAGACTGCACCCGGGACGAAATCACCTCTGGCTCACTGGGACAGGCAATTGACTCGAAGACCATTCGCCGAGCCGCTGGAGTCAAGTCCTGTCGGGCAGCAATCGCCTCGAGCAGCTGGGCTCCAGCCTTCTGCGCATCCGCGGAGCTTTCATGGTGCAAGAGGTGTTCCGCTGCCTCCCATAAAACAATGGACTGCTCGGGGGTGAAGTACGGGAGAATTCTCGATAGTGTCTCGGCTTCGTCGATCGACTGGGAAAGGTTCTGTTTCTGCGATAGATTCCGCACACTTGATTCGAAGTCGGGGCTATTCGGGGTGTCCGAAGAGCTCGACACGATGCTGCCGCGATGCATTGATTCGGGTCCGGGTATGAGTCGGTTTGATCCCCGATTTTCCGCGGTATGGTACAAAGAGTCGCTGCTGCTTTCCTGAAACGAAACTGGGGATTGAGATTTCGGGCGGCCGACACCTAGAGTTTTGAAGACATCCGCGAAGCTGGTGGAAGAGGGTTTGTGCTGGGGCGGAGGTGGAACATCGTCGGAAGACATCCGCCTAGCTGCAGGCAAATTGGGCCGGAAGTGAAGAGCGCAGGAGGTGATGCTTTGCCACTTATCTATAGAGTCATGGGATAACGTCAACATATGCGTGATGCCAACCACCAGCTACACAGACGGAGCCATCAGGAGAAACGGGGGGATTCGGGAAATCCCGAAATAACTATATTGCAGACAACTTACCCTGTCAAATACGGCTATTGGGAGCTATTGACCGAGGAGGCAGCTCTTAGACAGATTTGCTGCACATTCAGAGCCTGGTATGACAAACTGCAAGCTGCGACAGAAGTACGGTTCGGGAAACGATGTTCGAAGCGGGACCAGTGTGGAGTAGCAATCGAGGTGGGATCGGGGTGAGCAAGTCGTGAAGAGATTTACAGAGGCGAAAGATGCTCTGGTGCGGTCGAGGACTCGGCGGAAGAGTGATGCGATCACGGGGGTGCAGGCGTTGCAGAAGACTTGTAACATCACGGGGGAATGAGGTTATTCCAGCCCAAGTCACCTGATAGGCCGTCATGCGGGTTGACCGCCCAATTCTGCGCCCTGTGGGCCGGCAGAAGAAAAAGTCAAAGTGGGGGGCGGTGAGGGCGGAAAAGCAGCTTGCGGCTCGATGTGTGTACTGACCTTTCTTTCCTTCCCCCTCGCCAGAGGCTGAGGACGGCACCCTACATTTGTTTTCACCAAGGATTTGTTTTCTGGTGCTACACTCTTTTACCCTATCGTGTTCGGTTTGATATATATATCCGTCTCGCATCGCCATCATGAAGTACGTTCTTGTTTCTGGAGGTAAGTTTTTCTTTTTTTTTTTTCTTCGGTACCCGTTACCGTGAAAAAAAGTTCGACCACTAACAGAATATGTCTGATAGGTGTCATCAGCGGTATTGGAAAGGGCGTAATTGGTAGGTTTTCACTGTGAATCCAATAGTTACGCGCTTTTATTTTTTAACCACGTCACCACAGCCTCCAGTACCGGTCTGCTGCTAAAGACTCTCGGAGCTCGCGTCACGTCCATCAAGATCGACCCGTACATGAATGTCGATGCCGGCACCATGGCTCCTACCGAGCACGGAGAGGTGTTTGTGCTGAACGACGGTGGAGAGGCTGATCTCGACCTGGGTAACTATGAACGTTACCTGGGAGTCACCCTCGGCAAGGATAACAACATCACCACCGGCAAGGTTTACAAGCATGTGATCGAGAAGGAGCGTCGCGGTGACTATCTCGGTCGTACTGTGCAGATTGTTCCTCACTTGACTGATGCCATCCAAGAATGGATCGAGCGTGTCGCAAGGACTCCTGCGGACGACACCAACGAGCAGCCCGACGTGTGTGTCATCGAGTTGGGTGGTACTCTTGGTGATATTGAGAGCGCCCCGTTTGTGGAGGCTCTTCGTCAGCTGCGTCGCCGTGCTGGCAAGGATAACTTCCTGCAAATCCACGTCAGTCTTGTCCCGGTCATCGGGGGTGAGCTCAAGACCAAGCCCACCCAGCAGGCAACTCGTGACGCACGCTCTGCCGGTCTGAGCCCTGACCTCATTGCTTGCCGCTGCGAGAAGCCCTTGGACCGTGCTACCATCGATAAGATCGCCATGTTCTGTCAGGTTGAATCTTCGGAGCATGTTATTGGTGTTCACAATGTCAGCTCTACCTACCATGTTCCCCTCCTCCTTGAACAGCAGGGCTACCTGCGTGTTCTTGGCGACATCTTGAAGCTGCAACAAACCGTGAAAATCCCTCGGGAGCTGTATGAGAAAGGCCAGTCCACCTGGAGACAGTGGAAGACTCTCACAACCTCTCAAGAGCACACTTTTGATACCGTCGACATCGCCCTCGTTGGCAAGTATGTCTCCCTTCACGACTCATACCTGTCCGTCATCAAATCCCTGGAGCACGCCTCTATGGCTGCTCGTCGGAAGCTCAACATCATCTGGGTTGACGCTTCCCACCTGGAGCACGCCTCTCGCGACGCCAACCCTCAGGAATACCACAAGGCCTGGCACGACGTGACCACCGCCCATGGTATTCTTGTTCCTGGAGGATTCGGTACTCGTGGTACCGAGGGTATGATTCTTGCCGCCGAATGGGCCCGTACAAAGAAGGTCCCTTACCTGGGAATTTGCCTTGGTATGCAAATTGCCGTCATCGAATATGCTCGTCACGTTTGCGGCCTCGAGGGTGCCAATTCCGTGGAGCTGGACGACGCCGCATCCCACCCTATCGTGGTCTACATGCCAGAGATCGACAAGGTCAACCTGGGCGGTACCATGCGCCTGGGCTCCCGCCCCACCCTTTTCCAGGAGAACTCGGAGTGGTCTAAGCTCCGTGCGCTCTACGGTATTGAGCGTGCTTCGATCGATGAGCGACACCGTCACCGTTACGAGATCAACCCCGAGTACATCGACCGTCTTCAGTCTGCTGGTCTCCACTTTATTGGCAAGGACGACAAGGGTGAGCGAATGGAGATTGTTGAACTGAAGGATCATCCTTGGTTCGTTGGTGTTCAGTTCCACCCCGAGTATTTGTCTCGTGTTCTCGCACCCAGCAAGCCCTTCATGGGCTTTGTTTCCACCGCTGCGGGTGTCTTCGACGAAGTTATGAAGCTTTCCCAGGCCAACGAGGCCGACAAGCTGGCCAATGGCGTCGATAACATTGTCATTTAAAGAGTATCTTAATGGGCATCTGGTGTAACGGCTGAACTTTTTTTGATTTTCATGTTTATGGGCACCGGGCATAAAGGCAAAAGGCATATGATCCATAGAAAAATATTCGAACCGGCTGAATTGCCGCATGACTCAGTATTATTCCCAACTCGCAATCACACTAGTAAGGAGTAGTCAAAACAATCCAACAGAAGAACTCGTAGCTTCTTCAATACTCACCGAGAACCATGTTCTCTTCATACAATCCAAGCGGTGAGGTTATCCCACCCTAGGTAACTAACGTTTACTGCCTGCACTTATCGCCTCAGGCACCAACTACCCATATTCGGACTAGCGCCAGGTGGGCTGCCCGCTCGATTATCGGCGCCTCTATTTATTATGGTTGCCGTGTGAGCTCTTCTGCTGAGTATCTCGGGACTCACATTTTGCCTGCAATTCCAACTCCACCGCCGCGGCAGAACAATCCTCCTAAACCCACCTCACGATTGCCCCGTCTCTGACCGCAATCACCCCTTCTCTTTAGCCTACTCTCTTTCATTTCTTCTTGATACCCCACGTTCGGTGAAAATGGCGGATGCGCTTGGAGCTCTGTTGGAGGCGAGCTTGGATCCCAGACGGAACAAGGAAGGTAAGTCTGCTGTGTCATACTGAATCGCCCGAAGACATGCTGACCTCTCTGTCTTATAATATAGCCGAGCAAGCCCTTCGACAGGAAGAACAGAAGCCGAACTTTTCGCTACAACTCCTTCAAATCACAGCGTCTGCGTCCCAGCCCTACAATATCCGTCTTGCCAGCGCCCTTTGCTTCAAGAACTTCATTAAGCGCAACTGGACGAATGAGGATGGAAACTACAAGCTGCCGGAGACGGAGGTTGCGACGATCAAGCGTGAGCTGATCACCTTGATGATCTCGATGCCTTCAGGAATCCAGTCTCAGCTGGGCGAGGCCGTCAGTGTGATCGCTGACAGTGATTTCTGGGAACGATGGGAAACACTTGTGGATGTGAGTGACCATTGATGTTTGTGTTGGTAGAGCAACCTTGGGCTGACCTTTTTTGTTCGTCTAGGACCTTGTTTCCAAGCTGTCGCCGTCCGATCCTACCGTCAACGTCGGCGTGCTGCAGGTCGCACACTCCATTTTTAAGCGCTGGCGCCCACTTTTCCAGTCCAATGAGTTGTACATGGAGATCAACCATGTCCTGGAGAGGTTTGGCACACCATTCCTGTCACTCTTTGAGGTCAGTTCGCAATGATCCCTTGCTCAAAGCAGCAAGCACCTGATACGATCCTAACCATAACCTCTTTCGCAGTCCCTCGATAATTACCTTGAGCAAAATAAGACCAACAAGGAGAACCTCACGCAAGGTTTCACCCAACTCAACTTGATGATCAAGCTGTTTTACGATCTCTCCTGCCACGATCTGCCTCCCGCGTTCGAGGAGAACATCGCCGGAATCTCCACAATTCTCCTCAAGTATTTGACATATGATAACCAACTTCTTCATACCGATGACGATACAGAGGCCGGTCTGCTGGAATATGTGCGTGCTGGAATTTTTGAGGCCCTGACTATGTACGTCCAGAAGTACCTGGATGCTTTCGGCCCGCATGTTGGACAGTTCATCCAGAGCTCGTGGGGCTTCTTGACGACCATCGGCCAGGAGACCAAGTACGATATTCTTGTCAGCCGGGCTCTGCACTTCTTGACGTCAGTCGCTAGCATGCCCGAGCATGCTGCTTCATTCCAGGCTGAGGAGACCCTGGGCCAGATTGTCGAAAAGGTTATCCTGCCAAACATCAGTCTGCGGGAGTCCGATGAGGAGCTCTTCGAGGACGAGCCTATCGAATTCATCCGTCGGGACTTGGAGGGATCCGACAGCGAAACTCGCCGTCGCGCGGCAACCGACTTCTTGCGTCGCCTGGCCGAAAAGTTCGAGGAAGCTGTGACTAAGGTTGTTCTCAAGTATACCGAGGGCTACCTGGCTGAATTCGCCAAGGACCCTGCGTCCAACTGGAAGGCCAAGGATACTGCAACCTACCTCTTCTCTGCTATTGCGGCCAAGGGTCAGGCAACCTCTACCCACGGTGTCACTGCTACCAACAACCTGGTCAGCATCACCGATTTCTTCCAGCAAAATCTTGCTGCCGATCTGATTACCGAAGATGGCATCCACCCCATTCTCAAGGTGGACGCAATCAAATATCTTTACACCTTCCGCAGTATCATCACTAAGGAGCAGTGGCAAGGTGTCCTCCCCGTTCTGGTCAAGCACCTGGCCTCGCCAAACTACGTTGTCTACACCTATGCCGCCATCGCCGTTGAGAGAGCTCTGTTCCTCAGTGATGCTCAGGGCCAGCCCGTCATTCCTCCGGTTGAGATTACCCCTCTGTCCAAGGACCTTCTGGAGCACATCTTCACCCTAATCCAGAGCGACCCGACTCCTCAGAAGGTGCAAGAAAATGAGTTCCTGATGCGCTGCGTCATGCGAGTGCTGGTCGTCATCCGCGAGGGTGTCGTACCTTTCACAGATATTGCGCTTCAGCGCTTCATCACCATCACTCAGATCATCAGCAGCAATCCCAGTAACCCACGGTTCTACTACTACTTCTTCGAGGCCATGGGAGCCTTCATCCGGTAAGCCTCGACTTCGACGTTACCCTTACCAAACAATGCACTAATGTATAACAGATACGCCGCTCCTGCCAACCCCGACAAGCTCGAGCAGGCTTTCTACGCTCCCTTCGCCAGCATCCTCCAGGGTGACGTGCAGGGTAAGCAGACCCTCCCTCACGCCCTCATTTTCAAATGCTAATCTGATCCTCTAGAATTCATGCCTTACGTCTTCCAACTTTTCGCTGCCCTGCTCGAGGCCAATTCTTCCGCCACTCTCCCAACCTACTACCAGGAGCTGATTGGGCCTATTCTGATGCCCGTCATGTGGGACTCGAGGGGCAACATTCCCGCACTTGTCCGTCTGCTTTCCTCAATTATTCCTCGGGGCTCTCAGTACATTGCCGAGAACAACCAGATTGAGCCGATTCTGGGTATCTTCCAGAAGCTGGTCTCCACTAAGGCGAACGAGGCCTATGGCTTTGATCTCTTGGAGACTGTTGTTGCGAACTTTCCCCCCTGCGGCCCTACAGCAGTACTTCGTGTCCATCATGCAGATCATCCTCCAGCGCCTGCAAAACTCCAAGACCGAGACCCTCTCTATTCGTTTTGTGCGGTTCTACCACTTTTTGACTGCCCACGACGACAAGGGATATGATCCCGACTTCGTCATGCAAGTCACAGAGCAGATCCAGGAGGGTCTTTTCACCCCCGTCTACCTGAAGGTTATTCTGCAGGACACCCAGAAGTTGGCCCGACCCCTGGACCGCAAGACTGCCGTTCTCTCCCTGACTAAGACCGTCGCCAACTCGGAGGCCTTTGCCACCAAGTACTCACAGAAGGGCTGGGGCTTCACCGTCAGCGCCCTGCTCAAGCTTCTCGAGCTTCCGCCGGATGTTACCCACAAGGACGATGTGAACGCCGAGGTCGACATCGACCAGATGGCCTTTGGCGTTGGATTCACCCCGCTGAACACCATCCGTGCATCCCCTAAGGACCCATGGCCTGAGACCGGTGCGGACCTCAAAGCTTGGGTTGGCACCTACCTGAAAGAGGCCGACAAGAAGCACGGTGGACGTGTGTCGCAGATGGCTCAGTCCCGTCTCGACGACCAGGCTAAGGCTGTTCTGAGCAGCTACATCTCCTAAAGGAATTGACAAAACCTCGCATTTTCCTTTGATTTCCATTTCATTTCTTTTGTCTACGAAAAGAAAGAAAACTTATCGTACGTTGAAAAGAAGCGCCGTGCCATTCAATTATGAATCTCTAGATCAACAGGTCGGCTAGCCTACATTTATTCCATAGGATATGCGTGATACTTCCGACCGAATGAATCTTAATGCTTTTACCCAGTGTGCTTAGTACCCTGAATTTGAAGCCCACAATTAATGTACTATGTAGTTGAATCTCGGGACCCTCGGCTGTAAAAGTCCTAGCAACAGCGCGTTGCTATCGGCATAGCTTCTACGGAACCCGAATCCTGGTCAGCACAAAAATGATCGAAATATATAGTGTTGACATTTTCAAACTCGGCAAATAAATTGACATAATGAAAAAGAAATTGACCCCCTGCAACAGATTTTTGCGTGACTATTTTCGTAATCGTATTGCCCATGCCCATGCCCATACTCGTCGTATTACGTTGTAGTTACAACTAAACGGGAGCGGACCCCCGACACGCCGAGCCGCGGGTGGTCAGTGTGGCGGAGCCCAACGCGGATAACATTTTCTGCCAGTGCGAGTGCGACCCTGCAACCTCCAACTGCCCTTCTCTCGTTCGAATCCAACTGCTCTAGGCTATCTTTACGCCTTCTTACCCTAAGTTGCCTCGATACATTTTTAATTTCCCCGCACAGCTCCGTCCCAACGAAGTCCCTCCCCAACGCCCACCGGTCCAAGCCGATCCAAACCCGCCGACTGCCCGCTTGCATCATCACCACCATGCTGGCATAGAAGGCCTCAATTCCACCAAATCCCATCTTGACTTCTTTTCCTCGACTTGTCTATCGTGACGCGTCTTGAGAAGCAAGTGGGCCATCGTCAGCAGAGACCCAATCTGATCTTATCGGACGAAGCCACGCCAAGCCGTCACTCCGCCGCCAACGTCTGATCAGGGGCCGACAAAAAAAAAATCACCCTCCCACCGCCTCGTCACCGATTCTCTGAGATATTTGGTGGAAGGTGAAAGATCTTGCGAATCCAAGAACCCAGACAAGAGAGGTTCATCGCGACCCAACAACTCAATCGCTCGGCGCAAAAGCAAGCACACGCGACCTCCACCATGACTTTCATCCTCTGGATTATCACGAACTTCGTTCGCTGGATCCGCTTGAAGATCTACCAGTATGAAGTGACATTTGCTATCTACATGCTGACGCCCACGGAAAAGTTCATCTTCAGTATGTAACCCTCCCTGACCAACATGGTTCACATCCCACTTCTTCCAAATCAAGATTCTAACTATTCGTCCCACAGACTCCCTCCTCCTCACCCTTATCACCATGATCGCCACCGGCATCTACATCTACCTCCCCGACCACCTCCGCTCCATTTACGGCCACCTGTACTACTACTGGGCCGGCGAACGACCCTTCATCTCCAGCCGTCTCGGCTCAATAAGCTCCGTCTTCGGCGAGAGTGCCACCCAAAGCCTGGAAGTAGTCTACGAGACTGCGAAGAACGCGGCCGCCGCCCCGACCCTTGAGCAACTGGGCGAGTTGTGAGCGGTTGTCAACCATTCGTGGGAGTTTGGATGGAGTTGTCTGGATTCATTGCTGGCAGGGTGGATAGTACGGGATCAACGATCAAACCAGACAAAGAGGAAGAGCGGCTCCGTTAATTGAGTGATTTGAACCAGGAGCTTGGTTCCCACCCCTGCCATGATGCTTCATGTCTTCCAGCCGGCCGGCGCATTCTAGGAGTTATCGTGGCTTTTTTTTATCTTCGTTTCGTCTGGGTCTACTGCTACAATCAGTAGGCATTTCGGTTAATAATTTTAGTCTCTGTGGGATTTTTTGTTCTTTGCTTTCTTTCAAAACCAATTCATACAGAATATTGCTTTGGACCATCGCATGTGCATACTTGATGAGCGCAGAATCATATCAATTAGTTTGAGAAAATAGTTGAACGCCTATGTAAGATAGACGAAACGTAATCAGACGAAGGCCCATTCCTGGTGTATTTGCAGTAATATCAGGCAGGAGGTATATGCATACATTTTCTCCCATGTGACAATAAAAAAGAAACGAGGGTAATATTGCAACCCTCGACAAATCAAATCAGATCAACACCGAAACTCCATATATGCCAGAGCAGAGTGTTGTACATGCACAAATTCGTGACACCAGACATAACTCCCCCGATGCAACAAAGTAGCCCACAGCAGTCCTCAGCAAGACGATCAAACCACAAGATTGAGAATGAGAGCATGATGGTTCGATCTGCGCGGTCGCCCTACATCGACTTTTACTCTTGGGCTTTATTTTCTTAGCTCGTCGTCTCAGACCCCAATATCATAAAGCGTCCGTCCAAGACAAGTTCGAAGAACGCCAGCCAGCAACAGATTCAAATATCCACCGAAGCATCCCTCAGGCGTGGTACTCATTATTCCTGAATCTGAGTCTCAGCCTGGGCCTGAGCCTCCACAGCAGCCAATGCCGCACGCTCTTTCTCCGCGCGCTCCCGCTTGACGGCGTCAACCATGCGCATACGAGCCAATTCCTTGTCAATCTCCTCCTTGTCCAGAGGGATCTTGTGCGATTGTTCGGCCGAGGGCCAGAAGCCCTTCACGCTGAAACGGTCGTCGAGGTTTGTGCCGAAGTAGTACATCCAGCCGATTGGGAAAAGGACGTACATGCCAAACTGGAATATGTGAGCGGAGATTCAAAGCAGGTAGTGTATCTACAGGCCTGAAATCGAGGCAAAGCTGCCGTATCCAGCCATGGCTAGGGCGTGTTTTTTGTTCGCGGACTTACCTTAAAGACTTCCAAGTTGCCGCCCTGTAGTCTGCGGAGGAAGGACGACATGATGGGTGAGTTTGTTCTGGATTGTATTCAGGGTGGAATGGATATGTTGGTGGGATAGGAATAGATCTCTATCGTGGAATCGGAGAAGTTCAGCGTAACCGTCGCGCAAGACTCAAATTATCGGATTGCCTGATGCGCCAGTCAGATCATCCGGGATTATTTGACAATGCAAAAGAGACAAACAGAGACAAACACATCGCTATGCAAACATGCCGGTTGAGTAGTCACCTGACCAGCCGCGGGCCTCGGCTGTTGCTGTGCAGCTCCCCCGCAAAACGGCCGGACGCAGCTGCGGCCAGACTTTACCGATGCTTTATTTGATAGTCCACTCCTCCCTCCGCCCCAGACTGACCATTCCTTTTCCAATTGACCACCAAAACTCACACTGATACAGCAGCAAGCATGTCCAACGAGCAGATCATTACTTTAACCTACCAAGATCGCGTCGCGATCATCACTCTCAACCGGCCCGACAAGCTGAACGCCCTGAACCAGGACCTCTACTACCTCCTCGGTGAACGGCTTCGTGAGGTCGATGCGCGCGACGATATTTCAGTCACCGTCCTCACAGGCACAGGCCGATTCTTCTCTGCGTACGCAATGCCCTAATCTAAACTTCTGTTGTGATTAAACTAACACCATCTTGATTACAACAGCGGCGCAGACGTGACAAGCTCCCGACCAAGCGGCGACCTAAACTCCAGCATCCGCCGGGACCTAGTCCGCAACTTCGTCTCGAACAACGTAGACGTAACCCGCACATTCTACAACCACTCCAAAATCCTCGTCGTCGCCCTTAACGGACCAGCCGTCGGCCTCTCCGCCGCACTCGTCGCCCACGCCGACTTTATCTACGCCACACCCCATACCTTCATCCTAACCCCCTTCTCGTCCCTCGGCCTTGTCGCCGAAGGCGGCGCCAGCCGCGCCTTCGTGGAGCGTCTCGGCATCGCCAAGGCCAACGAGGCGCTCATCATGAGCAAGCGGATTCCGTGCGAGGATCTTGTTTCGACCGGGTTCGTGAATAAGGTTATTGAGGCTCCCTCTGGGAAGAAGGAGGATTCGGAGGGCTTCTTGAAGGCTGTTTTGCATGAGGTTGAGGATCGTCTTGGGACGCATTTGAATCAGTCTAGTTTGCTCAAGATTAAGGAGCTGGTTCGTCGGCCTGAGAGGGAGATTCTTGATCGCCAGAATGGGATTGAGGCATTTATGGGCCTTGAGAGGTTCCTTGGTGGTGTGCCCCAGGAGGAATTCCGGAAGCTTGCTTCTGGTGAGAAAAAGCATAAGCTGTGATGCTGCTGTGCTGTTAAAGGCTAGAAAAGACCTATATACAAGTGGGTGGGGAAGATGTGGGTCTAGTGTTTGATGTACATACATGCATGATGGATTTTGAGCTTGTAGAGTCATATAGGTACGGAATCATGAAATTTACCTGTTGAAATTGCGCATCATGCCCATTTATCTATGTAGTATATTTCGGTCATTTTGTAATGTATTCTTGTTGTCTTGTGACCTATCCTGTCGACCAGCTTCAATAATAGCCAAAATTAATGTGACAAGAAACTCTAGTAATATTACTTCAGAAATAAATTGCTTTGATGATTCAATATGGAAAATTGTACTTTGGTTTAATTGTCCACGTAAATGCTATTTTCAACAGACGTCATGCTCCCGACCAAACGCCAGAACTTCAAACGATAGAATAGATTCCATACAGTGTGAACCACAATAAGCTTTAAATTACTCGGAATCACTACCAGCCGCCTGATCCTCGCGCATTTGCTTCTGCAGGATATCTTGCCACTTCCCCATAAACTCACTCATACCACCCGGTCCAGCAAGCGAAGCATCAACAACTTCCCGAGGCACCTTATGAGCCGAGTACTGCGGTGTCGCAAAAGAGTATGCCTCGGGATCATTCTTCTTGATGAGACGGAATTCCGGAAGGAAGGGCGCAAACTCATCATCCTCCTCGCCCGAAGCCTTGGGAGTCACATTATCCAAAGCCTCCTCCTCGTCCGACGAGTCAGAGTCATCGATCGGTTCACCTTGAGCATTAAGGTTGGTGACACTTCCATCGTGAAGAGAAATTCGCACAACGCCCTCGTTCAAATCGTCATCTTCCTCTTCAAACCCGACCGGATCCTTCATCGTCAGAATCTCGAGCCAGCTAAACAAAAGCGGGTCTGTACGCTGCGCCCAAGGGTTGATATCGATTAACCAGATGCGCTGGTGCGGGGCAGGAATATAAACATCAAAAACAAAGTTCGGGTCTGGGAAGGAATCGCGCAAATTTTCGTCGAAGAATGACTGGATACGGGAGCGGAGCATATCGCGCATTGAAAATAGGAAGTCGAAGTGATTTTGGTCACGCTGACACATGCAGAGCAATTTGCGATTGCGCACGAAGCAGCGGAATTCAAGAGAAGGGTTGAAGTTCACATATTTGCGGAGGACCAGATGGTATGGCACAACTGGTAGGGGTCCGTCCGGAGAGGCGGTGCTATTCGCGGCGGCATCGGTGCCATTATCTTGGTCAGGAACACAGTCATCGAATGGATGGTCGAGATCGTGGGTGATGAAGTCGCTGCTCTTGAGGAGGAGGTAGATATCGTTGGCGGTTTGGCATTTTGTGTCGTTCGTCGCGGACATGAAGGTTGCATCTTTTGGGGCGCTCCAGTTCAATTTGGGGGTCACTTGGCCGAAGTCGGACATAATTTTCTTGACTTTGGTGTGCACATCTTCCCACTCAGTTGAAGGGTCTTGTTCTTCTTCGCCGTCATCTGAGAAGGTATCGTAGTCGTCGTCTTCGGTCGGTTGGTGATTTTCAGGCGGGAGGACAATGCCGTCGGCACGGAGGTATGAGACAAATTTTTCTGGGAGCGGAATGGTTTTGGATTTGGGTGTGAGCGTGCGGTATCTAGGAGTACGAGATTAGACAGTCGCATTTGCATATATATGTGATGTGACGGCATACCGCGGATGCCAGTCGTGATACGAGCAATGCAGAATATGAGAATAGGTGACAGGAGGGAATGGCAGACGGTCGGGCAGATCGATCGAAGGCGACTCGACCAGCGCACTCTCAGACTCCATCATCGGCATCGTAATCGTCTCAATAGTAATTCAAAATAAAAAAGTTGGAGGGGAAAGCGCGGGGATCTTTTTCGAGCTGACTCACCGATAAATGATAGATGACTCAGCATCCCGACCTCAGGCACCACGGGTGATTTGGTCTCAACGCGGCTTCGAAGTTCATTCAGCAACGTCGCCAGAATGGCCCCTGAGGCTCCCGACCCGCAGAGCCTGAAGTCATGGCACGATGCGTTTCAGTATCCGATTCCCACGGTCCGTCGTGTGGAGCAGGAACTGCGCCGCGACATCGCAAGCAATAAGGAGAAGCTCCGAGCTCTCGTGGGGTAAGTTGGTCTTAATGGATTGATTGATTGGATATGCTTGTTGACATTGGCGATTGCTATGGTAGGACTCGATACCGAGCACTCGTTGGAACGGCAGAAACCATTGTGTCGATGAACAAGGAGATCCAAGAGGCGGAATCTATACTGGCCGACGTTGGACGACGATGCAATCCGCGATTGGTGGAGAGAAAACACCAACATGCTCGGCAGATGAAGAGCGATGCTGCAGAAAAGGGTAAGAGAGCCAAGACTTTGTTTATATGGGCTGCCTGCTAACGTCCTATTAGACGCCGACAAACACGCTTTCGGGGCCCAGTTAGCTCTCCTCCATCAGTGTACGACATCCATCGCGAGGCTACTACGACGACGGGGCTCCCTTCTGCTCGTAGCAAAGATCATAGTCATCACTCGCCTGCTCCACAAGAGCCTCTCGAAACACAATTCTTCGCTTCCGTTCCTCGAGGACCTCCGCAAGCAGCTGGCGTCTTTGCGCCTTACTCTTATTAACCGGGTCGCCAAGCGTCTGGCCTCGGCCAATGCCTCTGAGGACAGCATCATAGAATACCTGGCAGCATATTGTCTCGTGACAAATTCTTCTTCCGATGGAGCCATTCAACATTTCCAAAAGGTGCGACTCGATACAATTACTAGCCAGTTAGATATGTCGCGCGAGAACATTCCCAAGGCCCTCCGCCTTTTTATCCACACTCTCCAAACATCGAAGACCCTCCGGTCGCGCCAGTTCATTGATGTACTCTCAAAACTCAAGTCAAGGCCGGTGCTTTCTGACCCAGAAATTCGCGGTCTAGATGGCCTTGAAATCGAAGTCCTTGGCCGGTTTGCTGCTCCAGAAGTGATCAATTTTATACCATGGATCATGCTCAGTGAGCTGAGTCGCACTGAAGGGGTTGACTCCATCAAAGAATGGTCGTTATCGGCATTCGAGAAGTTCTCCGAGGGTTGTCAAAAGAGCCTCGCTCATGGAAATGACTTCACAGAACTGCTGTCATTGCGAGCAGAAACCATCGAGCTTTGGCTGGAATCCTGGGGCTCGACTATTATGCATAGCTCAATTAGTGTTCTCGAACGCCTTCGGATCATTTTCAATGAGCACCTCAAGAGGGTGTCGACCTCCAAAGCGCAGGCAATCGATGAAATCGCCGGCCACATGTCTTCAACAGTTTTATCGTGGGAAATCAGTCAGCACAACAGCTCGAATGGCTCTCTCTGGGGTTCCGACATCATCACCGCGGACTACTCTAACGGAGCTACGGCATTCAAGCGATCTGTTGCGGACAGACTTCTTGGTCGTGATGACGACGTATCTTCTGTGCTGGAAAAATTTGATTCGTGGATCAGGTCAATTCAGGACGTTTCGGATTCTATCGACTTCCTCCGCCGACTCAGATGGACCGACATCCTCGTTGGTGCCGAGGTCGACGATGAAGATATCGACATCATACCCCAGCTGAACGAAGAGGACCCGCGCCTTCTGTCAGACGCTCTAACTGCCGCCGTTCGCGAGGCCTTGAACAATCTCCAGACATCATTCAAAAGGGCGTTTGATGAATTTGGATCTTCAAGTCAAAGCGAAAAGGCTACGTACTTGCTCCGACTTATTCGGCTGGTGCGACGCGAAATCCCAACTGAATTCATCGCAGACGATTTCCTCTTCTCGAATGATGTTGTCCCCGAACTGCAGAAATTGCTTGCTGCAGAGATCGTTTCCGACGCTGGCTCTCTGTCATTTGTACCATCCTCCAATACCCATCCAGAGACCAACAAACTTAAGACAGTTCCTGGTCGATCACTCTGGGAGGGGGATCCTGCGGCTCCAGTGCAGCCATCCCCCAGTGCATTTAAATACCTGCGTCGCTTAACGTCTATTATGGACGAGAGCGGCTCTGACCTGTGGGACCCTTCAACTGTTCGCGTTCTGAAGGAAGCACTACAGAAGCAACTGGAAAGCAACATCGGATTAACACTCGAAGAATTGGAAACCTGGAAACCTCCAGTCAAACCCGCGGAAGAGTCCGGCTCTAAAGAGGAATCGACCAAGGAAGACGAGAAGACGGATGACAACGACAAGGAAAATAATGAACCCAGCAACGCCGACGACTCTTGGGAAGCTACTCTCCGCGATTGGAAAACCCAACTCTTCTTCGACTGCGTTTACCTAGCACACATGCTTGGCAACCCGACTCAGCTGGCTGATGTCACAAGTCGTGTGCAGAAGAGCGCAGATCCTAGCTCAAACGCTGTCAAAACTGTGCAGAAAATGGCGCAGGAGTATTGGAAGCGGACTGAGTTGTTGTTTGGCCTGTTGGCCGAACGGTAAGCCTGCTTTAGACTTTCTTTTTATCATCAGCGTTACAATAGCATCCAAGTCTTTGTTTTTGCCAGGTATATTTGATCACCCTCCGAGGCACATCTGCCATTGAATTGATGTCGACCGTTTTACGGGATAATTTGACTACGAACTGAATATTGAATGAATGAGGCTATCCTGATTGGACTCTGCAAATTCCTCCTCGCAACCGCGACATGTTCGAGCTCCCTTCTGCAGTAGAAGTTAAGCCATGCGATGATGGCCGTTTGCTGAAGCAATGTCGACAGATGCCCATCTATCACTGTTGGTAGTAGTGAAATCCGTTCCTCTTTTGATTGAGAGCTAAACCGTGTTGGTTCGACCTCCTTCTACCGCTACGAAGACTGGTGTATGGCCTTGCTTGTCTTCTAGTGCGATCCTGGCCTTCTTCTCGAGAAGGAAGGCGCAAATCGCGCATTGGCCGTGGTGCGATGCTTCATGCAGTGATGTCCACTCGTCGATATTTCCCTCATTGATGTCTACACCTTTCTCCAACAGCAGGCGACATATTTCCAGATGACCAGGCTATGCTACCACGTGTAGTGACGACACGAATATCTGATCCATTCTCGAAGAGAAACTTGACTATTTCAAGATGATCGCGTTCCGCCGCTGTGCTGATCTGACCAACCAAGCCCCGTCCGTGTGGCTCCTGGGCTCTTGGAACGTACCTTGTGTAATGTACACTGTGTAATGTACATCGGTGCTTGACTGGTTTCGACCTGAACGCCTGAATTTGAGTCGCCAATGGTTATATAGGACATAGTCAAGATACTATGGACGTGGCCTTCGAATGGCAAGTCCAGGGAATGCGACCGCAGTTTAACAGTTTAAGGAGATGCGTTTGCCGCTTCTCAGCCTCACGAGCGATCATCGATCAGGTGACTTGGGCGCCTATGCATGCATCACATTGCCGAAGGTGTTGCTCCTCTCGTGAGCCATATTTTTAGTCAACCGAAGAGAATCTTCATTTCAAGAAAAGGGGGAAACCTTTCTGAATTATAGTCACATAATCATACAATGGATTTGAGAAGCAATGAAGAAGTGAGAGGATTCAATGCAGCCAGGACACAAATGTACATAATGTATATATCCAGATGGGAGATGAGTAGATATCCGCCGAAGGTAATACAGCTTTCGAAGTCTTCAAATGCCCTCGTGAAGCTCCACTGCAAGAAGGTTTGTGCAGTGTGTGCATTGCTCCATCAATGAGCGTAATATCCTCGTTCTTTCCACACTAGTGTAGTGATGGGTATGGACCCGAGTATAGTGCATTGGAATCTGTATTAGCCGTGAGCTGGTCTTCGCTAGTAGCCATGTTAATTGCAAGCTGGAACAAAGGACATTTGCGCGAGCGCCAGGCGGCAAATTCTTTACCTACATTATTCCTAAAGCTAAACCTCAGCGTGGGACGTGGGATACTCTACATTCCAAACACCCAATTGGCAAAAATAAGTCCGGGAAACGTGTATTGGACCAACCAACAACAAAAAAATGGACTCGCGGGGGAATCGAACCCCGGACCACCCCCATGCTAAGGGGGTATTATACCACTAAACCACAAGCCCAATTGTTGAGAAAAAAGCGATCCAGAATGGAATATGTGTGGACTGTCGGGATGAAGTGGACTGAGTGGGTCCATTTCAGTCGGTTAATTCGTGGTTAACCAATCACGTCGGTGCTCAAAGCTTTCCCACTCGCTATTAGCTGACCAAGGACTTCTAATAATTCTTCCACCTGGACAGTGCCGCATTACTTGTTTGTCAACCATTTCTGCCAAAATTTGGAGATTGCCACAGAAGAATGAGTTTCAGTACAATCCAAATGGAGAAATGTATTGGCTTGCTAGTGCTGTATAATTTTCTAGAGGCAAGTTTCGCACAACTTCTGGGTTATCCGTCGGTGCATCTCTGCGTTGTGTTTCAACCTAGAAGTTTCTAGTATCGGAGTCATAAGTACAATCGACTACTAGAATCTACGAAAAGGAAGATTATTACAGATAATCGTACATTGAACATATAATGTTACAGATAATTGTACATCGAACATAAAACATAGACATAAATAAACGTACAAATCAAAAGATGTCGAATAAACCTTCCAGGCATATCCCTCAGTAGGGAGCCGTTTTAAGGGGAGGCAAGGCTCAATGACGGCAAATGGCGTCGAGATCAGCCATATTGAGCAAAAGGGCTTCTCGGATGCCTTCCAACATGCTCTCGGTCTCATCAATGGTCTCTGAAAGTTCAATCGGAGAAGAAGTAATTTCAATGATGTAGTAGACCATTTCCAAGCTGAAATTCTTCGAAAAGTCAGAGAACCACTTGTCGGCTCGGTTGAATCTGCTTTGCAAATCATCCAGCTTCTCAAGATTGGCCGTGGACATTTCCGTGTCCCTAAAGAGGGTTCTCAACTGCTCTTTCATGCGCTGAATTTGATTTGAGAGGGTATTCTGATGGACAAGGACTTTCGGGAGGCGAGTAAACACCACATGGCGCAGCTGAATGCTGTGGATTGCAGGTGGCTTAGGATCTCCGAGGAGCCTCTGGCAATGCTTGTGCAGAGCAAGGAGGATTTTTCCTTCCATGGTCTGTTTCATCTGTCGTCGTTCCTCCATAACGACCATAACCTTTTTCCAGCGACGTTGAATTTTGGCGACAACAATTCGTTCAGCTGCAGTGAATTCGTCTTTTCCGGCGGGATCCGAGTTATCAGCCATAACCAGGGACGTGTCTTTTTCATTCCGGACAACGAGAATGTCGTCACTTAGCCGGGAGAACCTGTACTCTTCTTTGGCGAAGATCTTCAAGTGTGAAGGGATATCCTGGCTATCATCAAGCTTGACAAATGAGAGCTTGCATTTGTCCCCATACGCAAGAAACCACCTTCTGTACTCCATCCGGAACTTGATCTTTTCATCGGAAAGACCGAATGGCAGAAGCACAGGAAACAGGATTTTGTCCAAGTCCTTTCAAGACACATTAGCAATTTGACAACCACAAAAGAAAACAATTAATGAAAGATCACATACAATGAAGACCGATTGCATCAATCCATGCATGCCCCGGAAGCGAGTCGGCCAATGAAGCATGTTCACGATGACTGTCATCGCGAGGTCGAAAACTCGTCTCTTGTGGGTGAATGACAGTATATAAGAGGACGCATGATTTTGTGGAGTAGTTCCGGTCTGGACCTTGACCTGCAACAATCTGATGACAATCCGACAAAGTTCCCGGACAAGAAGAGAAAGGAGTTGACAGTAATCATTTCTCTCCCGCTCACACAGCTCTGGTGCATCTTTGGGGATTGGGAATCCGATGATGTTTTGCAGATGCAATAGGATCCAGGGCGACGGAAGGAGGACCGTCTTTCCGGGGCTCGCTTTGCACAGAAGTGCCAAGGCTGCGACTTCAAAAACTGAGATGACGGAGTGAACGCGAGAATAATCAGAGAGGCTGATAGCAAAAAACAGCCTGGTCAAATTCACAATAGGTTCCCGCTACTGTGGTTAGTATGCATATGCATATAACAAAAATGAACTGGGTGGGGAACATACAATTTCTGAAAGTCCGTGGTATCGCACCCCCGGGGCGGCACGGTAGATTGCCACTGCTGCCTTCAGGGCCTCAAGAGTTCTCTGCAGAGATTGGGTTGCGAGACCGGGGGTTCTCATCTGGCGGTGGAGTCTGCCGAAGAGTGCACGCCTGTAGCGTGCCTCTGTTCCAGGGCCTAGGTAGCGGGCAAGTTGAAGCTGCTCCAGCATCTGAGAAAAACCCTGGATGGTTGCCCAATTATGTCCAATGCGGTAAAAAAGAAGATCTTCCCAAGCGGATTGAACCCCGGTGAGATTAGGGTGCTCCAAGAGAATAAAACCGGAAGGACCGACAAAGTATGGAAGCTGAGCGAGAGGCGAAATGAAATTCAACTCTTCTTCCAATGTGGTAAGCCAGTATCGCCTGCGGCCCAGAAAGGAGGACTGGAAGGCATATGGCATTTGACGCTGATAGTAGACTTTGGTGAGGTTCACGTAAACACCAGCAACATCAGTCAGGAATTGAATCTTGGCTCTGACAAAATCGGCAGACAGCTTGTTGTGTGAACGGTGGCATGTTGCGTTTTGGCATTTTCCAACATGCAAGAAGTAAAAGCAGGGTGTCGGGAAATGCCTGGAAAGGTATAATCTAGCTCTCTTGTCGAACGAAATCATTGCCTGAGAAAATCTCTCACGAATCAACGCTTCGACTTGACTAATGAGGCTCGTGGCTTCGTAACCTTCTGCAACACTTTCTGTGGAAAGTGGTGACCAATCCAGTCTGATCGTCTTTGGGGCACCCTCATCGGGAGTGTAGAGACCGCAAATAAGGTGGAGTGACTGTAGATTCTGATCTGATATACCAATGTCTCGAACGAATTCGCCGCAGTGCTTGATCAACAAGAATGGCAGATGCTCAGTCTTTGTATCGGGGCTATTCATGAGGAGTGAAATTGTATGAAAGGCCAGGAAATCACGGAAGGATTTGCCGGGAGGTGCTGTCGATTTCCTCACAAGAGCCATTACATCCTTGACCTCAAAAGCTTCATCACAACCAATGGCAATGGTGTCCCACGAATGAGTTTTGTTGAGATCCGGGGCAACCAGAGAGTAAATAGCCTTCCATTGTTGTAGGGTACTCCGAAGAGCTTCAGGGGCTTCGAGATCGAGGTCCTCGTCCTCGAGAAGGGTTTCCAGTTTTTCGATCACTCCCCGCTTGTTCTTCTTTGTCTTTGATGGGCATAGGCTCTCGGCACATAGGAAGGTGACAACGTGTACAAATCTTCCCATGTCAATAGTTCGAATCAGATCATGCTCCAACACTATTTCCACAGCTGACAACATATCTGCTGAATCGATCAAGACGTTGTAGTACTCGAGCCAATTTCCATTGGTGAAATAGAAAGATCGAAGCTGTTCAGCCATATCAAACTCTTTGAAAAATGCAATCTTCTCCTCGGCAGAGCCAAGCAGGTTAATTGTTGCCTCTCGCAACTCGGAAGAAATGCGACCCTGTTTCAGGAGAATGTTGCAAAGTCGAGAGTACCGTTGTCGAGTCCTGACGTCAAAGTTTTTTGGGTTCCTGTAGAAAATTATCAACCTTGAATTACTACTCTCTTTGACCGAGATGTGATGGGTAACATACTTGATAAGGTAGAGGATAACCTCGTCAAATTCGCTTCCCCTGTGAAGGACTTCAACAGCCTCTAAGAAGTCACCGTCGGCATCGTGACATTCAGATGCAGCCTTGTAACGTTTTGCCGCTTCGAAAAGTGAGGCTGCCCTTTTGAGCTGGCCTTTGTTCTTCCAAATCTCTGCGTGGATATTAGCAAGTGCCATGAAAGCTTCATAGGCGACGAAGAGCTCACCTGCTGCCTGATCATGCATCCCGATATCTTCGTAACAATCAGCAGCCTTCTCAAGAAGGCCAATTTGGCGGAAGCAGGAAATGGCTTCTTCCATGTAGCTGACAGAGCGATTGAGATCGCTAAATTTGTGTCGCCTCGCCTGGCTCTCAAATTCGAGTGCCTTGGCGTGAGCTGCACCCTGTCCATCGCCTGCCTTCCTGTAGCAGAAGATTGCCTTGAATAATTGTTAGACACGATCAACGAGCCGGAACCAGACTTATATCAATGGGGTTTCCGAAACAAATATGAACCAATTTCAATACAGAGTAGTATGAGGCTGGACCAGGTCTGGTACCAGTCCATTCCTCGTGCTCGCTCCAAAGTAAAAAGAAAACAATACTTACAGATTCGAAGTTCTTCTGGTTGAAGAGGTCATTGGCTCGCTTTTGCCACTGAAGGACGTCGACAGATCGGCGTTCTTGGATGACCTTTAGCTTTTCCGAGGACTAGATAGAATTAATTCCACGCATTCCTTGGGGTTACAAAGGAAATGGGTTACCTGTCCATCGCCTTTCCTCGCAAGATCGACGAGATCCAAGCTCGAGCTTTCAGTCAATGCCTTGATGATAGGCTCCAGACTGCTTTCATTTGACTCCAAAATCCAGAGCTGCTTGCGGGGCCTCGTTACTGCGACATAGAGTTGCTACCAATCATTGTTAGCTGCGGTCCGCCAAGTATTGTTTTGAATGATGGTTACCTTCAACTCTGGGCACAATCCCTGGTAAGATCTTGTTAGTATATTGTTTCCACCAAACTGATATTAAACGCAAAGGCAATTTACTTACCGCATTCTTTCTAGAATCAAAGCTTCCTCGCGGTTCCTTTACCAGCTGATGCAAATTGCGGTAACTGCTTCCGAGTGCGCTGCCGCTGAAATAATCGTAGATGACAACGTCATCAAACTCCATGCCCTTGCTTTCAAGGATTGTCAAGACCAGCGCAATATCCCCAATGACAGTCTGCAAATTGCTCTTTGCTTCTTCGTCGCGAACAAGTATGACTTGCTCGGCACCGAAGTTGGCGACATTTTCGGTTCTGTTTCCAGCCATCATTCTCGCTGTGAGGACCGACGAATCAAACCCGGCTATTCAACAGAAAAAGGAGAAATGTGATTAATTGTAGTTTGGATGACATTGTGGAAGTTCAGGCTTAACATACCAAAGATTATCGGTCTTGGACCATCGATCAAACCGGTCTCGGGGGCCAACTTATCAACCGTTTCCGGAAAACCTGAATTTCAAATTTCAGATAAGGAAAAGAGCATATTAGAAATTTAGGATAACTTACCAGTCCATAGGGTGCGCATCACCCACGATGCAAAGCTCAGGATTCCCTGATGGGATCTGTAGTTTCTTCCAAGGGTGAATGTACTGGGTCGGGCAACATCTTGGTTCAGGAATGCTGCGGTACTCTGGTGCTCGTCAAAGAATGCAGCCTTGATTTCCGGAAAGCTGAAGACAGCATCTTTGGAGATGCACTGCGCCGTATCTCCCGCTGTTAAAACATATTTTTAGAATCACGAATTCTCATATCCCTTGAAGTTTGACTAACCTAGATGAATGCCGCGAGCATTAAACACGGACTTGAAGAGCAAGACGATGTCTGCACATCTTAAGTCTTGAATCTCTGTAAAATGAATGGTTAGTGAGCAACAGATGTGTCATGATTCAAATGGATAGGAATATGTACCGTCGACATAGATCTCTTCGAAGCAGTTACGCAACTGAGCGGCGAAGTTCGGGCTTCCGATGATGTGCGTCAGAACAGTCATCACTCGGTCCAGGTCATCGAGTTGACACCGCTGCTTCTTCAGCCGCTCGTAGCGCTCGTGAACATCGTAAATCTTTTCACGTTCGGATCCGCTTGGAGAAGTCGGCGATGCCTTCGCTCCTTTCTCCATGTACTCATCACGGGTCAGGGGGCGTAGTTCCTGTGCACAAGACCGGGATCCTCTGATCACTCCCATGATTTCCGCGAATGCGAGCTCCACCGAGCAGCCTGCCGGGGCATACATTGAGAGACCACCCCAATACTCGTTCTTGAAAATGTGGTAGTCGATAACGGGTGCCTTTCTGCGGTAGTCCTCTGGGCGGAATTTGCCCTTTTCCTTGGAAGTGTCACCGGCCGCGAAGTTCTGACGATCCTGATTTCTGCATACAGTTAGTGATTGACGTGATTTATGGTTCATGTTGAACTAGTGCAAAATATTTGTCTTACTTGATAGAGCTTTCGACCATCTCGAGAAACTTGTCATATGTGCAGACAAACGGGAAATGGATGTCATGCAGCCTCAAGATATCCACTGGCTGAAGGTCTTCAGACAATGGCTCAGCAATTGTGCCCGTTGCAGTGTCAATCAGGGTCCGGAGGTAGATCTGCAGTTTCGCGGCCAAGAGTGGGGATCTGGTAAGAAGTAACTATATCTAGTTAGCAAATGGTCTCCGTTGATTGCGTATGAAACGCAGTTTATTTTTCGACATCCCAGCACACTAACCTGCTTGACGGAACGCGGGGGCTGGGTTAATTCCCGCGCTTTGTACTTTCCGAATAGCTTGTAGAGCAAGCAAGTGGTCTTTCCCGTGCCACTTCGACCGAGAATCATGCTGGATGTATTGTGATAACCCACGATGGCCATTTCATCGTAGGATAGATCGAACGGGAATTCCACTGGGCCCCGTCCGCGGGAAAATGCTTCAAGGAACGACTCTGACACATTTGTCGATTTACCTCGGGTGAACACGTTAGTCAATATGTCTATTAAGGCACGGTGTCTCTTACTGAGCAGCTCGATTGAGATCTGATTTGTATCGATCTGGTCCGGCAGTCGATTCATGGCGCTATACACCGGGAGAGCATCCCAACGTAGAGGAACCCACGCCCCGTTATTTGGGAGACGAATTGGCTTCATTTGGCACCGCGCTACGGTTTCGGGCTTGTAGTGCTGCTGAAGATTGATGACGCGATCAACGGTAGGGATCAGCTGGAAAACAGTTAGTCACTCGCTGAGGCTTCTTGGAGGAGGGCCACAAGTCGTACATCATCTTGCTTCTTGATGTCCCAAACTAGTAAGTGTTAGCTTAAGTCCATACTTGTGGCCACTAAGGAGCCATCTAAAGGACGACCATTGAGTCTTACTTTTCATAGTCTGTCCGAATTTATCTCTCGCCGTGGAATCATCATAGTAACCGAAATCAATCTGCCAGATGATAAAAAGCTCCGAGCGGACATCTGTCCGAAAGATGGGAATTCGAGGTGCTCGGTCTTTGTCGGAGCCGCAGGGCACGCGTTCAGTCTTTCCCCATTTTCCTTGAGCCAGGGACCTCAGAGCCTTCTCAACGGGCCCGAACCGATCGGAATCAACCAACGCTTTGATGCTCATCATAGCTAGGTCTGATAAGAGCACCTTCCAATGTCCGATACGCTCGCCGTACAGATCAATTCTTTCTTCGGTCGGGATAACCGCAAGCGGATTTTCCGCATCAACAGGGGCCGGTGCAAGCGCATGGCCCTGTAATCTCTCAGAACAAAGTCGGCAAGGGAAACTCTTCATAGCCTCTTCAATAAGCTCAGGAGCTTTATCATCAACTTGTTTCAACATCTGGGCCCACCCTTGTGTCCCCTCAGGGCACTGGATATGCAATGCCTCGAGCTGTTTCTCGATCGACGAGGACAATGTGACCCTTGGGGCTGGATCATGTCGCATGCCGTGAGCCTTCTTCTCATTGACGTTCAAAGGTCTCATCTGGCTGAGCACAGGAAGAGTTCCTCGGGAATGGATCGGCTGTTGATTTTCCTGGCCCTGGGAAGGCTTCAGGTACTCGATATCTTGCTTCAACCTTTCCAGTTGGACCCAATCCTCCCAGAGGTTTCGGGTTCCATGGTCTCCAGGGCAGGCATTACAGGCGCGAAGGACTCTTCCAGCAACTGTGCAGCCCAGTTCCTGACCGAAGACTGTGTTGATTTTCTTAGATTCAAACCACGGGATTACCTGGTGCGCGAAGTCTTTCGAGGCGATCAGGCTTTCGAACAAGTCGTCGCACTTCAGAATTTCCGTGAATACAGCTCGAAGTAATCTAGTCGAGTGTTTGTGCATGATGGTCAAGGATCCGCCAATCAATTCAGTCATCTCATCCAGCGAGAATGGGCGTTGGAGATCCTGTAGGTGCAGAAGAGGCAGGAGAAACTGTTGAATGAACCTGGTCGAGTTTTTCCCGTTGGTACTTGTTCCTTTGGTATATTCCTGGAAGATCTTGTGGAGCCGGGAGCAGGCTTGTCCCGGATTGAGTATGGTTATGTCGAGGAACTCTGGATCTTCCATGAGGCTGGGCAGGGCGACGCTCGTATCATCGATGCTGGCAGCAGCACGGGCGATCTCTCGCGGGTCGGGCTCAAGCGTGCGGGTGAGGAGGTGGTACACCAGATGCTTTGGCCTTTCTGGGAGCATGATGTACTCGAGAGTATTGTTTTCGAAGAAGAAGAGGAGGTAGGGACGAGGGCGAGATGAAGAGGCGAGGACGAGATGGGATCCAGGCAGTCGCGGGTGCTCGAGGAAATACGAGGAGCACAGCTTCGCAGGCCGCAAGCCTGAGGGTTGAATAACGATTTAATACCGGTAAACCGTAGACCGGGATGTGTAAAACGCGTGGTGTAGAGGGGATTTGGGGAATTTCGAAGGTGGTGGTAACGGAGGAGGATGGAAGAAGAATGAAATGCGAGAGGCAAAAGAGGGGCAGTTGTTGGTGTAATATAGGCACCACCATCGACGCGCGCCTTCCTTGAGAGAATGGTCCATTCTGCTCCTCCATTGCGCCTTCCTGTTCTGTCACCCAGCCAGGATGCCGCCTTCGTTGCGGGAACACCGCCGCCATGCATTGATACGTACTCCTAGTACAGAAGACCATCAGGATTCTATAATACCTGAAGATGTGTACATTCTCTGCACAGCTTTCAATTAGTACAAGCAACTTAGATTATTGAAGCAAAGGGCATATCATCGACAGTCCCGTTTATGCAATCCCAGCAAGCCCTCATGCCCAACTGACATAATCTTCGTGCTATTGCTGTTGACGCGTACATCCACAAGCCTGACCATACTCGACTGTTTTGGTGTGGTTGAGGGTACAGTACTATGTTGGTCGCAATCACTGTTCTCGTCGCATTGGCCTGCAACAACTTGACCATTTTCATATACTTTGCGACAGCCAATCACAGGACCCGGGAATTAATTGTGCGGGCTGAGTCAGCAAATCCGTGGGGAACCAACGTCACTCGCACTTCGCCGTCGGGAAACGCTTTTGACACCTACACCTCCCAACCATGGCAACCATGGCGGCTCCGCGGCTCCCCTTCCTCTATCCGAGCCTCATGCGTGCCGTACGATCATGTCAGCCGAAAACATACCGCTCTCTCCACTCTCCGCATCTGCGCGCCTTCCACGCAACTCGCGGACGCCACCAACAGGCCTACCACCGGCGATACGGCCCGGCCGTTGAACCGAATATCCCCCCACCCTCGAAGCCGAAGGAACAATCTCCAGAACAATCGGAGGAGGAGATTGAGGCGGAGTCACCAGCAGAGGAGCAGCCCGAGCGGAGCACCTCGCCGTCAGAACAATCCCAGTCGCAGACAGAATCACAGTCCGAGTCCCCGTCGCTGGACTCGTCAAAGGAAGCACATGAGGCTGTGGAGGCTTCCGAAGCCTCGGCCATTAATTTCACGGAGCAAATTGCGGAATCGATCAAAACTCGGGCCTCGCTAGAACCGGAAATCCAGGATGAGGATGCAGCGGAGGCCGATAGCCCGGAAAACGCATCCTCGACGTCCTCGTCGTCGGCGAAAGATGTTGGGGAGGAGATGTCGCAAATGCCACCTTATGCAAGTCAGAGTGCCTTTGAAGAAGTGTACCATATGCCCTCCCCGTCAACTCACCTCACTCCGGCCGGGCCATCAACGTCATCTGGCGAGAGGCCTCCACACCTCAGCCCCGCGCCCTATGTACACCATTTCGACACATATTCGCTGGTACTGGATCTTCATAATAGCGGGTTCAGCAACGAACAGTCGGTCACGATTATGAAGGCTGTGCGGAGTATTCTGCAGAACAACCTCGATTATGCGAAGCAGAGCTTGACCTCCAAGTCCGATGAGGAAAATGAGTCATATCTGTTCAAGGCGGCTTGCTCTGAACTCCAGCAATCTCTGCAAACGGCCCGTAACTCTGAAATTCAGAGACAGCGTGCGTCGAGGGGCCAATTAGAGCACGAAATCGACATCTTGTCACAGCGCCTCAATCAAGAGTTGACCGGAATGAAAGATGACATCAAGGGGATGTTCAATGACCACAAAATGTCTACACGTGAACAGCAACGAACCATTGACACCTCGGTTCAAGAATTGAATTACAAGATTACCGTTTCGTTGAACAGCGACGGTAAGAGCGAGGCCGAAGGCCTTAGGTGGATCCTGACCCGGCGTGCTGCTTTAACCGTCGCCACCTGTGCTTGTAAGTCCCAATCCCTTCTCTCTGACTTTTTTTTTTTTTTTTTTTTTTTTTGATTTACTGACTCTCCGAGTAGTCATGATCATCGTTTTCCTCAAATATGCCTCCACCCGTAAGGTGCCCGAGCCGAAAGTGATCAAAGAGGTCGAAAAGCCCGTTCCTACCAAGGAAGTTACCAAAGAAACTCCGACCCGGGTCGTACATGAGTCCGGACATAAAAGCGAAACGCCGTACATCGCTGAAGCGCACCTCGTCGAATCCCTTGGCTGAAAACAGCTGCTTTCCGCGGCGAGTTCGTTCTTTATAGAAACAATTTTCATTTGTCAAAACCTGGTTCCAATAGACAGGGCACTGTACCATCACCGATAGATTCTGATACCCCAAAACATATACAATTATCTGTTATACACGCACAAAGCCAATGGAATGATTCCAAACAAACTGCTACATCGAGCGGCCTTCACTCAATTTTCCGAAACTCGCTCAGAGGACAAAGCCAGCGTCACTCTTCTACATCCGCAATAAGGCCCCCAACTCCATGTAGCACGGAAATGGAAATCAATGTCAGCTGACAGTGGGGCTGGGTGGGCTGAGGCGCTGCTCTTCTGCTGATACTGCATCGACAGACTCCGCTTATTTTTAACAAGAATGCCACCGCCGTGAGATCGAATCAAGGACCCCACAGACCTCAACTCCGGGGCACAGATAGGGATCAACTACGGCTCGATCAATATCAGTGAGCTACTCGCCGCTCTACAACAAAAGACCTCATGCTTATCAAGCGGTAGATCTCGACGAGAAGCTACCTGTCGTGAATTAGGCTGCATTCGTCTGAAGATCAACATGAAGGAATGTCTCCCAGGAACGCGAACCGACATAGTCCTTCAAATTCACGACTGGACAATTCTCCTCGCATGGAAGGTGTATCTTCTGGCTAAATTGCATGGCCGGGACAGGAAAATCGAGTATCTCACGAACAGTGGCATCAGAATTCGAAGATGGAGGCGAGCTTTTTCTTCAAAAGGGGTGAAGCAGATCGCGGCAGTGCTCTCAAGAATTTCCCGACAATCGCGAGACAGCTAGTATTTATAGTACGCCAACTGCTCCCTCCCATTCAGCAAGCATTCCAAGATGACCCGGGCATTGCGAACAAGACGATGCGTGAGCAATTAGATAAACTAATTCTTCAACGACTCTTGAATCTAAAGGTTATTTGCTCTCAGGGCTCCTACGGTGGTCCTCGTGATTGATGCACTGGATGAATATGAAGGCGACAACGATATAGGAAGGCTGTCCAGATCACCGACACAGCAACTGGCACTCTGAAGTGGAAGTTGTAGGCTAATTATTCACAACAAATCATGGTTGAAAAAGTTGATAGAATAGGGACAGTCTACTCAGTAGCCTTCTCACCTGACTGTCGGCTGCTGGCTTCTGGGGGTATATGCAGGGACATTCGCATCTGGGAGCTCGAAACGGGGAGACGACTTTGCACCCTTGAAGGCCATAAAAATCCCATTATATCACTGGCATTCTCGCCCAACGGCCGGCTACTGGCATCTGGTTCTCAAGATAATGCCCTCCGACTTTGAAACCCCCGCTACGGGCAGATTGCATCGGATCTTCGAAGGCCATTCCTTCTGGGTTCACCAAGTTGCTTTTTCGCCTGACACCAAAATACTTGCATCCAGCTCGTTTGATCAAACAATACGAATCTGGAACTTGGATATGGGAGCAGTAGAGCTGACGTTCGACGTTACTACACTGCCGAGAAACCTCCGATACAAGCCCGACGGAACGTATTTAATTACTGATCTGGGCACTCTTGATGTACGACTCGGATTTTAAGATACCACGTCTGATGATGCTTCTGGATATTCCAGTGTCTGAATTGGTCAATGGCCGTGGGTTGAGCTTAATGGTGAACGTGTACTGTGGCTTCCTCCTGATTCTTGGTCTGGTTGTTGTGCGGTGATGGGAGTTTACTTGCCTTGGGAGAGGCGTCGGGTCGAGTATCTTCAATATTTTGGTGGATAGCAGGCTCGAATATATATTTTCGACTTTTTTTATTTCTAAAACGTGAACTAAATCGTTTTTAAGCCAGGCTTTTCGCTCTCAACATCTAGAAACAGTATCCAGGTTTGTTTACCCCGCACGTCAAGCGGAACATACGTAAGAACCCAGTCTCAGCTGGCGGTCCTGCTTTTCCAACTATCCAAGAAAAATACTGCGGTCTCTATCTTGGATTTTACCAGCATGTCAAAGCTATCCCACAAACTGAAATCCGTCATCAATGCTCCCCACGCAAGACCAGGAACAGTTCCCGCCCCCTCGCGCATTTTAACTGTATACCAAGGAATCGCAAAGGAAGCCGAGGCTCAGAATATAGGGCTGAAACCGTGGTTTACGGCCGCAGTCAGTAATCGGTCTATCAAACCACTTGGCATGCATCGCTAATATCGCGGTTAAAAAAAGGCCGCTGCAACAATGACAATGAATTCCCCACAATCACTCTCCCAGCTCTTCGAGCAAGTTTCGAATTCAGAATCTCACGATGAGACTGTTCGTCTTGCAGAATTTGTCCGCGAAATCGGACTGAAATGCCTGGGGTTTAACGGCGTGGGTTATGCTCCCCGCGTATAATTCTCCGGCAAAGATTGACTTGATCAGATACCTCGGACGATCAATTGCTTGAGCGAATTCCGCACCGGGCTGCCACCAACTGTAGCTGAGATGCTAGCCACAAAGCCACGTCGGTATGTTTCCACCCGTCGTGAGAAAACCTCTCCAAAATACTGAGCCAAATCAAGATCTCTTGCGCCGCAGGACATAAACACCATCTCCACCCGCGGCTCAGCCCTCTGGAAATCCATCTACTTCCCCTTTGAATCAAAGCTCTTCCAAAAGCTGAGCCAAGCCCACCCAGACCTACCAGTGCACATCGTAGAAAGCGAGTACGGCAACCTCTTCTCTGATCCGCCCACACACCCGGGCGCTATGCCAGTGACCGTGGGAAGAGTTTTGACATCCATTCTGGGTGTAGCGTGTCTGCGAGCACAAACCGGCGTTGGACCACAGCTTTTATCTCACGTATTTGGTCTTCGGAAGGCTTTTGAGGACGGAAGTTTCCAAGATGACCTTGAAGAGGATATTCGGGGTGCTCGCTGGTTGGCTAGTGATGACGGGAGTGTCTGGCTTCTCCAAAGCGTGGATCACATTGTGGAGGCTCTGGGAAAGGGTGAGGGAAGTAATTTCGCGCCGGGTATCAGTAGTAAGATTTGAGTGTTCCTTGAAATATTTAAAAAGATGTATCAGAGGATATAACTATTGCAGGCCAACCTGATTCAAGGTGATTACGTAATATGAACTTTGCTTATCTTATCGCCCCAGAAATCCGAGCCATCAAGTGCGAAGGGAAACCTGAACCATTGCAACATTCCACGTTCAACATCTCTAATGTTCCGTCTACGCCAATTAGCACGGGCAATTCAGCCGTTTTCACCGCAAACAATAAATCAACGCCGGACATTCACGCAAACACCTATAACTAGCGCAAAACCACTTCCGCCACGTCTAAAGCTCAACGATGCTGATCTGACAGTCGCCTACCTAAAAGGCACTGGGCCTGGCGGGCAGAAGATCGTACGTGGTGTCATTTTCTATACTTAGTATATCTTGAGGCTGGAACAGAAACACTGACAACTTCTAAGAACAAAACCAACTCAGCCGTACAAATCATCCACAAGCCCTCAGGGATAGTGATAAAATGCCAAGCGACACGTTCACAGTCGCAGAATGAGAAGATTGCGCGCCAGCTTTTGGCGGATCGAGTTGAGGCTCATGAGAAGGGAGATCAGAGTCGGGTTGCGTTGAAGGCTGAGGCGGCAAGGAAGAAGAAGGCTAGTAAGGTTAAGAAGGCGAAGAGGAAGTATCGGGGGTTGGAGAGGGCAAGTGGGGAGGATGGGGGTTTGCATGATGATGGAGAAGGAGAGGCGGGGAGTTCTGAGGAAAGTAGTGAGGGGAAGGGTGAAAAGGGGGAGTAACGACACTAGAATTTTTGATGTTTCATGTGGTTTTGGCTGTACATTAGCATCTTCCCGACTTAGAAGAGGGGCCTTTCTGTATATATTATGTGGCTGGGCTACGGCATCGGAGCAATGGTTGAATTGAATGTCTACTAAGTTTATGGACCAAGAGCGAGACTTGCGTTGGTTATTGTATGTTATATTCTGGACTTCACATTCTTGTCTCTACTATAATGAATTAGTCTTCGGAGTTTGAATTTTCCGGGTCAAAGGCGCTGGGCACTGTAATAGTAGGCAGGGCAATTGTTTCAATAACGAACGCAAGAGCTCCTATTATGAATTTGTAGAAACTCTGCGACGTATCCGGACGTCGTCTTCAACCTCCGGCAGGTTGATATTGGAAATATCATGTCGGTCTGCTGCGACTGCTGTTCGTAGACGAGTGCATCATGGACTGACACCTTTCCATGGGTGCCAGAATGGGGATTCAAGCAGATGTCCTTGACACTTCTATGACCCAGTGGTTGGCCGGGTCGCTGGGTTGGGTAGCAAGTATCTGTTTGCTTGTCTGTCGAATGGCAAAATTGATAAGGACCTTGTCAAAGCCCATCACGGTTGATACAATCACGGTTCCGATGTGCGTAAAAAATCGCTAGATCATAAAGCGTATTCGCGGGATCTCCCTAGATTCGTCACGAATTAGGACTCTGCGGAAAGAAATTCAGATCAGTGAGTAAATCCCAATTTCCAGCCGCAGAAGCCCCCAATCCCAGAAACTCGGGGAAATAGTAGTTCGTGAAATTATCCTCCGGAAAATCCTCTGTGGGGATAGTGGCAGGCAATGTCTCTACACGGGGCCGAAGCTTCTGGTGAACCTTTGCAATGATGTTTCCCAGTGTATGTCCTGCATGACAGGGAAGACCGATCGAGTGCAGCCACTGAACCAGATTGATAATCAAAGCATCCAGTTCAGCTACATTGTATTTAAAACTCAGTTGTTCTTCGTAGCTGTGCAGCAGGCGACAGATGATGATTGCGGCAAATGTGATCATGTGGTAGATGTGGTCGCTTAAATGGCGGGTGTGTTCATCAACTGTATCCATGGGTAGGTGCAAAATGGCAGTTGAGTGGCGGATCATCTCGGAGACAAGTAATTCGCGGGCTCGGGCGGATTTTGATTTCAGGGCGTGCTCGTACAAGATTAGGTTTGAGAAGTGAAAGCCCATCGAGAGAAATTGAGATCTTGGTTGTTCTGAGAACGGTATCAGCATCGGGAAGCGGAGGGAGAACCAGTGACCACATACCAAGAAGGAATTCCCATTCTCTTCTCCACGTCTGCAGATCTGCCACCGATTTCAGAAGGTCTACCGGTGCCTCAATAAGATGTTGGTATAGAGTCCAATATAAATGGATCTCAGCAACCATGCGGACTTCAAAATTAATCGCATAATCAGACTCCAGGATTACTCGGGTACGTTCAATCTGCCAAGTCTGCAACATTGATCGGCGGCTAGTGCCGACACAGTAGTGTAAATGAGCCAGACATAAGTGGTTCCACAAGCAACAGAGATCCGCTGTATGTTCATCCATCCGGGTCGGTGGCTGAGATCGAGCAGTAACCTCCGCAAATAACGGACTGGACAGGGAATGCTGGAGGGCAAATCCACTGAGAAGCCACGTATCGATACTCAAGGGCACCTGTCCCACGGTGGTCGACCACATGCACAAAATCAATGCGGCCTGAAAGAACTCAATAGATTGAGGTGCCACCAAAAGGGTGCTCGAAACCAGCGAGCGAGCGCACTCGTAGAGCTTTGGCGCGAGGCTCGCGGCAAGTTCTTCGGAAGTATGCCGCACGGCGATTAGACAACAAGCGCAAAAAAGCAATGGCGATTGCCTCACGCGGGGTAGAATTAGCGCAGGATCCGACTCGGGGTCGAAAATGATCCAGCGGCCGTAGCATCCAAGAAAACTGTAAGGGCGAGTTAGGTTCAGAATTTCTTGGGCATTCCAGGGCTCCCCGAGAGGTATGTCATACATCTTGATGAGAGTAAAAGCTAGATCGGGCGTGATCAGATCATCAAGCACCGAGCCCATGGATTTGGTATCAGGGGATGGCTTCGCCTCCGAATCGGTGGCCAGATCACGAATGACCATGATCGGAGCCGCGGAAGGTTCCGTGTCCTGGTAGGTCGACTCCCCGGCTTCCGAGGTCGTTAGTGTGCTTGCTGGCCGGCTTGGCTCATTTTCGACGTTGGAAGGACCCTCCCCCAGCCGATCAAGCAAGGTTGCCACCGTCCTTTCCAGGCGCTCCAGTCTAATCGCGGCATTTAGTTTGCCGTCTTTCAAATAGCGGGATTAGAAATCGGTCATACCGTGCATCGGTTCCAGAAGAAGAGGAAGCCACTGGCTCTCCATCGTGTCCGTCAATCTCGACCAGCGAGCATTTCTGGCGAAGGCGTTCGCATCTCAGGCACGCCTTGCCAGGGATACCGGGTTCATAGCAGCGAGTCTTTTGCTTTCTGCATGAGGCACACGCTCGAGAGGCGCGCCCACGATCTGGCGGCATCGCGGACCCAGCAAGGAAGCCCCGAAGGTACTGTTAACGGACAGACATGGTATGTAGCGAATCCGTGAGAACGATGGTTGGGGGGTGGGAGAAGAGGGAGAGGCCGAGTATACCTGCTTAACTCAGCGACCGGTGTGGCGGCCCGGCTTTTCAGGCCAACACGCTGCTTCAGCCTGAGTCACCATCGAAGATCCATCGCTACACTGAATTGATTCACTTGAAACCCAGTCATTCATAGATAAATGTTACTTATAGCACTGTTTTCACTGTTGGTTGGATGTTGTTCAACCCGAATTTGCTGGACTAGTTGCAACAACCCTGTAGTAGTATGTATAGTTACCTCTGGTATGGGTGGGTAAGGCACAATAGCCAAATATACCGAGAAGAATCGCAATTGTCCAATATTGATGAAAGGAGGAATTGCGTAAATTCATCAGATTGTAATATACCCCAAAAATTCGCTTGTGAAGGAGGCCATGATGTTTTCAGAAACGGAAGTGCATTGTAAGTAATATGAGTCCGACATCTTTCAGCTTGCCAAAGGCTGAATTAAGCGTCCCCTACCTTCCTAGCAACTCCCATTTATTGTGATGTTGAACTTGGTGCCCTTTGATCGGTGCTTGGTGCGTTCTTTCCTTCCTTTTTCGGTTGTCAAGTGAGTCAGCCTTGCAGATTCCATTCCCGCCTCTTCTATGTTTGCTTCGAACACGATCTCTCTCTCCAACCTTTCTTCCACCACCCCTCTTCACCACCTGTCTACCCATCTCTCGGCCATCTTCTTCCGCATCCCACCCCACACAACTCATACCCCACTACCCATCTCGGAGCAACTCGGCCAGCCTCCCATTTGCCATCAACGTGTTTTGCCCCGCCGCCCATCTGCCACGGGCTCCGAGCACCTCGTGGCCGCCGGGTAGACCCGCCGCGATGGACCCTTTCGTGAAGCTTCCCTAATTCGTCCTCAAGGAGGTTCTCAGCCAACTACCAGACCTACCCACTCTGCATCGGCTGTACCTGGCTTCACCGGCCATAGCTGAAATTTCCTTGAACAAATTTCACGGAATGTCCCCGCTGAGTGTTGGCCCCATTATTATTATCGACTCCTTCATGTAGAGAACCCTATATTTACGTTGTGTATTGCAATTGTGTATCTCAAGGTACGTAGGAGTACAGCCAGTCTTACGGGCTGCCGTCGACCCTGACATAGCCGTCAAGGGGACTCTTGTTGCCATGAAAAACAAAATATCGCAACTGATTGTCATACCAGAAAATGGGCTGCAGGATAATCGGTTGATTGCCTGCTATGGGGTGGACTCGCTTATCTCCGTAGAATTCGGGAATTGGATTGTCACGCAGTTGGGTGCTCATGTGCAGATGATGGAGATCATGAGATCGATGACGATGGTGCAGATTGCGGAGATGCTCGCTCGACGATCAAGGTTCGTCAAAGCGAGTGAATTTTGAAGAGGGTAAAGGTTCAAAGTAAGAGTCTGGTCCAAATCTGGCTTGGGTATTTCACACAACACGTTCACTTTATAGTGAGGCTTCGGCTCGAGAAGAGCTTGTATGGTTGAACCTTTCGGCTTTCCACACTTTTGGAATTCAGATATTTTTAATTCATAGATGAACTGTACTCTTTCTACTCGTTACGTTACAAAAAGCCTCTAGGGACTGCTCTCAGGATCCAGAATAAACACTAGTGAAGGGAAATGGAAATAATCAAAGGGCTGCCTAAGGCCGGCACTCAAACCGCTGCGCCTTCCATTTTGATGTCGCGCCGCGCCCGCTGCCTATTCTTCGTCTCTCGCTTTCTCTCCACTCCTCTCTCGCTCTCTCGCTTTCTCTCTTTCTCTCTTCATCTCTCTTTCTCTCTTCATCTCTCTCCAAATCCCCTACACGCGTACACTTTCACCCCGCCATCATGGATCCCTTCTTAAAGCTTCCGTGGTTCGCCCTCAAGGCGATCCTCATCGAACTACCAGACCTGCCCACCCTGCATCGGCTGTACCAGGCGTCACCGACCATAGCTGATTTCTTGAACAACTTCGACGGAATGTTTTCGGAGGTCGTGGAAGGCATCCTCACTAACCAGCCGACTTGCTACAGTCCCTCGATGCAATTCTCCTTCCGCTGCTGTGTTTACCTGTGGTGGCGTGCCGAGGGACCGCACAATGACAATCCCCTGCCGGAAGCGTTTGGCCTCTTCATGGAAGATCTGACGTTCCATCTTCCAAGGTTTATCACTGAACAGATCCTGGTCGGTAATCTGCGAATCATCCCTGAGATCAACGAGACTTTTCGTGAATCCTGCGGACGACGCCCTCTTCCCAGATCGGCTCCGGCAACATACCTCGTTCGACTCCTGGAATTATCCAGCTACGTCCGCATGAGAACACACAAGTGCTTTCACAACATGCTTATCCGTTGCATGAGTGTTACACCCCAGGAATGCCTCGAAAGGATTGGGCCACTGTGGCCCGGATTCAGCCCTCCCATGCCAATCGACATCGGCCCACCGTCCTGGATCGAGGAGCAACGCATCATGGTTGCTACAGTGGCATACCAGATCTTCTTTGAACTCAAGGAGGCCGTCGCTAGAGGTACGTTCACAGTAGGTCCCAGCGAGTTCCACAAAAGATGTCTCAACGAGAACAGGGTTCGAGATTTTTGGGCCAAGCCTATTGACCCTCCCCCCGGCAGCATGCTACGTTTCCTCATGCTCCACGCACGCGATTCCATAATCGCCGTCGTGGACTGGGCCCATACCTTCTTCGAACTCGAGGAACCCGGAACGAGTGTCTCGTCAAGCTGGGCTTCATATTGCTGCCCAGAGACGCGCGTTGCTCCCAGACTGCAGTACATGGGCCTTCAGTCCCTCAATTGGAATCCAGGTAGCATCGGAACTGTACTGTGCTCGTCACACCACGACTTGTACAGAGAGGTAGGTTTCCCGTTCTGGTCTAACCAAAGATTGCTTGCTATGGGATTCGAAGTTATTCTCAACAGGCCGCACAATGTGCCGTTGCTTGGGGTTCCGCTTTGGCAGAACTGGGCTGCCATGGCCCTAGGTATTGATGACGATGGGTTCTGAAAAGGTGAGCTCTGCCATATTTCTGCAGTTTAGGCTAACAACGAAGTGAAATTATGGGATAGAGGGACATTGCAAATGTTCATGACCTGTTTCCTGGCGTGATTTGACTGCATGGCAGGGATCCACCAGCTAGATATTCGAATAGCCGAATACCAGAAAAATACCCATGACATTTTCAGATGGCTGGGATTTTACCTGTTTTTTTCTCTTTTCTTTCTCCATTTTCGTAACTGGCATGAAATCTTCTAAAGGCGTTCTACTACTCTGAACACTACGTCTCATCGTAGACTATGTAATATACTCCGCGATTAATTTGAAACAAGTTCTCGATAAGCGTCATCACCGAGAGTCTATACATCAGTTGCACACTATGCATCACATCATATCAAGTCATCAGTGCGAAAACACATGAAATCCTCAATCCCAAACCAACGAAACCAGGGTCAAGAGGTACTTTCCACCAAAGCTAGACTAAAAGTCCATCCGCAGAGCAATACTAGGCGCAGCGTGTTGAGTATTCTCCGCAGACTCATCCGACTTAGCCGAAGCCCCAATACCGGCACTCCTCAGAACCTCTTCGAGAAGCGACTTCTGCTCGGGGTTCATATTCGCCACCAAAGTCTTGAAAACAAGCTGGTCGGCCTTGGCCAGTTCCAGCAAGAGGGCCGCAGACTCCTTGTGCACCGCCTGGCCTTCGCGTTTAGCGCGGACAAGCAAAGCGGACATCACGAGCGAGAGCGCGGTGGGGAGTTCCGCCGGCGAGAAGGAGGCATTGGCGACGCAGCCGACGAGGGTGCGGGCGATGACGGCGCGGGAGTTCTCCGGGTCGCTGGGAATATCGCCGGAGTTTGTGGGACAGCCGATGAGGAAGGCGATCAGCCGAGGGAGGAGGTAGCGGGAGATCACGTCGTCGGTTGTGTAGCGGGGGTTGGGCTTTAGGAGGATCGAGCGGAGACAGCTTGCGGCAACGGTCGCGAGGCCGACGTCTTGGAGGCAGTCCAGGAGTTCGTTGAGGACTCGGTTGATTACTGGGTCCTGGGGAGGGAGGACGTGGCCGCCTGCTGTCAGGAGGAAGGTGATGGCCAAGAGGGTATTCTTGGCACACGGGATTGAGGTCTCAGATTCTCGACGCTGGGCGATAGTGAGGATGGTCAGGAATCGGGTTAAGCAGCCGCGGACCTGGAAGGCGATCACGTCGTGGTCCTCGGGAACCTCGGAGGAGTGGGTGATGCTGTGGACAAATTGCCGGAAGATGGGCAGGGCCTGGGGTACAACTTGAGCTTGGCAGATTCCTGTGGCCAGGATTGTGGTGAAGATGTGCAGGATGCAAGCGTGGAGATCGTTGCGGATGATCGATGGGAAGACCGATGCAACGTCCACCAGAGATTTCAGGGCCAGGCGAATAAGTGTCAGGGAGTCGTCCGAGGATACATTGAATCGAGCCAAGGGAGTCGACTCGCGAAGGTTGGGGAGCATTCCAGCGAGGACGAGGATGATGCTTCTTGTCAGCTCAAAGAGCTGCTCGATGTCATCCGACAAATGATCACTGCGCTCCTGGTCACTCTTGGCTGCGGGATGGTCCAGGGATAGGTTCTGTGCGATCTCAACAATGACGGTCTGGATTGGAGTGCTCTCGGTCAGAACAAGACGGTCAAAGGTATCCATAGTCTCCGAGAAAATGGCATCCTGGTAGATAGCGTTGCCAGAAATGATAGGGCGCAAGATTCTCTTGAGGGCTTGCAGGATGGCCAAACGCTGCGAGGCTAAAGTTGCTTGATCAACCAGAGATTCAAAAGCAAGACCAAACAGCACAAAGAAGAAGGCCACAGGCTCTTCGCGGTAGTTGATATCATCACCCTTGCCCTTGGACTCAGCCAAAGATGAGGCTTCATCCTTCTTTTCGCTTTCGTTCTCCTTTTCAGCATCACTAGGCTCTTCAGGCTGCTGAAGCTTGCCGTCCAGGGCATCGAAAACGAAGTCAATGTCCTTCTCAACCAAACCAGCAATTGCGTCAACAAGATTGAGCCACGAATCTTGGTAAAATTTCAACAAAGTCTCGCGATTCAATGCAGCATAGACTTCGTCCAGATCATTGCTCTGCGTGCTTGTCCCCAGAGCACCGGAGATATCCGGCTCAAAGCGCAAGCGGGCATACTCCTGAAGAGACGAGAGCCACAACGGCGTGAGCTTGGCGAGATAAGGCTGAACAACCTGGTTAAGATACTCATGTTCAATGCTTGCAATCTGTAAACGGGCCCACGCCGAGAACAGTGCCAGCTTCACCATAACCCGGGCATTGGAGTTCAAGCCCTTGAGGTCGCCAATCTCAGTGGTATCGGGGTTCTTGGCAAAGTTCTCAAGACCAAGAACGAGTAACTTGAGAATCCTACCCATGCGCTCCACATTCGTCACAATACCAGTAGCAATGAAAGTGGCCGACACGTTAATCGCTTCAGTAGCAAGTTCTGCAGACGAATCCGCAGCAAAAGCAGGAGTGAGAGCAGATCCAATCTGAGCTTGATATTGCTCCAACAAGGAAGCCTCTGCGAAGTCCGGGTCTGGAGCCTTGCCAAACATGGTCAAAACTTGATCAATGATCTTCAAACCCCAGACACGCAGTTCGATGACATTGGCTGTTGATGCCGAGAAGGCCATTCGGACAATGTCTCCAACCTTGGACTGGAGCGCCACCTCTGCAGGAATAGCATGGTCAGGCAGAATTGCTTCTTGCACAGTTGCGAGCAGTTCAGAGAGACAGCTCATGGCGAAATTACGTGTTTGCCACTTGAGCAATTCCTGACCTGCCACTCCATTCGCAGACTCGGCGGGTGTATCACCCGCAACAGCAGAGGCGAAGCCGGCGACTTCATCGTCAGGCATATCTGCTGCGGCAGTCTGGACTGCCGTCGTCGGTAGAGGCTCGACCTTGTTTCGGGTTTTTGTCATGATGTTCTGGCAGCGCTGAATCCACAATTCGGTCTCGGTGAGGGCAGTCTGTTGCAGCCACTCTTGAATCATTTTCTTCAAGGGTCGGCTGTCGGGCGCATCATCGAAAGCAAGCCAGATATCATCTTCGAGAGTTTCGCTGGCTGTTCGCACCACAGAAGTGGCGTCTCGCTTCATCAGATTACTGAGTCCACGGACGGCCACATCACGCATGAAGACATCTTTGGCGCGAAGCTCTGTCTGCAGGCGCTTCACGTATCCAGGGAAATCGACAAAGCTGGAGGCGTAGAGAGAGAAATGGTCGAGACACTTGGAGCTTTCCGTGACTAGGGCGGGATTTTCCTCCAACTGGAATTGGCGAAGCAGTGTCAGAATGAGGTTTCTAGTCTTTGCAACATCCTGCAGGTCCGGTCCCAAGACATTGATCAGCGAATCAACGCATCGACTGATGACCACGGGCGTCAAAAAGGACATCTCAATGTTGGAAGTTGCCAGCGTGGCAGACTCTTCGTTGTGAGTGTCGGCATTGTAAAGCTGCGCAAGCATGCCCAGAGAGCTAGAGGCATACGGCGAGAATGTCAATCCAGCAGAATTGGCCACTCGCTCCAATCCGCCAAGAGACGAGAAATGCACGACGGGGTGAGGGTCGTTGCAAAGAGACATCAGCACGCCCACAATGGTCTTGAGATGCAGACCAGCAGCCATACCACCAATCTGGGAGTGAATGCAGCCCAGAGCAGCAGCACAGCCCGCCCGCGCATGCGGATCCCTGTTGGCGACAATAGTATCGACAAGCCAATTGACCTGGGTGTTGGTGCAAGCATTACCAGCACTGTCACAGAGACGACCAAGTGCCTCCACACCAATGGTGCGGACAATAGGGTCGACATCAATGACAAATTTCTATATCTGATTAGCATCTATTCAATTCGGCAGACAATAGATTTGAGGACGTACCTGGATAAGCTCTTGCAATGGTTTATCAGTGGAAGAGTTCAGTTTTCCAGCAACAAAATCAGTCTCCTTGACCGAAACTTTCAACGCGTGCAGTAGGGCCACGGAGATATTGACACCAAGTGCAGCCTTCCTTCCGAGATTCCTTTGAAGACTCTGAGAAGTCATGAACGTGGCAATCTGTTCCACACTGCTTTCTTGGATCTTAGGCGAGTGCAAAGCAATAGCAACAGAGAAAAGGTCAATTGCAGAGTTCACAACTCCAGTAGTCGGCGGGTCCACCGAGAATGACTCCCCAGCTCGCGAACTGTACAAGAGGACCGAGTCATGCTCACTAGCTTCGCAGATGGGGAAGGTCAACGCATTGTCAACAGCCTGATCTGCGGAGTTGATGGCAGACCAAGCAGGAGCATTTTCATTGCCATTGGAACCGGTCAGGGCAGCGTGAATGTATTCGCGAGCAAGTCCAGTAACTCCAAAGCCATAATTATCGCAAAGGTCCCACAAGCCATCAAATTGGCCGGTGGAGCCCGCGATCGAGCTTTCCAGGGGCCGGTACTGCGCATCAGGGTCCGCGAAGGAGGAGATAGCCAAGCTGAGCAGTGTAGAATGATTTATGATGTCACCGTGGCTGGGGTGGTGGACATGCACCAGCTTCGAGAAGCATTGAAGAACCCGGCGGCGCACCAGAGTGGTGTAGTCAGCCAGTTGAAGCGAGGGATGAAGGCGATGAGCAATATCTTCCATCGACTTCGGGCGTGGCAAATCATCCAAAAACTCAACCGTGTTCTGTAGCATGGCCGCTATCCGCTTAGCACCATCGGCGGTAATGAGTTTGCTGTTAAACTGCATGAAGACAAGCAAGGAACTCAGGGCACATTCGCGCACATGAGCCAAGAAGCTTGTCTCAAGTGTGCTGGGCTTAGCCGAGTTCTCTTTGCTCAGATGTTTTGGCAGGGCGTTCTTCCAAAGGAGCATCAATTGCGAGAGATGGATCTTGACAAAGCTTGGACCCAAAGGCATAAGTCCTCCAATTAAGATCCAGGCCACTTGGATCTGAGTGCTTGCGACTCGCAGCTCGGATGTACTGCTGGTCTTCAGTAGATCGGTCGCCTGTGTGAAGATTCGAGCAAAGACGTCAACTGCACCATACAGAGGCTGCAGTCGAGACGTGCTGAGCATGGCGGAGAGTCCATTTGCGTAGCCAACGCAACGGCGGGGAGACTGCCGCGGTGTGGCAAGCTGTCCAATCTCTCTGTTCAGACTGTTCATGCAAATTGTAACGCAGGACAGAAGTTGATGGGGGCATGCAAGTACGAAACTGCGCAAGCAGTGCGCCGTGTGGACCTGGACGGTATAGCTCGGGTGTGGAAGCACCTGAAGCAAAGCATCACGGCAGCTATCGGCATGAACACCAAAGGCGGAGCCAACCGATGCAATTAGAGAGGACAAGGCGCTAACGGTGCTTGTCAATGTATACTTGCTCGGCTCGCGACGCTCTTGAATGACCTGGGGGTAGTCTTTGAGAATATCATTAATGAGCCACTTGGCAGCATTAAGTTGACTGTTCTCTCGGAGAAGTTCCCGGCCAATCGTATCCTCGAGAATAACCTTGACAAACTTGCGAGTCATCAGCAGGCGGAACCGGTTATATGTAATCGTCGGGTGGTTTAGAAGATCGAACAGGAGGTTAGAGGCAATTTGCCCATATCGCTCTTCGACAATCTTATCCCCCAGATTCCGCAAAACGTATTTATAGCATATACAGATACCGGCGCGCGTGCGATTTGAAGTCGTACTTTTCAAATATTGAGATGAGAGCTGGCGCAGAAGATCTGGGAGAAGGAAGAACAAGCGCGAGTCCTTCTTCGGGGCATTCGCCACAGAGGACTCGGACATTTCCTCCTCTTCTTCCTCTCCCGGCCGAGCGGTAGGTTTCTTAGACATGCGCTTCGACTTCTTCGACTTCGGTTTTGGCGGAGCCGAAATATGCGCTTCGCTAGCGTGCAGCTTGACAAGAGCCCGGCCAAGACATGCGGCTGCCGCATGTCTGACCGGGGCAATTGGGCTGTCGATGACCTTCCACATAATAGTTTTGAGGATTTCGAAATCAGTCGCATTGTCAAAAAACGGTGTCGTATTTATCAATTGTTCCATGCACCGGCAAGCATGAACCTGCACGAAAGTCGACTTATCGCTCGTTGCGGCATTGCGCGCCTGTTTCCAAATATCGCGGGCAGTCTGTTCGTCGATCGGGACGCCAATTCCAACAACAATCTTGCGCAGCACAGAATATATTACTCCCCGCAGACCGGTATGATTGCTCGCCGACTTGAGCAGCTTAAGCATACTCGCGGTGGCGACATTACATTGCATGAAGGCGCTCTCGCCCGCCGTCGCAAAGACCTCGCCGAGACAATGCGCGGCAGCGAACTTGGTCTTTAGCTCCGCCTCGCTCTTGCCCGCATTCAGTATGCCAATCAGGTCGGTAATGGTCTCGAAGAGGATCCCGCGATCGCCTTTCGTCAAGATCGCACCGAAGCATCGTCCCAAGTTATTGCGGAGGACTCGCGTGAGGGTTGGGGAGGAGAGGGACAAGATCTTGAACAATTCCGGCTTGAGGGCTTTTTGTTGTGCCGAAACCTGTGCCGCATCGAGACCGGAAATATATTGCACTAGATCAGACGTGAAGGTGAGCAGGTAGAGGTCCTGCTGTTCGGAGGGGAGCGCATGAAGCTTGGGAATATCCAGCTCCGGCACCGCATTTTCAGGGATTGAGGATATCGGGGCGGATTCGGAGGTAGACATTGGGCACGGGATGTGATGATCGTTCAATCCCCATCAAAAGTGCCTCGCGGTAAAGAGGGGGGGGGGAGGTTGAAGTAAACCGCGTCATCTCCTTATCGAGTTGGCCTCACCGTCCGCGGAGATCGGATAAATGTCGGCCCGCGGAATGTATACACTCCGCTCGCAGGCGCAACTCTTCGCCGCAGAGAAAAAAAAAAGAGGTATGGCGCTCCAGCTGGGCAGGCTTCTGCGACCACCCTCCGGGGTTGCTGGTTGCAATACTTCTCGGGGCTTTATGACTACATCTGGACTTATGTCTGGGCACAACAAATGGTCCACCATCAAGCACGATAAGGCTAAAAATGACAAGGCCAAGAGCAAAGAGCGACAGATGGTGAGCAAGGAGATCAGCAGCGCTACACAATGTACGCACTCTCGGCAGCTTTATATGACGTTTTGATACTAACGACCACTTTTTTGTCGATAGTATGGGGCGCCGATCCAAAGTACAACCCCCGTCTAACCCTCGCCCTCTCGAATGCGAAACGAGCCTCCATCCCCAAGACCATCATCGAAGCAGCCATTGCGCGGGGACAAGGGCTCAGCGTGACAGGACAAGCGCTGGAATATCTGACAATTGAAGCCATGCTACCGGGCTCCGTAGCTGCCGTCGTGGAATGTCAAACGGACCAGAAGGCACGAGTGCTACAGGACGTACGATACTTGATCAAGAATGGAGGTGGGACAGTGACGCCCACGACATTCTTATTCGAAAAGAAAGGGAGAGTGGCGATGGAGAAGAAGGATGGCTTGAACGCCGACGATTATCTGGATCAGGCCATTGAAGCCGGCGCAACGGATATAATTACGGATGATAGAGGCCGCCTGGTCATCTTCACTGATCCATCAGAGACGAAAAGCGTCGGCGAGGCTTTCACCAAGCTTTCTGGACTCACCATCGAGGAATTGGAGATCTTCTGGGACCCGAATCAGGACACGCTGGTTGAAGTGCAGGATGCGGAACAGATTAAAGGTCTTGAGGATTTATTGAGTTCCCTGCGCGAAGACCCCAGCGTTCAAGATATCTATTTGAACTCGACCGAGAAATTCTGAGGCTCTTTCTGTGTCCTTCCTTTGCAATATACAGACAACAGTGTATTATAAGTGTATATATACCAGGCATTCAGGGCGTTTTGGAGGAACAAACGAGTTCACATAGACTCGAGCAATTTAACAGGAAAGATCATGTTCATTCATTTATATCATCCAAACCTATCTTCGATTACTCCTTCCGCAAAGCCTTCATCGTACTTCTCATAAGATTAGCCGTACCCCGGCTCCCAATAGCATCCAACCAATCCAGCATATGTACGCGGTACTCCTGCCAAGAAATCTTCGCACCACCATCTCTCTCAAGCGCCTGCAACGCCTTCTGAGTAACTGGCTTCTGCATCCTAGGACGGTCCTCCGGAATCTGCTGTTCCTCTTCCAAATCCGCAAAACAAGCCGCAGAAAGATTACAGAACGCAGCATGATGACTAAGAGAAAATATCGAAGCAAGAGTGACATTGAAAGCGCTCTTACTATCATAATGTCTCGCAGCCTCATTGACACTACGCACATAGTTTGTGAGAGCGGTGGTGGTCGCTGCGGGAATCAGACAGCCCAACGCATTGGGATCTTCTGAGTTGAGAGCGCGGTTCCGCCAGATGAGGTTGCACATGTCCATCACGTAGCCGTTGAATTGGCCGACTAGATTGGTATCGTAGAGTGGTTCGGTCGTATTTGGTGATTTTAGCGTTTGAGAGGTGAGTGAGGCCTCGAAGGAGGATTTGTAGCCGGCTAGGATGGAGTTGAGCGTGGAGATGACGGAGATGCTCTGTGTAAATGCGATGGTGTAGACTGTTGCGGCTCGCGGGACCGTAAGTCGGATTTTGGCATTTTGAGGTGCGTGGGAGAAGAGATCTGCCATGGACTTGTAGAATCGAAGAACGGGCAAAGTGGTCGAGTTGACAGCGTCCTGCTCGTCCTCGTCGGTGGATGCGAATTCTTCAATTGACGAGGCGAGTAGTTCTGCGTGTGTGACGATTTTGCTCAGAGGAGCGGATTCTTCGGTCGGAACAGTAGATTTCTGGGTTCGAAGCTTGACGCCCCATTCGGATATCAGAGCTGAATAGAAGTCGAGCAGGTCGGTTCGAGAAGCGAGGGTTTCGTCCAGCAGGCTGGATTCCAATGTCGACAAGATACTCCTCTGGAGAGACTCGAAGGGCTCTATCGGCAGGTATTGAAGTAGTCGCAGAATCTCTTCTCTGTTGTCTCGGCCATTCCATACGTGGACGTAGGCCTCTAGAAAAGAGCGAACTGAGGGCAGAAGTTGCTGGATCGCATTAGTTATCTCGTTCACAATATGATTACATGACTGGTTCAAAGCAGTCACTTACCTTGGTAAAGGAGGCGTAAGCCTCAACTAAGCTGAGAACATATGATAATGCGTCTGGTTCATCACCGTCATCACCATTGCGGATCTGCTCCAACTTATCCTCCAAGAAACTCCTCAGCCACTCATCAAGACGATGATTCGCTGCTTCAGACTGGACCAGATGAAGGTACTTCTGTGCCATCGCATCCCCCAGCGTCGAGATAATCTGATTCGGTAGCTCCATTCGATCAAGATTGTCGACAAAATGATCAATGTCCCGGATCTCTTCCAAGGACGTCTGTTTACTCGACACTCGCGAGGTCTGCAGCACCGGAATAATCACCTCAAGTCTGCTCCGTTTCACCGCACCTCGATGAACAACCTGATATTTCGACTGCTGACTCGCCTGCGCCCTCTCCTCATTCTGATCCTGCAAGGCCTTCGCATGACTCGACCATTCAAGATCAGGATGCTTGAAGAAAAGCCCAGCTCTCCTCGACCCACCATCACCAACGATGATCTCGGGATAGTAGTTCTTGAAAATCCTCAAGAGACAAACAAGCTCTTTATCCTCGCCACCAGCATTCTGAATAAACTCCATCAGAGTCTGGATCCGAAACGGCTTGACGTGTTTCCGACGCGTTATAAGCGACAGCAAATGACAAAGCGGTTTCCGAAGACTGATCATATCCAGATGATTAAATAGAACCGCATAAAGCTTTCCCAGATGCGATTTATCTTCCAGCAGGTCGTATGCTAGGATCAGCCAGCGCACAAGCAGTGCCTGTGTCGCGGGTGTTGGCTTGGTCTTGTTGGGCCCGAGACAGCAAACCACCTGCGTGATATGCTTCGACAGGATACCCTCTTGGGGGTAGAGGTTCTTGATCAGAGATGTGACTGTTCCCTGGTCGAGATTGTTTTTTGCGGTCAGCACCTTCAGCAGACGGCCCAGCGCGGCTTGTGGTATGCCGTTCTCGTACGCGTCCGAGGTAATGATTCTGGCCAGTTCGCTGGCATCAGTGTACCTCTGCTTGACTGGCACATAGGCGACTGTCCTGTTCATTAGCCTGTGCCTTTCATGGTGTAATGATTGCGATTCATACCGGCTTCCAGGTGCTCCAGGGCATCGAGCAAGGTGCCTGATTCTTGGCCGCCTGCGAGCAAGTTAGTTTTTCATCAAGTGGTGTAATTTGTGGACGATTATTATTACTTACCTTCGTTCGTATCCATCTTGTAAGTGCAGATTCGCGGACTCCCTGCAACTGTGGTTTCTTCTCGGCTTTAGATGCGCGGGACAATCTGCATGCCCGTCCGGCGCGTCAACGCGTAATGGTCGAGCGCGCCTCTCCTCTTCAGTCGCGAGGCCGAGGACGTCTAGATGAAGATTAAGTATTGCGCTTTACTAATTCGAGGTAGGGCAGCGTTCGAATAATCGAGGAACGCGGGTTCTGTTGCGTTCGCATAGAGCAGCGAACGCGCGTCCGTTGGAGAAGTCGGCTTAAACCGAATCGGGCGATGCCGCGATCAACAACAATCCCGTCCGCAACGCAAAACTATGCGATGAGCAGAACTACGAATACCACTTATCATACACTATTCTAGGGTATACGGATAGAATGAATCAATTTTGACAATTTATTCAATGCTCTAAATCGATGATGCAATTTCATCGAATTTTTGAATTAAGTAACAATCTCAGGCACAGGGTTGATGCTGGTACTTGCGGGCCCCAATAAACCAGTGGCGAATATTGATACGGGCTCAAAGATCGGCTGCATCAAGACTGACTTTGACGGGGAAACGTTCACTTTCTCTTGCGAGTCGACTGCTTGGAGTTGCTAGCCTTGGAAGAGGTCTGGGTGGCCACCTCCTCCTTCGGCGCCTGCTTCACCTTCTTCTCGGAGTCTTCGGCGGGGGCACTCCCATCCTCTTCATCACTGTCACCACCCTGGCCGAACTCATTGACACGCTTGAAGTCGGTCTTGTATTTCCAGCTCTGGTACAGCCAGACGAAGAAGATCACGTCATCGCGGAGAGTGGCCAGACGGTGCAGCCACGGCATCTTGACGGTGAAAGCGAATAGGTCATCGATGAAGGTGTTTAGGAACTTGTACGCCATGGCCTTGCCGGGCATGTGGGCAACGGACTAGAACAAAAAGTCAGTACGCATGTTGGCTAGGTTTTGATCAATTTGAAACGCACCTTCAGACGGTAGTTGATGTAAAGGCTGGGAACCATCATCAAGAATCCGTAGGCGTAGACACTGCCAACGAGAGTCTCGATGATGTAAGAGTACCAGGACTTATGGGTGTTATACATCAGACTGTAACCGGCGTAGGCGAGAAGCAGAGGCACCGCGATGATGTAGAGGTAGCGGAACGCAATCTCATCATACTCCTTGGTGCGCTCCTCAGTCTCCGAGAGCTTGTGCTTGTCTTCAAAGACAATGACGAACGGCAGGAAGGAGAAGAAAGAGGTTGGAGACGGGGGACGCAGGCGAACGTCGACGGTCTTGGTGATTTTCCATGCTTCCAAGACAATACCAAATCCTTGACTGGCAAGAATCATCCATGAAGTGTTGTCACTGTTGTCCATCAGGTAAAGGAAGATAACTGCTTGCATAAACACGTTTGCCAGGATGGTGCGGACTGATGTGCCCACGTTATCCTTCTTCTTGCGCCAGTGAGACTATAAGAGAGGACTGTGTTAGAGCTTCAGTGATACAAAAATAGACTAACCTAGCTGGGGTACTTACGATATCGTTCTTGAAGGCAAGAGTCTCGAAAATCATGTGCAGAATAGTCACGACTCCAGTGGTACCCAGAAGATAGATGTTGGTGTCGAGAAGAATCTGCTTGACCATTTCCCACTCAGTTCCATCACCACCACCGGGAACAGGACCACCGTAGGCGGCCTGGCGGGCACTCTGCTTCGAGCCCTCGTCAACATTCGTGAGGAGGGTGAACTTCCAGTTGGCCAAGTTGTTCAGGGTGATGTGAAGCGGCACGGTGTCAACAGTGGAATTGAGTTCTGTCATATGGCTCTTCAACTGCCAGAAGGTGTTGAGGAAGAGAGTAGGGTAGTACCAGCCATTCTTGCCAGAGATATCGCGGGCTCCGGTGCGTTCCAACTGCAGATACTGGCGAGCGGGCGGCGGGATCTGAGCGAACCGCTGAGTGCCAGAGTCGGGAATCACAGACACAGTGAAGTTAGGGTGATAGTAAGAAACCGTGGAGACCTGCGGGGTATTGTCCTCTTCCTCTTCTTCCTCTCCCTCGGGGGAGGCCAGAAGGTTCTTGAGCTTCTTGGCCTTCTTCTTGGGAAGGTACTGGTTGAGCGGGCGAATAAAGTGGAGAGCGTTGTCGGTGGTATAATCCTTGGCAGCAGGGTCGATCTGGAAACCAGTGCGGGCCACAAAGAAGTGTGCCCAGAGAGTTCCATTCTGCTGCACCTGCTTCGGGACCTTGATGGTCGTATCGATTTCCCGGGTATCACTGTAGTTGCCGATGGTGAAGTTCTTCTCCTGCATCACCAGCAGGTTCTCAGACGACTTGATCGGCGGCGCAATCATCGAGGGCGTCACATAGATACTGATATCGAGGGCGCTATCGGTGGGCCAGATGGGGGCAATGAGCTCTGGCATCGCGCTCGGGTCGACGACTTCGCTGGGGTGAGGACGATCCACGAATGCGGGAATACCGCCAGGCTGAGCGCCGGACGTCGCATTCTGTTTGTTGCCGAAGAATTGGTTGATGCCAAATTGGACGAGGAGAAAAATTCCGAGACCCTGAAGGGCACCCTTGAGGCCGGACTAGATGATTGTCAGTAAATCTGCGCAGTCCCCCAACCGGAGCTGACAAATACGTACGTTGGACTCGGACTCCTGTCTTCGTGGACGTTGTTCGGACATGATGTGAGAAGACGGGGGGAGAAAAGAAGAGAAAGAGGCCAGCGCGGCGAGAAGGTGGTTAGCTTGCTGAAGCTAAGGGACCGTTGGGTGGGGCTTGGCATTCCGCCTGTTCTTTCATCCCAAGCGGGCAGATGCCGAAGTAAAAAATTTATTTGCATATTTCGACTCTCATATTTGCTATTTCAATCAGTCTAATTTTTTTTTCTATCTATTTTGCTGCATGTTCCAGTTTGATCTCGCCGTGCATTGCGGAATTATTGCGAATCGCGCCATTTGGGCCGGCAAAGCGGTAGTGCATCGGCTCCACTCGATACTCCGCAGTTCTCCGGACAAGCTCGTCTTCCGCAACACTCTGCACGCCCACCGCCGTCGCCCTCCTCTCTTCTGACAGTCATTCGACAGTCGCGCAAATGGGCGTGCTTGTGCGCCGGCGCTGACCCCCATGGACCCCCACCTCTCCCCCGAATCGCGCGCCCAGTTCCCTTCGCATAACGAACCGCGAGTATGGCTGATCACCGCGGGGGACTCGCCCATTGGCATCTCGGTCGCGCGGCAGGTCCTGGCGCATGGCGATTATGTGCTCCTGGGACTGGCGCATTCGGTTCTGGAACGTGATGAGCGCCGCAGAAATGGATTTGACGCTTTTCTTGCCGAAGTGGAGGAGCACCGCGACGAGGGATGGAAGCAGCGTATGAAGGCGGTGCCGTTGGATATCAGGTGCGAATACTGACCTCCCTGGAGTATACACAAGAGTGCTGTATGAAGCTATAATTTCGCTGGGTCTGGTGTGCTAACCTTGCGCGAAGAATGATGGGCGAGTGCCAGGCAGTCGTTGCTGAAGCAGTCGCGGCATTCGGACGAGTAGATATCCTCCTCTGCTGTACCAGTCAGGGTATGAACTATGAACCCTGATATGCATTCTCAAATATTCTTATACGAACAAGCACTCACACAATGTCGTATTTAGCTTTAATCGGTACCGTCGAAGAGCTGTCCGCCTCACAACAAACGTTGAACCTCGTCCGAGACCAATTCGAAGTCAATTACTTCGGACCCCTCAATATTATCAAAGCTGCGCTCCCACACATGCGCAGAGAACATACAGGACACATCATGATTCTGTCAGGAATCAGTATGACCATCTCGCCTCCAAAATAAATCAACATCTAACAAGTTACAGCGGCGCATATCGGTACCCCAGGTCTAGGAATGTACTGCGCAGCAGGCTGGGCACTTGAAGGATTCTGCGACGTGAGCAAAACACCTGACATAATCGACAATTACAATCAAAGCTAATCCAACCCAGAGCCTCGCCTACGAAATCGCCCCCTTCAACATAAAACTCACAATCTTCCAATGCAGCATCGAAATCGGCATCCTCACAAACCTTGTCACAAGCGTCCCCCCAATCTTCCCCGCCTACTCCCCAGCAAACAACCACGCCCCTCTTTTCCGGGGCATCCTAAACCACCTCGTTCCCCGACTCCCCGACGCCCCCTCCGAAGGCGTAACCACAAACCCCAATACAACGTCAGGCAGTCGGTCCAGCGAGCAAGACAACCCACGCGTCAGCTCGATCGAAAACGGACCATTCTCCAGCTCGGAGATAGTCTCCATGCACCCGCCTCTCAGCTCCGCACATCTGGAAGTTCTGGTTTCCGAGACTGTGTATGCTATTACTTCCATTGGAGGCCATGAGAATCCTCCGTCCAGGCATATTGTCGGTCAAGAGGGTGTTGCGAGTGTGAAGGAGAAACTGAAGACTGTTAGTGAGGAGTTGGAGGATTTTGTTCAAGCTAGCTTTGCGGTGGATGTTGCTGCTGATTCGGATCCGACGCCGCCTGCTATGGGGTCTTTTAGTGGGCCTTTTTGATACACAACGGTATTAGGAGTTTGCAAAAATAACTATCAGTTTATAGACTATCAGATCGTCTTGGTCTGCGAGGTTTACAATAGTATTGTAACAGTGAGGTACCGAGATGCTAGAACATGTTCCATTCGATAAGCTAATGCTCCCGCCAGCAGGAATAAGCCTGGGTTTAGACCGAATAAAAATGGCTATTGTGCCTGTTTGAAATTTTGAAGATTCCTGTGCACAGATGATTCCGGAACCAAAGTATGCAATACTGTTCAGATTGGTGTTGAAAAAGAAAAAAAAAATCACATGGAAATGAACGAGGCATCACTGGTGCTTGAGGTACCACTGATGTCGAACATCCCAGAGACTCCCTATGTCCTGGTTGTTTCGATAACAGCGGATCTCCTTCCACGCATTATTCGAGAAACGCGCACCTTCGGGTCGTCGTCCGTCCATGTCCACGATACATTTGGCGAAATTGGCTGTAGATGTGATGCCGTGGACGATTGTTTCGAGGGCCTGCTCGGCGTCCGCGGGCTTGGAGGGCTCTGCGGGCTTCTCCTCTGCAGGCTGCTCGGTTCCGTTGTCCATGTCCTCAGGCGGAGGTGTAAGCGGCGACATTGTGCGAGTGGAAAGTGGAAAAGACACGGGTCTGATATGATCCGTATCCTTGAGTCCGGTTTCATTTGCATCTTCATTTTCTGTCGCTGAGACGATATTGCCATTCTCAGGATTTTCAGCCCCATTGCTTTGAGCTGATGGCTCTGTGATCGCCTTTCCCTTTCCGTCCTCGGTAGTGGGCACAATTCGAGTCTGTACAGTATTTTCTTCCTGCGTGGTGGCTGCATCCTCCGCTTGCATTTTCTTGAGTGGTGCCGAGGGAGGCAGGTTGTAAATTCCCACTGATACGCTTGAGCTTGCGGGCGTGCTAGACGCAGTATAGGTGGCGTCCTGTTTGATAGCTTCCTGCTTGAAAGTCTCCTGCTTGGTATCTTCCTGCTCGGTTGGTGCTGGCTCCTTGATCAGGTACTTGAGAGGTCTACCGGCCCTTCGCTTCGCTGGAGGTTCTGGCACAGGCTGAGGGGCTGGGCGCTTGAGTCCATTGTTGGCCTGGCTACTTTCCCCTTTCGTGCTAGGAGGTTGTCTCACTATGGGAGCCTCAACCGACGAATAGGAATCGTAGTGTGCACCGGGCGTGTTTTCAGGGCCGTTTTGGTCTTTGACCGTGGTTTCCTGGGGCGACGGCTTTGTCTCCACGGTGTCAGGCACATCGTTTGCGGGAGCTTCTAATTTCTGGGGGTCCTCTTGGGCGCCATTTGCCGTTCCCGCGCAAGGCTCTGCGGGAATCTCTGTGGATATCTTCTCGCAAGGATCTGTGGTGTTAGGATCTGTTTTAATGTCGCTTTCCGGATCATGCTTCTTCGTGTCTGTTGATTCCTTTTTCATGCCTGTTGACGCCTTTTGCGAATCTGATGTGGTGATATCCGCTTTTGTTCCGTTTTCGACGATTGTCTTGGGCTCTTCCTGTAATTGAGAAGGAACAGAGAGGAAAGTTCGTGTCCCAGTCGGAACCACAAACGACAACTTCAAGCCTTTGATGTCGTGGATCTGTAATTGCACCGTTAGTTCACGCGCTCATTAAAATGGAAAAATGTGTTACAAATTACCCTGGCTTCCTTGTCAATACAGAAACGATCCTCCCCCTTGCCAAAAACAAAGCGATATCTCCAGACATCGCCGATTCTGACAACACCATCCTGGATAAGTTGGCTGAGTTTAACCTTTGCGCTTTCACCAGCAATAAGACTCATATCCATTTTCTGCTTTTGTCCCCAATATTCCTCGAATTCCTGCTCCTTAAAGGTATCGAAATCGCCATTCGCCCGCTGTTTACGAGCTTCTTCCGCTTGACGCAGCCACTCAGGATTGAAATGGCCATTAGCGAGGTCATCTTGGAATTGGCGAACACCATCGCGCCAGTTCATCGAGTAGCGCAGGAACTCTTGCGGAGGAGGCGGGATCTTCGCGTCCGGGTCGTCCTGTACAATCTCTGCCTCGGGGTGGACATCGTCGGGGAGTAAGGCGAGAATCTCGCGCTTCTCGCTTTCATCCAAGCAATTCCAAGCATCTGAGTCGGCAAACAAGCTCTAGAAAAATTTCCAAAGAAATCGCAATTAGTTCTTGCACTTACCTTTGAGATTTTGGGTCAGACAACACCTACCACCAGGTTTGCGTCCACCAGCTCCGATTTCGTGTCGGTCAACAGCCGTTCCTCGCTCCACTTCCCCCGGGGTGCAGCCTTTCTGGGGCTTGGTTTCGCATGGCTGGACGCCGCGACGGGTTCTTCAAGATTCATCGCCTGCTCGGGTTGGTCGCCTACATCGGCATCACGGTTTGGGCGATTACTGGCCCGCCTGGAGTGTAACGCGGATAGTTAGTTCAGTTCAACACGCAAGATCGCCGGAGCTTACCCCAACGTGCCGCCCGTTTTGCCGCCCACGACCGCCTTCTCCCTGGCCATTCTGCCGCGGCCGATTACACCAAAACACGCTTGCGGCCGGGGCTTTCCTTCTAGTTCAGACCACCTGTTGCCAGAATGGTGAAATCAACGCAGATTGCAAGGCTGGATGGTGAGTAGTTCGTGAATGAGTCGACGACTTGGTGAGGTTCGAATTCCAGGCTGACGTGAATCGCAACTAGGCCTTATGTTAGCTGCTTCCGTCGATGATGAACAGGTGAGCGAGGACAGTGCTGATAGTGCAGAGCATCTTGAAGCTTACCCAGTGCCTTTTTTACTCCAGGCTGAATCCGAGCTGTCGGAGATCAAGTCGCAATGCAAGATGATCTTCCGTCGACTGAACCGTAATGCTGCTCCGCAAGCTAGTATCGAGTCGGGACAGTACAACCTTCAGTAAGTGTGCACATGTGGGAGAGGAAGGTGGATGAGGGAAGTTTAATTGGGGAAGAAGAGAAATTGACGGTTTATCTGTAGCTACCTTATCCAAGACGAGATCTGCTTCCTTTGCGTCTGTGACCGGTCCTACCCCCGCAAACTCGCTTTCACCTATCTGGCCGATCTGGCGTCCGAATTCACAACCACCTACTCCCAGCAACAATACCTCTCGCCCACCCTCCGTCCATACGCATTCGTTGAATTCGACACCTTCATTCAGCGCACGAAGAAACTCTACCAAGACAGCCGCGCCTCCCAGAACTTGGACAAGTTAAACGACGAACTGCGCGATGTCACCAAGGTCATGACAAAGAACATCGAGGATCTCTTGTACCGTGGAGACAGTCTCGAGCGCATGGGCGAGCTTTCCGGTCGTCTCCGTGAGGACAGCAAGAAATACCGCAAGGCAGCCGTCCGCATAAACTGGGAATTGCTTGTGAAGCAGGTAAGTCGGTCCAATTGCATCATCCCCCGCCTGTGACAAATGCGCTAACAAATTCCTGCAGTACGGGCCTTTCGCCGGCGTTGGGTTCGTGGTTTTATTGTTGCTCTGGTGGCGATTCTTCTAATTCACAGCACTTTCCCCGTAGCCTCAATGGCTGCGTTTCCCGATTCCCCCATCACAATTGTATGAATGTATGTAGCTAGACGAATCGAATGTTACCTCCGGGTGAGGCCATGTTCAATACAGTCGTGGCATTTCGTAGGTACTCATAATTAACATATCTATATCTCATCCTCCTCTTCATCGAAATCATCTTCCTCTCCCATATCGTAGAGAATCCGTCCACCTTCACCCGGTCCGTCCCCATTCTGCGCATCAAAGTAAGGCAACACCACGCCCTCGCGCTCTCGCCTTTGCCGATCCGTCAGCCCCAACTCGAAAGTCGACTTCGGCTCCTCATCACCAGCACCCGTATCCGGCTCCATGGGAGGATTGTACAGGATATTGTCGTCGAGGAGGGTAACAACCTCCTTCACATGCTGCGGCGAATAACGCGACGCAGGCGGAAGAAGATACCATTCCAGCACTCCACGCCCGCTCTTCCGACGATGCTCCAACTCCAAAACAATGCCCTCCGCAGCACCAGTTCCGGCTAGTCGATCAAGACGTCCGAGAATGACACCGTCTTGCTCTTCGTCCAAGCCAAAGACTGGCGCGACGAGACTGCGGTCCCGTGCGGCCTTGTGCGCGAGGATGTGCGAGAATGAGTGCAGAGTGATAATGCTGGTGGCGAGGTAAGTGAGTATAGAGAGCGAGGATGGCGTGTAAGGATTCTGATGCGGGAGACCTGGCACGTCTGAGTGATATGTTACCACGAGCGAGGCGTCGGCTTTAGCCGTGGGGTCTTTGGGAGTGATGAATGAGCCCAGGAATGCAGCTAGTTGGAAGTTTGGGTCTAGCTTTCGAGAGCTCAGGAGGGGATTTATCGCATCGATCAGGATGAGACGGCCTAGTAGGCAGTTAGAAAGTGCACATCCAGTTGTAACAGATACTTGGGCCATGACTCACGTTGCGGTGGACCGGTTGTAGTAGCAGGCTTATGGCATTCAGCCACTTCCCTCATGATATCTGTAGGACTCTTGCAGCGAGTCGAAATGAACGCATCGACGCCATCTGGCTTGCGGAGCGTTTCAAATGAAATGAGAGTAACATGGACTTTTGAAAGCTAATTTAGTATTAGTCTCGTTCCTTCACGCTCGCAAGAGCATCGCCAGGTATCAATTACATCAAAATAGGGGAAACATACCTTCGCGCGTCTAATATATTCTTTGAGGAGGGGTGTGGCCGGTTGCTCCAAAGAGTCCAGCAGCAGGGTAAATGGCGACGCGGTATCCCTCAGGCTGAGCAGCTTGGAAATGAGGAGCATATTATGCGTCCGCCGATGGGACAGGTTGACTGGGGCCATGACGCTGGAGGCTGTGATCGGAGTGGCTGGTGCAGGGAGATGCGGATGAAGTGGGGTTGATCGCGTTGCAAAAATTTCGCGGTGGCTCCAACTCTTTGAGGCTCGACGGGCCGGGCCGCGACGTGCAAACTTCGGTTAGATTTCCAATTCCATTAGTAGATTTTGCAGGTATTTCGGGGCTGCCCAGAGTATTTCTCTTTCTTTGTAGTGGCATGCCTGGAGCTCTTTTCAGTAGCAGAGAGAAAGCTGTGTGAGTGACGTCATTACAGATATAATCGTAGGCGCAACCATCATAAGAACACAGATAATTTGAAGGCCTATTTCCATGGTCCAAATGTTCCTCGACAATCATTTATTTACATGTTAGCTAGGCCTAATCACCTGTTGTCAGTGTGTTCTGTATAGCATGGGTGTGGCTCCCTCGCGCATGGCGGGGTATGGACCTCGTCCCCCGAAGCTGGACTTGACGTTATACTTAGACCAAAATTTGGCAGCGACTACATTTACATCACATTGAAGAAATTTGGGAGCTTCGCCTGTTCCAGGTGCGACAGGCTCTGATTTCTGTGCCTACAAAAGAGAGTACCATATTAAGTCAGTATGGGTTTTACGTACTGTACTAGTAGTCAACAAATCTGCAATCGCAAACCTCAATTGCAGGCAGCTTGAGCCATGGCACAGTGGGCAGAAAATGGCTAAACGAAGTGGTGGTCATATAATGAAAGTTGTGGTTTATGTTCTTTAACAATGGGATAGTGCAGTGGTTAAGCTCACCGAATTCCTTCGGGTGCCCAGGTTCGAATCCTGGCTCCGACGTTGGTCGGAGTGGCGCAGTGGTTACCGCGTTCGGCTGCTATTTCCCAGCTTTCCATTGTTTTTATTTTTATTTTTGCATTTTTCTTCTCTTGAATTTTCTTTCCCTTGTTTCTTTACCATTCGATTTAAAAGATATGAGGAGCATTTGTGATGACTTGGGGACCTTTTACTGGCTCTATCAGGTACCCTCCTCTAGCATGCATACAATTGTATAATCAATTCGAATCATTTAATATTACGGAGCGAAGCGAAGCACTTTACGGCAGCAACCCGGGTCTTATATGGCATGGCAGACAGTTATGGCCGCTGATTTGTCGGAAATTGCCCCGCTATTTACAAATTGACTACTCACTCGCAACCAATTCAATTGGCTGTTCTGGGAAAGCTTGGCAATTTCTTTGCCGGTCGCCGCATACCGCTTATTACTCCTTAAGCGATTCTACCCAGGCTACTCAGTTTAGTCTCAGAAGCGCTATGGTGTTCTCGAGAAAACAGTGGAGATTGAAAAATCTGAAGTGCAAGAAATGATTCGAATGGTATCTCCATTCTTTATGTCGAAATACAGGCATTTATTAACAACTGCTAGCGGTAGACAATTACGATATCGCTTTTCTAATTATGGGTATCCTTGCTTCTTCGGAACTTGGATGAGCGAACGATCCATTACTAATTTCGGGAGGAATCATGGCGCCCCCGGGGCCCCGGGGGCTTTTCCAGGATGATCATGCATGAAGCATTATGAGATCCACCGGGAATATAAGAAGCCAGTCAAATGTCCGGGAACTAGAAATCAAATGGGGGCAAAATTGCAATACGAGGGCATCGTATGCACCCCCATGATCCACGAGATCACGCCTTGGCGCCTTACCTTGGCTGTTGTGATCATTTCATCTTTTCCGAATGGGTACATGGACGCCTATTCCTCGATTTTATCGAATTGGGATATCTAACCAGCTTTAAATTCTTTAGTCGCATTAATTTTCCAGGTGTTAAGATTATCGTTATCATGATACCAGGTGAAGCAGATATTGTCAGATATAATATTAAATTTCTTGGTGATTGTGATGTTCTGGACTAAGATTTTTCTTGGGGAATGGCGCAATGCCTATCAGAAATGCTTGTTCATGGAATTGCGCGTTGTGATTGGCTTCGCAATGTCCTCCCCTCGTGTTGGGATTCGATCATCCTGCGCGCGGTTTACCCAATGGTTTTATAAGCTTTGTAGTCCAACACGGACTAGCGCCACTTTGTATAGAGCATGGCTACTGGCTGCTTGTATGAGTGAATGAAAAGTGAAGTGATTCAAATTACCTTTATTTAGATACATTTGTCGTTCATAGGTGCTTTTAAGGGATTGTAGCTTGAGGTCTGGTATCCTGTTAATCATGCCTGGTATGCATTGTGATGGTTTCATGTGCGGCGGCAGAATATTCCAGTTTGAGCAAAATATATATCGTTCGAGTACGCTCATGAAGAATGTAGTGTGGTACATGTTTGTTAATGAGAATTCTCATTGAATCTTCACTTGTGATATTAATAGCAAGCTGACATTGTAGTTGATTCTAAGCTGAAATAAAGCAATCATGGGTAAGCGATATCTAATTATATGATTAATGAAGGGCACCGGGCCATCAGGCACCGATACCAGAACTGCGCAAATGGTGTACCCCCGTAACCGTAATAAACTTCTCAATTGCGACAGTTCACACCCTCTCCGACTTTCACTTCCCCTCATCCTCCGCAACCCCAAATCTCTCACCTGTTACCCTCACCTGTCATCCCCGCTCGAGTAACCAGCGAAATCCCATTGCTCAAACCAACACCCAGAACCACTGCGGCTCACGAGACAACTCGTTTGTCTCGTACCAACATGGCCGAACCACCGGCAAAACGCGCTCGCCGCACTGACAGCAGCATGATGTGGGACAAGGAAGATGAGAGAATTCGATCGCCCGATGCAGCTCCATCCCGCGACCGCAGACGGTCACCACCTCCCCGAAACGACCGACGCGACGGTGCCCGAGACAATCGCCGATTTCGCTCACGCTCCCGAGAGCGCTATGACAGACGGCGAGACCGCAGCCGATCTGGAGATCGTCGTGGGTACAGGGATCGCAAGAGAAGTGTCAGCCGGGACCGTGGCTCTGACCGACGTGGTATGTTCAATCCTCTGTGAAAGACGATATATGCATCACAAGATGAAGGCTAACTGAGATCTTCTGCACAGGATATGCACACAGAGACAATCGCGGCCGCGACAGTTCCGGCACACGATCCCCCCGATACGGTAAGTAAGATCCCATTATGGACGATCTGACCAGGACGTCCTGGGGCACCAGATCAATGGGTCTGAACAAATGGACGTAAATACTGACATTATTGAAGAGGACAAGATGGACGTCGATCCAGATGCCGACGAGAACGACATGGCGGAGGAGATGCGGAGAATCCTGGGCTTCTCTGAATTTCGGTCGACCAAGAATACCAAGGTGCCCGGCAACAACATCTACGGCGTGCGCAAGGAAAAGAAGATCGAGTACCGCCAGTACATGAACCGTTCGGGTGGTTTCAATCGACCACTCAGCCCGTCACGCTGATCACGCTTATGATCTGTCTTCGATTGCGCATGATATCCGTTGATACCTGGCTAGGTTAGTAACGCCTGGTTTTATTTTCTCTTCTGTTGTTCCACCTTATCATCTCAGCATTCATACGGCGTTATATTCCCGGGTTGTTCTTCATAAAATCTTTGACGACTAAGACACTGTAATCTAATTGCCACAATACGATTCAAAGCATTCTAGACATCGTGGTGTTTCCCCAAGTACTACGTAGTCATAACTTGTTTGGTGCAGCGCATACATTGACTGGATATGCGCCGCACATGACTGGGCAGGCCCAACGGCTGTGACGTAGCTTCCCTCGACCAACGCCGGTTCTTACATTTGCTCCTCACCACCCCGAATCCCGCACACAGTGGCTTCGTTACGAACCCTCTCCTCAAAGATTGTTCCGAGGGCGAAAATGTCTGCTGCAGGTGACCGTCGCGAGATCGTCATTGTTGGTAAGACAAGCCAGCTCCCCACCTTGCGATTTCGTACCCCGCGCCGACGCGAATGCGCTGACCACATTTCCCCCTCCAGGTGGTGGCATTATCGGATGCTGCTCTGCATACTTCCTCACAAGACACCCCTCCTACGACCCAGCTCGACACAAAATCACACTACTCGAAGCCTCCGATATAGCAGGCGGGGCATCTGGAAAGGCAGGCGGACTACTTGCGCAATGGGCGTATCCGAACAACCTCGTGGACCTCAGCTTTCCGCTGCACGCCCAACTTGCAAAGGAACATGATGGGAAGAACCGATGGGGCTACCGAGAGACCAATTGCGGCCAGCTGGTTGTCCGCGGTCGTGCCATGACAAACAAGACCGAGAAGAAGGGCGACTCGGGTGAATCTTTGCAGAAGCGCAGCGCGGCCGCCATGTCGAAGCTCAAGTCGTCTGGTATTCCCAAGGATCTGGATTGGGTCGAGCCTGACCTGTTGCGTGCTTATGAGAGTATGAGTGGTCCGGGTGAGACCGCTCAGGTTCACCCATACCTCTTCACTACGTCTATGGCGAAGCTGGCCGAGGAGAAGGGCGCGGAGATTATTCTTGGACAGGTTACGGATATCGCTCGTCCTGATGGCGCAGTTGAATCAGTTATCTATACCGATAAAGCTTCGGGGGAATCGCGCACCATCTCTGCTACCGACGTGATTGTTGCTGCGGGTCCTTGGACGAGCAATGTTCTCCCCGAGGCTCCTATTGCTGCTATGCGCGCACACAGTGTTGTCATTCGGCCGACAAGGCCAGTGAGTGCCTACGCACTGTTCACGAATATCGAGATCCCCGCCAACTTCAACCCTGCTAAGAAATCTCGGCCGACGGTTGCTGCGCCGGAGATCTATGCGCGTCCTGACGATACTGTGTACGCCTGCGGTGATGGAGACAAGGTGGTTCCGCTACCGCCGACATCTGCAGAAGTCGAGGTCGACCAAGAGCGCTGTCAAGATATTGTGGATCAAGTTGGTAGTATCTCGGATGAGCTGCGTGATGGCGCGGTTGAGATTCGCCAGGCTTGCTACCTGCCCAATAGCACTGGCTTCGGAGGACCGCTGGTTGGTTTGACGAACGACAAGGGTCTGTATCTTGCATCTGGCCATACGTGCTGGGGCATCCAGAACGGACCTGGTACTGGCAAGCTGATGAGCGAGTTTGTCTTTGATGGTAAGGCCAAGAGTGCGAAGATCGGGTCATTGGATCCTCGCGACCAGCTCTGAAAAAAGACTACATTGTGAATACTCAGACCACATAGCTAGTAAATTAAAACGAATATAGCATACTGCTTTAAATTGTGCACCGGACGGAATGTATACAGTAGCCGCCGCGTAGGTGGGGAGCTCGGGCCACGTAATTGCGGAGAGAACAGCAAGCTCCGCCTTGCAACCTGCCAACTGTCCGATGTCCATTGATGCCATGCAAAGATGCGACATCTCGGAATCTCCTCTCTCCTAACGTCGCTGCTTTACGCGACCGGGATCTCTGCCGCCCAGGATCCCAACGATGTCTCCATCCTGATCAACGAGGCCGCGCGCGCCAACAACCAGTCGCTGCTATGGGGCCCCTACAAGTCCAATCTGTACTTCGGGGTGCGCCCTCGAATTGCGAACAGCCTGTCTGCAGGCTTGATGTGGGCTAAGGTCGATGACTTTGCCACGGCGCAGCAGAGTACGTTTTTATGCTTTCTCTATTCAGGTCAATCGTGGACAAATGCTAACACTATTGCAGACTTTAGACATACCTGCGAACAAAATGAAGGCATGGCCGGGTACGGCTGGGACGAATATGACGTGCGAAAGGGCGGACGCGAAACGATCCACGACGCGGGAAATCAATTGGACCTCACGATCGACTTCATCAAGGTCCCTGGCGGCCAGAATGGAGGTAGCTGGGGTTTCCGCGTGAAGGGTACTCCACGCGAGGACGGTAGCGAGCACCAGCCGACCTCAATGATTTTCTATACCACACTGGAGGGGCTTGGTGAATTGAGCGTCGATCCAAATACGGTGTCGGCCAGCTCGCCTCTTCAGGGCGACCTGAAGCTCAATGGGTACTCTTCGGAGCTGGGTGATTTCTCCATTGATGTCACCTCTGGTCCGGACAGCAATGAGTATTTCTTGCATGATCATGCTACCTATGAGGATAAGCCACTGGGTCAGGGTATTGTGTCTAGTGCGACTATGCCGCAACAGCATCTTTGGCAGGCGAAGGGTATGTTCTTGTGCAATGAATAAGGTATTTGTGTTCATGATATTGATGTGTCTCAGGTATTCTTTTTACTCAGATGAAGGGTGAAGTTGAGAAGACTATCAACGAGTATGGAACGGACAACCCGCCGCCCCCAGCTCAGTTGTTTACTATTCCCCATGTTCCTGGGGGAGGGTAACGTCCACATGGTCCAGAAAGTCTTCACCGGCGCATTCGAGGTATGAATAACTTGTGGTCGACCACCACAAAGAGGAGATGGCTAATTTTCCTAGTTTGATGTCCTGTTCTCCTCTGGCTCAGCTCCCAAGCCCATGACTTGTAAGTCCATCCTACAACAAATGACCCTCAGATCTAACAAAGTGTCTAGCCGAGACCATCACCGAGGAGCTCAAGAAATCCTCACTATCCTTCTCGGAAAGATTCAATGAAGTCTTGGAGCCCAAGGCGCCGTTCAAGGCAAAGGAGTATACCAAATTCTCCAAGGCTATGCTCTCTAACCTGATTGGTGGTGTTGGATTCTTCCACGGCGACGACGTTGTTGACCGTTCCGGCTCTCCGGCATACGATGAAGAGAATGAAGGCTTCTGGGAGGAGACTGCAGAGGCAAGAGCTGCTGCGAAACCGGTTCTGGAGGGACCCAAGGATCTCTTTACTTGTGTCCCCTCTCGGCCGTTCTTCCCCAGAGGTTTCCTTTGGGACGAAGGTTTCCACCTGATGCCCGTCATGGAATATGACTCTGATCTTGCGTATGTCAACCGAATCCTAAGATATATACTGAATATGCCTTGACATACTAACGTCTGCAGGCTTGAGATCATCAAGAGTTGGTTCCACCTGATGGACGAGGATGGCTGGATTGCTCGCGAGCAAATCCTTGGAATGGAAGCTCGCAGCAAGGTTCCCCAAGAGTTCACCATCCAGTACCCTCATTACGCTAACCCTCCCACCCTTTTCATGGCTCTGGAAGCCTTCATGGACAAGGCCAAGGCCAACAACAAGAGCCACCAGCCTGGATCCCTCGACATCCCCGATCTGGCCGAGGATCTCCGCACTGCGACCTTAAACAATCCCGAGCTGTCCGATGCCTACCTTCGCTCCTTCTACCCTTTGATGAAGAGACACTACCACTGGTTCCGCAACACCCAGCGTGGTGACATCAAGGGATATGACCGCGAGGCCTTCTCAACCAAGGAAGCCTACCGCTGGCGCGGACGTTCTGAGCAGCATATCCTGACCTCTGGCATTGACGACTACCCCCGTGCCCAGCCTCCTCACCCCGGTGAATTGCACGTCGACCTTATCAGCTGGATGGGCATGATGACCCGTACTCTGCGCCGCATCGCCGAGACTCTGGGCGAAGAAGAGGACGCGGAAGAATTTGCTTACTACGAAACCGCCATCACCCGCAACATCGATGATCTCCACTGGAACGAGAAGGAGCAGACTTTTTGCGACGCTACCATCGACGAGTTCGAGGAGAGCGTCCATGTCTGCCACAAGGGCTACATCTCTATATTCCCCTTCCTGACCGGCATGTTGGGCCCTGACAGCCCCCGTCTCAAGGCCGTCCTGGACCTGATCTATGACCCCGAAGAGCTGTGGAGTGAATACGGTATCCGCAGCCTGAGCAAGAAGGATAAGTTCTACGGTACCGCGGAGAACTACTGGAGAAGCCCAATCTGGATGCCTATCAACTACTTGGTGGTGAAGAATCTCTACGTAAGACCTTACCTTTCTTCAAAATTTTGTTCTGAAGCTGACTTTCCTTACAGGATACTGCCATCACCTCTGGCCCTCACCAGGAGCAGGCCCGGGAGATGTACTCCAAGTTGCGGAAGAACCTGGTCGAGAACATCTTCAAGGAATGGAAGGAGACCGGATTCGCCTGGGAGCAGTACAACCCCGATACCGGCAAGGGCCAGCGCACGCAGCACTTTACCGGCTGGACCAGTATGGTGGTGAACATCATGGCCATGCCTGACCTGGCCGAGGGCGCTGACAGGGCTCATGACGAGCTATAGGCCATTTGAATGGCTAAGCTGCACCCTAGACTTGACTTATCGAGTCCCAGAAATTAGACAAGTGATGATTCTTGTATCCATTGTAAGCCCGATATAAAAGGCCTTGGAACCGCATTGCATCTTGGGCTGTACCTCGTTGCTAAAATTACAATATTGGAAATTATTCATAGGTAGTGTCGGAAGCCACCATTTTCAGCGTACTATTGATGGTCTTAAGAATCCAGCCGTTCTCAATTCCTTGGAGCCCAAAAACGCCGTGAAATTATATTGGTATCAAAAAGGTTGTAGTCGTGTTTTAGTCGCGGCGATCTCGGCTATCTCTGCGTCGTTCCGCATGGACTCGACGCTCTGCTGGAGAATAACTGCGGTCAGCTCCTCGATGTCGACGCTCGTCGTCTCGGCGGCCATGACGATCTCGTGAACGAGAGCGGGATCGTCTCCTGCGATGGTGGTCTCTTGACCGAGACCGGTGTCGATGGCTGCGATGATGACGATCACGATCCTGGTCCCGATCATCGTGGTGTCTGCGGTGTCGTCTTTCCCGATCTCGGCCACGGTCATCACTGCGATCCCTCCGTCGCTCTCGGCGGGGACTGCGACTGCGATCCCGTTTGTGTCTCCGATCTCCGCGGGATTCCCGCCCCGGATTGTCCGCTCCAGATGTACCATCATGACCGCCCAGTGGCGTCAGGTTGGCATTCTCTGCGGCTTGGGCCTTTGGCGGCAAAGGCAACCCCAGCGCGCGAGCCATGGCTTCCTCTTCGGCATCCTTGACTCGTTGTCGTTCTTCCTGCTGTTGTCGTGCCTTTTCCTCCTCGTCGCCTGCTTCGCCCTTGGCATACCATTGGAGATCTCGGCCCTGCTGCCACCGTCCGACCGGGGCCATCACCGAATGACCTAGGTAGTTCTCGCGATGGGTGGAGTTCTGGACATCGGACCACTTGAACTCGCCGCGGCCGCCGCTAAAAAGACGACTCAGTCAGCTTTCCAATCGAACAAATGCAGAAAAGTAAAACAAGAACTCACCGGCTGCCTTCTTTGCGGATGCCAGCCACCAGATCCATGATGTGCGCTGAGTTCACCGTGGTGTGAAGGAGGAGATGTCCGCGTTGAAGAACAGCAGGCGGTGAAAAGTGGATTTCATCATGGACTGCTCCACCTCCCCCACCCAAATGTCTATCGGATAGCGAGAGCTGCCCTTGACCATGTCCACCTCCCATACAGATGCCGCTCATGCTTCACATCCCTGCGCCGCTCGGTCCTTGGCAATGACAACGCTACCTCTACCTCCCCCCGCTCAACTCATCGCCCTCCACCCCGACCCCAGGCTGTCCTCCTGTCGTCAACTGGTGGCACACGCGCACCCATAGCTTGGGAAATGGCTTCCCCAAGCCCCGGGCGGCTGGATTGGACAGTCGGCTCCGATGGGAGGGATCTGCACCGGATACGCCCGCGCATTCAAGCTTTACATGTCGAGAAAGAAGAAGATAGAGTGAGTGTCGTCTAATCTCACGTGAGAAACTGGAGCTAACTGGAGAAGTACTCCGCGTAGGTGACGAGCAATATCTGCTGTTGGGAGGCACGGGGTTGACATGAAATTTTAGGAAAAACGATGAATTTGGCCCTCCGATAGCTACATGGAGGAACAACCTGGTGAGTACCCATTGTGGAAGCTCGTACGCGGCGGGTATGATACCTAGTACTGATGGCCAATCTGAGTGACAGTCCGCTGCCTCTCAGCGGCGGAACCTCATCTTCGTAGCGCACCGCAGTGATATCTATGTTTGGATCCCGCAGGGCCCGCTCCAATTGCTGGGATGCCAACCTGAGATGATCATCAAGCCGATCATGAAGGAGCCGCTTAATGACGGCTACATCGATCGCGTCCACCCGCACACGGTCAACAACATCATCGTGGATGACCTTGGCCGTGACGAAGTACTGTTGCTGGCAACAGACTCGGGCAACGTCTGCGGCTACCATGTGGAGGCGATCTACTCCGCGGTGAACCGGTGCGCAAGAAATGGCTCTACACGGCCCTTTGACGGCTCGGAAGCGAGTCCCTTCTTCGTGGAGAATGTAGGGATGAGCGCCTGGGGTCTGGCAACCCATAAATACGCTCGCCTGATTGCCGTCAGCGCCAACACTGGCCTCATCACAGTCTTTGCTTTTGCTTTGGTTGATCCCGCTGCGGAGGATAATGATGATACACTCGACGATGCAGACCAGGTAGACCAGACCTGGGTGCCTGTGCAAAGCAGGAAACAGCTTTATGAGCTGCATCAGCTCATGCCACGGAGCCATCGAACACGGAACCTGCGATTAACTTACAGAGGCCATTTCGATAATATCCCTTGTGTTTCCTTTGCCAACTTCGACCTTAGTCCTAATGGAATGTGGATGGTCAGCACCGATATCAGCAATCGACTCATTGTATGGCGTATCTGGGACGACCTCTGGCCATCACGGGTTTATTACCCTGGACATCCAACGAATAACCCTCCTCAGCGCGGCTGGTCGGTGATTCCTCTGGATCCGCGGACCTTCAAACCGTGTGAATCGATAGAAGAGGCATGTGGATGCAAACCAGATGCACAAACTGTAGCGCAACGGACCATATTGGACACGACACGGAGCATCGAGGGTGTTCGTGATGCATCTCAGATCTTCGTTTATGGCTTCAAGCATAGGGATTCGAGCCGAGATGTTGCACCTGCTCTCATACCGGACGAGATGTTCTCTGATTGTCGAGTTGGTGAAGATAACCGACCGCGTTCCTACATCTGCGTCGAGCAAGGTTCTTTCCCGTGGGATTCTGAAACGGTGTACGGAGTGGATGGAGGAAGGGACAGCAATAGTGTTGCTGTGACACCTGATTCTGCCGTGGGAAACGAAAAGCGGTTCTCGACAATTGAAGATGGCATTGGCTTGAGGCATTTTACGAAGACCAAGCGCCCAGTGTCGCCTCTGATCGGCGAGGATGACTATAACGACCATCAAAAGGTGCCACCCTGCTTGTATCCAGACGGATCCCTGGGCGACCCCGATCCTTCTCTTGCCTTGATGAGGAGCAAGGCGCACCACCGTAAGTCCAACCTCCACCACGGTTCATACTCGTCGCAGATAACCAACACGTACCATATCCACAGCCCCTCACCCTAATTTCTTCCCGGTAATCCACTTCTCCGAGCACCATATCAGTCTGGCCGCCTACCCCATGGACTCAGAATACCAAATAATCTGCCGATCCCCGCTCTTCCAACGAATGTCCCTGCACGCAGAAATAAGCTCCCTCTGCGACCGCTTCAACATGGTAAAATACGTCCCTGAGCTCGGCCTCGTAATAGCCGCATCACAAAAGGGCCGCGTCGCCATAATATCTCTCACCTGGCACGAAGAAATCGGCTCCACATTCCGACTGGATTGGATCGTTCCCTTCTCAACGCAAGAAGCGGAGGAAGAACGTCCCATCATCCCACTACTCGGCATCACCGTCAGCCCGATGCCAGGATTCGAAATCCCCCAAGACGTCCCTTGTATCCCCCGAGGCGTCGACCCAACAAACTGGCAAACATTTAACTACCGTATCCTCAACCCGGAGAACGACGACAACGACAGCGATGGAGAGAATCTATCCTCATTATCGTCTGCAGACTCCGAAAATCAGGAAACATACTCCGCATCGACCATCCAACCCCAGCCACAAGAAATCAAGCCAGAGTCCGACACTCACTCTGCAAACCACAAACCATCCGCATCCAACTCCAACTCCACAGACAAGGAACCCCTAACCTTACCCGAAGCACACGCACAAGCCTCACTAGCATACCGACCGCACGAAACGTGGCATGGCTGGCATCCATCCCGGCACTATAGGTTAATGCTGTTGTATTGTGATCATACGGTCATGAGCTACGAATTCTGGCACGACTTGAAGTGCTGATTTCGTCAACATCACATCTTCTCTCTATCTCTATACCGTGGTACCAGCTCATTGTTCAATTCTGGCGTCAGTATTTCGTGGATGTTCGAAGCTGTATTTAGCATTTGCATTTTGTATGAATATGGATATGGATATGATCCGATTTTCTTACTGGTTCCTAGGCCTGGATTGTACGAGGATGTGAAAATGGCAATATGCAAGTAGGTTTTTTATTTGGTACATTTCATGGACGCCGTCTACTTTACGAATGCAGGGATGGAGCTGCACATTAGTCTGTGATCTACCGAATATAGTATTTTAGAAGTAATTGATTGGCGCATCGACCGAATAAATTCAAATGATATCTAGAAGGTACAGAAGAAGAGACCCGCTAAAAGCCATGCTATTGTATGGAAAAGAACTCGCGAGAAATGAAGGCTTGAAGCCAATCAAATGAAACTAGATGAGGAAAAACCAGAAAAGCAAAAACCAATGCAAAAGTCAAATGAAAACTGATTGTCATGGCTGCATCGTGCTCATTATTTTCGTCGCTCATTGAAAGAGTATATGAAAATGGTCAAAGTGAAAAAAGCGATGACCAGCGTTTGTTGGCAAGGCGGCATTTTTTGCATGCGTATCGGGAAAGCATCGAAAGATGAAGTCGTGAAAAGATGAAGGAATTAGAAGTCCTCGTCATCCAAGTCATCCAGCTCATCGCTATCCCATTCATCTTCTCGATCATTCTGGACCAGTTCAAGGAAGTGCTGCAAGCCAGCATGGAAATCCCGGATTTCTCGCTGCACCCCGTCGCGTCGGATAGGACGCTCGCCAGCCTGTCGTCGACGGATTTCAGCAATCGCATTAGCCTGCGCTTGGCGTTCTAGAGCCGCCGCGCGAGCCGCAGGGTCGGCGGGTCGGCCATTGGGACCGGCCTCTCTTGCGATATCGCGGGGCGCGGGTGGTGGAACGGGAGCTGGCGGTGGCGGCAGGTGGATGTGGTCGTTTTCATCGCCGTTCTCCCATACGTAGTAGTCACCGCCATCACTATCATCCCCGGCCTCATCGAGTTCGTCATCAATATCATCCTCATCATCAAACACAATAAGTTCGGGTGGTACCTGGTGAAGGGCTTCGGCGCCGTCTGGATCGAGTCCATCGCCGCCTTCCAGTTCCCAGAGGCGATTGTAGCAGCTACTGTCGGCGCGGTTGAAATGTAAATATGGGTTCGAGGGATCCAGCCAGCTGGAGCAGAGATAGCAGAAATGAGCGTCGCATTGGAAACAGCGCATGTGGTTGCAGCCCATCTGCTTCTGGCAGGGAACGTTGCAATGCGGACACGGTGTTGTGTAGAGGGCGAGGTAGTGCTGTGTCGCTTTCTCCTCTTCTGACAACTCTTCTTGACGGCGAGGTGCGATACAGCGAACGATTTCACCGTGCCAACCTTTTCGACAGATACTACAGAATGCGTAGCCACAGTCCTCGCAGATCGCTAGTCGGTCTTCCACTGGGGGCAATTGTGTGATCTCGGCAGCTGGTCCCTCATCATCATCGGACGCATCGTCCTCATCGGCCATGGGATCCGCTGGTTTGGGGTGGCGATTAGACCGAGCTGCTCCCTGGCACCATTGTCGTGGGCAATAGACGGTAGTCTTGTCGGCCTCGATCTGCTTCTTGCGCCGAAGGAAGACATACCGCTTCACAGTCTCGGGGGCAATAGGAATCTGGAGAAGTTCGCTAGGAGAAAGAGTTCGGCGCTTCTTCCGACGGGGCGTGTCGCCCTCAGCCCCAGTCAGAGGCGCTGGACTCCGGTTTCTGTCACAATCTGGCGCGAGGCATTTCACGCTGTCCACATCGCCTTCCTCGATGCATGTGTTGTAAAAGTCCTGCAGACAAGAAACACAGAAAACGTGGGAGCAACGCTGCAAGCGGTAACAGATGGCTCCTTTTTTAGGCTCTAGGCACACTCCACATTCAAAGGTCTCCTTCTCGAACCTTTCCCTCTCCGTCTTGTTGTTGAATTCCAACAACGCAATTTTGAGGTCTTCTGAGAGACACAGCTCGCCATCGGGGGTATCTTGGATCCCAAACGCCGACTCGGCCTGTTGTTGGATATGATCAATATAAGTGAAGACCACCATATCCTGGCCGCATTCTTCCCAGAGTCGTTTGCAGTCGTGAGTCAATCGGTCGAGTGTTGGCGTTGGGAGCCATGGTGGGTTGGTGCTGAGGTGGACGACGGGAGGCTTTTCCGCGGGATATCCCTCTGATAATTCAATCTGAAGGCTCAGCGGGGGTAGATGTAGTAGAAAATGAACATCCCGCGCCGCGGCCGGATCTAGCTCGGCTTTGTTGCCATCCACAGAGGTCGGAGGTGTCAGCGCAGCGGGGAGCCCAGGATCGAGTGGCCGTTCGAAGCAGAATCGGGTCGGTGAGGGTAAGGTGACCGGAAGTTCTAGCGATGCTCTAAAAGGCGACGCAGGGTCGATCTGAATCTCCGGGTAAATGGCGGCGATGGTGGACAACTCGACCGAGCGGTCGTCTTCGGTCTCAAGATCGGCCATACTGCTGGTGGCGGCGACCTTTGAAAGTTGAGCGTCGGAAAACGTAAATTCCGGTGAGATGAAGTTGATACGATCTCCTTGCAAGCAGCCTCCGCGTCTCAAATCTTGGGTTCGTCAGGAGCGGAGGGTCATAGCTTGCGGGCGCCAGCGGATTGCGAGTAGAGCAGTCTGACAGGTGGTGATGGATATGCAGTGAAGTGGCGATTGGGCAGAAATGGGGAATTCCCTGTAGAACCCACGCTGTAAATAAGCGCAGTGACAGGAACCCCCCGGACGGTGTGGCCAACGCTCAGGGGATTCTGGAGCGGCCGTGGACTATTCGCGCGCGGTGGTGTGCTGGAGCTGGAGAGGGGTCTATGGAATGATGTAACTGGACGGGCGTGACAGTGGAAGTATAGAGCGGGTAGAAAAACAACGACTGCGTCATGGTTTGGAGTGAAGGTGGCCGGTGGAAAAGGACGAGAGGTGAATGAGGAAGAAATCCCCTTTGGGTGCCTGATGAATTTTTTGTGTCATCGCGCCTTCCCCTCCAAACGCTGGCTGCTTTTTGCCGTATCTCTTATCGCCCGCCCGCCTTAAAGCGGCTCCTGCCAACCTTCCGTTTCCACCTCCCTCCACGCTGCTCCACGCTCGAGGCGCGCTGGGGTGTTCATTATGGATACTCCGCTGGCCTCGCTATCGCTGACCCATGTTCACTACGTAAGTGCCTACCCATTTACGAAGCCGATTTCGGGCGACCATTTAATGTCATACTGACCAACACGCCCAGAACCCCGAGGACCCCTTGTCCCTCGTGTCGGCCTACCTCGCTCTCATTCCGCAGGCCCTCTGCGTATCCTATGCAACACTCGTTTGGGCATCAAGAGAGATGGAGGTGGTTCTGATGTTTGCCGGGCAGCTGGCCTGTGAAGGACTGAACTTTGCGTTGAAACGCATCATCAAGGAAGAGCGACCACGAGGTGAGTCCGGCCCAGTCTGAAATATAAGCTATAACCAAACCATGGTTGGGTACGGACGACGCATAGATCCTGACATCGTGTCGCTAGAAATGTTCGGCAAGGGGTACGGAATGCCCTCGTCCCATGCGCAGTTCATGACATTCTTCGCTGTTTACTTGTCCCTCTTCCTGCTCCTCCGACACACCCCATCCTACGCCAGTGCCTACCCCTACTGCGATTTCATACTGCGCGGCGCATTGACGGTCGGCCTCTGTGCTGGGGCGGTGGCTGTGTCTGCTAGTCGTGTCTACCTGAACTACCACACGCCCAGACAGGTGCTGGCCGGTTGTGGAGCAGGCTTCGTGTGCGCCTGTGGTTGGTTCGTGATCACCGGTTTGCTTCGACGTCTCGGCTGGATCGATTGGGCTGCCGACATGACGGTGTCGCGTCTGCTGCGCGTGCGAGATTTGCTCGTAAGTGAAGATCTGGCCGAGGCCGGCTGGCAACGCTGGGAGACACTCCGGTTGAAACAGCGAGTCAGTGAAGCGCGCAAGTCGGATTAGATGAGACATGCGAATTTTCTGTAAATCTAGCATACAGCAAGCACATAATCGGGAATTCATTCTATTTAGCCTAGCGAACTCGGCGTAAACCCTTCAAGGTGAAATTTGGTCATAGCCAAGACAAATACCAAGACCTGTCCTAAGCTTGTCGACCATCTTGGCCAATTACTGCTATTTTTAACTTGTTCCATACACAGTCTGCTTAAAGCCATGACTGGCGTACTTGTCCACATATGATAATTGTTTACCCAGTTACTACCCGAACACCCCGATCACTACCTGGTCTGTATGAAATAGTGTATACCCGTACACGAGATCGTCTACAGAATTACTTGAGACGCAAGAGGGATCTGGGCAAATAAATCTCTCAGGAATTTTCCGGTGAGTCTGGGCCTCTTCGTATATATTGCATTAACTGGACAGGGCATAGTAGTAATATCCAATGCATCCTATCATCATGATGCTCCGGGTTCCTGGCTCTTTTTGACCTTCTGCCTGAGTAATATGGCCACAAGATTCGTTCTGGATAACTAACTAACTCGTTAACTAATGCGACCTATGATTGGCCTTGGGAACTCAAGGTTGAATCCCCAAAGTCACGTGCAACAGCTTAGAATATCACGTGCTGATTATCGATTATCGCCGCTCTGGCAATATTGCTCTCCGCCCAGCGCGGTGTGTTTGGCGTCGACCGCATCGCGCAACGATCGAGCCCTCCGAGGCCCGCTCGACTTCAGACTCGATTCGACCCTCTGCTCCTTTTCTTCCACCCTCATGTTCCGACCTGCCTGACGCGACAACACTTTCTCGGCTCTCCCCAGTGCTGCGTTCCCATAACAACTGCTCTGCTCGTCCGCCATGGACATCCCGCCAGCAGCTGCTGATGCGGCTGATGCTGCCATGCCCGAGCATCATATCGTGAAAGCCGACGAGGTGGATCAGACGGGAACGGATATTTCACCCGTATCCGATGATCAATTGATGGAGGAAGTGGCTGAGGGTCTGCGACAAGAGCAGGCCGAGCAAGCTGCTCCGAATAAACAAACGACCAAACCCGAACAGATTCCCAAGCGACCCGCAATGCATCGAGAGAATTCCGCACCTCCCCCGCCTCTGCAACCACCTCCCCCAGCTCCCGTCCAGCAAAATGCTAATCGCCCTGCGGACTCCCTCAGTCTCGCCCAGCTGCGACAGCTCATGCAAGAAATGCCCAAGGTAGAACAGCCCGCATATGCATTCGAGTATGCCGATGCACAGTCGTTCTCGGATGAGATTGAAGAATGGTTCCAATACAATGAGTTTGATCGCGTGATGCTCCTCGGCATGAAGGCCACTTTCGACCGCCAGTGGAACGACTTTCGTTCGAAGCATGCCTCGGAGGCCCCTGGACTATTGTGGGTAGATGCTCCGGAGGATTCACGTCGAACTTTCATCCAGCAATCTCTCGAGAGGACTACGCATCTCGATGTAAGCGTGCGTCTGGAGGCTCTGGAGAACATCTGCTACGCCGTGACAGGCGTCTGGGGATCTACCGCGGGACGAGTTGCACCGGATTTCTCTCCCAGTGCGGACCCCAAAACGGCAACCGAGACTCCCCGAACCAAATCTCTTCAGATTTCCTGGATTGAACGGAACGTCTCTCTCCTTCAGGAGTGCTCTGGAATTCAGCTCCTAGTCAAGAGACTGAACGAAATCTTTGACAAGAATCGTGCTTCTTTCGGCCCTGATCCAGATGGGCTTGAATTCGAACGGCTCAGTGTGGGTGATATCGCGGCACCAGAACGTGAAGCCAATCTGCTCCTCACTTCGCTGTACTTTGCCGTTGAAGTTGGCCGTAGACAAGAGGCCCAAGACTTCCAGAAAACTTCGATCCGCGACTCGCTGGCTGACTCAAAGCCCTGCCTGCTGGTAACTATCGTGGAGATCATTGCTCGTCTGCGATGGGACGAGTCAGCAAATATCCCACTCACCAGAATCATTCTTCTGCTGTGGAAGACCTTGCTTCTTGTTTTCGGTGGCAGTGATGAACTGAAAAGAGCCAAAGAAGTTCTGGAGCCAAAGATGGCCACTGAAGTCGACCCTAACCGTCGGACGCCCTTCTTGACCGCGTCTCCTCTGGAGTACCATGCCTTCCGCCAGGAGATTACCTCAAAATATCCCGCCTATAAACCGCCTCCCTCCATTCTTCCTCTCGAGTTCGACTGCAACTCAATTCTTCCGCCTCTCCCTCGGCACACTCACAGGACAAATGCCGCGGGTAGTCTTTTCGGCGGGGTTGGCCCGTCTGTTGCTAGTAACAATGGCTCCATTCTGCAACAGTCTGTCCATATTGCGACCCCAGCCCCATCTCCACCCCCTTCGCCTATCGGTCCCGGTGGGAAGGCCGGAAAAAAGCAGAACTATCAGACCAACCAAAACTTCCCGCTCATGTACCCCCCGCTCGACGAATCGAGTAATTTGATCGGAGGCAAGGGTTCCACCGCACTCCAGGATAAATTGGTTGGAAGGAAATGGGAAGGCAGTGATGTTCCTGCGTCAATCGTCGAGGCTGGTACGCTTTTCTCGACCCATGTGAAGATGACTCGAGCTATTCAGCAAATGTGGGACGAGCGTCAGAACTTCATGAAATACGATCGCGGCTGGGACTATGAGCCGCCGAAAAAGCCCTTCAGAGAAGAGGTGGATGATCCTAACATTCAGCGACGGCTTGATGCCGTGGAAGGCTTCTACGTGAGTGTCACGGCTTGATTTGTTCGATTGCATCATTTACTAATGCCGTTTATAGACTCACACCCTTGCCCACCTCCAATCCATTACCATCGTTTTCCTCAAGATTATTCTCACCAACGTTAGCGCCGTTGTTAATCAGGCGAACTGTTCAAGCGCACAGAGCATGGCGTACGTATACTCCGTCCCAGCATGCTACAGGGTACTTATTCAAAAACGCTCCAGCACTAGCCAAGGTTTCAACGGAGCCGGATCGTTTGTCCCTGAACTGTCCATCGATGAACTCGACAATGTCCGCCTCCGAGAGATCACTGGAAAAGCCGTTTCTGGAACTTTACTTCTCTTGCTGAAATGGTTCAAGCGTTCGCGTACGTCGAAGTGTGAATGATATTGATCTGAGAATATACATCAGACTAACACGCCACAGACATCTTGAAGTTTGAATACATGACACAGCTTTTGCTCGATTCGAATTATCTTCCTCTGATCTTGAAAATGTTCGCTCACCAGGACATCGATCAGGCGGTCGCGCAGAAGAATGACCGCGAGGACCTAGCGTAAGTGTGCATTTGTTGAACTTGATGGCCAGCTCTAACTCCTGAACAGATTCTTCCACTTTTGTGCTCAGAACTCCGACCAGCCTGTTGAGGCTGGAGACACCACCGATGGAGATACTGAAAGCGAGGATGAGGCCGCCCCGCCTCCAATTTCTCGCCACCGCCCGAACCCGGCTGGCGCCAGCTCGGCGCTATCACCCGAGGAATCCATCGCGGATGTCCTCGATGGACCGGCACGCCCCGAGGTTGACGAGCTAGGCTATCCTACCGCTCCGCTCCCGAAGGAGCCGATTGCTGTCTTCTCCTTCCGCAACTTCTTTTCTGCCATCAACTACCTGCACATCATGCAGAAAATCACCCGAAACAAACCGCATCGCTGCCTTCTCCTTGTGCAGTACAAGTCAAGTACCATCCTGCGCAAGGGCCTTAAGATCCCGGATCCTGATCTCCGCTTCTACACCCTGAAGCTCTTCAAATCGCAGGTACCCTACTGCGGCCGCAAGTGGCGACAGAGCAACATGCGCGTTATCACTGCAATCTACCTTTACTGCAGACCTAAGCTTCGTGACGATTGGCTGGCCGGCTCCGACGTTGATGCTGAGGTTGAAGACGCACTGCCGATGGAACAAGCTCTTCGAGGACTGACGCACTGGTGGCACTTGCGCCAGTACAAGGATGTGATGGGTGGCTCGGAGGCTTCTATGATGGAGGACGAACGCGACTTTTTCGTTCGCGAACTCGAGTCCATGGAATGGGTGACTGAAAACATGGCCGAGGAAGGCGATGTCGGAAACCACCCGACCAACGGGACCGAGTGGGATGGAGGTCTGCAGATGGATGGCTGGACTTAACACCTGTGTATTAGCGAGTGGCACGAATTTCAAATACCCCTGCGCGAGAAAAGCACTCGCCATTGAATCTAACGTCGATGATCGTGAAATGCGATATCAAACAAATTCATAATATCCAAAAAATCCCAGCTAGATGTAGTCGTGTTGTTCCTGGTATACTTCCCGATTCGGTCTGGCCAGTGACGGGCCGCCTATCGATAAGCAAGCGCCTCACGTGATTTCCGCTTTTTTTTTTTGCAGCACCTGGTTGCCCAGATGGAACGGCTCTTTAGCACCGAACCACACCCGGTCCCTGCCCATCATGTCCGACGAAATTGTCTGGCAGGTGATTAACCAGCAGTTTTGTTCCTACAAACTCAAGTGAGTTTACACCTCCAATCCCATTTTTCTGTCTGTTCAAGAATTCTTTTGCCGTTGCAGGCAGAATGGGCAGAATCCACTTGAAAAAAAAAATGCAACAAACGAAGCAAAACCTGTACTAACACCGGATTCTTTCCATCTCGTTCAGAACTACAAAGGAACAAAACTTTTGTCGCAATGAATACAACGTGACAGGTCTCTGCAACCGGCAGTCCTGCCCACTCGCCAACTCGCGATATGCGACAGTCCGCTCGGACCCTGAGACGGGCACAATGTACCTGTACATGAAAACCATTGAACGAGCCCACATGCCCAACAAATGGTGGGAGCGAATTCGGTTGTCGTCAAACTACGCAAAGGCGCTGGAACAGCTCGACGAACGCCTGATCTACTGGCCGAAATTCCTGACGCACAAGTGCAAGCAGCGTCTGACGCGGCTGACGCAGGTGAACATTCGCATGCGTAACATCGCGAAGGAAGATGAGCGGCTCGGCGAGAAGGTTGTTCCTAAGCTGGCGCCGAAGATCCGTCGTCGGGAGGAGACGCGTGAGCGAAAGGCGCTTTCTGCGGCGAAGGTGGAGCGGTCCATTGAGCGGGAGCTTATTGAGCGTCTGCGCAGTGGTGCGTACGGTGATCAGCCGCTGAATGTGGATGAAAATATCTGGAAGAAAGTGTTGCGTGGTCTTGAGCGTTCTGGTGATGGTGAGCGCGATGAGGATATGGATGACGGGGAGGAGATTGAGGATGAGGAGGAGGAGGGTGTTGGTGAGGTCGAGTATGTCTCTGACCTGGACGAGGAGGAGGATCTCGAGGATATCGAGGATTGGTTGGGTGAGGGCTCTGGCGACAGTGATGATGAGTCTGATGAGGAGAGCGACGAGGAGAGTGACGATGACAGCGAGCCTAGCGAGGATGAGAAGAAGCCTAAGCCTGGTGCGAAGCGGAAGGCTCCTGCGCCCCAGGTCAAGCCCCGGAAGAAGGGTCCTCGTATCGAGATCGAGTACGAAACCGAAGGCGCTGGCAAGGAGCATCTTATGGCGTAAGCTTGTCACGGTTTGGGAAAAGTTTCATCTGTTGCATGGCGTTGTTGGTCGATGTTCTATTTCTTTCGTGCCTCTTATATGATCGGAAATCATACCCAGCTATTGCATTTCCTATTACATAACTGTCAATACGGGTCTAGATACCACTTCAAGGATTTTATTTCAAATGCAGTTTGCCAGTAAATACGGTCATGAACCCTAGTGGACCATATATCATAGTACATAACTGTCAGCTGGTCTGTCCAAGTCATCGTGGTTTCAGACTTGATGGTCAAAATTGCTGCTCTCAATTATTCGATTTAATAGGAGCTGTCTCATATTAAAAAATAAATCCCTCCTACATGTTCGTACAATTAGAGCGACAGTATTAATTTAACGGTTGTTCTTCTGAAACGGAGTATACAATCACGTGCCGTCGTGCCGCCTCTCCTGTTTCACCGCGCCGCCCTCATCGCTCGTCCTCTGCAACCCACCCACAGGAGCCGGCTCTTTCGTGGAACATAATTCCTAATCCTCCGCCCAGCTATCCAATCTTCGAGTCCTTCCAGCCTCTCAATTCAAAAAACTCTAAAGCCGTTCTCGAATCTCCTCCGCACGCCACATTGGGTTTCTGCGCGAGGATAGCTCCGCATCACCCCACTTCGCAACCAAGCTGTCCTCTACTTCCGCAGCATTGAATAACCACACGACCAACACACACCCGCAAAAGCCAAAATGAGCTCCTACTTCTCCTCCTACTCCTCATCCTCCATCTCGAGCGCCCTCAGCTCCCGTCTCAACAGTCTCCGGCGAGCCATCACCTTAGGCGACGAGAAGGACGACCCCGACAACGAAGACTGCTCGCACATCTCCAACGCCCTACGCGCCTACTACACCGAAAAGGGCAGACCCTTCCCAGTCTGGCTCCCCCCAGACCCAAAAGCGCCGCAAGCCGCGCCCGCCCGCGTCGTTGCAACCACCCAGCTCCCCGGCCAAGGTCAAGCACCCGCCATTGGCGGCAGGGGCGGCGGTCTCGGCGATCTATGGGGTGACTCTGGCTCGCCCCAACCGCCTTTGGCGCAGACAACCAGCCTCCGCCGAGGCCGCGGAGGAAATGCACCCCCTCTTGTCCCCATGCACAGCGCGCCGCCCGGCCCGACCTCCACGCCCTCGCCGCCGCTGACGCACGCCCAATCGCATTCGCCTGGCCAATCCGGGAACTTGCACCCGGCTGGTGCTCGGCCTTTGCCTAGCCAGAGGTCTGGCTCTCATCAGCCTCGAATGACTCAGGATCGACCTAGTGGTGCTGGCTCCGCGCAGGAGAGATTGCGGGCTAGATTGCAGGGTGGGAGGTCACCGAGTCCGAGTGTTGATCCCAGTGTGCGGAAGCCGGTTGGTGGGTCCGGAAGTCGGTGGTAGATTGGCTTTTTGCGATTGATTGCATTGCGCAGCATGGCGTTGGGTGTTTTTTGTTCTGCTCTTGTCGTGTATATAGGAAAGGTGGAGATGGTGACTGCCATAGAGTGAGTTCGAAGCAGCAAGATTATTAATTCCATATATGTACAGGACCATGGTCTAGCGAATTGATTTCTCGCCAGCTGATTGCCAATGCTCATCTTGGGATGGGATCCACGGTTCTGATGTCCAGTAATAGTACAACCAATACATACACTAGTGTATAGATAGCCTGTTGCCTGAAACCGAAAATCGACCTAGTTTGTCGTAGTCAAACATTATGAATGAACATTGAAGATTACTGTGGGCATCATCCCTCCCCATAATCTATGGTGCTGGATAATAGTGTAGCTAGAACTCTGGCCAAAGATGGCCTCCCCGGTCACACTTCTGATCAATTACCTGAGGGTACCTGGTCATCTCCCGAGCTATCCACACTATTAGCTGCCGGATGTGGGCATATCTGTACACATCAATGCTTCAGCGTATAAGACAAAGAAAGGCATTGAGTCTGGAAATACAATTGCTTTTTTGTACAGGTCAAAACTGTGTGGAAATTCCAGGTGTACTGAGGTATAGCACGTATCTGAAAAGCCAGCCAGAGCATGCTATAGAATCTAGCATATCGCGCAGGAATAAAAGAGCTTGAAATGTACAGAAATACAGTTGCATGAAGTATACTCTACTTTCAGGGTAGTAAAATGCGAATGCAAATGCAAAGTAAGTACAAAGAGGTGCAAAATAATCCTATTTCTGGTGGACTCCGCCATAGCGACTGACAACCGTGTGCCACGCTTGGTCCGCGGTGCACTCTTAGTCGATAATTGCTTGCTCTAGCACGACTAGTCGACAAAACGAAAACACACTGCCGACTAATCGTCCTGCTTTTGATTGCTGCCCCTCGCACGCCCAAAGCATCCCCTTTCCAACCCTGTCAGTCAGTCACATTTGTTGTGAAATCCGAACACCAACCATTCAACCCATCAAAAATTGCCTGGTTATCCGAAGACCCTTCTACCCAAGACTCGATGATCAAAATTCCATTCGAGTGCACCTACTTCGACCGCGGACCCTCGGGGTCACGATGCCCCAGAGCGGTGACTCTTGTCTGTGAGAACTGCCGTTTTGTTGCAGTAAGCCCATCTATTCCCCCCGTCCTCGATCGTCATCTCAATCTCCCTGCTGATAAATCAGTACTGCGGAGAGGACTGCCAGAGAAGTCACTGGGTCGTTTCATCGGAGAGCGTGATCTGAACAGTTCGAACTGGCTGCCGGCCTATATTGAAGCCTTCCCCACGAAGAAGAGAGCGGGACCTGGGGAGAAAGGTTGGAAGCGGGAGTTCAAAGTGTTGCTGGGTTAGGTAGAGCTGGCGTGGAGCGAATTATCTAGTGGCAACAGGTGAACAAGTCAGCCACGGAGAAGAATCCATGGGGGAAATGGACTAAGATGCAGGCGAGATGGCGGAGATCTGTGGCCGCGGCACAGCGGTGAGGTATCAGAAGTGATGATGGAAGTGAAGGGAGAAGTGAGGATAGCATAATGGAGAAGTGAGGTGCAAGTGACAAGCTAGTGTAATGATGCACATCGAGTCTCCCGCAAGCCCCACGTTCATCTTCTCATCAATTGCGTTGAATGGCACTGGTTTTGGCCCAGACGGGGCTTTTCCAGAGAAATACCTGATGCGTAAGTCGGCCCGTACTATGAATGAGGGACACTAATTGCGATTCAACTACCCAGAGCTCTCTCTTGATGATCCGATCTGGTCGCGAGCCCTATCGAGTGACATCCTTGATTGTATGGGCAGCCTCTCTGCATATCAGTAAAGTAGTCCAATCACATATCGCGCTCAATATGCACCATTGAGGGAGCTTGACTCGGGCTAGGACATGTGAACCGATAATGGAAGGCAATAAAGATCGCAACTGCGAAAGAGAGCTTTACGACTGAGCATCGCCATCAGCAGGCCGCTCAGGTTCCCACAACATGGCCGGCACCGTCAACCCCGGCACAACCTCCACCGTCGCAACCGTCCGGAACCCCATCTTTTCATACAACGAAATACCCTGGAGACTCGCCTCCAGGCCGACGGGCGTCTGTTCCTCTCGAGCCCGATCAAGCCCCCACTGCACCAACAGCCGACCGAGTCCCCGGCGCTGGTGAACCGGGTCAACGGCAACGGTACTCAGGAACCAGAGCTCAGAGATGCCTTCAAAATCAAACCCGGTCTCAACGAGCTGGTTGTATCGTTCCAGACGCTTGTTGTCGATGCTGCGGTCTGGCGAGACGAGGTTGTAGTAGTGGTTCTCTATGGATAGGAGCGTGCGCTCGAGTCCTGAGATTGTCAGTTTATTCCTGCACCGAGAAATTCTCTCGCTTGAGTGAATACTGAGGATCATGATTACCGCTCCAAGTCCATTTCGAGCCACTACCATTCTGCCGTCGCGTTGCTTCCGCGCTGGAACCGCGTCTTCTCCATATCGCGTACCCACGAACGTGTTCAGTTTCTTCGTCTCCGCTGCACTCTGGCTCCACTGCGACAATCATCACACAGTCTGGGGTATGCAAGCGCATCTTCAGGCGGCGGAGGAAAGCCGCGCGGAAGTCTGCATGGTGCTCATGGCGGTAGGGGCAGAGGTAGACGAAGAGCTCGTCGTTTAGCATGGCCTGGGCGGCAATGTCGGCAAGGGCAGGCAGGTCGGCTGACTTGGCATAGCGAAGCATTGTGCATGAATCAGAATCAGGTATGTGAAGGTTCCTGAGAGTGGGGTGCGTGTGGAGAAGCTGGGTGTTGAAGTTATGGTTAAGGTTGCCGATTGATAAGGTCAGGTGACTCGCCTTGTGGCAGTGTGAACTTTACATGAGAGTAAGAAATTCTTTAGTCCTTCTCAGTTTTCCATCTACAAGAAAGACGGCTGAACAGGATTTTCAAAATTGAAAGAGATGACACCAATGTTCATCATGTTTGATACCACCTGACGCCTTCTTCCTGCGAACCATCTATCAAATAGTACAGTCTTTACCTGGCGTAACGAACACCATAAAGCTATGAACTTCGAAGGCCTCGCTTTAAACACTCTCGCCAAAACCATGCAAATACCATGAGATCAGAGAGCAGAGACGGAACCTCACTGTGAAGCTTAGCATCGCACGCGACATTTTAAAGTTTGCACCTATTCCGCCCCCAAACCACGGCCCAGCAACCAAAGACGCACTGAGACCCTGAAGCGTAGCTCAGGCCCATGGGAGGCCTAAGACGAGCCCCAATTCGCCCGCTATCACATATGTGGGACACCCCCAAGTACATCATTTCCTAATGCCGACAATGACCAAGCTAAATAAGAGGATAGTGGGAAGACAGTATGGCTGTGCAGGAATTGGGAAGCGCAGGAATCCTAACGACAACGAGAACCGAATGGCAAAGTCAAGGCCTTCGATCGACTTTTCTGTTACCTTCATCTGAATATTTCTTCTCTCCTCTTCACTTGTGCGACCCATGCTACAAAAATGACCGCTACAGGCCCGTCCAATTTCGGCCCTTTAACCACAATCTTCAGCGCGCCGAACTCCTGTTTCCACGAAAAATGGGTTCGGCATAATACGCAACGCAACGGCACGGTCTTGCGCTGGGGTGTGGGCTGTGATTCCGGGACGGTGGACTTTGATTCGAATTGTTTTCCATCTGGGTGGACGGGGTCGAACGCCAGTGCTTTGAGCTATAAGGGGTTCTCGCCTGGTTTGGCTTGTCCGTATGGTTTCACCGGCGCTGCGTCTGCGAGCCATATTGAGAAAAGTGATCGGTTTGTTTTGTCAGAGTATATCACGGATTTGGGGAAGCATGATATTGCTACTGCTTGTTGTCCGACGTGAGTGTCTCTTCTAGAGAGATGCACGACAATTGATGCCATACATCGTCTCTATAAAAGATAGCCGCTACATATTACATCTACTGACGTTGTTCATACACTAGTGGCTACATCTACAATGGCCAGTGGTGCGAAAGCCAAACCCTCATCTTCTCCTCGAAAGCCTCCCTCCTTACAACATCCGGCTCCAAATGCATCGAAACAACAGCCTACAGCTACTTCCAATCAATCGGCTCAAAGGCAACAACCGGCGCAGCAACCTTCCAAGCCTACCCCATCATAATTGTCCAAGACTCGCGCTCCTCGACCTCCCTCCCAAGATCCACCTCCTACCCAAGTGACTCAGAGAGTTTCTCGACTGGCGCCAAGATCGCGGTTGGCGTCTGCGTCCCTGTCGGTATTATCATTCTTGCAGCTATCTTGTTCATTTGGTGGCATCGAAGACGAACGCGTGCGAAGAGAGCTTCTGCCGATGAGGGTACTCATTCGGGTGCTGGCCCTGGGTCTTATGATCCGTATAGTGGGAAGCCGGAGTTGGATGCGAATGCAGAGGCTAGTCCGTATACCGGGAAGCAGGAACTTGATGCACAGGATCAGGTTGTGGTTGGGGGTCATGCTCTGGCCGAGTTGCCTGTGTTGCATAGTTCGGTGCCGCAGGCTGAATTACCAGAGCATAAGAGACCGGATACGCCACAGGCGGAGCTACCGGGGGATTATGGGGTTGCTACTGCTCCTGTGCAGAAAGATAGTCGGGAGATTGGACCAGATATTAGGATAAATGGGGTAGAACAGAGTGAAGGGGGTGGGAGTAGAGGTGGCGGGGATAGCCCGTCTCATGATAGGTCGGGCGGGACTTCATGAAACTTTTATCTTGATAGTTCGGTATCTGTATACTAGCGATGCATTGGAGTTTACAGGGTTGAGATGGAGGGATGAATTTGATGGTTCATACAATTTAGTTGATTGGGGTATATTTGCGGTGTCTTGTGGACACATCGTCACTGCATAAAACCTAGAATGAAAATATAAAAGAAACCAATATCGTACCATCCTCCTCTTTTAAGAATCAAAATTACTCTCATTCGAATTTCTCCGCCTCCAACTTAGTTGGCCTTGTAAGGCTCAGGCGAGAAAACCTTCTTGAAACGGAAGTGCATCAGATCCTTGATGACTATAGAAGTCTGCTTGAGGTTCTGCTTCACGATAACGGAGGTCGGCTTGGAGAAGAGCTCATCAATCTCCTCGAGGGACTTGTTCTTAGTCTCAGGCATGAAGATGATCTGATAGAACCATCCGACCACGGCAATACCACCGTAGAATCCGAGGGTCAAACCAATGCGAGTCATGGACTTCATCATGCCGGTGAAGTTGTAGGTCACGATGAAAGAACACAGGAACAAGTTGGCGTCGGCAGTGGTCATTCCGTAGTGACGAAGGTAAGTGGGGAACACCTCGGACGGCACGACCCAGGTGAGACAAGCGTAGGAACCGAAGAAGCCCATGTACAGGATGATACCCGTCATGTAGAGACCCTCTGCGGCAGCGGGGTATTTCTTGTAGTCAATTGTGTAGCCCACGCCGACGAGAATAAGGCCGATGAAGAAGCCAGGCAGCATGGCGTTAGCCCAGTAGCGACGGCCGAATTTCTCCATGTACAACACGGCGGGGATACAGCCCAGCATCAGCGAGCCACCGCCAACAAGAGACATGAAGACGGAAGTGCGCTCGTCGAAGCCGATGGCTGCCATCAAGGTGGACATGTAGTACATGATGGCGTTGACACCAGTGAACTGGCCCAGGAAGATCATGACGTTGGCGTAGACGATGGCGCGGCGGGCACGAGGCTTATTGAAGAAGTCCATCCAGGCGTACTTGCCGGTGCTGGCTTGTTCTTCGCTCTCGGCAGTGACAGCCTGGCGCATTCCGAGGAACTCATCCTTGGAGTCGTAGTCGTTGAAGCCACGGATGCGCTTCCAGACGGAGTAGGCCGCCACGTCGCGGCCCTTGTGCATCAGATAACGCGGACTCTCAGGCATAAAGACCATACCAACCAGCAGGATGGTGGAGAAGACCAGGGAGGAACCAAGAATGTAGCGCCAGTTGCCCTTGACGTCGACAAATATGGCGGCGACAGCATAGCCCAGGACTTCACCAATGGCAATGTTGAGTTGGTAGGCAGAGACGAGGTTACCACGGATGCGAGTAGGGACTAAGACGATTCGTTAGGCAAGGAACAGGATGAAGTGATGCAGGTTGAAAACTTACCACACTCGGCGACATAGACAGGCACAGTACCACCCTCAAGACCGACACCCATACCAAGAATGAAACGACCAGAGAAGATCATGCCAAAGTTGATGGCACCAGCCTCCAGGGCGGCACCGATGGTGTAGAGGATACAAGAGACAATAATAGACATCTTACGACCGAGATATTCGTTCGAGGGCGAAAGGATCAGGGCACCAGCCACGGCACCAAGAGGCATACCGGCATTGACGAGACTGTTCATCGAGTCGCTCAGGTGGAGGTCCTTGGGCAGGAAGAGATTGGCACCAGAGATCAGGGACTGATCCAGACCAGAAAGCAGACCTCCCATGGAGGCAAAGGCGACAAGAACGTAGGTGAACAAGGCGGGGTTGTTCATGGTCACCTCGAAGAAGGGCTTGGGCAGCGTTTGCAGCTGGTCCTCGAGCTGTGAAAGCTCCGCGTCCATAGCGGCTTCATTCATCTCGAAGTCCTCCTTGGTGTCCTTGATATCATCCACCTCGAAGGCACCAACCTCCTTGTCCTCCCTGTGGGCGTCGGTGGGCGCCTCGGTATCTTTGACGTCGGACATGACGAACGCAGCACCCCCTTGCTAGGGTAAGGTTTGGAATATTGAGACGGGGACTATTTTATAGTAGTAGAAGGAAAATGAAACGATCCAGTCGTTTCAGACCACTCTTGAATATCGGGATATAATGGCGAGGTAATAAAGAGAAGGAGGACGTCTAGAAGAAGAAAAAAAACGGGGAACCCGGGGGAAGGGGAAAAAGGGGACTATTTGAAGCCGCTCCCACACTACAAGAACGACAGTAAAACGATGACAGCCGGGAATGCACTCAGGCGCACTCCGAGACTAGAGAAACTAAGGAAAGAGCCGAGTGGAGACCATCCGGGAGAAAAGAGAAGTCTAACAGGCTGGAGATCGGCTCCAGAGCATCATCCCATCTGGAGAGGCGGCATACAGCCTCTTCTCCATACCCTCTCTGTGTGGAGAAGGCGACCTTGTCAGCCACCCTAGCCAAAAGCCAAACAAGAGATCCATAGAAGCCGGGGGGATCGGGAATGGAGGAGAAGACGCACAACGCCCTGCTTCAACGGTCGCCCAAGATGACCTAGCTACCGGGGGAAAACGAGGGGAGAACTCCAGCGGTGCCTGGGAGAATTCCAGAATGTGGAGGAGTGCCAGGTCGGAGAATCCCAGGTGTTCGGGCGTCTGGACGAATCGCAGCGCAGCAAAAGCTTAACTCGTCATCTTCCAGGGTTGGACCGCGCATCCCAAGGTCTTCCGAGCGCCCCGGTGATGACGCACCTGCGCTCAGATCAAATTTAATCCGTCCTGGAGCGTCTATACTCGCCCATGGCACCCTTCGGAATCGCACTTCTGGAAGATTCCCGGCTTCCCGTAGTCGTCAGCGCAAAACTCGGCCCTCAGCGGGTGATCTTGGCGCGGGTGAAAACTTCGCCGAGCTGAGAAGCCGAGCCAAAGGGGCCCGCAAAGCCGAAAATAACACGGGCGCACATGAGCACCTTCGGACAGAGTCCGGGATCGCGAGTGAGATGGGGCCTCGTCTGGGGACCCTTCAGCGGCTCGATTACGCAGCGAAATCGAGAGTTGGGGTTCCCCATGGAGACTCTTGTGCGTGGTCGGTGACACCTCGGCGAATGTGCACCAGTCGAAATGCGATCTCGGCGTGAGGTGGAAACCGGATCCCCAAATCGTGACGGGCGTAAACGGGCCATCGACGACACGGAATGGGGTTGGCTTCGGGTTTCCTGCCCGTGGTATTTTCGGCCCCCTTAGCCCCGATGAGGACGGTTGCAGGATGTTCCCGCGAGCCGAGACTGCCATTCGCTCGTACTGCCTGGAAGTGGATGTCGACGGCAGGAGATCAAGGTTAGCATTGGTAGGCGTTGGATTTTGGCGTTGGCGGTGTGGAGAAGGGGTGGGATGTCGACTGGATGGAACTGAGAAATCTCGTGGATTCGTCTGAGAGGCCATTCCACGCGATGCGGGCGGGTCACGAGATGCAACGCATGGTCTATAGCAGAGTACATACAGTATATAGTAGCATTAGTATACTGCCACGATGTTGAAACTCGGTCTAGGTCAAGTTCAAGGACCATACGTCACACCATGATCTGTGGAGATCCTCATTCTAGTGTACATGTTTCCTTGGTACAGATCTAGACGGGTCAAATCTCATTAAAGCTTCTTCATCCCAACCGTGTACTGATGGATGTCAAAGTTCTGCACATCCAACTACGCGGGAAGGATCTGACTCCACAAGCCCGCTTCCACGTGTCTCTCTAGTCTTCATTACTCATATAAACTATCCCGATAGTTTTGATTTCATCGGGAGCGAAACCCTAGATGTTCGTAGATCGCGCCGGTGACCAGAGGTGCCCGTGTGTTGACGACAGACCAATCGACAACGTGGGAATACACCAGGTAACCTAGCTTGAAAGTAACTTCTTTCAAATTACCCAAAATCTATAAAAGTCTCACTTCACCATGCAATTTCAATCTAGCTGTTCCCAAGGGTTGGATAGATCCCGGGACCAGTGTGAATACAGGTGAACGCAGGGGGGGGGTCCAGAGCTGACCGCAGGGTCTCATGTGATTTCCCGTGTAATCGCCCCACCCCCCTGCGCTCAGCTTGAGAGCACCCTGGGCTCACCTGGATTCTGACCTGGATTCTGGGGACCAGTGAGATGCCTTGTTCATGCCTTATAATCAAGGCACCAACAACCCCCGCGATGGCGGAAGATCGGCAGCGACTAGTCCCGTTTAAGTAATCGGTCTCACATCTTAAACCTTCGGATGAGTCCTCGTTTGACTGTGTTTCTTTCTGATAATTGAATATCAAATCAAATGAACTCATACCAAGACATTCCTCCCGAGATGGAGGTGAGCTGGACAAGTTGACGCTTCCTACCATCGGACAAGGGTTTTACGGCATCGTGTAGGCCCCTCGGATATATAATAACACTCTTCACATTGACTACACCCTAACCATGATATGTGATCTCTGTCTTGGGTCCATTATTAATATATGTGACTGGTGCAATACACTGCCACATATTTCACAATTCACACACTACAGAGCAACAAGTTCGTTTCCCTACCAATGCAGCAACCGTGTAATTTACAGTTAACTCAGCTACAAGAAACGTTGGAATACCAGAAAACGTGGTCAAATGACCTCCACTGCATTGGCTAATCGCAACTCTAATCTATATCGAAAGAATTCATTCAAGTATATCAACAGACAGGCCAAAGAAATGATTCACGCTTCCAACGCCTGATGCGCTCTGCAAAAGAAGATGCTTGGGGGGGGGGGGGTGGGGTGGTCGATATACAGAGCGACAACCGTATCGGCTATCCATGCGGGGAAAAAGACAAGAAAGCAAAAACGCAGAAAGCAAAAATCCAGTCCAATCAGCCGCGTACTTTCCGGTAGCTGGGAGGGCTCCAAGACTGCTTGATCAATTTGACAGCCCAGACGGGTACCAGTGAGACGGCCAACACGGCAAAGACTCGCCACAGCCAGTTGACGGTAATCACATAGCGTAGATTGAAGTAATCGCCCAGGAAAGGAACACTGCCGACGTACAGAAGCAGTGTGCCCACCAAACAGAAGATCATCACGGGGTGCCAGGTGGTGATAGCGATAGCTACCATACCCAGCTCATTGAGGACAAGTGCCGTAAATGAGACACTGATCAGGCGGGGACCAGTGATGGTCTGGAGTAGGATCTGGGATAAGCCTTGAATGACGGCACCCTGGTAGACGGAGATAAGAACCCAAGTGAAGAACGAACGGTAGCTCAAGCTCTTCCCTGCTTTCAATTCCTTGTATAGCTCCGGATAGAGATTCGCGAGTCGCTCATCCACATCGCGGTCAAAGACGAGGGAGAAAACAGGTGCGTTGGTATAGACGGTCGCATAGCCGATCATGAGCCAGTTGATGAAGAGACCCTTAGGATCAAAGTGACCAGCTATGCTGTACATGGTTTGGCAAACACTGATGATCAGACCACGGTGCATGATGAACTGGGCCAATTTGGCAGATCGCTTGTAGGAATTGCGGCCGTGCCAAACCAAGAGCTTTGTCAAGTGGTGGAACTGGGTGATACTGAAATCGGCTGCCAGAGAGGCCTGTCGACCTTCCTTGCCGACAATACCAATTCCGACATCCGCTGCCTGGATCATGGACACATCGTTTCCGCCGTCACCAATACAGCAGACGCGTTTCTTGGTGTGTTGGCGAATCAAGTTGGCGATTTCTGCTTTTTGCGTGGGCGAGCACCGGCAAGCAACAACGGCCGGCAGGAGGACCGCAACGGAAATGAAGGCTGTGCGGAATTCGCCAAGCATCAAGTTAAGTGACTCGCCATCGATCAGCAAACAGCAGTCAGTCTTGTTGCGTAGGAAGTCGAGGGCCTCCTGGGCGGTGGATTTGTCTGTGACCTTGGACACAGTATGGATGTACTGTCCTCGGGAGACTAGCTTCGCTGAAATGGCGACACAGCGCGCCGTCTCAACCTTGTCTCCTGTCAGCATCCAAATCTTCACTCCGGCGTTACGCATCAGCTCGAGTGATGACTTGACATCTCTCTGCAAACGATCTTCCACACCAGTCACTCCGAGAAGCTCCAAGTCTCGTTCAAGATACTCCGTCACGACCTTGGCCATACCAACATCACGGCTCTGGAGGGACAACGAGGCTTGTTTGTACTTGGCAGAGAACTCCTGGTACTGAGACAGAGACAGGCGCTTGCGTCCAACGACCAGAGTTCGCAAACCTTCGCGGGCCATATTCGCGGTCTCTTCGTCAAGCCAATCATTTGCCGCAACGATCGAGGTCATCACGGTATCTGCACCCTTTTGGTAAAACCAGATCTCAGGCTCATTTTTTCCAGGCGTTTCAGGGTCCTCCTCGTATTGCTCAAACTGAACAATAATACCCATTCGCTTGCTGTCGGAGGTGAAGGGGAAGATGTCAAGGATGCGGACGCGAACAACGACCTGTTTGGAGTCGGTTGATTCGAGGACGATGCTTTGGCGGTCCCTATGAGCCACCTTCAATCCAACCTCTTCGGTGTAGCGCACAATGGCAATCTCGTCGGGAGAAGAGGCTTGATAATTTGTCACTTTTCGCCCGTCCTCTTCCTCAGTTGTCGGTGTCACATTGTGACAGACCGCGAGAGCCAGAATGATATCCCGGACACGAGACCCAATTTCTCGTCTGGTACGAGGGGCTGTTCCCTGACCAGCTTGGGTGCCAAAGACCGTTGATGGGGTCGTCAAGGTGTTGCTAGCAAAACCCTGACGAATGAAAGATGCAACCTCATCCATTGCCTCGTTGGCATATGAAACGGTACCGACGTGGATCTTTTTCAATTCCATCTCTGCAACGAAGTTAGTTCTAGCTAAATGTGGCTATGATAAGAAGGAGACTTACCATTTTGAGTCAGAGTCCCTGTCTTATCCGACAGCAGGTACTCGATTCTTCCCAAGTCTTCAGGAATAGTACTTGTCCGTACAACCGTACCCGGGATATCCTTGTCTCGCTCGATGAATCGACCATATACGGATTTGGCCATATCCAAATTGACGCGTAGACTCATTGGGATGATAGTTGAGAAAAGAATCAGGTATATCATGATAGCAACATACCACTCCTTGTCGTTGGTTGGCTCGAATCCTTCCAAGGCGACCAGCACGATGGATAGGGTAAGCGTCAAAATGCACAGAATTTTGGTGAGGTTGTTGATTTCGTATTCCAATAAACCCACCTTGGAGCGGGATGCGGAAGTGGACAGCGCAGCTCGTGTTTGCGAGCCAGTGTAGATGATTGCGGCGTAAGTGACGGTGTTAGAGGCGAGGACAGTATTCGCCCAAGCGGTGTTGTCGATGGTCAACGGGGCGGAGTTGCTATTTTCACCCTCACTGTTTGGTGTCCGCTTGATTTGAGGCTGCTGGGAAGAATAATTGTCGACATGCGTATCATAAAAGCCTGTGGGATGGCCCAATTCGATGGTGCCGACAAACTCGTTGACCCGCTGATCGGGGGGCTGGCAGTGATTTTGAGCCGGGTGAAGTCATTGAAAGGGAGTGTTTGCGATAGTACGGAAGGTAGGCGGAGCTTCCAATCAGTTTCACCATCCAGCTGGTCGGTCCGAATAAAAGTATCACTGGCAGAGGAAGCATCTGCAGCCTTTTTGGAGTTGGCGTTTGGGGAAGCATCGACGACAGGTTCGGACGGTCCTTGCTCCGATTCAAGCAAGTCATCGGAAACTTCGGGGGCATCTCGATCGAATGAGCTTGAGCTGTGACGTTCAGCGTTTGGGTCGCTCGAGAGACTTTGCAAGATCACCACATCGGCAGGAAGACGTTGGTTTTTGCGGACCTTGAGGACATCCCCGACTTTCAGGTCGCGCGATTTCTTGGTCATTTCCAGCGCAGTCGATCTTTCAAGGGACAAAACGGTGTACTCCTCCGAGTTTGCTTCTGCATCTCGTCGTCGTCGCGCAATGTCATCAAGAGCCTCTTTACCCAGCGATATGGATACCACGAACGCCAAGGGCGCGATGTATGAAGACATGTACCCAATGCGGAGAATCGGAATGATTTGTGACAGAGCGACGAGGAGAAAATATATGTTGAAGAAGAAGGAGAATTCGTTGTACAGCGTGCGAGGCAGGAAACTCCAGGGTGTGTATTTGGCATTCGAAACGATGTTTGGCGGGTATTTGGTGGATTGATATTGTCCTACTAGGACATCTCGGGGCGGTTTCTTTGCTTGGTCGTCACGGGTTCTGCGGAGGCGATTCGAGGCAGCTTGGAGGAAACTTGGGCCAAGGAGACTGGGAAGGCGTAAACGACCGCCTTTTTGGGTCGCTTCATCGTCCTTGAACAACCGAGTCGAGCCCCGACGATCAAGCAGTGGTGCATCATCATCCGTCATATTCCGTGAACTGCCATGCGAACGTCGTAGGCCGTCCTCTCCTCGTTCCTCCTGCAATAGCGCATGTGTGTCCTCATCCGGCTTCCTTTGCCCAGAGGGGCTTCGCCTCCACCGATTGCCCGCGCCGACGCGTAGATTTCGCAAGGCTATCCCTGGGCCATAGTTCCTTGGGCGTCCAGTATAGTCGCGGGAGACTCGAGACGATTGTTGCGGTGCCGTGTCGGGATCAAGCTCCTCGAGGTCCAGGTCGTCGTCATCGGATCCCGAGAAATCACCAGGATCGTCGGGATGTTGAAGGGGGTGTAGGTAGTCGTGCGAGGACGTCATTATTGATGACCTCTGAGTCAATATTCACAGTAGCTCACGAAATGGGAGACAACGCCGTGCTTATCGTGAAATGCAGGATCATCTCATATACTCGGTTGAGTTGCATAGGAGTTCCGCGCCGGCATAGTGGGGGGAAACGAGCGTGGAAGTTGTATGTTGGAGTTGGCGACTTCTCAGAGGTGCAGTCGAGGTGTGGTTTTGGTCGAGCGCCACGCAATTTTCGCGTGGACAGCGTTGCGAGAATAAACGTGTAGATGGTGACTGCCTGCCCGTGATGCGTATGCGTCTATCATGTGACTCTGTATGCACAGCCGGTGGTTATGTCACTCGATTACCTCATCCTGCATTGCCTTCCTGTTTGGGAGAATTGTGCACAAAAAGCTTGGCGCAACGGTGTCTTTTCGGAAGAATGTTTGTCCTTTGCCCCTTCAGGCGCGCTGACTCAGCGCCCAAACGGGCCTCGATCTGGGGCGCGAGGACGTGCCAACGGGTTCTGCTTCGCCCCCGATGCGTCTATGCTTTATTTCTTTCTAATCTAATTCGTGTTGTTCTGTTTCACCCCCTACGTTGCTTAATGGATTTTTAATTCCGGGAGCTCTCGAGTTCTGTTTGTTGGGATTGTTGACTGGAACGTCACGGGAGACGTGTCAGGTTGCTCCCTCTGAACTCCCCGAGCACGTCGGCCTCGAAGCCATTCCCCAACAATGGCGCAAACAGCACCGCCACTCGACCAAGTGATGGATAGCTGGAATCCTGCCCTGCGACCAGAGGATCAAAGTCATGCGACTGTGACGACTTCATCTGATGGTGAGCTGGCGGATCCCTTAGCCGGAGGTAACGCCAAAGAACATCCTGCGCCCAATGTGAAGTCGCCTTTGAGTGACGACGATTTTTCCGCTTGGGATATGCCTCACGAGACAGGGCCTATTCAGTCTATTGATACAACTGTGGAAGCTTCAGCGTTAGATGCGCCACCGACTCAGGGTGCGGTTGGTACTGATAATGTACCGGACGTGACTGCTATCACAGACGCGGGTCTTGACGAGAAACCGGCTGATCCCGAGATTGCGGAGGCTCCTCAAGATCCGTTCTCACAGGGTGCTGAGCCGGCGCAACCGCCGGGTCCTCCGGTCGATGCAACTCTCATTACCGATGTCCAAGGAGTCGTGCCAGCAGCAACGTCAGACGACTCCGAGAACACACAGCAAGCGGCAGCCGAACAAACTGCGACTTCCGAACAAGTTTCCGAGTCTAGCGAACCTCAGCCGTCCGAGACGGTCGAGTCTGTCGAACCCGTCGAGCCCGTCGAAATAACTCCGCCGTCCACTGAAGCCCCAGCCGTGTCGGAACGCGCATCGAATGAACATGAAGCTGCGGTACCGGATCCCGTCACGCCTGCAGCTCCTTATGCAGATATCAGCACTGCTGAGCCCGTTGTAGCCTCCGAGGTTACATTTGAAGCACCTGGCGAGCCCGAGTTTACTTTGAACAATGCTGAAGGTGCGCAAGGAAAGACGGAAGGAGTACAGTCCTCTGGAGCTCCGTTTTTCACCAATGAATCCCAAGATGACCCGTCCGCGTCATTCTTCGATGATATTCAAGGCCTTCAAAACCAGACGGATCAAACGCCTGGTCCATGGGATGCCTTGGATGATAAGGATGGTGGAGCACAGCCGGTTTCCGACGTACCTGTACAGCCAACTGAAAATACGCAACCGGGACCGCAAACCGCCACGGATGAATCAAAAGCGGTCGATTCTGAGGATGCATGGGATAAAAACGTTGATGTCGACGTCGATTCTGATGGAGACGATTTCTTCAACCAACTCAAGACCCAAACAAAGCCCATTTTTGGCCCTCCGGAGACCGAGTCAAGGTTTGAAGAGGGTGTTCCCTTACTGGATGAGGCTACAACTCCTACTTCCCCTGAACGACCAAAGTCTCAGGAAGCTGCCGTTGCCGACCCTTTTGGCAATGATGAGGATGATGCAGAAGGATTCTTTAGCTCTGTTCAAGATACGGAGGCTAGCAACGAGCCCGCTTCTCTTCATATTATGCGCAAGAGCACCTCCCAAGTAATGGAATCTGTGGGATTCCACATTGATTCTCCCGCGAGTGATATTTCTGCGGCTGCCCAACTTGACAGTGTGCTGAATGCCGCATCTTCTGATGCCCTTGCGTCTCAAGGCCAACCAGAGGCTACAGAGCCTTCGGAAGAAGAACTCGCTGCCAGATGGGAAGCCGAGCTGAGCGACATTGGCGAAGATGACATGGCGGCGCGCTGGGAGGCAGCTTTGAGTGATGATGACGGCGATATGCTACTGGAAGAGGATGTTCAAGCACCCACTGCCGGACAACAGGTTGTCCCACAGGCTGGAGTTCCCCCTGCGGCCAACGCTGGTCCTACCGGCTTGAACAGTCCGTTTGAGACTCTTCAAAGTCAAGCTCGACCCCGTCCCATCCCCGGTGTTTATACCCCACACCAACCAACAACTGCGGATCTGGTTGGCGGACTTCCTCTGCCAGGGGCTCCTCCACAGGCCAACCAGGCTATGCAATCATACTTCTCCCAGCAACCGTCGAATCCGGTTGCGAACCGGGGAGAGAGCTTTACCGAGAAATCGAAGCAGGGTTATAAATCGCCGTATGACCTTCCTGAGGACTTGTCCCGTCCTCGACGCCCGGTAGCTACTCACAAGCCCGTGCCTCCGAGAGTCGAGAATATGCCGCCTCCTCCGAGTCAAAGTGTGCAGCAACCTGTTGGTCCTCCGCCAATGTCAGCTGCAGCACCAACTGTAGCTCCTCCATCTGCCGCGCCAGTGGCTCCGGCCCCGGCACCAAAGAACTTCTTCGAAGAGCTTCCTCCGCCGCCCCCCAAGTCTCGTCCTGCCAGCTCGGGGCGTTATACCCCGGGGCCTGCAGCAGCAGCACCACCACCGGCTGGATTGTCGCCCGCTCCGGCGCCACCTCCAAATTCGTATGCAGCTCCGCCTCCTGCAGCACCGACGAATGTAGCTCCAGTCCAGTCCTCGCTTCAACCTCCGGAACTTTTGGGCCCTTACGCTTCTTCGTTGGCTTCAAGTGCACCTGCTGGGCCCCCTGCTGCTTCCAGATATTCTCCGAAACCACCAGGCTCGAGCGGATCGGCAAAACCACCTTCAAGATACTCACCAGCACCGCCTGCTGCTGCCGCAGCTGCTGGCCGCAACCGCTACGCATCCCAACCATTGTCCGTGCCGGGCCAACAGACGTCATTGCCATTCCAGCCACGTACATCGAGCCCTTTGGCATACCATGAGAAGGTGTCATACCAGCCCGAGGAAAGCCAGCAACAGATGCCAGCGCCATCACTCCAACCATCTGTTAACTTTTCACCTCCTCGTCAGAGACCAAGCATTGATCAAGGGTCACCATATGCCCCGCAGCCGCCGAGCGGACCAGTAAGTGCGTTGACACCTGATGCTGCTAGCCCACCGGCCGTTCCACAGCAAGGTCCGCCGTACGCACCTCCGGAGTACATCAACGAGTTTGCCAAGCGTGTCGCACCAAGCCCTACTCATGCTGCCCCGCCGCCTGGTTCTACGTATACTCAAATGGGCCCCCCTCCAGTCCCAAGTATGGCTGGGCCAATCTCTCCCCAGGCTGCCGATCCACAATTCGCCACCCCTCGCAGGTCCCAGACGCAGTCTCCTGGTCAGCAGGTAACTAGCCCTCGCTATGTGCCATCTATTGAGCCTCCCCTTCCTCGTCCTGCTTCTGTTCACGGCTCTGGGTCGCCAACCAAAACTTCAAATCCTTATGCGCCCACGCAGCCTTCAGTATCTACTCGTGCCCGTGCTCTTTCTCAGCGTTTGGATTTCATTGCGCCCGTTGATGGCCAAGAACAAGACAGCCTCGAGAGATGGAAGGGCGCGCCAATTTTCAAATTCGGATTTGGTGGAGCAGTGGTTTCTTGCTTTCCTAAGCATATCCCGCGCTATTCTGTCGGCCAAACGGCTCCGATGATCAAGCCAACCCTTGGCGACCCCAAGTTCTCGCAACTCACTGAGTGGCTACCGCCTGCTGATACTATTGTTCAACACCCTGGGCCTCTGAAGACCAAGTCGAAGAAGAAGGATGTGATTGCGTGGCTTTCAAGCAAGATTGCGGCCTTTGAGAACGAGACGTCCCCCGATTTTGACTACTCGAACCCAGACTCGCAGAAGCGCCACGAGGAGAAGATTTTGCTCTGGAAGATCACCAAAATTTTGGTCGAAAACGACGGCGTTTTGGAAGGATCACCTGCTATTCAGCAGTCCCTTCGCCAGGCTATCTTCCCTAACTTGCCTGCGGCTGGTTCTGACGGCTCGTATGGTGGTACCTTTGCGACATCAGGCAGCCTCATGCCTTTGGGACAACCCCCACAGGGAGATGCTGCTGATCCTCGTTACATGGAGGAGTTGCGCAATGATTTGCTCATGGGCGAGCGGGAGAAGGCTGTTTGGAGTGCAGTCGACCGTCGTCTGTGGGGTCACGCCTTGATCGTTTCATCCACCATGGACAAGTCAGTTTGGAAGCAGGTCGTTCAAGAATTCATCCGTCGCGAAGTCAAATCGACAACCGCCAACGCCGAGTCGCTTGCAGCGCTTTACGAGATATTTGCTGGTAATGTCGATGAGAGTATTGATGAGCTCGTTCCCCCATCTGCACGGGCTGGCCACCATTTGATCAGCAAGGTGGATGGTCAGGGATCAGCAAAAAATGCCCTCGATGGCCTAGACAGCTGGAGAGATACTCTTGGATTGGTGCTCAGCAACCGAAGCTCCGAGGATCATCAGGCATTGCTCGCCCTTGGACGCTTGCTGGCATCATATGGCCGCATTGAGGCTGCCCATATCTGCTTCATGTTCTCCCGTGGCGCTGTCTTCGGAGGTGCTGACGATCCCCAAGCCAATATTGTGCTCCTGGGAGCAGATCACCACCGCTTCCTTTGCACTCTTCTCGATGAAGATGCCATTCTCCTGACTGAGGTTTACGAGTTCGCCACATCTGTTCTTGCAAACTCGCCTGTGGCCAACTTATCTTACCTGCTGGCCTTCAAGCTGCTGCATGCTAAGCACCTTGCCGATCGTGGTCGTAAGACCGAGGCACAGAACTACTGTGATAGTGTGGCAGCATCTCTGAAAGCCACCACACGGCCCTCGCCATATCACCACCAGTACTTGTTCATCGAGGTGGACGAACTCTCTGCACGTCTCCGTCAAACTACCACTGATGGTGGCTCGTCCTGGATTTCTAAACCGAGCATGGAAAAGGTTTCTGGATCGATGTGGGCTCGCTTCAACAGCTTTGTTGCTGGCGATGAAAGTGACGCCGCATCAACAGGATCCGGCAAGGCAGGCGAGACTGCAGACGTAGGTCCTTTCGCCAATGTCGCTGGAACCCCGACTGTCAGCCGATCTCCGTCTGTGTCAGACTTATATGGATCTTACCCTGGCGCAGGAGCCCAGCCAGTCCCTGCTGGTAGTGCATCCCGGTACATGCCGACTGCAAACCAGTACGCGCCAAATGCCTCTCCAGAGCAGTTCCGTGGGAGATCCTCAATGGACTCGCAGCGGTCCACTTCATTTGGAGGAGGTCTTTCTTATGGCCAACGTCGCAGCTCGCAAGATCAGCCATCTTCCCCGGCAGATACTCAGTCATTCCAGGGAGTACCGATGTATGGTTCTCCAGGGTCTACTGGATACCAGCCCACCCCTTCTCAATCGTCTTACGTGCCACTTGCACCGGTTGAGGAGACCTCGGCTACCCAGTCACCAGCGGATGTCGCCCCGCCTGCTCAATCCGCATTGAACGGTCTCTTCTACCAGCCTCCCGGACAGGACGCTTCGACAGCTGGACAGTCGCCTTACTACCAAGGCCCGCCTGGCATGCCGCAGGCAGAGAGCAATGGATACATGCCCCCTGCTTCCAGTGCCAATTCCTATGAGCCGCCTTCCTATGCTCCAGCCATCAACACTGAGCCTCAAGAAGTCGAGGAACCTACCGAAGAGCCGTCGTTGAAGCCTAAGAAATCCTTCATGGATGACGAAGGCGATGACGACCTTGCTGCCAAAGCTGCGGCTCTCCAGAAAGCCGAGAACGACCGTAAGGCGGACGAAGCGTTCAGGAAGGCTGCCGAGGAAGATGGTATGTTTATCCCACTTCATTATCTGAACATTCTCACAGACCGATCTAACATTATTATACAGCCAAGAAGGACGCCAAGCAACAACCAAAGAAGGGCTGGTTTGGAGGATGGTTTGGAGGTGGCAAGAAGGAGGCCGACAACCACTCAGGTGGCGGTCCCATCAAAGCCAAGCTGGGAGAAGAGAACTCGTTCTACTATGATAAGGAGCTCAAGAAGTGGGTCAACAAGAAAGACCCCGGCAGTGCCGAACCTGTTCGCGCCACGCCGCCTCCTCCGCGAGGCTCTGCGCCTCCCAGTCGGACAGCTAGCAACAGCAGCATGCCTCCGCCCCCTGTACCTCCTATGCCCGTAGGCTCGGGAAGCCGACCCCCGTCCTCATCTAGCGACATGCCGCCTTCGCTCTCGTCGAGTCCTGCCTTCTCCGGACTCGGTGTGCCTCCGCCAATGGGTAGCAGCTTGCCTCGATCTGTCTCTACCGGTGCGGCGGTGCCCACACCACCTGGCAGCTCATCTGGCCCACCTCCACCTCGGCCTTCGTCATCTTTGACTCATGCCAACTCGATCGATGACCTTCTCGGAGCCCCCACCGCACGCAAAGGCAACACTGTGCGCGGCAAGAAGAAGGGTCGTTACGTTGACGTGATGGCCAAGTAGTCCTTGAGTTTCTCTGCAGATAAATACTCTCCAGGCAGGACTTCAAATTCGGCTGGTAGATGCTCGATTTTCCTTTGTGTTTTTTCATTTGTCTTATTACGCCCTCATGTCTTTCTGCGTTTTTGATGCTTTTTCATCTTGAATTCCCCTGCACTTCCCAGTACCCTTTACCCTTTAATAGATTCCCTGTTGTCAAGATACATTCATCTACCCAGCATCTGCATGTGTTTCTGTCTGATGGACAGACACAACCCCCCCCCCCCCGGGGCCCCCATTCTTATGGCGTCTTCGCACTTCGAGCCAGCTTATCATTGCGAGGCCTTGCACATATATTGCCTTTTTGCTGTTCTTCGTTGCGATTCTTTTCGCCCGCGAAGCGAGGGAGACGATTTCTCCTTGCATCATGTATATCACCTTTTTCTCCCTTGCGGCTATACCGTGGTTCCGTGCTAGTGCTTTTTCTGGATCATTTTTACTTCCGCATGGCTTCTTTCCATGTCTATGTTTTAATAATGAATTCCGGTAATGTGGACTTCCGGTCTGGTTTCATTCGGTACGATTATTTCGTAACATTCGTAGATATACAGTAGAGTACTAGTTAGTGATATGGGTTATGCGACCAAGCGACATCATGTCGTGAATGAGTTGATATAATACTGGATAACACTTGGTTAGAATCGGTGCTCAACTTGGGGGGTCTGAGATTTCTTACTGTCAAGCATGATTCCTCCCCATTCCAGCTGCCCGGCAAGTAGACATACAGGACGAGCGCCGTCTCATTAATGAAGCCTGCGAGTGTTTCCTCATTAGTAAGCCCCAGTCGAACAGCCACGATCAATCTCTCAGACGGACTCACAAGCAACGACCTTTGGACTTAACCGTCCAACACTCAACACACGACTCCAATCCTTGCCATCGATCCTCACCTTCGCCCACCCAGACTCATCATCATCTCCAACCTCCCGCATCCGCTCACTCGGCAACTGCGAATACTGATCCTGTGTAATATGCGCCGGATCCAATGGCGGGTTAACCAGTTCATCCCAAACACTCGCAATCCTTAAATCATCTGTCGCAATCGATAGCCGCAACTTCCCATGCATATTCGCCGACAATTCCAGCTTGGGCGCCGCATTCGCAGAAAGCACATTCGCAGCCCCCGTAACATTTCCACTCTCCCGGAGGCTGACTCCAATACCCGCCTGCCGACCCTTCGGATCCGCAGACGCAAGTTTGGTAAATCGATCCGAAATACTCTTTAAATGCGACAGGCTGGGCAGGATAATGTGGACGTCTGGGTCTGGACAGTGCGGCTCATGCAGGCCCTCAACGACAGTCTCGTGCAGGATTTTGATTGGGATTTCCTGCGTGATGCGCGTTTCGCGCTCGCGAGCTCGTCTGTCGCCGACGACGTCTTGGTCTTGTCGGTAGGTTTCGCCGGTTGCCAGGGCCATGTTTCCTTCTGTCCAGTCCGAGGCGAGGATCGTTAATGCGAGAAGGGGGAGTTTGTCTTTCTTCGTGAGGCGGAGTTGGGCTTGAGTTGCGCCGAATGTGGAGCGGAGGGCGCGGTTGAGGTTACTGATGTTGATTTCGATGTTGATTGCTTCGGAGTTGGATTCCATTTCGTAGGTGTTTTCCTCGAAGATCGTGTCCTTGCTTGGTCAGTTGCCAGATATCTCTTGTCAAGAGTGATTGAGGACATACAACGGGGATTTGCGCCCATACTTGAGTCCCTTGGTCGGGGATGATGGTGAAGCGCACCACATCTTGCTCCAGGCGCATCCAACATAGCTTGCCGAGAGAGGACAGCGAGGCCGTCAATTCTGGCAGGGTGAGCTTGGTTCACTCAGTGAGGGGTATTTCACTTACTGGAGAAGGTCTTGGTGTTCTTTAATTGCGTGCGGAAGCGCATTCTGGTGGATTGCTGGGGTTGACGTGTGGAGAGATCGGCTTGGATGTCGGCTTAAGGTGTTTTGGCTTATCGTTATCAGCATTTTCCACTTTACGCGCCACGCGTCTGCCTGGAAGCTAGATCGAATGCCATTGTATCAAGCTTGCTAGAGCGTTCTACTTTTTGATGAATCTATCCAATCTGTTCTATACCAATCTGCCTGCCTTCCTTCAGCGCCAAAGCCGCCGCCAACGCCGCCCCGACACCTGAGCCATCTTCCGACGCGTTCAACGAGATCGGCCCAACCTCGTCGTGCGGCCAGTCAAAAATATCACGGAGACCCTGCATCGCTCGGTCCTTGAACCCGCTGTACTTGTTAAACACAAATCCATCCACGCCAACGTGGCACTTGTTGATCTTGTTCTTCTTGCAAATGGCCGCAATGCCACAGGCATAGAGACGCGCCGCTCGTGTCGCGATCAACCCGATCAAATACCGACATACCTTCATCTCATCGATGGACGGCGACAGGCTAAGCTCATTTTCGAACTCTTCGCGCATATCGTCAAGACCTTCCGAAATATCTAGCTCCGCGATCGAAAGAAATGTTGCATCGAGCGCGTTATTCTGTCGCAGGCGGGTAACGTCCTGCCCTTGAAATAACTGTCCTTCCCCGTGCATCTTGAGCATGATTAACCGTATCATCTCCCCGATGTACAGGCCCGACACCATTTTTTCATAGATTTGGGTCCCGGGTCGAAGTGATTCTTCGTCAATCTGTCGGTCGAAGGACGTGAGAGGCAGGATTTTGCAATCATTGTCGATCGCGCCGTATTCAGTGTTGATGATGACCTTCGCGTCTTCGGGCAGACCATATTCTTCCAGCTTCGGAATCAATCGACATTCTTCCATGTATGCCGCATTAGTACCGGTGCTAAAGATGCTGCCGACCTTGACGTGAGGGTCGCGATAATGCGAGGCGATGAGCGTTCCGGTCGTGTCGTTGAGGAGTGCGACGACTTGGACGGGAATTTTCTGCACAAAGAATCAGACAGGGACATCTTGTTGCCATATATCTTGATGGTGAAACTCACCTTCCTTGCTAATGCAGCTTCCAGTTGAGGTATAATGTCTTCCCCCTCAACACCCGAGACATTGAATTTCTTTGTCCAGCGCTGCAGGATTCCACTCCGAATGGTCTTTTGGTAGACCGGCCAGGAAAAGGTGAATGCCAGCGGCAACGGCTGGTCTTCCGGAGCCTCAATGAAATTTTCCTTCATAAACGCCTGCAGATGATCCGCAATGAAGTTCCACAACTGCTCCCCAGTCCCAGATTTTATTTCGGACGGTATTTTATACTTTCTCTGTGTTTGCTCGAAGTCTCTCTTGCGGGGGCAGAGACTCACATAGCACACGCGCAAATTCGTTCCGCCCATATCTATCGTGAGGTATCGACCTTCTTCGTGGCCGTTGGGAAAGTTCATGACCCAAGTCACGTTCATTGGCTGTCGTGAGAACCTGATGTCAAAACATGTTTCCACCGGCTTAGACGGGGATACTGACAACATTCCCTCCTTCCTTGGTAAGACCCTTCTCAAGCTCTTTAACAAAATCGTCTGTGATCTTCTTCAAAACGGTTGCATCCAGAAGAAACCAGTCCTCGTATTTTTTGAGATCGTAGGTGAGAAGTTCCCCCACGCCCTGGAGGATCTCGGGACGGTAGCGAAAACTCGACATAATTGCTTCAGACATTTCGACGTCGTTTTAGTGTTGTATATGCATGCACATACGCGATTGAATAAATGTAGCTACTAAGGCAGATTCTCCTCTCCGAAATCTCGGAATTGTTGTGCTCAGAGAGCTCAATTTGCCGCGACAACGCCACGATGACCACATCATGACAATGCTCGCTACGAAAATGAGCAGTATAATCACCGAAATTACTTACATGAAAGAGTAGTATGAGTAATCTCAATATCTCTACATTATTGCTATAATCTGCGCGACTATCGGGGTCTGCAGTGTGAGGCATCACATCGGTCACAAGTACCTCCGTTAGTTGCCTCGGTAGCGACGTGGAGATGGATGGTGTAGTATGATAGAAGCATGCAAGGAGATATGAATTTGAACAAATTGACAGACCAATATATCCATTATTTCCATCTGTCCCATCACTATTCCTTGCAATGCTTCCCTCGATGATAGCTATTATTCCAATATTTCCTTCTAGATAGCTTCTACTCTGGTATGACTAAGGCGTCGCTGGGTCGTTGATCGGCAGCTCCAGTCCCATCCGTGCCCCTTTTGGCTCCACCTCCAAAGAACCATCACTTATTCCCCGAGAGAGAAAAAAAAAAAACAAAGACCTTTGGTGTTTATTTTCTACAGAGCACCTGCAGAAGCTCGCTCTTTTTTGTGTGATCAGTCGCCATATAAAAACGACGGAGCTGGCCTGTCTCTGCGGTGTACATCTCCTTACCGCCGGGCCTCGTGTTTTTGCTGTTTGGCTGTTTTCGCGCGTCTGCAACTGACCAGCTGCAAACCTCCCTCGTGCGCGCAATTTTCTCCGGATCGTACCTCAGCATGCGGGCTCGTCAGTCCCTCCGTCCGCCTGCATTATCCCGACCTCCATCATTATTCCCATGCCATTCCGATCCGGCTGAAGCTCGCCTCGTCTCTCTGTGAAAGCCGAAGCCCACGCTGGAAGCTGACCAGGGCTGACCAGCCTGCCCTGTACCTTTCGGAATGGCAACTAGTCGAATCAGTCCTCTCCGTCCCTCGATTCGCCTCTCGCCGGCTCATTCCCGAGACAACTCCCGCTCCGCCTCCCCTGACAGACATCCAGAGTCGCTGTATCAAAAGATAGACCCCCTCCTGGCAAAACTGTCCCCCGAATCAACCCTCCACGCCCTGACCTCCACCGAAGCGGTTCCATCAAACGAAAAGTTCTCCCACGATGTGCTCTCCCAGAGCATCTCTCAGGTCTCGCCGGCCGAGCGTGCCCTGGGGATACGCGCCGCGGTAGCCGCCCAGAACTTGAATGTCTGGTATAAGGAGGTTCAAGCCTGGTCCTGGCCGAAACATGTCGATGCGAAGCAAGGAAAAGGATTTGTTCCCCCAGTCGACACCCAAGCTGGTGACAATGGCAACAGCTCGAGGCCCGATGCGTCGAATACGCCGGTTCAAGGGGCTACTAGTGACGTGGCGTACTATGGGTGTCTGCCGTCGGGCGTGGTGGAGCAATATGAGCAGAGGATAGAGGAAATCCGGGACGGAATGGACGATTTAAACGTGGAGGAACTGAAAGAGCACGTTTTGAGTGCCCACATTCCATCCCGTTCTCGCCCTTCCTCCTCCACAAGCACCGTGTCGGTACCCCCGCCGCTCAGCTATGTCCAGCTCAGTGACTTCACAGCCGTCGTGACTGCGACCATCCTACGCGCGTTGCCCTTTCTGTCGCGTCTCAATAGTCTTCTCACCACCTGGGATGTCCGTTTAGTTGTCCTTCGCCAGATTCCGGGCCTCCTCAGAGAACTCAAATTGACTCGAACCGCCCTTGAAGCCTCCTTTCACACGTTGCGAACTTCCGATCCCTCCGAAACTAGTCCGACCTTCCTCTCCAGCTCATACCTACGCGACGAACATGTCAAACTTGAATCTGCGGTTGTCGCTGTGGGCCGGCGGATGGACCGCGCCCTGGACGCGTTGGAGGGTCGACAGGATTCCTTGCCAGACAGCTGGATTGATGATCTCGAGGGAATCGAGTCGAATTTCGCGGCGTGGGTAGTTGAAGTTGAGCAATACAAGCTACGAACTGAGTGGCTTCGTACCAAGGAGCAGCCGAAGACGACAGAGGAATCCAAGGATGCTGAGCCCAAACCCAACACCACCACCGAGGAAGCGCCCGAGGAAACACAAATGCAGGAAACCCGGATCGTGGAGATAACCGAGCCGGAGATTCCAGATCATGCACAGATGGAGATCATTGAAGAAGAATCCAAGCATGAGATCGATATTCCAACAACTATCGAGCAACATGATTCGCAGACGGAGACCAGCGAGGAAGAAACCAAGTTTGAAACCAATACCCCAACAGATACCAACACAGGAAAACTGGACGAAGCCCAGCCCGCACAAGAGCCGGAACTGTCCTCTACTGAAAGTGATTCAATCCTGCCGACTTCCTCTGAACCCGACACGCCGCCTAGCCAGCATATCTCAGAAGGACCAATTGATCCATGCGTGAGCGAGGAATCCAAGGAACTGCCCCAGAGTGTGCCGACTGCTCGCATTGTCGAGGAAGCCCAGACTCCTACTCCAACTCAGGCTACCTTCCCTCCATTTCCATCGATCCAAGAGGTACAGGAGCTTTCGCCCACTCGACTTCCACTGCCAGCCACGCCGAGTATTGAGAATAAGGAGAACATCCCGCCTCCTGAGTTTGTACAGGAGCATGCTCCTCCATCCCGCGAGTCTTCAACAAAACCTACTGCTCTCGCAGAACGGCAGGTGGACGATGATCCGTTTGTCCAGAGACCTGCGTCTCCTAAGGTCACAAAGGTCGATGTTCCAGCAACTCCGCAGGTTTCTGTTTCTGTCGATCCTCCTTCCGAGGATATCTGTAAAGCAGATCCAGCTCCTTCGCAAGCTGTTGAGCCCGAGAGCGTTAACACCAGCAATGCTCAGCCGCCCGTTGGAGGCGTCAGCATGGATTGCGACTCGAAGCAGGCTGAACAATTGATTGCTCAACCTGTTTCAGTGCAATCATCGGAAATCATGGTGGCTCACACCCTCGAATTCGAATCAAAGGAAGATTCACCTGCTCCTACTGTGGTAGAAAAGTCTCCAGTAGATACCGCTCCAGTCGATTCACTCTCACAGCCGACAGAAACTTACGACCCAGTTCCACAATCGACAGAATCGATACAGAAACCTCTCCCACAACAGCAGCCTCATTACTCTGTCAAGGACAGCTTCAAGCCAACTGAATCTTGTCCGCCAAAACAGGCTCCTTCAAAAAAACCATTACAAAGTCCTATCAAGCTTGGCAAACTTCGGCCGGGAAAACTCAATCTTTCAAAGGATGCCCCGAAACCTCGCTATCGTCGACCATCCACCGGGTCTGTGGGCTCTCTGCCATCCAACAACTCCTCCCTCATCTCTAGCCCGAATGACCCTGGACCTCATACCGGTTCGTCGAAAGACGGGCCTCTCCTTACACCCCCTCTCTCGGACTTTCCTCAGCCACCTTCGCTCCCATCCCGTAGTGATCATGCTCTGCGAGAGGACCGTCTTCGCAGACTTGACCGACGCAAGGTCTCCCCTCGAACTGCCTTCCAAGAAAATCGCACAGTCAGCCTGCCCCTTGAGCGATTCATCAATGAAAAGATGGATCTTGAAATGGACAACGAGGAACCAACTCGAGATGCTACCAGCCGCATGTCATCGAAGAAGGCACCTACATCTCGGAAACCTCATCCCATTGGCAGCTCTGCACCCCCGCCAGTGCCGTCCCGGTCCTCGAGCCGACGCCCCGCCTTGACACGCGGGAAGTCTGCATCCGATTTGAAGGCCAGTGACCAGGCCTCTCAGAACGCGGAACGCAACGTGCGGGCTTCCTCGAAAAATGCCGCTCTTCGCTCCGTTCATAACCAGGGCCAGCCGAAGTCTGTCCGTCTACGCCAACGCCTTACAGCCCACCCCAGTCTTGAGAGCTTGGGTGTCAAGAGACAAGAGCTTGACTTCGTGGAAGAGGATGAATCGGAACTGACAGATCTTGGTTCGAGGGCTTCCTCGCCGAATAGGCAGCGGAGGAAGCCCAGGGATCGCCTTGACGAGAAGGTGAATTCTATTCTGAGCACACTGCCCGGTCGTATCAACCTCGTCGACCCGAACAACGAGGCTGATACGTCGTCCTCATCTTCATCCATGGACCGCAGAATGCGCGAGCGATACCTTTCAGAATCACCTCAGGGAGCTCCGTCCCGCAGCATGACGCCTGGCCCGTCCCTCACACTTATGCCTGCAGCGCGAAGGCGCTCACAGGTATTCAAGTCTGAGGACAGCTGCGTCAGACTCTACCACCTCCAACACGCTGGACAATCAGCACCCACGAAGCTCTTCGTCCGCACAGTCGGCGAAGAAGGTCAGCGAGTGATGGTGCGTGTCGGAGGTGGATGGGCTGACCTAGGTGAGTATCTGCGCGAATATGTCATCCATCACGGCCGTCGCAAGGTCTCCGAGTCTCCCCGCGTCGAGGTCCAGGGCCTTGCATCTCGCTCTTCGCCTGGCTCCATGCTCTCTCCTCCCGCACCAACCTACATGTCCTCCGGCCGTGCAACCCCATCCCGACCTCCCTCCGTCATGAGTGCCCGCCCCGCCTCGTCCCTGAACGTCCGCAAAGTTCGACGAAGCTCCAATGCTTCCGAGATAGCTGGCTCCAGCTCTCGATCCGTGACAACCGGTGCTTTGGCTTCATTTACTTCACCACCTTCTGCCTCCGGAGGCCGCCGTCTCTCCATGTCATCCAGCTATTCCTTCGGAGATTCCCATTCTCCTGGTCGTGCCAATTCCCTCGCACCAGACTCCCATTCTACTCCTCTCGGCCTTGCAGGTCCTAAGCCTCGCTCCCGACAGGTCTCTATGAGCCCTGAAGGCGAGGCGTGGGTGGAAGATGTCTTGCAACAAACGCGTCGCTCAGGCACTCTGAACCCCCCGCCTTTTCCGCTCAATGCAACCCAAGAAACTGACCATCATGATATAAGTGATACTGTTTCTGTTCACTCGCTGCCCAAGGTCCGGAGTGTCAGTGACATCGGCTCTATCGGAACGAACCGACGAGTTGTGCTGAAGGGGTTGAGCAGCCGCAAATAGCGCGCCCATCTCTTTTCCCATTTCTAGCCTCTTCAAGTGGGTTCTATATTTCCTCTTTATTCATTTCTCGGAGTCTGCATCTCAAAGATTGACATTATGCATCTCTGGTTTTATTTATCGCTTTTTTCTACCCATTTGGTTCGGGAAACATTGCATTATTTTGGTTTGCATCAGCGTGGCGAAATTGTGACTTTATTTGTTTTGATTCATTGCTTAGACTTTTGTTGTTTCGGACTTGGATTTTGCTTTTCTCGCTCGATATCCTGATACATGTTTGCCGTTGGCGTTGTATATATAGCCTTGCTTTGACTCGACACCCGCTCGAGTAGAGACTCTACACATAGAGAGAAATATTCTCTATACAGTTTTCTTCTTTTTTTGACGTAGAAGCTATGCTCGTATTTCTCCTAGTGTCTGATCCGGAAATTCCAGGTTTCAAAAATTGTTACAGCAAAATAGACCCCCCACCCTTTAGCGATGGAATTAGGACTTGATATTGCTGAAGTCTGGGCCTTTTTGACTCGGAATCAGCAACAAAAACGCGCACTAGAAACTCATGTGTCTCCTTTTGTTTGTCTAACTTCTCCATCAAGGTTCCGATCAAAATCAAGGCATATCCATCGGTATCACTTGTTGAACTTCGTGACGTCGTGAACGAACGGATTGCCCAACTCTTTGCCGACTTGTTGAGATTTCTAGGGAACGTTAAACGACCGTACTCGCAAGGTCCAGAAACTTGGTTCATGATATAAAACAGACCCTCGTGTCCCTCGAAGCTCCCACCTGTTGCAATGAATTTTCCATTTCGCGTGAATATATTCTCCGCCAATGAGGAGCCTTCCTCGGATTTTGTGTCGACTAGTGTGAAAAAATTGTCCAGGAGCTGGATTATTGTTGGGGCCACGACTGTTGGCCATTTGATTTTGTCGGTTGAGTAGCCCATCGGAGGGACTGCGGTACAACTTGGCTATGCGGACAAAATGGGCCCCACGTCATAAATATCTTTGTTGAGTAGCTTTGATGAGATATGAAAAGCGAGGGAGAGACCCTGGATTGTGAGGATTGCATTATAAATCCGCGATCCTCGGATATTGCCCAGTTTGGACTCGGAGTCCGTAGATAAGCTCTGACCGGGTCTTCCATTGTTATTCGGTAGCACAATTGCATCTAGCCAGAGCCACTATTGTATGACTAAATTGCGTTGACTATGTTAAAAAATTTAAAAATGCAAATCGTTTTCATAGCGATGGTGAGACAGTAATGTGGAAGGGGCCTAGTCGTAGTAATGTCGTTTTGCCCATCGTGGCTTGAATACGAGCAATAATTCGGCATGTCTATATACTCTTTATTTGATAGAAATACAAGAATCACCCATAAAAGTGGCAACCATCTAACAGCTCTTCAACAAACTCTCCAAACCCTGAAGAACATCATGCTTCAGATCCTCAAACTCCTCGATGCCACAACTAATTCGTAGCAACTTGGGATCACACCCAGCATCACTCATAGCCCGCCACTCCATCAAACTCTCCACACCGCCCAGGCTAGTAGCATGCTGGAAAACAAACATCTTACTCGGCAACTGACGAGCATGATCCGGATTCTTCGCCAAGATAGAAAACACCGGCCCAAAGCCACCGGGCATCTGCTTCCGCAGCCACCCATCCTTCAAATCCTCATATTGGATTGATGCATGCTGCACACGCTCCAGAACCTGTCCAACAGGACTTGCAGCGTTTGAAATTTCCTCCTGGAGCCACGCAACAAGTTTCTCGGCAGTCTGAGCCTGTCTTGTTACACGGAGGTGCATTGTGCGCGCAGACCGGATACCCAACCACCCCTCAAAGCTACCCATCACAGCGCCCATATACTGTCGATCCTTGTGAAGAGACTTCAACCAGCCTCCTTTGGCTCGGTCCGGGTGAAGCACCAGGAAACCGCACAGCATATCCGAGTGACCGCCAACATATTTTGTTCCGCTATGCATGACGATGTCTGCTCCAAAGTCAAGAGGGTTCTGCAGTGGAGGTGGAGCGAATGTGGAATCCACTGTCAAGTATGCGCCCTTCTCTGTTGCTTTTGCGCGATAATAGGCAAGGTTGCGAGCTTCGCCGGTCGGATTGAGGGGTGTTTCGACGTGGATAACATCACCATGGCCAGCCTGCTCAATATCTGTCAACTCGAGCTTCTCCACGTTTGTCAATCTCTTGACGATGTCGAGCACGCCATGGCAACCGTGGTATCCGTCTCCGATAAAGACGCGCTTTGGGTTGATGAGGACCATCATTGCGAGGAAGGAGGAGAGACCGGTCGAGTAGGAGATTACTTCGCCGCCGAAGAGGCTGCGGAGGAGGACCTCCAATCGGTTGGAGTTTGGCGCGGTGTAGCGGGAATATACGTGGGAGTCACTAGGGGCGTTGGGCTGGATCTCGTCAGTGGAAAAGAACGAAGCTGGTTCGGTCAGGTTGGGCACGTACATCATTATTCTCCTCCGGGACGAGGTTCTCAGGGTCGCGCGCGTAACGGAAATTCACAGCAACGTGCATTCCAGGCGCAATTGCTCGGTGCGGTGTCACAAAGTCGTCGGCGTGAACGGCTCTAGTGGCCATGCCCATTTCGGGCAAGGCGTTGTTCAGGGCGTCGCCAGTAAGGACGAAGTTTGAGTCATTCTGACTGGTACGGTTGATTGTCATAGTCTTGGATGCACAAATCGTGATGTTTGGAGGACTTGAGTGACGAGCACCAAAAGGTAGAGCCAGAGCTATTCGTGATGAACAATATATTTCAATTCCGAGTGGGGCTTGGCTTCTTTGATGAACTAGGTATTGGCGAATGAGATGTTGATGTTGTTGTTTAGGGTGCATTGACACATGACCGGAAAAGGCCGTGTTTTGTAGGACATCTCGTGGATAAACACAGCGGTTTCTATATTGATTGAGGTACTCAGTGGAAATGAAAGATATGTCTTCGAATCAGCAAAATCTCAGAGCTCGCATATTTGAAATTGTCTGCATCAATTGCATCGATTGAAGGGAATGTATGATTACGACTCTCAGCATGTTTGTCACTATATCTTCACGGAGCAAACCCGTGTCTGCCTGATGCCAGCCATTCTCAATCCAAACGACTTGACAGTTGTCCTTGTGACACCGCCATGTCATACTTCCTCGCATGAATCAGACCAGCACATCTCGTATCATGAATTCCCTTCTGGACCAATTCAAGCGCCGGGGAACTTCCGGCCACGTGATCGGGAGCATGCCGCCACGAGTGCAACCCAGAACTGTGCGTGAAGAAACTCTATACCTTAGCAAATGCACGGACCGCTACGCTATCAGCTAGCACAGGGACCCAGATTGGCCTATGGTCACCCTAACGTACTATGAGGTAGGGGAACGCGGTGCATCTGCCGTCGGCTTTTGACCGTCTCAGATCAACGCGGCTAAAGTCCCTGTCATCATGAATTCGTTATCTGGTCGCGTGAGCGGAGATTGGGTTTTCTTGACGACTTGAAACAACATCACAGGGGGATAAATGGAGGATGTGGGAATCTGCAAACCCAGACAAATCGACCAAGACACTTCCATCCCATTATTAAGTGATTGATCGATCTTCGAACTCCACAAACATGGCCGCTGCCGTCGCGTCCCTTTTTGGGTACAAGGAAAATAAACCCACGCTTGATGTCAAAGCACCAGTTGAGCCGCCAAAGGCGCTGCCGGCCTCTTGGTATCGCTCGCCAGAGATGTACGAGCTCGAGCGACGAGCGATCTTCTCCAAAAAATGGATTCTCATCACCCACAAACTGCGTTTCGAGAAGCCCGGTGACTTCCTCCGCTTCCATGAAGCGGGATTCTCATTCTTCCTCTGCCAAGATCGACAAGGCAATATCAACGGTTTCCACAACATCTGTCGTCATCGCGCCTTCCCTCTCGTCCAAGAAGATGAAGGCAACGTGAAGATTCTCTCATGCAAGTACCACGGCTGGTCCTACGGTCTGAACGGAAACCTGGCCAAGGCACCACGCTTCGACGACGTGGAGGGTTTTCAAAAAGAGAACCAGGGTCTTCTGCATGTGCATGTACACATCGATGAGCTCGGATTTATCTGGGTGAATCTTGACGCTTCTTCAACTCCCGTTCCCTGGGAAGTTGATTTCAAGGGCGTTGATACCCAAGAGCGATTCCAGAAGTTCGATTTCAGCAAGTACAAGTTCGATCATACATGGCATATGGATGGTGATTATAACTGGAAGACGCTGGCGGATAACTACAATGAATGCTACCACTGCACAGTGGCCCATCCCGACGTGGCTAATCTGACCGACTTGTCATATTACTATACTATTTCCAAGGCGGGACATATTCAGCACTTCGCACGACCAAAGGAGGATAAAGTGGAGGAGGATATCCAGAATGCCAGCACCTATTACTTTCCGAATGCTTGCATGACTGTCTCGTGGGTACCCAGCATATTACCCCGAATTCGGACAAGGCGTGTACTGACTTTATCTTCAAAGTCCTCACTTCTTCTACATGATGCGCTGCGTACCCACATCAGTAAACACCTGCTCGATGGAATATGAAGTATACCGACACACCGAATCATCAAATGAAGACTTTGAATACATCGATAGCTTCTTCAAGCGAGTTCTCACAGAAGATAAATATCTTTGCAACGCTGCCCAGAAGAACCTGAATGCCGGTGTGTTTGTAAACGGCCAACTGCACCCTGAGCTCGAGAGCGCACCGCTCTTCTTCCAAAATACTGTTCGCTCGCTCCTCACATCGCATCGACGGGACGAGCAAAAAGAAAGCAGAGACATATGGCCCGCTCGTCAGAGCACCGCCGGCTCGGCGACTGCGGAGGATATGGACTTTTGCTCGGGACTGGCGTGTTCGGCGGAGAAGAGCGAGCTGGAGTGGTGATGGCATGTGTGAATTAATTGGCTGCTTGAGTTTGATAATGAAGGCCTAGAATGCCCTTTTGCCTGTACTGTGCTTATCCACCTACCCTGGTCGATCCTTACTAGTAGTCCCTGCTAGTCCCTAATAGAATGAAGTAGACTAATCAGAGGCACGGTTGTATCATTGCTTATCGCCCCGTAATCGGTGGGTCACTTGGGCTTCTCCGCACGCCCAAACGGCTTCCCACCCGAAACCCCGCTCTGCATTCAAAAGGCTGCTGACACGCTGGCGAGATTGAACATAGCTAATTCCACACGGAGTGCATACCCTTAATGAATCCTCGGGTCAGCAAGAGATCCCACCAGGCCTGCGAAAACTGTCGGTGAGTTGATAAGCAGTTACTGTATGGAGTTGCTCCATACTAACATGCAACAGGCGAAAAAAGACGAGATGTCCAGGGGAGCGACCCGCGTGCTCAACTTGCACGCGATTGCAGCAAACATGCCAGTATAATCGAGGCTGGGGCTCCTGGGAGGGTTCGACTGGGATGGTACGCGTTTCAGTGATACACGGCGGCAATAATTGCTAATATAAGCAGGAGAATCGATTGAAAATGCTGGAGGAGAAAATGGATATTATGCTCGAAGGGTCAGTTCTATTTCTTTTGGTCTTTGGCATGCTAGACAAGAGCGCTGACTTTGCAACAGATCAAGTCACCAAGTCGGCAATCCGGGGACCCCGAAATCCTACTCGCACGGGTCTGAAAGTCGTGAAGCCACCTCTGAGTCAAGCGAGGCGCGAGATGTAGCAAAACAAGGTGTACCAGATGATGATACAACACTGCAACTGGTAGATACGATGCCCTTCTCCCTACCGCCGAAAGAAATCGTGGCAGAGTCGATCAATCTCTACTTCCAGTACTGCCACAAGCAGCCTTTGTGGCTCCTCGATCCTGAGGAACTTACCAATCCAGAGCGATGTCGGAACGAGATTTTATTTGGAGTCCTGGCTCTCTCACTCCGCTACTCTTCAAATCCATACCTAGAGGGACGTAAGGATCAGATGTGTCGACAGTACGCGGAGTCCGCCCGAGGCTTAATCATGTTTCGAATCGCACAGGGCAGTGTGGATCTTTCGACAATGCAGAGCTTATGTCTCATTGCGTTAGCTCAATATATTGGTAAGTGCTGCAAAGCGCTGCATAACATGACTATGTTGCTCACGTTATGGAAGCAAATGACACAGATCTGGCGATGCTGCATATCGGCCTGGTTACCAATCTCGCAAAATGCGGCGGACTTGACGTGGAGCAGGATGATATCTCATTATTTCCTGCCTCGGAGTCGCGAAGACGATTGTTCTGGAGCATCCATTTTCTTAACCAGCAATACGGCCTGCGCAGTATGCAGCTTAACATGCTCCACGATATCCATCGGCCCGTCTACGAAACCTTGAACATGGGATCGCCTCGACAAATGGGAACTAAGCCACCTGGGCTTCCTCAGGAAACTGGCATATTCACTTCCAGAGGCGATATTTGGGTTTACATGGTACAATTGGGCTGTCTCTGGTGCGAGGTACAACAATACGTCTCGCACTGCTCGAGTGGAGATCTGACACCTCCTTGGTCGGTAGAATCCGGCTATTCTATCCTCGGGGCGCACCTGATGGATGTGGAGACCAAGTTTCCGACTGTTCATCGCTGGGACTCTGTTCGGTTCTGGGAACAGCCGAAAGAAGACTTACACGCAGAACGGGGGTATTGGAGTCCCTGGGTATATCTTCAATTCACCTACCACGCCATCCATAGTGTCCTTAATCACCCGTTCATTTATTCTTGGCGACCACAACAGTCTGCTCAACTAGCTGTACCCAACACATTTTGGAAGACATCTTCTGAATTAGCACTGATTCATTCGACATGGACCGTTCGACTGATTGAAATGATCACCGAGAAGGAGTATCAGCTTTCTGATCCCTTTTTGGCCCATGCTGTATCAATTGCAGCGACTATTCACATCTACTACTGCCGCGCAGCGGATCCTGCTATCCGAGAATCTGCCCAACGCAGCGTAGATGTGTGCATCAAATTCCTCGGAGAATTGGCGCTGAAATGGCCGCGGTGCCAACCAATGGTGAGAAAAAATCACATGCATCTTTCAGGATCCAAATAACAGTCATCAGCACCAAAAACTACAAACCCTCGTCCACTCGGCATTCACCGGAAGTCCAGACGTAAATAACAAGCGCTCATCTCGCCGCACACTTTCAATAGACACAGCTCTGATGTGGGACATCCTCCTTCACAACTCCTCCCGATCCTCCTTTTCTTCTCCGGGAGAAGGCCTCTTCGATATCTCCTTCCTACAAGCCCAAACTCCAAACGATAAGCACCAGGATAAAGTCACCGTCGAGACGGAGATCTTCCATCGTTCAAGCAGAGCAGTGGACACCTCTGATGGCGGCCAAGCTCTTCCACCTTATTCAAGTAAAGTGGGCGACCGAGCCAATTCTACGAGTCCTGTTCATGGACCCTGGAATGCAGATACCATTGGCAGTGACACGACTCAAATCCCACTACCGAGGGAATCGCTTTATTCTGGAATCGGCCTCCAGGGTGATATGTCTTTTATGGATATCACCCATGATCCTTTTTTCCAGTTCCAGGATCATCAGCAGCCTTATCTTGGCATTTGGGAGATTGGGAATTTGTAATACTACAAGTCTTTACTTTCTGCTTTATCCTTCGCTACATGCATCAGCGACGTGGCTTCACGAGAATTGGATCATTCTTAAATAACGAGGTAAATTGAAATTAATCATCCTCAGCTCGGGCTTCATCAGTTGATTTCTCACGGCACTGTTGCACCTGCCAGCATGTCTCTCCGGTGTTAAAGGCGGCCCGGAAAATACATCCGGAAGCTCTCCGTCGTTCGCCCAACATTTAGACCGAATACTAATCATAGTTAACACACATGATAGGCCCGATAATAGGTAGCGGCCGGAACCATAGCGACTCTCTTCATGAAGTCCTAGTTTCACACGCTGAGAATCCGAGCATGGAAGGCGTACTTTCCTTAATGACCGGAAACCGTCCATAATTCCCCGGTCACATGAGCGGAGCCCCGAAGGGAGCTATAGAAGCATGTAATCGTCACTGCATTTCGCGGCGGGTTTATATTTCCCAATTGAGATCTCCTCAGTAAACCGGTGGTGATTTGTGCCCGCATTCCTTATCGCTCCGCATTTGGGTGCTTTAATTTGGTCGGATAGCTAGGCTGGCGAGATGGGGGGATTGCCCTTCTGACTAGGCGGTCTTGTGCTGGGAACAGTCCATGTAGACCCCAACAGAGTGAAGTAAATCGTGGCTGTAGGAGGCCCACTTGGATGTCGGTGGTAGAGTAAAGCTAAAGCGCGGAGAGCGGTATAAATCGCAGCGGTTATCAATCAGCGATCCACACCGGGGTTGTTGGTATCGTTTCCTGCCATTGTATCTACAGCTGGTGCGGGATAACGCCAATTATTTGATTTATTCCATGTCTGCATATTAATCACCCTTTTAATTTTTTTTAAAAGGCTTTCGTGAGATGGCTTCAAAGTCTAACGAGATGGGCAAGTCACAACACCAGAAAGGGGAGCAGGACTCAAGCAATGCCATTCCTGGTCCCGATGTGTATCGCTGGATCAAGTTGATCAAGCTCTCGCGGCAAAAATGAATTTAGTAAACGATGTACGTGACCGCTTCGGACCTACTGGACCGATTTTCATCAAATTATTTTTGACCTCCACAGGCAACTGATTAAATTGGATGCACGGCCTACCACACAAACTATTCTCTCTGAATGGCTTCGGGTGAGTCCAGTCAATTCCAAGTGTAATCAGAAAGAGCGAAACGCTAACTCATTTACTCACAGCTACGGACTCGACTCCCTCCTCCTCCTTTTCCTCATGTCCATTTCCTAGGGTTTTAGGGTTTTAGGATTTCCGCCCGACTAAGTCGTATCACAATACCCTCCGAAGTTCAACCGAGGTGCACAACTGGGCTTCTACCTCGCACTGCTAGTCGGCGCGCTGTTCTGGGGTAGCACAGCCGACATCATCGGACGAAAATGGGCATTCAACTTCTCACTTCTCACCAGTGCCATCTTCGCCATCGTGGCGGGCGCGGCCCGAACTACGCAGCTTGGTCGACCCTCGTCGCCATCTCGGCTTTTGGCTCTGGCGGTAATCTGGTCGTGGACACTACTGTGTTTCTGGAATACCTCCTGTCAAACAAGCAATGGCTTTGACTCTTCTGGCGGGCTGGTGGGGCGTCGGCCAGACTGTTGCTGGTCTGGTTGCTTGGCCTTTCATGGATATGTTTTCATTGTCCCTTTTTGGTATGCCCTAGGTACTGACTTATCCCAGCGGGCTATAGTTGTCCCTCGCATGCTCCGTGTCATCGTGATTCGGTTCCACGAAACGCCCAAGTACCTCTTCTGTCAAGGCATAACGAAGAAATCATCAAGACCGATGATAATCTCGCACAGAAGCATGACCAGGAATGCCGCCTCACCCTCGATCAGCTACAAGCCTGCGGTCAAATTCACAGCACACACGCGCAGAACAAGGCCACTTTCGCCGAGGTTGGAGTGCATATCCGAGGTCTCTTTTCCGCGCGTTTCCTTACTTTCTCGACGACATTGGTCTAGCTTTCTTGGGCGTTGATTGGGTTTGGGTATGCGCTTCCCTATATCTATATCCCGGAGTACGTAGCGTCTCGTGGTGCATCGACAGGTGAGACTTCGACATAGATCACATGGCGAAACTATGCGATTCCGAACCTGTGTGCGGTTTCTGGTCCGATCATTGCGGGCTTTATGTGTGAATTGCCATCTTTAGGTGGAAAGTGAACGATGGCTATCGGTGCTTTCACAAATAGTGAGTCACAGCAAACTTCTTAAAAAAAGAGCAATCCAGCTGACGCTTAACCAGTGGCATTCTTCTTCGGCGATGCAGCCGTCAAAACAGGCTCTCAAATTCTAGGATCCTCATGCGCAATCTCCGTCTCGATCAATATGTACTATGCAACCCTGTACGCCTATACAATTGAGATCTTACCTTCTGCACACCGCGATACTAAAAATGGCATTGCGGTTGCGCTAAACCGCTTGATGGGCATGGTTTCTGCGCTTATTGGGGCGTTCACGTTGACATCCACTACGGTCCCTATTTACGTATGCGGTGATCTTCTGAGAATGTGTGGTTTTTTGACGATTCTTTTCCCCTTGGAGTCGCGCGGAAGACAAAGTATCTAGATTGTCTTTTGTGGTTAGGCTTGTATATAAAAATTCATCTCAGAATATGTTTTGCATTACGGGAATTGATTTTATCAATAGATTGTTTTCCAAGAAATCAAGGCTTGTTCTTACTTTAGAGGATAAATGACATTTAAAAATATTTTGCATTGCGCTTGTGCAGCTCCTGATCAGAAAATAAGACAAGAGAAAAACGCTATCATACAACGCCTGAGCAAACCGTCCGTATACTTGGATATCACATTGCCGATAGCCCTCATGAAAGCAATACAAGCTAAGTGGCGCATGATGTACATTCAGAAATCATAAGATCGTAACCGAGAAAGGGTACCACCGTTCTACTACCCGAAAAGCAGGTAGGTTATCTCAGATTCTTCAGGACCACATTAACAGTTCACCACGTCTGCTAGCGCCTCCAGGGGACGTCCTTCCTAAGCAGCTCACGCAGCTCCGGGGAAATGACCTTCGGCTTGTCCTTATCAATCGCTTGCTGGAGAGCGGATGGGGGGTTGACAGAGCTGCTAAATCCAACAGTCAGTTGTTGAGCTTGCTTGCCCTTGCCAGCGTCCGATATGGGTTCGGTCCCAGAAGTGGGTCGGCGTTGTTGGGCACTAGGGGCAGCAGGGAAGTTGTCCTTCTTGTCGATGGCTTGAACTGCACGTTCGAAGCGATGGAAAAGTGACTCCGCTCGGGTGAGGATGGGCACAAGTTCCATCGTGTTGGAGAGTTCGTTGATATACTTCAGAACCTCGTCGAAGTGCTTAAGGTGGTCCATGATGATGTCGCGATGTTTCTCGAGAATAGCGAGCGCAATGAAGAGGTGGAAGCTGCTGGAGAAATAATCTGTCCAGAGCGTCTCCCAGAGACGGAGAGTATCGCTCCATTCGAATTCCCGCTTGTACCAGACTAGGAGCATTCGGAAGAAGAAAAAGAAATTTGTGCTGTCGGCCGATTGCAAATGCAGGTAAAGCTGGGGGTCCATGAGTTGGACGAGCTGGTCAAGGGCAAGAAGCTGAGAGCGCATTCCGGATTGATCCCTGAGGAAGTTTCGTTCCTGCTTCGTGTTGGCTTTGGTTCCATTGAGACTATGGAATACATTGCGTAACTCACCATTCGGTCCATGAAGCCTACGAAAGCCCAGAAAGCAACCGCGTCGTCTTGCATAACAGCATAGAGTGGTGCCAGAAGATCACTCATTCCTTGGACGTAGCCCAGGTCCGGGTTGTACTCGTTGTATGTAAGAAGCATATCCTTCATCTGTTCCAAGTGCACATTTGTGCCTGTGTCTGCAAAAGGAGAGTCGGGGTCGGGGTGTGGTATATCTTCTCCCGCAAAAAGAGGAATAGTCCGATCAGTGCGGTGGACATCCTTCTCTGTGTGGTATGTTAGTGAACGGATCCCTCACAAAGCTGGAAAGAAGTTTTTCTGACCTATTCTATTGCGCTGTTCTCGCCAATTTTCATACTCCTCTGATGTTGAGTTGCCTTCCACGAGGCGCTCCCACCATCCCGCTTTGAGTCGAACGTATTCATCTCTCTTCGAGTTCATGATTGCTTGACGCTCATCGTGGCTACTGTCCCAGGGGTACACTCCCAGTAGGAAGAGCCAGGCTTCTTTACGTGTACCATCGTTTGGATCCAATCCTCCATGGAAAATTCGCTCTTTGACCTCTTCTTCCGTTACTTGCAGCCTTCCAGACGTGGGGTCGAAGAAGCCTTCCCATTCGGGAAGAGCGAGGGTTCGCCGGCGTTCCCGAAGAGCAAGATTTCCAGTTTCAAGTTCGAGAATCTCAAACTCTCCAACGGAGCTATCCTCAGACTCAAGCACATCTTGCGCTGTCCAGATACGCTGCTTTCGTTCCTTTTCGCTTTGCTCCGCAATACTCATGGCCCACCGGGCGAGGTAGATCCGAGCGCTGTCGAATTCATCTTGCAGGGTCTGGATCTCAGGGTTCTTCATGAGACGCCGCATCTGCGGTGGAATGCGTGGATTCTCAACAATGTCGTTTGCAGTTCTCCTGGTGAAGGTGGTGATTTTGCTTAGTTGCTCCAGCACTTTCCACCGGGTCTCTTTGAGTGTTTTCATGAATGGGTCCATGCTCGCATCCCTCGGGGCAGCACCTGCGCTCGGTCCTGCAGTCGCGGCTTCCGGTTGTGCTTTGGAGGCCACCGTGCCGTCTCCGGGTACCAAGGCGCGTCCGAACGATAGCTGATCTTCGGCCGATGGGTTGATTAGATAGGCATTTCGATCGACCGATGAGCGCTCCACATCAACATATCTCCGCAGCCACCTCAACACCTCATCCCCACCCCAGAAAAGACTACCCTCGTTGTCGAAAGGGTCGAAACTCTCCTTGACCAGCTTTTTCTTTTGAAGAATGGTGGATTCGCATTCACTGTCGTGGAAGAACAACGCAGGGAAGCTGTCTCCGGAGCGAGTATTGATGACCAGGCTTCCAAACCACCAGCCAAAGCTAGGAGGGCGCACGAGTAGAGAGTAGATCTCGGATACGGGGACGGCGAAGGAGTAGAGGCCGATCGGGTCACGGTAGGTGGTCGTCATCGGAAGGGGCGGGACGAGGTATCGCTGGCGAGGAGGTGCATCATCGTCACACAGATCAACCTTCACGTAGGTATCATAGGCGTCGCCCAAGGATGTTTCGGGTACCCAGGCTAGGAGAAACGAGGCGGCTTCATTGTTGCGGGATGAGCCACCAGTGGAGTGGACCGGCGCGGGTGGGGGCTTTTGTTGAATGAGGGCGATAAAACCGGCAATATTGTCTTTGGAGGAAGGGGTTGGGTGAACGTAGACCTGGTACATCCGTCAGTATGCGATGAAGCTGAGCGTGGGTGAGAGCGTACTTTGCTTTTAGAATAGAGCAGCTTCACTCCCTTGCGGGACTGGGCATGGGCGATGGTGCTGTACTCGTCTTCATCCTCGTCACTGACATCGTAGAAAGATGCAGTGGGTGACGGAGGCGAGGCCGGAGGAGTGTATTTGGCCGCCATGCTGGGGTCAAATGCGATAGTTGTAAAGTTGAAGAAGCACAGTTGGACAGGCGTTGAAGACGTAATGCCGATAAGATAAGCCGGCCGCTCCACCGCGCGCGCGAAGTACACTGGCGGCTTATGACTGTCTTTTCCTGCTGCTCTCGCCTTGCATTTTTTGCTACCGATTTTCTTTCAGTGAAATCAGTTTGTCTTTCTACATCAAAATATTATATTTTTGTTTTCTCTCCCCGGTGCAGTCGTGGCGAGTCGCCACCGAGCTGGAAAGCGCCAGGCAACAACAAACCCCGCAGGTGGAGTCAAATCATGCCATTAACATCATCCAGCATCAAATCAGATAGATCAACCACTTGTGGTCTTAAAATTAGAAGTTGTAAACCTTCCACGCTCTTGTTCTTTATTTCTTTGAGGCAATGTCATTCAGCTGGCATCCATATCACTAATATTGAGGCCTATGTCGTCAATATATATCTCACGGAAGAATCGACAATAATTATTTCTGATGGCCGCTGGTACTTCTGAATTTCGACGCAGTAACTAATTCTTGAACAGAATATTTTTACCTTATTCGCGATTCTGGAATTTTACTGTAACGATACAGTCTTAGTGATAGTAGTATTCCCAGTGCGAAATTAAAAGTCGAGTCCCTGGTCATCAGGTGGCCAGTCATCCCCTAATGCGGCTTGGAACCACGGGGTGGGTGCCATCACGAGGACAACACCCAAATGCAACATTGAAATGTCTGCAGCTATAAGAAAGGATATGGAAACCAGGTGTGCATATTAGTATGCTCAGGTATTTAGACAGAACCTACCTAATTTGGTAGTCTCTAAGTTTATTATCCTGTCGTGTTGCTCAGTCTTTTAAGATTTTCGGGCCAGCGGCTGTTGATGTATGTGGAGATATAATTTATTATAATTGAACTTATCGTACATACGACCATAGGGTGTGGAGAACAGGGCTTCCCGTCCGCTCAGCCGTACTTAAGCCACACGCCGGCAGGTTAGTAGTATGGTGGGTGACCACATGCGAATCCCTGCTGTTGTATGTTTTTTGTTTTTTGTGAATTCTTATAAATACTTTTTTACTCTTTTCTTTTTTTGTATGATACTAATGCTTAGGTACCTTGTCGCTGAGGTTAGGATTTTGTCTATAAACGAGTGACTCAGGCGGTGTGCGCTTCTTACCTCAGGCAGATTGTCTACTATCTTGTGGGTTGACACTTGGTTACTGTTCATCATACGCACAGTTATCAACATCTTCCTCACTATTTAAAGGTTTCAAAAGTCTGTGCTATCCCACTTTCTCGTCAAAATCTCTATGTTTAGCCTTCCAGTTATTAGGATAATGCTGGGTCTGGATTCTCTCCAAAACAAAGTCGCGAATATCTTCATGTCTGGCAGTCGAATTGTGATAAAGTACATCTCGCACGGCTAATTTAAGCTGATGGCTTGCTTCAACCTCAATACCTCCCTTCCGGGCAGCGTAGAAAACTCTCACAGGTAATTGACCTCAATCTCCTCATTTTGGCTTGTAATTAAATTTTGGCGTCTTTTCGGTCATTTTCGGACTTCCAGAGTAATTCCTTGATGTGGAGAGTTGCTCTGCTTCAGAACGGACGGTAGTGATGAACAATGACTGGCCGAAAAGAAGATAACCTATCAGCCATAGTCGCCATTAGCCGACGCTGTCTACGAGTATTAGAAGCGTCGAAATTTGGAGGACTTCGAAGAAGGGCGATCCACAGATCGCAGGGTCCTGTAGGGCACTTTTTTCTTCGATTTCGTCGCTCTTGTGATTTCGAAGTCTCATAGTTCAACTCTATTCTTGTTGAGACGTAATCTTTGTATTTGTTTATTCCCAAGGCTGTCAGTGATACCGCTTGTTTCGTCTGACGTTCGGAGGCTAACTCACACATGCTTTGCAAGATCTGTAAGATTTTGTTAGCCTCTCCAGAAGAATGACATTTAAACATAGTGAAAGAAAGAAGACAATGTAATACCTCTCGATTGGCTAGGCATATCTTCCTCTCAGCACTTGTATTGGGAATTTTCGTGTATTTCTCTCGGAACGTCATGGGAAGCACAGGCAATGTTTCGCGTGGTTTATTGGTAACGGGACAAGCGGTAATAGTCGTGCTTGACGTCGACAAAGTGGTTATAGTAGACAATGATGTGATCTCACTCGTGGTACTCGTGGTAGATATTGTCGGATTCAACGTGGTTTCCACCAGTGTCGATGTCCAACATAAGCCAGAACTGTCACAAGTCCCATTAACTGGGCAGCACCCTGGTCACAACAGTTATAGTCTGTTCCACAATTGACGGGCCCCAGCAGCAGCGGCCTTGAATTGGGTCAATCCAGGTCTGGCTGCAAATGCAACATTCCATACTCGGTGGGTTGCATGCGCTCAGGACATTTGCCACATAGGACTCGCTCCTGTCAGTATAGCATATATTAAGATGGCAAACATATAAAACTGGGAAATCATACCCCAGCCTGGACTTTCGCATTGAAACTGTTGCCGTCTAATCAAATTGGTAAGGCTTGTTTTGTTCGCCCGGAGAAGTCTGTGTCAATGGTCGGTGCCCCATCTCGTAGCGGAAGCCACTTGTGATTCATGCTGATAGCCCTGATTTGTTGTTTCTGTACGAAGACAAGGCGCGATTTGCCTAGACATAGAAGAATGATGACCACGGATTGGGAAAACATCCTGTTCTGTTCTTAAGGAATGCCGTCGGGGATAGCTGGAGAATATTAGAACACGGAATCCTTTTAAAACGAACCTACCCTCTGCAGGTGGGCTGTGTGTAGCATCCAGGGGGTTTGGTGTTTAAGGGGCGCAATGCTATCTAATAGAATTTATACCAAGCTCCAGCTGAGCGATTCGTGCAGCGGTCGCGAGATCTCGTGCGATCGAGAGTGAATCTCATCCTTCTTCCCCTTCTCACCCGGGTCGCACGACCTTATGGCGACGCTTACCCATTTCTCCCACTACGACGACCCTTTGCAGAGCCAAAATCATGGCGAGTAACTGTCTATACCAATAACTACCTACTACTACTTTAAGGAACACGACGACCCTTAGACCCTACTATTGGTAGGGCAGCAAGGGCACACTAGTCCCGACGAATTAAAAAACATATGAAAGCAAAAACATACAACAGCAGGGATTCGCATGTGGTCACCCACCATACTACTAACCTGCCGGCGTGTGGCTTAAGTACGGCTGAGCGGACGGGAAGCCCTGTTCTCCACACCCTATGGTCGTATGTACTAGATAACGCCCAGAACAGATTTAAACCACTTTACTTTATTGTAAATGTACTAGAAAATGGAGAAAGCCCCAAAAAGATCCATGAGCTCAGGGAAATACACTTTCCCTTAAAAACCATATTGACTTGACGTTTCAAAAAAGGGCAAAATATGCAAAATACTGTCTCTAACCTGGCAATCCAGCCAGAGACGAAGATAAGGCACGAGACACCAAAAGCCATTGCGTCGGAACCTCTCGAGTTCAAAGTACTCGAAAAAAACAAAGAGCTTATACATTGAAGTAACAGATAGCACTCAGATCAAACGAGAAGGGCTCAAATCCGGACTGATGACCACAAGTCGGCTGCTTGTCCTGGCTGTCATAGTCGTATCCATTGTAGGCAAAAGAGATACTGCATCCAGATTGTCCAGCAGGAGGGTTCCAGCAGCCGGTAACGTTGGTGTCCGAGCTAAGACCACCACCAGAGAAAAGACAGTTACTGCAGAAGGAGTCTTGGTCGGTACAGGCGACAGGATCGATCTTGGTGCCCTGCGCGTTGAACAGCATATTGCTGTAGAAGTAGCCGGTGCCTCCCTCGCCTTCGCCATTGGCGCCACCCTGGTTGGGAATGGTGACTCCCTCGCACTGCAGGACGAATTGGGAGTTACCGGACTTGTCGCTTGGGTCGCGACGGGCGAGAATGTGCGTCTCAGGGATAGCGGTGGCCAGGGCGAGCCCGATAAAAGCCGACAATGCAAAGGTGAACTTCATTTTTCACGGTAGTATAAAAAACTGATGGATATTTTTCGCGGTGTGAAGAAAGAAGTGCTGCTGTCTGAAGTTTTTGCAGAACATCCCCGTGCCTTATATCTTTACATCCATCGGGAATAAGACTACCTTCGCCCGAAAACAGAAAAAGAAACAAAGTCGTTGCAAAGGTTCCTCAGGGCTTAATCCCGGTTTGCTTGAAGATCGTGAGGGCTTTAGCTTCGGCCCCCATACTGATCGGCAAAACCCGTAACAATAGTCTCGCAGCATCCTCGATTCATACGTGCAAGCCAGCAGTCAGATGCAGCGAAGGTCGACATGAAAGATTGGCCAATATCGCAATTCGACTACAGATTCTCTGGCCTCCTTTACATCGACACCTGGTGTCAATTGAGTCAAATATCCTGATATTTACCAGTTCCCTCTAGTCTAACGTACTGGACTGCTTAGACACCTTTAGTCCGGTCTCGGGAAGGCAACGGCTCACCTCCTTACATTGAACCCTCATTGTACCTTGTTGCTGCGGAACTCATCACAGTATAGCGAAGCATGTATCTCTTAGTAAAGCTTACGCAGAGCCATGTTGACGTCACAAATCACACCGTTGATAGTTACCTTTTCTTGATCAGTGCTTACGGTCCAGGGCAACTTTGCAGGAATCGTCCAGTCCCATATGGGGCCGTTTGCGATCGATCAGGAACCGGATTTTGGATCTACAATGAAACTCGAATCACCCAAAATCGAGCGATATAATGTCAATTCTCGGGAAAGGAGACCCGAAATGAGTTTTCAGGCATGATCATCGCAATATGAATTTTTACCGGACAAACAGGATTCAATCGACACTCGCTCTCTTGTAATATCATATGATGTACCCGACACCATCGGCAATCGATTTCGCCCCAACATCTTCACGATCGACAGAGTAAGCTGACGTAGCTTTTTCGGTGAAAATGTAACTTCATATTGATCTAGATTGACTCTGCACCCCTCACCTTTAGGAAGGTCTTCAACGTCAAGCATCCGACTACCCCCTTGGTCAATTGGACCGCAGGATGCACGGTCGCATTTGCTGATAGGCTTCCCTTTCCCAGCAAATGCCAAAGTATATACCCTGTTTGGTGCGTGCTTTCGATATTTGTTGACGCCTCAGGCGTCGGACATGCAATACGTGGGGACGTGGCAGCCCGGCGCTCATATTGCAGGACCTTCGCTCCGCCCATGCAATACATCGTGCTTCTTGCTCCGTTTCCTGCGATCAACATTGAAATACTTTCACATCAACCTGGCCTCCCAGGCTCAACCCCAGTGGGAATATGGGGGCCGGTCTCTGCCGTTTGGGTGGGGAACACGTCGAACCCTTTGTTTACCTCCAGAGATGTCAAGCAAGGCAATTCTAGATCTCAAAGCCACTTTTCTGCCCCATCGACCTCCCGCCAATGTGAGCTTTATCGAGGACTTGATGACTGTCGCTCTGACAGGTCACTTACGCATCCCGCAGCGGCTGGGCTCAGCCTTTGAGCCTGAACCGATTTGATCTGGCGTATTTTGCCGAGTGGCTAGGTATCTTCTGGCTGACGACACATTATTACCTCGCGATGCTGCCCAGGCGGCAAGCAGTTGACGTCTGGAGTCTTCGGGAAACCTTTTACTGATCTCCTCATGAACGACCACTGCTATGGCTGGCAGGATTCTATTGTGTACACTTTTTCTGTTATGCGCGACACATGCTTGGGCACAGTGGACATCAAGAGCCGACCAAGCTTCGACCCCGACTCCAGTTATTCATATCGATGCCGATCGAACCCCAATTTCAACACCGTCGGCTCCCATCTACCTCCCCGTTACACACAAGTGGCCGGATACTCTTGGTATTGCAAATGTCAGTGGTTCACTACGATTGTGGCATCATGGTGGCGTATTTCCCGAATCTTAAAAGAGAAATTCGATTCAGATGCCTGGATGTTTCTTCTGGGAACTAACTGGGCAGCCATCGACATTTTTCGGGTTTTTCACAGTATCTCTTTCACAGTATCAGCAGTATACCGTCTGGCTCACCGACGTATCATACATAGCTCAGCAGCAAAATGGCTTCTCCAGGGGCCGCAGTAAGCGTAATGTCTTGGAGACTTTCTATGCACCGCTGCAGCTGATCATCACATTTTGCGTATTCAGAGATCCCTCTCTGCGCCATCGTTTGGTGACCCTTTTAATCGGCCTCTCATTGCCAATCCTGGTGTCTGTCCTTTCCTATTTGTTTCCTTCTTGCTCCTACAACATTGTACCAGCATTTTACTGGCCTGTAATAGAAGACTTGGTGCATGACTTGCCGATGCTGCACATAGGGCTGGGAGCTGTATGCTTTTTTACTAGAGCTGTGATAGAAATGATAAAAAATCTCGCTATGGTGATATTTCGAACCGATTGGGTCAGGAAATCGCGCGCAGTTCAAGCCTTTCTACGCGTTTCCATCATTTTTCTCGCTACATCAGTCATTTCGACTTTTATCTCCACGGTTGTGGGCATCATTTCTGGCGAGACTTACTGGGGATGGGGCATTTCCCGACATGTGCAGTTTTAGTGATTCATTTGGCCTACATGCTGTTGTTATATTCTTTCGCTGTTTTATTCTGACATCCGTGCTTGCCATAGGATATGTTTACAAAGCTTATGTGACTCGCAGGGTCGAAATTTTGAAGTCGTGCTTCTTTTATGCCATGCAGCCCACAGTCCATGAGAAACAATGATCAGTTGTTCACACTGTGCACGGGATTGATTCATTTCGTCGGTTGTGAGATATTTCCCCGTATCTGGATATAGCTTAGGAGGAGGTACAGGGAGCAAATGGAAATGATTCGACGTGTGGAAGGACAGTTAGAAGAATTGGAGATGAAACGAGTAGCACAGCCAGGCGCTGGCGAATCGTGATGAAGAAAGAGCTATTGGAGATGAAACAGAATAGCACCTACATTGATATCGCGTTCTTCGCTTTCATGCCTTCACTTTGAACTCTCATGATCTAGTACCATGTACCATTCTGCTCTATAGTTAAAGATGTGTTTGGGCCTGCGAATGAATGGCAAACATACTCTTCGGGAGAAGGGCAGAGACTCATATCCCTAATTTCTTCATCGTGAGCCGCTAGCTAGACGTAGAATGTAGTACTGATCAATAAAGTCTCAGAGCCGCTAAGGAAATCCGCACCAGACAATATGCTGGATGCGGAAGGGAATCTATTTCTCAAAGAGCGTGAAAAGAGCGCCATTTCAAATTGTTTGTGCACTCCTGTTGAAAGTAATGATTATAGCAGACTTCTGAAAGCGTCACAGCCTGCCTACCTGAATATTTGCTCCTTGTATCCGATGTGGTTCTCATGAGCGATTTTATCCATAGCCTCGACACTTGGCAGATTACTGAGCCTGCTCTTTTTTTCTGTTCAGATCGTTTCCATATCGAGAGGGCCATTGTTTCGTGTCCGAAGATTGTTCAAGAGGGCAATTACATCGCAGAGCAAGAATATAAACCGTGCATGACCGCCTTTACTAATACAACGGTCTCTTGGCGCAGAGGTTACCGCGTTCGGTTTTGATCCGAAAGATCGCCGGTTCGATCCCGGCAGAGACCTTTTTGATATATTTTTTTTTTCGTCCTTGATTAAGTTTGAGCCTTGTCGCGTGTAACTTTGATCCATAAAGTTTCTCAAAACGGCTGTATATCTATCTATATTGCGTGTGTGCCTAGGTAGTACCGAGAAATTTGCCGTGACGTTCGAACATAAGTTTCATCTGTATAATAATATATTGAAGAGGGCAACGCTCAATGGCAGCACGCGCTGAGACGTGCGGGTCGATTCAACTGAAAAACCACCACGAGACACACACGTAGCAATCAGAAAATAGCGAGAACCCCAAATGCAGGGGTCAGGTCGGGGAGGTGTAAGAAGGTGCATTCTAGAACTAGCTATCCGGCCACCGTATACTGCCGGCTATGTCACATAACATGGATGGCACCCATGTAGTAGGGGGAAGGGGTCTCCCCACTACAATATATAGTTCCCACACCTTCCACATTGCGGGAACGACACGCGTGAAATGACCATTACCAATCAGAGATTACCAGGTTAAAGCGGAATCACATATCGTTGGTGATTTATTGTCTATATCAAGACGACCTAGTAATTGACAAAATGTATGTTTACGGTGCAGAAGACCCAATTGACCTAACGTGCTAATTCCCGTGTCTTGGCTGCCAACAGCGCGCCGCTCCACAGTCCTGGTATCGGGTACACGTACCCGACCGCCAAAAATCTCCCAAGATCGGTGCAGTTTCCCCAGCAGACCAGAGAATCGCGACTAATGCCAGCGGACACACAGCACACTCTCGACTCGACTGAAATTTGAAGATCACAACGTCCGCACTACGCCAATTTTCTTTTTCGCAATTGAAGACCGAAGATCTGCGAGGACTGAATCGCAAGTGTTGTGTGGGGAAGTTGCTCAGCGAACGGCAATGCGGTTCTTCGATGTATGTAGATATCCGCAGTTGTGAGGACAGTCCTTAATTATATTCTTCCAGGTGGTCGTCACTTTCACCGCAGATCAATTCCGCGGTATTTATCGCGGCAATCAATACCACGAGCCCGACTTCGGCGAAGTTCTGAAAAGAGCGAAAGACTATGGCTGTGAAAAAGTCATGCTGACCACCATGTCGCTGGACGGAGCCAAACAGAACTTGGATCTTGTCAGACAATTTCCCGAGATGTGCAAAATGCCACTCGGCGTCCATCCATACCACGCGGGCCAGATACGAAAAACAAAGTTCTGAAGACCCAAAATTGAACGAATATCTTAGCTCTCTTCGTGAATACGGAAAGTCTTTAATCGCCGAGAGTCCTTCTCCCCTCGCAGTCTTTGGTGAGATTGGCTTGGATTATGTCTATCTCGACTGTGCCGATAAAGAGATGCAGCTGCGTGTGTTCAAGGAACAGTTGGACATGGCGACGCAATTCCAACTTCCGTTATTCCTACACGTTCGCGAGTCGACCGACGACTTTATCTCGATTATCAAGCCGTACTTGTCAAAGTTGCCCCGAGGTGGCTTGGTGCACTCTTTCGCGGGATCGAAAGCGGAAATGCTACGACTTGTCGAACTGGGCCTCGCTATCAGTGTGAATGGTGTTTCTTTCCGGACGGAGGAACAAATCGAAATGGTGAAGGGCATCCCGTTGGAGAGACTTCAATTGGAGACCGATGCTCCGTGGTGCGAGGTTCTCGGAAATGACCCGGGAATTGAGCCCTTCCTTGCTACCGCAAGACCTCTGCCGCCTAGTTGTAAGCATAATAAGTGTGTACTGGGGCAGATGGTAAAGACGAGAAATGAGAGTTGTACCATCGAGCGGGTTGGGTTGATGGTAGCGGGGCTAAAGGGAGTAACGACGGAGGAAGTCGCAGAAGCAGCATGGAAAAATAGCTGTCGGATGTTTTGGTAGGCTGTCCTCGTGGGCCATAATGAACCCGACGAAGGGTCGAATAGATACCCCAAAAACAGACTTTTGCTTGAATAGAACATGTATGGTACCGATGTCATGGCATATAATATAATATTGGGGGTCCTCGAGATTCTTTCCGTTTGCTACTCTCACGGAAAATAGCCGGAATACTGTAAAAATGCCTCGTCCACTTCCGGAGTCTTATCTCCAATTCGGCTCATCTCCGCGTAGTTGAAATTGCTGTAGGACCAGTCATCAGAGAATGACTCTGGCATCATGTCGGATGAATCCTGTCCGGCCGCAAGTTCATTGCCGGGAGAACCCGCCGGCGCGAGAACCAAGTCATCAGGACCTGCTGTATGCCCATTGGGGTTGAGGTTGAGATGCATGGTAATCGGCTCGACCATCATCGGGAGACTCTGACCAATCTTCGTCAGCAGCAAAGGCAGAAATCGGACCCTCCCCCCAGGCAGGTCATGGATAAGCGTAAAGAAATGTTTGAGGTAATCTTGCGGTCCGAGTTTGAAACCCGAGGATCGTAGACCCGCAGCGGAGAGACAGGCCATAATGTCAATCAAGGTGCATGTGACCTCGAAAATCTTCTCAATCTAGGTATCTTTTAGCATCCGGCAGCCAGAGAAGAAAGCTCAAGAATACACACCAGCCCCACCCCGTGCGTCTGCATACCCTGTCTTGACAACTTCCACGTTGCAAGACACAAATCCCTCGCGATCAATAGCGGATACCTAAAATCCATACACACGTGTGTCGGACTGGTAGATAGAAATCCCGCCGATGTCGAAAGTTGCCAAATCATGATTCGAAGCCATTGCTGCGATACGCGCAAATCGGCCATGAGCACATCTGGAAGTTCGATATCCGCCGGGACGGCATTTTGTATCTGTTCTTCGAGCTCGACTAGTGATCCCATAGAGCATGTCGTGTGGTTTCCATTCCATTGACTGAGGAATTGTTCATTGAATGGCCGGTAGAGGTTTACCAGACAGCGGAATCCAATCGACGCTGTATCTTGCGGGTGAGTATCTGGCTCGGGAGTTTCGGAAGTTATTCGGAGGGTGATGGGTCGATGCCGCCGGATGGCATGGGCTCTGCCAATAGGTTAGACCCTGCAAAGAATGAAGAACATAGGGACAGAGGGATTACCTCTCCGAAACCAATAGTAACCAGAATAAATTTCCTGCCCCCGATTCATCCTCATCGGGTTGAGTCGAGCCTTGATTGTCGAGAGCACTGGCCGTATATAAGGTCGTCGCTTCTCGTAAAAAGTAATAAGCATGCCGTTGATTGCCGAGGCCGATGTGGCATCCATAAAGAAGAAACGCAATTATAATGCTCTGTCTGACAGGCTCCATGAACGGATCGAGATGTTTCCGAGCATCGACGGCCTCTTCCACCAACGCGTCTTGTATCTGTTTCTGCGAAGCGGTATTATCAGAGTTTTGAAATGCAGCACTGACGCAGTAACCCGTCTGCGTAACCACGAAAGCGCAGAATGCAGTGACCAAGCAGTAAGCATGGAGACATTCGTCTGCCCGGTCGATCTGTTTCTGTAGACATACAGGTTCCAGGATAGGTACTGTCCCGCGCATTCTCGAGAAGAAGTACTCAGAGCATGATTGTACAAGTTTCTGGTGGACAAGACCCGGAGTTCGGGAAAATTGACATCTGTCGGTTCGCTTTGGTGGAGGCGGGCGGTCGGGGGCGGTGATGAGCCCAGGAGAGGTTGTTTGAAGAGAATTTGCGTTGGTTTCTTCAATTTGTCTTTCTTTTCCCTTGAGTTCCTGTAGTATATTGGCCGTTTTGCCCTGTCGCCCTTTTTTCTGACGTTTGAGTGATGTCCGACAGACCAGGTCCGCCGATTGACATGCGTTGCATGGCCGAGTATCGTTGCAGCGGATTTTCCGGCGCCGGCATGCATCGCAGGCCTGTTTGATAGCCTCGTTATCTGGCATTCTGTTGGTTGTCGGCCGTCAGTGGATTGTGGAGTGCGGACGCGGAGGGATGTCGGGGGCAAGTCGGGCCAAAGCGGAGGTGGAGTCTGCGGAAGAGCGGAGCCAGATTGGGGTCGAAGCGGGATGGGTGCGGTACTTCTTACAGACACGGAGATGATTGGGATTCATTTGAATCTTGAAGCTTCAAGTTCTTTCACGAGGGGAATCCAAGCTAATTTTTAAAGAAATCCATTACCGTAAAATTATACCCAGACTCAGCTATCCACAATATGGCATCTTGTACAACAAAAGCTATCTCCTTATATTAGGCCTAGTCCTTACTCGCACGCTCTTCTCGAACCTCGATTGCCTCTTCCTCGTACGGATCAACATTCGTCTGCGCGAACTTCCGAGCTGAAATACCTCTTTCAAACAACAAGTCCAGCTCTTCATAAGTGCGCCCCTTGGGCTCCGGGAGGCGGAAGTAAGCCCAAATAAGACTGAGGAGACAGGTCCCGGCCCAGAAATAAGCACTTCTAGCACCCCAGTGCCAAGCAGTCGAGTTCAGCTGGTAGTTCGTCAAGACATTCACAACAATATTGCTGATGTTGTAGAGACTGCGAGCAAGGACAATGGTCTTGGCCTTGAGTCGGGTCGATGAGAGCTCCGAGACTAGCGAGTATGTGACTGGGCCGACTGTGATGTCGTAGCAAAATGTGAAAATAATAAGCATCACGCCAATAGCCCATTTGGCGCCATTGTTGTCGGCAAATGAGAGACTTCCCGTGATGATGAGGAGGGTGAAGAGACAAGCTAGACCGCAGACGTGGATGGTTCGCCGACCGGCGACTGTCATTAAGAACCAGGAACCCAGTGTACCGATGACACCGAGTGCATATTGACCCAAGGACATATTGAATGATTGCACCGTGGGCAGACCAGCCTGGACCATGAAGTACGCGAAATACCCCATCAGGTTTTGACCGCACAGTGTCTGAACAAGCCAGACAAAACAGACAACCTCGGTTCTGCGCAGGTTCGTACCCTTGAAGCAATCCCAGTATGAAGTTCCACTGGACAGCGACATTTCCAACTCATTGGTGTGCTGGATCATAGCAATTGTCTCATCCAAGTTGAACGTCGGGTCGTTGTCGGAGGTCAGTCGCTGCAATGCACGACGTGCACCTTGAATATTCCCCTGACGGACATGCCACCAGGGAGATTCGGGCACAAAGAGACAGCCCATCAAAATAGGCAAGGGCCATGCCCACTGCACTCCGAAAGGAATGCGATACGCCCATTGATCGTCTCTTGAGATCGAGCCACGATTAACACCCACTGCGACGAACTGCCCGAATACCCAACACATATTGATGAAGGTAGTCAGATACGGACGCAAGACGACAGGACAAACCTCGGATGCGTAGGCGGCTGGGAGAGTCTGAAATATACCCCAGGGAATACCGGCCAGAATTTCAGCGGCAAGAAGCATTTGCACGTTGACGGCGAAGAAGAATAGGAAGATGACCGCCGTGATGGTAAAGAGAGCACAAATCATCGTTCGTCGGTATCCCAGTCGCTCCGAGATAAGACCATTTAGAAGAAGTCCAATGACTTCTCCGCATCGTGCACCGTTCGATAAACCCGATTGCCAGGATGCCGGGACAGCCCACTTCCCATCTGGTCCTTGGACGCCGAATTTCTTGTTGAAGGCAGGAGATGCATACATGGAGCTGAGCAGAGCGAGGTCGTATCCTTCCATGATGAGGGTCGTAGAGAGCAGAACAGACCAGCCGACGGCCTTGGGGTACAGCTTCACTGCTTGCAACAAGGTCATGGACTGTTCCTTCCTTGCGCCCTGCTTGCCTTCCAGGAGGGGAGGCTGCTTGGTGTCGACATCACAGTCCACCACATCGTGTGTTGTGGAAGTCATTGCAAGGAGCCGTTATGAGGCGTGAGTCTGTCAAGGGTTGAATAAGTGAGCTCAAGCGAAAAGGTACATGCTCAGACTAAGCGCCGAAGACGATTGTTCTCTTGGAAAATATCTCAGCGAGGGAGCGCTCAGGCGATTTATACAATCGCGCGACAGCAGAACCAAAGGCCATGGCGTGACCCCCAATATGCAGGCTGCGGATCCGGGGAAGAGCATTGTCAAAAATGCAACCGAGATAATTTGGAGAAAACCGGGGAAGCGCGGGGTGGAGTCGGCCCGCGGCGAATCAGAGCCCCTTTTGGGACTGGCCGGAGGCAAGCCGGCGGTTCGTCGGAGGTCAATGTATAACGCCGGCGACTTGGCGGCGAGGTTGAATCACGCGCCTCCGAGTAGAGTCCGAAAAGTAAACAATATAAACAAACCTGGTAGATTCTCCGACTTGTCACAAGTGCAAGCCACCATGTCACCGCACGCGACGAACGAGTCCACTGTCCCGACGGGGACGAACAGCTGGTGGAAGGAGGCAACGATTTACCAGGTGCGTGCAAGAACCAAACGACTCATCCGACCACTCTAACCAAGCATCCTTTCAGGTTTACCCAGCGTCCTTCTGTGATTCCAACGGCGATGGATGGGGCGACATCCCTGGCGTAATCGCCAAGATCCCCTACCTGCACTCCCTCGGCATCGATGTCGTCTGGCTATCCCCGATGTACGACTCACCTATGCACGACATGGGCTACGACGTGTCCGACTATGAGAACGTCCTGCCCGCCTACGGAACCGTACATGATGTCGAGAAGCTTGTCGAAGCCTGCCACGAACGCGGCATGAAGCTCATCCTCGACCTCGTCGTGAATCACACCAGCGACCAACACAAGTGGTTTAAGGAGTCTCGCAGCAGCAAGGATAACCCGAAACGTGATTGGTATTTCTGGCGCCCGCCGAGATACGACGAGAAAGGGAATCGCTTGCCGCCGAGTAATTACCGCGGATACTTTGCTGGGAGTACATGTGGGCTTTACCCATACTCGCGCATAACAAAGAAAGAAAATTCTAATGAGCAACAGGGACATGGGATGAACACACACAAGAATACTACCTCAACCTCTACGCCCCCTCCCAACCAGACCTCAACTGGGACAACAAGGAAACCCGCGAAGCAATCTATAACAGTGCGATCCGATTCTGGCTCGACAAAGGCATCGACGGATTCCGCGTCGACACGGTAAACAAATACAGCAAGCACACTGCCTTCCCGGATGTCCCCATCACAGACCCAAAGAGCTACATCCAACCCGCAATCGAAATGTGGTGCAACGGTCCTCGAATCCATGAGTTCCTGCGCGAAATGTACGACTCCGCCCTCTCTCCCTACGGCGATATTGTCACAGTCGGCGAGCTGGCAAACACGCCGGATCCCGCACAGGTCCTTGAATACGTTGGTGCCAAGGCGAAGGAGTTGAGCATGGTGTTCCACCTTGATATCGGACATATTGGCATGGGGGCGTTGGCAGACAAATACATCTTCCATCCGTGGCAGCTGACCCAGATGAAATCTGTTGTGAACAAATGGCAGTCATTCGTCGAGGGCACGGATGGGTGGACGACTGCTTTCTGCGAGAACCATGACAACGGGCGCTCGGTGTCGAGGTTTGGAGATGATAGTCCTGCTTTTCGAGAGGTGTCGGCAAAAATGCTGGCTCTCATGATGATTTCGATGACCGGAACGTTGTTTATTTACCAAGGTCAGGAAATTGGAATGATTAACGCGCCGAAGGATTGGCCTATTGATGAATATCGTGATATTGAAGGGCTGGGGTATTATCGGGAAGCTGTCAAGCAGACAGAGAGTGGAGCCGATCGGACGCGCAAGAAGAAAATTATGGATGGATTACGGATTCTCGCACGCGATCACTCCAGATTGCCCATGCAGTGGGATAATTCCGCGCATGCGGGTTTCACGACAGGAAAGCCTTGGATGAGGGCGCATGATTTGTACCCGGAAATCAATGTGAAAAACCAAGAGGGTGATTCGCAGAGTGTGCTGTCGTTTTGGAAAAATGTGCTGCGCCTGCGAAAAGAGTATCGGGAGCTTTTCATCCATGGTGCGTTTGAGGTGCTGGATTTTGAGAACCTCCAGACGTTTTGTTTCACGAAGTCGAGAGACTACAAGCAGGCGCTTGTCATTCTCAACTTCACGTCGGAGATTCAGCCTTTTACACAGGCCGATAAGGTTTCGGATATGCGATTACTTGTTGGGAATTATGAAAAATCGGCTGGTGAAATGCTTCGGCCGTTTGAAGGGAGAATCTATATTAACTAGAAGAAAGTCTTACGAGATTTCAATTGCCCGGGGAATTTGCCGGGGGTTGGATTATCACATTAAGAATCTGCATCTTCGTGATCAACCTCCTTAACCTGTGTACCAATAAGAAGAGAAATTCTGTCTTGGATAGTTTCTTTCGTCTGCAAGAAAACACCAATACTCCTTGCACCTCTATGATGATTCTCATCTAATCATACTGAGACAGATATTGAAGCATGCGTGTGTGCCAGTATTCTGCCAAAAATTCAAGAATAGAGAGACCGTGCTCGTCGAATTTTCTTCAACCATGCTCGAGGAAAGGGAAAGCAAGCTAAACCGATTTGAAACTATGAGGCGCTGCTAGGAGAAAGGCACATACGGAAGGGTATAGCATCCCGGGCCCACTTTCCTTTTTCGCCAACGCTTATGCCCTATTCCAGATTGATGGCTTGGTTACCTAGCATCGGCAGACAATGAGGCTTTTAGAAATACGAAAAAGGTTTTATATCCATACCACTTGTTGGAGCTTCGTCGATCGTACAAGAGTAGGAGTATCAACATTACCAGCTCTGAAGGCAGGTAGGTGACTGTTTAGATGACTGTTCAGCCGGTCGTTCAAAAGACTGCATGGGCGACTGCTTCGATGATTGTCATTCATAATAGGGCGGTCAAATTGAGGTGCAGATCTCTATGATCCAGGCGTCAAGCCCGACTGAAATTTAGATGTATATTAGGATTTTTTATTTATTTGTTGTTTTATAAAAATAAATCGTGTTAATTTAAAGGTAGAATATCATGCTACGAACATGTTGGTATCACCAGCTAGGTACTGTGTACACAGTTAATTGGACAGTGTGTATGCTCCAAAGCAAAAGTCAATTGATTCTTGTTGATAGATGTAGATGTTCAGTCTAGTTGGAAAACACCCCTAGATCCCACACGCCGGCCTTCGGCGGTCACAACACCGGGGCCACAGCCCAGCGCAAGAATGCGTACACCAAGCAAGGGATGTTATCCATCGGTCGCTAGCAGTGGGTCACAGCCAGTTTGTTCTGACAGGAGAATATATCCCGACAGTATTCCTCCCAGCTGTTTAGAATAGACCGTTTCCATTTTGCCATCATTGCCACATAGACCTGCGCAGCTTCGAATTTGAAGCCCGTTGTCACGAAGAATTGCTGGCATGCATATATCAGCTTCAATGAGCGCAATGTAACAATTAGTACTCCGCCAACAACCTCAATGGTAAACCTTGGTTCTTTGGGACGGTGAGTATCTTGGAGGGTGCGTGATTGAGGTTTGCGGACCTTGAATGCCAGCGGCGGATGAATCGGTTTCGTAAGCTTGATACATATTTCCATCCAGTATCTTCCTCCGTTGGGTATTTTTTGAGGTAGAGAGGTGAATTGAGAAAGAAGAAATACAGACGTGAATCACGGAAGCATCCCTCTTATATCGTTTGTCAAGATGAGGGAGAAAAGAGCCGACAAGTTATTGTGATTGTCCCAATTATTGATACCTTTCATGTGAAAATAATGTGATGACCTTTCTCATGATACAAAGGCTCTTCTTAAAGACGGTCCGTGAATGGCTTCTTCGCTTGAAGAGGATGAAGCGTTCTCTCAAATCCTATCTTGAATATTGCAGTCAAATCAATTTAACAAGAGGTTCCAGATGAAATGGTCTCTTTCTGAATAAAACTTATTATCTACGTACGGAAGAGAGCGGTGATTGAAGAGCGAAGAGACCCTACTACAGTTATTCTCAAAATCATCTTGATTCACATGTTCGCGACCCACTGCCAAGACCTCAGCCTTGTTGGTTTATTGAGCAGCCAGCAATAAATTGAGGACCCACCAACACGCAGGTTTATGGTGCATTTTACTTTTCAATTGTATCAAAATGCATTCCAGGATATATTTTTCGAAGGATGTACTTTTGTGACAATGATCAGATTCAAATCAAAACGATAGATTCTGATGGGCGGTCAAATATTGATATTCACTATAAAATTGTATCCGAAGAGATTTCCACCGCGGCCCTCAATTCACTGCGGCTTGCCCAATGAACGATCTGCGCGAATGTCTTGGTAATGGGGTCCGCAAAGAGTTGGTCAGTGGCTAATGGTCAGTGCCTATGGGTCAAGACGATTTCGAGAACGACTGTATCATTGTTTTGCCAAAATAAAACTAGCTCTCAGGTGCAAGAGCCGCCTTAGGGAGCAACTTCCCACGAGATGCGAAGCATATTCTCCTTCCTGATCTTGTCTTTGGTGCTAATTGATTCCCAAGGAACTAATTCCTTCGCTTGACAAATCTTCAAATGTAGCAGAAAGAGTTCATGGATACATTTCGGCTCCCCATGAAGCCACGAACCACAGCGCAGAATTCCGGTAGATGTATCATGATATCGCACGAAAAACGACACGCTACCGGCGCGGTACACCAGAAAAATCTATGGGAATTTACCCAGGAACTGCGCATACTTGCTGACACAGCTACGCACGAGCCACAACTGGCTATCTAGCTATCGAAAGAAGATTGGCTACAGTAATGATGATCGGTGTGAGTGTTTCAATTGACACTCTGGCATTGGCGGTCGGGATGTGGTACTGTCATCATCGCCGCCTGTCGCAACCCAGGGTGTAGTGGATATATGCTTCAACCAATGGAGTCGCAAGAAAGAGTCTGAATTGCTGTGTAGCCCCTATCCGGCAATTTATGGGGGCAAGCTGACTAATACAAAACAATCGGCAATTTAGATAATCCACCTCCGAGCTAACTATGGATTCCAACACCGCCTTTTTTTCTTACTCAGCAAAGCTAATTTCTCCTTTTCTCTCTTGGGTTATTTTTCTTCGCTCACACTCATTTTGAGTCTGCTCAACTAATCACAATCAATTTAATATTCTTACTTCATAAAGGAAACAGCGATACTCAGTTTAAAAATGGAGCAATTCGAGAACCAAGAGGGAACAACTCTTCATTCGTTGGGCAGCCGCACGATTATTCGATATGAGAACAATCTTGTCGTGAAGTCGGGCGATATTCGTGCTCACGAAGCACAAACACTTCAGTTTATCGCAGCGAAAACGACAATACCTGTTCCCAAAGTTCATAATATTCATTACGAAGATGGGAAAGTGATGGCCATCGTAATGGACTACATACCTGGCAAGCGACTCGACGAAGCGTGGGATACTTTAGACTCTCATCAGAAACTCTCCATCGCCAACGAGCTTCATTCTTATCTGAGCCAACTTCGCAAGTTGAAAGGCGACTACATCGGAGCAATTGGCCGTGGTCAGGCTATAATTGGCCAGATTTCATCACTTGAGGGAGGTCCATTTGATTCTGAACAGCAGTTCAATGAGTTTATACTGGGAGATATCGTCAAATCAGCGCCAAAAATTCTGCGGCATTATGCCAAATATGCGCTGATGGATAACCATGATATCGTCTTCACTCATTCTGATTTGTCTCCGCGGAATATTCTTGTCGACGGAGGCCGTGTCACAGCTATCATTGACTGGGAATATGCCGGTTGGTACCCGGAACACTGGGAATATATTCAGGCCCTCCGACAACTGAAACCAATGCCTGACTGGCCCGATTATCTGTCTCGGATTCTTCCTCCCAGATTTGAGAGGGAATACATAGGCATGTCATTTCTATCTCGTCTCATGCGCCACTGACTACGGATATCAGGTCGTCGTTTGAGATGAGAACCAAGGAAGCAGGAAGCATCGCATTTCTGAATACAAGAAAATGAAGCAAAAAAACCCCGAAAACATTAAATACAGGCATGATTGCACCTCGCGTAGCTTCATAGTAACCCTAGCTGGTTTTACCTGGCTGGGCCAAAGTGCTAGAGCATCTGTCAGCGATGGATCCCTGCTTATTTCTTCTTCCATGGGCGTAACCTACTCAAAACATATCCGCTTGTAATAAGCAAAAATAACTCACTCATCCCCGGCCTCTAAGCACACATCGGTCATTTGATCAATAGCCGAAGCTCTTTGAGACGCATTTAAATGCCCATTGTTCACCATCCGAGTCAAGGCATCAGCCACCCAGCTCTGGCAATTCCAATCCGCATCCGCAGGCCTATTTTTCACCGGGGTTCTTGAAACGACTCCTCTAATAGATGCTATTGAAATAAAATACACACCATTAACTAATATCGCGGGGTCTTTAACTAGCAACTAGTCATTGATAAGAGGCTTTTCTTTCCACAGGAAAGAGGTAAGCGCGAAATACGCTGGAGCTACGTGGCCACCACGCATTGTGAGAACAAACAAGTAAGCAACGTAACATCTACCCCTGTTCATATCTCAGGAGAATGAGATCGAGAAGACTGACTCCTTGATCAGATTTATCGGTCGCCTGATTGCGGTGTACACTGACCAACTTCGCTGCCAACAGCCCTCTGCCTGATTCAAATCCTATCATGGCATCGGCGATATCGTTTGGCGAGTCAAACTCTGGTTTGCAAGCAGGAATCGTCAATGGCAATATCACTACACAGTTCTGTTAGTTACGACTAATAACATTTATGGACTATGACTGATTCGCCTGGCTTCGTTAGTGCAATCGGAAACGTCATTGAATCAAGCGTGCTTACGGGATCTGCGAACAACTAGCCCTCACGATGACAAGGACCGCATTGAAAAGACCAACGGAGGGTTACTTAAAGACTCATATTGCTGGATTTTAGACAATGGGCAGTTCAAACAATGGCAAGACAACCAGAGCAGCCGTCTCCTCTGGATCAGGGGTGATCCTGGAAAAGGCAAGACAATGCTTGTATGCGGTATTATCGACGAATTGACGCGATCGACCGGAGATAATGCGAATATCTCCTTCTTTTCTGCCAAGCTACCACGTACGAATCAATAATTCAACGGCAGTTCTCCGTGGCTTGATATATTTATTGGTCGAGAAGCAGCCATGTCTTCTCTCCCATGTACGGAGCCGGTACGACCAAGCGGGAAAGACACTATTTGAGGACGTAAACGCATGGAATGCGCTCTCAAAAAGCTTCAACCATATTTTGAAAGATCTAATCTTACAGAATACTTATTTGGTGATCGATGCGCTAGACGAATGCATAACGAACCTCCCTTTCCTTCTAGACTTGGTTGTCCAGGAATCGTCCACCAACTCACACGTGAAATGGATTGTCTCGAGCCGCAACTGGCCTGGTATCGAAGAGCGTCTGAATACTGCAACTCAGACAGCGCCTATCTCATTAGAGCTAAATGAGATATCCGTATCTAACGCCGTGCAACAGTTTATTCGGCATAAGTTTCACCAAATGGCAGAATTCAAAAAGTATAAAATGAACTCCGTGATACTGTTTACCGTCACTTGTCGTCAAATTCACAAGGCACTTTCCTCTGGGTGGCCCTGGTGTGTCAAGATCTTAGCAGGACATCGCGGAGGCATGTCCTTAAGAAGCTTAAGGAGTTCCCTCCTGGACTGGATGCTTTATACGGTCGAATGATTGATCAGGCTCGAACGTCTGAAGATGCTGAGGTCTGCAAGCGAATACTGGCTGTCATGTCAATAGTGTATCGGCCTATCAGTCTTGACGAACTGACCGATGACGACGAAGTTTTACTAGAGATTATCGCAATTAGTCGCTCGTTCCTGACTTTGCGTGAAGACGTTATTGTTTTCCTCCATCAGTCTGCAAAGGAATTTTTACTTAAAAAGGCGCGACTGGAGGAGTTTCCAGGAGGCAAAAAAGCCGAACATCTTGCAATTTTCTCGCGGTTGGTAGACTAGTAGATACCGGGGACGATGCGGCTGCGAACAATAGACGTATAGCGCTTCCAGTCGGCGCCATATTTCCTCTTGCACTTCTCTTCGTCACGTCCCTCCCGGTGGATGAGGAGGACACCGAAATAAAGCATGAAGAAGTAAGTGAAACCAATTCCCCACCCGCGGACTTCAGGGGTCTGTATAGCCTGCTTCTGTACGTCGCCAGCGCTGTTAATACTTTCAACCATGGTATAGCCAGCAATCCCGGTGGGCAATGAATACGACCACGACATTAGCCAGTCGCCTAAGTAGTTGATATGGCGCGCTAATCCCCACCAGCCGGAAATCATCAGCTTAGAGCCACTTGATGTCTGGATGTATTGAATATGCTTCACACGGGGGTCGTCGGGGTCCGTACGGAAACGGTTCTTCTGATTGTTGGCGCCGCGGAAGATCCAGTATCCCACACCGGTAATGGTCAAAGTTAACAGAATATCACTCAAGCACAATTCCAATGGGAAAACCGCAAGGTATCTGGTTTGGAGATTGTAGATGAAGGGTACCCACACCAGGTGTCCAAATGAAAGCATATAACCAAATCCATCCATAATCACATCAATAGTGGTTAGAACTGCTGGTTCCATGTATAGCGCATCCAGCACATAGAAGGTTTGGAATGCGGTCGAGAGTGCGATAGAGTTTGAGATGTAGCCATACGTTCTGTATTGGCGGGCCATATTGGACAAGTTCAATATGATCCACCCAAGCAGTCCTGGCCTCATCTCACACCATACATTGATATCAACCGTCCGTGAGGCTTCGTCGACAAAAGGAATAGGCAGTTGTACCCGCGGATTCAGCTCCCGGCCTATGAAGAAGTCATACAGAGCATTTCCGGTGTGGCCACCCGGCGCCAACTCTCTTAGTTCGGGATTGGGTTGACCGGGCTCAGGGACCGAGAAACTTTTTGCATAAACAAAGGTTGCGAGGACTATGCAGATGATCAAATTTGCCGTGATAATCTGCAAGTAGTTGTCCCATAGAAAAACCCATATAATGAAATCAGCACCGTACATGCATGTGCCCAGAGCTAAACCAGAGAGGATCCAAACGGCAGAAGAAAAAGCTAGAACCAGATTAGGCGATACCATAAGAAGAGCATCCAGTGGTTCATACCGTTGAACTTGTAGCGAAGCCTTCCTTTGCAGGCCAATTCTGTGCCCTCAGCCACCTCACCAGGTAGAAACACGAACAGAACCAGACTGAGCAAGTAATAGCTCAGCACCCACAGTGTTACTTGGATGTCAAAAAAAGCGTTGAGACCGTCTTGGGGCCAATTAACTTCCTCCTTTAACTTATGGAGGGACAATGTCGATGGATCGAGCAGCGACGGAGCAGGGCAGCCAGACGCATCATTACAGAGGAAGGTGAAGGCGTAGATAAGGGTTGAGAGACCGAAGATGAATACAGATGCGCCGAGACTGTTGAACGTCAATCTTAGGGATAAATCACGCGACAATGGGACCACATACGGCTTACCACACCCATGGCCCCGCTTCCCCTGACCTGATTGAACTGGCGCCTTAGCTTTGGAAGCCTTCCTGAGCTTCATGGTGTGTGTCTTTGAAATGAGGCGGAATATCTCTCGAGGAGAGCAAGTATAGGGTGGGGGCAACGCAGGAGCGACGAGAGCTGTCACAAGGCCGCACGTATACCAAGTAACCCACCGAGGAGGCAGGGAAAAAACGAGTGCTTTGGGAGTCTTAACGGCTTCGGAACTACGGGCTCATATAAATGTTGTGCGCTGACAGCACGACCGTATAGGGAAGCTTCCGAGAAGGCGAGCTGGTGGTCTGAGCCGGAAAGGTTGGTGGCCGAGGTGGGTCTGCGGGTACCTTTGATTCTCCACACGAACCATTGCTGTCGCAGCATGAAGCAGCCATGTGAGTCTTAAGGGGACGATGGAGAATGATCCGACGATAGATTCTGTAACCCATATCCAGACGGAAGAGGCAAAGTAGATAGAGCCCGAGCATATGTATATCGTATAGGAAGCAGTTTTAGGTCTAGTAGAACTGAGTAAGGTAATAGAGGAGTCGTGAGTCGAACTATTGAAGCACTCGTAGAGACCTCATTTCTGGAAAGTAAACGACCAACGAATATTTACCGACCAAATAAAATGAGTCAAGCTACTATTGGTGCCCTCGGGGCGGATAGACGGAGTTAGTGTAATACTGACTCGCACATACACCCGGTGGAATTCTGGAGGATGTCAGCACTTGGCAGTCTCAGCCCCACGCAGATATCAGGAATGCATGGAATCTGAGAATGGTAAACCATGGAAAGCACAAGCAAGGATCATATTGGCCTGCTAGTGTTGGTCCTCTACAGCGGTAACACAGTCTTCGTCACGTATTGCGGGCAAGGACAACCGGCTGCGGGTGAAAAGGAAGAAGGGAAGGACAAGGAGGTGATCAAGCCAGGTCGCTAGACTTGCTTGCCCCCTCCCTGCAATTACTACGCAAAAGTAACTATTTAGAACACCTCTGGTCCCCTTCTTCTTGACATGTTTGGTTTGTTTGTTAAGGGGCAGGTTCTAGAACGAATAACTCGTACAAGACAATACAAAGGCTATTTTTATACGGTTATCTAAAACGGTATTAGATTACAGCAAGCACAGACTCAGGGGTAGACTAACTAGAATAGGCATAGTACATATGATGCAAGATGGAGTTCAAAAACAAAATAAAAAGAAACAAACAGGTGAAGCTAATTTCGAGCAGCCCTGTAGTCTCTTGCCCAAACGGTCCACGAGCCTAGTTTCTTTGTTTCTCAGACAGCAGACCTCCTTACCTTGGCGATCTCAATTTTGCGGATAGTCTTCTCAGCCGAGCTGGGCTGCGACGATAGAGTCATCGTGGGTTGAGGATCGGCTTTGGGGCAAATAGAACCAGATGCAATAGAAACCCATCAATTCTTATAAAAATTAAATAACCGTGGGGCATCATGCGCCAATGACTGGTCGTAGGAAATACTTCATTGGAAGAGCCGAGGGAATTGATAGGAAAACACATGCCTCGCAGTCTTCTAGGCGATCATGTTATACTACTCGTGAATACGGTCGGTTCTATTACCAGAAAGCCCCCTCCAGAGCTTTCATTCACCACTCAGAGGCTGTGTCAGACTCCAAGGATATCCTAGATGGCACAAGGGAATAGTGCCGCACCGGAGAGTAGCTTCGAGAGATGAGAATCATCAATAATATATATACTTTCTTTTCAGGGCGAATCACCCAGGCTCGCATTTTTCGGTGGAGGAAATTCAAAAGAGGCTCAGCAGGGCATTGCTCGGTTTCGTCGATGTGGATTCGATCTCCGGGAGCGGGACACTGCAAGGGTGGGAACAAGATTGCTCGGATTGGGGCCATTGCAGCACCTAAAATGGGGTGGCAGAATCTCCAAAGGGGGTTGGTAGAAAACGACTCTTACTGGTTGGTTTTGGCTTACCGCACTAGCGCTTACCCTGTTCTCACCCTCGGGTCGCCCATTTAGTTTTGTTCCCGAAACATGGCGGCCATGATTGCGATTCTAAAGCGTGGCTTTCGAAGGATAAAAGGAGGCAAGTACTCCTTCGATTATTCGTGGCTTCCGAATACTTGCCAATCATTTCCTGTCTGCAAATCCAATTTCAGGCCTATCGTTCACCTCTTGTATTATAAACCTTGAAATCACTCATCACAATGGCTACTACCTCTCGCGGACAATCTGAACTCTCTAGCCGGGAGAGAAAATCTTTTCGACAGAGAAGAGATCGGCGCAAATTGAATCTTGAGAAGAAGTTGAATGAATACAGCAAGATATGCGGGGCGGATGTTTGTTTGGGCATTCAAATTCGAGATTCCGGCCAGGTTTTTATCTTCTTAGCGGATATATCGGGATTTTGGTTGTTTCTTGGCTCCCAGCTAGTATGTCCTCGGCTATACTTGTAGTTTAAGACGCGCTGACCTATGCAGGCGTCATATTATCCAACACCAGTGCAAAAAACCGAACGGAACATCTAGGACATATAGCAAATATATGCTTTTGCCTTGGGGGCTTCCAATTCCGTGCAGTGGGTTTCCATGCGTCAAATTTCACCGCCCATGGAGGGTCGAATAGGCGTCTTTCAAGAATACTGTAACGAATACACCGATGTGCAGTCTTCCAATATTTTAATTAATTATCGTACGAAAGCCAACTTCGGCTGATTTCACCTCCTATTGTAAATTTTGGGGAGATGCAAGGATGTTGGATCGGAAAAGAAGGAGCTTGAGCCAATCAAAGCACGATCTGCACACAATAACGATTGTCTGATTGTCACTATAAGTAGCCTTAGGCTTGGAAGCTACAAAAGTCGTGGTCGGTACATCCTTTCCTTGCTTGATACTGTAGCTCTATGAACACTTAGGGTGCCCTAGTCGCCACCAAAGCTATTGTTCACCTTGATCTTGCACATAACTTAATTTCCAAGAAGTGAGCTGTTAGATAGTGTGGAAAGTGTGGCAGATGATTGACTGTATTGGCATCTATCTGGGAGAGAGAGGAAGGAGAGGAGCGAGAAGTGGAGAGGAAGGAGAGTGGGGCGCGTACTGCCCCGATCTACCGCCTTCCTCTAACATGAGCAATCTAAGAAATTCCCAAATCGTTATGCATTGAGTACCCATAAACAAGATGATTGACTGCGTCTTGTTCTGTTGGCAAATTTTGGATCTCCCAGATCATCCATAATATCTCCTCCGGCGTTCCAGAGCGGAGATTAGCAACCATTCGGCGAAGAGCGGCACTGAAGTTTAATAGCTCGGCAGTATAAGCCTTGCGTCTCTGATCACAAGCTGGGTCGTATAAGCACTGGCGTCCTTCGGTCACACACGTCGTGCATAGGGTCGCACCAGAGCACTACGGTGGAGATATCAGCACTGGCATTATATGTGGGAACGATGTTTCTGACCTTAGATCTTCTTTTCTGACATTCGGTGCAGACTAGAGCAACAATGCGTCGCTTTTTTATCGGGGAGTTTATTTCTAGATGCTGTGTGCTGAATTTTTTGTACCGACGCAGAAGCTCGCGCAGAGAATTATTTTTCGGCATTGCGAGAGTAGATGAGTGATAGTCGCTTTGCGGATAGAAAGGTTGGGATCTGATAGTAGACTCCGAGAGTGAAAAGATGGGTGGAATCCGTGATGTCGAAGAACTCAGAGGAGTCAGTCAGGGTCTTTATTCTTCTTTCACATCCTAGCTCACAGTTCTTTTTGTTTGTTAGTCAGAATCAGCCATGGCTCGGAGTTCTCTTTGTTTGCTAGCCAGAATCAGCCATAGCAAACAATGAACCCAGCTAGGTGGCCCACCTTCGGGTAAGACTCCGCAATCCGATTAGCAGATAATCAATAAAACCGAGGAATTAGCTCCCATTGGCTAGATTAATATATCCCAGAGCCCCGCTTCATGCGTCGCTGGTTCCACCTTAATGCATAACTAGGACCGAAACATATCGATACAATTTCAAGTTGCAGCACCTCTATGCTCTTTTGGCCTTCCTACTCAATAAAAACTTCTTATTCCTCCGCTCCAATGCAGTTTTTCCACCTTGATCATGAACATGACTTAATCTCCCTGCATCTCGCAGTAAGGACTAATATAGGAAAGCGAGCGAAGACATAGTCTCCGCCTGATCTCTGAAGCTAAGACTCTCCTTAGCCTACATAGGAGAGGCCGATCATACTTTAAGGGGTTTTTTTATAAGAGTATTTGCCAAGTAAGTACACCTTGGAGGGGCATTCGCGAAACACAAGCTAGTCCTTTGAATTCATAATTGATGTCAATAGCAAAACTTTACCTAAATACAAGAGAAAAAAAATCTAACTGAGCAAAATTTAACATAAAACGGCCATACCAGATACTCCTCCAAGAGAGAGGACCAAGAGAGGGAGGGCATTAATTTACTGGCTTTCCGTATTTTCTGGCTATTGCTAGGCGCAGGCACAGGTCGACGGGGAAGATCCGGTGTCCGAGGAGCTTGAAGCTGTGGACGAAGAAGATCCTTGAGCAGGCGTCGAAGTCGCAGGAAGGCTCAGAGGGAGGATTGCACTTGTGGTGGTCAAGGGCTCATGGTCAGACGCGTTGCATGAGCTGTCAGTCTTAAGCCCATTATCCGCATACACCCAGCTTTGTCACCGTTCTGATTGAAGAAAGTGACTTCACCGGTCTGGTTGACCAGGATCCAAGCAACATTCTTGCCGTTTTCAGTGCCACATGCCGCTACATCAATACTAGCCGAATCTTTGCGTGTGCCATTCACGACCTCGCTTATTTCTAAAACAAAATTTTAATCAGCATTTATCGGTGAACGCCTAGATTTAATTGTAGCATTCACCAGAGCAATCGTCTCCGTTCAATTTTCCAAACGATGCAGAGTAGCCTGTGCATCCATGGTTATCATTAGAGTATATCTTACACTCACGATCTTCGTCGATGACCTGGAGAGCGCCCCCAAAAGAGGTGCGTATAAATACTCGAACAAGGATTGCAGGGACTGAAAAGCGCATTCTAGTAAATTCGATCGAAATGGGAATAAGCTATGCTGGGAGGTTGAGAAATGGAGAGTATTCCACGGGCTTTTATACAAGGGGTTCCTTGATGTGTAGGATTGTAGCACTTCTGCGACACCATTTTCGGCCACCTCCCCTGCATCCTTTTTGGTTCATCAGGGGAGCATATTCGATCAGTTTTCCTCGGCTCACCTTGAAACTGTATGCATTTGTTGCGACACCATTTTTGGTCCTGCAGACCCACATCCGAGTGGCACGGCATGTTAGCCCGAGTGAGGCCGACAGAGTGGGACAGCCTGCGACACCCTTTTTGTCCATTATTTTGTTAGCCCTTCGCTACTCGTGATCCCGAACCTCCGTCATCATATTCTGGTTTAGGGAAGGCGTGGCCAAAAAAGTTGGTGAGGACTTGCGACACCATTTGGTCCTCCCCCTGCCCACAATCCCGAGTAAATTGTTGCTGACTCACCCACACCAGGAAAGATCTTCCGTGTCAGCTTTTTATAATCTAGAACTCCACAGTAGCATTGACTCTATGAAGGTCTTCAATTTTCCAATCCTGTCTCCTGCGCTTTTTCCAGTTCTCTAACAGTCTCTGCATAGGTCGAACTATGGCCTCTGAATCTCCGCGGACCACTAATAATGGCGGCACAATCAATGTTTTTCAACTCCTCCACCAGCATCGATCAAGACTAGTTCCGGGTCCAGATCACATATCCACCCTGGATACAATAATCGACCTTGGCAACTGGTATGCTGATCAAAAGAAGTTCGGGGAGGCCGAGGTTCTGTATCAGTATGCGTTGAAGGGCTATCACAGAGCATTGGGACAGAACGCAGCTTCTTCTCTCGACACTCTAGACAACCTCGGAATTATATACGCTGCAGCGGACAGGCTAGAGGAAGCCAGGGAAACATATTTTTCAGCGCTTGAGGGCAAGCTGGGGGCTTTGGGTGCTGAACACCCCTCCACCCTCATGACAGCGCATAATATTGGAAATTCTATGCCGACCAAAGTAGAATGGACGAGGCGGAAACTTTGTACCGTCTCGTCTTATCGGGCAAGCTAAAGCTCCTGGGCCCAGGGCATATCTCGACCCTAACGACAATGTACAAGCGAGCTATATTGGGGCGCCAGAAAGCTTTAGGTCCTGACGAGACCTCCACCCTGGATGCAGCCAACAATCTTGGTGCTCTGTATCAAGCTCTTGGAAAGAGTACAAAAGCCCAAAAACACTACAAGCGAGCGTTTGAAGGTTACGAGAAGAATCTTGGACGACATCATTCCAAGACTCGGCAAGCTGAATTTGGCTTGAATGTATCCATTTACTGCTCAAATTGGCGCAGGGGTCATTGGATCTCAAAGGTTCTATTTGGAAGCAGACTGAGAGTGTGAGATGTACAGGATGATCGTGAACGGGTGAGAAGCAGGTGGTATTGGCTATCTGCTGCTGTCTTCTGCTATCTGAGAGAGAGAGAAGAGGAAGGAAGAGAGAGCGTGGGAAGTGAGAGAAGAGGTACAGAGTCAGGTGACTGTGGTGACTAAGTGAGTACCTGATGTATGTACGCTCAGTTATTTTCGCCAAGCTAACACTGAATAATTGGTTGAACTTCGTGAGATAGTATGTAACACAAGTGGGAGAGACGGGAACCCGTACAAGCAATTAGTACCGACAAAAAATTTTCTACATAAAACGTTCGTGCGCAAACAGAATATTTCCAGCGTCTCAGCATTTGCAACGTCAACTGTTAGATCTTCCTGGGCTTTATCGGCTGTGGCTCTTGGACTATGTCCAAATATGCTGCCAGCTTTACCATTCCGATCTCACTCGCCTTCACTCCTAACTTATACTGCGCACCCGAAACACTTAGTAAAAAGTTCAGTGGGAACCCTACATCGAAGGGTGTTGCCGCATCGATTTCATCAATCTCCTCTTCACTCAACTCCAAGCTCAATGCCTCAATGTTCCCCTTTAAATGTTCAATCCTCCTTCCCCCGACAACTGGGAATACGTACGGGGCCTTGTGCATGACGTATGCGAGTGCCACACTTGTGATAAGGGTGTGGCGTTTGTCCCCAATTTGCTCAAGGACTTTTGCAACAGCGATCTCGGCTTCGGTGGGAGGAATAAACCGGCGACCATCGTCGGATTGGCGTTGCTGCTCGGACTTGAAGTTACCACTACCAAGTGCTCCCCATGGTGCCAGCGCTATGCCTTCGTTTTTGGCCATTGGAATGATGTCTCGTTCGAAATCACGGCAGGCAGCAGACCAGCGGCCCTGGTAAACAGAGAAGGTACGTAGGCCTATTGGGCCTCAGTTAGCAGAAGGAGCAGAGAGCGGAGAGGATACTCATACGCACCGTGATCGCGGGCATATTGATTTGCTTTTGAAACAACCCAGGCAGGAGCGTCACTTATTCCGAGATAGAGGACCTTTCCGGCGGCCACCAGGTTGTTCAGAGACTGCATCACTTCCTCAATGGAGGAAGTAAAATCCCACCAGTGGACATATAACAGATCAATGTAGTCTGTCTTTAACTTTTTCAGACTTGCATCCACACTCAGCTTCAAACTTTTTGTATTGTTGCCCTGATAGTTAGCCCGGATACCCAGCTTTTCCCCCGGGCCGGGATAGAAGGACGTGTACTTGGTAGCAAGCACAATTTGATCTCGAACGCCACGTTCAGCCATCCAGTCTCCGACCCAGACCTCAGATTCTCCTGCCTGATAGCTATTCGCCGTATCAATGAAGTTGCCACCATTGTCAAAAAACTGGTCAAGCAGTGAAAATGCAGTCTCCCGGCTGCATTCACCCATATATTCTTTCCTGTGTTTGGAGTCAGCTCGAGTATACCAAATGTGGTTTCATTTGACCCTTGAATGCGACACCGTGGTATTCTCACACCTCATAGATTCAGAACCATCTAGAAGATGAAGGATAATCACATACCATGCCTCACCAAAATTTGCAGTACCCAAGCATAGCGGCGAAACTCTTACTCCAGCGCTTGGGGCAAGCAATCTATGGTAACCCAAAGGACTCTTTGGCTTGGGGGTATTCGCGAGCGACGACATGCTTAAGATGCTGGTAGAAGATATTGAGATGTGGATGAACTGGTTACTGACTGGAAAACTTCCCTTATATAGCGTGGGTTTGCGTTGCCAAGGAAGGGTCAGTAGCACATTTACAAGCTTACCTTACTCATAGCTACGAAGTTTTAGTTATCACCCTTTTACCCTACCAACCACCACATTGCCCGAGCCTAATTTCCTGTCGGAGGTACGGAAGGAGCGGCGGCCCGAATGCATCAGTCCTCGGGTTCGAAGTCCGCCGCAGTCCGGGCCCGTGAACAGCGGGGAAAATCCCTAGCACCCTTCCGAGCGGATAAAATCCTTAGCACCCTTCCGAGCCTATTGGGACAATTTACGACATGGGAGCAGGGACTTATTACCCCATAATGTTGATCTGCGGGTACTGTTGAAAGTCAATACACGCCCTAAACCAATTCAGGTCATTCGCACGATTGGTGCCGAGGAATGCGCTGTGGGTGGGCTGCCAAGGCACGGATAGAGTACCAGCAGTTAACTGAGTCCCGCTCAGCCACTGCAAAAATGGCGGCGATTTGGTCATCCAACGCCTGCATCTTTCCAGTGACGCTGGCACACATAATCTGATGAAGCAACCAAATCAGGTTAGCGCGGCGAAATCGCAAAATTTTGCCTGATCATTGGCTGCGATTGGTGGGTACCAATATGTGGGGACGACTGAGACACTAGTCTCGAGCAATAAAGTAGGTTCTCCGCGCGAGCGTCCGCTTGATTATCAACCTCTTTTCTTACCGTACCGTTTGCGAGAAACCCCTGGGATGCCCCTCAGAAACAAAAAGTAGACAGCAGAAGTGGTCTTACTCCGTTGGCGTCCAGTGAGCTGATTAAGCAAGATGATGCACCACGATACGCCTTCCTGCTCCTTTGACTCCGTACACGTCATTGAGCTTACTCTACCAAGCTCCGCGCTGAGAAATTTGGGCACTGGGCTGAAACTAAGTCCCGGAAAGCTTTATACATGCGCCATTTTGTTTAGCAGCTTCGCAAAACGTTCAGAATTCGTAACTCAGCCGGTTCTAGCGGCGCAGGGTCATATACGTAGATTTGCCATCAAGTGGTCAGATTATTCAATACCAATAACGTATCATATGTGCAAAATATGGAAGATTTATAATCACAAGATTGATTCTAAGTTTCGGCGATTGCTCAATCCCGAATGGTTCGGCCTTTGTTCCTCCAGCATCCTGGAGAGGAGTCATGTCGATTTCTAACGCCGAATGTGGGGCGATAGTTACATTCTCCACCGGAAGCACAATCTCACCATCGGCCGAATTACTCTTGCTCTGGCCCATTTGGCTGGGTTAGAAAGTATCAGTTCGGTGGACGATCCCGACAACTTCTCTGTCAGAACCTCAGCTAAGTCCTCGCCAGCTATAACATAGCCCAAGGAGACGTATAAAATGACGACCATGAAGCAATGGACAGTGAAGACTCCAGATGCGGCCTTTTCTGGTCTCAAGCTCGGGGATGTCCCCATTCTCAATGTTGAAGGAAGCGAAGTCCTTGTGCGATTCCACGCTTCGTCTCTGAACTACCGCGACTTGGCAATTGCAAAGGTAAAACTTCATAGGCCCCTACGAGCCGAAACTTTATTCATTGATTTCTATAGGGCACATTCCCGTTCGCTCACAAATATCCTATCGTCCCGAACTCGGATGGCGCTGGAGAGGTGGCGGAAGTTGGTCCTAAGGTGACCGATTTTCAAAAAGGGGATAAAGTTATTACCATTTTCAATCAGGCCCATCAATTTGGCGATATTGACCAAAGCAGCCTCAAGCGGGGTTGGTGGTGTAATTGACGGTGCCCTGCACCAGTTTGGCGTCTACCCCGAAACTGGTTTGGTAAAGGCACCAGACAACCTGGACTATATTGAAGCCAGTACTCTTCCCTGCGCCGCATTTACCAGCTGGAATGCCCTCTATGGACTTAAGCCTATCAAATTTGGCCAAGTTGTCCTAGTCCAGGGTACGGGTGGTGTCAGTATTTTTGGTTTGCAGGTAGGGGATCGGAACACATGTTGTACTGGTGGAGTTATAATCAAGGAATCTGACATCTCATGATATCCATAGTTTGCCAAAGCCGCTGGTGCTACGGTGATCGCCACTACCTCATCGTGAAAAGGAAAGGCTCTTGAAAGAGCTCGGCGCCGATCTCACCGTCAACTACAGATCTTCTCCCCAGTGGGGATCTGCTGTTCGCGACTTAACTCCTGGCAAGGACGGTGTCGATTATATTATTGATGTTGGTGGTCAAGATACCTTGGAGCAAAGTCTCAAGTGTATCAAGATGAACTGTATCATCAACATTATCGGATTCCTGGGCACAAGCGATCGTCCTCAGCCCACACTCCTAGAGGCCCTTAGCCATATTTGCACAGTGCGAGGTGTTTATGGGGGTAGCCGGGCCATGTCGAAGGACATGATTCGTGCTATTGAATCCACTGGATTGAAGCCCATTGTCGATGAGAAGGCGTTTGAGCTTGAAAATGCTAAGGAGGCATTCCAGTACATGGTACGTATACGGACCTATCATTCTGCTTAAAATTTCATCAAATTTTTGGTTCCCTGTACTGATGTCTGTGTCTGTTTAGGCGGCTCAGAAACATGTTGGTAAGGTTGTGGTCAAGCTGTAATGTTAACAGAAACATTTTTGGTGGTGTTATAAGGCGAGGGGACAGGTTCGAGAGATGTGGGAGGCTGATGAAGTGGGAAAGAGCAGTGATTTGGAATGGAGCGGTGACTCGAAATAGATAGAGTGGTCGACTATGCACCCAGGTGGTAGCGAAGTTGCCAAGTCCCCTTGGAGCTCCATGTCCGTGAACTTTGTTTCGTAGGTCGAGGATGAATCAATGCCGCCTAGTATATGGAACGCATCACGATCTAGAGAGTATCGGCCTTCTTGCCCTCGAATATCGGATATGGTAACAGTTCGGATATCATCTCTGCGGTTTCGTCGTGGTTGCCCTTCTAGTGGCGCTTCGACGTAATTGAAGGGGAAGATTCATCAACGGGTGCCTGGTAAAAGGCCAAGGACGCTTACAATTATTGCAGGCAGCTGGCATGTTGGCTCTTCTACTCAGTCAGCTTAGTTGATGATTTAGTTTGGAATGCTTCAGAGAATCCTGTTGTTATGAAATATATAGGTGACGCCTCTGGAGAGCGAGGTCTAATAATTTTCAATGGTTTCCTCTCCACTACTGATAGACTTGGCATTTGAATTAGTAATGTGCCTCTTGAGAACAACGAAGCCCGAACTATTTAGTAAGCTAGTCCCATCAACTTTACTTTCCTCTAGTTAGTTAATAGCGATGTTGGAGCTGTAGTAAGCAACAGAAATTGTCTCTTTTCTTGACTAGTCAGTTTAGTACAATGTAAGACAATTAGTTGATGCGTGTACGCGCTTTAGTATCGTCGCGAATCGAACGAACAATATCACCAGCATTTTCCAACACATTCACCATCCCCACACCTGTGCCAGCCCATAAACTACCCGTATCTTGAACGTCCAGATCCCCCGCTTCAGGGCCATTCATAGCGGCAGACAACCACGCTCGAACTGTTTTTATATCTTTTCCATTTGTATACATTTCATAGAATCTGTTTCTCAGACATCGGCCGTCGTACGTTGTAGGCCAGAAATTGGGTCCCCAAATCTCATCGAATACCCTGGATCGCGCTGTACTTTGGCCACCATCTGAAGCGCTGAATATAGCATCGCGGTAAATTTGAGGTATGTGCGCTTCGACTGCACCGAGGAAACGTGTGCCCATCACTAGTCCTGAAGCGCCTAGAGTCAGCGCTGCGGCGGCTGCTCTTCCATCCATGATTCCACCTGCGGCGATCAAGGGGGTAGTAAGCCACTGTTTTTGAATTGCATCGGCAGTTTCTGGTACAAGGGAAATGATACTAGCTCCGGCTTGATGCCCATGCCCCCCGGCGTCACTTCCCTGTAGGACTAGTGCCTCGGGACGACAGGCTTGAGCTGCATCTAGTGCGGCGTGCACGCTGCCGAGCTGCACCCAAATGCTGGTCTTCGGCGAGGCTCTTCGAATGCTTTCAGCCCAAGTTTTCATTTCCATTGTTCCGGCAAAGGACAGCCAGGCGACGGCGGGCTTGTACGTTGCAAATAGACGCATCCATGATTCGAGGGGCGATCCAAATACAATGACTCCGAGTCCGAGCGGCAGTTGATCTGGGTCAGGAAGTGTAGCCATGATATCCTGTAGGTCATTCCTGGCGCGGTCTAGCTCTTTGGATAAAACGCACATATCGTCCAGATGGCCGATTTGGCCCAGGCCGCCAGCACGAGTAACAGCTGTCGCCAATTGACTTGTGGCTACGCCGCTCATGGGGGCATTCACGATGAGAGGATATTGGATCCATGGGAGGCGATTCTCCCATGAGGAAAAGGTAGCCATATTGGTTGTTGGAGGTTTGTTGATCTACGAAAGCTTAAGGAAGCTCAAGGTGCGGGTCCTGTTTTTAAAGTTGGCTTATCATCAAACGCCGAGTGGCGAGTGAATATCTGGCTCGGCGATTGATTTAATGTTGACGATTACTCAAAAGGTACTGTGAACAGAAGGATAAGCTGCTTATGGCCCTTGAGATCTATGAACTGTGTTTTGATGCCTCTCGCGACGATTTAGCTTTGATGGAACACCAAAGACTGGTCTCCTTTGATCACACTTCTCAGACGATGGAATCTTACAAGCATTTTGGGGCATGTTGCAAGTTGATTCAAAGAAGCCAGAATTTGCCAGAGGCCGTCGCTTCTTTCAAAGGAACTGCGTGAGTGTTTTTGAAAGGTGCGAACGATTCTATGTACTGCCTCTGTTGTGACGGTTACAGTAGATGGAGGCCATTATCGTACCATTTCCTAGGTGTTCCTGCCAGGCGACCTGGGGCGTGCCAGTGAATACACCTGACTTAGAGCTAGCACGTGGCTTCTTATCGAGTGGTTGGCTGTCGGTGGTTCATGAGTGAGCTGATGCCCCTCAACTAAATGCGCTGTTGCAGGGTTCGTCACGATCGGCCTATTATCACTTTATGAGCCGTAAGCTGAGAAGCTCCTAGTCCATATGCTTAAGGGTCTCTCATGAGTATTGAGACCATGCTGCTGCAAGCAATCAAATCAATGGGGAAGTCTAATTAGAATCAAATGCTGAAAGCTATAGATATGAAAAAGGAGGACCAAAATATCACCGGAGGTAGATACTGGGTGTTTTTGGGGTGGAGTGCGTGGTCGTGGCCGGCCTGGTTCGTGCGTGAAGGGCTGGTGCCGGAGCCGCCATTTTCGGCGTCAAAGGGAGCCAGTTTCGGCCGTCCCGGCACAAATGGTTTTTGTTTAGGCAGAATACTGTTAATATTTTGATAGATGTTCGATTTATCTTAAGGACTAAAAAACTGTGGTACGTAAATCGTCCTGGTACATACTTTGGACAATGTTCAGAAATTTGTGGATATTTATTTAGACTGCCCATTTCGACCTTGAGCGTCAGCTAGCCCATTCCTTTGGTACTTTTAAGAGTCTTCATCTCTACTCTATTCACCTCACAAATCCCCTGCCGCTGACAGTCACTCGGTCCTGTAATTTCACAAGTGTTAAGAAAATTTGGTCGCAAATGATGCGGCAAAGTTGAAGTAGGGATTGTTCCAAAAGCCAAATATATTCCAAAATATTTATTTATGGGATCCATGAGATCAATTGAGAATAATAGGATATAAAGCGTGTATAGCAGTCTGAACATACAGAACAGCCGCTGTGCGATGCAGAGCAAAGAAAACTCGATCCACACGGGGAAAAGCACAAAATATTCTTCAGATCATGTCACTTGCAGTCCGTGCAGAGTTTATGCGGTATTTTTGCAGACAAGTTTAAGCAGCAAATCGCCACCCAGAATCCGTCGAACGCTGTCGCTTCATGACGGAATGCAACAAGCTCTCCTTGCGAGATGAGAAAGGCTTCTTTTTCTTTTTTTCTTGCTTCAGTAATGACTCTGCAGCCTCGACATCAATTCCTTCGCCGGTATCGGTGATTTTGAGAGCCCACTTCACGTCTTCTTCGTTGAAGCCGAGTTCGTTGACCATACGGTTGATGGCGCGGTCAACGGGGTCTTGGACCTGGGGTGGGAGGGAGTATACTGTTGGGGGGTTCGCGGGGGCGGGCATAAGAGCTGGGTGTTGTACAGGGGGGCTGCGGGCGGGAACGATGGGGATGGAGGTATCGGAGAAGTGAGGAGGCATGGTGAAGTGTTGCGGAGGAGAGAATTGAGGTGGTGGGGTGAAGGCTGGTGTGCGGGGGACGTAGTCGCTTCCATTTGTGGATGTTGAGGCTCGGTCGAGCATCATAGAAGGGAGGGCTGGGACGGGAGGTACGTTGCAGTCGGCGCCGTCAAGGTTGTGGACGATGGTGCTGAATTCGGACATTGGTCGTTCTTGAGAGAAACCGCTGCCAGTGCCAAGGTCGCGGATGGTGGGTTCTTTGGCGTTCCTGGCGCGCCGGACTCGGAGCTCGAGGACGTATTCTTGGTGGCGCTTTTCGCGCTGCTGTTGGCGGAGTTGCTCTTCGGTCAGAGCGTCGACCTGGCTGTCAGACTGAGAAATGGCACGTTCTTGATCTTCGTAGACGCGAGAGACCGCTTCCTTCAAGAAGGATGAGCGGCTAGTCTGGGTCTCGGTCAGTTCCCACTTGGTGAGCCCGGATGCCTTGGCATTCTTAAAGAACGTAGCGGTGGCTTCAGCGGGAGCAAGGGAGCTGAGGCCCAACACAGCAGAAAGACCGATGGTGAGGACGTAAGAGGTCCATTCCTCTGCGCGTATGTCAGGATTTGCTTTCTGTAGACGATTGAAACAAAAACTTACCGAGCACTTGCTCTTCCCGGACATGATCTTCCCTCGGAACATCCATGCCTTCATAGATTCCGACCTTCCGTGCCTCGATACACTTGCCGTGAAGAGGCTGCAACAGCACGCCCATACACGTCCAGATCTCGGTCATATCGTACAACTGTTTCGGCGACAATCCGCGACCATTACCACGGCCGAATCCCTCAGGTGGTTCAAAGAGAACGTTGTTCATACCAAAGGGCTCAGTCATACATGACGCAGCTCCGGTGTAGCCTCGGGCCTTGACACCACCCTTGAGCCAGTCCACCTGACCCTCGAGATCATTCTCGCGGCCTTTGTTGCTGCCAAAGATGCGGCAGAAGGTCCAGATTCGCCAGAAAGCATCATCCACCTCCTCAGCGCGCTGAACATCCATCCCAGACAGGCCACGAACCGTGTCGCGGCGCAGGAACGGCGAACAGCGCACCAGAATCATGGACTTCAGCTTGGCTAGGGTGAAAATATCCGATGCATATCGATCCAGATACAATGACGGGCTATATTCGGGCACCTGCGCGTCGGGCTCCAGCAGCTGCGCCTCGGTCGCCCACGGGGGAGACATCTCGCGCAGCTCCCATGCCGGCGGCGACATTTTGAACAGTGCATTTTTAATCATTGGCAACTCATGCTTCTTGAAGACATTATAGAAGCTCTTGTTGACCAACACGAAATTGAACAGGTCGTCCAGTGAGTCGATTCGTTCCATGATCGCTCGGACCAAACTTTGCGGCAGGTCTGCTGGAAAGGGAATCATCACATCCGCTTGCTGGTTCGCATCGAACCCCGAGATTGTCGCTGTGGGCGACGGCGGAGTGGCCGCGAGCTCGTAGATTTGTTCGGGCGGCAGCCGGACGCTGCTAGCCTGTGCCGTCGACACAAACGCGTGTGTCTGCCTCATCTTTTCGGATCCCAACATACGACTGGGGCGGACCAGAATCTTCTCCTTAGACGAGACGCTCTGGCGCTCCTGCTGGGCATTGGGAGATTGGGGACGTTCGTCTGCGGTCGGTTGCGTGGGGCTGCCCGTCGGCCGGGCGACCCCTGGCTCTATTCCGTGGAGGGTGTCGAGGAGACGAGTCACCGCCAGATCGGTCTGGAGACGGGGGAGTTGCAGGCGCAGGCTGTCGCGCTTTGGGGGCGCGTCGTCGGACGTGTCATCAGGAATGTGGAGAGGGTCGAGAGGATTCGGAGGGTCGAGACGATCGGCGTGGAGTAATTCCCGGCTTGGCGCGATGGCGGGTGCAGCCGTCGGTTGCGGCCGCCGCTTGAACGATTTCATCAGCGTCAACGTCTTCCTCAGCCGATCATTCTCTTTTCCGCTCTTGCTCTCGGCACCCTCTGGACTTGCACTCTCCCCCGGAGTTGTTCCTGGAGTGTTTTTGCTGACATTGGCATCAGGGGTGTCGTCGGCACTTTGACTTTTCTTGTGCCCCAGGCCACTCTTACTAGAGGAACTATAAGTATGACCTCTCGTTGAAGAACCCTCTGGAATCGAGGCCAAATTGACTGGTCGGCGATCCTTCTGCACCTCCGATGATCGCTTCACTTTGTTCTTCTCCTTCTCCTTCTTAGACTTGCTCGACTTCAACGACTTATTCGTCTTCAGCGACTCCGTCAACGGCGGGTGTGTCATCGAGTGTGGTTTCGTGGATGGAGGCTGTGGTGCTGGGCGCGTGGCCACGAGGTCACCATTGTGGCGGCTGACCTGCAGTGGACCATCTAGGATCAGCAGCGTGCGCTGTTTCGATCCGTGCCGTTGCAGATCAGCCAGAACATCCTCCAGTTCTTCCGCTGCCTGTGCCAACGAGGGAAGCTGCCGGATATGCGGCTCGCCTTTCTCAATGTGTTCGGTCCATTCGGAGCGATTGCCTTTGCGTCGTCGCTGACTGTGTCCGCCACAGGCCTGGCAGGCGTGGCTTGATTGAGATTGCAGGGATGTGGCTGATCGTTGAATTGGTGGAGTATGCATTGGTGATGTCGAATAGACTGATGTGGGCGGATTGGGACTTTGTAATGGAGGGGTGTGGCGACGGACGGCTAGAGGGCTGGGCACAATGATATCGGACTCGGAGACGGGTTCGAGAGGAAGAGGCTTGTTCTTCAGGTCGTTCATGCTGGTCACCGACTTCTTGGAGGTGACCGAGCTGCATCCCGACGAGCTACTACTGCTAGGAGAAGGTGCTTGCTGTCTAGAAAGAACAGACGGAGCTCGCGATGAACATACGGAAGCCGCATCGTCAAATACACCCGCCGCAACGGGCGAGAGGATGGAGTATGCATCTGCCGACATGTAGGGATAATCGAGTTGATCCTTGCCCGGGAACTCCATTCCAACACTCGACTGCGAACTTCGGTCACTGTAGCAGGAAGATGCAGAATCAAAGATCCCATCTGACCCCGACGAAGAACTGGCCTCGGGTCCGAGTGGGGAAAAAGCCTTGTTCTCTTTATACATAGGGCTCCTGCACAGACTCTGCACTCGCTCCTGTAGTTCGTCCTCAAAGCCCGGCGACGTTCTTTGTAGCTTCGTCTTCGCTTTCTCGCCGCCTTCGGGGGAGATCAGGTCGATTTGGTCAGGAAAGAGTTCCGGGAAGAATCGGCGGATGGCGTTTCCTGGACGGATGGGTGGTCGGTCATCAGATATCGGCGAGACCTCCGAGTTGTCCGAGTCGTTCAGCGAGTCCGAGTCCAACTGGATGATCGTGCGAAGGGAGCCCCGCGAGGAGACCGACCGAGTGTCCGCGGATGTCGCTTTGGGTACAGATGAGGCACTTTCCTTGCCCTTATCTTCCTTCTCATGCTCTTTTCCCTTTTCTTCGGGTGGATGGTTCTCCATCGCCGTGTGTCTCTTCCGAATATCCTCCTCAGAAGTCTTGAAGGTTGACAAGGTCTCCCATTTATCAGACGTTTCAGACACCTCCACCTCCAACTTCAACGGTACCTCGACCGGGCCTTTGTCTTCACTCGGTCCAGAAACACTCCCACGCCCAGCGTCGGGAGCCGGTCCCTCGATCTTCAAATCCTGCGACTGAAAAAACGAAGTGTGCAATTTCAGAGGAGGCGGTCGATGAGGCTCCTTTTTCCTGTAGCTAGGAGACCGACGAGGTCGAATATAAGGGAATGATAGCGCAACCACCATGGTCGAAGTTGGCCGGGGATGCGAGGGTTAGTCCAGTCGCATTGTCCACACGCTCAATCTATTCACCAATTAGCATCATCGCCATATCGATTCTCGCGCCTCTGGAAGTGCAGAAACGGCCGGCAGAGGAAGTCTCTAAAGAACTGACATATGGAAGTAGACTAGGTATCCCGGTCTGGCGTGTCGGGGAGGTCGAATGACAGCCGCGCGCTTTGTAGGTTACCTCGTGACGATTGTATAGATTGGCTTGGCGTCGAAAATGGCGGCGCAAACACAAAGACAATACTGTCCTTCACGGACAACAAAGGAGTTACAATAAGAAAAATTCCAATGGAGCAGGGCACCTTCTTTTTGATGACTGCACCTGTCCACCCTCCATGCCCACTGCCAGCTTTGGCCCCCGGAATAAGCAGTTCAACTCGAGTGGGTCGGTCGGGCCAAAGAAAAGCCCCAAACGCCTCGTGATGATCCTGCCCGAATTCGAAAAGCAATTCGTTTCTTTCCTTTTTCGCGCTACAGAACAATTCTAAATGCTGCTGGAGTTCCTCGTTTTCTCGTGTGGTTGAACGCTCTATTTCTGAATACGAGTTTATCTCGTACTCGACTTTCTGCAGAGGTTTGATCGACGCGGAGACGGGATCAACACGAACGACCGACTTAAAATAAACACACGCTAACTCTTCCAAGAAAGAATGGGGCCAAGCTGCATGCCATGCATCCCCACTAGCCCATGACGCTACTTGTCGCCCTGGGGTCTCTTCATGGCCCTCCGTCGTGCTAGTCAACTTCTAGTGGTACACCAGCTGGTATACACAACCCTTCCACAACGCAGTCGGAATGCGAGATTATGATCCAGACTCGATCGCTTACTTCTGGAAATTCTGGACTTCTGCGTTTAAGACTTTCTAGCATACAGTCGGGATCGCAGTAAATCCTTTCACCCCCGCGCTCCTCGCCCGACGCCAAGCACAAATTCGCCACGACCAAGCACATACATCATTCATCTTCACGAGTCCCTCCAGAATAGGAAATACCCCTCGCTCTCTGCTTTACCACATCACAGCGAACCACTCAAATACATACATACCTCATCCCTCTGCTGTCATCGGTGGAACCGTGAACGCATCTGACTCAGATGTCAAAAGGGCGATCATTCGCTGGGATTATCATGCATTCTTACGCATGGAAGCATGGAATCGTTTCAAGAACCAAGTTTGGTCCCTCACCTTCCGACCGCACCCCGAGCTCCCAACACTCCCAAACCAAATCCCAACCTACCTAGCGACCCAATGGATAAACAGAAATAGCTTGACGACCAGCTGAACCAAGACGTAAAACCCTCGTAGTCCTAGCCCGATTGCACTAACCTGGTGCATAACTAACCTCGAAATCCGTTGGGTACTGCACGGCTGCCCAGGGGCCAATGAAGACCAGGGGCCAATGAAGAACAGGCTCCACATGGCTTGACAGGGGTCGCGCCCTCTAATTCATTTGGGAAGGTACCATCGCCAATAGTAGCCATCAGTCTCTGCATCCATGTTACCGGTTGTAGCTAGTTTCGCGACTTGTGCGAGGTTCATTCTCGTGGTGTTGCATTTCAAATCTCATCCCCCAACGCACATTTGTTTAGCCCCCACCGGCCCCTAGGCGGGGGCCATTTTTTGTACAAAACACGTTTAGCTGCGTGGAAAGTTTGATACGATAACTACAGAAAGAGGGCGAGAACCTCTTATTCGAACAGGCGAGGGAACTCATGGCCTGGATGTCCTGGTATTCTAATGGCGTGATGGCCCCTGGCTCCGACTTATGGACTGTACTTTCCTCTCCTTGCATACATTCGCAGGCTGGGCTTTCTGCGAGACAGAAGAGAATATATTGCGGTCCATTGATTATTTTTTACTTCTGTTCCGACTGTGACATTACCATGTGTCTTGTTCGTGTTCCTTTAATGGCGAACTTTTGGCCCATCGAGATGTACCCACTTCGCCCAGCGACCCTTGAACCTGTACAATGCCGAAAGTTCTGGACTAGATCCCGTGCAGGGAATCTCTCCCGAGGCCACGCAGCACTGTGGCACCCTACCCGGAGACCAGACTGAGATAAATCCCCCAAATAACACCAAATAAACTACCAACAAGCAATCGCTGGCTGGGGGGTACAACGGTGAAGTTGAGAATCGAGACAAACGGCCACAACTTGAAGCCGGCGATCATGATCGGCCAGAAGTCCTACAACACCAATTATTAGCATAACTATCTTCACCAACTGAATCTTCACGTTCTCCGGTCCCTGCATTTCGGTACAAGAAAAGCAACACAAAAAAGGACCCAGTTTAACCCAAGCAACTGGCCTCTACTAGTCCGGGGGCCAAAACCAACAAATTGGCATCGATATAACTCACCTGCAAAATTTGCGATTGGATATCTTGCATATCTAGACCTCGAAGCATCCCCATGACAGTTATGAAAAGCACGGTATTCCATGCGCCACCAACAACTTGGTCAATGATGATCTTGGCGATTGTGTTGCGGACTTTGAATGAAGCTTCACCATCTTTCTCTGCGGGCTTGGCGCATGTCTTATCTCTTGGTTTCGCTTTTGCTTCTGATTTGCCGGGGAACCAGGCTTCTAGATTCTCCAACCAGAGGTAGCCTAGTGGTGAGACTATCAGAGCGCAGGTTGTGAACTGGGTTACTGCGCCCGGGTCTAGTATGAAGGGAGTCTAGTTTGTTAGTATTGACGAGATTCGGCGAAGTGCAATATGTTCCACTCACCTCATTTCGATAGGCTTTGATACACTGCGCCAGCACGTTCGAGCCAGCGTTGATGACTGCCGTCTGCAACGTGGCCTTGGCGATGGGCGGGATGGACATCGCGGTTGACGTGGGATCGCGATCGAGACAAGTGCTACTTTCTTTTAGTAAGCACCACTGAGCCAGTCAGCAGTTACGTGAGTGAAGGGGAACTCAGGATTTTGCAGGTTTCTCGGCGGATAAGTGTGAAGCCTCGTGGGGTTGTTTGAAGTGAAACTTGTGGCAGATGTTGGACCCTGCAAGGGGTGGGTGGGTCTACCCCCACGTTTTGTGGCTGGAGCTCTTTTCCGTGCCTCACAACATTTATAGAGGAACCCTTTTTATACTACCATTATATAGTGTTTAAGCAGCAAGGATAGGGAAATGTAAGCATCGCAGCTCTTTATGGTCTTAATAGCCACTCGCGAGCCTTTCCATCTCCCACCTCAATAAATCCTCGCGAAGCGCTGAGATCACTTGATTCTCGTAACCTAGCACTGACTCCGCCTTAGAAGAGCAGTTCCCTACAAACGTGAACGCCCTGTCCGTTTACTCTAAATCTTTCAAATAAACTGCAAAATTCCCCGTCCACATAAGCGGTTCGCAATGATCTCCGTCACTTTTCGTCAAGCAAATCTCTAGAATTTGAAGTAACCGGCCCCACGTAATTTTACCAAAATTACTGGACCCTCGCAAGCTTTAAAATTTACGTGGGGCCGGTTATATATTTCTTTGTGGTTTCCCACTCACCTAGCTTTGAATAGTAGAAAGCGTGCCTGACTATACTCTTCATTGTGTTAGGGTGATCATTGTCTAAAATTGGCTTATAATACTCTAAGTCTTCTAGTGTAAGACCCTTAGCTTAATCTAACTAATCCTACACAAAGGTTGAAACGGTTAATGGGAGGCCGAAAAGGGCGGCTTTTGACGCCGTTTTTGGCCGCTCGCTCACCGAAGGCGGTCTTGGTGTCACGCGTACTAAAGCCCACGACCAACCTGATTTTTTCCAGAATGTCAAATCTATATGAGTAAGCCAATCTCGAAGTTTGATCTTGTTCCTCGGAGTCAAAGGGGCCTTGAAATGAATAGAGATTTGATGGAAAGCCAATCTATAAAGCTACAATTGCAGTTGAGTTAGAATAATGACACAAATCGCAGTTTCATATTTCAATATGAAGTTTAATCTCTGACTAACATTACTTCCTCCCGGAGAGCCCATTCTAATGGAAATCTACCAGTCCAATCCTCCCGACACCGCGCCAGTTCTATTGCCAGATCTGGGCTCAGAACAATCCAGCTCCTTGCAAACTAGATATTGTGAGTACTTGCCACCTCGCACAGACTCTGAAAACACTCACGCTGCTCAGCCTGCTGGAAAAGAGAGCTGCCCCTGGGCTGATGCATCGCAGGCAAAATCTGGCCACCACAAGTCTTCTCCAGTTTCCTATGTTCCTGAAGGCAGTCCAGAATTCGATGAATGTTGGTCGAGCCCCCGGTAGATTCTTCGCTAACTGATTGGAACTCGAGCTCGATGTCCTTGACCAATTCTTGCATTGGTCTCTCAACGGCTCGAGCCAGCGCACTCTTGTCGGTGGTCGCTTTGGGCGCACAGTCAAACAAATCGTATCGGACGTTGGTCGTTCTCTCGGAAGCGGGAAAGAAGGAGACCGTAAGCCATAGGCCTGCATTTTCGAATGAATACAGGAAGGTTCCCGGGAACAAAGAGCAGTCAGCTTGTTTGTTTGTCTGCATGGCGATTGCGACCAGCTTGCTCGCCAATGATGACGTGGCTGACTTCGAAACTCGCTGCTCTAGCTTTTCAACTAGCTTTGTGCAGTGGCGATCATTCACTGCTTGTATCAGCAATCAGACTTTTCTGACAATTGAGATATGTGGCCGTACTTCCGAGTTTCCAGTTGAAGTTGGCAGTTAGTGTCTGACCAGTGACCCATTCTGACGATCCCAGTCCTGCCTTTAGAGAGAACGAGTCAAGAGCTGACCGAGTAGAATTGACAAATGCGGCTGGCTCCCCTGCATTCAGGTTCACAAATACGTGTCCTTGCTCCGTGGTCCGCGTATGGATCTCAAAGAGACTGTTTTCCGACTTGTTGAAACCGGGGACATCATCGAACGAAGGGGCCTTGACCAGTTTTCCGGTTGTGTCATAGCTCCAACCGTGATACCGGCAGCCGAGGACAGTCGAAGCTCCGGTCTCTTTTCGGGTGATTGTATACGCGCGATGGCGACACACGTTGTGGAATGCGCGGATCTTCTTGTCCTTGCCACAGATCAGAAAAACCGGGAAGCCCGCGATATCGAATGACTGATACGCGCCCGGCTTGGTGAGCTGGCTGCTGTGGGCGATATAAAGCCAGGTCTGCGCAGCATGGTTAGTAAGTCGCGGTGTTGCTACCGAATCTCTCATCGCACTTTACTAAACAACGCCCGCCGCTCCAGCTCAAACGCGTCGCGACCGGACCACCAGCCTTCCGGAGCTTCGGGCTCCTTGATCACTCTCAAGCCAGAGCTAGCCTTGCAATTTTGCTGCGATGGATCGGAGAATTTATATGTCTTCTTCTGCGGCGACAGGTGCGGCCATGCCTTATGTGCCAAAAAAGCGAGGGTCAGGGCCGCCACGAAGATCGAGCCGGGCGAAGACAAAGAAAATGCATTGGAGGAGTCCATTATGAAAAAGAGCAATCTTGGCCTTGAGTGCAAATCAACGACTCGCGATTGCACGCGACGCCCTCCCTTTTATTATTGTTTTGGCAGGTTGCTATACTTCGCGGGCTGAGGCCGCTCGTCCCCACAAAATAAACTTCGGCCCCGCCTCACCAGCCGATTTCCCGATTCGGTTGGAATTTCCCTTGTACGCCGACCAGCTCACTCGTCATCTATCACTCGTCGAGCTGTCGCACGGAAGATGCCTGACTTGATCATTTATTCGTGTCCACGATCGTCACACGCTCGTTGAAATAGCTGTTGGTTTGATCCTATGATATTCTTGGAGCTCGAATTACACAAAGTACGGGATACTTGCACTGACGGTCAAAGCCCAATTTCATTCTCAACTAGACCCTCCACTAGGAGGGGAATTAACGCTATTGCCAGGTAACGGCTGATTCTTCTACCTAAATCGCGATTTTTGCACTACACGCTGCCATCTGAACCATCGAGCGGGTAACTCGCTCCTCCAGGCCCGCTCCGTCGCCCTGTTTTTTGCGATCGGCTTCGTGCTGCTCGCACACCATCTGGAACACACGTTGCTGATAGTCTGGGGCTGGTCAGAAAATACGGTGGAATACGGATCTGGCGCATGATAAAACTCACAAGAAACGCCGTTTTCTTTGTCTGGGTTCAGAATGCCCTCGTGGTAAACGCCCTTCGCCAAGTTGTCCTGGGCCTTCTCGCAGAGCTCAAAGTCCTCCATCGCAACTTGGCGCACAAACTTGAAGTATTCTTCAAATTTGTCGCCCTCGGCCAGATGGTAGTAGTCGAATTCCATGCGAGTGACATGCGGATCGGCGGTCGGACACACACGGAAAGACGACATGCCGCCGCCATACACGTTCAGCGTGCAGTTAGGGAAGAAATACAGGAACAGGCCGTCATCGGGCTTGTTGGGGTCCGCAATGTGCTGCGAGAAGTTGTGCTTGTTGCGGACTGTGTAGAAGGTCGGCGGGTAATAGATGGAAAATGACGGGTGAGTGTACTGGCAGTGCAGACACTCCTGATAACCGTCCACCCTGAAAGTGATCAGAAATTTTGGAGCTTTTTCAGTGGTCAATGTCTATCTCATGACTTACATGGTCTTCCAGTTGAACCGTCCCTCATACTTGATGCTGCGACGGTACGGAAGACGGGTAAAGTCGACCTTGGCAAGCAACTCCTCCAGTTCAGGGAAGAATTCATGGAAGCTTGGCGCATTGTCTGTGATGGTCGAGAATAAAAGACCAGTTGGAGTCACATGCTTTTGCACCTCTTTTCCCTATATGTGGTTTCGTCCATGTCAGAAACTACCAGGGCTATCCATTTGCAACAATCGCACATACCGTCTTTGCGTGAAAGACCTTGAGCTCTTCGGCAGTTGGGTTTAGACCCTGGCCAGAAGTTCGAACAGCATAAATTGGCTGTTGCGCAACTTCATATTCGACCTGCTCGCCGACAATCTGAAACCTGGTCACTGGTCCAAGCAGATACCAAGACTATTCAATTCATTAGCCTTGTGCGACAAATTCCTCACAGGGCAAACATACTTTATCAAAAACTGCTCGACGCTCCATCTTGTAGAGCGACTCGTTGCAGTACCAGGATGCTGGCAAAGTACGGGTGAGCTCAGTCATGATGATGAATTGATAGAACTTCTCGGAATATTGAAGCAATATTTTGAAACCGGGCGATTGTCGGTCATTCCATGCGACAGCGATAAGACAGATCTTTATATCTCGGAACTTCTATTTTCACAAATATTCGAATCCTGTGAAACATCGTCATTGGCAGCAGTTCTGTCGGGCTGAACCTTGATGTGTTGGTGGGTTGCGGCTTATCGTTTCCGAAAGGGGTTATCGAATCCCCCACTGGGTGGAGTGGCTGGACGTCAACCTACATGTTTCAAAGTGGATCGATAGACCTGCTAGGAAGTTGCGGAAGAACAATCAGCAGAAGTTATCTGAACAGGGCAGGTCCAACGAGATACGAATCTGAAAGGATCCCAGACGTAAGACCTTCCAACGCTGGTCTTCGCCATCCCGGGTGTCGAATTTCCGCCTACGCTCTTCATTGGCCAGTCCAGAATCTATCAACCCATGAAAGCTGCGTGAAGATAACCATCGTGGACGGCATTCCACCCTAGCAGAAATCTCGCTCTGCAGAGACCTTCGCTTCATCTGATTTTTGAATTGCCAGAACGATGCTCTTCAATCTACGTCACTATGAGACGTGCTTCGCAGGGACATTCGCTGTGCATATCGAGACTCCAGATCGCTCCTTTGGGCTTCGGTATTAATGGTGCGCTATCATTGTGGCTCATCTCTCTCGGCTCTCACCTTCCTTCTTGCGCATTCATCGAAGTATACGCAATAATGTCAAAGTTCCTGTAAGAACACCTTGATAATCATCTGGTACATGAACAAAGATCAGAAGATGTCGCAAACGAGATGAATTTGCCGACCTGATGATCATCTGCGATGGAACCGAGTTCAAAGTACAAGTTTGTACTATGCTCGCGATCTGACCTCTTTCGAGCTCCCTGCACGAGGTATTTCAAGGCCAGTTTTACTGCTGTCCATCATTTTTTGACTGACTGCTAATCGAAGATACAGGAGGCAGCTGAATCAACATACAGAATGATGGGATGAATTAGCCCTGGTGGTAGTCAAAATGCTAGACTATCTGTACACGGACAACTATTCGGAAGAGCTCCGGAGTGAGGATTTAATGCAAACCCAAATGAAAGAATTAAAGCTCTCAATATCGGTTCCGCAGCTACTGCTCAGATGTATTCTCTGGGTGATAAGTCCATGATCCGAGATATCTGCAATACGGCCGCGGGAAGTTACCAAACAAGGGTGCAAAAGTTCGACCCTTGTGAAGATCTTGACTCGTTATCCGAGATCTACCACCATTGAAATCAAGGTCCCGGCTTGAAAATATCAACAATTTGGTCTTCCGAACGAAGTTCTGGTCTGATTGGAAAAACATGGACCTCCGGCATCAGTACGATGTATTGGCCACTCAGACGCCAGAGCTTGTAAGGGAGAACTCGACTCTTTCCTGGAGTACCCGTTGGTTGGAGACTGTTTGAAATGCCCCATTCCAACGCCGATGTTGATTTTAAACAGAAAATGCGAACATTGTGGTCGCGGTAAAAGGAATTAGTCCAACTTGGTTAGAAACACATGACATCCATTTACTCTCTCCAGACTAGTCCCCGGTTGCTAGATAGCTGGTCCCATAGTCCACAAGCCACATTTATTCTTATTTCGGTCTTATTCGTCGGTCTAAGCCATCCGTATAGGAAAAATCAGTATTCATCAAATCTGGCTAGTATTGGCCTTATCGCCTACTATATCGGCTATTCAAGGTACTGACGCCCTGTTCCCGATTGTTCGAGGTCCATGGCAAAACCATATAACGCAGGCTGGGAATACCCCAGGCTAGGGTAACTTACGGTAATTGGGTCCTTTAAAGAACTTATTTTCGATGTAGACAGACACTGTTCCTACTGCTAATTCGACTCTCGATGTTATGTACTGACGCAGTTGGTCGCACCGATTGTTCAAGGCACACCATATTCGTGTGAACAACGGGGACTAAAAATATTCGGATGAAAATTTTCAGACGAAAAATCTTAATTAAGATTAAGAAAAAGTTTTGGATCCAAAACTTTTATTAAAAACATACAACAGCAGGGATTCGCATGTGGTCACCCACCATACTACTAACCTGCCGGCGTGTGGCTTAAGTACGGCTGAGCGGACGGGAAGCCCTGTTTTCCACACCCTATGGTCGTATGTGCCAGAATTCAGATAAAAGGGGCTCATATAGACAGCGAACTAGAACGTGAAAATAACCAGGACCATGCGTCGGGATTCTGATGAATAGTGAGTGCATCGATGTACATCGCAGTGAACCCCTTCTCAGGCCCGAGATGTGCCAAGTTTCTTGGCAAACCACGAACTCAATGATGCCAAACTTACAGTTGATGCATCTTTTCCTTGAGCAGCAGCAGCGAGCCTTTTCAATTCCAGAGGTACATCGGTGCAAGAGTCCTCAACAAAGTAACGGCCGTTAGTGGCTTCACCATAAGCAAATAGCAGCCTGCCATCTTCCATTTCAGGAATGCTTTCGCCAAGGCTTTGCCAAGATGGCAATGGGACATAGCGTGCTTTCTTTCCAGTACCTAGACGAGAAGGAAACAGTCAGAGAGATCCCTGGGTGGTTCTGAAAATATCCACATACTTTCGGAGAAGGTTTGGACGAATTGAGGCAGAGATTGAATATCGCTCACAGCCTGAATTGTCTTGCCATTCCAGTGTTTCGGGTCAAGCAGAATTCCATGGACGAGGTCACTAAAGTCGTCCACGATCGCGATAAAGGGCGCACCGCTGTCATTTCCCCACTTCGGCAAGTGAAGACTCAAGTAGCCCTCGGCATCGGGGAAATAGGGAAATCCTTGGTGAAGCTTGGCCATCTTTTCAGACAGAAACAGCTCAAAATACCACCCTGCATGGATGAAGGCGATCGTTTCAAATTGACCCATTTCTTGAGCATATTCCGCAATAGAGGCTTTCACTGAATGACACATGATCTTGTCAACTTGGCTAGTGTACTCTAGCAATAATAGTATCACTCACTGTCCATTGTCTTGATCTTCATCCTTCCCCCGGTTGCTTCTCCAGCCGGCCTCATGGAACTGAGAACAAGGTTCTTCACTCCACCGGCAACCATACCGTCAACAACGATCTTTCCGAGATCAAACTCCGTAGGTCCACCGGGCTGGCTGAAGATCTGTGATGCTATTAGCACAAGGAATGAGGATGATAGATTAGCGACTTACCGGATCATCGGAATTTGTATTCACGAACGCTCCCCAGGAACCAGAGAAGGCCCTCTGCATGTCATCCTTGTTCCACCCATTTCCTTTAACAACTTCCACACCGAGTTTGTGCAGCACTTGGCACTTCTCAGATTCGGGATTTCGGGTGTTCGCCCGGACCTGGAAGTTGGAGACTTGGTCTCTTAAGAGTGAACAAGTGACAGAGTTGCCTTGAAGTCCAGTCGCTCCGAAGACAGTGACCACCCGTTTTTTAATTGCCATTTTGTCTGTGTACGAGATAAAAAATGCGTAGCAAGTGTATGGGCACAGATCGAGGTGAAGAGAGGCTGGACTTGGGACAAGTAGGTTACACAAACACGTTGCTGTGAGGCCTCAGGCGCATGGCACGTGACAGCTCACCACCCATAGGTATTCGCGACTATTAGATCAAAATTTAATACTCCCCTATCTCCATCAAGATACACCATATCTCATTCTCACTGTCAAGAGTCAAACGCAAAGAAGACCGATATGGAGAGTCTGAGTCCGGGAATGTCAACTCAATGTAGAATACGTAGAATACAATTCGGATTCAAAAACTTAGGTGGAAAAGTTCCGATGGAAAGACATGAGACGAAAATAGAGTGTTTAAAAAACAAAAACATAAAACATACAACAGCAGGGATTCGCATGCGGTCACCCACCATACTACTAACCTGCCGGCGTGTGGCTTATACGCGGTCAGTAGTCGGGTGCCTGCCGCCAGGGTGAGAAAAGGGTGAGCGCCGCTTTAGGGTCGCGCGACCGGGGGTGAGAAGGGTGAGTGCGCAATAGACAGGGTGAGAAACAGGGTGAGAACGGGTGATTCTCACCCTCCGTCCTGGGGCCGTCACCCATAGACAGGCCACCGAGAGCCAACCATTCTCAGAAGGATCAGTCAAGTGCACGCTGAGGCCACACGCCGGCAGGTTGATCTCTTCGGAGTCACCGGAGCTAGCCGCATTCATAAGCCAATCTGGCTTCTTGTCATTGTTGTAATTCAGAGGAAGATTGCTTGTATTGTTTCTGGACAGAAAACTTGAGGGTTTATATACACATGCGACCTCCAGATTGATTTCCAATCAACGCTGGTAATTCCGTGAGGTTAGGAATTGATTCCGTTACGATACGACATATCACAACACCAATCCGAAGCGACCATCGGGCCAGTACGTCATTGACCACATTTATCAGCAAGTACGGACCCTCCGGTCAGCTTCTCGCATGCACATGTCTGGCCAGATTTTCGCCGTTGAGATCCGTTGGATCCCCGCACATGTGGTTGTGCCTGGCAATGAAGCAGCTGATGTTGAAGCTAAGTTTGCTGCGGAGAACGGAGGTGAGGCGGAATATTATGCTTCCGGGCCAAAGCATACCGCCTCGCCTCCTCAGCGAAGCGCTGGGTGCGGCAGCGAATGAGGGATAGATGGGCAAGGGAATGGGCAAGAGAAAAGACAGGAAGACCGACCTATCAACTGGTTAACATGCCGCACAAGAAGACCCCAAGTTTGTATGAGGGCCCTCAAAGCCTACACCTCAATTCTGATACAGATGAGACCACAGCGAATTGGACTTCGACATTTCCTGTTCAAGATGGTTACCGTACAGCAGTTAAGGGTGGTAATTAATACCACTGTATTTTTATCATTTACCTCGGCAGGAATTATGCAAATTTGGGGGCCAAACTGGTTTTTTTGGGTTCGGGCCATAGACAAAAAAGTCCACCCGAACCCGACCCATGCACAGGTCTAATCTAGATAGTCCACCTCCGAGCTATGGATACCGACATTATCTAGTACGCCGCTCTGTCATCGTAGATGCTGCATGCTGAAGGAGGACAACGAACCCAGCAGTTGCTCGACACCCAGACACTGACCACAGTTTCTCGGAGCAAGATGTCATCATCCCACGACTTGTCCCAGAGATCTTGCAAAGAACTCGCTCCTACGTCAACCTGCACAGGGGGCGCTAGCTTAGGCATAAGAGGACCGCGGCTCGGAGGCTCTGTAAAGTCACCCTTCTTTAGAAGTTCAAGAAGCCGGGTTGGTGCGACCGGAGCGACAACAGAGGGTGGTCTCGGCTGAGGGCAGCTGCAATATCCCGCAAATTCGTGTCTGCGATTGCATATATACCAAAGGGCGGTACAAAGCGTGAACCGTGCAGCCGGGCCATTAGACTGGGCTGCCCACAACAGAAATGACCGAATGAAGCTCTCTACAGTAGCCAATGACTCGGCAGAAGAGCGGGCAGTTAAACGGAAGAAGTTGTATCTCTCACCATTTGGCGTGTCGTGCTGCACATCGAGATAGTCATCCCAAACCCGGAGGAGAATTAGGCTAGCCAAAACCTCGTCACTCAGCGTTATTCCATAGTCAGAACAGATAGCGCCTATAAGCCCGTCGTGGACATTAAGCTGGTAGTAGTAGAATGGGTCCCAGCTGACCGGGGAGCGGAAAAGTTCGGTGCCCTTCCTTCTGCACTGGAGAAAACCTATGTTGTCGATACAGTGTTTGTAGTCGCAAAATAGCAACTGGGTGCTGTGGAAAGTGTAATCACCGGTCTTGGCCTGTAGCTGGTAACGGGTAAACATTTCGGAACGATCGCGGCGCATGCAAGGCCGACCATCTGTTGCAGGATACTCGACAAAAGACGCGCTATCACCAATGCGCTGTTCCAGGCAAGCTGGAGCGCCGTCGTGGGTCAGCCAGTGCCTAAAGATACTCCAACCACTGAGGAGTACATCCTTCCCCCAAGGCCGTAACCACCTGCCAGAAGACTGAGGCGACTGTCCGCCATGACGGGTGCACGAATGCAGGCACCGTGGAGGGCTTCCGTCCAAGTTGGGAGGGGACTGAGCGAATCTAGTCACCAACTCTTTTGCTAACACATTGCACCCAGCGAGCAATAGTGCGACGCAGAACTGCGATTCTGGTCCCTGAGAGCAGTGTCGTGCTGCGAAACAGATGGCTTCTGTATAAACAGAGGCTTTCTCAGCTAAATCGGGTGCTCCTCGTGACAGTGCTTCCGCACTTATTACGGTGGCATTCTGCTCAAGGCTGGCAGCATTAGCCTCTAGGTCATCGAGGGCAAGGTCCAATCCAACCAAACGCGTTGTAACGGCGACAGACTGCGCGGAAGGAAGCCAGCTGGGTGGGATCTTAGCGGGGGCATCAGTGGTGCTCAGCGTAGACTCTGGCTCTGGCGGAAGCAGTATCCCGAGATTAGCACTGGTGCGCAACGAAACAGGCCTGAGAGGGGCCTCGAACTCGTCTAATGCCAGAGTATTCGAACGCAAGCGAGAAAGTAATTGTTCTGAGCAACTTGACACCCCATTCTGGCACTTGTGACCGTAGCGTCCGGCAGTAGCACCGCAATGAAAACGGAGCATAGTTGTTGCTGAGAAGTGAGGTTGCAAGGCGGCCATGATCTAGTATCACAGTCAAATGGGGATATGCATTCAAGGTAAAAAATTGAGCTTGACTTCGAGCTAGGAAGATGGCTTGTACCAGGAATCGAGAAGAGTGGAACAAGGTCGAGAATTAGTTTTCAAGTCATTCATTAGGGGAGAAATGGAGTTATATAACGCACGAAAGTCCCGTCATTGTTCGGGTCAACCTCCATGGTGCTATTGGCCTCCTCATCTCGGGCGGGAGCCTGTCCAGCCTACGTTGGGAGGCTCGTGCTGAGCTTGCTGCCTTTTTGGGCTGCACCAGCATCAACATCGGCGGCAACATCGAACTGATCATCAGTGAGTGGTTCACTGATGAGATTGTGGTTGTAGTATCCCTGGTCACAGGGTGGTGAAGTCCTGAAGTATAAAGAAGTAGTCAGCCAGTCAAATCCTGATATGTGGTCTCAGGGCTCTGAAATAGTCCATGCGCGACCACACCATCAGCGTCGCTCAAGGTTACTACAACTCCTATTCCCCATATTTGAAAGGTGGCAAATTTAGATGCAGGTTCAAAAGGATACAGTACAAATGACGAAAGCATACCGCCTCACCTCCTCAGCGAGGCGCAGGGTGTGGCAGCGAATGAGGGATAGATGGGCAAAGGAATGGGCAAGAGAAAAGACAGGAAGACCGACTTATCGGCTGGTCAACACGCCGCACAAGAAGACCCTGAGTCTGTATGATGGGGTCTCAAAGCCTTACACCTCAATGCTGATACAGATGAGGTCACAGCGAATTGGAAGGGTAGCTCGTGAAGCAAGAGAGGTTTTTTTTTTATTGATCTGCATCCAATGTGCTGATAGACAGTGTGAATAGTGTCAAAATTGTTATTAAGGTGAAAATTCACATTACGCTACGGCGCACCCTCAACGCCAGGTAGGAGGCGCTACTAGGCACTGATATGTATTTACTAGCGAATTATCGCCGCTGGGAGAGCACAAGACCTTATCATTTGCGCATAGCCTGACTTGTCAAAGATCTCCCTCATAACTATACGGCTGTCATTGCCTTGGTCTGTTAAAATCTTATAAATATTTAGAAAAGGCCAAAGCTCTATGAGATGGCGATCAGCAAATCAAATAATAATTCGCGAACTCTAACCCTAGATGTATAATTTGCGAAGCATGTCACCTACGTCGAGATCCTCACTAAATATGTGTCAACCCATTGCCACCGGCTCCATAGCGAAACTTTGGAAGGCTCGGCATAGGTCATTCTGCGCATTGGACAGTGATAAATCGATCAAGTCACCCTCGAGCGAACTCTATATATACATGTCCGCACTTTCATGAGTCCACCTTGCCACAGACGTCATGTGTAAGAAAGTATTCAGTCAATGAGTCCCCAAATCTGGTGTTGAGGCCTCAAGCTTCATGATAGAATGAGGATATTCATATCGTTCTTTTTTTCCTAGTGGTTTTCTGTGTGCCATCTATTACAACAATATGTAATCATGATATATCTATCATTTCCTATAAAGTAGTTGAAGTTTCCTACTTTGTTCTCCACTGTGAACATTTCATAAATGACTCGACGAACAGCTATGGATTCTTCCAATCTCTTTTCCATCTGCTTCTGTTCCTACGCGTGCAGCCTTGTAGTGGAGCCATGCCTCTGTATCATGACTCTGCTTGCTATATTTCTCATGACCATTTCGGTGGGAATTTGGTGTAGCGCTTTTGGGGAAGGCTTCCAGGAGGAGGAAGTGGTTGAAGATGCGTTAATGGGAAGGAGACGTATTCTTAACGGTGTTGGAACGTCGTGAGGACGGATCTCCTATCTGATGAGTTTACTTAGCCAGGATGCAGTGAGTATCGCAAGGCCACACACTGTTTTCACAAAATTCTCATATCTGACTCATCTCTTCAATTAGAGAATGTGCGTCTTGCATCTCTGAAATATACACGTCGTCGCAATTGTCAAACAGCCACAGTATCTAAACACATCTGGAACGTTACTGGTAAAATACCTAGGATTACCTAGGATTATCTGGCGAAGGCCTTATAAATTTATCATAAACCCGTATTCGTGTGGAGCCCTAGGGGGCAAACATCTAGTACATATGATTAGACACTTCTTGAAAGCACATAAGAGTTATTGATTGACCTCAAATCATACGTAGTGTAACCGTAAGGACGTGCAGGCTCCTGCTACCTCGTGATCAAAACATAGGTCAATAGCAGACGTTCACACATGATATTCATCTCAAGCACGCTTCTATAATATTTCAGCAGTGGATATACTTGGGGCGACGGTACATTGGCCAAGGGGAAACATTTGAACCTGGCTGAGAGAACTCAAAATTCGATGACGTGGCTGGTAATGCAGATTGAACTTGGTGGAGGGCGAGGAGGAGGCTTCTTTTACTTTATTGCACAGATATTGGCTGACCTTCTTCCTTGTCACAAGGGAGTGTCTGTTGTTGCACGGAAATTTGTTCCTCCATGCTTTGTATTGGAACATTTGATCGGATCGGATATGACGTGAAGGTTCTGACCCACAATTGATCGACATAAGGGCCGTGCATATTGTGTCCAAGCGTTAGTCTCATGAACCGCGTGATTTTTCTCTAACGGATATATGATCGGGCAAACCGCGACAAGATTGGCCAAAGTATGCTGAAACATTAGGACGACAACCCTGAATTCGCTCAGGTGCCGATTTGAACCAGACTAGTTAAAGGCTGATCGAATCAACGATCCCATACTTTGATCAGCACATCCTACTGCCGAGACCATCACCGTACCCGAATGATGGTTCATCCCAGAGCTCAAGATTCAATGAACCCAGGTAAACCAGGCGCACCAAGATGGCCGGACGGACACGTGAGCGCAGGTCAGACGATTTACGTCCCTTTTTTTTATAAATCCTCAAGTTCCCAGATGAGAATAATAACCAATCGATCTTGCTCTGAACCACAATAATTTGTAATCTAGGTGAACGGTGTGACACTAACGTGATCCACGGTCGCGCGAGCGACCCCACCAAAATTGAGAAAACCTTCAATTTTTGACCACTATTAAAACCACAATAATAACATAAGTTTAGCTATTGAACACGTGTAGGGCATTTAGGATATGTATGACCTTTTATCCCACAGCTAGAACATGTCACCTGCCGCCGAACCAAGGGGGTAGAAGGTAAAGTAGGCTCAGTAACCAGTTTTGCAGGCACCTCTGGTAAAGATATATCTTTGCTTCTATCTTCATCCTCAACCACCACATCATCTTCACCACCCTCTAGACCACCAAAGATGCCTTTCTGGGTAGTAAACTTATGTTTGGTCTCTCGTTTTTTGGCCTGTTTCTTGTTGGTAGCTTCTAATTGGGTACAGCGATGCTGGAGAAAAATGTGGCGGTGGACTACTTTTATAGTCATCCTGTAGGTCTTCTCAATCTCCTTTTTTGTTGGTGAAGAAAGAAAAGAAGAAGAAGACTCTAGACCTTTTTTGATCCGAGATTGCGATTTTGTGAATCTTGAGAGGGTCCAAAGAGTATTTGGATCACTATCACTGCCAGAAGAGAGTGGTCGCTGGGAAAGGATCTCCAGAGGAGGAAGAGAGTCCAGGTGCACATTTAGCTTTTCCAAGACTTTATTAGCATCAAATGGTGCTAATCCAGTAGCCAAAAAGCTATTCTGTATAGTGGAAGACTTAAAAGAACCCATTCTCGCATCTGCGATTAGTTCTAGGAAGTCTTCCTTGTCAACGGCGTTAACTCCGTTCCGCACCGAAGTTGAAACCGCTCCTCCATAAAGTCTCTTTAAAACCGAGAAACAACCCACATCCAAAGGCTGTAAAAGATGAGAAGCATGCGGAGGCATACAGATTGCGATGATTTGGTGTTCTTCACATATTTGGTCAAATTCAGGTGTTAAATGACTCCCATGACCGTCAAGGACCAGTAAGCAATATTTTCCTACTCTTGTCCCAATATTTGGGATAAAATGATGTTTTAGCCACCATAAACCAATTGTATTGGTAGTCCAACCATTTGGGCTCATAGCTAGACGAGCTCCTTTTTGATTTAAAAGGAGGTAGGGTCGTAAATACTCTGGGAATCGGTTTCCTTTGAAAATGAAGAGTGGAGGGAGAACACTTCCAGAAGCTCTTATACACTCAATCGAAGTCACCCACTCACGATTTCCGGCTTGCAAAAGTGCTCTTTTTCCATGGTATTCCGCTGAAGTGATAATCTTTTGCGTTGCGCCAACACCCATGGCAAAACCAGACTCATCAAAGTTGAAGATATCGTCTGAAGCGATACCCCACTTTTCCATCGTCCTTTGAAGCAAATCAAACCATGGTTTAATAATTCGAGGGCCTTCTGAAAGAGCTCTCTGATAGTCGTATTTGCGTGAAAGTCGAGTAGAGAGATTTGGGTGTCGTTTGACAAAATGAGAAGACCAATTAATACCAGTGGTACAGGGGCCTTTTTTCCGTGCACTAAGTAGAAGATTGGCCATATCTCGCAACATAGGCAAAGTAAGAGCTGCACCTCTTGAGTCCATATCGAGTAGCCAGTTTTCTATCGATTGCTCTTCGATTTGAGAGAAAATATGGCCAGATGGCCTCTTTTCAGTAGCAGATTGGCGCCCATTGATCCGGGCCTTCAAAGTTGAGACAGGTATCCCAAATGATCGTGCAGCAGCTGCAGCAGAGGGATATTTGCCATCTTTTATAGCTTTTATAGCTAATAAAAGGCGACCCTCCTGCTCTGTCAACTTTTTCTTTTTATCAGAGCGTTGGGGGGGCATTGTTGTTGTGGTTGAAAAAGATAGATTATTATTGAAGTGGATTTTTGATGGGGTCGCTCGCGCGACCGTGCCGCCCGCGCGGCCGTGGATCACGTTAGTTACAGTAGGCTCATTTATTAGTAATCTCGAAGCGTCGTCCATCTGGGTTAAGATTTGATGGGTGACCCACAAAGACAGTCCGGATTAACTAAAATTCCGTGACTGTTGTGCCTCAGGCTGGGAACCCAGCTGATCGTGGTCCGGAAAGTAACGTGACCTGACCCACCGTGTGTCGGAATTTCGACACACGCTCCGCCCAGCCACCTGAGCGTGTGTTGAAATTTCGACCCATGGTCGCTTAATTTTAGCGTGAAATTAGCGTACACTAGTTATAAATACCCCCGTGGATCAATTGATGTTCACCCCAAGCCCTTTCCTCGCGGAGGATGGGACGGCGGTCCGCATCAAGCGGCTCGAAGTATGCACGGGGGAGCTGCTCCGCTGTAAAGGTGGCAAAGCTGGTATGGTCGGCCATCTGACATAAGTAAAAAAAGGGTGAACAGTGAGGGGAAAGAAGAGAAGACGAGATGGCTAGAGAGAAAAAAGACGCAAGTGGTGGGTGGTTGTATTAATCGTTTATATATTTTGGACGAGCTTTGTTGATGTACCATCAATGAATGGGACGCGCTTTATTCACTGATGGCATCAAAGAAAGGAACTCTAGTGAAATAAGCGCGGCCTATTCACTGGCGCAACCAGACATATGCAAAATTAGGCCTACGCTCGTGTAGACATACTCGAAAATTATATATACAATATACACTGTATATACAGACACTGAGGTTATAGATGGGCCGTTCGACTAGCGCGTGCTGAATCAGTGGTGGCAGCCAATAAAATATGCGTAAAAGTGGGGAGCGTGTGTCCAAATTTCGACACACGCTCAGGTGGCTAAGCGGAGCGTGTGTTCGGAAATGGTGAAAGGTTGTTCCGGATGGGTGGGTCAGGTCACGTTACTTTACGGACCACGATCAGCTGGAACCCGCACCTGATCTACAACCAATGGAGGTCAAACAACCAGAGCAAGCTCTCTTCAACAAGATATTAGTGGATGGTTCTGGATAAACATTATTGACTAAGTAATTAGTTTTACCCCTTATAAATTGTTAGCTCAGGGGTTGTAATCGAAATCAGACTTGTTCATCTACTTGCACTGGTAGCCATCACATACGCGGTCCACCGCCTTCCAACTATCCATCAAGGGTCGCTTTCCCAGTTTCGGGCAAAGTGCGAGCAACCAAAGTTCCTTCCGACATGAACGCTCTTCTCTCCACATGCCAGACATGGCACCACGCTTAAGTGCCTTAAAATCTGCCTTTAGGATAGCATCACGTCCCTCTCAAGGCAGCTCTCAAAGATCATTTGTCAGGTTGCCTGTGGAACGGCCGATCGATGAGGAGACGCTACCTCACTACGACACAGAACAATTCTATCCCGTACACATTGGAGATGTATTCAATGACAGGTACCGGGTCACAGGAAAGCTTGGCTTCGGTGCCTACTCAACAAGTTGGCTATGTCGGGATCTTCGGTATGTTGCTAGTAAGATTCAGAAATCAGTACCGCTAACTTGGCCCAGAAGCCAAAGGTATGTTGTGCTAAAGGTGTCCACATCGCTACGAAATTTTCCCACTGCGACCGACCGCGAGTTCAAGATTTACGAGCACCTCGCGAAGATCAAATCGGCCCATCCAGGACAATCACTAATCCGAGAGCTCTATGACTCCTTCGAGGTCCGGGGCTATGTTGGCAAACACCGGTGCCTCATCCTTCAACCAATGCACATGACGCTCCTTGAGATGATGAGACTAAACCCAAGGCCATTTGACCTACCCCTTCTCAAAATGACTCTGAGACGATTATTATTGGCGCTTGATTTTCTGCACACTGAAGCCGACACCATTCACACCGGTACTGCTCCCTCGAACCGAAATAGAAAAAAACCTGTCTGACTTAAACAAGATCTGAAGACCGACAATCTGATGCTTAGCCTGGAGGACAATACAATGCTAGCCGATTTTGCGGATGAAGAGATCAGACAACCGAGCCCTCGAAAAAAGATAGATGAATCGCGCACCATATACCAAAGTCGACAATTTCGCCAACCCTATAGAGGGAAGAGCTTCGGTCTGCCTATTCTTTGTGATTTTGGGGAGGCAAGGATTGGGAAGACACATGAGTCTGGCCCTTTTGTACAGCCGAATATCTATCGAGCTCCAGAGATCATATTTGAGATGGCATGGGGAAGCGCTGTTGATATCTGGAACCTGGGGGCTCTGGTAAGTGGTGTTTGAGCCATTCGACGTTGGGTACCCTACTAATAGAAGGTCAGATTTGGGATCTCTTTGAAGGACATCATCTAATTGGGGATATTTTCGATAATAATGGCAACCACGATCCATTTAAACACCTGGCATTAATGGTCGCATTGATTGGGCCACCGCCGATGGATTTTGTCCGTCGCAGTGAAACAACAGGGCAGTGTTTTGATCGCAATGGTAAGCGCAGTCGCCTCCGCTTTCAGTCGTTTCCATAAAATCTCATGGGTTGACATTCTTGCAGGTTCTTGGATTGCTCATGAAGACGCGGTTGTGCCGCCGACTTCCCTGGAAAGTCTAGAGAAGCGACTTTCTGGCACCGAGAAGGAATATTTTCTTCATTTTCTTAGGTCCATGCTTAAGTGGCTGCCGGAAGAACGCAAGACCGCAAGGCAGCTGCTTGACGATCCGTGGCTGCGCTGATCCCAGCCAATCTTGTTTAGATAATTGTTCTGCACATTTGCAAAGGGGTAGTATCTGAAACTTGCATTGTTAAAAATAGCATACTCTGTATAATCAACGCGAAACCTGTAAGCGTTTGATTTGGCGCTTAGACTCCTATGTGATGCACAACGCTCGGCGAGACGCTCGAAACCCTCAGCACGTTTCAGTTAGCGCCTCTTGGCTGGGGTAGCGGCAAGTCCCGCGTTGAAGCTATATCAACTGCTTTGACACGATAAAGCTGCCGAATATAATATTCAAAAGCGCTACTCCTTGTTTACGGAAGCATACATTCCATTCCAAAAAAATTTTCCTGTGCACAAAATCAGAATCTTTTCCACGATGTCCAATGTCATCCGCCGGTTCATCTCCTATGTTGGCAAGTTCAAACTGAGTGACTTCAAAGACGCGAGTCACAAGGCCCTTGTTGATAAGTATTGCAATGATCAGGAAGCGCGCGTCAGTGAATTGTCAACACCAAGTCAATTCCTTTACTGATTAGATTTAGGATCCTCGTATCAAACAAGCGTCTGTCCAATGAACTGAGTTGCATGATTCACACAAAGATCCGACAGACCCGAAGAAGGTCATCTCTGTTCAGTTTCTGGATGCAGAAGGAAAGAGAGTGGGAATGGGACACCTCCATGAGGATGGGACCTCAAAACCTTGTGGTGGGAGCGCGTACCTGCCTACTATGAAATCAGGTCATGTACTCCGGCTACGGTCTGTGCTTGGCCGGCACCCCTGGCGGCCCGAGGCAGCTGCCGACCAACTGCGCAGACTCAGTCTATAGGAGAAGTTAGAATAAAGTGAGAATAACGTGAGTAGATCAGGGTTAGTTCTTGGTCCGTGGAAGGTTCATTACTAATGCAGAGCCGCCCGAAATCATAGTTGTACTGGGGTCTACAGTGGGTAACGTACCAAAGAGAATAATGCGATCTCGTTTATTCTTCCGCATAAGGAGAGAGCGACCATTTCAGCGGAGTGAGAATTTCTCCATTTAGACATTCGCACCCCTTTCGTCCTCCCTTCTTTGTGCATGTTGACAGCGAATTCCTAGCAACATCGACATATTCATACTACAAAAGTAAAATGATCCAATAACATGAAACAACGCGGTGAAAATTTAAATCTCACAATTCAATCTAGACAGATTCTGACGAAGCTTCCATTAGGCCAAACCGCTATACATCAGCAGCAAAGTCCATGTCGAGAAGTATACCAAGGCGCATAAATTTGAATATTGGCGGGTATCCAGGGATGGCCTGCGCTGACTTGGACTTTGCTATGGCCTATACGGATCAGTGAAGCATTTATTCTGTAATATGAAGAAGATGACTGGATCGCATGACTGCTTGTCCTATTGCATGTTCTGGGTCTTCACTTAGTGTATGCTCAAACGAATGGTTTTCTCAGGAAGCAGGAAGACGTTTCATTCGGAGAGTTTTAGAAGATTCTTCCTTTGGGCCTACAATTCGGCCCCAGTGGAATGATATTATTGTAGACAAAAGAGCAAGAGAGTCTATTACTAAACCTTGATCCTACCTGTACATAGAGAATACAGAGCCAGTCTTTCAAGCAAGAATACCCTCAGACCTCCTGACGACATGTAGGTATACAAACATCGAAGATGTCTGCTTGTCAAAAACAAGGAGGGTGATCCCCAACACTTTCTGTCAAAACCCAATCAATCAACCCCCTGTTTTTCATTTGAACTCAGGTGCAATTCTTATTCTTCTAGATGCCATGGGGAATTTAACTCGTATAAGGTTCTTCGTGCCTCACATCGGGCACTGCATAATTGGCGGGTGGCGCATGTAACGGGAAGCCGACCGCGTAAGCCGAGTTTCAAGTAAGCGTTGGAAATCACCATGATCAACACTTCGGGCAGGGAAATTGTAGAAGGCGGAATTAAGGGTTACCTTTTGGGATTGAAAGCAAAGACGGGCGTCTATCTTCAAGACTAGCTTATGTTTCGTGCTCTGCTCGAGTTTAGTCCGCATTCGGCCCGAATTTATCCACTCGGCCGAAGCCAAGGATAAACTTGCGACAAGAAGGATTTCATTCTCTTGCTTGACTATTGCGCAGCTCAATCTTGAACATCCGTGAAAGACAGTAAGGTCCACAATAGCCAGGTAATTTGAAGTCGTCATCGAGTTTCTCAGCCGCAATAGATACCCGCAACAAATTCGGACCACGATGTGTAAATGAAGCGATCTCCCAGCCAAGTCTCGATGGGTAGGTTCTACTCACTTTACGCTCGTTCAAAATGAAGACACCTACAGCTATCACATTTACCCTCGCAGGATCAGCCTTTGTCTCCTTAAATGGTTCTGTCGAAATCCTCGGTCACAATGGAGGTGCGTCGCACTAATTAACTCTCCTTCCTGAATATGATGCTAATTCTACAGTGTAGTCAATCTGGGCGATTGGCAGAAGGCTTACGAAAAAGCATCACAGTTGTCGTTAAGCTGAACACTAGCCAGAAAGTTTCTGTCATCACATTGTGGAAGTGAAAGCGTTGGTAATGATGAGTCCCACACAGACGGTTCGATGAGAATTCTGGAGTACTACTATGTGTATGTGTCAGCCTCCAGCCAGTCCTCGAATCTATCGATGACCTGGGACAAAGATGCTGTTCATGTATAGGCGAAGGCGTTGGATGACGAATTCTACCAGAAAGAAATTCATGCAGTACTGGGTCAAACTTCGCAGCCCGTGGGTCACATGTCCTGGGGTGGACGGCAAGGCGAGACATTTGGACCCAGATCAATATCCGAACGGAAGTATCACAGCGTAATCTAGCAATCCATACACTGGGGCGGGTGTAGTGTCTCAGGAAAAGGTACGCTCCAATCGCGGTATGATGGAATGAAGGCGTTGCTAACCTGGGTCAATGATGCGTAGCACTTCCTCCTGAACGAAGAAGCGAACAAAAAAAAACCGCACAAACTTCAACATCAACGGCTATGACCACGGCAGGAAACGACAAGAACAATTTCCAAGGCTCCCACTCGGCGAATGCGGATGACAAGACCCTCCGCGAGCTGTACAACTGGTCATTTTATGATACGGTCGAAAAAGGAATGGGGTCCGTTATATGCGCAATGAATAAGGTCAATGGATCGGATAGCTGCGAGAACTGTAGCCTCTTGATAAAACACCTAAGCAGGAACTTGGTTTCCCGGGCCTGGTATCCGGAATTTAGTGCTTAACACACCGGTCTGAACGCTGCTGTAAATGGTCTCGACTATGGCTCCCAGCAATACTGGAGTAGCTCGAGAATTCAGACGATGCTGCGAGATGAATCACTATCTGCTACCAGGCTGAATGACATGGCCATACGGAACATAGTGTTACTACCAGATTAACCTGAACAATGGTAGACAGCCACCCGCGGCGTTAGAAACAGATTATGTTGATGTCCGAGCCTACCACACGCGTCTCATTCGCGCAACGGCGCCAAGTCCATTGTTTCTCTCAAGAACACTAATGGCGCTCTGCCGCTGAACCAACCGCGCACAATGAGACTTTTCGGATCAAGTGCTGGCCCTAACACCGTTACGATCCCGTTCTGGGCTAGGGTCCCACATACGAGGGTCTCTTGGCCACTGGAACGGGCTCCGGTCAGAGCACTTTCTCACTGCTGGTCACTGCTCAGGCTACCTTAACCTTTCGCGCCATATCAGACGGTACTAAGCTGCGCTGGATCTTGAACGACACGTATTCGTCTGGCACATCTTCTGCCATGGGCGCTGGAACGGGTGTGACACAGTAGTACGAGGAGTATAGCCAGAACTCCGATGCCTATCTGGTCTTCATCAATGCGTTGACTGGCGAGGGAAGGGATCACACGGAGCTGTATAACGATCAACAAGATAAGATGATCAACACGGTCGCGGATAACTGCAACAACACTATGGTCATTGTCAGTACGGTTGGTGCCCGTCTTGTGGACCAATGTATCGAATATGACAACATCACTGCCGTCCTTTACTCGTTCGCTCCTAGGCAAGAATCTGGCAACTCGATCATAGATGTTCTATACAGCGACTTCAACCCGAGTGTCCGTTTGAACTACACCATCGCGAAGAACGAATCGGACTACAACGTCCACCATGACAGCATGACCGAGTGCGATTTCACCGTATCTGTAAACAATTAACATGACTGAACGACCCACTTACTTGACCAGGCGTTCATATCGATTAACAGTACTTCAACTCGTATAACATCACACCCCGATACCCCGTTGGCCGCGGTCTTTCTTACACAAAGTTTTCGTACGCGGATCTCAACATTCCTTCTTTCGATGTCCTTTCCAGATACCCTAGAGGTTCGCATTCTGTCGCTGGGCCGGCTGACCTGTGGGATAAAATCGGCAACATCTCCGTCACTATCTCCAACACTGGCGACCGCGCTGGTGCTAAAGATCCCTCAGCTGTATCCCTCGTACCTCGAATGCTGCTCAGCAGCCTGTCCGACAGCTTCGTGGACTCGAACGTGTGCAGTTGGACAAAAACGGCCATGCTCTTGTGACGTTCTCCTTGCGACGAAGGGATGTGTCGTATTGAGATGTTGAGGCTCAGCTATGGGCCGTATTTGGCGGAAAGTACACCTTCAGGTCCGGGCTAGCTCTCGAGATCTATCTCACTGGCCACACTACCATCAACACTGAGTGATGGATGGTAGAGGAGATTCAGGACTGTCCCCTCCGTCAGCTAAGATTTAACCTCTTAATTTTCTTTTTCATGAAATCTTTTACTAAAGCTGTCTCAACTTCGAAGCATGCCACAGCTTCCTCTCATTCGTTATCTCCTTAGCGGCGAGCTACATCACGAGACTGTTTTGAGTACCGATAATTATTCCTTTTGTCCTTTTGAAATCTTCTGGCATTCGAAAACCTTGCAGGCCAAATTCAGGCGAAGTAGCTGACCACAGACCAGCACATAATCGGATCCCGTAGCAACCCCTATCTTTCGCAGTCCTTCAAGGAACGTACCCCACATCTAGTTATTCCCTGTCCAAACTCAGTATGGGACCAGAGAGGAGATGGGATTTCGCGGAGGGCGTCGTCGCTGCCTTGGAGTCGGGGCCTAGGTATGGCCGCTAGTTAGAGGTGCAGCTCATAGGTTGACCGGCTATCACCGCATATTTGAAGTCGCGACTCTGATTCCGATTCAATCCCGTTGATTTCGGCCTCTATAGACTCGGATTCGTGGCCCAATCTCTAACACCGGTACCCAGCCTCTGTGCCGCCTCTGTTTCCTCGCTCGGCATTTTAGCTCGGGTTTGTGATTCAAACGAGATGAGTCAGAGGTCGTGAGAAGGCACCCTCGTCACCCTGGTATTTTCAGCGTTAACGCGGGGCGATGCGCCGATGGGCACTGCCGATGGGAAGCGCGTCTGATCCGCCTGCTAGCAGAGCAGGCCGCAATAGAATCCGGCCTGAGGCATGTACAATTCACTTCGCTTGATTCCTCGGCTCATAACCAAGACTAGACTTCTCTTCACTATTTGAATTAATGAACTATAACCGAAAGCCCACCTATGGCGCCAATAAAATTCAAAGCTTAACCTAAGTAGGATTAAGCATATTCTTATCGCGACTGCGGCTGCAGTGAGGCTCTAAAGTTGTGGCCTCAAGCAGAAATGTCTTCTCACAGCAGAGAGGAGCGCGGCCCAATTGTCGCTCCGCATCCATCAACCATCCGCTTTCATGTTCTCCGCTCCCTCGTTCCCTCCGCTATAAGGCTCAATTTCCATCTGGCCGGGACCCGCTGCCCTTCGTCAATGAGGCTTGGAATTTGCACAGAATCGGCCTCGGTACAATCGATGGGGCCGCGGCCCAAATGCTCCACTTTTCTCCCGAAACCCGGCCGCTTAGAAATCGCCAAAGAGGGCTTAGAAATGCAAAACTGAAGATTAGGGATTGTGAACATTATTATGAGCAGTGCATGAAGCTATTATCGGAGAAACTCACGTTGTGGTTCATTTAAATCGCCGACAATCTTGAAAACGACATTTCAAACGTCCTGCCAGATCCCTTACTACACTTACCACAACAAATTCTCAAGATGTCTTCCACACCTAGACTCGAGTGCGCGGATGTCGATCCCAGTCCCCTGGGCCAGCCCCTCCAATTTGCTTTCTCCGGTCGCTCGGTCCCAAACCGCTTTCTGAAGGGTGCTATGAGTGAGCGTCTGGCCTCATTCTCCGTGAACAACCTTAATGCACGCGGTATTCCTTCGGCCGCTCTGATTGAAGCTTACCGGAGATGGGGCGAGGCCCAAATTGGAATTAATCTGACTGGAAATGTCATGATCGACCCTGGCCACTTGGAAGCCGCGGGCAACCCAGTTATCCCGCAACATGCGAAATTCTCTGGCGAGCGCTTTGAGCGCTTCAAGGAGATGGCCATTGCGGGAAAGGCTAATGGTATGCTTATCATTCCCCAGGTTGGACACCCAGGCCGTCAGACGCCCCTGCATCTTCAGCCGAACCCAATCAGTGCCAGTGATGTGCAAGTCAAAGGTGATCCGATGGGTATGAGGTTTGGAAAGCCTCGTGCTGCGACAAAAGAGGATATTGCCAATATCGTTAATGGCTTTGCCCATGCCGCTGAGTATCTGGATAAGGCTGGCTTTGATGGTATCCAGCTGCATGGTGCCCACGGCTATCTTCTGAGTCAGTTCCTTTCGCCATCTACCAACCAGCGAACTGATAAGTATGGTGGCGATCTGAAAAACCGCATGCGGTTGATCTTGGAGGTCCGGGATGAGATTGCCAAAAGAGTTCGCAAGGATTTTGTGGTCGGCATCAAGATCAACAGTGTTGAGTTCCAAGAAAAGGGGTTCCAGCCTGAAGAGGCGAAGGATCTTTGCCAAGCTCTTGAGGATCACGCTTTTGACTTTGTTGAACTTTCCGGTGGTACCTATGAGAACTTCCCCCTGTCGACCATGAAGCGGGAGTCAACAGTTGAGCGTGAAGCTGTAGGTTTTTTTTCTCTCTCCTACTAAAAATTCCGCTAACATCTTAATCAGTTCTTCCTGGATTTCGCGAAACTCATCGTTCCCGGCCTGACCAAGACCAAGACCTACATCACAGGCGGTCTGAAGACAGTCGAAGGCATGGTCAAGGCTCTGGATACCGTCGATGGAGTTGGACTCGGTCGCCCCCTGTGCCAAGAGCCAAATCTTTGCGCCCATATCCTGTCTGGGCAAGTCAAGGGAGCTCTTATCCAGAAGATCGATATGCAGGACTTTGGTGCCACGGCTGGTGCGGCCGGCCTTCAGATCTCGCAAATGGGCGAGGGCCTGCAGCCTATTGATCTCTCTCAAGAGGCAAATGTGGCCAAGCTTTTCGCGACATTAGGTGCGTGGGCTGCGGAGAGACCGAAGAATGCGGAGATCTATTCATTCCCTGCTCTGCCTGATTATGACATTCCCTATTCTGCTGCTGTTTTGTGACAGTGTGCATGGCCATGACTTGACGAATGATTTTTTTTTCTTCTCATTGGAGTGCATGTTGATATTGATCAACTTGAGAATATTCTATTTCTGAAAGCTACCATCCGATCATGTATCTGTGTGATGCGACAGATATCACACGTCAGATGAATATATAATGGGTGTTGATACACATACCTCATACCCCCCCCCCCCCCAAAGCCAACCTTTTGCTTAGTCATGTCCGCCCAACGGCCTGCACGCCTATAATGGCCGCCCAGCTGAGTAGAAACACCTGAATTTTGAAAAGATTTCTGATCCAACCAATCATATTGCTCTATTTACTGGAAAATATCGAGATAAAAAACCATGCAGATCATTAATTCATTCATTAGTTACCCAGCATATTCTCCATCATCTGAGTCAATTACTGCCCCTGCATCTAAGCTACTGCCCTCGCTGTCCCCCTGGCTAGCCGTTTCTGCGACTATCTCCGTGTCTTCCACCTCCATACGTGCCCTCCGTCGAGTCCGTATTCCCTCTGATTGGGTACTTTCTGGCTCATTGTGAGGGCTATCACGAGTATCACGTCTCCCACAAGCACCACGTCTCCCACAAGCACCACGTCTCCCACAAGCACCACGTCTCCCACAAGCACCACGTCTCCCACAAGCACCACGTCTCCCACGAGCACCACATCTCCCACGAGTACCACGACCCCCACGAGCACCACGTCCACGGCTACGACCGCGTGTTGCAGCAGATACACGTTCAAATCCAGAGGGTTCGCGTTGTGTAGAACGTTCAAATGCTGTAAGAGGGTCGGGTGACGATCGAGGAGAAAGCTGGGTCCGTGGTAATATCTGAGTTGCTGGTACCCGGACATCTGAGGCCTGGACATCTGAGGCCTGGACATCTGAGGCCTGGACATCTGAGGGCTGAATAGGCCGAGACTCTAGATTATTCCGACGGCCGGCTGGCCTTCCACGTTGACGCACCCTATGAGGATTGTGTATCAGGAGAATCGGATCAATTGGAGGCGCCTCTCCGAGTCTGTAAAGATGCCATTGAGGACGGAAATCCTCAAGCAAGAACGGTTCACGATCTTCTATCTTTTTCATAATCACATGAATGCAAGGATATCCTGAGGTATTCCTTGAATTGAAATAGCAATTAGGCGGAATTAGGGGCTTGCCCTCTGCTGCTGGGAGAAAGGTAGCATATGTTGCTTCGACATAGCCAATGGCCTGCAAAGATACACGTTTAAGTAATGGCTGATAGATTGGATCAAGGGTCCGGGTTGGTCGCTTCTCTCGCTGATTAGCAATCCCTTCTTTGATCTTCCTGTACTGACGATCGATAACACGCTCAAAATTCTCTAGGATAGCAAGCAGATCCTTTGTAGATGTATGGAGATCTTGTTTAAGCAACCAATGAGAAGCTTCTGTCCGTGATGTAGAAGCTTCACCGAGATGGAGATATTGGTCTGTATGGAGTTTAAGGAAACTCTCAGGGCAGTCCTCAATCCATTCCTGGATGATATAGTCAAGCAAGGTGGTATAGATCGATGCACTGTAAGCAGCTTGAAACTGTTCCCAAGCAATGTCGAATTCTGATTGAGAGGAGGAATAGATGAGACGATTCTATCGTGCTATCATCTTCCTCCATCCTTGATCAAGAATCTTGGCTAATTCCTCATCCAATTCCTTCTTTGTTAGTCGATGGTCATTTGACGGAAGAGAAAACCCATCCCATTCAATTAGTCCATTATCACGAGCGTCAGCAATAGCCTTCCGAAGAAGTGGAAGAGCCTGATGTCTCAGGACATACTTCGCATCTAGTTTCTTCGTGCGGGTTTGCCCCCACGAGGGAGTATCTCCTCTGGATTTAGAGCTTCTCTAGCACGCTGCTTCAAAAAGTAAGTGGTCGATCAAGGACACGGCAAGCAACAGCGCAGGGGTGAGACTCCATCTCAAAAATCGTGCTGAGAGAAGAACGATTGTCTTCTTTGAGAGAGAAGATAAGGAGCTTTTCGTGGCACCGCTTCAAGTCAAGGCAGGCGCGATCACATATTCCCCCCAGGTCACCAATCTGATCAATGCCTGAGCCTTTTGAAATTGACAGCACACATGTTAGCCATCAGGGATCTCGGTGGTTGGTTGATAATGGCTTGCAGAGACCCTGGTGGATTTGAGACTATGCTTGCAGGAAGCAGAAAATTGGAAGGGACCGAAGCTAGAACTGTCAAATATCATTGTCGCTGTGAAGGAAAAGTAAGGGTAATAGACACAAGAAAGGAAAAATGGGATAAAGGAATCAACGAAGAAGGCAAGAGAAAGAAAACAAGAGAAAGTAAAAAGGAAAGAAGAAGATAGAGGAGCAAAACAAAAGAGACACGGAGAGGAAGCCAGAGAAAGAAACGGAGGTAGAGACGGAGAAAGACATGGGTAAGGTGGCGGATATGGGGACGGAGTGTGGGAGCAGTGATGAAGCACAGGACGGAAGCAGAGTGCGGAAGCAGAAACGGGCGAGCAAAGGGGAGGCTGATACCTACTTGTCTTGGGTCTTGCCCTCCCCAGTGCTGGCCCGCTTCTGCTGAGCATTCTTCTCCGCAGTAGCGATTAGCTCAACTACCTCTCTGGCCCGTCGATAATCATCCGGGCTCTCTGCAGTCTCCACTCTCTTCTCAAGGATAGCGATACGTACCTCTTGTCCCTCTCGAAGCAGGCATTCCCGCTGCGCTTCGGCAGCCAACTGCTCGGCGCGCTCGCGCTCGAGCTTCTTTTCCTTTTCTCGGCAGCGGATTGCGGCCTACAATTCATATATGCTCCAGTCAGTAAGATGTATCACTGGTCAATAGGGCTGGGGGCGGAAGATAAAGCTTGCGCTGATAAGTCTAGGAAGGGAATGATGGAGTCGGGACTTACAGCCGCCTTCTTCTCTCGGCGCTTCTTCTGGCGCTCACATGCGCGGTCACGCTTGCCTGCGCTAGGCATGTTGGATATCGGCATTCAGCGGTGCATTACTGACGGCCTGAGGAAGCCACCCCTCAGTTTTCATTCACATAATTGCCTAAATATACGCTAATTTATGGCCGCAGAGTTGCGGTAATGGGATAGCATGTCGGTCATGTTCGGCCAGTGAATAGCGCAGCTTTCCTCACTAGTTCCTTCACCCATCGCCATCATTATCCTTCTTAGACCCGCTCTCCGGCAATGATCTCTAGGGCTGCATCTTCTCAACAACAAGGGCATTCAGGAGAACATCATCTCTGACTAGCAGTAAGTAGCCTATACTGGCGACTGAAGCTGCACCACTCGCCAAAACAGAAAATATCCCGGATTGCCTACATGCCCCCGGACCATCGTACCGACCAGCTGATGACCCCAGACAGTAGAACTCGATTATAAGGTGTTTCCTCACACACTTCCGAAGAACAGGTGGGCGACCATTCGACTATTATATAGAGTGCAGGGTGTACTACAGCAAATCGACGATTGCCCACTGCAATTCCAATACCCGCTTTGTCTATCGATTCCTCGATGGCCTTTCTATTGGCCAGCAATCTATTAGGATACGGTTAGTCGGTGCGCACCTAAAATGCGCCCAAGGCTATTACGGCCACTACAGGTTAGGTTTGAATGAGCCTAAGCAACGACAGGCAGCATATTCCGAGCGAAATTAGGTGGATCGCAGGGATGTTTCACGCCTATAGTCGGTAGATTCGATACTGTCGCCAAGTAGATTGTTCTTCGACACGAGCAAGTCTTTCGCTCTAGTGTCCTAGTATCGGTACTGAAGACCTATCGGACTCACAGACGATATTCCCTGATGAAATGCTTGTTTATTGAGCTCACTATGATTTTTCTGAACGCGAAGGTGAATTCGAAAATACTAATATACTTAAGGCTGGAGCTACGAGTATTATCAAGAACTCTTGGCATAGCTCAGGACTTGGAACGAAAGTTGGCAACCCGGAGTTCGCAGTCGGCCAGACCCGACGGTGGACTTTAAAGAGATGCACAATACTCGCCTAATGCATAAGACATCGAGGATGAAAGTATGCGAATCTCAGAATCCAGGTCACCGCCAATCGAATCAGAAATCTTCTCCTTTTCTATGCTCTGACAGAAACTGCATATTGTCTACATATTCGACCCTTATTACATAGAGATTGAGCCATGACTGGCGAATTTCGATCGGAATCTCCCCGTCTGACCGCTCAGTCCGTGAGTTGTGCTAAGATCAAGCAGATTCAGACGATCTGACTTATTAGGGAGAGATTAGATTCGACAATAATTACTCCATTTCCAAACTGGGCGGCACTTGAGACTCAAAAATTAGTCACACTTTGATCAGCACAGCTCGTCGATCAAGCTGTTGATTGATCGACATCTCGGCATGGATCCCTTGATAGCGACGATCAGTTCATATTTTAGTTTCTCGCCGATCCGATCCACATCCACATCATCGAGAAATGCCAAATTAGCAATATGGTCGGTTTGTCCCACTATCGTCCATTTATATTTCCACGTCAATTTCGTTTCAATCTTGTACGCACTGAGAGTCGTGGCAATGAATCCATCCCCCGAGGAGGTATTCGTCGACTTCGAGGGCGACCATCCCCAGGACTGGCCAGCACGGCGAAAATGGCTCGTCACATTTTCTTTGACAATTCCGCTATTTCTAATGCCACTGTCGTCTACAATCACGACGCCTGCTGTGACTACAATTGCGTCTGAATTTCATGTCGACTCAAAAATAACAGGGCCCTTGGCCCTGTCTTTGTTTTTGCTGATGTACTGTCTCGGCCCAGTTCTGTTTGGCCCGCTGAGCGAACTGTACGGACGTCTACCGATCCTCCAGGGAGGAAATTTGTTCTATCTGGCCTTCAATCTTGCAGCTGGTTTTTCAAAATCTATGGTGCAACTATTGGTTTTCCGACTTCTGAGTGGGATTGGAGCCAGCACGTCGTTGGCTGTAAGTGAATTCGACTCCAAAGCAACGATACTTGAGCCTAATGTCTGCCGCAGGTTGGTGCTAGCACCATGGGCGACCTTTTTCGCAAAGAAGAGCGCGGACTACCTGTAGCTTTGATAAGCTTAGGTCCGGTTCTCGGCTCCTGCATCGGCCCCATTGTCGGTGGCTTTATCACGGAGTATGCCTCGTGGCGCTGGTGCTTTTTTGTAACGTCAATCGCTGCAGGGGTGTCCCTGGTAGTATGCTATAGTCTTTCCTGCGAGACATACGCGCCGGTTTTGCTCCAGCGGAAGAAAAAGAGATGCATTGCAGATTACGAAAAATCCGAGAAATCTGGATCTCGGACTTGGAAAACGAAGTTTGACAAAGATGGTGAAAGTCTCAGCAAACGATATCGCCGAACATTATTTCGTGCACTATATTTCCTAGGCACCCAGCCCATCGCCCAGGCTTTGGCCTGGTACTACGGATTTCTCTACGGTATTATTTACCTACTTCTTTCGAGCTTTTCGGATCTCTGGATGGAGAAGTATCATATGGATCTTGCAATAGGAACCATTAATTACGTTGCTCCTTGCTGTGGTTATTTAGGCGGTGCACTCATCTGTGCCTTTCTAACTGACCCGGTCTATCGCCGACAAGTTGCTCAGAACAAGGGCGAAGGAAAGCCTGAATTTCGACTGCCAATGATGGTACCAGCCTCACTCCTCGTGCCACTCGGTTTATTCTGGTATGGATGGAGCGCAAAGTATGAAACACACTGGATTGTTCTCGACATAGGGATCGTACTGCCGCTCATGGGGGCGACAATTGTCTTCCAATGTGTCAGCGCTTATTTGTTGGACACCTTCCCGCTCTACGCCGCGAGTGCGAATGGCACTGTTTATATTCTCCGTGGACTTTCTGGCTTTGGATTTCCTTTATTCGGCCCGGAAATGTATTCGTCCTTGGGCTATGGGTGGGGAAACAGCTTGTTGGCCTTTATTGCTTTGGCCATCGGATGTCCGATTCCGTTCGTATTGTGGAGATATGGGGCCAGACTTCGAGCAGCTAGTTCTTATGCCGACCGCGAAACTTGAGCAATAGAAATTGTGCGTTACTGAAACGAAGCGTAATCTTCCCTATCTATTCTTTGGCTCGTTCAATTGAACCATAGCTCTCATCATGTCATAACACATGACCTCACTGACGTAGCTATCCTCCCGATAGTCTTTGTGACTGCCAGCAAAGTCTCTCATCCACGTTGCGGGGGTCGGGTTTGTGCCTCGGGCTCGATCTCGAATAAGGTCCAGATATTGAGAGATCTGTTTCTGTTCCTTTTGGGGAACACCGACGTAATCAAAGTAGCATTCTACCATGAACATCAACCCCGGAAAACCGTCAACGGCACATTCTCCATTTATGATCTCGTCGACAGTCATTAAAGCATACTGGTCTTTGCCCATCATATTATGATGGCCTTGCACCCCCAGCATGCGAGCAATATGCTTATTGATGCGTCCCGAATTAGAATGCCACTCCAATTTGCGGAACCAGAAACGCCCGTGGACGGCTGCATGACGCTTCTGACAAGATGCCCAAGACTGACCAAGTCTATCGATTGGGATGTATAAGTTGAGTCGAAGGACCGAGATTGCTCGAGAAACAAGATATGAAAAGATTGCAAAGGCGGCATTTTCGAAATCAGTCGGCTGGGCTTCCATCGGACGGAATTCAACGCGCCAACCTGGCCCTTGGTCGCTGGTTGGTGGCTTGAATCGGACAGGATGCCAAGCACATCCGTAAAGGGACTCGAAGAGTCGTGTGTCGGGGGGTTCGCAGTTTTGCAAGTCGGCTTCGGTGAGTAGAAGAGGATCCCGCGAGAGGATTGATGTGAAATGATCTGCCAAGAAACTGTCCATCCCCCCTTCAATCAGATATTCTCGAACTTCATTTTCCATCGGATGAAATGATTGCTCGTTTTTGAGATTTGGAGGTTGTTCTGTCGAAATATAACTTTGTTTCCAGGTCCACCGCGCAGGCTGTGAAATCAATGGTCAGCGTCAACTCAAGGGAAAGTGCAAACACACTGGCCAAGAAACATACGATCGACTCCTTCTCGTCTTGCAGACGATCATCAAGTAAGTCTCCATATCTCTGCCAACGACAATCACTGTCGACTAAGTACCCTTTCCAAATTGGCGTCGAGGCAGTCATGGCCAGAAAAATAGGGCCCAACGGCATTAGCTGGTCATGTAGCCACCTTGCCTCGGCTTCATTAGCAGTCTGGAAAGTGGTTTGAATACTACAGCATCCGATTCCGATGTCCAATCGATCCAAACAGACATGGTTTTCTTTTTCATGTCCATGAGCTGTGTCATCAACAAACGGGTCTGGAGTCAACCGATCCCGATATATTGGAAGCCATGTCTTGACGCGGTCGCGAGGACGACTCACGATATTTTTCGCCAGAAGTGTATAACGAGGCCGTTTACAGAGAAGTTCAGTCGGCGGGTTGGGCATTGTCCATGGATCACTGACACCGGTCCTGGGGAACATGCCGAGAGACAATGCATGTTGATGGGTAGCAAGGAAGCTATTGATTAGCTCTCTCCTGCAAGGCAATTAGTGAATAATGAGGGTTTCCGGGCATTTCGTCTCGTCCATACCTGCGTCGCATAGTCATCTCAACATCTACTAAGTCTGATATGCAGCCTGTGTGTGGTTTCGATGGAATTGTTTCCACGACATAAGGCGCCCACTCCCATTGTAAAACTCCACTTGATCTATGTAAGATGGCTGACTCTATCTTTGATGAGAATGATAAACTTACTCGCCGTCCTGACAGAGGTGGCTTTTCTCCCAACTATTGATTATTCGCTCTTGGTCCAGGAGCATTGTTGCTCGGGATGAATCGGCGTCTAAATCGAGGAGAGAGAATTCTATCTAAAGGTGTACGTCAGTATTCGCTCTAAAGCATCAGGACTGATTTTGGACTTACTTCATCTCCCCAAAGTGGATTGGAATCTCCTCGATGTCTTTGTTTGAGCCAAAGTGCCAGAATTTGCTGTAAATGTTGGTTAAGAGGCGCTCGCCAGGATAAAAGAGCTCTGATGAACACTAACCTTCGCAGCATATTTTCGTACGAGTGGCCCTGCCTTCTTCAAATCTTCCCTGTCCAAAGGTAGCCCGTCTAATCTAGTAACAGATCGTTAGCGCTTGTTTCAAGTAATTACTAGGGAATCACGCACGCAAGTCCCATATTCAATAAAAATGGAGCTGAATCTGCTTGGAGGGAAGTGGTAATCAAAAAGATCCATCAGAGTGACACCGAAGTCCTAAATAGACTTGCGTATTCGAATGATCTGTCTTGGTCTCGATTAAGTGGGTCAATCACGTATATCAAGTTCAGCTGCCAGACCGGGGTCCTTGGGTTGACGATCATGGCCGATCTGAGAATTAATATGACGTGTGAGCGATCCAGGCTTAATCCAAAAAGCTTTATTTTCGCGAGAATCAACATTCTGCTGAAATCCTGTAGAATCTTTTTTCATTATACTTACTATGCGCCGCATTATGCCACGCATTCCGGGTATGAGGTTCACCAATTTCCATTCCTCGGTTTCAATTAAAGGTCTATGAATATTCAGGGCAAGGTGCACTTTCCAGTGTCGGTAATGATCAACATACCTTTCAACCCCTCATGCCAGTCGCGCGGCCACAGCAGGTTTTCCTAAGGAGAAGGCGTTCGTAATAGAGGAATGATGTTCGGGGATTAGCTTACTGAGAACGTTCGAAAAATTATTGGTTTGCAGTGGGACGTCCGAGAGTGGAGCCAAAATTTCACCACGATGATCAGCTATGGTTCTGAAACTTGAGACTAGTGGTTTGCCGGATTCTCCACACCCATGGTTCGCGTTCCACCCCTTCCTTAACCACACGGTCATAGGACCACATACGCTGTCACGGGAAATCGATCCTATGCTATTAGCACCTTTAGAATGAGGCTGGCTCCTTGTTGATGCGGGAAAGTTATGCAGAAAATTAGAATCGCGAAACTACGTTCCATTTGGTCTCGTATCCATGTAACATTCTCGTAATTCTTTGGGCGCTTGCCAGACTTTAGTAAAGAAATAAAGGAACAAAAGAAAGATCGGTTTTCTGGAGATTCGCGTCCAGATAATATTCTCGTGTGGTGATTTTATTTTGGTGACTGTGTAACTGGTCATCGGAAGAAATTAGGTGCATTCAATATATATAGTTGGACTATTTCTTTGCGTGAGCTGCGACCAACATTATACAGAAGAAACTCTGTAAAAGTGAGGTCTGATCTCCCTCATATTAAATTGGACACACCAAAGGGGCTGTATCGATATCATTGAGATTCGGAATGAATCGTTATGGCCTAAATCGAGATAGAGCTCCGCATGTGTCTCGTTGGATCGGGCATTGTAAGATGCCTGGGATTCAAACCTCGAACAATTTCATTGGGTTATCAAGTTTTATTGAGATGACATATACCCCTTTCATCCAAAGTCTAGTACATACGACCATAGGGTGTGGAGAACAGGGCTTCCCGTCCGCTCAGCCGTACTTAAGCCACACGCCGGCAGGTTAGTAGTATGGTGGGTGACCACATGCGAATCCCTGCTGTTGTATGTCTTTGTTTTTTTGTGAATTCTTATGAATACTTTTTCTGATTTACTGCACTTGGTCATAATATTTATTCCATTCCAAGTACCTCTCGGATATCACATAGTATGCTGTAATGAGTGGGAACAGGGGAGTTGGGGTTTAGGTCGCCAACTGTACATGTCAGACGGCCGGTGGTCGTTCCGCAGCCGGTAATGACTGAGTGAAGTAGCTGTCACTTGAGATGAGACAGAAAACACCGAAATGGCTGGAGTACAGCAGAAGGTCCATCACGTGAATGATCGTGGCTGAGTCTGTGTCGCCCCTAGGCATGTCTACTTTTGGCCTGCGGATTTCACGGGGCTTTCGCTAACAGGGGCTTTCGCTAACACAAGACATGACATATTTCAATTACTTCTCTGCGAGATGTCCTTTGCCTCACTCGTCATATTGAGTCTTAACTAATGTCGGGCGCAATTGTGTAACCTGGAATGGTGGCACACTTGTATGCATAATGTTTATTCAGACCGGTTGATTGTTTGAACGGGCATTGATCACTCTTCAGATGACAGTTTTGCGTTGGCGGTCCCGGGGATATTTCCACTTACGTGTGGTGGTGCGCAACAAATGACGTTGTGCCTCAACTAGGTCGTTGCATACATGATCTCAATGATCTCATGCTCTGCGTTGTTCGCTTCGGAAATTCCATCTTTGGAACTAGTCTCGAAGTCTACGGGCATATGGTGGGTAGATCTCGGATCGTCCCGTCTTAGCCACGTTCGCCATTTGGCAAAACCTAATTTGCACCAGAATTTAGCCGACTGTTGTACCACCACATCAAGCTTATGTGACTGACATGCCTATTCCTACCTTTTGTTGATCACAATGTAAAGCTGACGAAGAGAAATTCCCCTCTAGGTTGGTAGATGATATTTTGTCAACCCCTTATACAGAAGTTCATTTCTTTTGCTTCTCTATCCTATGATTTGTATCTAGAATTAGCAGGCTTAATATCGATCATCTATTAGGCAACATACCCTATTTTTACTTGAGAACCTCACGCTTAAAGAGCTAACGAAGCTCCCACAAAGAAGATATTTACCATATAGCCACAGAGTTTGGTCCGTGGCTCTGTAGGCACTCAGTAGGTTGTGTTTGTGTTCGGCGATTAGCCCATCCTCGTCATCACCGACCAATCCCTTCTATAAAGCACCCTCCTTTGAGTTCATTTGCCCCGTTGCTGTTTCTCGGCATATTAAGTTATAATAAAACGCGCCTGCCGCAAAAGAAAACGTGACAGATAGTAGACTAGGTTGTGGGTTCTGTGCATCTTGCTATTGCTATTCTCGTACGGAGAGAGTAGAATCCACTCAATGTATTCTTACATAAAACACCACAAGAGCCGAGTTCTTCCACTAAGAGGCTAATTCCATACAATATTCAAGGTTACGCATTTCTTGATTAAAGGAGTAAGTGAAACTGGACCGTAATGTCTAGTTTACAGAGGTCAGGCATGTCATGACCGAGCCATACCTGCGAAATACGGATTGGCATTGCACGAGACAGTGATGGTTCATCACGACTAGCTACATATGTCATCGAAGAGCATCGACGGAATTTATCTTTTCGTGAATTCCTGCGGCGTATTCTTCTAATTGAGTAGCCGATAAAACCTCGGAGCAGGAAAGAGAGAGGAGAAGGGAAGCAGAGTTTACGTGGTCCAAAGTGAATATGGACGTGGATGTACCACTGTGCTACCTAAGTTGAGTGCAGTTTTTTTAAAGGGAACGATAACCAGAACTCGGCGCGAGAGAAAGGCACAATATACTCCAGACAAAATTGCGATGCTATAATTGACAAGGCACCCTCACCGAGGGTACGGAACATGGGTGTAAGGAAGGGGGCATCTCAGTAAATAGCAATGTACAAGTCACAGGGCAATTTTTGGAGCTGGCCGGATCGCATAAAAATTACCGATATGGAGAGAGTCGGGCAACAAGGAAGAGGCATTTGGGGTCGACCCCAAACTGTATAAAGAGGTGAAACACCCCACCTGCATAGTAGTGGCAAGATGACCATTAAGTGCCAATCGCACCCAAAGATCGTGCTGCTGAAAATTTGTTCACTCTACCTCTGGCAAGATGGACGCCTGCGCTGTACTGGCACTTGCAGGATCGTTTACTTGCAGCCAAACACGGGAAGTACCATTTTGTCTTTTGATTCTTGCCACTATTTTGCTGCTGGTTGCAGGTAAGTTTGTGCTAGATGATATCCAAGCACAAAACCTGTTGCATGATGCAGGAATGGGAAGAAGACGTATCCGTCAGGGAGCTGGTCGAATACTCATATAGAGTCGCTATATGATAATGGTTGCGATACTGGGGCTGGCCATTTCCCCCGCTAGGTGCTCGGCGAACAAGATAGCCGCGACTTAGGGATAAGTAATGGGGCCAGCCATTCATGCCGGTGGGTTGAACCCGTTGTTCACTGGGTTGTTAAAAATCTAGGTGGATTTTTTGACAATCACTGACACCTTTCCGCTCGTGAGCGGGTGACACTAGGCCTAGCGCTGATTCTCAGGTATCCAGAAGAATTGGATGCCCAACTTTGATTTAAGGAACGTTTCTGGATAAGGGGAATCTTGTGACCCCATTTCGAATGGGATGGCATTCGGGGCGCGGTGTGGCGAATTCGGAGATTGAGACTCAACTCGGGCCTAGTAACGGCAGCATCAGAATCGGAATTTCTGCTGTTCTAGGGGTGTTAGGCCTTCGACAAAGTTGTGTTCAGAAACCTCTCCGCGCTGATAGTCCTGCTCCCGGGATGTATCCTTCTAGGCTCCGCTTGACCAAGGTCTTGCTGGTGAACCATGCACTGTAAGTAGACAATTGTCCGCATCAATGAGGACAACGAGGTTTGGTGTGGTATCATTAGCCATGACCGTGTACACGTATTGTGTACCTCTTCTTAAACGAACTTAGAGCCTCGTCGGTGTTCTGTTCGCCCGGAGAAGCCTGTCTCAATGGTCGGTGCCCCATCTCGTAGCGGAACCCACTTGTGATTCACGCTGATAGCCCTGATTTGTTGTTTCTGTACGAAGACAGGGCGCGATTTGCCTAGACATAGAAGAATGATGACCACGGATTGGGAAAACATCCTGCTCTGTTCTTAAGGAATGCCGTCGGGGATAGCTGGAGAATATTAGAACACGGAATCCTTTTAAAACGAACCTACCCTTCTGCAGGTGGGCTGTGTGCAGCTTCCAGGGGGTTTGGTGTTTAAGGGGCGCAATGCTATCTGATGGAATTTATACCAAGCTCCAGCTGAGTGATCCATGCAGCGGTCGCGAGATCTCGTGCGATCGAGAGTGAATCTCATCCTTCTTCCCCTTCTCACCCGGTTCGCACGACCTTATGGCGACGCTTACCCATTTCTCCCACTACGACAACCCTTTGCAGAGCCAAAATCATGGCGAGTAACTGTCTATACCAATACCTACTACTACTTTAAGGCACACGACGACCCTTAGACCCTACGATTGGTAGGGCAGCAAGGGCACACTAGTCCCGACGAATTAAAAAAACATATGAAAGCAAAAACATACAACAGCAGGGATTCGCATGTGGTCACCCACCATACTACTAACCTGCCGGCGTGTGGCTTAAGTACGGCTGAGCGGACGGGAAGCCCTGTTCTCCACACCCTATGGTCGTATGTACTCAAATTACAATTACAAAAAATAATATCCTGTCTTCACAGATCAACATACTACAATCCGGCCTGTGTGGGGCTTCTGCTCAGTCAATACTCTAGTGGATGTCGCCTGGATGAGTAGGGTGAGCGCCGCTTTAGCGTCGCGCGACCGGGGGTGATTAGGGTGAGTGCGCAATAGACAGAGTGAGAATGGGGTGAGATCGGGTGAGAATCATTCCCGTCAGGTGAGAGTCGTGCTCGTGAACAGTACATCAGTGGATGATCTACCACGTCTTTTTCTCCACCATTCTCTCTCTCTCTTCCTTCCTCTCATCTCTCTAGTCAGTCAATACAACATTCTTCTCTATTCTCACCACTCGTAGCCTTTCAACAAATACTTAAGACTGTTGTGATATGTCGTATGGTAACGGAATCAATTCCTAACCTCACGGAATTACCAGCTTTGATTGGAAATCAATCTGGAGGTCGCATGTGTATATAAACCCTCAAGTTTTCTGTCCAGAAGGAATACAAGCAATCTTCCTCTGAAATGATGATGAATTCATTTGCCCGATGTAGCTTGCTCTAAATATATGCTGCTATGCGGGAGTGCTGTCAGGCCTGCTGACAGCTTGAAGGTGGTCGCCAGCCCACTGAACGATTGTTTCCATGGCTTGCAACGCAAGCCCCTGATTGGTCGCCCGGGAATGTATGCAAACATGACAAAATAGTCAAAATAAACAAAAGAAATCCAAAAGAACGTCGCTTCCCCTCTACCAACTCTCCTTTCCACAATCAGACTTCATTCTCTGATCTACTTCATCCTCCACCGCCTTCATCTGCGCAGCCCTCTGGGCCGTCGGCTGCCGCTCCTGCGCTCGCTTGCATCAAGGGAGTACAGTGGACCTGGCACTGCACTCCTAACGGGCACCATCCTTCTCCTTCCGTCACACTGTCCTGAGGGGTCATCCATTTTCGTCGCCTTTTTCCGTGCCGAGAGCCAATGGGTCGACTGCTTGAAACTGGTTTAAGAGACCTGTCCGGACCATGAATTCGGCCACAATTATGCGAGCCTCTGGCCGCGTCAGGAGCTCGTCGCGTCGCAGAGCAACTCCGCGGTCGGACAGAGCGTTTCTCATCCAGTTGCGCTCATCTTGGAGTAGTGGGCATTCAAGCAAGATATGATCGACGGTCTGGTTCCCCAGATTGCAACCACATCTCGCTGACTCGCGCCGATTGATGCGAGTCAAGTAGGCAGCAAGGCCAATTCGTCCAGTACGAAGCTGCATCAGAATGGACGCTGTCGCTTTCCGCAGGTCGGACCAGTATTCCAGGGTCTTCTTTGTTGGTCGTTCGACTAAGCGTTTCGTCGGTCGACCTGTTCTCTCTATAGACCATGATGATAACTACAATACTTCTAAAAAGAATAAATTGCTTTTAAAGATTAGAAAACACTCGAGACAAACTTCGAAATCAAGACATTTCATGGTTGCTGAGATATAAAGTTGTAATTTATCGCATTTACTATGGTGTTTTGGATGCGTCACCCGTGGATCACGTTAAGCGAGTCGATCGGAAAACGCGATCGCGCCCCAACGCGTTAACTTCATCGCTTCAACTACCCACTATGCCCCCAATTCGCAGTCAAAATCCACAAGATACTATCGAGCAAGAGGGTATAATCCAGTTCGTAATACAAGCCTATCAGGACAAAGAAATTCCATCGATTAAGTAAGCTGCACGCCGATTTCAGTATCTTACACAACTCTCCAAAATCGATGCAAAGACAAAATCGTTCGCCCTGATACCCGCGCCAACAATCATAAATTGACTACAAATGAAGAGGAATCGCTCCTACAGTGGATACTCTCTATGGATACACGTGGATCAGTTCCCCGACATAATATGGTGAGGGATATGGCCAATATTCTACTCGCTGAGCGCACGCGCCCCCGGGGGGGGGGGGGGAGGGGGAGTTGGCTGGATCTAATTGGGTTTACAACTATACTAAGCGCCACAACCAGCTCAAAACTCGATATTCTCGTCGATATAATCATGAGAGTGCAAAATACGAAGATCCTAAGATTATTCAGTCCTGGTTTGACCTTGTACAACATACAATTGATGAGAATTTATGAGAATGGTATTCAACCTGAGCATATCTACAATTTTGATGAAACTGGCTTTGCAATGGGGCTTATAGCTACTGCAAAAGTGATTACAAGAGCTGAATACTATGGTCGGAGGTCAGTTCTACAGCTAGGGAATCGTGAATGGGTCACATCAGTTAAATGCGTGAATTCAATGGGGTTTGTGCTCCCACCATGCATAATCTTCAAATTGACTACCTACCAGCAATACGCAGAGTTTGATGATATCCCTGATTATTGGAGAATCGAAATTAGTCAGAATGACTGGACTAAAGACGAAATTGGACACCGGTGGCTACAAAGTCTTTATTTCTCGCGAAGTAGAGGGCCTAGGTGCTACTCCACGCGAACCCATGGAGAGTATCCATTCGGCCAGTGAATCCTCCTCTAATTGGGTCAATTTATAACCATTCACGCGTATGTCAACGAGTGGGCTTCTTCCGGTATCGCGCGCCTGTAGTGTAGCGTATGGTGCATCGTATAGCTTCGTAGCTGCACGAATAGATTTGATTTGACCCTTTTGAAGACCCTGGAGGACTAATTAGGATCCTGCCCTCCTGGTTGGCCAATTTTTGCGAGGATACAGTTTTGCTTTGGTGGCATAGTTGAGTGGTTGAAGAGGAGGGGTCGAGATTCTTATCAAGCTGAATGGCACGACGCTATGTTGAAATAGCGATCGCGGTTTTACCACTATTTCCTACTCAAATCGCCGCCGCATGATGCTTTGATATTTTTGAGCCTCAGCGCATTCATCAAAATTCTGGAAGCCTAAATACACATATTTACTCCAGCTTCGTGGCCCAGTCTGACTTTTCGACCGATTCTATAGCCGACTTGGCGATATCTATAATATTGCTTTTGGCAACCTGGCTCTCTGGGCCCTGCGGGTCCTTGACTGCCTTCTAAGCACAACAGCGGTGTTTTCGACGGGAATGTCCCAGTTAGGGGCTGGGATGTATGTCACAATCCGTGAAGACATACTAAAGATTATTGAAGGGAAGTCTATTTTTGGGAAGAAATTCTCTGTTGACTATTGATCTCACCTGTTCGTAACGACGTATCACGACCCGATGAAAGAACGGGTTTTATTTCATGGGCGAACCAGCCTACGTGATGGTCAATTTGCGGGGGTGAACACTGGGGACAACATTGGGTACACTTTTCGCCTCCACCTATATAGGGCGAGGGAGAATTTAGGAGAATAGAAACTCGTCAATTCGACTTGGAGGTGATAGTAATACAGGTCATATTAAAGCAATCCCATAAAGTTAAAAACGCGCCTCATCATCCCATCTTGCCACAGATTTCCTTGATTGCCTCTGACGTAAGCTCCACGTCTTTTTCATATTCGTTTTGCGGCGGCCGACGCATGAATGTTTTGAATTCGAGCTTCAGAGGTGCCCCGCACACCACTCCATTTTCAAGGCACGCATGTTGCGTTCGATTTAGGACCTTATCGGGCCGGCCTCGGGTGTCCATCCTGGGTTGTGTATTTTCAACCTCGGACCAAATCTCAACATCCGCATGCCATTTACCTGCATTGTCCGTTGTGTGGATCAAGATGACCAACTTGGTTTGGCCATCTGAGTTGGAATACCACCAGTGGGCATCAGCCCGCAGCTGCAGAATTGACTCAGACACCCCAACTTCCAGGACCAAAGATGGCCATACTGCAGATGCCCCCTTAGCAAATCGATTCCCAGGGACAAATGAAACATCTGGCTCTTTGCTCACAACACGGCCCTCAACCCGTGCGGCTTGTTGGAACCAATAGTCCTGAGAGAACACAGACAAATGCATTTCCATAAGGGCCATATTAAGCCAGAGGGTAAAAGTTCCATTCAAGACCTCATGCTGAACACCAACCATGACCTTATAGAACACTTGGCGTTTTCTGTGCAAAATCGTGGCCCGGACCCCTTTGAATAGGTCAGGTTCTTGTTCAAGTTCCTTGAAAAGGTTTTCTGAGATTTGAGTTGCCAAGATGTATTGGGAAGCTGGAGGTGTTGGTGACCCAAACTGATCCTTGACTTCCTCAATGCAATTGCGGAGCTGTTGAAGGGACGGGTTTTCGATGGTACGAGCGTGAAGCAAGGTGGCTGGGTCAATGCCCAGTTCAATAGACTCCGGAGAGATATGGGAGGAGCTTGAGGATGGAGGCACAGAGGTGGTGGTTCTCGTCGCGCTTGTGGAAAGACTTGTCGATGTTGAAATACTCAGGACAGATGATGCATCTTTGGAAGAGTTGCTCGACTCCGAGTTCCCTGCCTCTCGACGCGACTGGGGGTTGGATTTCGATGGGTTGAGGTTAGAAGGGGACATGTCGTGATGAGTGTGAGGGGGATAGTTGGATCGACGAGAGGTCTGGGAGGTTTGGTAGTGCGCAGACGAAGGGAGGATCTCGATCTCCTTTGTGCCTTCCTGCTTGGTGTAACGGGCTCGGCCCGCCGGGGTAATGTTGTATGGCGCTGGAGGTGGAGACGGAGGTGGGTCGGTCCCTGACATTGTTGTTGTTGTGCGGGTGGGGGGTCAAAGTCTTGGCTTTGATCCGAGAAAGGAGTGGAGTTGAAGCAGCAGGTGCTGACCCAAGAGTCACGTGGTCTCTGACCGGCTTCGCACTGGCAATTTTATTGCGCCGACGGGAGATGACTGCGCGTATGTAGCGAGCCAGTGATCGAGAGAAAGGTTCGTAAAGAGAGCAGGATTGAGGCGGTATCAGAATAACGGTCCTGAGAGAGGTATGGACGAAGCAGAGCCGTTGACTCGATGGAATTCTCGGCCGGGTCTGCGATACCAAGGTTCAAGCGAGGAAGTGAGGTCGAACGGTCCTCTTCGACCGAAAAGATTGGTGATGAAAACGAAAGTTTGTCGACTGTGTTCTCTGAGGAATTCTCGGGCCATGAACTGAGGACACTTTAGCGGTCAGGGAGGGCGACTCTCGGCTGCAGTCCCCAGGGACGAGCTATTGCCGCGGTTGTGACGAAATTCTTACAAGTATATGTGATCAAAGATGGAAAATATTTGCCTCAGGATTTCGCTCACAGCGAGGTTCCATTTTTGGAAATAAAGTCTTCAAAATAGTGCCGTATGCTAGAATCAAGATTTATTGCGGAGCGAAGGGAAGCAAATAGAATGACATAAGTGTGGGCCGCCCAGGACCAAAATGTACTAGTAAGGTGTCAAGGCACGATAAAACTAGGGTTCCTATTGGTCAGTTTACGTGGGTGTTTTATAAGACCCACTTGTAAAACGGACACTTAACTAGTGTAGTGGGGAGACCCCCTCCCCCTACTACATGGGTGCCATCCAGACTATGTGACATAGCCGGCAGTATACAGTGGCCGGATAGCTAGTTCTAGAATACACCTTCTTACACCTCCCCGACCTGACCCCTACATTTGGGATTCTCGCTATTTCCTGATTGCTACGCGTGTGTTTTGTGGTGGTTTTTCTGAATCTCCCCGCACGTTCAGCGCGTGCTGCCATCGAGCGTTTCCCTTTTCCGTATGTAGTCCTCCCTATCCTGTCGTTGGGATTCCCATCTTATTGTTAGTATGGGACGTCACGTGACACATGTGCTCCCCCACATCCAGTTTTGATGTCTTTGCCAGACATTATCTGGTGTTACGAATGACTGCGATCTGGCCCAAGAGTAGGACAGAAGTTCCTGGATTGTTGAACGAGAACAACAAGTCTGGAGAAGAAATATACGGAGGGGGAAGGACGGTGTCGGATTCCAGAGGTCTATGTACTTAGCAGTCGGGAGAGCTGTCAACCCCCGGGAATAAGACCGTATCCCGGGACCGATCCGCTCGAAGGCTCTTCAAGGGTTAATATCTGTACTGTGAGAATACACTTGTTACCTCTCTACAATCTCTATCCTCCTACCTAGTCGCCGGCGCCAAACATCCTGGCAGTTCTCTCTACAGGAAGGCATTCAAGACTGCATTGAGTCTACATCAAGAGCGTCTATTGAATAGCCAAGGTCCCCAAAACTCTTAAGCACAAATCAAACCAAGTTCACGGTTGAAAAAAATGCGGAATGGGAATAAAATATAGAAGTGAAGCTGCAACACGCAGTACTTCATATACTCTGTAACCTCTACTTAACCCTTCCTACCATTCTTTCGCTGCAGAGGATATATTTCAGGACAAAACCGGGCGGATGCCGCAAAGGCATAGGAAAACCCCAAAAAAAACCGTGATAGAGTGATTTAGGATCTCTTCTCTCCTTGTTGCATGTAAACACGAAGCCCAAGGGGGAAGAAGTTGATTGCTATTCTTTGGGGTGCAATTGTTAGCCCAGCTCATAGGCCTAGATTAGACAGCTCGGTCGGCCCAGATATCAATCAACTTTCTTCCCTCTTGAGATTCGTACTTATATACGCCTACAAAGGGTTAATTTTACCTACATTGCTGCTTTATTAGAGCTACGTGTCTTAATCAATAGTACATATAGGAGCTATGTACTAAGTTCTGTCAGTAGATCGCACCTAGCTAGGCGGGTAGATCCAGTAAGCACCATAAATATAGCAAAGCTCATTCCCTTCCTTACTTACACTAGCCTCCTGATCCCAGTTTGTCATCTTCAGAATACTAGGTCACCAGCGTTGGAATCGATGTTTGCCCAGGCACGAGATTCATCCCAAAATAAGCTTTAAGCCAAAAGTTTAATTCCAAAGCACCCCAGATGCCATTATACTGCCCTCGAACACGCCCACATTCTAGAGTGAAAAACACGATGTCACAGTCCTGCAGATATTTTGAGGAAGTGTATGCTATATGGCTCCGCGGGATATCTCCATATATCTTAGCTTCTGGACATCTGCAAAACTCGTCTTCCTCTCTATGATAATGTCCATACCAGATCAGTCCTTCTTCAGGTAGAGGGTGAAGATATTCTCGAATCCAATTCATGCAAGGAAGTACCACATCTCTTATTCGTAGATAGTCTTTCTTTGGTTGAACTTTAACAGGAATTCCCTGTATAGCTAGGGAAATACACTGGATTTACTGGCCAGTGAAAGGCAACGGAATCAAAAAGGGGAAAATACCAAAAGATGCAAAAGAGTGTTGATTCTTTTTTCCTGAAACTGCTGGGGGTTGAGGGGGGTTAATATACTCTCAAGAATACCTGTGACTCGGTGGTTACATTCCGAGGTTGCGAAAGGTGGCGAAAAGTACGCGTAATCCCGATACCGAATACCATATTTTCGGAAACCTCTGTCGGACTTTCGGATATCGGTATCGACTAGTACTCGCGAGGGGCCAATTGAACCATCTCAGCGATCGACTGATTGACCGAAGAACTATCTGTCGGCTCCCATTCAGGATGCCATCTATTCAGGGGTATGAAGTGTGTTACAGCGCTGCCTTCTCCGAGAATACCCCGATTACCATACAAAACAGGTAGGAGATTGGGTATCTGCTGAATCATCCTGCTCCTGATTGTAATAACTAACTATCAGTCTCTCCGATCGACAACCTCGGATGTACCGTTTAAGTCAATACAGTGTCGATCACCATTTTCCTGACAAACTTTCACTTTGGTGTATGCCGGACCATCAACTACCTTTCCATCTTTCTCCACAATTCCAATAAACGATTGAGGAGGTTGCTGAAAGAGCATTCGTTTCCAGCTCGCCCTTTTTCGGAGAAAGCTTTGGTCACTCTGAGGATTTATTTCAGGTATCTTCACCCCTCCTTCTACCGAGGGATCTTTCCAAATACGCGCTTGTCTTGCGCAAAACCATGGCCATATACATTCCTCTAGTAAAGGGTTGCGTATCCCTGGCGTCACACGTGGTAGAATATAGTGTGACCTCAGGGGCTTGAAAAGGAGGGCGGCCTGTAAGTCCCTTGAAATCTGGATCAGATCATGCCATTTGTGACAGACCCGTTGTGCAGACGTGAGCAAAGTGCGCGTGTCAAATTTAAGCAGGATCATTTCCAGGATTTCGGTTATCAGGAAAATCTTGTGCGGCTCTGATAAAGCCATGATTCAAAAGGTGATATTTGGGCACCTGCTGACTCCCACGGCAGTTGCGGCCTGTTCTCTGTGGCTAGGATATACGTGATAACCGATAGAAGACCGGACGTAAAGAGATCACGATGTGGGTTTGATAAGTTGCTGCGGTAGAGGTGCAGGCGGTACGCTGCAATGATTGCCTGCCGAAATCTAGTGTCTGATAATCTGGAGGAAGAAGATGTCGAAGGTCGGCTTAGATGTCAAGTTGCTCGACGCTTTGTGCTAATCCAGGATAGGACTAGTACTCGGTGTCGGCGTCGGAGGGGCGTCACCCTAGCGTCAGGGACCAGAAGGAAGGAGGGCCAGAAGAAAGAGAGGAAAGCATTATTATAAATAATAGAATATGCAGTCAGGTCTCACACACTAGGACAATAGTGGCGTCGGACGAAGATCTGTAGAAGATCAAGGTCCAGCGATCGGGCACAGGTTGCCGGGTACGATGAAAGCGCAGAAGGAATTAACGACAGACGTGACCGTGTTTTCTGTGAAAATTTTTGCTGCGGTTGCGTCGTAAGTCGTAAATTTGGTCGGTAATCCGCCGTTCAAGTCGAGATCGGTCTCCGGTTGCCCTGGAGGTCGAGATCGAACGTAGATAGCTTCGTGAGCTATGACTGCTGTCCGGAAGCACCAGGAACGAAGCAGGGCATGCTACCAAAATGCTACGTGGTACGTAGACAGAAACCTAAGGGGGGACAAGATGATCATCCTTCGGGCGCTGGGTCTCGGGCTTAGTTACTAGTTACCTCACAGCGATATTAATAAAGGACAATAAATCAAAGGAGATGTTCCAGATGACGTGTGCTATTGAAGGATTTTTATCAAAAGGGGACCGTCACGAAGACGTCAGTTCCATCTACAGTACTATGGTCTCAGGCAAGCTCTTACCTAAAGCAGTCTAACTGTGCGGGTTAAGCCGTGGACCAGTATGAATTAGTGTTTCATAGCCTAGCTACTACTACATACTATAGAACAAAGCGACCCTAGTAACAGGCATGGGCAACTTACTACTTCTCATTGATCTCCAGTGTGTCCAGTCATTAACACAGCGTATTAGATAGCACGCAGTCACTAGTCCCTCACTGAACCTCTCAGCCACCCGCAGTCGCCGACTAACGATGAATTCGAATCCGAGCAGAATATGCCTGTTTTGCAACTGTCGGGATATATTCTCCTGTCAGAAAAAACTGGCTGTGACCCACTGCTAGCGACCGATGGATAACATCCCTTGCTTGGTGTACGCATTCTTGCGCTGGGCTGTGGCCCCGGTGTTGTGACCGCCGAAGACCGGCGTGTGGGATCTAGGGGTGCTTTTCCAACTAGACTGAACATCTATCTACATCTATCAACAAGAATCAATTGACATTGCTTTGGAGCATACACACTGTCCACTTAACTGTGTACACAGTACCTAGCTGGTGATACCAACAGTTTCTTATACCTGTTCTGTATGTCTAACTATCATTCATCCACCCCCTATGTAATTCTTTGAATTAAGTCTTTTGAATACGTCTTCTGGCTTGGTAATACTAAACTTGCCCTCTTTTCTATCTAAGAGGAATTGTTGTGGTGTGTTTTATAGAAAGTTGGTGAAATTGGTGTGTAAGGATGCGGAAATATATTTCGAATGTATGAGATAGTTGCACTACATTCCGCAGAACTTAAACACTATCCTAACTCCAGCGGTGATGGTCTTGAAAACCTAGTCAGTGACCTAGAAAGGACCGTGGCTATCGCAATGAAAGGGAAATCCTATGGGAATCCTATCCTATGCCATAATATTCGGGTGGGATTCAGGATAGGAAATTCCCTCCCACGGTCAGTCTGACCACCCTGAGGGTCACCCTGACTACCCTGAGGGTCACCCTGACTACCCTGGAAGGTCACCCAATTAGCTTGAGGATTTGAATAAAAAGCGGGGTTTAGATGTGATCTATCAAGCAAAAAATCAGATAATGCAGAATCAGCATGTACCTCTACCCCTAAGTCCTTTCGCCTAACACCAAAGAAAATCTCAGTAAGTCCTTCCTTCTTATACACAGCTTCATCATGTCTCAGTCATCTGATATATTCCACTCCTCTATACATGATGCGCCACCTTCGGATTTCCTTGAATACGTTGCTAATTCTACACCACCTCAGCCTTTCTCCCCCGTCCCCTCCGGAAGCCAACAGACCGTCTACGAGCCTCTGAAAGTCCCCGAATGCCTTAAACGCGTTTGCCCGGACCGGATCAGGACATACATTCTATATTCTCCAGAAATAAGTGATGAATTTGTGACTTGGTGGCTTCAGATCGACTTTGGGAGGAAGAAACGGATGACTTGGGATGGGAAACGCGCAAAGTGCTGGGAATACTTTGACCAGGTCGCCTTAGACAGAAATGGGAAACCAGGGGTTATGTGCCAGCAATGTCAGAAGGTTCTTGATCACCCTGGTTGGGCTCGTAGCGGAACAACTTCAATGAACAAGCACTATAATGGGGTGACTTGTCGGAAAGCTGCCCTAGCCAAAAGGCAGAAGCCAAATATCAAGCTGGCATTAGAGCATGCTGTATGTTCAGCACCCTATTATCGGCTTTATTTTACTAACTTACTTCTACGCCTAGGCTCAGAATTCACCCGTACGAGCATTCGATACGCGTATTTGGCAGCAGAAGCTTGCGAAGCTTCTTACTGTGTCACATCTTCCGTTCCTTTTCCTTGAACACCCTGAGTTCCGTGATCTTATCTCTTACGCCCGGCTTGCACCATTATCCCATCCGCTAAAGCTATGCGCCGGCAGCTTCGAGAGCTAGTCCGTGAGAACCAAAAGATTATCCTTCAGACACTTCCTTCTGGTGCTAAGCTATCACTTGCCCTTGATTGCTGGACATCTCCATTTAAACAGGCTTTTATGGCTATCACTAGGTACTTCATTGACAAAGACTGGGAGTACCGTGAGATATTACTTGGATTTCAGCCCTTACATGGAGCTCATTCTGGTGCAAATCTGAGTGAGGTAGTTTTCGACTTGCTACAAGAGCATCAGATCACGAATCGAGTGCTTTCGGTGACTACCGACAACGCTTCAAACAACAAAACTCTTATGGAGAGTGTCAACGAGGCGATTGAAGGTCTACAATCCTCGAGCGACGTCGCTATCATTCGGGTACCATGTATTGCACATGTGATCCAGATTAGCCTAAAAAGTCTTCTTGGGAAGATGAAGGCTATTCCAAAAACTGACAGGGCTGAGCAAACATGGTCTGATGATCGGGTAGAAGCTCTGCGGGCGACGCAGCAGGAAAGAGGGATTGTTGACACTCTAAGCAAGGTAAGACGTCTTACTTAATTCCGATTCATAACCTAATTTGTTTCTTAGGTCCGAAACCTTGCGATTTATATCAATGCAAGTCCTCAGCGCCAGGAGTCATTCTACAACCTGCAGGCAAGAGAGAAAAAGCTAGTTCCAATCCAGGACGTTACTCCTCGATGGAACTCTACATTCTTAATGCTCGCACGCGCGAAGAAGCTCCAGCAGGCCTTCGATGCTTTCTGCTCCCAGTATGACCAAGGGCACTTTTCCTTGAGCCAGGAGCAGTGGCGGCAGGTTGATTATCTCCTTTGTATTCTTGAGCCTTTTTCACCGATTCACAACGCCTTTGAGCAAAACAAAGAATGTCACTATCCATCGGGTTTTCAAGGTCTACAAGAAGCTATTTGATCATCTTGAAAAGTCGATTAACCAGCTTCGATGGAAGAAGGTTGCTTGGAAGCAGGTGATGCTTATATCCCTCGAAGCAGCAAAACTCAAGCTCTCAGCCTACTACAGAGACACCGACAAGATTGACAGTCATCTCTACGCAGTTGGCACATTCCTTTCTCCGCAGGATAAACTCAAGTTCTTCTCGACTCCCGACTGGGATCCAGACCCAGGATCTGGGGTCGACTACCGAGCAGCCTATCGCCAGAGCCTTGAGTCCTTCCTCGAGAAGTACTCTGAGAGTTTTGCCGAGGACCATCAAAGGTTAGGTGGTCCGACTATAAGTTCGATACCGGATGAATTTGATTTAGCTTGTGCTCTAGATGAGTCGCAGCAGTCTCAAATTTCACAGCCAGCACAGTCAGATGAGCTTACAAGGTATCTTGATAGCAGTAAGTATTTCTTGATCTCTATTTGAGCAATTACTGACTTATCCTTAGATATAGTCACAAATGCCCAGCCTCTGACCTGGTGGAGAGATGATCAAGATAAGTTCCCTACGATGGCAAGGCTTGCTCGCGATGTGCTCTCTATCCCAGCTAGTGGTGCAGGGGTAGAGCGGCTTTTTAACTCTGCACGAGATATCTGTCATTATCGTCGAGGCTCTTTTCAACCTCAAACAATCTCAGATCATATGATGTATATGTGTACATCACGGTTTGAGATTCATGAAGAGGAGCGAATAATTCTTTCTGAATATCTTTCGGCGCAGGAGATACAGGCTGCAAAGGAAGAGAGAACACAGCAGCAACTCGCTGTTGATCCAATTAGCGACAATGAAGAGGATGAAGCGTCTACGACACAGCTCCGAGCCAGGTCCCAGCCCCGAGCTATCTCGCAGACCCGACCAACCTCTTAGGATGCCCAGGGTCCGTCCGCAAAAGCACTCGGCAAAAGACGTATAAGCAATATAGCTGACTATGTGAGAGGTGATGAGGAGGAAGACGATGGTCAAGAGTCGGAAGCAATACCTCTGCCGGAGATACAGCACTGAGTGTCAGGCAGAGTCCGTAAGCGTTCAAGGTTGCTAGATGGGTATGAAACGTCTAATATGTAATTCGAGATTCGGGCAGTCTTTTCGGTTGATTCATTAGTTTGATTTGTTTTGATTTAATTCATTCTACATTGCCAAATTAGGAAACTACTCCTCTAAATACTGTAAATGAGATACTCAAAAATACAGACAAAATCTGCATAACTTATGCTCCGCGTGACTTGGCAATGTTTGCCTTGTTTGACGACCCTGAGGGTAGGTTCGCGACTTTTATGGCCCTAGCCTGACCCCATTTCAGGGTCTAACCTTACGACCCTAAAACCTGCGTGGTCCGGGTCGCGGTCCGGGTCGTCAGGGTCACCCTCGGGTCGTGGCGAGGTCTAATTTTGATGGGGGCAGGGGTTGGCAGAATTCCTGACCTCAGAGCGGAGGGTGGCGGTGCTAAATCGCAATGAGGGCGCTAAACCGCATCACGAAATTCACAGGAAGGTCGGGGTACGTGATAAATAATAATTTATGAAAGGGCTGGTTCGTTCGTTCGTTCCTGGCACACCAGGCACGCTGACACAAGCAAGCAAAGTCCGATTATGTCAGCAAGGATCGGCAGGGTGCAGTGGGGGCGGCCCCTGCAATTTGGTATTTATGTAGTCGATCTGCCCACTTGCTTTACTTTCCCTTTTCCATCACCCCTCCAACAATACCGCTCCATCAAAGCAACAAACATGGAACACCTTTTCCATGCCTTTCGCCGGGCCCAAAGGGGCTCGACGATGCCGATGTTCTTCTGGAGTTATTCCAACAACATGAGAACTTGAATGACCCCTCCGCAATCAGTATCGACGATCGAATTCGACTTCTCGATTTCCCCCTCGATCGGTCCAAGACGAAGCAATTGCATCAGTGACTACTCTCGCAAAGAGTGAACTACTCAAACGCGGTGCTGACTTTCCCGCTGCGCTGAGCGAAAATGAAATGAAACTTCTTATGGCCCGATACTGGCTTGATGGTATGAGATGTCACATCGACGATGCCTTTATGAATGCCCTTAATATCTTGGAAAACATTAAGGAAGATTATTCAACCGAGGTCTGTGATCGTCTGGATCGCTTCCGAGAACCGCTTTACGAAGAGAACGAATGCAAAGCCATCGAGAATGCAGAGGCTGAGAGCATTCGTAGAATGAGGGCAGGACATGACCAGCAGTTGCAGCAAGATCTGGCCAGAGTGTTCGCAGAGGGAAAAACTTGGCTTCAGCGACTTTGGCAAGAGGATGGCTCGAAAACATGGGGATATGCAGTTTTTGAGAGTCCACAGTTTGTTGCTGATCCTAAATGTGATGTCTATAAGGGAGAGCAAAAAAAGGTAATAGAAAAATCTCTGGATCGCATCGGTGCGGGTATGGAGATTTTTCGCCGTTACAAGATGGAAACGCAATCCTGGCCATCTCAGATTAGTACTCATCGATTCCCCGAGGTTGTCGACAAGTTGCGCCAAGAGTTCAAGAATCGACGAAATAGAGGCAGCCTTTCTGACGGTCTTCTTCCGAACGTTTTCTTATACCTGGATCACGAGTCTGCGATCTCACTATTTCATGCCCATGGGCATGTCGACGCTATGTGGATCTGGGCTGTTGATCCGGACTACGAGCCTGAGAATGATCCTACAGGCGATTATCAAGGCTACTTGCGTGTTTGTCTCAAGCAACTCGTGGATAACTTCTACGTTGCTCGCCGCTGGCAAAGTGACCTTTCAATGAACGATCTTTGGAACGCGGCTCAAAGAGAGTCAAACGAAGCATTCGCATCCGTGGAGCCGGAGATGCCAGATGAATTCCCCCTCAGAACAAAAAGCAACAATGTTGCACCGGAATATTTACGAGTTTTACATCCAATAAGGCATGACTGAATTGATGTACCTATATAGCCGGTCTTTGCATCCCATGGCTAGCCATTTATTCGCACAAATTTGACTCTGTTCCGACGCAGTACGCCTCTCCTTGGAGGAGCCCCTGGCATTTCCCTTTCTTTGTGTTGACGGCAGGGTTCAGCTTGTAGAAGCAATCGAGAGATAGACCAGCTTTATCTGCTAGATCTTGACAATACTTCCCCTTGTCTGAACGCATGAGCCATTTATTACAATCTGAGGCAATGCCTGTTTGGGTGGGACCGGGAGGACCGCCGGTAGTGCTTGTTACGTCCGAGTCTGAAGTTGAAGTGGAATCCGACGTCGCAGTCGCAGTCGTACTGGGCGTAGTTAAAGTGGAGTCACGCGCCATGCAAATATATTCTCCTACAGTGCTTTTGAGAAGAGTCAATAGGAAGTTTGTCTGGAATGGTGGCGGGGATCACGAACATGTTAGAACAATCGCTCTTCAAAGAGGGATTCCAGGATGTCATTTGGTCGACCGAAAGTCCCCATCGATCGGCAATTTCAGTGCAATTGTCATTCGCTGCAGTTGGAAGTATAATGTGTCAGCTTGATGTAATCGATAACTAAGGCAACGAGTGACTGCCCCATACCTTTCAGCTTATAATAGTCTGAACAACCAGATACCATGCTAGGATCATAGGGCTTTGGAGTCGGATTCAGGGCAAGACTCGAAGATGTTACTCGAGGCAGAGTATAGCCGGAGGGGACGGGATTCAGAGAAACTGGAGTCAGCGGAGTGGCCGGAGAACTTGTGCGGCCATGCGACATGCCACTGCTCAAATTAGTCCTGTATCCAGGCCACACCCAAGGTGGCAGAGTTTCGTATGTGGTCACAATGCAGCTACTCGGGACATGACCATTCAAGTCCCAGCAAGACCACGAGGGAGCTGGTGTTGAGGCAGCCGGAGTGACTGAGCTGCTTAAACCACTATCTCCGGGATAGCTGACGCAGATTTGGTGCCCAACTAGCATCTCGAGGTTGTCACAGCCGCTGTTGATGTCAACGTTCCATGAGACTAACTGAGACATAGTAAAGGCATTCTTGTATGCCTCTGTGATTCCATAACAGGAATCATCTTCCTTCACGGTATATATCTGGCACTTGTTGGGCATGCATAGCTTGGTACCCGCCTCAGGAAAATGCGTGCATCCGGCTTCTAGGTTATTGAGATAAAGCATATTCGCTAGAGAAACACTCTGAGACCGACTGATTGAGTGGCAGTCATCTCTATCTTTGATCGTATAAGTGCTGGCGCACTTTTTAGGTGTCGAGGATGGTGATGGTGTTGGCTTGGCACTCTGGGATATCGTTGTAGGAGCCGGGGAAGTAATAAGATAATTGGTAGCACTGCAAGATGAGGTCATAGATGAGAATGACTTGGCTAAGCCCTCATCGTACCCCTGGGGGAAGCTCATCTGTGCTTGATATGTTCCCAAAACGCAATCAGAGCATGTCTGGTTGTCCGCCTTCCCATCTCCCCAGGCATCAAATATCGGAGCACAAAATTCTCCAGATTCTGGGTCACGTCTGCAGGTGAAGTTGTAGGTCCAGAGGAGGGTTTCCACGGTGAATGTAGCGGGATAGTTATATCCAGAAGTCGAAAGGGTGTCTCCCTCAGTGCAGACGCTCTTTTGGGCACGGTAGAGGTTGTTGAGAGACCTCACACAGGATTGTGTGCAAAGTGAAGAAAGATCATCGGTGGTCGGGAAGTAACCATCATAAGCAACGTTCAGTAGACTGGGATCGCAGGTTACTCGAGTGGAGAAAGTCGCACTGGGCTGAATCAGTTTCTGGAGCTTTTGATGTTCAATTGGCTTCATATCCAAAAAGAAAGATAATTGGAAGGTGAATAATACTAAGCAGAGCAAAAACTTACTTGCAGCTGTTGGAAAGTTTTCCTGCAGCAGGCATTTCGATGGGCGCAGCAGTGCTATTGCTGCCAACAAACACCTGTCCCAGGACACCATTGTGCAGGTATCCAAGGGATACTAGTGCCCAAGAAAGATAACGCATGACAGGTCTTGGGGAATAACTTCTGTCTAACCACCAGATACAGTTGGGGAGTACATCGTATATTACAGAATCAATAGTCGGACTATTACCAACTGGGGCCGTTCCGATCCGTTCAGCCGCAATTTCTTCTCCCGAAGGTACTCTTTATCCCGTATCTATGCCGACCATAGCCTGGCCCATTATTTTACTCGTTTCAAAAATGGCCCCAGCCTTGGCATCAAGTTCAAACATCGTTATACCATTCTATTCGTTGATTTACTAGGTGTGGATTTGTTGGATCCTGCGTCGGTTCGAGAAAATGTGGATCTAAAATCGGCAGATCGGCAGGACAAAACGTGCCAAGAATAATCCTCTGCCACGAGCCCACTTAGTTTCAGCCCCCAACCGCAGATCTTACTTTAAACAAGAGTTTCTAAGCCTTTTGTGGCTTAATTATCTTCTAACTGAGGGAGCAAATGCATTGGAAAAAATCCACAAACTAAGTGATGGCCCCCTGCAGTAGTTCCTCCGTTGTTGCAGTATCCCAATTTCATCTAAGGGGCCAGTGGAGCTGATAAATGTCGCATTGTTTTAGTCTCAGCTCTAGGCATTTGGTTATGCTAGTTTTTGGATTCTACTGCGACCCAGGAAGAGAACTCGGGACTTTCATTCCCGTGTGGGAATTGATAGTGTTGTAAAAAATAGCCATAAAAGAGATATTTACATCCCGAAGCTAGATTTTCTTCTGAAACTACTGAGTAGCGTTTCCTTATGGCTAAGACGATAAGGACAAATGCCAGGCTCTGGCTTTTGTCTATCTTTCTCCTAGCCGGAAGTCTCTTGTTTTTGAAACCTTCATTGAATTCAAAAGCTCCCACTCAATTTCACTCCCGTGAGATCTTGGACGACTTGAAAGATCTGGCACTACTGGGAAATGTTTCCACCACCGAATCAACCTGTAAAAAGGGCGTGCGTTGTAAACTGAATGCATGCTGTGGTGGTTTCTTCGGAGGTGAAGAAGGAACTTGCGGATTTGGACCAGACTATTGTGGCCATGACTGCGATTCCCAGTGTGATGCGAAGGCAGAATGTGGGAAGTATGCGACCAAAGGGGGTACGACAAAAAGCAGAAAATTAAAACCCAAGATTGTGATATGCTGATTTGACTGTCTCTTTCAGACGAGAAATGCCCTCTCAATGTTTGCTGTAGCAAGTTTGGCCACTGCGGTACTACTGCTGAGTTCTGTGGAGGCAACTGTCAGAATTCTACTGATAGTAGCTGCGAGGAACACCCTGCTCCTCCTCAAGGAGCAAGTCCACTTCCTGTTTTGACGAACAAAGTGATCGGATATTATCAATCGTGGGCGGAAAGAAGATCTTGTCATACTTTCCCTCCCGATGCCATTCCTGTCGAGGGACTCACGCATCTGAACTATGCCTTCGCCTAGTACGTATACTCTTTATTCCGTTTACTCGAGAGTTCTTTTACTGACAGATTCCCCAACCTGACAGTATCAACCCGGATTCCCTCGAGATCACTGTCATGGATGACCAGACACCTGAAAGCTCCTTCGCACGGACGACTGATATCAAAAACACCAAATTGCGCAACTCCGAGCTACAAATATTTGCGTCCATTGGAGGTTGGACATTCTCAGATAACAAAACCGCGACACAGCCGCTGTTTTCTGACATTGCAGCTGACTCCGGCAAGCGATTGAAGTTTGCCAATAACCTTCTTTCGTTCATGGTTCACTTTGGCTTCGATGGTGTCGATCTAGACTGGGAATATCCTGGCGCCGGCGACCGTGGGGGAAACAAAAAAGACGTCAAGAATTATGTCTTGTTGATGAAGACCATTCGTGAGAAATTTGATTCGTCCGCTCGAGTCAACTACGGATTGTCATTCACCATCCCAACTTCCTATTGGTATTTGAGATGGTAAGTATTGGAGTGAAAGTATTCACCACAAGCTTAATATCTGACCCGCTAATTTTCAAAAAACAGGTTTGATGTACCTGGACTGCTCAAATACGCCGACTGGGTCAACATGATGTCCTATGATCTTCATGTGAGTTTAAGCAAATCATCTTCAATAGCTATTCAACCCAGCTAAGGCAGAAAACAGGGTGTATGGGACGAAAACAACCCGATCGGCAACAAGGTGCACCCCCATACCAATTTGACTGAGATCAAACAAGCGTCGGAGCTCCTGTGGAGAAATGATGTTGCACCTGCCAAGGTTGTGCTGGGTGTTGGGTTTTACGGACGGTCATTCCATCTGAAACACACAAACTGCACTAAGCCTGGATGTGACTTCCACGGTGATGCCCAAAAGGGAGACTGTACAAAGTCGTCTGGCACTCTGGCATATTTCGAGATCCAGGACATTATCAAAAAGGAGCACAAAAATGTCACTTACGACGAAGATGCTGCCGTGAATTGGATCACTTATGGAGATGGTCTTGACAACTGGGTCAGCTATGATGATGCCAAAACCTTGAAGCAGAAAGTGGATTACGCAGATGAAGTTGGCCTTGGTGGAGTTATGATTTGGAGTGTTGACCAAGACGATGAATCATTCACAGCTCTTGAAGGGTTGATTGGAAAGTCACTGCCTTCATACCACAAAAACCAAAAGCGAACCCACCTTTCGGACACCAACCATTGGAAATCCCTGAATGCTCAGTCCTGCAAGATCAGCGACTGCGTTGATAGTGACTCTGAACCACCATCTGGGTTCGGGCGTGCTCCAAATGGCAAGTTCCCCGATAAATGTGGCAGTGGCAAGTCCAAGTTCATCTGGTGTCCTCTCAATGAGATGCCAAATTCGTGTACTTGGCGTGGATCAGGCTCTTGTCACGGACAGTGTCATCCTGGAGAAGTGACTCTCACACACTCTACACATGGAGATACCAAATGTCTTGCACCAGGTCAACAAGCCTTCTGCTGTAAGAGCAATACCTGGTCCAAACTGACAGACAAGTGTGGCTGGGGCCCGATGGACGATACGTGCCCCGACGATGCGCCATACGCTGTCAGCTCCAAAAAGACCGGTCTCTTCCACAGTCATACAGTTCCTTGGTGCTGTCCTTATGATTTCCAAGGATGCCATTGGGTCGGTAAGGGAACTTGTGATGACAACGAGTGCTCCGCAACTGACATTCAGGCTGGGCTGGATGATAAAGGCAATACTGGAAACAAATGCGCCAATGGATACAATGGGCGCAAGAAGCCACTTTGCTGCAACACACCGGCGAACACAAATCCTTTCCTCCCGGTCGCACTGGTCGATCTTTTCCCCAAGCTACCACCTTCAGACGATGTCCCTGCCTGGGATAAGCAGAGCCTTGCATCGGGTGATGTGGCAGGAGGAGAAGCATTCCTGTTTGTGCTTGTCGATGGACCATCTGATACCGTAACCAATGTTAACAAGCGCGATGGATCCCACCTGGAGTTCGTCACCGGCGGTGTTCATCATGGGCAGGCTAGACAAACAGCGCACTTTGTCTGCATGGATGATTCAGACACCAGCAACTGTCATGACATGCACGAGAATGGCCTTGACGGGACAATTCTACGAATGCCCGAGGGCAAGGGATTCGCCAAGTATGCCGTTGCCCACTCTGTGACCATCTCAAATTACACGGTTCCTCACAATCGACTGTCCAAACGTGCACCGCTCGGGGCCAGAGTGTTCGAATTGGAATACAGCTACGACTTTTCTAAAGTCAAGCGGGATAGCTCGAAGGAAGTCTATCTCCGAGTCGACTATGGAGACCGTCAACAGTACTGGACTGACGTCGTTGAGGCAAAACATCACAAACGAGGACATACCCACCGGCGCTTCTGGAGCGAACTATGGCAGGAGTGGAAGCGAATCATCACGGAATTCCGTAAAGACGACTTCGTTGGAAACACGAAGCCGTATTTGTCCAATGACGACTTCAATGTCGGCATCTACGGATCTACCGGAGATGTTCATGGATGTTCCGATGCTGGTTTCATGAAAGTCGACCTCAAAGGAAGTATGACCGATGGGTTGAGATTTGGATCCAGTATGGTTGGAACCATCTCGCCGGAATTGTCCTTGAAAGAGGCATATACCTTTTTCGATTCCAGCATGCGGATGGAAGGAACTCTCGACGTTGATGCCAAAGGTACTCTCAACATCAACAATCACCCAAGTCTGGTGAAAGATCTTCTTGCGGACCCTATTACAAAATTTGAGGCTTCTCATCCGGGTATCATATCATTTTCACCCGAGTTCAATGCCGAAGTCGCCATGGTTGGACAAGGCGAAATCGATGCGAAGTTCACTGTGAAATTTGAAAGCATGAGTGATGGGTCTTTGAAATCTAATGCTCCACCACATCTCGGTGATTTCGGGGGCTCTGCTATGCTACAGTCAACTGTTAAAGATCCCGTTGACGGCAAAGTGTGGGTTGGTGATAACAGCCAGGATACGGTCTTCGGTGTCAACATCAATCTGGAGTCTTCTCTGAACATTAAAATCCACGATTACTCTTCCACGGGCGTCCAGGCAGAGGCTCAATTCAAATCTCGCATACCTCGCACTATTCGCGTTGTTGGAGATACTGGCTCAGGAAAGCCAGGAATTATAGAGTCTCCCCAGCAAGCATCCGTTGGTGTAGAGGCAGATAATAAGATCAAGATCGGATGGACCGACCACAAGGACCACCCAGTTGGTGAGCTTCCAAAGCAAAAGGTCCTTTTCACCGGAGGTGAAAGACCTGCCGAGCGCAAGGCCCCGGCTGCTGGGAAGGACAGCAATAGAATACTTTTTGCAGACCCTGACGAGAAATACATGACATGCGAGGACGAAGAACTCGAAACTCCTGTCCAGTGTTCTTTTAGGTTCAGTTTCTGGGATTCCAATATCAGACAGCCCGATCCACCCTATAAGAAGCGTTCTGATGAAGACCACGATCATTACAACTCATTGGTGGCTCGAAAGGGCGGTCCCAATACGGGAGGTCAAGGCCACTATATTGTCCAAGAGAACCCCACATCAAATGGGCAACAAATCAACCAATTCCGTTTCATCACACCGACATATCCCAATGGCAATCAAGGCCGAGCTTTGGATGACGAAAGAGGATATAGTGACGCCTACTCTCTTCAGAATCCCAGTGTATGTGACGACCCGACCATCACGAAACACGGCACTTATTTGATAAACTATGACAATCTGGATTCGGAGCATCCAATTGATCGATCAGTGATTCCGAACTACTTCCTATCCGTCTTTGTCCAAGATGGGGAACTGGAACTTGGAAATGGAGGGCAAACCTATCAGACTCGTCACTCTACATGGACTTGGGATGAATTATACGAGTACTTCGCCCATGATTACCGGCAATGGGTCATCCATGCGCCTGGGGACCCTGTACCCGCTGGCTCAGCCGCTGAAGACGTTGCTGATGCCCTCGGCTCAAGTTCAAATCCAACGGTCATGACCAACTTCGAACGAAACCTCAATATTATGAAGGGTCAGACGTACACAGGTGGACCTATGAGCCCGGGTGATCACGCGATGAATACTGCATTGAGCAGCTTCGATGAGTCCGCGGTCTGCAAAGTGATCAGTGAGCTCCGGGGTCAGATCGCTATCTTCCACTACATGCAGGCAATTAAGGACGAACGAACTTCTGTATTCAATGGTATTCGTGATGCACTGCAAAACTTCGACAAGACCTATGCCAAGGTATGTACAAGAAATAATTCACCCTCGTGACTGATTGAAATGCTAATATTTATCTTTTGCAGGTCTTCCCGCATAGTAGCAAGCGCCTAGCTCCATTGTGGGAAGAATTCCACCCCCAATGGGAGAAATTTGTCATCAACAGGACCAGAAGATTTATCACGATGAGACTGAAGGAAATTTCAGACAAGTGGGATCCGCTGCAGTACGACGCGAACAAATCGAAGAGAAATATGGCAATCCGCGTCATGACACGTGTGAAGAATATTGAAAGTTCTGCTGCCACAGACTTGCATTTTTAGTTAATTTGGTTTTTACATTTACCGGATGATCTTGCCTCTCCAATATAAAATTGCTTGTATTTCTTCCAATTTCGGAGCTGATGCTTGATTTTTTAAAGTTGATCAAGTTAGAAATCCGAACAGGCTCTCACATTCTAAATCAAACCCACCCTAGGGTTATAGTATTCGGTCAACCTGTCAAACATGACCTTGTGGTTGGTAATACGAGACTACCTGAGCGGCTGCCTTGATTACTATTCAACAGGGAGTTCAGATTTAGGTACAAATCTCTATAGCCCCGGCATCACTCCAACTGGATTTGAAAAGTGATTATTGGCCGCTAAACCAGATGTGCGGTTTTTACTCAGACGAGCAGGTGGTTGGACTGGGATGCGCCACAAATGCTTCCCGCTGGCGTTCATCGTATTGGTTCTTGTCTTCAATTTTTTGCTGAGAAATCCGAGCGAATTGAACGAAAAGTATCGCATCGTAATCGACCAGAACGCTTCTTCGTCCATATGAGACCGGGAAAAGTGAGGCTGGATATGGTCGTAGAAGATTCCAAACAATGGCGTAGGAGTGTTGAGCGCTAGAGAGCACCAGAAGGTTCCACGGTCCCACCCTTGCTGCAAAATAGTATGCAATCGAACAAGAGGCTGTGCTTCTCTGCTTCGTATGTATAATTCTTCTTCTTCTTTCAGCACCTCCATGAACTCCTTGTGGATGGCCTCGTACGCATCCGGTTTGATCTTGAAAATAGGTTCAATAGGATCACTCGACAGCCAATGCGGAGGATAAAACATTTCCACTGGGCGAGAGCAAGCCCATTCAAGGTCAATAAGGCACTTGATTTTCCAATCTTCATCGACAAGTATGTTGTTTTGGTGGACATCAGTGAGGCTCAGGAAGAAAGGTCCGTTAAGGAGGTCGCGACGTAAGAAACAAGGCCAGACACTTCTCATAACCATCAATGCACATGCCTAATAAAAGCCATCCTGAAGACTACTAACAGCATTGGGTTGGTGACGAAAACGGCTCTCATGAATTGCAAGAACATCATTTATATACGAGTCAGCCCTGGAATAGGTGATTTGTCGCGACATGTCAATTGGGATGCCTCCATTTTGGAAGATTGCGATCTGAAGGGTCAGAGGCCGGTTACTCAGACTCAAATGGTCTGCGTCGTCCAAGATAAAAGAGCCAATTCGCTGAAGTGGCGTCCGTGTCAACGCGATCATGATACGGGATAGATCGCGGAAAAGGGTCCTTCGTAATTGCTTGTCATGACGTCCATTTTTCCATGTTTCAGAAAGCATATTGTCAGGGGCCAATGCCCGATATTGGTCACGTGCGCCACGAGACCTCGGCATATTGACATAGCGAACGCGCGCGGGAAGATTCTCTTCTTCAAGCCTTTTGTACACAGCTTGTGGCCTAGTTAGATTGAATTTAGGTCTTGTTTCAGCTTTTCACAGATTTTTCTCCTTCGAATCCTGATCTAACATCGTATGATTATTTTTCGAAATCCTGATCTTGAAAGCCAAATACCCAAAAATACAGGAGTAATCTGCATATTCTATGCAATCCCAAGATTTTTCATGTTTGTCCTGTTTGTCGGCCCTCGAAATATCCCGAGGGTGGCCCGCGGGCAAGGGCGAGGTCTACCAGAGACTCAACAGCGATTTTCAGGAAGGAATCGGAAGCGTGTAAGGCGTGATGATCAATTTATCAAGTATTAGCTGCAGATTAGAATTGTAATTTATTTGCTCTTTATAATTCCAACTTATTTCGTCCTTAAATTCGTATTGACTCTTCGTTTCCATCCAAAAATCTGGAATTCTGAATATATAAGCACAATACTCTAAATTACAGCCCGAGCCTTCACAAATTATGCAAGTCACGAGGTTCTACCTGTTTGCATTGTTTATATACCCGCCAAGAAACGGGTAATGCGTTACCCGTTTGGGTAGACCCGCGGGCCGTGGCGAGGTCTATATCCACGTGACGTGGCCCATGCGGCAATCTTGTCAAGATCTTTTCGAATGTCCTCAGAAAGCATCTTGGATTCTTGATCGGGATTCGACTCGGTCTCCGTCTGAACAGAAGAGAAATGGCAGATCAGAAGTGCGCCCTGCGAGCGTATTTAAAAGTCCGTGGTGAAATAACATGGGTGAGAACTGGTGAGACTTCTCACCCGTTCTCAACCCTGTCAACCTGGTCGGTTGAAATATCACGGTTACTGGGATAATCATGGGAGCTGGGATCACGTGCATGCCTATAAACCTGTTCACCAGTCTACTTGTATCTTACACAATTAACTCCCCTCAACAACATGAACACTGAAGCATCACTTATAAATCAACAGGTTACGAGCCCGGCAATGCTCACCTCAAATTGGAGAATACTTTCTACTCCTAGGTTTCCCCCTTAAGTGAAAGCTTCATACATATATTGACTGAACTGGAATTTCTCATTTAGTTCTTCAACTGAGAAGACATTTTTCTGAGGACCAACAGACAAACGAATTGTGCGGAATCGTCTCACAAAGTTGACAAAGCCACCACACCGCTACAGATAGTCGTCAGACCAATGATGGTCTACAGACATGTTACACAATATACAACACCGTCTCACACCGCTACGAACGTCACACCGCTCCAGACGTATCACATCGCCACAGACAGAAGAAACGACCTGCTCTCTGTAGCATGGTAGGATTTCATTTTCCCTAAAATCCCTGACATTCTCGGAACAGGACATTCTACTATTTTAACTTATGACAAGAAAGCAAAGTTCACATAAGGGACATAAATGGACTGACGAAGAGCTCAATTTGGTATGCTATCTTCGATGCATCCGTCATTGGCGCTTCACACAAATACAAAAGGCGAAGTTTCCATTACTTTCTCGACACTCAGTGGGCGGGGCCTATAGAAATTTAGCTCCAGAAGAGCGCGCACACCGGGCACTCGCTGCTGCACCTGTCAATGCCAGGTCCCGGCACACCACAAGACGCAACTCCACCATCAAGCTCAACCTGCGCTCTCCAGTCCGGAGAAGGGCCCAAGTCACCCCAACTCAACGAACACCGAGATCGGATATGCACCGTTAACCGCAAGTGGCAATAAGTCAAACCGGTACAATCTCCGACCAAACAGACCGAAACGCTTTGCAGAGCGAAAGCCACGATATATGGTTGACCGTGTTGTAATCCAAAGAAAGATTGCTTGTTTTCCTTCTGGACGGAAACTTGAGGGTTTATATACACATGCGACCTCCAGATTGATTTCCAATCAAAGCTGGTAATTCCGTGAGGTTAGGAATTGATTCCGTTACGATACGACATATCACAACACCTACAAGTAGGGGCGCTATTCGGACTGACCTACTTGGGGCTCTACCTGGCAACTCCTTCCAACAGCACAAGCTCTAAGAGAAACTTGATTCCTGTTATCTTCCCAGCAAAACTCCCTTGAGAACAAATACATCCAGGCTGGCCGACTGAGCCTGTCGTGACAAAGAAACTCCACTATTCGCCGTATCTTGGACCACACAGCTAAATAACATGGCAAATAGTAATGTCGGCAAGCGTTTCATTCGCCACGCTAGAGTCGGTGAAGCTGCAATTTACTGGCTGGGGTCGGTATCAATGCTACACAAGGCTTGCATAAACGAGACAGATTGTAGTGCGGGGTTTCGCCGGAAGCATTTCACGAGGTCAGGCCATCTGCCTCAGCCGGAAAGTATCCAATTTATCAGAACAGTCAGCGCATCAAATAAAGACGGGCAAGAACCACAAATCAAAAGCAAGTGATTACAACAGTCCCAGGTATGCACCCCGTTCAATCCAACTTGTCCCGGGTCCTCAATCTCTAGTGCTTCCGTTGAAACAACGAGGTATTTATTTGGTCGGCCTCCGAGATATTTCATTTATTTGTAGATATTAATGCTCTTCATTCTCAAGCCAGATCATGAGCTAGAGTCTCCTCCTGAGCGAGCCCTACTACGCATACGAGAGCTACAGTTACACAATGCGTGCATCTCTTCGCTGTCAACTATGCAATGCAGGGTTCCCTTCGTATTTAGTGCGGAAGACGTGGACTTCTGAGACAATTGGAAACCTGTTGGATAATTTTTCCATTCATGGAATGTGGGTCTTTTACTGGCCTGACAGACCACTCCTCCTGCTATAAGAGGATGCAAGATTTCTATTTTCTGTAAAGAAACATTTTTCTTACCAATAGTTATTCTAAATCAAATTCTCCCAAGATGGAAATCCCATTTCTTCATTCTATCTCCATTGACGAGAAGACTGCACGTCACGCAGGAGTTTTTACAACACTCCCTGTTCGAAAAAGCAAGCATAGCGATATCGCGGATAGAGGTGCCCAGAGAGCCATCCAAGCATGGGAAAAACACGCCAAAGAAGATCACTCGAAGACAAATTTTCAAGCGGTCTCTCCCTCGATGGATCAACATGGCAACAAGTGGGCTTACCTCAGCCCTGAAGCGTTACCAGAGCGACTAGCTCTTCTGGTCTATCTGAGTGATTTCGGAACTATCTATGACGGTATTTAACCTTTGAATGATTTATGTGAGAACGCATTCTTACTTAAACAAGATTTCTGTGAACCTCTTGCCGGTGAAGAATGCCTCCAACACAGGGAAACATTCGAAAGATGTTCGGACATCGAACCCAGCCAAGCCTTGCCCAGACGAACCTCTGAGAAAAGCCTTCACAAAGTTCTCTCTCAAGGGCTTCTTGAAATGATCAAAATAGACCGCGAGATGGGGCTATATGCGAGTGAAGTTTTCCACAAGTGGGCTAAGGATGTTGGTCGGACTGCGAAGGTCACCACTTATGATGAGTTTATAGTCCAGCGTGGGAATGATCTCGGGATTGTGTCTGTTTTCCGACCCGTGATATTCTACAAGGCAGGCTATTGAATCTATATTAACCTATTTATAGGGCATGGTGGGGATTGTACGATTTTGTCCTGGGTTTAAAGCTTACTTCCGAGGATCGAGAACTCACGGCTCATATAATCAATACAGCAAGCGAGTTCCTTATTGTTTCTCAAGACTATTGGAGTTGGGAGAAAGAATACGTTGCGTGGAAAGAAGATGGCACAAGAATTTTGAACGTTGTGGATTTCTTCGCTAGAGACGAGAACATTACGTTCGATGCAGCAAAAAAAAAGGCTGAGAATAAGATCTTAGACTTGGAGCAAGTATTTCTGGCACAGAAAGCTGAATTCTACCGGGTTCATTCACGTGAATCTACTTCCGGGTCGAGAATTGAGGCCATCGGTTTATGCATGGGAAGCTATCAATATTGGTCGGCTCTTGCAACTCGGTACCACGGTTTGAAACACCAAAATCCGAAAAGGGAAGCTATCTTGAATGATCTCAGACAAAAGCCACTACGTGGATATTGTTACAATCCCGATTCACTCTCAAAAACCGAGGCTCCTTTGAGTCCGAGCTTCATCGACAAGGAAATTGGCAGCCAGCGTCCAAAAAATGGGAATGAAATTTCTGCAACGAAGAATCTCGCACAGGAGAATGGAAATTCTGTCAAATCAACTCGGAACAGAAGTTGTGACGACACGACACTATGGAGGAAGCCAGAAGAGGGAGCCCTGATGGCTCCACGCGACTACATCAGTAGCACCCCGTCGAAAGGAGTGCGCCCTATGCTTATTCTCGCTCTCAACGACTGGATTAAGGCACCTCAAACCTCAGTGAAACACATCAAAAATTTAATCCGCCTTCTCCATGATGCATCTTTGCTCATTGACGATGTTCAGGACAATTCCACAATGCGACGCGGGAAGCCAGCAGCACACGTGATATTTGGCGCCCCTCAAGCCCTCAACACAGGGCTCTTCATGTTTAGTCAAGCGGTGCGAGAATGCCAAAAGCTGAAACATCCTCGTGCCACTAATATTTTGATTGAGAACCTCGAGTGCCTCTACCTGGGCCAGAGCTGGGATCTGTATTGGAAACACAACTTGACATTCCCCTCGGAAGATGACTACTTCACCATGGTAGACAATAAAACAGGCGGAATGTTTCGAATGCTTGTACAGCTTCTTCAAGTTGAAGGTTCTTTCGAAAGTTCAGCAGTGTCAGCACCTGATCTTGAGCGTCTCATTCTTCTGTTGGGCCGCTTCTTCCAGGTTCGGGATGACTATATGAATCTATCGTCAGCGGATTATGCCGAGCAGAAGGGCTTCTGCGAGGATCTAGATGAGGGTAAAATATCCTACTTGATTGTTCGTCTGTTAGCTCATGCACCAGAGTATAAATCTCACATTACTGGGATTTTCCGTCAGTTGCCTCTTGGTTTAGGACAGGCATCTGGGTTACCATACGACAGCAAGAGGTATATTCTGGATATTCTCCAGAGCACAGGCACATTTGCAGCAACTCTGCAGTATCTTAAAGACTTGCAGGCAGCCATTGAAATCGAAATTTCGAGGTTGGAGGGAGACTTAGGAGAACAAAACCCGATGATCCGTCTGATTATCGCGAATTTGAGTGTCAAAGAACTTGTTAAATAGCTCGGGGCCATTACGTGTCACGGGCCAGTGCCCGGTATTGGTCACATGTGTCACGAGACCTTGGCATGTTGACGTGGAGACCGCGCACGGAGAACTTCTCTTCTTCAAGCTTTTTGTTCACACTTCGTGGCCTAGTTAGATTGAATTTAAGTCTGGCTTCAGCCCTTCACATTAAGCACTGTCGAACAACCGCATGTTCTTGCGTATGTTAGGTTGCAGAACGCTCACTACGTTTCACCACCTTGGCCATTTGAGATGTGGTCAGTCTCTGCCTACCCCGTGTCATGTGCTCAATTACTTCACGCTGCCACGGATCGAGATTTCGGGCCATCCTGTGACGGGTCAGAATGCCGTCGAATGAAAGGCTTTACCTCGGCAAAGAACTCTTCAATCGGATTCAGGTAGGGCGAGTACGGTGGTAAAAACACTAGCTTGACAGCCTTATTAGGGCACATCTGTTTAATCTTCTCGGGGCGATAGAAAGATGCATTATCCATAATGAGAACTGAATTGGGTTCAGGGTATTTCCCACGATGCTCTAGAAGTTCCTCTATAAAGCCTTCAAAAATGAGGCATCCGTCGAGCCCCAAAAGACACGGGAGAGTAAAATTCCATCTTGGGTATATGCAGGAAGTATCTGAAACCGTTGATCGCGATGAAATTTCGATACTTGGACTGGTGTGGTACTGAAAGGAGACCAGCCAGTTTGTCTGAACCCTATTCGTTTATCACATCCAGATTCATCAACGAAGACGAGGTGGTACAAGCAAAATTATGAGACATCATGACAGTAATCATCACGTAAATCAGCATTTCGCTCTTTTGCTTTCCGTCGAGCTGTCTTCTTCGACCACCCTTTACGACGCACTGTATCGCTAATAGTGGATTTGGTATAAATGCTCCAAATTCGCCCAGAAAGAAAATCTCCATCTCGTGTAGGTATAAACTCGGCTTTTCGAGTAAATGGTCACACAAGGCTTCTATCATAATTGGCGTGATTTTTCGAAGTCGGCCAGCTTTGATTGGAGGAGCTTTTATGCTGCCGAAGAGCCGTAGGTTGGCCCGGATCCTGATGATTGCGCGCTTGCTGCAGCCAGCAGCTTCGGCCACTGGGACGTGGTTAGTTTTTCACTGGTTATCATATCATGAATAAGTCCGAGCGTAAATTTGGCTAGGTTGGGAGCCATAGTCCGATTCACGGGACCGCTGCGCGTGATGAACAGGCGTCGACCAAAGACGAGCTGAGGAGCACTGCGAATGATGGTGGGGCGTCGGGGTAGCACTGTCCAGCTCTGACAGTTACGAAACATGGGCCAGTATAATGCAATAATCCGGTAAAATTGCAGCACTAAGTTAGACTCTCGTTCGATCTAGAGGATCTCCTGAAGCGCAGCAAACGAGAGAAGAAGTGCGTTCTGAGAATTCACTCTTCGCTCATTAGGACCTCCCAAACGACGTTCGAATAATAACATTTCAATCAACTGCGACATGAAGATAAAGGATAAAGGAAAGAGAAGATTAGGCGGGGTCCAAAGCTAGACCTTGGCGATCCGTAGAAGCGTTTGGCTCCTTTTGCAATATCGCACTTCGCCAGTTCAGTCCCAGTGTCTCGGTCATTTTCCCATCGATTCCAATCCTAAGTGAAGCTCAAAGTTACCAACTATGGCTGTGAGGCTGCGGTAAAACATACCCAAAGATCCCGACCCAATGTCATATTCTACCCCATCGGACTCGGATCACAAGGCATAGCGACTGGTATGAAGTACCGACCGCGAAAATCGTTCTTGCTCACATCATCGCTTGCAGCAATGTGAAAGATGATGAGACCAGTGATCTGTGGGATGTCCCAGTTGAGCGCATTCGCTTGAGATCTTGATGTCTGGCGTAGGACATGTCTTCACAGTCGTGCACAAATTGTTGAATCCACTTCCATAACTTGGGAGAAGCGATAAACATGTCTTTCCGAAGACTCGGCGGATGATTGACGGTAAACCGCGTTTTCCATTCGGACAAGAGTGTCAGCTTCTTTGCTACTGTGTCTCTGAGATGCTTGTTTCGAAAATAATATTTTTTCATCCTTTTGAATTTTCGAAAGTGGCTGATCCTCCTGTTGAACTTCGTTATAAAGCTGGATGTATGAGGCGAACTCCACTGCCGTAAGAAGTAATGGCCCAGGTCCTGTTCAGGCCCACGGGCAAAGTGCCAGACCGTAGCAAAGAGAGTGTAATCACTAATTGAGTCCAGGTTGAGAGTCGGCTCAATCTCCAGGAGACTTGGCTCCGCTCCAGGGAATCGTGATTTCTGCGGATCGACCTCTCTTCCATCGACCCAGGCATAGCAGAGATGAAGCCATTTATAAAAGGTATACATAGCTCCGAACCAATTTCGTCATGGTATTGTGGCAATCCTGGTGTGGTTAAAGCATTGGTTCAGGAATGGATGAAGCGAATGCCCAGTCGATGATATAGGTGATGTTATAATCATCATCAACATATATGTTGTTGACACTCGGATTAGGGTGGTATAACGGAAAAGTCTCCGAATTGACAGTTGGGAGTTCAAGTTGCCGTACAATGTCGTGGAGAGCGTGGCCTGCGATGATATAATCCAGTCTGTTGTCCGACGAGTCGGTCTTGCCTCCAACGGCCACAAAGTCGTTCCATAGGTTCACAGCACTCTCATATTGTATGCTGGATTGATAGTCGTCCCGCGAAGGAACGGGTGCCACAAAGCAATGGTGTGACAACTGCAGAATTTCTGCATGTTCTAAGAACGCAGAAACAAGGCTGTCATAGAACTTTGCTTCGGAAGTGAAAGGTCCTCGTTGGATGTCCAAAGAATATCTTCCATGCAACATGTGACCACGTGAGAGACATTCCTTGATTTCGAAGAATTCTACCGCCTAACTGGGAGAGAACTTTGGCTTTGCTGGGAGTCTCTAGGTCAGGTTGAGGAGAACCGGCTGATCCCAGTTTCCTCTCTAACCGTATATCAGATCAGTCTTGGCCGATACTACGGCAGGAAACCGGCAGTGTACTTCTTTTGCTCATTTTAAACGAGGTAAGTATAGTGAAATAGGAGAGCGACACTAACCTCTGCCAGGATCTATGTGTTTCTACTTTGCAACCCTGGATAACCCATATGATATCTGCCTTGCTATTTATGGGAATAATTGCCATTTTATCACTTTTCATTTACCTGTCGGTGCGCTTCAACTGGCCTCACTGCCTTCTATGTGTGCTTCATTGACCAAAAAAGGCCAGGAGAACCGCAACACTTTATTTTCTTCATTTATGATCGTCGCTTTGGCTAGTCTCAGCTTCGTTCATGCACAAATAATTAGGGCCTGGGTCATATGCGTAGGGCCATGGCATATGCAAACAAGTACTTTCAAATTATTTTAGCAGTATCCGCGCCTCACGGCTGCCAGGCACCAAGGAGCCTTATGGGTGGCGTCCATTGGCTCGATAGGGTTGTTTCTTGTTTCATTAAATTTGACTATTCTTTCCTGTATACAAACCAACCTGCAAACAAAAATCGTGACGGTACGTACCGTGACTAAACTGCCGTCATACACTGCTCATGCGCTACATAGCTCCAAATTGCCATAACAAGCCCGAGGAAGGCGGTCGTTTCGTTTCGCCTTTTCCGCGCTTCAGAAAACGCCATGGATATGTTACTTTCGAATGAGCATGTCCAACAATAAGAAAAGAGTAAAGTGCAACGTGAGGAAATTGTGGAATTGTGCAATGTAATTGCAGATAAACTACGTGAAAGCATAGAGATGAAGCACTTCGTTACTAAACCTGTAGCGCCAGTATGCGGTTTGCTTGTGGCAAGGAATGACGCAATACCCTAGACTGGAATCTTGCTAGTGTCCTCCCCACGGGATTTGTCCTGTTCCTCGTGCAGGTTCTCTGGCCTGTCTATGTCTATTCGTGTGGGGCCCATCGGTCTGCGTGGAAGATTTTAGTAGTAGTGACAACGGGGGGCGTTCCATCCGAGCCCTGCTGCGTAGCATCTGCCATGAAATGAACATGTGGCGGTGCTTATGGAAAAAGGGAGCTGTGGAAAAGAAGCCTTGGCCATATTATCACTGAAGAACGGGTGGGTGGTGAAAGAGTGTCTTCAATCCCGAATGATATCCCGAAATGAAGCCTGGGACAGATCAAGGTCTTAACCACAGAAACGGAAAGCGCAGACCGTACTCAATCGACCAACACGGCCGCATGCAGGATGATTTGAGGTCTAGACAAACTCAATCATAATTAAGCTTCTACCAGCTCATCCAAACCCTATTTACCCTGTTACGTTATTTTTAGTTAAACTTCACCCAGTCTATCCAAACCTTAATAGGAAAGGTTGCGGAGACTTTCCTCGCAGCGCGCAGCATTACTAGCGTGAACCCAGAAAGCCCAGGTATCAGGCGATTGCTGCCGGACTCGGTGACAGTATTCGATGGCGAGTCGAGATTCCCTTTGGCAAAGTCAGTCTTGAACAGACCGCCACGAGTTAGTTTAAACTCACCCGTATCACCCCCCGTTCTTCCCCCTTCCCCAAGTCCATCGAAGGGCGTACAGGCTAGTAATGATGAGAGGATCAAAATGAGTGACTTGATTGATGATGATTGTCCGGGGGGAATTTACTTAACAACAACATCATCTTCTTCTTCTTCAATAATAATAGGACTTCTAGGCCTTCTCTGGATCCGTCGAAGGCTTTGAAGCCTACCCTGTAAATGTCTCGGTGCGTCCATGTCTGATACAGGGTTCATATTGGCATATCTAAGATGTCATAAGAATGTCATCCTAACGACTGGTCGTTCTAGATGGCGTGTATCGACCCCGGACGAGCAGGACCATAGAGCTACCGGCTGTATCAACGACTTCGCTTTTCATATGCGTCTCTTACAAGCTCGGATGCCCGACTGTAGTCATCCTATAAACTACACCTCTACGTCCCGGATCTCGTCATTCCAAGCTTCTCCACTCCACACACTCACACAACGCTTCCACACAAACAAACGCAACCCTCAACTCATTTTTTACCTACACACAAGGAAGGTTTCCGACTCATCACGCCCGGGGCAGTAATCAACCACGAAGTATACCATGGGGCTCGGTGACGGAATTCGTCGCAACATTGCGAATGTCAGCAAAGAAGAACGTGATCTGTTCATTGACGCAGTGAAACAATTGAATCAGATTTATTACAGCCCCACCGGTTCCAGAACCGATTTCCCTGCAATGAGCTGAATGATCAGCCCAGCAGTTGCTGCCATTGCCATTATGTGTTAAGGCAGACCGAGGCCCTGCAGTGAAGTCAGAGATTTATTCGTCCTGCTAAGGAACTATAAGAATACCAAGTGCATTGCCAAAGGTTCGCGTCGCCGAGTTGGAGCGCGTGACTTGTGCCGCGATTGCTCGGTGGTCACTTCCGCCGACCATCGCTCTAGTATTCGAAAAATTGTTCGAACGAGTGAATGTACGCAAAGGGTGGTGACAATTTTCATAGGAGAACCGGGGTACATGTGGCAAGGAATCCAAGAGCGGATTTCGCGGGAAAATACGCATTTCCACAGGTGTAGGTGAGTCCACGCTACGGCAGTCAACACGAAAATGTCAAAGCGCAGGATTACCAAGTCCGACAACATCACCCCAGCGACCGATGGATTGAAAACTCGGTCTACAGCCCCTCATTCGCAAGGCCATCTGTTCGTGTAGGATGACGACATTTTGGGACAATCAGTCGATCGTAGTTCGGACTCGTGACAGTCGCGGAACACCGCGATCAGGACGAACAAAAGATGCGATGTGGCCTTTCGAGACACGATTCATTTATCTGAATATTCAACTCCTGTCGCCTGGACACCGACAGAGCTTCACTTCACGAGGCTAGACGCCACCCATCCATTTGCACAACAGCGCGCTAGTCTAGCCTTCCAGTTCTACTCCGCAATGTTGATCGTGTCGCAGCACTGTCCTTGCCATCTCTCCCAACGGCCCGTCTTGGGAGTATCGCGTGGGGCTAAGTGTAATTGGATGGCAGCTAAGTGCGTTCATATGGTGGGACAGATGTTTCAACTCCTCTCGCAGGAGGAAGATATTACTTTTTTTTTGCTTGGTGTGTCCCCCCAAGGTGATGCATCTCCCATATACCATGCGGTCTATCTCCGTTCTCCTCATTGAGCTTTTCGGCCGAACTCAACCAGGCCCTATATGGCTACTAGCTTAATTAAAAAAGTACGGGAGGCGATTTGGTGGCCAAGCGAAATGCTCACCAGCGACCATTTTCACGCCGAGCCTGGCTCCTCTGCATGGCTTCCCTCTCACGGCATCGCCGAAAAATCGAATTGAAGATGGGAACTGGGGCTTAGCTTTACATACGACCATCGACTATGGACAAGGTAGTCCTAGCTGCCTCACTTTCTCCCAGGGGAGATTGGCGGAGATGAATATCGAGAATGTGTTCCCCGCTCTCTCGTCTCAACCATTCTTGTACACCGAACTCAAAAATTCCCACTACTAGGGGAGAGATTATTTCAACTTTTGCGACTCGAGAGTCATAGTCGCCGGTGAAGAGGTCACCTTTTGTTATAATACAGATTTACAAAACATTTCACTCCTCGACAGTATGTTAAACACCGCCTTACTAGCATGCACAGTGGAGGTCGAGGAGGATATCGAGCAGGAAATCGAGGATTTCGTGCGGTTCAAGCATCTGGGAGAAGACGAGCAGGCCGAGTAAATATTCCAGCGAACTCTTTCAGGGCATCTCTCTCTTTTTCCAGTCGTTGCCGAGCATAATGATTTGCTCTTAGTGCAAGAAAAATATCGTGTCTTATCGGAGATTTTGGACTAGTATATGAGGTTAGTGTTTCTAAGAAGAGATAAGAGTGATAAGAACTGTTGTGCATCATAGTATCTCTCGTTAATATTTAAACCCAGGGCTCACTACGATCTGCTCTGGCATAAGCCAGCGATATCTGGAAATTCCTGCATCGACGGAGCAAGAATCTCTCTCTTGGTACGCTTCCAGGTGATGTCGAGGCAGGAATGATCTCAATGAACTATTCTATTTTCGTTCCCATACTTAAATGTCAGCAGATTCATATTTTCGAGATATATGTCGACATCACAGTCATTGCTTTAGGCACTTCTCACTGGGTAGGCCCAGACAAGATGAACTGTCCATGGGCGCTGGATGAACACTCAGACCATTGTGGCTTCGTGCAGTGGTATTTGGAATTATCATGCCATTGAAATCTTGGAGCCAAAAAAATATCAAGTCCGGCTCTGAATATCCAAGCCCCAAATTCAGAGCCAATTTTTTATTGTTTCTGAAAACAACAACCCATAACGGTAGATCACTCCAAGCACGATAGAATTATTTACTCCTTAAACTCAACTTCCTTTCCACTTTTCATGCCTATAGCAGCATAACTAACAGGATCTGTTGTCCTAGTCAATCATTGTTCACTTGCCTCTGTCGAGGGGGCTTACCGAGCTGTTGTAAAATAACCTGTTCGCCAGGCAAAAACTGGACATCTTGCGTACACTTGAGCTCAACAGTGGAATTTGGAGTTTTATAGATAATGACCCGTTCAACGTCCCCAGTAACAAATTCCGTTCCATCGGGCTCAACCATTTTGCCACCAATCTGAGCACCAACGTGGCTTCCTTCTTGTAGGGTTATAGGGTCACGGTCGAAATATGCTTTAGGCATACTGGTGAATCGTAGCGCATTCAAAAATGTGGATATTCAATATGATAATGACATTAGCGAATTTTAAGATTCTCCGGAGGTTCTAGCGCGTACATATACTATTCTCTTGAGACAGCCGATAATTCCGTGAGGAATTGAGGCCAAGCTGCTTTCGTCATAATGACATCTTCCATTCTATATAATAGTATGCAGAATTGTGTAAAGACGTCATGTAAAGTCAATCCCCTAAAATCACAAATCACCTGCGCCGTATTTCGGCACATCCTCTGGTTCGATGATGTCATGGTCGCCCGCCCATGGACTAGCCACAACTATGGTAACTAACATGATTAAAGTTTTCCGTTTTGCGTGACTGCATAGTATAAAACAACCGCTTCCCGGTAATGGCCCATGAAGTCAGATTGAGGTCAGATACATAGAGGTTATACACATTCAACATGAAGTCCAAAAGGTTTGAAAATCAATTCATTTCTTCATATAGAAAATACAGGCATTCTTCCCCATGTTCCGGATTTGAAGGAGACTAGGCTGATATACAGAACTCACAATTTATGCATGCATATCGCTGAAAAAGAGTTTGTGTTATATTGCATTGGATTTCAACGCGGTCTGGCTAAAAAGAATGGATATTCATCCATTCACTCCCCTCGAAAAATTTGACTCCCGCACCTTAGGAACCGTTCACGTGGAAATCCAGAGAGACGGTGGTGAAGCAATAGGCTTGCGTACGCCATAAAATTTCAAGGCAATTGCTTAATAAAAATCCACTCCCAAATTCCATCTGGTACCTGCATCAATCTACCGCCTGGTTATCCGTTGCCCTCAAGACCCTGCAGGTCAATGTCCATGTCAGATGCAAGACGTTCATATGAGTCCAGGACCTCATTGGCATATGCCGCATCATTTCCAGTCCTTACGGCCCAAAATTATCGCATTTCACTTATCCAGTGACTGACCCAGTCTCTGGCTTCCTGTCCAATAAATCTCATTCGATCTCTAAACCATTGGTCCCACCAGTCCTGGCCGCGAGGATTGTAGCCCGCCACTGACATCCATTCTTGATCAGCTAATGCAAGCTCAGAACGTACCAAGTTCGCAGCATGGACCATCCGAGGATGAACTCGGCGATCATTGAGGTAATGAATAACTGATATGATCGATCGGATACTTTGAAGAGCCGGTTTATAGTCATCCTCGTCAATCAAATCCTCCATGTCTGCGTGGTACTCCTCCGAACGCCAGATCTGCGAAAGTTATCAGCATCTAGCCCAGGGGTAGAAGTCTTAGCCAGGAAATGAGTGAGCCCTTACTCGTGAGTTTACGCCATTCAAAGCTGAAAGAAGAACAACAAAATCCTGGTTATTTCGACCGCTGCCAAGAGCGATCATGATTCTTCGCAGGGGAACACGTGTTACTCGCCCACCACCTGCTACTGGAGGTGGTTGTATAAGCATTTGCGTATTCAATGTCTCAACGTAGTCTGAAGGGAGCTCAAGGTTTCTCGGATTGTTCCCTGTGAGCAACACGCCATCGACTGCATCTTGCAGGAAATTCTGAATGGTGTTCAATTCAACAATATGTTCCACTTTATTGGATTAGCATCTTCCATCAAGTAGAGTTTACAAGATTGACGAGAAGTGGAGAGCTGCATAGACCGCTATTGGTAGCATCGCTCATAAGGGTGAAGCTTACCATCATAGTAGTCTCTGTCTGCGGGCACAGTGACGACGACAGCAGTGGAAACATCTAAATTCAAACAGTCATCGTCATCTTCATATTCAAATGCCATTACTTGAAATCACGGGACCTGGGCGGTGACGGGCTACACCTTACCTTCTCCATCACACACACCTTCTTCCTTTCCTTCTTCCTTCCTTAGTTAGCCAGATAGCTACGAATACAACGTCCGGCAAGCTGCACTCTGTTTAGCTCACTCCATCCAAACAAAATCCTTGCTAAGCAAAAGATGAAGCACTTTGATGATGAGGTTGCTGTTCTTGAAATCCTGCGGGCTGAGAGGGACGTGTTCTCAAGCCTCCCCGCAGGTGAAACCTGGCTTCCAAGTTACATTCAAAGAAACCTGCAGCGATTACTTAAGCCTGAGGATCCAGGGCTTGGTTTACGCGAGTTCTAGATAATGCAGTGATGAAAATGATTCTCGAGATATTATCTGTTCGCTTATTTTCTATGAAAGATCAGCGCGGTAAGTCACCTCCTACAAATTAACGATACGGTAATCAGACTGAGCCGATTTTTTGCGGTATCATCAATGAAGATACCGAACGGCATCATTTCAGATGAATCTCTTTTCCAAGGGCCTGTCTCCGAAGAGCCTGAGTATATCTCCGAAGTGCCTGAGCTTGTCTACGAAGAGCCTGAGCCTGCCCCGGAAGAGATACCTGATGAAGGAGATAGCGAACAGTGGACCATTCCCCAAGTGCCTGCTAATGCCGACGGCTGGACGCGCGCTTCTTTGTTACCCGGAGGTACGCCTGATGCCGAAATACTACAAGAGACTCCTGATCAGAGCCACATAGCGAGGATTTCATGCTCGGACTTAACTCTGTATGAAAAGTGGGGGAGTTTGTCTTCGAAGGAAAGGGCTAAAAGTCCTAGCGAGCTTAGGTCTAGAGGACTTCCTGGCCCAAGCGAAACTGGTTTCATTTCAATAGTTGCAGATTGAGAGTGATTTGGGGCAGCTTCAGCCAGGTAATCAAACCGTTTATTTCCTGTTCATAGATTCGTAAAGTGCCAAAAGAGAGACGTTGATCTACAGGTATTGAGGTAATCCTTGGGCCCGGAGCAAGTTGGCGGGTTTCGCTGTCTTGTTTAATGGAGGGTAAAAACGAACATGAGTGGCTTCTACCAATTCTACTACTCAATTATATGATTGGCTCGATGTTACTCCCTTCTCCACTTTGGAGTAGCATGGTCTCCCCAGTAAGTCAGGACAGACCAGCTAGTCCGGATGGGCAATGGTTGATGGAGGGTGGTGGCTAGACGTGATTGGCTAAGACCGTGTTCCTCACTAAGAAAGAAAGTATTCAGACGATGGTCTACAGTGGCTTACAAAATCGGCTTGCGCTTTTACACACTGACACACACTCTTTCCGAATATTTTCAAGGTGCTGAAGGAACAGTTTCATATTAGACGGATCAGAAGCCATTAGATGCAAGCCGTGGACTGCGCAGACTGTACAGGGAGAACCGAGTATAGGAAAGGGACGTGAAAAAATGGGTCTAAATCTACCTAGGGAAGAGTCACTGGATACAACTCAGGAAATAACCGGCCGGATGGAATGATATACTCTGCTAGAATGTACAGTGGAGGATGTTTTCTGATGCCCAAGAAATCGGCTCTGCTATCACAATCACCCGTCTCAATGTCCACTAATATTGACAAGTCGTCTAAACTGAACAGATTGAACGCATCAGTCCGTATCAATGTCCGACCCTGATTCTTTGTTTGCGTGGTACGTAGTATGGTGTGTGACCACATGCGAATCCCTGCTGTTGTATGTTTTTTTGTTCTTGAGCTTTTCTGTTCCATCTCATGTGTGAGAGATAGGATGAATTAGGATCAGATCAGATGAAAAGCTTCAAGCTTTCTCAATAGATTTTTTGCGAAGAATGTCAAACACAGAACGTAGTACTGCCAACGTAGAAAATTTGCACCATCACCCCACAGGGTTCCCTCTCATGTCAATTGGCAACTCCTTGTTCGAGCTGATTTGTTTTCAAATCCGCCGATCAGTAGGACCGTGTTTAGCCTCATGAATTCGACCAAAATTGCGACTAAACCATGCCACCGCCTGCTCATCCTGACAATCATCAAGGATATCATTATTAACCTCCAGGTATTCATTCATCATTTCAATCCAGCAGGTTATTGCACGAAAGCATTCGGTAAATCCATTTCCTTTTTCTTCATCAATTGCAGCCTTTACAAAACTCTCCACCAGCGCGGGTTCTAGTGGGTAGTGTATATTGCCGGAGGTTTCGAATCGCTTCATCGCCTTTTTGTCCGAAGAGCCAGAGGCATCTCCAGTAGAGATACGTGCGAAGGATGCTCGGAGGAGGATTACTTGTAACTCTTGTTCTTTCTCGGTTTGATCATCTTGTGGATAGTCGAATATCGCACAAGACTGGTCGAAGCGTTTCCATTCGGCATTTATTTCGTCTAGCACCTTTTGTGGATTTGAGAGCTGCGCCATGACCTCAGGTGAAGGGGAGCGATCGACAGAGCTGGGCTTGAATCCTGCGCTCGTGAGCTTTTCGATGGCAGACTTCAAATCGTCATCTTGGACGACGAACCAGTTTTCCTTTGAGATAGGAGAGTACTGTTTAGCGGGATTACTTTCAATTCCATCGTAAGTTACCTTACCTCAACGACGATAGGAACGCCCAGATAGCCCACTGCGAGACCACCCCAGGGAATCACTGCGAGAGGATCAAGTATTTTGGCAATCCTCAGTGAGAACCTGTCGGGCTTTGATTGTTTCGGGAGCCTGAACATTGCTTGTGATATGAGGTAGATCTGATTAGTTGTCCTCGATTCAATCGAACCCACAGAAGAATCATTTAAGGCCGAGAAAATAAGGTGAAAGCGAAATGTGGACGATTGTAGTCATTTTGACGTCGACCATGTGACCGATTTATGGTTTACAAATGGGGCGTCCAGAAAGCTAATAATTCTGACCACTCCCGTGTAGTCTTAACTGAACTCTTCTTACAGCGGAACTTTTTGGAAAAAATAGTGTATCGTTGAATAAAATAATCTAGAAGATCGTGTTTCGAATCTATGTAAACAACAAAGCACATGTAAAAACGTGTCCATGAGCATGCAACACCCACTCATCAATGCAAGGGCTATTATGCAAGATATCCCCAAGACATGCATCCAACAAAGACGAGCATTCTGCTCCATCATGCCCATCTCAAACCATGGACTTTTCAGTTTTCATACCGCTGGAAGCCTGAGTATCCGACCGATCCATAGAGATATACCGATTAAAGTCTCCAAGGTAAGCCCTCTCACCCCCCTTATCATCTTTCTCCGGCTTCTTCGCCTGGCGCCGGAAATAAATCCGCTTGCACCACTTCCAGGTCTCGATACCAAGGAAGAACAGCACAGTCTCAACAAAGACAATACCCCATTCCCACGAGATGGAAGTGTGCTTGAAAACACTGTGGTTGATCACAGGAATATACAGGATGGGGAATGCAAGCACAAAGCCAGCCATGATACCCCAGAAGAGGAAGCGGTTGCTCCAGATATCGAACATCCATTGGGTGAAGTAGCGCTTGGAGTCAGGCTGCATGCGGAAGAAGCTGCGGCGAAGGTTGATCATTTCCCAGGCCAAAAGAGGGCGAACCAGGTCATGCAGGTAAATGTTGTGGCGCGAGCGCGGAAGACGGTGTCGCAGGTGTAGTCTGTGCTGGCGTCGTTGTAGTGGGTGTTGCAGCCCATGGCGAGATTGCCGTCGCCCCAGCGGAACATGACGAGGGCGAAGGCGGACAGGCAGAGGGCAGCCATCCAGACTCCGTAGACAAGGGTGTCGATGATGATTTCCCAGGTGAAGATTCCTTGTTTCTGTGGGTTGTTAGGATTTAATATAGAAAGGAAGGGTAAGACTTTACTTACGCTCTGAGGAGGGCGGTCCATGACCTCTGGAGCTGCACGCTCCATTCCAAGTCCCATATCGGGGAGTCCGGAAGTAATCATAATAATCCAAATAATCTCGACGGGGGCGATGGGGAAGACAGACTGGTTGGTGTCATCCTTGAAGGCAAGGCCAATAAGCAACGTAATTGCCAGAGCGACATTTTCTGCGAGCAAATGCAGAACGAATTTCTGAATATTATCAAAAATTCTGCGTCCCTCTTCAATACCGTTGATAATAGAAGCGAAGTTGTCATCCGTCAAGACAAGCTCCGATGCATCCTTAGCCACATCAGAACCGTTCTGACCCATAGCAATACCGACATCAGCACGCTTCAACGAGGGAGAGTCGTTCACACCGTCACCTGTCATGGCGACGTAGCGGCCACGACGGTGCAGAGCATCGATCATTCGGACCTTGGTGTTCGGCGCGCAACGGGCGATGACAAGGGGCAGGGTAGGCAGATTGTCAATTTCGTCTTCGGACAGCTTGTCAAATTCTCCGGCAGTCATAACCATCGCATCAGCCACGTCCTTGGCAACCATATCCATGTTCGCAGGGATGATGCCGACTTGTGCGGCGATTGCGCGGGCAGTGCCAGGGTGGTCACCGGTAACCATGTGGACGGAGATACCGGCCTTGTAGCACTGGGCGATAGCACCAGCAGTCTCAGGACGAGGAGGATCGTAAAGTCCGATCAATCCGTAAAAAACAAGATCCTTTTCAACTTCCTCACGAGGAAGCGGCCCGTCACTTTCCTTGCTTCCACTGTGCTCACGGCCAGCGAGAGCGAGAACACGAAGACCTTCCTTTGCCAGTGCCTCCATATTTTCAAGGATCTTCTCGCGAATTTCGTCATTCAGCTCAACAGGGGAAGAGTTAGAAACCCAATAGATGGTCGTGCAAGCATCGAGCACACGCTCAACGGCACCTTTACTGAAGACCATCTCACGAGTATCCCCGGTTTCCTCATCACGCTTGGCAAATACGACGGACATCTTCTTCACGCTAGAGTCGAAGGGATACTCGGCCATTTGACGCCAGACGGGCTTCTCGCCTTTAGTCCAGCGGTCGATCCCCCAGTCAAATCGCCACGCAAAAACCTGGATAGCAATATCGGTCGGCTCGCCACGAGCTTGCCATCCCTCGTTGGCAGACTTATGCAGATGAGCCAGGTTAGCCATGGCAGCGACATCCAAGAATGATTTAAGCAATTCATTGTCTTTGATAAGGGCATCCGGCTGCGCAGGATCGCCACCGCGAGATTCCGCTCCGAGTTCAACTGGTGCTGCATCTGTCAGGCTCAACTCTCCTTCCTGGGGGTCCAGGGGGTCGTTCGATGATCCGACCGAATAAGTTCCCACTGAAGGCAACCAAGCACGCTTCGCGACCATACGGCCTTGTGTCAGAGTGCCCGTCTTATCCGAGCAGATATTAGTGACAGCTCCCAAAGCCTCGAGAGAATCTAGCTTGCGGACAATAACGTGTCGCTGCACCATCTGCCGTGTGCCCATGGCCATGGTAATTGTCAAAACGACAACCAAGCAAGCCGGAATCATCGCCAAACCTGTGGCAACAGCATAGATAATAACCTCATTGTCACCACGCCAGTCGTTTGATGCCGCGACAACAATGGCAAAGACCACCGCGATACCGAACAGGAGCAGGGCCAGTTTCGAGAGCTTGCGCTGGAGAGGAGTACCGACATTGATACCGAGGAAGCGGCCGATCGCATCAGTTGTCGTCAAGGTCCAAGCCTGAATATACCAGCGCTTCTTGGTTTCGCCTTCAGGGCCACGCTTGACAGGACGACGCTTGGAGTCACCTCCTCGAAGGGCAGCAGCGATGGCTCCGATCTCAGTTTTCATTCCAGTGCCAACAACAACGCCCCGAGCGCGGCCTCGGGTGACGGTGGAGGAACTGTAGACGATATTCAACCGGTCGCCGGGGCCAGTGTCGACGTCGTAGGTGGCGTCGACTTCTTTTTGGACCGGGAGGGATTCGCCAGTAAGAAGGGCTTCGTCGGTTTCGAAGTTCATTGCTTCAACCAATCTGCATCCATGAGTCAGTGCCTTATTCAAGAGCCTCTGGGGAAGTTCAAGCATACCTGAGATCGGCAGGCACCGTGTCGCCCACTTTCAACTCGACCATGTCACCCGGAACGATTTCCTGCGCGGGAACGGTGATGGTCTTGCTGTCGCGGGTCACCACGCCGGTAGGTGAACTGAGCGAGCGCAAAGAGTCCATTGTCTTCTCAGCGGCAAAGTCCTGGTAGACTCCTACCACGATATTCAGGGCGATGACGGCCGCAATAAAGCCACCTTCGATCCAGGATTGAATACCAAAACTAACGGCCATTGCGATGATAAGGACCTATTTCGACGTAAGCCTCTCGTCACATTCTTCAGTGCTACTGCGGAGTACTGCGGGGTGTACTTACAAGCATCATGGCGTTGGCGACCTGTCGAATGATGATTTTCGCAAAGGAGACGCCTTCGTCTCCCTCCAAGAGATTGCCTCCATACTTCTCCAGCCGTTCTTTGACTTCGCCGGAGGTGAGTCCATCGTCGGAGTTTGTGCCGAGCTCCCGGATCACCTCCTCGTAGGTGAGGCTGTGGGCCGGCTGCGACAGATAGGATACATCGGTGGAAGACTTGGAGCCTTGCGTCTGGGGACTCTCCTTAGACATCACGCGGGTGTCTAGGAGGGTTCTTTGTGGCGTGAACGAGTGTTGCAGTTAGAAAGAGGTGTAGTGTGGAGGTCGTTTGTGGTTGTTGTTTGGTGCAGTCTGCAATGTGCAGCGCGGTGTAAGGTACTTCTATAGGACTTTCTTCAAGGCGGTGTCATGTAGAAAGTATCCTCAAGGGAATGCGAGTCCATACACGGGAGGTGCAATGAGAATCTACTCTTATGGCAATAAGATTGGATCCTCGATCTGGATTAGAGTACACTTGTGTTCTAAATCCTAACTTTCTTTCTTTTCCCACCCGGGGGTACACCCCCGATATAAATACCCTAACTCCCGCCCAGACATGCCCTCTGGGCCTGTTCCAGCTGTCGGCGCCCCGGAGATGCCGAATGGCGAAATCACCCGGCATCGCAAACGGAGATCCACCCATTCCCCAGGCGGTTCCGATCAGGTTGGTGTAATCGACTGCTCCAATCGCAAAGTCTGGGGAATGCCCACCACACCACCAATCACATTTCCCAACCGCACAGTAAACCCGGCGGACGCAGCTTGGCACATCCCGTCGAGGCTCCGATGACGCACACGACTGGCCTCGGCGTTGGCTCGGTTGCGAGCCGCCACCTGCCCCTGATTGGCCGCGAGGTCGCGGAGTGCCAAGAGCGGGATTCTGGGCGCGGCTTGGCGTTCCGCGGTGGACGAGTCTCGCGCCTGCGTCGTCGCAGGCTGCGTCCTCCCGACATCTCTCACGCTTGGCTACTTCTCAGCCTTCCTTGGCGCCCTGCAATGTCTGCGGCCTGAGAGTCTACCGCGCGGTTCAAATCTGCCCGCCCGTCCCAGTCCATTTCCCCTGTATTTCTTGCTGTCCGCTATCCTTCCACACCCAGTGGCAAAACATTCGCCGCCGATATTAACCACGCCGCTGGTTCGACTGGGGTCCTGGAGAATGGTCTATGCCTGACCATACTCGGTTGTCTGCACGCTCTACGCTTGACCCGAGGGATCCGGTTCCTCGCTGCGATCCACGCTGCACCCGCGCCAGTGCGAGTGAGTAGCAAGTCGCCTTTGACGTCTATCTGGTCCCGATTGTACCGAGACGCTCGCAGGTTGGAGTGTCATTGGGCGAATCGCCTGGCAGTCCCTGTTCTCGTATTCATCTCCTCTCGTGGACCCAGGCTTGCGGGGTCCCATGCTCTCCACTCATGTTGGAAGATGACGCCCTTCCGCAAGGTGAGGTGATCGGGATCGTGATTGGGGCCATTGCACTGTTTTCGATAATCAGCGTCCTTCCGATGTGAGTGCCGTTGCCGGTCCTCTGGGTCCAACCCACAGACCTAGGCGTTAGCATCTTGGCCGGGCCCCCTACTTGGCTCATCGCATGCATGCGAAGCGTCGAGAAGGTCGGACAAAGCTAACCCATCATTCTGATAGTTTGCTCGTGTGGCATCGCAGAAGACGAAATGCAGCGTCGACCACGCACATAACCAACAATAACCTCGCGCTCAACCCGTCAATGGAGCAAGTCTCCGTCGAACGATGGCTGGAGGAGCAAAATGCCACCAGCGACGTTGAACTGTATGCTCATGACACGTGGTACGTCTTCTGTTTCCGGTTCCCTTTGTCTCAACACTTTTGTTTCAGGGCAGGGTGGTATTGGCAATGGCCTTAGCCCCAACGAATATCTTGGCCGATCCAAGAATGATGCGATGCGGGGAATGCCCAGATGCCCAGGGCTGGGCTGGGGATTGGCCTGCCCTATAGGGATCTCCACTGTTGCCCGATTCCACAGTTCCATTCTCGGCGTCTGGGCATTCGGGGTTCCGGCCTCCTAATCCGGTCTTGCGCATCGCTTTGTTTTCCCTGCTCGCATCATCGTCATGCTTGCATGCCACGCCATGCCTCTGCATCCTGCCTGTCTCCCTCGTTCCTCGTTCTTCGTTTTGCTGGACCAGACGTCAATCGGACGTGTGGGCTCCGCGAATACCATCCCGAGCCTCACCGAATCTTTTTTCCCCACCCAAGAAATTCCCAGCCCTCTAGACCTCCACGCGTCCAAGAAGACCAAGACTTCCAAAACGAACTAACATCGGTCCAGCCCAATCTGCCTCTCCTCCTTATCTTCGACCCCCAATCTCACCTATCCAAAACCCGCTCACTTACCCCGCCGCCAACCTCTAGGACGTGATGCCTCGCCCGTTCCCTCGGACGGCTCGTGCTGTGGAGCTGTCGATGTGGAGTCTAGACGGGACAGCGGCATTCTCGTCCTCAATCGGTGCCATCACGCGTTCCATTTGAGTTGCTTATCTTCTTGGTTTGAGTATCGACGATATCGGTGTCCGATTTGTCAGGCCTCGTACTCGCCAACTGATGCGACTGGTCAATAGTAGGGAGTATATTGGTGTTTATGTGTTTAATGACGTGTATCTATTTGCTTCTAGGCCCCACTGATCGAGTGTATATTTTCGGCGTACTTATGTAACATGCATCAAATATTTTCCTCCCTCAAAAGACCGTATATTCTCATCACCTAGATATCTTGACATCTTTTGAATATTGATTAGAACCTGAAACGAACCCTGATTGGCCATCACACCTCATGCTCTCCATGCCAGCTTCAACTAGACACAGGACTTCCGTAGTTCAAAAATGGCCTTGGGAGACTATGAAAGAACCACGCACAATCATGAAGCAGCAACAGAATCACCGGACATTGACACTTTATTCCGCAAAGCGTCTCCAAAGTGGCTTCCACGGCTATTCACAAAGGTACTATGTCTTGAAAGAAGGAGCATAATGTTCACAGCCCCCGCAAAAGCTGCAAATTGAAGGGAATCACTGAGCACCGGATCTTCCACGTCGGAATCAACTACTTTTTCAAGAAGATATTACACAGTCTCAATGTCTGTTGCCACGACAGCAGCACGCAAAGGGAACCCAAATCGACCTCACAGTTCGATTCTAGCCCCGGCTTCGGGATCAAGGTTGAATAGGCTGAGCGTTCTGCTCATGGGAGCTGCCTTGAAACAATTCTCAAGGTCCCGCATCTCTATTTATATCCTTTTGATCGTAACTTTGGAGAAGCTGTTTCACTTTTCGAGACTTTCCTTCCAGAATTTTTGCGTGCAATGGGCCCGGTCGTGTCTCAGAAGCGAAATTGGCATAGTTGGAACCTAGGACTAGCAAGATAAGCTCTCTTTGACGCTGGCTGTCTAATGCTTCATCATACTGGTTTTTATCAGGGAGTCATCCCCAAAAGAAATGGAAATAATAGAGAAAAAAAGGAAAACGGTCTATACAATTTTGCAGTATATAAAGATGCTCATCATACATATCAAATATACCCACTGGCAAGCAGCTCAAGCAGAAGCCACCACCTTATCCTTAACATAAAGATCGACATACTTGTCGACATCATAGTTCTCCAGTGCAGGGCGGTCCCAGCCAACCTGGAGCAGCTCGTCGATGCGAGCCTGGTCAAAGTGCGCCTGTAGGTGACGCTTGTACTTAGCCAGAATCTCAGGCTTAGCCTCCTCGCGACGCAGACGGTGGCCGAGAGGCGCCTCGACGGAAACCTCCTCGAGGACGGTGCCATCGTTCAGAGTGACGGTCAGTGCGTTGGGGATGGTGCGCTTGGTGGGGTCGTGGTAGTCCTTGGTAAACTGGGGGTCCTCGACGCACTTGATCTTCTTGCGGAGATCCTCCAGCAGCTGGGAGGTGGCGGCCTCAGAGCCATCGGCGTAGTCGGAGGCGGTCAGGCGGTTGAAGACCAGCATGGTGGCGACCATGTACTGGACGCAGTGGTCACGGTCGGCGAAGTTGTCCATGGCCTTGAACTGCTTGTCGATGATGCGGATGCAAGCCTCGTGGGTGCGGTTGGTGATCTCCTTGATGTCCTTGGCGCTCTTACCCAGCGCGGCGAGCTTCTTGTTGATGATCTGGGCGGCTTCGATGGCGGTCTGGGAGTGGAACTCGGCTTGGGGGGGACGTGTTAGTTATATGACAATTACTCAAGTCTTGGGAGTGCAGACATACCAGGGTAGGAAACCTTGAAGAGAACGTTCTCCATGACATAGCTGCCATAGTCGCGCTGGAACTGGAACTTGTTGCCCTTGAACAGGACATCGTAGAAGCCCCAGCCGGGAGCAGAGAGGACGGTGTGGAGACCACCCTCGCCCTTCTGGACCTTGAGGACCAGGTTGACAGCACGCTGGCAGGCGTCACCGGCAGCCCACGACTTGCGGGACATGGTGTTGGGGGAGTGACGGTAAGTACGCAGAGACTGGCCATCAACCCAGGCCTGGGTGATGGCATCGGCAGTCTGCTTCTCGGTGAGACCCATCATCTTAGAGACGACAGCGGTGGTCGCAACTTTGACCAGGACGACGTGGTCCAGGCCGACCTTGTTGTAGGAGTTCTCCAGGGCCAGAACACCCTGGATCTCGTGAGCCTTGATCATAGCCTCGAGCACATCGCGAATCTTGAGGATCTTGCCATTGCCCAGGTTACCGCCGGCACGGTTGGTGCGGGAGATCCAGTCGGCGACGGCCAGGATACCACCGAGGTTGTCGGAGGGGTGACCCCACTCAGCGGCGAGCCAGCAGTCGTTGTAGTCGAGCCAGCGGATCATGGCACCGATGTTGAAGGCTCCATTGACGGGATCCAGCTGGTAGGGAGTGCCGGGGACACGGGTTCCATTGGGGACAACCGTGCCGTCGACGACGGGGCCGAGCAGCTTGGAGCACTCCTTGAACTTCAGAGCTTCAAGACCACAGCCCAGGGTGTCCAGGAAAACCAGACGAGCAGTGTCATACTAGAAAGACGCAATCAATTGAAGATTAGCATTTTGTGCTTTCCTTGTTGTTTTCGAGTCTCCGTGTCGCCGGAAAGGGTCCCCCACTCACCGCCAGGTCGGAATCCACATTGTAGTCGTGGACGTAGGAGGCCATGTCCTTGATCTCGGGATCGTAGGACTTATCGGACTGGACCGATGGAGCAGCGGATTGACGGGCAGCCATGGTAGAAAAACGCGAAGCGCGAGCGACACGAGGGGCAACGGCGGAGGCGGATGAAGGAGTGAAAATGGGAAATCTGGAGACGGAGATGCGGGCCAAAGTGCGGGGAGACGTGTGGGTCAACCGTCGCACGGCGGGAAGGGACATTGTTCAGAGTGGTACAGGGGAGGAAAAAGGGAAGTAGGACAACTCGCGATGGACGGAGTTGGGGGAGGAGCGCGGAGATGGGAGAATCAGGATAAAAAGGACGGGGAAGGAGAATGTGGAGAGGTTGGGGTGAGTTCAAGCTGACTTCATCTTGCCGAGGCGGTCGGTTAGTGTCGGCTACAACTTCAATTGACCACGGGCGGCCGGAATTGAAATTAGAGTCGGTTGGACTGTTAATATCTTATTTTATTCTCCAACATTTCATTCAATTGATTGCAGCAATTGCAATTGTTGCGCTCGTTACCGTGACGATGCCGCTGACACGGGGGCATGCCAGCCGAGCAAGCTCCATAGCTCCCCCTTGAGACAACGGACTATACGAGTATAGTATGTACCAGCTATGACCATACTACCATAAGCCTGAAGCCATCCAACCCGACCGGCAATTCTCTTGAATAAGCCGGTCAATGCCACGGTACGTTGCAATTGCTCCAATGGAGTTCTCTTTCTGAATGCCGAGGATCGGAGGAACCCCTCTCCCTTGCGAGAGACTGTGATGACGGCAAAAACACCATCTCGCTCAGAGGCAGCCCCGATGATCGGAGGAAGTATAAGCTGCAGATCGTCCCAACAATCCTCTGTGAGACGTCTATTCGATCTTTCTAGTGCACTCAAAAAAGAGAGTTGACTGTGAGTCCTCGGACCGATCGCGGGTCTCCTCGGTCCCGCCCGTTCACATGCGGGTCGCCGCGTGCTCGAACGCGTTGCACAAGCTGGATGTTATTGTACTATGTGCAACTTGCAATGCCTGCGTTTATACTGCAAGATATAACAAGCAATCTTGAAGACCGTCGCTGTTTCTCGTATATAAATAATGGCAGGTTGCGTATTAAGACGGCAATTTGGCGCTTCTGGCCTGCAATTCACGAATCCGAGGCTTTTCATTTTTGACACCATGCGTGCATTGGTTTCATACCTTCCGTATCCGATAATGATGAGGCTGCGGAGCGAAAGACGCATGCAGTGTGCTCGCGCATCAGCCAGATGCAGGAACACTGACACCTCATCTACCAGGCATCAACACTAGTCCATTTAAGGAATGGGCTCGTTAGGCATCCAGGCACCCACCACGGTAAGCCTGTAAACACCAGAATCCAGGTGCTGAGCACGTTCAATCCCCAGAGAGCAGTGGAAGAGGTCGCTTCTCATGTCTGAGCTTTAGTATGCACGACCTTCAACCATCGGCTGCCTTTACCGAGCATACCCAGCAGGTTCTCCGCTATCAAGGTGTCTACTCCTGCTGTCTCAGATATATAGATGAATTTAATGTGCAACACTGGCATTCAGTCACGTCCTCCAATCTCACACCGAAATTCCTTGATCTAACATCATCCTCGACCAGTTCACCATATTTACTAGGGCTCTCCTCGACGGCAATAGTCTCATCCACCTTTTAAGGTTGTAGGGCACTGAGTCAGCAACTGAGTCAGCCAAAAAATCGGAGGGTGGGGAAGCGTGCGGTGCGGGACAAACTTCTTTTTTTTTCCTTCGTTCCTGGGGGTTTCGTTGAGCATTGCTTCCCCAACTTGCGTTGCTGTGAGTCCTCCCTTTTCTTTTATTTTTTCTTTTTTTTGCCTGTCGTTTATTACTCGTCTCTATGATGAATCGGAAAATTTTTTTAAGATGTTAGACTTCTGAAGCTTTTTGCGGAGAAGATCCGAGACTGATTGAGACCGACCAACCCCGCCATCAATTGCAAGATTTTTGCAGCGAACACTTGACTGACAATTGCTGGATCCTATTAGAAACGCTGAACCCTACCCCAAGTCAAGATGTGTGGTATCATCGCTCTGATCCTGGCGAACCCCTCCGCCGCCGCCGCAGTGGACCTCCATGAGGCCCTGTACCTCCTGCAACGTGAGTCGCGAAACGAAGAATCCCCGAATAAAGACGAAATGGACAGTGCTGATACTTTTTGTGCAGACCGTGGTCAGGATGCTGCTGGTATCGCTACCTGTGCCCACGGAGGCCGTATTTACCAGCTCAAGGCCAACGGCATGGCCGCCAAGGTTTTCCAGGACGGTGCTAAGGTTGCCAACCTCCCCGGTTCAATGGGTATCGGTCACCTCCGCTACCCCACCGCCGGTAGCAGTGCAAATGCTGAGGCTCAGCCTTTCTATGTGAACAGCCCGTACGGCATTACCTTTGCCCACAATGGTAACCTGATCAATGCTCCGGAGCTCAAGAAGTACCTGGATCTGGAGGCGCACCGTCATATCAACACCGACAGTGACAGCGAGCTTATGCTGAATATCTTTGCCGATGAGCTGAGCGAGACTAAGAAGGCTCGTGTCAACAAGGAGGATCTTTTTGCTAGTTTGAGCCGCATGTATGAGCGTTGCCAGGGCGGTTGGGCCTGCACTGCCATGTTGGCTGGTAAGTGTTGTGTATTGTATCTTTGCGACAACATCGACTAACAATTTTCATAGGATTTGGTGTCCTCGGTTTCCGTGACTCATACGGTATCCGGCCTCTGGTCCTAGGCTCCCGTCCCTCCCTGGATGGACCAGGCACCGACTACATGATGGCCTCTGAGTCCGTGGCTCTGGACCAGCTCGGCTTCACCAACCACCGTGACATCCAGCCCGGTGAAGCAGTCATCATCGAGAAGGGCGGCGAACCGGTCTTCCGTCAGGTGGCTCCCAAGAGAGACTACGCCCCCGATATTTTCGAATATGTCTACTTCGCCCGGCCGGACTCCGTCATCGACGGCATCAGCGTCTACCGCAGCCGTCAACGCATGGGCGACCGTCTCGGCGCCCGCATTCTGGACGTGCTCGGCCCCGACGTCGTCAAGGACATTGACGTCGTGATTCCCATTCCCGAAACCGCCACCACCTCCGCTACCTACGTGGCGCAGTACCTGAACAAGCCGTACTGCCACGGCTTCGTGAAGAACCGCTACGTCTTTCGCACTTTCATCATGCCGGAACAAAAGACGCGCCAGAAGGGTGTCCGCCGCAAGCTTAACGCCATGAAAGCCGAGTTCAAGGACCGCAATGTCCTCCTCGTCGACGACAGCATCGTCCGCGGCACCACCAGCCGCGAAATCGTCAGCATGGCCCGTGAAGCCGGCGCCAAGAAGGTCTACCTTGCCAGCTGTGCGCCGGAAATTACACACGCCCACATCTACGGTATCGATCTTGCCTCGCCGCAAGAATTGGTCGCGCACAACCGGGACACCGCCAGCATCGCCCGGCACATCGGCGCCGAGAGCGTGGTCTTCCAAACGCTCGCGGACCTGAAGGATTCCTGCGCGGAAGTCGCCCGCGACAACGGACTGCAGGAACCGCAGAACTTTGAGGTTGGCGTCTTCTGTGGTAGCTACGTTACTCCTGTCGGACAGGGCTACTTCGATCACTTGGAACAAGTCCGTGGCGAGGGCCGCAAAATCAAGGCGCTTGATAAGGCCAAGGAAGCTGTTGCGCATGGTTTTGCCAGCGTGGAGGATTTCCAAATTGCCGCGCACGGCGTCACGATGGATACCAATGGCAAGGTTGTTCCTGCGGAAGAGGAGCCTGCCTCTAAGGAGCCTTCTGCGGGACATCCCAAGGTCGATGATAGGATGGATATTAGCATTCACAACATCGCTGACCACTCTTGATTTTTTTTTTTTTTTCCTTTCTTTTTCTCATATTTTTGATTACCCCCACATTACTTGATTTGATTATGATTTGATCTTCTTTTTTCATTTTATATCACTTCTCCACCCCTTTTTTTTTACTTCGTGAGCCGCCTTTTGCATTTGGAGTACTTGGAGTTACTTTGGTGGCATTCGATACACTTAGACGGGTGGATATGGACGATGGACGATGGACGATGGACGATGGATGACTGATGCACGCGCAATGAAAATGTGAGATATTGTTCTTTGCCATGGTCAAGGTACATACCCTTGAATAAAAAGATATTACCATTGATTAGCATCAACAATTTTTGATTGTAATTATTATAAGCACGGAAATTCATTCCGCTCCTAGCTATATTTGATATCATACACCACCTTCAGTAATTACAGCTTCACATTCTGTCTAGTATACCAGGTCCATGTAGCAATGCGGTACACCTACATATTCCCAAGCAACCGCACCAAGCCCGCAATCCACCCCCCAACAGAAATCTGATACCCGGTCTCAACAACCCCCTTACACATCTCCCAAGCCTTAACCCCATCCCTGGCGCCCTCTTTTTTCTGAATCGGATAATCAACTCTCGGCGGAATCCCAGTCCCCATAACAGTAGGAAAGCGATCCGCACAGACCGACTTCAGATTACAAAGACCGCGCAAACCCTCCTCACCCGCAAACCGACCATACCCCGACCCCTTGACACCACCAAAGGGCAACTGCACCGCATAGTACGCGCCAAAGTCATTAACAGAGACCATGCCCGCATCGATACCGCAGACACAGGCATTGACGTCCGCGGCGTTGTGGCCGAAGACACTCGCGCCGAGGGCGTAGACAGTTGAGTTTGCGATGGCGATGGCGTCGGACACGGACTCGGCGCGGAGAACGAGGAAGATGGGCGCGAAGAGCTCTTCTTGCGCGATGCGCATGTCGCGCGTTACGTCGACCAGCAGCGTGGGCTGGAAGTAGTGGCCGTGCGGATGGTCGGGGTGTGTATATCTCTTTCCACCGGCTAGGAGGCGGGCGCCTTGGGAGACGGCTTCGGTGATTAGGGATTCGAGGGTGTCGAAGCCGCCTGGTGAAACCATTGCGCCTAGATCCGGGGTTGTGGAGTCGAGGGTGATGGAACCGAGGCGGAGGGCTTTAATTCGTGGTTCGACGAGGTTGATTAGGGTGTCGTAGGCGGATGGGAGGGCGATGATGCGCTCCGCCCCGACGCAGTTCTGTCCGGCAGATTGGAAGACGCCGCGCATGAGGATTGATGCATAGCCGGGGAGATTGCGTAGGGTGCGGGCATCGTCCAGGACGATGGCGGGATCCTTGCCGCCCAGTTCAACGCAGACAGGGGTGAGGGATTTCGCGGCCGAGGCGCAGACCTTGTGTGCGACGGGTCGGGAGCCGATGAATGTGAGGTGGGCGATGTCCTTGTGAGAGGTAAGATGGTCTGCGACCTTGGGGAGACAGACGACGGATTGCACGAGGTCCGGCGAGTGGCCGCAGCTAATCAAGGCACCGCGGGCGATTTCCAGGAAAAAGGTGGAGGACCAGGCGGTTTGTTCAGATGGTTTGACGACGATGGCGTTTCCGGTGAAGAGGGCGCTGATTACCGGGCCGATGAAGTTGTGGAAAGGATAGTTCCAGGAGACGGCGGCGGACACGACACCGAGCGGTTCGTAGTGAACGGTATTCTTCTTGTACATCATGAGGAAGTTTGTGGGACGGGGCGAGGGGCGGAGGGCGTTTTCGCCGTGGTCGAGGGTCCATTTCAGTTTCTCGGCTGTAACGAGGATTTCGCCGAAGCAGGCGTCGACCTTGGTTTTGCCGGAGTCAAGACAGCAGGCCGTGACGATGTCGTCTTGGTGGTCGAGGACGTATCTGTGGCGGTTAGTGTGTGTCTAGTTATACAGATCGACATTCAACTTGAGACGAGACGACTATCACAATGGGATGGAAAACATACTTTAGCAGAGTCCGAAGAACCTTCCTGCGCTCGCCAAATGTCGTCTGAGCCCATTCACGCTGCGCACCCTTCGCCGCGCGCACAGCGGCATCCACATCCTCCACCGTCGCGGGCTTGGTACCATTTCCCAAGACGCGTCCATCAGCCGGACAATAGCTCATAATCAAGTTCTCATCCCATTTCTACCAGTCCCAAGTCAGTACATCCCAATTGACCCGCAAACATCCCATCTTCGACCAAAATCCCGGGATTAGAGATACTCACCCCTCGAGCCTGATCTTCCAGAACCCGTTTCTCAAACCCCTGAACCTCATCCCACGTCTTCCCGGCAGCACTGTTCCGCACCTCTTTCGGTAAGGGCACATTGAAGGTCACGGCAGCTTCACGCTGGCATCGAATGTAGAGGTACCCCACGTAAGCGGCGAGTAAGGAGGCGAGCGCGACAGCAGCGACGGGGGCGTGTTCGGCGTAGACAGGGTGGCCGTACAACTCTAGGATGGAGCGTACCGACGCCGGGAAGTGCGCCATGAGGGAGCCCATGCTGCGCGAGAGGGAGTGCAGGATGGAGAGTGATCCCTGGAGTTGGCGGAGATGAGAGTCGCGAGGTCGGGGGAGATCTTTTTCCCTGATAATCGATAACACGCCACGCCGGAAGGCTTGGCTCGGTTCAGATGGGCCCGAGGGTTGGCGGGACTATTAGGATGAGTATACATGCAAAGAAAGACAGGAGAGGGAAATTGGAGAGTATGGTCGTTTTTATCTTTATTTTTATTTTATTTTTAATTTTCCTCTCGCGCTAGAAACAGATAGACCATTGTGTGGTATCATCGCAAGAAATCCAAGTCCTAAATCGTGAAGCACGAACTCCACGCCGAGTTATGCAAGAGTAGAAATCAACGTCAAAATCGAGCTCTTGATGTAAAAATCGAGCTCTTGCTGTAAAAACTCAATTCAAAATAAACCATAAGTGAATTAAAATTCACCGCATAGCTCATGCTGGGGCCTTCGAACTGGCTCAGACGGTTGCAGCAATTCGCGCTGAGCGCCTGCGTCCTCTGCTCGATTCATTGCCATGTATACTGGCCAGCCTTTTTTCGAACCGTTTCAGGGTCTGGTTCTCCTGCTTCTTGGTAGACACCTGAGTTTTGTCCGGAGTATCGTTCTGATCTACCATTGGGACATATTGATCGACCACTTCCATGTCAGCCTCGGCTTGTTCCACGGTAACCTCAGGTAGCGTGGTCCTACCCGTGGTTTTCCTCTCCGAAGTCTCTACGGCTGTTTCCCCCTTAGGCGTCTTCTTGATTTTTGCCTTGTCGTTCGCGCGAGGACTCTTCGTGCCCTTCGTAGTACCCGCAGACTTCTGGCTCCGGGTAATCCGTTTGCCTTTAGAAGTCTTTGTCCTTTTCTTGCGGCGTGAAACCAGTTCAGAGCCACCCTTGCGCTTTCCAGTACGTGTAAGAAGATCTTCTAGGGGACATCCTTGGTCCCAGTTCGCGCTCTTTTCGCCTGTCGCGGCTCGGCATCGAGGACACATCTTTCCATGACGAATGAGCAGCCAGTGCAATGAATATTTGTACTCGTCTGGAATTCTCGTGTCCAAGTGCAGGAATCCAGATACCTCGGTTGCACGGTCAATGGGGATCCAACCAAGCCAGCCGGCGAGTCGGAAAATGTGTGTATCGACAGCGAAGCATGGACGTTGCATACAGAAAAGGAGAACGCATGCTGCGGTCTTGGGGCCAATGCCGGGATACTTGATCATTTCCGACATGGCATCTTGAGTGCTGAGGGCATGGAGATGCTCCAGAGAAAGGATATTGTCATCCAAGCAAGCGAGTTCATTCTTTTTCAGCTGAAGATCTCCATCTTGTACCCCCTGGGCCTCGATCTCGGTGACTTCCGCACGCAGGGTATCGCGACGAATCGTGTTCTCGTCTTGGACCCAGTCGAGAAGACCTTTAATGTTCTTGCTCTTGATATCAGCTAAACCACCACCCTTAATGGCAATGAAAATCTCTCTCAACTCGGCTTTCTGAACAGCCTCCCAGTCCACACTCCCCTTTCCGAGTCCATGCTCTCGAGTGCCGAACTTTTTTACAAGGCCAACGTAAGCAACAGCGGCATTTGAGCCCGTCGTGGCTCCACTGAGGAGAGTGCGGATCAGTGCATCAAGGACAAATGGGACTTCGCCGCAGCCTGCAAAATCGCGTGAGGCTTTCGGGATCTCCTCGGGTCGGCTCTTCTCACAATCATGGAAGGTGAGAATATCATTGACCTCCTTGCATTGATCTGGTGTGGGGAATTTCCAATCCGGGAAGGGTGTTTTTCCAAGCTTCATATTCAGATAGGGAGCCTTTTTCTCCCTCTTTGGCTTTAACTTCTCGGCAGATATGCTCCCTGCTTCGCCATCTGGAATACCGGACTGTGTGGTGGCATTTTCGTCCTCGACCTTTTCATCCTCAGCCTTTTCGTTTTCCTTGTCTGATCCAGCCGTCAAATCTGTAACTTCTGGCACTGAAGATTTTGCGGTCGGTGCTGGGCCCTGGTTGTGCGGAAGCTCCTGAGGATTGGGAGTCTTGTTGACGAGCTTTTTCGCTTTCTTGGGGGTGTCCTTGGCATCGGCCTTGGGCTTTGAAGGAGATTTTCTCTTTCCCATCTTTTTTTTGACTTGATACTTCTCATTTTTCTTTTTCGTCCCCTCCGTCTTCTTCCCCGTTAACTGTTTGGGCGCTATAGCCGCTTTGCGTTGCTTGACGCTAGGCTGAGAGTTCTTTTTTCTTCTCTCATGCGCTCGTATTTCCTTTTCTTCATCGTCTGCGTTGACATCCTCTTTAGGTTTTGAAGCATTTTTCTCGGCTGTAGCTTGTTCGGCTACTGTCGACGCTTCTGCCGATGCTTCTGCCACAGATAAGGCAGCTTCAGCCGCTCGGGTTGCAGACCGGGTAACCCGTTCTGTTACTGGTTTGTCTGTCAGAGGATATGTTGGCTCAGAGGTAAGTGGCAATGGCGTAGTAGTCCCTGTTGGGGGTTGCTCCGATTGTACTGGTTTCGCTGCAAGAGAGGAAGATTCATTTGCCTGCGCTGGAGGTTGGGTTGATGCTACCTCTTCTGCTTTAACAGATAGTGCCTCCGTGTTTTCAGAAACGTTCGGGAACGTGAGACCCGTCATTGTCGCGGGCTGTTCAAGCACCCTTGCTTGTTCCATAGCCGGCGAATTCACTTGGGCGTTACGGGAAGAAGGTGAAGTGAAATAAGCGTGCAGTGGTGGAATTTCCGAATAATCCATCTGTTCAGAGGACTTGGGTGACGGGGAAGTTGTGGCAGGAGTCTCGATGGCTCGCTCAGAGCCTTCAGGGTGTTCTTCTGCGGGCAAAGCTTTCCGGGGGATTTGGACTGGAGATTCCGTAGTGGCTCCATGATTTGTCGATGCATCCATGGTTTTGATTCCAAAGCCGTCGGGTGGTTGAGCATTTTTCATTGTCGCAGTTTGTTCGGCCGCTGCTGGTTGCTCGGCACCGGCCAAAAGACCTTCGGCAGCCTCAGATTTAGAGTGCGCGGGAGGCTCCGTCTGTTGATCTTTTGGTTCATTCATTGCTGCGGAGATGTAGGAGGAAAGAACTCTCCTGCTGGTTCTGTCACAGTTGTAGCTTGCTGAGAAGCTTCTGATTCTTCAGTCACAAGTGCGGTGGAGGATAAAAGGACCAGGGCTTCCAGAAAAGCGAAGTTCCACTCACCTGAGGAATCCTCCGAGGAATCGCTCGAGTCGTCTGTCGATGACTCCGACCAATCTTCTGCCCAGGTATCCGTGTAGGAATCTGTATCGTCAGAATCCGAGTCCGAATTTGTATCGTCAGAATCCGAGTCCGTTTCTGTATCGTCAGGTTCAGAGCTGGAGACCCAAAGGGGGTTAATTTCAGACTCGTCAGAATCGTCCGCAACGTAAACCATAAATGGCTCTACAATTGCGAATGAATTGAAACTTCCTGGGTGATGAATGATTTCAAGGAGCCCGTGGTTAGCTTGTGGAGGATGGAAGTCACCGGGAATCAGGAGGGGAATCTCGTCATCAGTTTCATCAAGACCGTGGTTATCCTCTGGAAGATAGAAGAGACCAGATATCAGCATGTAAAACTCGTCATCATCAATTTCATCCATGTTGAAGACCTACCTACGATGACGTCAAATTCCCGATCGATCGATGCGTCCCTTGTGGGGCTTCGCGATGGACTTGATTGCGGGAATGCGCAACGTAAGGGATTCGGACGATGGTCGGGTAGCTGTAGGAGGAAGATGTTAAGGACGCTTGATGAGAAAGACGTATCTGGTGTGAGGGTCGAATTGATGTCGCTTGTGGTTTTGATATCGGGATCGGCGCGAATGCGAAGTTGGAACCCTCGCGACGCGATTGTACTCGAACCGATCACTTTTATCACGCGTTCGAGTCTTGGTAAACGAGTCTAGATGGTTCTCGTCAGTGATTTTTATCTTTCCACGCAGGGCCAAGTTCGTACTGTTTCGTTGTTGTGCTCGGATTAAGGCTCGGGGAGTGCAGAGAGCGGGGGGTCTGGAGCTGATGCAGATGGATGAGGAGGGGAAGTGGGAACAGGAGGAAGGAGTATCCAGATGAAGCTTGGCGGCATCGGCGTGGGTGCCTGCCGACCTCGAGGCAAAACAGGAAGGCACGCGTTCGCCTTTGTCGCTTCGACATGGCAGTATCCTTCCGCAACAGACATCAGCAGTATTCTACTGATTTCTTCACCCCAAGAACACCTGGCCATATTTGCATTCTGCTTTCTTGGACTCCCAGACACTGCTCCCATGAGAGTCTGTCATATCACAGTAGAATCTATTCTGATATCGACGGAAGCTAATGAGTCAAGCGAACGGCGAAACTGCGAGGATCCGATCCAAGTTTAGTTTATATAGGACGCTCTTCTACACCACCTTCTACCAACCAGGTCCCGCAAGATCGCACAATTGGAGGAACAGTGACAATTTTCCATGCAGAATTGCAGACGAGGTTTCCATAATTCTAACGCTGACCAAAAGGCATCTGTTTGAATGTACATCAGCGACCCTGGTATCCAGAAACGAATACAGCGGAGGCGGCCTATTTATTCACAGGCATGTTAAAACCGTCTTTCAGAGCAGCTATCCTACACTAGAAAATACCCTACGACATCTGTGAAGCATCATCATTTATTATTCTCAATATTCAAAACCTCAAACAGAGCATCTCGTTAGAGTCTAACCACAACCCACCCCCCGAAATTAGTAACTAGTATCAACCCAACTCTTCCACCCACTCCCCAGAACCGTATTCTTATTAACAGCCGCCGAGATACTACTCTCATACTCGCGGTCGGCGGTACTCGCGCCCTCGCCCTCATTATTAAACTCATAATAAAACGGCGTCGCCCCCTCCGCCATGGTCGTCCACCCCTTCGCATTAATCAGACTGCCTAGTTGTGAATTCTGATAAATCACTCGAGAAAGCACGCGCCACGGCCGGCCCAGGTATACGTCGCCGTCGATGTCGGTGCCGGATGCCGCTTTCACGTTGCAGTTGTCGATGGCGTACCAGGCTGTGTCGTCGGATTCTTCGCGCGAGTTGGCGGTTATGGCGCCCGGGCCGTTGGAGACGATGTCACATTCGCCGAACCAGGCGGAGGCGTCGCCGAAGATGTAGTCCACAGCTCCTGTGTTTCTGTTAGTTGGGTTCCTGTAGGACTTGGGTTGGGGGATGAGGTGCGGTGTACCTTCGATCATGCAGTTTGAGTAGTACTGCGATCCAGCTTTGGCGTATAGTGTATCCTGGTAGCCCGAAAATTGGCATCCGTAGAAGCCGAGCTGGTCGGCGTTGCCGACCAGTCTGATGCAAGTCATGTCAGCTGCGAATTCATCTTGTTGAGAGAAAGATACTTACGCGACGGCCTGAGAACCTTTTCCATACCCATTCACCACATTTATGTTATACATCTTGAACCCATCGGAAACAACATTCACCGTGGCACTCTTATCCAGCGTACCAGCCTGAGGCGAAGAAATCGTGTGCGTGATAGTCACCGTATTACTCTTGTAGGTTCCAGTATCACTCGTCTGGCCATATAGGGTCAGATTGCCTGCATAGTCGATCTTCAGCTGTTCCGTGTATGTACCACTGGCGACAAAGATACACGCCGAGGCCGTCGAGGAACCAAGTGCTTCGAGAGCACCGCCAATCGTGCTATAAGTCCCGCCAGACCCGACCGTCAAACAGCCAGCAGGCGCACTCGTCCTGCTAGCCCGACGCTGCAATTCCGCCGGGGCGCCAAGAGCTCCCGCGCCGAGAGATAGGGCTGAAAAGAGCACTGTGGGAAGGTACATCGTTGGCTGGTGTTTGCCAAGATTTATCGATCAAGATGGCAAGGACAGGACAGGACAGGACAGCGGCGATCGTCGGTATATGAAGCGTGGTATGCATCCGCCCAGATCACTCTCGGTCTTCGGAATGGCTTTGTTTCAAAAGCCATAAACATCTCCATCGCGGTGGCCCTGCATTTCCGGTGGTGTCCACAGGTAAAGATTTTCTCCACCTGTCCTAGCCTGCCCTACATTACCTGAGGGGAGGGCATAAGGCAGAGGGAAATCCCGTGAATGACATCCCGACCTGAAACACGACCCCGTGCACTAGGAGAATTCATTCCGGCGTCCATGCAGTTTTCGGGTAGATTGCATGACCTGCCTCTACTAGTAGTAGTTTTAGGCTGAATTCTCTCGGTTTCTTCCGGGGGTGAGAAAACGCCACGTCTGAGGTTCGTTGGCCCCTGGTTGTCGTCGCCGTGGCGTCGCTTTCCCCGCGTTATTCGGCATGGCGGCCCTGTATAAACATGTGCCATATCCGAGGGTGTTGATTCGGTCGCAGTAATTGGTTTCGCGAAAGTGGGTGTGCCGGGTCCTGCAGGTTGAATACTGTAGGAAGAGTAGTAGCTGGAGATGGAAGAAACTCGCTACGGGGCGAAGGAGTATTTCCTCGAATCGCGGCGGTGGCGGGCGTTTCACATCGACGGGCACGACTCCGTGGAATTTCAGAACAAGATGAAACCCAGTAGCGCTTATTGCTGCATCCTACTTAAAATGAAATCCACCCTTATAAAAGATTCTGTAGGATGCAAGTAGGGATGTCTACGCGATAGTACTGTCCCAGGTTATTACTGCCATGCGGTGTGGGAAGGCCGGAACAATGTCCACAACCAAAACACTCGCGCTCCTCACGACTCTCTCGCTTGGACTCGCTCTACCAGACGCAAGTCGCGTCCTCGATGCCCGCGCCTCAACATGTACCCCGACAGCCGGTGGCTCCTCATCAATTGACGATGTACCGGCCATCACATCGGCAATCGCATCCTGCGGTAGCGGTGGTACAATTGTGATTCCCGCCGGAACCACATACTACCTCAACAGCGTACTCGACTTTGCTGGCTGCAGCGGCTGTGATTTCCATGTTGAGGGTCTTCTCAAATTCAGCTCGGATACGGATTATTGGGAGGGCCGCACGGCAATGATGAACTTGAAGAACATCGACGGGATCAAAATTCGCTCGTTGACCGGGTCTGGAGTCATTGATGGCAATGGACAGAACGCGTAAATCTACACCCACCAACCGCAATATCGAATGCAGGACCATGCTAACGAATACTAGATACGACCGTTTCGCATCGGATAGCAGCTATGCCCGCCCAACACTACTCTACATCACCGGCGGCTCAGACATCACAATCTCCGGCCTGCGGCAAAAGAACCCACCAAATGTCTTCAACTCCGTCAAAGGCGACAGCACGAACGTCAACTTCTCGAACCTAAAAATGGACGCGACGTCCAAATCCACCAACGCCGCAAAAAACACAGACGGCTTCGACATCGGCGCAAGCACCAACGTCATCCTCTCCAACATCAACGTCTCCAACGACGACGACTGCGTTGCCTTTAAGCCCGGCGCAAACGGCGTCACCGTCACAGACATCACCTGCACCGGCAGCCACGGGCTCTCCGTCGGATCCCTGGGTAAAAGCTCCGACGACACGGTGAAGAACATCTACGTCTCCGGCGCAACGATGATCAACTCGACCAAGGCGGCGGGAATCAAGACATACCCATCTGGCGGAAGCCATGGACACTCGACCGTGTCAAACGTCACCTGGACCGATGTGACGGTTGACGGGTGTGATTATGCGATTCAGATTCAGAGCTGCTACGGGGAGGATGCGGAGTATTGCGAGGAGAATGCGGGTGATGCGGAATTGACGGGGATTGTCTTTGAGGGGTTTAGTGGGACGACGAGTGGGAAATACGATGATGTTACGGGGAATTTGAATTGTGGGGCTGACGGCACTTGTGACGTTAAGGTTGATTCTTATAGTGTTACTGCGCCGAATGGGAAGGGGGAGGTCCTTTGTGCTAATACGCCGAGTGGGTTGGGGGTTACTTGTTCGTCTGGGGCTTCGGGGTAATATCTAAACAGGGGATTTCACCTCCATGCTGTCGTTGAATAATATTGTTCTACCGAATGCCTACGACTGTATGAACTCCGACTTGAAAATAAAAAAAAATTGGAAAACCCGTGATGGCATCACATATGGAAGGTCCATCACAATCTTATAAAACAACGGTTCAAGCCCCTCCGTACCACGCGATCCTTCAAAAGCTTCACAGCTCCATCGATCTGAAAAAATCTTCCGCAAAATCAGCGGACCCGCATTAAGGCTGAGACCGCGGAGCGTCGATATCAAGATCAGCTCTCCCCCAAAACAAGGAGCGAGGCACATTCTCCTCATTCCACGCGCTGATTGGTGGGAGAGCAACCGACAGTCACACTCCAGGGCTGGTGCAGTCACGTGGAAGAGGTGTTTCGATCACGTGGAGGACGGGAGTTACCCCACTCTTTCCTCTTTGGGACAGGTCTAGGTGGTGACGTCAGAGGCATCTACACTTTGAAGAGGGAAAAATGAGATTGTCTAGGTAAAATTCAAAGTGGGAAAGAGATATACGGGGAAGGACGCCAGGTGAAACAAATTGAATCATTTAATTCAATTCAATCAGACAGCTCCTTTTTGACTTCGTAGAAACCGCCACGAGCAAAATTGGCCGGCCGTCGTGCCAATCGATCGACGCGAAATCAGGGAAAGCGCATACATGACGGAATGGTCGAGCCACATTTAGCAGCTCGACTCGCACGTCCGGTGATCTTCCTCTCGTTCCATCATTCCAACTGCATCATCCGTACATTTGCGCCAAATCATCCACCTTTTAAAAAATTGCTATCGGTGCCGGATCGACGTCAGCCCTAGTTTCGAGAGAAGGTTCCAGGGCTCTCTCGTCTATCATTCACCTCTTTCAGACAGCACCTACGTACTACGTATCTAGCGACAACGAACCTGAACCTGCCAGTTCTTGGGAGTTTGCCCCTGGTCTGACGTCTGCCCTGTTTCAGACATCACATCATTCTTGCACCTCTTTTTTCTCTACGGACAACAAGATATAAGTATACTGTATCTGCTGCACCCATCCACCATCATGCGTCCCTTCAGCGATACCTCCACCCAAGCCGCCGCCTCATCCAGCTCGACGACTATCGCACCAACAACCAAACCTCTATTCCCCTCTCAGGGTTGATCAAACCACACCTCTCCCTCATATAAGGAACAGTCAAAATGGGAGCCGTCGTCTCTTGTGTACGTCTACCAACACCTACAACCATGCCCTACCCGACATGAAAACTAACGCCGGCCTCTACAGATCCAAAGCGTCTTCCGGGCCATCGGCTCCTGCCTTATGGCCGTCGTCAACGCGATTGGCTCCGTCCTCCACGCCATCATCAACGGCGTCGTCACCGTCATCGATGTCATTATCTCCTGCCTGACCTGCGGCTACTGCTCGCGGCGGAAACGGACTAGGGCGGCTGTATAGCCGTCCCTCCCTGATTAATTCATGAGGATGCCGTTGGCTACGAGTCATGATTGATGTGTGTTAATTCTTTTGCTTGGTAGGGTCGGAGGAGGGTATGTGGGTGCTTTGTGATTGTATGCTGGCCGCTAGGCTGGTTTTGTGTTATTATTATTTGGCTACATACCCAGGCGTATTGGATTGTTACGCTATGTTGTATTGCTTGATGCTATGACTGCATCAATGGGAGTTTTAGTATGATATACATCATATGACGTTGTCTTATTCTACGCTGTACGCTGTGTAGACCACGGTTGTAGGGTATAGTATATGCAATCTCAAGCTTCATACAGACCATAAAAAGTATCTCCCGATAATAGTCCAGCACCGAATATCCCCATCCACCTCCACCACACATGGATATCATAGGAATTCCTCATACCTCCCAAAATACCTAACCAAATCCTCCTTAACCTCAACCGGAATATCCCCCCACCTCTCCTCAAGCACAACCCCAGCGAACGGATCACCATTCCCTACCCCAAACCTCATAATAGCCTCGAAATGCTCCGGAAGTAAAGGCCATCGCGCCGGCACACGACAATTAGCACTACGAAAATACATCCGCAGCAATCTTTTAAAGGGCTCAATCCTTCGTTTCCGAATAAGCCGCGTCGTAATGAGAGCCGATCGCTCCGCCTCATGCTCGTCTTCGTCGAGGTAGAAGTCTTGCGCGAGGAGGGTGAGAAATTCGAACTGCGCGTCGCTCCAGGGTCGGCGGAGGAGTTTGTTTGGGATGCGGCCGGGTTTTAGGATTTGGGAGCTGGGTAACCGGTAGAGGTTGTTTTCGAGGTAGATTTCGTTTTGGGGGCGGATTTGGATTGCACCGATTTGGAGCCAGATTGAGAGTTTGTGGTCTGGATGGGTTGTTTCTTCTGGAGGTTGTGTTGGTTCTGAGGGTGTTCTGTCGGTTTGATTTTGGTTTGGGTCGTTGGTTGAGTGTCTCTTTTGCTGAAGTTGTGCGGGAATCACGAGATCACCTTTCCCCCTCCGACCTTCAGCTGCATTGTCGCATTCAGCGAGATTCTCAAAGCGACTATCCAGTCGATGTAGCAATTCCCGATCTTCAGGTGCGAACGCAAGATCCCCGCATTTACGCCGAATAGCATGATGGACATATTCGCGTTGACATTTTCGGATAAGAGGCAGCGTACACCAGCGACATGTTAAAAGTGCCGTTTGGAGCTGTTGTCGATCTTCCCAAGAGAGAGACCAAAAGTCCAGAGGCGGAGGCAGAAAATCCGAAGTGAAGAAGTCTTCTCGAGACCCTGGATTCGTGCTGCTGAATGCTAGCCTGATTAACCAGGTGTAGAGGAGCTGGTTGGAGAGGGCGCGGCTGAGATGCGCGGAGGCGCGTGGAAGGTTTACTTCCAGGCTGTGGAGGAAGATTGATTGGAGGATTTCGCGTGGGAGGGATTCGAGGTGTGGGCGTGTTTTGCCTGGGATGTTGGTTTGGCTCATTTGCGATTCCACGATTGAGGAGCTCGGTGCTCGATCGTGGCTATGTCTAAGAAGGGCGTGAAGCTCGTTGCTTCTCCCCGCAATTGCGGCTCAACGGTCGACAATTAGAGTAGCAATGATCGGTGCTTGTTGGGTATTTTCTCGCTCATTTCAGCTCGTGGTGTGTGAACGAGTCGATTCACAGAGTGGTCATGGTCTGCGCATCCAGGAAGGTGCCTGGTTCCTGGTGGGAGAGGGGCCCAGGTCGAAGAGGGGGTCGGTTGGTATGGAGCGTTAGTGACATGTCTTGGCGTGGCCTGATTGCTAATGCGATTATGACGGTGGCCGATCCTGCTGGCCACCGTGTTGTTGCTCCCCTCGTGTCTTGCAGTTGCGTGGAAGTCGATAGGCGGGGCGGGTTGGAGACGGCGGAGCAGCAGGTTCCGTTCACCACTTCACTGCTACACTCTCCCACGTTATGTAGTACGCAAGTATGGCAGGTGGCACCGTAGGTCAGGCTGAAGGATTCGCTTGTGATCAACTTACTAGTGCTAGCTACATGAGTATCTGCAGCTGACTTGTCCTTAAGCGAGGCACTTGCGTTGTATTAAAACCGGGGCGAGAGAGATCCGCTCTCAATGAGCTGCATGATATATACCTCCGCAGCTCCGTTTCACATATTCTCTTGAGGTATCTGATCAGGGCATCTAACTCAACAGCGACGGTCTCCTATATATGACTGGATTCCTTCAATAAAAAGATTCTACAACTGCTTTTACTCAATTTACTCAATATCCCAGAATCTATAAGTGAAGACGTGGTAACAAACGAGAAACCATCGGAATGAATTGTTTCTATACACATCCCGACCGCCCACCACACTGGACGGGAGGCGGTTAACCGTACCCTGGCGCGAAAGCCATATGCTTGACATCGAACAAATACATCTTGCAGTGCGATGATGCGGGGGATAAGAGCTGAATTGAACGGAGGAAGAATCCAACGCTTAGACAGCGGAGAGATCGCCGAAGCGCTCCTGCACAGAGAGAATAAGCACAGCTCTTGGAAACCCACAACGGAGAAAAGTCGTAACATACCTTGTAGCCGGGCGGCATCCACTTACCCTTGGAGACAAGGGAGGCGGTCTTCTCATCGATCTCGGGCTGGGCGGAGGCAACCTCGTCCTAGAGGGCGGGAAAAGCATAATTAGCACAGGCGCGACAGAATACACACAGACATTATAGGTACGCACCACGGTGAGGTCCTCGAAGGGACGGGCAGTCTCGATGTTCTCGAGGGTCTTCTGGAGGTTGACCAGCTCAGAGTCGATCTTGCCCTTGGTCTGCTCGGCGTTCTGGACAGCCTGGGCCTCGAAGGCATCGATGGCCTTCAGCTGGCGGTTGACATCGTACGAGGCGGGCTTGAAGTTCTTGAAGTGGTTCTCGATCTCGTCGACGATGGCCTGGTTCTTCAGGACCTTGCGGTAGTGGGCGAAGTCGACGGACTGGGGCTGCTCGGAGAGGACCTGGACCTTGCGGCGGGCGTCGTCGTTGCGCTTCTTGAAGGACTGCAGGGAAGCGGCGGTCTGGCCGCGGAGGCCCAGCGAGGTGGACACCTTAGCCCAGTCGATCTTGAGAGCGGCGCTGCGCTGTTCGGTAGGGGGTCTGGGTTAGCCGGGTGCGTGTTCTTTCGCGGAGGAGCGGGTGCGGATGCTGCGCGGGTCAGCAGACAGCGGGGAGCACGTACAGCGGCCATTGTGACGGGTGGAAAATGGAGTGTGGAGGTGGAGGGAGAGGGGGGAGGTTTCGATGTGCAGGGAGGTGCCGGGCGAGTTTCGTCGGAAAGGTTTGGATGCGGGTGGGCACGTGACGACCCGGCATCCGAGCATCGGCTCACCAGACAGCATTCCGACTAGTCGGGCGCAAGCAGTTGAGCAATTATTGGATATTAAAATAATTACTGAATTACAACTGTGGTTTATGTGTTTTTGCACTCTCATGGTTCAAATTTTTGAGTTGATTTGTGTACACTATGGGCGAGCTATCCATCCGGCTGCAAAACCCAAGCCTCTCAAGAGAACCGCGCTAACCCAGCATTACAAGTCATTAAATCAAATGCTGAGAGCCATGATCGAGTTAACGATATCATTGTCGTTCTCCCGCAGAGCCTTGACGGCCTTCTTGCGAGAAACGCTAGCCTGGGCCATAACCAGATCGATATCCTTGGCCTCAAGACCGGACTCGTCAACCTCCTCACCGTCATCCTCCTCCTCCTCGGGCTCCTTCTTGGTGCCGAGGTCGGTGACAGGCTCCTTGCCCTTGCCGTGGTCGTGGTCGTGGTCGTGGTCGTGACCAGCGTGCTCACCAGCGGCCTCCTGGGCGGCGAGCTGCTGAGCGGCGGAAGCCTGGGCCTGGGCGTTCAGGTCCTCAATCTTGGCCTCTCCGAAGATGCTGGGCTATGTTAATGCTGTCGTGGTGTTTGAGGGTAGCAGAATTAAACTTACATCCAGATGTTGCTGGAGGGGGACTTGTAGACATCGGGCTGGTTGACGACGAAGAGGATCTATAAATCGAGAAAACTGAAGTTAGCCATTGTCCATAACAAGCTGCGATGACCAAGCACATGGCACTTATGTCGCAACAAATGCCATTGCTTGTCCTCGCTCATTCGAATGCACAGAATTCCACATACGTTCTTGGGGCGGCGCATGGTGATACGGGTGATGCCGGGAACGTGCTTCAGGCCGAGCTTAGCGATGGCCTTGCGAGCCTTCTTCTCGCCACGGGAGTGGATGGCGACGGAGGCGCCAGCGGGGATGTTGGCGTCGCCAGCTTCGGACTCAGAGTCGCTGTCCTCAACGTTGGTCTTGGGGACCTCCTCATCGGGAAGCTCTTCAACACGGGGGTCGGCCATTTTGTGATATGTGTAGGAACCTGTGAAACAAAGAGAAATCGCAAATTAGCTCCAGCTTTATATCGCGCAATTCGTTTGCTGGGGACAGCGTTTTAAGGTCGAAAGGTGGCGGTGGTGGGAGGGCGGGCAGTATCGCGGGCAGGAACCAGAAGTTGACCCTCCACGAATTTGCACAACGCCGGGAAAAGACGGATTTGGAGGTCGGGGAGGCAATGCAGCGCACGATCGGGGATTTCAACGCACCTGGAGGTCAGGATTCGAGCTGTGGTGGTAGCGGGTGGATTTTGTTGGTCGTGAGGTCGAAGGTGTACGGGAGCTGTGCGGCAGGCCAGCCGCCGAAAATCGTTAGCGAGGCGGTTGCGCCCACCCCGGACGCCCACACAATCTCACATACTAAGTCCTGAGCGACTACGTACTGTAAGACAAATGACCTAGTTTCCCAATTCTAGGTAAATTACAATTCAATATTCTGTATACTTACTGCTAATAGTATGCTATGAGAAATTGCACAATCGTTTTGAATCATTCAAGGCTATCGCCCGTCTACACATTTTTTGTCCTTCCTCAATTTACAGAGGTGGTCTCCCCAGATCTATCAAATTGACAACCTACACGGTGCCAGGTCTAGATGTCGAGATTATGACACATCCCTTGCCGGGATATCAAGGACTTTGAATCATTTTTGCTGTAGAGTGATTATGCATACAGCTTTTGCTGGAGAAATGCCAGCTATGGAAACCCGTCCCAGGACACCTCCGTCATCCTATGCACCGAAACCTCGTAATCATCTATTGAGCAGCGGCAGCCCGGACCTTAGCGTAGGACTTCTGAACCTCGTAGCGGGCCTTTGTGGGAAATTAAGTTAGCAGTCGGAATTGGGGAACAAAGTCGCAAATCTCGAGAGTGCGCTTCGGTTGAGCGTTGAGAATGCGGGTCTGGTGACGACGTACCTGCTTGCGAAGACGCAGGACCTTGAAGCGCTCGAAGTCGGTGAGGTTCTTGCGGCGCTCAGCACGGTCGGTCTTCTGGGCGAAGGAGCTCTTGGCCCACTTGCCATCGATCTCGTTCTTGGCCCAGAGCTTCTTGACGGGGCCAGTACCGGCGGCGCGGGGCAGCTGGGGGATGGTGAAGGGGGTGAGAGTGGCGTGGGCGAGGGGAAGAACGTGACGGGGGACGATCTTCTGCTCCTCACCGGAGGGACCGTCAACCAGGACCTGAAGAAAATCAGTATAAGCGCTTCGAAACAGATATTTCCACAATAGTGCTGGTGTCGCTTTTGCCCGTCTTGCCCCGAGGAACCTGATAATTGAAGGTTGGAAATTCGACATGTGGATGCGCTTATGCGCCCGTATTTCTTCTCTTCCTTATCGGACTCTCGAGGCTCAACAGGCGAAAAAATGACCCCAGAAGTTGCGAAATTGGTGATTTTCTGGCAGAACGTACACGGCGGTGGTCGATAATCTCAACGATGGCAGCGAGCTTGCCAGCGAAGGGGCCGCGGCGGATCAGGACAAGGCGGCCAACCTCGACCAGCTTCCAGGAAGCGAGGGTGACATCGATATCGGCCATGGCGTAGGTCTGCGATTAAGAAAGTTCAATTCAGCGGTATTCAAGAAGACGGGCGGATCGCAGGCACTCACGGTCGACGGGGATGAGTCGGGGAGGGTGTTGTCGAAAGAAGTCGAATTGTCCAAGTTCGCTCTGCGAATTTCGGATGTGCCCACACAACTCTCGCTTAGCCGGCCACTCGCGGCCGCCGCTAGGGTTGGCTTATGTCAGCCCCGCATCAACGTTATTCCGCATGCTGCTTTTCTTGAACTTTTTTTTCGCGTTGCTCCGACGAAATCCTTAAGTTACTACGAGTACCTCCTGGCAGAGCTTTCGGAGCTGCTGAGTTGATGCTGCTCGTTCTCCGTTTGATTCTGCCACTGCATCCACATCTTGACTAACCCACAGCGATCACTCATCCTGCTCAGTTCAGGAAAACTTGGGTACGTTCCGACTTTGTTTCTCTTCACCTTACCTTACATGATGCGGTAATTTGCGATTGACCCGGTTGTCTGTGAGGCCCTCGCCGGGGTCTCGATACAGCGCCGTCGGATGATATTCAATTTCTTACATATTCTGATTCTGTTTATTTGACTTTGTTTTGCTACCATTGCCGTTGGAGAACAACCTTGCTGACTGCTCGAAGATTTTTAGTGTCAAGCTGCAAAGTTCTGGTCTTCTTGGCCAACCTGCACCAGTCAAGCTCTACACAGGTAGGTCATGTCTTGCCTTATTCTTCCCCAGCAGCAGCACCAGCACCATTGCCTTCCACTCCCCCGGTTCGATGATTAAAACTTTATCACGCCTAGATAGTAATTGAGCTACGGCGATGACATTACCTTAACTACCAAGATCTCTGAGGACCATCACACATGCAATGTTTTGATTCACGATTCAGTTGTTGGATACGTTCTAACTGTTTGAAGATTTTACAGGTCCTCGCCTTCACATGCCACCGGCTGGTCCGATGGTCAAGATAGCTCTAGTGTTAGCTCTAGTAAATGAATGAACCATATTTTCTGAACTCTACTGGTCAATGTAGACATCATACCTTACTACGTAGTATGCCTATGCAATGATTCCGTGAAGATGCAAATATTTTGATTACAGTATGTCGTGCTAAATCGTGACTAGTAAGCCTGCCTGCCGTAGCAGCCAAGCCCAGATATCAAATGTGGTTGAAACGCTCATCCACTTGTCGTCGTTGTCTTCCACAAGTCCATTTAAGACCCATCATGAGTTCCAGTCCAGGCTCCTGCATTCACTGACGTTCCTCATGAGGAGCCACCGTTGGCGGCCAAAGCAGAGGGTCCCTCACGACTGAGCACCCACATAAAAACAAACTGGATAACGTACGAGTAGACGAAGAGGAATTGGGTACGACGGTTGCGCTGGGACCGAGCGACGGTTTGCATAGAACCACCGGCTCTGATCGAGGCATCGGCCGAATCAGGCAGTAGGACGTATTTCAGCGAACGAAGCTGTCAATGGTGTAAGAAAGGCTACGAAAGAAAGGTCGGGGAAGGGCGTCTTACCAAGAAGAAAGCATTCGCGAGGAAGGTGTACACAAACACCGTCCAGCCGACCCAGCTACCCGTTCCGCGGCCGGGCGTCAGTATCTCAGATGCAACCAATGTAACGATGATCCCCACAAACTTGTACCCCGAGTACGCGACCAGGTCCAGGAGCTGCGAGTCGTTGTTGATGCTGAGGATGTACATGGCCATTTTGAGGCACAGGATTTCAAACAGAATCACCGCAATTGCAGTGGTTGTGATCGACCCCAGCAGCTCCGGGTGGAAATGGCCGCGGAAACCTGCCAGCAACACTGACAGCAGGATGTATGTGACCAGCGCCATCACAGGGATGTACATGTCGGGCGAGTTGAGGTCATCCCGCGGGGGCAGGAACATGGACGAGTACGTTTGCTGGGTAATTTGGCCGCTCGGGCCCGCGGTGGCTGCCATTCGAGCCTGCTGTCGGGACCAAGGCTTGTGTCGCCAGGGGAAGAGGACGAGGGCGATCTTGTTCAGGACGTAGGAGTTGGAGACGTTGAAGTAGTGCTTCAGCGCGGGTATGGAGACATAGCGATTGAACTGAAGCTGCAAGTTAATATTCTGTGTCGATCAATTGTGGGATGCAGACCGAAATACATACGTTCTGTTCCATATACTCCTGTCCAGCCGCCATCGCGCTCTTGCCCACCTGGAATCCCATCTGCGCTGTCGGGTCGTTCATGAACCCACCGAATCCGGGACCTCCCTGGTAGTTCTGCGGGCCGCCTTGAGCTGGTGAGGACTGGTACGGATTCCCGCCATAGCCAGCATTCGGCGTCTGCTGGGAAGGAGGGGGAGGTGAGCGCATCATCGGCACGGTCGACACATGCTGCGGGACGGGGTGGTGCAGAGGCGGCGACTGTGCAGGGGGCGGTGCGAAAGAACCCCGATACATAATGATCCTGATAGTCCAGGGGCGATCGGGGTGGGAGGCGGCGGGGGGACGTGGTGGCGGAGGCGAGGAGGAGAGAGGTGTAGTGTGTAGGAGTGTTTATACGTGGCTGCACGAAGATCCGCTCGGCCTCCGAGCTCGAACATCATTTTGCCCGGTCCGCCACCCTCGTCCCTCCCACTGCGTCCTTGGCCCCCCTTTTCCCCACCAGTTCTTCCTTTTCAAGCTCTTGATTCGATTTCAGCACAGCATAAGAAATGCTGGAGGCTTTTGAAGTCCTGACCACCTCCGGCGTGGTGCTGTGGTCCAAGTCGTACGCACCAGTGGGGGCCCATGTTATTAACAGCCTGATCAACGACGTTTTTATCGAGGAGAAAGTCGTGCCACAGAGCGCCTCGGGCACCGGCGTATCGCCAGTATTCAAGAAGGAGAAATACACGCTGAAATGGCGACGCAATAAGGAGTTCAACTTGATCTTTGTGGTATGACTCCCTCCCGTCGCATGTCGCAAGTCCTCGGTGGTCGCGAAACTAACCGATCTCACTAGGCCGTTTACCAATCGCTCCTCCATCTCGGATGGATCGACCGACTTCTGGAGAACATTTCGACCATCTTCATCGACCTCTACAAGGACCAGCTGAAGGGGAACCGCACCCGGATCACGACCTACCGCTTCGACCCGTACTTTGAGCAGCAAGTCCGCGAGCTAGAGGACAACACTGGCAGCGTCGCGGAGACTTATTCTGCAGAGATCGATGACAAGAAGGACCCGCTGGTCTCATCGGACAATGGAGGTCCTCCGCCGCCGCCTGTTCCCGGCTTCTTGAAGGGTACGTCTTACTCTTACCGGCGAGGTTCAAGATATAGGAATGCTAACAATCGCAAAGCGCAGCATTCAGCTGCGCGAGCCGGGGCGACCTCGGACGAGGGCACGCCACCGGCAACTCCTGATACTTCTAGATCTACAACACCCGTCACGGGCCACCTCCTCACTACCAAAGCTGGTCCCAGTGGTCGAGTCTCTCGCCGTGCGCGCAAGGCCGCGAACGCAAGCGCGAATGCCTCATCTGGTGACGAACACTCTCGCAACCGCAAGCCGGCCAAGGGCTCTGCGAAGAAGATGCGCAAGTGGGACGCTGACGGATTCGCGGATGAGGATGATGGTGAGATTTTGGACTACTCTGCTCCGGCGGATGATGGCGAGGCGGCCGCTCCTGCTGTCGAGGCTGTCTCACAGGACGATTGGGGTCGACGAACTGGTAAGGGCCAGTTTGTCTTGAAGGAGCTAGGCGAGGAGGTTCACAGTATTCTGGACCATGCGGACGCTGAAAAGTCCAAGGACGGCGCGAGCTCTGGTATGGTGGGATCTGGCTTCAATGCCATCGGTGGCTTCTTCCGCAACATTGTCGGCGGCAAGACCCTGACCGAGTCGGATCTCCAGAAGCCCTTGAAGGCAATGGAAGACCATCTGCTGAAGAAGAACGTTGCCCGTGAAGCCGCCGTCCGCCTGTGCGAGGGTGTGGAGCGTGAGATGGTCGGAAAGAAGACCGGCAACTTCCAAAGCGTCGATGCAGCCCTGCGCATTGCCATGGAGGCATCGCTGCGCAAGATCCTGACACCCACCTCTTCACTAGACCTGCTCCGAGAGATCAACGCCGTGACTGCCCCAACCACCAAGCAGCACGCCCCCCGACCCTACGTGATGTCTATTGTCGGTGTCAACGGAGTCGGCAAGTCCACCAACCTCAGCAAAATCTGCTTCTTCCTGCTGCAGAACAACTACCGCGTCCTCATCGCCGCCTGTGACACCTTCCGATCCGGAGCCGTGGAACAACTCCGCGTCCACGCCCGCAACCTGAAAGAACTCAGTGCTCGCGAGAACGTGGGCGAAGTCGACCTCTACGAAAAGGGCTACGGCAAGGACGCAGCCAACGTCGCCAAGGACGCCGTCGACTACGCGGCCGCCAACAAGTACGACGTCGTCTTGATCGATACCGCCGGCCGCCGCCACAATGACCAGCGACTGATGTCCTCGCTTGAGAAGTTCGCCAAGTTCGCCAACCCGGACAAGATCTTCATGGTTGGTGAGGCGCTTGTTGGAACGGACAGTGTCATGCAAGCCCGCAATTTCAACCAGGCTTTTGGAACGGGTCGCAATCTGGATGGCTTCATAATTAGCAAGTGCGATACCGTGGGCGATATGGTCGGCACACTGGTGAGCATGGTTCATGCGACAGGTATTCCGATTGTTTTCCTGGGTGTTGGACAGCACTATGGTGATCTGCGTGGATTGAGTGTGCCTTGGGCTGTTAGTCTACTGATGAAGTGATGACCCATTTGCTATTTCCTGTTTGATTTCTTATGAGTCAGTCTATATGATGAATAGCAAGCCAGCCATGTATACCCTAGCACTGTTTACAATTGTAGAGTATTACTCACTGAGCACAAGTATCTCAACGTTAATTTCAATCCTCAATCCCAAGTTTCTAAAAAGGGGAGCAAAAAAACCCCAATCCGCTCAGCTCTGCCAATATCTAGGTACTTCGTATCTCGGTACCATACTCACCACCACAGATAAAAAAAGGATCATGAACACAATGCGATAAAGTAAACACCAAAAATTGACCGACGCAGGGGTCGAACCTGCAATCTCTTGATTCGTAGTCAAGCGCCTTGCCATTGGGCCAGCCGGCCTTGGATGAAGTCAAATTGTCCGCTTGTGCCATATGAGTCAACAAAGTTTTTTTGCCACGGCCCCACATGTACCCTAATCACGTTTAAGATGCTTCTAACATCTAGCTCCGCATACCACATGAAGCGACAGCCAAGCTTTGGATGTATCAACAAAAACTCAATCCTTCCCCTGTTCGTCTTACTAAAAGAATTGATTCGACACATAAAACGGCCTCTCCATGGGAGCCTCGCCATCCCCACTCCCACTACCGTCCCCCATAAGCGCCCACATCCGCTCTCGAAATGTCTCTTTCTGAGCCAACTTCACAACAGTCCTCCCTTTGTTTTGATCCTTATTTGAAGACCGTGCATCAGGCTCTCCTCCAAAAATCGATTTCGGCCCATTCATCCATTTTCCCCCACCCTCCAGGCGTGCACCCTTCATCTCCTCGCACTCCGATTAACCATTCACTTCCAAAACTCCCCTTCCCTAACAGGAACAACCCCAGCCCCCTCCAGCATCCCCATAGCAACAGCAACCCAATTTTGATAATTTCCGACCCCGAACTCGGGGATGCTGGATTCGTCTTTCCCGAATGCAGTGAGTAGGCTTGTGGCATTTTCCTTCTGCTCTGCAGAAAGTGATGCGAGTTCTCAACGCCCTTTCAGAACAGGATCTTCTAGTGGCTGTGTCCGTGGGTCGTAGATGGAAGTCTTCGTCAGTGGTATTGCGGATGCGGTGCATTTCGCAGGTTGTAGAACCGCAAGAGTAGAGCGCAATTCCCATGTGTGAGGGGCCACTCGCCGAGTTTAGCGTCGCCCCGACCGTAGATGTTTATCGGGATGCCATAGGTGGTGGATGTCAGGTTTGCGCTAACAGTAGATGATGCGGTTAGGTGTGGAAATGAGAGTGAAGAACTGACGGCGGGTGCCTATCTATATAGATGTTGGGCTGGTTGCTGCCCAGGCAGCAGACGCGGCGGCTAAAAGATCGACGCCCCCCGGACAATCGGTGGCCATCAGATGGCTCTGATTGATTGGCGACTGGACTAGTGTAGAGCCTCATGAAGTGCCTCGGCGCGTACTGGGATGCTGGTGGACCCCCTCTCCCTCCCCCCAATAAATTCAATTTCCTCTCAGACTACCTCTTCCCCTCCATCTCACCTCTCTCTCACTCCACCTCACCTCACTTCCTGTCCACTTCACCCCACTTCTACCTCACTTCATGACCACCTCATCTCACTTCTTATCCACCTCACATTACTTCCACCTCGCTTCCAGTTCGCGATCGGACACCCTTTCCGCAGACTGCACGAGGGAAAGTGGCTCTACATGCTCTTATTCGAATCAAATCATCATACGCCGATCGATGCGTCATCACCGAATTCACACATACCGACCAATTTCCCACGGATGATGCCATTGATGGATTTCGAGTATTCTTGGAATACGTCAAGGTACGTGGTGTCCTGCGGTTCTGAATTTGACGGACACTATTCTGTATGCTCCGCACCCAGGATCACTACAAATCCATTTCAATAACCTCTCTGATCATGCGCCAAATCTGTGTCCTCCGCCGCTCTGATGATTGTGAGAAACGGGACAGAGAGTCTCACAAGCAAATTCGCCGTCATCAGGCTGTCGGCAATTCGCTATACTCGAAGGGCTCCATCCCAAATGGTCCGCACAAGCGCCAATACAAAGCCCCTTTAAGCGCCCACTAGCGGTACTGTTGAAGGAAGAGGCGTGACTTCGCGGTCGGGCTAAGAAAGACGTCTACAGACTCCTGATAGACACGTCCGACTGTGCCTAGAAAACCAACTGGGCTACACGACTCGAAGGGACGCGCATCTACAAGACAACGGGAACTCCGGCTTCCGGAGATTCCCGGAATTGTTTGTGAGCAAAAGCTACCTACGAGATGTGCCGAGTTCGGTCTCCGGCGCAAACTTGAGTCAAAGCAGTGGTGGTACCTGAGCCATCAAATCGACAAGCTCGAGGACGTGAGCGAGAAATTTAGGGGTATGAAGATGCCCCTGCAGCTAATCATGTTTGGCGAGCGGATCTTCGACATGCCGTTCGGGAATGAAAGTGCAACGCTGAAATATACTGTGAGAACTGAAGAGGAGGATATATCTTAATTGTGGGTGGAGGAAGAATATGATATCCTAATTGTGGATGGCTGCGTGGTGAATTGCTATGAGTCCGGAAGTCGAAAGTCAGCTGCATCTCCATAAGCCTACTCAAAATTTCCTGTGAGTAATAACAATCAACCACGCAGCCATCCACAGTCAAAGGATCATACTCGGCTGACTTCTTGCCCATAGAAATTAATGTTGAGAGAGAAAAGGCCGCGAAGACGGGGTATTACTTCCAGCGATGATTCTCAGTTTATTTCACGGATCTTTACAGTATTTATTTGCCTCTGGTATTTTGCCACGGCCTATAAGAGCTGAAATTCAATACAGATTTATAGTACTTTTATCACTTCATCCCTCATACCAATTAAAAAAATTGAGCTCGTAAGTATGTTTAAGCGCTGAATGCCAAATTACGGTGTTCACAATATCGACACCACATCAGAAAGAACTCCTGCTATTCTCCACAAAATCCAAAATCTTCGAGGCAATTTCCAACGGTGGCGCATTTGTTGTATCCAGCTCCAACCCGGGGCAATCATCGAAGCGGAACAAATCGCACTTCCCACGCAGGTGCTTGACCAGTTGGGCATTTGTTAATTTCTTCGTCCCGCTATCAATGCGCTCAAGGGTACTGACGCGTTCGAGATTGGCATCGACATCGCAGACCAAATAGACCGGCAAGAATGGTCGGCCGGACTCGTGCGCGGCATCTTTGTATTCAGTCGCGACGTCGCGACCGAGTTCATTATCTGATTGGAAGTCTAGAATGGCGTAAGCAACGCCCGCCATGCACTGAACCTGCGATTTGAGGTACATACCTGTGAAAATGACTAGTTTATCAATCGTAGCTTCATCATACACGTGTTTCTTCAAAATCGCCTGACGATACAAATGCCGCTCTTTGAGATAATCTGGATGCAGAGGCGGGAATTTGGCCTCAACGGGATCGATCAGCGTGTGATTGTCCAGGATTAATGTATCTGGATTCAGCTGTGCGATGAACTTGGTCACCGTGAGTTTGCCCGAGCCCGGGAAGCCATTGATCCATACCAGAGGCGTTGGCTTGGCGGGTTTCATGAGTGCCGCAGCTGCAACACCAGGCCGTCAGGTGTGCCGCAGCAGAGATTCGCGACAGGACCTAGTAGTGACTCAGAGACTTCGCGCAGGTCGATGCAGTGAGGTTGTGGTCGTGCGTCAAGGATATGGCACTGCTGCCCAAGGGATGCGATGCTGAGTCAGGCGGGAGGGGGAAAAAGTTAAAGCAACGTCTTGCGTGTAGCACTCTTCCCCCCCCCCCAATGTGTGCGAGTAAATGCAGAACTATTCATCCACAGCCCCGCTGCAGGTCGGGGAAGATCGCCCGAAATGAGTAGGTCGATGCCGATTTCTTGTTGATCGGAGAAACTTTGGCTTTGATGGGGTAGTTTCCGGGTGTTGTATACTTCAGTCCTGTTTTCGCTGCAGCGAGTGTTCAGTTTCAGTTTGAGAGCTTAATTGCACTGTACTTAATCTATCGAATTAATTGCCCAAGTCACTCGAAAGCAGTATGTGGATTCGGCACCAGTAATGCGTTCCACTGTTTGGGAGGAACGCGGGGTAAATGCAAACGCCACACATATATATAGGGTCACGAGACACTGGAACAATGGTGATAGCCATCAGACACTACAACGTTCCACTAGGAACGTCGTAAGAAGTTGTACTGATTGTCCAAGTCGAGAACTTAGATTTTGCATATTTATTTAAAATATGTTTCGGGAGCCAGAAGTGGTCTTTACACGCTGGACAGTGTCGGAAAGAAAGGTGTTGCAAATAGCGGCCATTTCGGTATGGCATTGAATCTGTTCATATTGTCAAATTCATGACCCAAAAACATCAACCAGCACCAAGTGGTCGAGCGGTAACTCGACTATCACGTCTTCCTTGGTCTAGTGGTCATGATTTCCGCTTGTCATTAACACCGATAAGCGCGGGAGACCGGGGTTCGATTCCCCGAGGGAGAGATTTTTTTGCACATATTTTTGCACATTCTTTTGCACATTCTCTTACACATTCTTTTGTCCATTTATTTCTTTATTTCTTTATTTCTTTTTTCTTTTTTTCTTTTTTTCTTTTTTCTTTTTTTCCTTTTTTTTTTTTTTTTTTTTTTTTTTCCCGCAAAATTTTTTTTCTCCTGGTTGTTTTTAATTTCGTATTCATTAATATTGTTTTGCTCCATTTTCTACAACAATTCCACGCATCTAGGTTGCTCTCCGGGGACTCTAACATCCGATCCCTTATCGTCCTGCAAGTAGGACCTAGCATAGCCCGATAAAACTTCCAAACTCAGGTTAAAATCCTGTCAAGCCCCAGTCAAACAAAAACAACCAGAAAATGCCCTTTACGTGTCAAAATTTGCGGAAAAATATCAGTGGACTACCGAGTGATGCGACTCAACGTGCAGAAGTTGATCAACCCACTATCCCCACCTTCCTCAGGAGATGCAGTACGCCTGTCGATATTGGGCACATAATCTGATGCATTGCACAGATTATCATAACATGATACACGATGCTCTGCTATTTCTCCAAAGGCGTTTTTTGCACTGGGTGGAAGCAATGAGCGTACTAGGCATTATATCGGAAGTGTTATTGATTCTTAATCGCCCCCGAACGGCAATAACGGTAAGGTTCGTAGATAATCATACCTGGTTCCCACTAATAGATCTAGGGCAATGGTGATTCCATGATTTCTCAATTTCTACGTGATGCAAAGCGCTTTTTACTCAAGAATCGCCAGATAGTCGATGAGGCACCTCTTGAGGGCATACGATGGTAAAAATAGTGTGGCCCCAGGGCGTTCAAGTAGTCTGGTTACGGGCTACAGAACACAGCAGAAAGAGCAGTGATGCCAAAGACCCAGATGAGGATAAATGTCGACATATAGCAGCCTTCAGCGTGAATTCGCATGTGGTTATCCACCACACTACTAACCTCCCGGTGTGTGGTTTATGTGCGGTCAACAGTTCGGTGGGTGTCGCCTAGGTGAGAAATGGGTGAGCGCCGCTTTACGGTCGCGCGACCAGGGGTGATAAGGGTGAGTGCGCTATAGACAGGGTGAGAAGCCGGGTGAGAAATCACCTTCATCGCGCGACTGACGCACTGACCCTCCCAGCTAAGCTACATTTTGATACGATTGGACGAACTGCTGCCTCCTGAAACACTCATTCTCTTAGCACCTGCACACAGCCACCCGAGGGAAGGCATCGAAGTGTGAGCTGTCACCAGAGTTTATAATGCCAGATGTCGAAGTTGGGAGCCCTCCTTGCTAACAAGTATATGGAACCCTTTAATGCTAAATTTACTGACAGAAGTCAGGTGAGCCTGTAGTTTATCTCTCTTAGCTCCATAGCAGATAGTTCATATCTTCTCCACGTATCACGCCTTTTTATGAAGACATCTATTACTTCGTAGATCCCTTAGCATTTATAAATCTCGAAAAGAGTGCGAAATAGTTCGGAGTTTACTAGAAGCAGAAAGGGTAAGGAAGCAGTGGTAATGGATTAGGTCGGCCTTACATGAAATATTTGGACTTTGGATTTGCTGCGGTTAATGGCAACAATATTATTCTCGGGGTATTCGTGATCCAGACAAAGCGGTGCAAAGTGGTTCATATCGAGCGGATGGCTTCGCCGGTTCCCAAGCCCGTGCAAAATGGCTCGTTGCTCTCCAAGACTCCTATTTAGACATAACAAAGCTCATGTGGATGAAGGCAGTTAAACTGACTACAAAAAGCTTTTCGAGAGAGAAATGCACAGGCGGAAGAACAATATCGGATAATTTACTCTGAAAACTTCGCTCTCGGAATATCTTCAAATATCCCAAAACTTGCCTTCGAAGCTTTTCAAGGTCAGAACCCATCCCGAACCGCATAATAAATACACCGGTGCTGCAGGGAAAAACTGCCCTCCGCTCCCTCTTGGACGAATTGTGCCGCTGCACAACTGGAAGTATACTCGTCGGTTTGCGGATACCTCCATGCAACGAGCGAGACCCCACTAAAACCTTTCTCAACAGTCGCGCAAATTAACACCCTCGCTGACGTAATGACCAATAGCTAGGAACTTTAGTCCATGTCTCCAGACTTTAAATAGACGGCAATACTAGCAGCAAGTACTGCAATGACGAAGCATATTCTTTCAGGCCTCTCTTCGGCATTTTCCAACTCTTCAAGGCGCTGGTATCGCCAACGTAGTGCGGAGTAATTGTTCATACCACTTGCAAACTTTATAGGTCCTATACAGCCGCCAAGTGTCCGATCTTGTTCTTCCACCTGCGTCCGCCGCTTGATTTCTCTCTCGAAAAGGTTTTTGTAGTCAGTTCAAACTATTGAACGCACATAAGCCACAAGTAGAAGAGCCTGGATTCCCGAGCTCTTTTACAATTTCACCACCGTGTGGAGTGGCCGAAGAACGTATAAGAGTACTCGGAAGCTTGAAGCTTAGATCGAAGAGCTAGATAGTGAGCGATTTACGTCAATTCGGGAACGCGCGAAGCTCTTATGCCGAAGTGTGCGTATGGCCGCCGATCTTGCTGCTTAGCTTGAACGTAACAGTTCTCGACTTTTGGTCAACAAGTGCACCGGAGCGTGCCTGTAACGAAGCATTAGCTTAATATAGGTGGACCTCTCGATGCCAGAGACGCTAACATCCGGTGTTGGGTTTCTTGGCAAGGACCGAGTAGTATTTTGCGTGCAATGATCATCGCGTAAGTCTTGTACGAATTCCAACGCGTTTTCTAACTGGAACAAGGATGAGATAACAACACAAAATGACAGAAATCATCTCGAGTTTGCTTCTAATGATGTAGTATTTTTGCTTTGGAATTCCCCAAGTGCTACTGTGAAGCAATCAACATTTTACCATCCTACTGGGCCGTGGCTTTTTGGAGGGCGAAACTCTCCCCTTCCAAGACGGAAAGTGCACCCCCAACAAGATGAAAGCTTCCAGTAACGAGAATCATTGTCTTATCCACCTCGCAGACAATGTCGTTTGCGTATTCGATGGCTTCTTCGATCGATACAAGTTCTTTTGTCTCTGTTCTGGGATCAAACTGATGCCAAAGTTCAGCCATGCGCCTTTGTAGGCTCAAGCTTTCGAGTTCTTTTGGATCGACATTCCGGTTGACAAAGTCTGCAAACAATATTATTCCACTTTAGTATTCTTTCTTCTTGAGAGCCGACCCAGTGCGTTTTGTACATCTTACCAACTTTGTAGGCGTTGCCTTTGTAGGTCACATTCGTACAGAATAGCGCATACTGGAAATTCAAGTTGCAATTATTGTATATCTCACTATGCACAGTTCGAAGAAGAGCCTCAGCATCTCGTGTAGATTGCTGATTGAATATGAGCACCCTTGGTGTGTCCCTAGTCCGATGTGTCAGACGAGACCTGTTAGGACGAGGAAGTGGTGGAAGAACCCATACCTTGACCGGTTTGACTGTGATTTTGAGACGCGTCCAAACCATGAGGCCGCTAATTTTAGGCTCTCTTCTGTATGTGCACCATCAAGATGCCAAATTTGCTTTTCTGTTGTAAGTGCCTCACACCTTCCTCTCCAAACTATGTTCTCGAGACCTTGGGTAAATTGTTTAGGAAGAGTTTCAAGGCCAAGGTCCACTTGAACTCCGAGTTTGTTCAACAAGGAAAGTGAAAGTCGAATAGCGAGAGAAGCATTTGTCCTTTGAAAATCTTCCGCTGGCTTGAGACCAATATCGAAAACAGCAGGGTGGACTGCAATTGTAACGAGGTTGATGCCTTTTTCTTTCGCTCTCTGATGCAGGACCTCCATGGCGTCAGGCACTTGAGGAACGGTAAAGGCGGGAGAGCCAGTCTTGAAAATTCCTGCTTTATGCCATGCTATCTTGTCGATCGTATCACCGAGTGCAGCCATATGGTCAATCCCAAGGGTGGTGATACCAGTCACCGATGGCTGTGGAATAACATTCGTTGAGTCTACTTCACCTCCTACTCCAACTTCAAAGACAGCCGCATCAACACCTTCTCTCATGAAGACATGAAATGCCATGAGGGTGAGAAATCGGAAGTAGGCGGGTTTATGAGCGGGATCGATACCTTCTCTAACAGCACTCGATTCGAGGGCATCCCAGACTTCAAAAAAGTACTTGGTAAATTGTTCCTCTGAAATCGGAAAGGAGTTAATTCGAATTCTCTCTCTAACCATCACCAGATGAGGAGAGGTATAGAGTCCAATCTTGCGGGGAACCCCAACCGATTGTTGGTAGTTCTGAAGGATGGAATTGACAAAGGCACACGTTGTGCCTTTTCCCTTCGTACCAGCAACGTGAACGACATTTAGACGATTTAGATCGTTGACCTGCGGGAAAAAACCAGTTAGACAGGGCTCGCAGATGGAAAAGGTTCTGGAATCCCCTCACATTGTATCCAATACGGCATACCCATTGTCTCATCTGTTCCACGGCTCCGTTATCCAACTTTTGACCAAGACGCCTTTTTTTTCCAGCACCTTGAATCCCGACTGAGTGGAATTAAGTTTTTCCACTGCATCCTAGTTGTTGTAAGTATGTCTTTCTATTTCGATCTTGGCAGAAGCCGGAAATTCCTACATGATAGGTCGGCCTTTCCAATGTATCTGACATTCTTCGATCACAGAAGGAATATTTTGGTCGTTGCGAAAGGCTTTTGAAAACAATTTGATCGGGAGCTTTTGGTATTCGGTACATGTGGTAACCAATATTTCGAGAAGTGGGACTTATCATTAATAAGTTTCCCCTCACTACTACTGAAATTTGTTTAATTTAGTAGACGCCGTCCCGCCTTGTTTATTCCATGATTGGGCATTTTTCTCGCTTAGTAAAACAACATGACTCGCGTCGCACATTCAGCTGAGTTGCCTGAACAGGGGTTCGTGCGGGGTGGTATCCCTGCTTTCCAATCAGCTTGTAGAGCAAGGCACCATAATCCATCAAGTCTTGGTCTCAACCCCAGCCACGTTCGGTTTTTATGCATGCCATGTCACACCTCATCAGCCCGTAATTAAATGATGCATGGATTGTAACCATGCAGCGTGCTCTATTGACACATTCATGCATTTAAGGGCCAGACTGTTGTCGTGTTCAAGGTGAACTGTAGCCACTGGCGTCAAGCTGAGTCTCCAAGGCACTTCGCCTAGTGTGCGGAGAAGACACTAGTGACCATATTTGGGGGTTAAATGTATCCATATCCCCAAATAGACTGTAACCACCTCGGCTCTGAATCTCCAGTTTCTCTGTACCCTGTTTTGGCTCTGCCAGGCTCAATTGGCTATACTGGGTAGGGTTTGAAACATGGAAAATGACCATGGATATGGAGTCACGGTCCTCCACGAGCCATCCCACTCGGTAGAAATTCTCTATGAGTATGCTTTCACTTCTCCTTGACAACCAACGGCTCTAGTCCGTACTCACATCAAATTACTAGCCTGGTGGCTGTCCACGACCTTAATGGAACCGGTTTCGAGACCTGGACGCACAAGCAAAACGGGATGATGTGGCTCAAAGATCTGCTGCCGAAAGAATTGCCCAATGTTCGGATCATGACATACGAGAGTGACGCTTAACTGGGACATGGGTGCCGACCAACAGGTCCCGGACATACCTCACGCTGGCGTGGTCATCATATCCTACTTGCTAGGCACATACCTCGTACGCATGTTGAGGCCGTCACTGTACAGCACGTGGACTACGCGATGGACGAACCAGCTCGACACATTTGCCGTGATGCGCATCGGTGCGGCGGTGCCAAGCCGATTTCCGCTCTGGCTGGCGCACAGCCCAGACGACGTCGAGGGTCTCGACAAGCTTCCCGGGTGGATTGGTGGTGTCACCGGTGTGGAGGGTAGCGGGGTTGACGGCGTAGGCGAGTTGGGTCTGGGCGGAGAAATGCCACTCAGAGGGAAGAAAAGGTATCGCTGCTATGCGGCCGATGGCATAGAGAATCCTGCGGGAAGTGAGCGGAGGCGATTTGAATCCTCCAGAGCTCCTACTGAAAGGGAGTGAGATATTGGTATGTCCCTTGGTATGCACAGTGAAATAGGTTTCTATACGACTTAGTATTCCCATAACTTAGATCTTTCCTGGACCTTATCCGTGCCTTTCTGCCCACCCAAACCGCTACCCGCTTTGGGTGCGCCACGCATTCTTCGTAATAACAGATTCTTCGTAAATTTTCGAATCTCCTATTCAATCACCTATCCAAGCCACCCAACATGCCTAAATCTCCTAATTTTGATGAATCCCGCATGGCCGAAGCCTTCGCAGCCGCCATGGCCGAAAAAAAACCAAATCTCTCGAGGATTGCGCGTGAATTCAGCGTGTCCTATACCACCCTTACCAGTCGCGTCAAAAAGGCCAAATCGCCAATTACCCCTACCAAATCGCATAAGAATGCTTTACAGCCAGACCAGGAGAAGGCCTTGACCAATTGGATAGTAAAAATGTATTCGTGGAACCTACCTCCCACTGCAGGGCTTATACAAGCGTGGGCAAATCGCGCACTGCAGAGGGCGGGCCACGATAGACAGGTTAGCAAGATGTGGGCGTATCGCTTCGAAGCACGTCTACCAAAGCACCTAAATCTAGCCCCAGTGAAGCAGAAGACCAAGGAACTGAAGCGAATCCAAGCCGAGGATGCAGGCCTTCTTCAGCACTGGTACGACCTGCTTGAAAAACAGCTCCATGACGTCCCCGCCCGGCTAGTATACAACTTCGATGAATGTGGTTTTCAACCCGGTCAAGGACGCGCCCGAAACGTTATTGGGGTTAAATCATCTTGCCCTGACCTGCCAGAAGGAGAGAGAGGCGAAAATATCACTGCGGTCGAGTGTATTGCTGCTGATGGTTGGCTTATGGACCCGCTCTTTATATTCAAAGGTTCCGGCAAAAACTTCATGGAGGCCTGGTACTACGGCAGCGAAGACCTACCTGCGAATACGGCTATGTCTCCAAACGGCTGGATTTCTGATGAACTAGCCCTAGCCTGGCTAAGCTGCTTTATCAAGGCCACGGCTACTGCAGATCGTCTTAAGCGTGGCGAAAAGCGCTATCTTATATTCGATGGTCATGGTGCGCATCTTACCCTCGAATTTCTACAGAGATGCGAGGATCACCATATTATACCATTCGCATTTCTACCGCATTCAACACAACTCTGTCAGCCACTTGACGGAAAGCCCTTTCTGAATTATAAACAGCAATTTCGGATGATGAATAACGATCTGGCTTTCTGGGGCGGCCTACCGTATGGGAAATCGGATTTCCTCGCAATTATCGGGCCAATTCGTAAGAAAGCCTTGACGCAGCGAATTATTCGTGAATCCTTCAAAGATCGTGGTATTTGGCCGGTTGATGGTAGTAAAATCGTCCAAAACCTTGCGAATCAGTTAGAAATCCCTGATCTAATCGCCCCTGATCTTCGGTCATGGGGATCGCATACACCATCACTATCACCACCACCAAATCTCTCGTCTTCTAGTGTTGAAAACAGCCCTCCAAAATCTGTTGAAGCTCTCATCAAGAACCAGGCGAAGATTACTAAACACCTCGAGGGTCTGTCGGATAAGATGCAGCGAAATCTGACGAGGATGATGGCGCACCAGCGGGGGATAGCGGAGGAGCTTGCGATGACGCAGGAATCGATTCGGCGTATTAGAGAAGCGCAGATGCCAGTACGTCGCAAATACACTAAGCGGCAAATTAAACCGCTTAGCCAGACTGGTATATTAAGCACACGCGATGCGAATCGGTCAATTGCAGTCAGGAAGGCCGAGGATAAGGCGAAGGAGGAGCGGAAGCTGGTCAGGCAGTTCAAGAAGGTTTATGGCTACGCGCCCGCACAGAGATCGGAGGAGAGTATTCAACGGTCAATGCAGGCCGAGAGAGAGGGTAGAGAGGCAGGAGAGGTATTTTTTATTGATAGATAGCCAATTGGTGGTGAAATTTACGATTTAGCTTCGAAATCTACGAAGAAACTGTTATTACGAAGAATGCGTGGCGCACCCAAAGCGGGTAGCGGTTTGGGTGGGCAGAAAGGCACGGATACCCGAAAGGGTAGTTTTTAGGTAGAGGTCTCGAAGTCAGAAGCCAATTGTTTTCCTTCATTTTGTGGGATGGCTTGTCGATCGTTCTTTCAAGCGGCGGCGGTGGACTTGGACGGGAGGGTAAAGAACTTGTCGACTGAGGTCAAGTGTGGGGAATGCAGACTCTCTTATGAGACGCCCAGTCGGCATCTAGGCAGCCACTAGAGCAGTAAGTATCATCTCTGCAGCGAGTACATTGTTTCAAAGGTTTCGAGCTGCTCCGGGGTTCTTGCATATGTGACAGGTAGCGGGGGAGTCGGCCATCGTTGGCAGATTATTGGTCGGGGGTAAGAACAGAACTTGAGTTGGAGACTTCAGAGAGTTGGAGAGAGAGGGGGAAGTTGGAGAGAGAGAGAGAGAGAGAGAGAGAGAGAGAGAGAGAGAGAGAGAGAGAGAGAGAGAGAGAGACACTAGGCAGCGGATCACATGGGTGACAATCCTTCCTCGACTAACTCATCGACTTCAAGTCCCTCTACCTCTTGATATCTCTACGGATCCGAGCTTTCTATTTCCACCAAACTCTCGCTCTCTTTCCGAGTTCACGCTTTCTCAATCAACGCTTCAACTCGACCAATTCTTCACCGTTGGAATCCGGTGAGAGGTGATGGAGCTTTCTTTTGGAGAGAAGGTGCGGGCCGATAATTGATGGGATGACCAGGTAAGAGAGACGGAACGAGACGTTGAGGAGGGCCGAGAGAAATTGACATTATTATTTTTGAGCTCACAGATGGTCGAATTTGTGTGAGAGTCGCGTTGATGGTGTCTCTTGTCATCCACGCTAACGCTGAAAATCCTCTTTCGATAGGGCCGTAGCCGATCCATCAGCGTCGTTGGCACTGCCCTCAAAACTCTGACCAAACGTTTACTCTTTCCCGCGCTGTTTTCTTGCTGCCAAGAGACCCCATCAAAACAATGCCTACCACCAGTTGCTCAATCACCAAACGCCGAGTCAAGGGGGGTTAGCTATCACCCTCAGCTTATGAAAGCTTTCCTCGAGCCTGTAGCGCTGATAAATAAAGCCTAGTACACCTGCATACGGAAAAAAATGGCGACCAAAGCTCACTTTTCAATTTCAGTCGGACCCGATGCCTGAATTAACGAGACCTACTCCTCAAGTTGACTGTCCAAGATAACAGTCAGGTGTGGAGGACTGTCATTTATAGAAAGACTGTCACTCGAAACCTCTTGGCTATCGCTAAGATCTCCAAAAAATGACACAAAGAGTGCGAGGCAAGTTTTTCCAGGTATGCTTTCAGCCATGAACTTTTGAAAAAGTCAACCAGGGAGAAGAGTTTTTGCAAAATGGTGCCTGCGCTTTCTTCGGAGTGATATGCTCCTTGATAGGCAAGCTGAGCCACTGCCTGGGGCTTTTTTGAAGTCGAGAGACCTTATTGATACCAGTCTCCTCTGTCAAGTTTTCGGTGTGATTGGTTCTCGATACATCGTTCACATCTTGTTCATCTAGATCGTTAGCCCGAGGAAAGATCGTACATCTCTGAGAGTTTGCCATTGTTGAATTCAGATAATCATAGAGAGGCTCACATCAATATTTATAGGGTGTTGATACACATACCCCCCCACCCCTTTTTTCTTAGTCATACCTGCCCCACAGCCACCTAGTTAGTTAGTTAGCTGCGCAGAAACAACTACTGTTGCATTGAGTTGACCATTCCCGGACTCAGACTCTCCATATCGGTCTTCTTTGCGTTTGACTCTTGACAGTGAGAATGAGATATGGTGTATCTTGATGGAGATTGGAGGGTATTAAATTTTGATCTAATAGTCGCGAATACCTATGGGTGGTGAGCTGTCACGTGCCATGCGCTTGAGGCCTCACAGCAACGTGTTTGTGTAACCTACTTGTCCCAAGCCCAGCCTCTCTTCACCTCGATCTGTGCCCATACACTTGCTACGCATTTTTAATCTCGTAAACAGACAAAATGGCAATTAAAAAAAGGGTGGTCACTGTGTTCGGAGCGACTGGACTTCAAGGCAACTCTGTCACTTGTTCACTCTTAAGAGACCAAGTCTCCAACTTCCAGGTCCGGGCGATCACCCGAAATCCCGAATCTGAGAAGTGCCAAGTGCTGCACAAACTCGGTGTGGAAGTTGTTAAAGGAAATGGGTGGAACAAAGATGACATGCAGAGGGCCTTCTCTGGTTCTTGGGGAGCGTTCGTGAATACCAATTCCGATGATCCGGTAAGTCGCTAATCTATTATCCTCATTCCTTGTGCTAATAGAATCACAGATCTTCAGCCAGCCCGATGGACCTACGGAGTTTGATCTCGGAAAGATCGTTGTTGACGGTATAATTGCCGGTGGAGTGAAGAACCTTGTTCTCAGTTCCATGAGGCCGGCTGGAGAAGCAACCGGGGGAAGGATGAAGATCAAGACAATGGACAGTGAGTGATACTCCCATTGCTAGAGTACACTAGGCCAAAGTTGACAAGATCATGTGTCATTCAGTGAAAGCCTCTATTGCGGAATATGCTCAAGAAACGGGTCAATTTGAAACGATCGCCTTCATCCATACAGGGTGGTATTTTGAGCTGTTTCTGTCTGAAAAGATGGCCAAGCTTCACCAAGGATTTCCCTATTTCCCCGATGCCGAGGGCTACTTGAGTCTTCACTTGCCGAAGTGGGGAAATGACAGCGGTGCGCCCTTTATCGCGATCGTGGACGACTTTGGTGACCTCGTCCATGGAATTCTGCTTGACCCGAAACGCTGGAATGGCAAGACAATTCAGGCTGTGAGCGATATTCAATCTCTGCCTCAATTCGTCCAAACCTTCTCCGAAAGTATGTGGATATTTTCAGAACTACCCAGGGATCTCTCTGACTGTTCCTTCTCGTCTAGGTACTGGAAAGAAAGCACGCTATGTCCCATTGCCATCTTGGCAAAGCCTTGGCGAAAGCATTCCTGAGATGGAAGATGGCAGGCTGCTATTTGCTTATGGTGAAGCCACTAACGGCCGTTACTTTGTTGAGGACTCTTGCACCGATGTACCTCTGGAATTGAAAAAGCTCGCTGCTGCTGCTCAAGGAAAAGATGCATCAACTGTAAGTTTGGCATCATTGAGTTCGTGGTTTGCCAAGAAACTTGGCACATCTCAGGCCTGAGAAGGGGTTCACTGCGATGTACATCGATGCACTCACTATTCATCAGAATCCCGACGCGTGGTCCTGGTTTTCCTCACGTTCTAGTTCGCTGTCTACATGAGCCCCTTTTATCTGACTTCTGATACATACGACCATAGGGTGTGGAAAACAGGGCTTCCCGTCCGCTCAGCCGTACTTAAGCCACACGCCGGCAGGTTAGTAGTATGGTGGGTGACCACATGCGAATCCCTGCTGTTGTATGTTTTTTGCTTTCATATGTTTTTTTAATTCGTTGGGACTAGTGTGCCCTTGCTGCCCTACCAATCGTAGGGTCTAAGGGTCGTCGTGTGCCTTAAAGTAGTAACGTAATCGGTAAGCGAGCCGCGCATGTAAGCCAGTCGCGCACCTTAAGCAACCTATTAATTTTAAATGCATTTATTTCAACAAAAACGCTATTAATCTAATTCAGCTAACTTGCTGGTCTATCTGGGCATGTTTCCCCTCTATGTCCCGGGCGCCTACATATTCCACATCCTCGCTGGGCCCGCGTAGGTGGCTGTAAACCCTCCGAAGGCCTTCCATCCCCGGGGAGTGGAGCGGGTTCAATTGCTTGCTGCGACTGCATTGTTAATGCAGAAGCCTCGAAAACTGAGAGGCCCTCAGTGGAAGGCATCTGCCTGCGAGATCTAGTGCGTTTTTGTTTCTTCTTCTCGTTTTCCGCCCGTAATCCTTTGACTTCCTCCGCTAGTAAAGTAGCGCTCTGCATCGAAAGTTGGCAGCCTTTAATAAGCTGGTTTAACGCTCGATCTAATGGGCTTGGTGGACTTCGAGACCCCGTACGAAGTAAAGCTTTGATTGATGAAGCTTGCCGACGTACTTGTTTATCGGTCAAAGGAGTTTTTGGTGTAAAATTCTGGCTTGATTCGCTATCCCGGCTCGGAGGGGGGGTCGGGGTTCGAAGACAAATATCAAGCTTTAAGATCACTTGATCGGGTGAAAAAGGTACCAAACCAGCTGCTCTGAAGCTATTTATAATAGTATCGGAGCGGAAGGCTTCGTTTCGCGCGGAAGGATAAGCCTCGAGGAAATCAAGTTTGTCGATATGGTTGATTCCGTTCCGCATTTTCGTTTCAACTAGCCGACCGTACGAGCGCTTTAACACGGCAAAACAGCCGATATCGAGTGGCTGTAAAAGGTGAGACGAGTGCGCAGGCATACAGATTGGTATAATATCGTTTTTTTCACAAAGTTCATCGAATTTCGGAGTCAAATGGCTTCCGTGACCATCGAGTATCAAAAGTCGATACCTTCCCTTCACCCGCGAAGAAGTCGACGGAATAAAGAGCTTTTCGAGCCAACGAAGGCCGATCTCATCGGAAGTCCAGCCATTCGGACTAACCTCGAATCTCCAGTCTATCAGAAGATTATCGAACCAACCCTCGATCAAAACCTTGCCTTTAAAAATCACACATGGAGGGAGCGCCCACCCTGAAGCATTCGTACACTCGATTGTAGTCACCCACTCGCGATTTCCGGGCTGTAAAAGCGATCGCCGACCGTAGTATTCAGCCCTCGAGATAACCTTCGCGGTCGCTGTTAATCCCATCGCGAAACCAGTCTCATCGAAGTTATAAATATCGTCGGGATCGATGCCGTATTGAAGAATGGTTTTTTGAACAAGATCAAACCACTCCCTAATGATTCTTGGATCTTCGCACTTCACACGTTCGTAATTATAACGTC